TACTACAAATATTTAATTATGCTCTTTAATCTAATAAATGCTCCAGCTTCGTTCCAGGAAATAATTAATCATATTCTATACAAGCACCTGAATCAGTTTATCATTGTTTACCTTAATAATATCCTTATTTACTCTCAAATACTGGAAGAATACAGGAAGCATGTGAAAACAGTATTGTAAATGCTCCAAGATGCAAAACTCCTTGTGAAACCTGCAAAGAGTTACTTTCACATACAAAAGGCTGACTATCTCGGATTCACAATCAAGCCAGAATGCATTAAGCCACAGAAAGACAAGATAGAAGCTGTTAGGAATTAGCCAGTTCCCAGAAATATCAGAGATATTAGATCTTTCCTCGAATACATCAACTTCTACAAACAGTTTATCAAGAATTACAGCTGAATTGCATACCCTCTTACAAATCTCACTAAGAAGGAATAGCCTTTCAAATGGATTTCCAAAGCACAAGAAGCTTTCAACAAGATCATTAAGCATATTATCTCAGAGCTGATTCTGTATAAAGCAAATCCCTACAAACCTTTTAAAGTTGAGATCAATACATCAGAATATACATTTGAAGAACAACTTGGCTAGCGAGATAATCAAGAATGTCTAAGGATTGTAAGCAACTTCTTAAAGAAGTTGAATAGCTCAGAGATTAACTATGAAATCCCTGATCAGGAATTCATAGCAATAGTGAAAGTCTTCAAGAAGTAGCAGCACTACTTCATTAGCATATAATACCCGATTATAGTTTACTCAAATCACAAGAATCTGATTATATTCATAATAATCAAGGTTTTGAATAAATAACAAGTTAGATGGACGGAATTCCTTTTACAATTCGATTTCAAGATTGTATACTGCAAAAGCTCGGAGAACGGATAAGCAGATGCTCTCAGCAGAAGAGCAGATTATTGAGATGCAGATTCTTCAAATATATAGAACATCTTTGCTCAAAACAAGTCAGGAAACCTTATCAATGCATACAGAGAACTGAATGCTGCTCTCAGAATAGAATCCTCAGAAAGAAATTCAGAATCAATAACTCTGAACAAACAAGACAACTATATCAAGAATATATACAATATACCAGCATACAAGCATCAGAGAATCAGAGCAATCTACAAATACATTAGAAGATACTAGAACTCATTAGATCTTAGAAAAAGAATTGAAAGCATTCTACAACAATGCAACAGCTGCAAGAAGAATAAAGCAGAAAGATATAAGCTTTATAAACTACTACACTTCTTACCAATACCTACAACTATTTAGCAATCCATCAGTCTAGACTTTATTATCAAGCTATCTCTCTTATAAGAATTCTTAACTAAAGTGCAATACAATAGCATTTTAGTAGTAGTTTGCAAACTAAGCAAGTATACTTATTTTCTCTCCTACAAGAAAAGTAGTACAGCAGAAGAACTTGTATATACATTTCTCAGAATGATTATTGCTAATCATAGCATGCTAGAAGAAGTAATCTCTGATAGAAATAGAAAGTTCAACTCGAAATTTTGGATTTCACTTATAAAACAGCTCGGAATACACTATAGAATGTCTATAGCATTTTACTTATAAACAGATGAATAGATAGAAAGAATAAATCAGATTATCAAACAGTATCTTCAATACTACATCAATCAGGAACAGAATAACTGGATTGATCTATTGCTCCTTGCATAGTTTGCTTATAATAGCACAAATACAAGCACAACAAAGAAATCATTATTCTTCACGCTCTACAGATATAATCTAACAGCTTATTACAAGGCATTGCAAGAAGCAGATGCAGAAGCTGCAGACAAAAGGATTAAGAAGATTAAGAAAGTTCAGAAAGAACTCCAATCAGAACTACAATTCATTCAGGAACGAATAATACAATATGCAAACTCCAAAAGAATTAAGAGATCAATTCTATAGAAGGGAGATAAGATCTATCTACTTCGAAAAAACATTAAAATAACTAGATCTAGTAACAAACTCAACTATAAGAAGCTGGAACTATTCAAAATCTTGCAACAGATTTCCCTAGTTAATTATGAATTAGTACTATTATACAGAATAAGAATATACTTAGTTTTTCACATCTTACTGCTAAAACTAGCAGTACAGGAAATACCAGCGGATAATACAGCAGAAGTAGAAAACAACGAACCAGAATATGAGATAGAAAAGATCCTCAAGCATAGAAGCATAGATAATACAAGGGAATACTTTATTAAATGGAAAGATTACTCAGCAAGCGAAAATTTATAAGAATCACAGAAAAACGTTAAGAATGCTCAAAAAAGAGTAGCTAAGTATTGAAAAAGGAAGGAAACCAGTACCTAAGACGATCACTCCGCCCCAGAGCGAGATCCAGAGGCTTCGGAAATCTCGCTCTTTAGAAAATCCAACCAATCCACCACTGCATTCCTCACATCCACGGAATTCCAGTCAAAACCCTCAAAAGAAGAATCTCCAGCAATCACAGCAGATTTCTCTGCAACTACAGAACAAACCCTAGCAGCAATACAAGCCCGCTTCTCCTCAGCTTCCTCACATTCTAACTCCTTTATACTAGAAAGATCTCAACGAATAGCTTTCATCATCCTCTCAAACTACAGACGCTTCTGCTTCTGCAAACGTTCTATTTCTGCAGCAGCATTGCATAGCTGCTTCTCAGCACTCTCGAGTTGGTTCTCCAGGCATTGGTATTGAATGCCTATCCAACGAATTTCTGCAGCACTCAGTTCTTGAACGTCGCACTGAGAACGACCCAAGCGAACACATTCAGCGCAGCAAGAGGAATCCTTAACAGAGACTTAACAAGACTGAATATCACGATCCTTATAGAAGAAACAAGAAGGCATGGTAATAGCGTTTTGAAGAACTAAGAAAAGAAAAGAATTCTTTTGTTTAGTCTTTTCAGCACGAGAGCAAGATTTGTTGATTCTGTTTAACATCTCAATTAGAAAGGCAAGATCATGTATACAGAGAACTTGCTAGAATACTTACAAAAGATTGTTAGAAACAACGACTGATAGAAGAGAGATGATATTATAATCCATTCAACATGCAGATTACAGAACAGATCACGAATAACAGGGACCAGATATCAAGAATGCAATATCCTGATAAAGCACTGATTACATAATCCAGGGTTAGGGTTATGGGCACAGCTAATCAGGAAGGATAGCTTCGGATATGTGCTATTCAGAGCTAGCAGAATAACTTGGATATGTTGCTATCCAACATATCCATACTGAAGAGCTGGATATATAAGAATACATTCATTCCCATTAGATAGATTCAGTATATAGCTCTTCAGTTATCAATCTAAATATCAGATTACTCTTTACTCTGATAGCTCCAAAGGCAGTGAACACTTGCATCGCTTATTAAGACTTGTACGGTTCCGTATTCAAGGACTTAGCACTTTGACACCGCTCTTGTTAGCATAAACCCCCTTTATATACTTTGGAATCTTCGGATTGCTGCAGTGCTCATTACAAGAAGATTGAGCAAGCTAAGAGCATTTTGATCAATATTGCTGATTAATACTATTCTGAGTATTATAGAGGAAAAAGTAATTGTTGAAACTATTCTCCAGCTTGCAAGTATAACTCTTGCATTAGCAGCAATTGCTATAACAACTAAAATTATTGAAATAACTACAATCATAATTGCAGAAGGAATTATAATCATAATCGCTATAATAAAGATTAGTTAAGCTATTATAACAAAAGCATAACTTGTTTCTTAAAATATAAGCTTCAAGATTACAATTCATACCAAAACCAGGATTTCAACTGCAACAAGCTTCGGAATTATAATTATAACTATAATTACAATTAGTTCAGAAAGAATAGCAAGTCTGAAGATTGCAAGAAATGCAACTGGAGTTGCTTAGCAATCTCTAACAAAAAGAAAGCTTATAACATTACTGAGAATAAGAATGAAGATATACTTTCTAAGAATAATAGTAATAATCTATCTTTATCTAGCAATAAGCAGATATACTGGATTGATAGTTCTGAATAATTGCTCTTGCTAATCTTATTATATTATTCTTGATTGCTTAGCTCTGTAAGCTGCATTTATAACTTATGCGAAGTTGATTATTCAGTTAATTATATATATATCTTCTATAATAAAGAGTTTGATTCTCGAAGCTAAATATTTCAGCATATAAGCGCTTGCTAGAATTAAGATTAGAAGATGAATATCTTCAAAGAGATTAAGAAATATCTGAAGTATGCTATATCTTTTGAAACTACTTCGCTTGAAACAAGTATACTACCAGTTCAATACTGTAATAAAAACATTCTTACGGAAGCTATACCCGAAAAGCAGCTGAACAAGCCTATCAGCAGTTACACTTACATGAAAATCATTATACAAGCTATTCTTACTGAATCTAATATAATTCTCTGCAAAGATATTAGCACTGATTACAACTTGGTGAATCAACAGTTCCTTAGTCAGTTCTCTGCTGCTGAAGTCTTAGTTTACAAGCTTTAAAAGATCGGAGATATGGAAAAAGGCACGATTATGCTATTCAAATACGCTGAATGAGACTTCTATGCCTGTGTGTCAGGGCCGATTGTGCCAGCAAGGCTCAGAGCCAGCTAAGCCAGCTGGATTACGGATGACTAAGCAATATGCGGCTATAAAGCGGCTTTCTAGCCACGTCAGCACTGCTGAGCAGAACTTAGCTCCTTAGGCCTCAATGTTATTCTGGTTGTATGCCCCTGAAAGAGAGAAAGACCTCGCCACATTGCCTTTGCAACCTTTCCACCTGACAGTTTGAGGCCTGGCCCTTTTAAAGGAGGCAATCCGGCGAGGCTTTCTATCTTTTTTTTTCCCTAGGAGCAGCGCTAACACTGAGCAGGAGCAGAGCAAACGATCAGACCACTATCCTTTTCGAACCTTCGAGCCTTTGACTTTCGAGCCTTCGATTTTCGAGCTTTCGAGCCTTGAATACAGCGAGCAAGCAGTGTTGAGCAAGCAGTATGCAAGCAGCGTGCGAGAAGCGTTCAGAAGAGATTCAGAGCATTCGAGTCGCTAAGCTAGAGCAAACAGCGAGCAAGCAGTATGCAAGCAGCGTGCGAGAAGCGTTCAGAAGAGATTCAGAGCATTCGAGTCGCTAAGCTAGAGCAAACAGCGAGCAAGCAGTATGCAAGCAGCGTGCGAGAAGCGTTCAGAAGAGATTCAGAGCATTCGAGTCGCTAAGCTAGAGCAAACAGCGAGCAAGCAGTATGCAAGCAGCGTGCGAGAAGCGTTCAGAAGAGATTCAGAGCATTCGAGTCGCTAAGCTAGAGCAAACAGCGAGCAAGCAGTATGCAAGCAGCATGCGAGAAGCGTTCAGAAGAGATTCAGAGCATTCGAGTCGCTAAGCTAGAGCAAACAGCGAGCAAGCAGTATGCAAGCAGCGTGCGAGAAGCGTTCAGAAGAGATTCAGAGCATTCGAGTCGCTAAGCTAGAGCAAACAGCGAGCAAGCAGTATGCAAGCAGCGTGCGAGAAGCGTTCAGAAGAGATTCAGAGCATTCGAGTCGCTAAGCTAGAGCAAACAGCGAGCAAGCAGTATGCAAGCAGCGTGCGAGAAGCGTTCAGAAGAGATTCAGAGCATTCGAGTCGCTAAGCTAGAGCAAACAGCGAGCAAGCAGTATGCAAGCAGCGTGCGAGAAGCGTTCAGAAGAGATTCAGAGCATTCGAGTCGCTAAGCTAGAGCAAACAGCGAGCAAGCAGTATGCAAGCAGCATGCGAGAAGCGTTCAGAAGAGATTCAGAGCATTCGAGTCGCTAAGCTAGAGCAAACAGCGAGCAAGCAGTGTGCAAGCAGCGTGCAAGAAGCGTTCAGAAGAGATTCAGAGCATTCGAGTTGCTAAGCTAGAGCAAACAGCGAGCAAGCAGTATGCAAGCAGCGTGCGAGAAGCGCTCAGAAGAGATTCAGAGCATTCGAGTTGCTAAGCTAGAACAAAGTGTGTTCTTCGCTATTCGAGCGAGAGAGCAGAATGAGCAAGCAGTAGATCTGAGTATCTTCTGTTTTCGAGAGTGTGTTCTTCGCTATTCGAGCGAGAGGGCAGAGTGAGCAAGCAGTAGATCTGAGTATCTTCTGTTTTCGAGAGTGTGTTCTTCGCTATTCGAGCGAGAGAGCAGAGTGAGCAAGCAGTAGATCTGAGTATCTTCTGTTTTCGAGAGTGTGTTCTTCGCTATTCGAGCGAGAGAGCAGAGTGAGCAAGCAGTAGATCTGAGTATCTTCTGTTTTCGAGAGTGTGCTCTTCGCTATTTGAGCAAGAGCGCAGAGCTGAAGCGGAGTGTCCGCTTGGCAACTGAAGTTGCTTGGGTATTAGGTTGCGAACTAATTACCCTTCTGCGCCTAGCGGTGGAGCGAAGCGTGGCAACGGCTTCAGAGTTGCTAGAGAGCAACTCTCAAGACGGAAAGCTGTAATTATCCGTTATAGCTGCAGGGACGCTGTCCTGGATGCTGGGCTCCTTGGCTGCAAACCAAGTCCCTGGTGGAAGGCTTGCAACCTACATCAAACAGCTTTAAGTTCTGAAGAGTGCCTGGATAAAGCGCTGAGGGAGCAGCGACTGAGCAGCGTATATGGCGCGGGTATTGCACTCGGAAGACTTACGTCTGGAATGTGATTAAAAAGAGATTTTTTTTTTCACAGGCTTCGGGGACGAAGCCAGAAGAGAAGGAGGGAGATGGTTGAGAGGCCTTGAGAAGCCTTGAGAAGCCTGAGGCACTGAGAGATCTTGAGAGGCCTTGAGAGGCCTGAGGCACTGAGAGATCTTGAGAAACCTTGAGTGGCCTAGAGGCCTGAGGCACTGAGAGACCTTGAGAGGCCTTGAGGAACCTGAGGCACTGAGAGATCTTGAGAAGCCTTGAGAGGCCTGAGGCACTGAGAGACCTTGAGTGGCCTAGAGGCCTGAAGCACTGAGAGACCTTGAGAGGCCTTGAGAGGCCTGAGGCACTGAGAGACCTTGAGAGGCCTTGAGAGGCCTGAAGCACTGAGAGATCTTGAGAGGCTTTGAGAAACCTGAAGCACTGAGAGATCTTGAGAGGCCTGAGGCACTGAGAGACCTTGAGAGGCCTTGAGAAGCCTGAAGCACTGAGAGATCTTGAGAGGCCTTGAGGAACCTGAGGCACTGAGAGACCTTGAGAGGCCTTGAGAAGCCTGAAGCACTGAGAGATCTTGAGAGGCCTTGAGGAACCTGAGGCACTGAGAGATCTTGAGAGGCCTTGAGAAGCCTGAAGCACTGAGAGATCTTAAGAGCCTGAAGCATTGAGAAGGCGTAGGAGCAGCTAGGAAGCAGCGAAAGCCTGGAAGCAACGGAAGCTTGGGAGCAACGGAAGCTTGGGAGCAACGGAAGCCTGGAAGCAACGAAAGCTCGGAAGCTTCAAAGGCCTTGAGGACAAGGCCTGATAAGGAGGGACAATCTGTCAGGGCCGATTGTGCCAGCAAGGCTCAGAGCCAGCTAAGCCAGCTGGATTACGGATGACTAAGCAATATGCGGCTATAAAGCGGCTTTCTAGCCACGTCAGCACTGCTGAGCAGAACTTAGCTCCTTAGGCCTCAATGTTATTCTGGTTGTATGCCCCTGAAAGAGAGAAAGACCTCGCCACATTGCCTTTGCAACCTTTCCACCTGACACTGTGGCAGGCGTGCTGATAGCTCTTCTGAACTGCTGTGCTAGCATGCTGAGGCATGGATCGTGAATAATCTACCTGCTGAAGCTCTTATTAGCAATAGATAGCTCAAAGCCTGCAAGGCTATCATTAATTACAAGAATCAGGCTATTATATACTCAGAGCAAGGCAACTTCCAGGTGCCTTTCGAGGTTCAGTATTAGGCTTTCTTACTTACAGTGCGAAAGGTGAGGATAGCTCATGCTTATGTTATCAGCTCTAGCAAGACTGCTTAGATAGCTGTAAGATATGCTGAACTGCTCAAAAGCTGCTTATTCTCTTTTATATCGATCTACAGTACTGCGCTGAATGCATAGATCGATACTTCTTTACTTCCTGTAGTAGCTCTGCATAATGCTACGAAAGGAGCTATTAAGATTCCCAAAGGCACCCGCATGGGAACTATCCATGAGTATAAGAATACGGGATGGTTCAAAGCTACCTTCAAGGGCGCTATAAAGGCTCTAGCAGTAGCAGCTGCCTTGAGAGGACTAGCATTAACCTATTAGCTGGCTAATACTCATGCAATAGGTGTATACAGTATGCAATTCGCATCTTCATTAAAGATTCCTATTAATCAAATAGCAGTGAATAGAGAATTCAATCTCATACTAGAAATCATTGCAATAGCTAAGAATGCAGAAACAGAAATACATTCTATTAGTGATTTTCTGCTAAGAAATAGCTTGTTCTCTATGCTTTATAGCAATGCTATTTGTTACTCCCTCAGCAATATGAGAATAGCTTATAGTATCAACCTCTTAACGAATACTAAAGCATTACTATTCAACAATCACAACCTCGATATACAGAAATCTTCAATCATTATCAAGAGATTCCTAAGCATCAAAGCTCTAAACGAAGCTTCAGCAATAATCCTTGATAACAGCATTTGTATCTGTTTACAGAATCCGATTAAAGCTTAACAATTCAAGAGAATTATTGAAAAATATCCTGCTATATAGGAAAACAAAAGCTCTCTTAATATGCTTGAGAATCAGATAATGAAAATCCCCTTAATAAAAGAATAGCAATACACAAAACTGAATCATCCTTGCTACTCTGTTTTCCGCAAGAATAAGAAGTTCATCGATTAGATATATAAAGAAATGTATAAAGCTAGCTATCTCGAGTTCGCTAATAATATCTATCCGTTCGCATTGCTGATCTTCATAATCTGGCGAATAGTATACAGGAAGGAAAAGAGCTGCATTGTTACAGATTTCAGAGCTCTTAACAAGTAAGCAGTGCCTGATAATTACTCTCTTCCTCTTTAGTTAGATATGATTGAAGCTATATGCAGTAAGCAGCATATTATAGTTATTAATGCTACAGCTTTCTTTTATCAGTTTCCTGTTCACTCTGAGTATTGTAACTATTAAACTATAATTATGCACTATAGCTTTAAGCAACTAATAATAGCTCTAATAAGCTACTGCAACTCGCTAGCTTATGCTCAGAGGTATATAAACAGGCTACTTTGTAATTATAAGCACTTCATTAAAGCATTTATTGATAATATCGTGATCTTCTTAGATTTGTTTGAGAACTATCTGAAGCATCTCAATATTGCTCTGAACATCTTTAATAGAAAGGGAATCTCTATTTCTCCTACAAAGAGTTATATCAGTTTCTTCTCAGTTGAACTTCTTAGCTTCTATATTAATGCGCTTAGCTTGTTTACTATAAAGGAATATACTGAAGCCTTTCGAAAGATAATCTTTCCTAGAAATCTTAAGGATCTCGAAATCTATCTTAGCGCAACTAGTTTCCTATAAATGATGATTCTGTACTATATGCAGCTCGTAGAACCGCTTCAACTGCAAAAGACAGCGCTGCTAGCTGAAAGCTGTAAGCTTAGAAAAATCATATCTGGGAAGAAGTTGCAGCATTAAGCTTATATATATTGCACATACTACAAGCCAACAGATGCTGAAAAGATAGCTTTCGAGGATTTACAGAATACTATTTGCAGAAAGATGCGCTTGTATTATATGGAACTATTGCAGAAGCTGTTTATTTAAGTAGATGAATGCTTGTAACAAGGATTTGGCATAATGGTTTTTCAGTTGAAGGAAGACTATATCTGGCAATCTAGCAAGCTAATCCTCTTGCATGCTATTAAACCAGTAATATTCCTTAGCTGCTGCTTAACGAAAGCTGAAATAAACTACAGTCTCTCTGAGCAAGAGATTGCATATCTGGTTTGAGCAATGAAACGTTTGCACAAGCTGATTCAATCAAATCAAGCATAGTCTATAGTTGTTCTTACAGATCATAATGCTACGCATAGCATTATTATCCAAATACGCCTTAATATCTTATTTACAGATTGTGCTAACCGATATCTTATCAACGCTTCCATCTATCTCAGCTAGTATTAGTTCGATATTTACTATCTGGCTGGGAAGCTCAATTATATCCCTGATGTCTTGTTAAGGCTGTCTGCAATAGGAGATGCGAAGGCGCGATGAAGCGACGAACTAGCTACTCTTAATACGGTAGTTGATGATCTACTTACAGTCTTCCTTATTTTATTGGAAGCATAAATGTCTGAAGATATATAATAGCACTTCTAGCAAGGATACAAGGAGAATACAGTTTATGAGAATATTATTACAAATCTGATAAAGATTGGTTTAGCTAGAAAGAAGCTTCTTATCTTGATAAACAATAAGGATATTGTTTCTGCTTCTAAGCTCAGCTATTTATTTCATCTGAAGGATTAACTGTTGTATAACTACAACAATGATGGAAAAGAATGCCTTGTTATCTTACAATCTCTGATACAGGAATTTCTATGCAATGCATATGATGATAAGCATCACTTTAACAGAGACTGTATAATAGCTGAGTTGAATAATCTTCACTTCAGAAAGAAGCAACTGCTTGTTTTACAGTATGTTGATTACTGCTATGAGTATAGCACTTAGAAGAAGCAAAACTAGAAGCTAGCAGATTTACTCCAACCAATTCAAGCTCTCTCTGAATCTATACATACAATCTCTCTTAACTTCATTCTTGAATTGCTCTTAGTTGAATTAATAAGTATTTTGTAGCAGATAAAAGGCTTTAAAGCTTACAACTTGCTGATGCTTGTTACTTGCAAGATCTTCAAAAGAACTCTACTGATTTCAGGCTACTCAATCTACTCAGCCAAGCAATAGGGAGCTATCCTGAGCAGACAGCTGCTGTTGAGCAATTGAGCATGCTCTTGAGCAATTATCTCTGATTACAATGCTAAGTTTATCTCAGATTACTGAACAGGCTTATGAAAAGCCTTTAGCATGCATCTACAGATGATTATAGTATACTATTCTCAGACTAATAAAGCAGCTGAATGAAAAAATCAGAATATCGAGCTGGCTATTAGATACTATGCTGCTGAATATTCTAACAAGATTTGAATAGATCTAATTCCCTCTTTACAGTAAAATCTGAACAACTTATACTAATGCTCTATTAATATAAGCTCTTATGAGTTTCTATTCGGATTCAAGATCTAATTACTATTCAACTAATTAGTTAACATTACTAAACAACTATCCGAGATATGCTTTATGTATAAATATCTGCAAAAAAATGCATAACTAGCTATAAATATCATTGCAGCAGACAACAAATGTATATACAATGCTAAATACTAATACAAAGAATACAAGAAGAGCAACAAAGTTTAGCTAAAACTTAGCAAAGCATATAAGCTACTGCTGCACTAAGCTAACAAGATATAAGCTCTTTGCAAAAGCTCTTTTACAATTATCAGAAAAGTATCATCTTTAGCTTATAAACTTGACTTCAAAACTGATAACTGTAATGCTAACATTCAAATACACTCAGTAGTCAGCATTTAGTATCTGAATCAGTACAAGCTTACTAACAACCCCTTCAACTGCTAGCTATCTAAGCCTAGCCCGATTGAGTATAACAAAAACAGCAATAACTCAATTGAATCTGATAAGAACTACTACAAAGTCAATTGCATCATAGATAAGAAGATTGAGTAACGAGATAGCAAGAATATAGTATAATATCTGGTGCAATGAAAGAAATAGTTCTTGCAGCATGATCGCTGGAAGGATTTAAGAAGCCTTAAATGCCCTAGCCTCATCAAGGAATACGAATGCGCACACCCTGACAAGGCTACAGAAATCCTCGTGAAAAACAGCCCAGCTGATCCCGTAAAGAGAAAGCACAGCTAGCCTTCCAAGAAACTGTTGCCTAACAGCAATGAGGATGGAGAAGCTGTGCTAGCACGGAGAAAGCGAGGTTAGCCTGCCAAGAGCACAGCCTTCCCAGCTGTCAACATTGACGCATCTGACAACGCGTCTGGAGGCCTCCCTGAGCCTGAAAAGGATGGAAAACAGGGCCCTGAGACCTCTCCTGGCCTCCGAAGAAGCGCGAGACTGACACGTGGATACGTGACCCCTAGATAGCTGCTGAGAACAGCAGGAACGTTTTTCCGTAGCCGGCACTTGTAGCAGTGGCCATAGGGGCCTTAGGTGAATGAGGCCTGGGTAGCCACCCTGACTCACTGGCCTGGGCCATTCAATGGAAAGGCAGTGAGTCGCCAGATACGCTAGCTCAGTTGGGACTAGTGCTAATTGCCTTCTATATAGAAGGCAATTGGCAAGCATGCCTTGAGATAGATTAATTGAAGAATCATCTTCCCTTCTACCATTTGTACAGCCCCTAGAGTGCCTTCTACATTGGGTCTCGTATGCGCCGTAGCAGCACGCTGCTATTTTGACTACATCTCCAACTGGTATGCCGAGCACAAAGAGGACGGGTTTGCGCACAAGCTGTTCCGGTGCGCGAGCTTAAGCCTCCAGCTTGCCCGCGAGCTCTCGCCCCAGCTCAACGACGTAATCCTGTGGCTAGCCTATGAGGTTATGCAATGCTGCACAAGCCTTGAGGGTAGCGCAAGTAAGTTCCACCATAACAATTAACCATTCCCTCTGGATTTCGCCCAAGGCTTGTCGTCACTAAATCTAAGAGAATGGTAGGCTTGAGCGTCTGGCGGAAACTAAGCGACGTTGTCACTGACATGTACGCCCTGGGCCTACACCGCGAGGCAGCACTTTCGGACGAGTCTATGCCGTTCTTTCTGTCCGAGTATCGAAGGAGGTTCTTTGCCATTATATTTAATTTCGACAAAGCATGGTCGGCCATCTTCAACCAGCCTCCTCGAGTACCAAGTCGATATGCGGATTGCAAGCCGCCCCTGGACTTGTCGGAAGACGACCTCTTTACACTGCAGCAAGATGATCTGGGTCAGCTGCTCAGGAAATTGACACCAAATGGATGGAATAAAGACGGCGGTTACAGGACGACGACGTGGACACGGCTGCGATATACTGTTGGTGGAATTCGTGAACAATTCATCGAGGCACAGTTTCACTTGACCCAGCCAGTTGATGGAAGTGAGCTAAGGTATATATTTATTGCCTTGTCTAAAATGAAGCGAGCTTTCGACTGAGTGTGCCTTAGGAATCTATCTGTCCGGTGCCACGAAGCCTGGAATTCCCTTCCCCAGCACCTCCGATACGGGGAGGATCCAAACCAGATACCGTCCGACTTACCCAACATTATCCGCCAAATACTCATGAGAGCACACCTAACCTTCGTACACATCGACTTCCACATCATTAGGTCGATCAGCAGAGGCAGTAGTGCAGTCCCTTCACCCGAACTGCTCGAGATCTCTGCAAGGATGCTCCAGGGTGTCATTATGTGTGTCATGGAGCGCGGCAACAAGCCATTCCTCTGCGATCTGGCCGAGGATGTAATTATTGTTCCTTTGCCCCGAGCAGACTGGATTTGTGATAGATGGCTGACTGGAACAACCGAAAAATCTATCTAGTTACTTTTCTATGCACTGCCCAGTGCCGTGGTTCTGTAAGTGATGTTTCCTTATCTCCATTGACACTATCGTATTATTTCATTTCAAAAAGATGACGTGGCAAACGACACGTCCCAGCAACCTTCCGATACTCTGAGGGAAGAAGTCAAGCAGCAACTCCTTGGTTGGCGAATATGCCATCAGAAAAGAACGTGCAGAACTGACTGTGAATCCATTATAAATCAACACAGAATCACCGCCTTGCAAGACGCCGTGCGAGATCCAGCACGAAGCCTCCCGCCTTCCATAAGCAAACCCACCCTGTTCCGCAACCTCTCCGTGCTGGTGTCGCAGCTGGAGGCCCTCGCCAGCCCCGAGGAGCCGCACTACACGTTCTGCGCACAAGCGGCCAAGAGCATGTCCAGAAAGCTCGACCAGGTCCTGGAGCATAGCATGGCTGGCCCCGGCACCGCGATCCGGGCGGGTAATCCAAGTAGTAATGGTAATAAGATCCCGGGAGATCTACAACAGGGTGGAGCCTCTATTGCTACAACAGCCCACAGGCCAGGTGGTGAACAGCAGCCGGGCAGCGAGGAGCCCGCTCTGGGGCCGCCAGGAGACGTAGCGACTCCTTGCATGGGCCTGAGTGACTTTGACAGCAACGATTTTGAGACATGGGCAACGAACTGGGGATTTGATATGGGTACAACGACCAGCGAATGGGGCATGTTTTGAAGCAATCAAATCATATGTGAATAATGACAGGGAGTTATGTACAGCCATTTTTCAGTAACCGCGACACAAACGAGCCGCTGAATATTGGGAATATCATTTGTCGTTCTTGGAGGATGCTAGGAGGTCCCTTGCGATTGTTATCGATACGATTAAACTTTTGGGACGAGGTTCAGCCTCTGCCCAAAGCTCAAGATCTCTGCCGATTTCTCTTTTTGTCTTTATGTCTTTGTAATGGTACAGAATTACCCTCGTGCTAATAATTATCGTCGGATGTCCGATCGGCGCCAATCGAAACATGTTTACATGATCAAGCCAAACAAGTCGAGGCCAACATCAAGGCCGGGTCCACGAGCCGTCGCAAGGACAACAAACAGCAGACTAATCAGCTGCACCCTCAGCTCAGCTTCCAAACACGTCGAAAGCTGGGGGGGCCCCGTGGAGTCCTATCTCTCTTGCCTCCGGTTTTTTATCTTCAATGTTGTATCGTTTGCTCAATCCACCCAAGCGTCCCTGCCAACATTTCCACTACTTTCCACTTTTCACACCCGTGAGCTTGCTAGGTTGAGATGGACGTGGCACATTGCGACGCATGCTTTCTTTGTGGGTATGGGGATCGCATGAAGCATCGAGCATGAGACAGACCCCAAGGGGGAGGAGTGGGTATGTTAGGGAAAGAAACAGGCGCGGGGACCGATGCGCCGAGAAGTAGGGAAACAGGACGCCTGTCCTCGTTCGCTGCAGGAACCTAGTTCCCCAGGGTGTACAGATTAGTAAGTTTCCTTGTGTGGATCCTCCTCCTTCTTCTGCAGTTCTGTGACTGTTGGGCTTGAAAACCTACTAGGTCTTATTATAGGCCATGCACTCCTCCCTAATAGTACGTTATACTTACCCTGCCAGCACGTTTTCCTTTCTTTCATTCTTTTTTTTTTTTACTGTATTTAGAGCCCCGTGCCCCACAAACCCTTTCTCAAAAAGGGAAGTGGATCCAGATCATGGAATCTGATTTGCCTCATGCACAGTTATGGAGACAACCCTCGACAGAGCCCAACTACCGTTGATTGGCAGAGACCAGTTCACGCTGCTGCAGCACCACGTCTCATCCAGGAGGCACATGTTCTACGCCTTGACCTTGGGTCACCTTCCTTGCCCCATGCTCTCTCTCCAGTCCCCATTTTCCCAAATCCCACGGACCAATTCCTAAATATTTTGCCCGCGGTGAGCGCTCCCGGATAAACCTGCACTGGAGCCTGACATTGACAGCACATCAAGTCTCCATGGCTCCACTTGCCTCGTCGTGCCGACGAGTCGGACCATCCGCCCTCCCTCCTCTGACCTGAGCGCCTCACTCGACAAGTTGGGCTGCTGGGCTGGGCTTGAGCTTGGGCTCCTCCTTGGTGAGCCATTTCAGACCCCTGCGCTGGATACCGCTATCTCGGTGTCCGACCGTGTGACCCTCCCAACAAGCCAGCCAGAGAAAGACAGAGAAGAAAAGCGCCTAAGTAGGTAAGGTAGAGAGGATTGTAGGAGGAGGACCTTTTTCGAGGCGACGCGTCGGCCACCACAGTGGTCAGTGGGGCTGCTCTCCTCCTTGCTGCTGCGCCTGGAATTGGCGTCCAAGGCTGGAGCCCCCAGACCGCCGAGATGGGATTCCCTCCTCGACAGGTGACTCAACTGACCAGCCAGCGAACTAGCTTGCTCATGTTTGTCATGGTTTGGGCTGGGGCCACTGTTAGGTGTCGTGTTCGTTCGTGGGATGGTGGTTGAACAGACGGTCTGGTATATAGCTGTAGAACATGAGCCTCGGGTTCTCATGCTCTCGACTTTGCTCTTCTTTCTTTTCGTTTGGTAACAATTTACGTTAGACCATAGAGTCTTGCCATCCTCTCGCGTGCTTCTTTGCACAAGAAACACACGGACTCTCGTGTCGTCTCCTCCCCTCCTCTCCCTATCTTCTTCCCAAAAACCAAAAGCCATCAAACATGCTTCGCGTGTCGGCACCTGCCCCAATTCCCTCCTCAGCCGCCCTTCGCGAGGAGTCTTACTCGGGCCCGCCCACTGCCCTGTCAAGGATGTCCCCGTCAAGTCACCATATGGCCTCGGCGGTACTCCTTGTCCCAATACTAGACGAGAAGCACCATGGTGCCGACCTGCTGATGATTCCCATCTCGAACAACAAGACGACGACGACGACGACGACGACGACGACAACGGCAACGAGAACAACAACGACTGCCACCTCCACAACCACCGCATCATCAGTACCAGCAAAAACAATAGCAAAACCGGTCCCCCGGGTCGAGGACTCATCCTCCAACCGCCGGACGGAGACACCCGCGGCCCCCACACCGCCTCCGAAACCCGCGCTCCCCGAGGGCTGTCAGGACTGGGACGCCTACCTCTCGCAAAGGAAGTCCACCGCCACGCTGCCCCTGCTGGACAACGTGCACGAGGAACAGCCCTCATTAATAATACCCGAGATCGAGATCCAGTCACCCGACCTCAACTTCAAACACTCGTTCGAGGACCTCGGCTGGCGGGACTGCCTCGCCCAGCGCCAGCGCCACCCGGCCGCCAGACCTCTGCGACGACGGCCCTCTGCGGCCACTGTCATTGGGACCTTGTACGCCGGGCCCAGCAGCGTTGGTGGTGGTGATGGTGGTATCGGCAGCAGCAGCACGGCGTCGCTCCGGAGCGTCAAGCGCCTCAGTAACGCCTCGACGCTGACGGCCAACACGGTGGCCACGGCGCCATGCATCCTCAGCAGCCGGGCCTACAAGCGGCTCAGCAATGCCTCGACCCTGACCACGCTCACCATGGCCACAACCAGCAGCGCAGGCGGCGGCAAGGCCCGCTCCATCCGCCGCATCAACCGTACCCGCCACCTACGCGCCTACTACTCCGACGGCTCGCTACTTCGGGCGCGGCGCCTGAGCGTGGGTGTCAGCAGTATGGCCGATATTGCCGAGCGGCGGGAGCCTTCGTCGTCCTCGGCCTCCTTCGTGGTGGCACACCAGCGGCAGAAGAGGTTCTCGTCGGCGTCGATGCCGCTGACGGGTGGATTGGGCTCCGAGCTCTGCGCGCCGCCGCCGTATCCGCCTCCTGAGAAGCCACTGCCGAGCCTGCCTATGATGGAGGTGTGTGAGCTGCAGACGAAGGAGAGGACGAGGTGGAGGGAGCTTCTGCTAAGGAATTTCCAGCAGGGCAGCTGGAGGAGGGGAATAAGTAGTGGAGGTCGGTAATCGAACCAGGTGGTCGACAACTGCTGGTAGTGGGTGGAAAGAGTTTTTCTTCTTGGAACACCTGTATGAACTTCACGAATACTTTTTGCATTCTTCTTTTTCTCTTTTCTTTTGTCATTCAGCAGAGCGAGCGGGTCGAAGCGTTTGGCTGTTTTCATCACGGGCGGAGCGTTTGAAATTTCTCATTATAATGTATTGTAATTGTGGTACCACAGAACAGAAGCTTGTTTCGTTCAAGTAATTATTCTTTCGTCATTTCAAGTGGTCCCACACAGAACCTCATTATGACTTGTGACGTGTTTGTTCGGAGGTGCTCCTTCCCCACGAAGAACAACGCAAGAGCCATACTTTGACAATCTGAGTAAGAACTACTTGAGTACCTACCCCAGCGTTTCGTTTCCCCACCTGCCTTCTTCGTCGCTCAGGCTAGGGCAAGTCCAATGGTATGCTCAGCTTTTGGTTCCTGCCCGTCAACGCGAATGTCACGCAACTTTGACTGTCCTTCTCCCGCCTGCGAGGCTGTAGGCTTGGTCTGATCGTTGGTGCTGATGCTGATGGGGAGCGTGAGATCGGTACCGGAGGCAAGCTCCTGCCAAGCGCGCTGCTTCATTATGGGAAGCTCTGTAGAGAAGAGGAAGTTATGAGCCAGCAAGTCATATACTCTCACTTTATCCTTCATGGGACGAACGGTCGGGTGTTGATGCTGTTCATGACTTACCAATGCCATCGTCCGTGCCAACGCCTGGACGACTAGGCCAACCAAAGTGCTTTCTACCCTTGTTCCAAGCAGCTCGAGAAGACGTAGCGATGGACTGACCCGTGGACTTTGTAAAGCGTCCCATCTGGGAGGCGAAGAGGGGCGACCGTGGTTGTGTGCGCGGCTGACAATCGACTGCGGCAGGAGTGGCTCGTTGCTGTCCTTGTTGTTGTCGACCAATTCGAGAACGGTGTAAAGATCCTCGGTGGCTGTTGACGGAGGCGGTCTCATCTGTTGTTCAATATTGACGAATTAGAACCTGTCATGTAAGGTAAGATAGTAGCGCTCATGGGGTGGAAAGGGGAGAACAAACGAAGGGGGTGTGGGGGGGGGGGGACTTACGCTTCCGATTGATGTTGCGCATCCACCAAAGAAACCAAAGAACTGGCAGCATGATGGCAGAGCACAGGGCGAGGAGGCCTAAGAACATGATGACGGGAGGGAACTGATATACGCCCTCGTCGCGTGTGACATGGCCAGCAAGGCGAAGGGGCACCATCATGCTGATTGAAGTGGGACTTTGGTGTTCTTGGGGTTGTGTGGAGGTTTGAAGACAATCTGGTACGCGATAGTTGGAAAATGAGCGCTGTAATTAGGAAGCGCGGCTGCTTTTGCTTTTGTTATTGCGAACTCCCTCATTAAATGAATCTGTGGCTCGAAGTCGAAAAGGTGTGAGCCCAACCTGGAGGTTCAACCACAAACAGTTCTGAAGTTGTGTCAACAGTGTGATTCATGTCGCGTCGAGAAATATAGTATTACTTACGCTAATGGGAAGTCGAGAGTTGGGACGAAATCAGCAGCAACTCAAAAGCTGTGCATGTGGCTTCACTTGGTAGCTCTAGCAGCCTAGATTAGTAGTAGCAAAGTGAGGGAATGGTGATGCTAGCTGGAACCTTGGAAACCGTAGGATCTGACTGTGAACGGTGATTGCATACTCGTGATCGAAGTGTGTTTCTTCTTTCATGTTGACTCTCTTCGATGGAAGGACTAGGTAATTATGAGCTGAGTGAGGATGACGCAAAAGAAAAGGGACAGTAGCAACTTATAGGAGACTATCTATACTTAAATTGAATGAATATGCTGAGTAGGTAAAAGGGTAAGGTAAAGAACTGCCAGATCGTCGGAATCTCTGATTTCGATTCTTTTCAACCTGAGCTAACCCTTCTATCACATTCAGAATGGCCAAACATTTGCCGCCAAGTTCTTAACTAATCACCATAATTGCCCCATGACCAACTCTAAGTACTTTAGAAGTCTAGATCCGAGCTTTGAAGACTGTCTTGCCAGCCCTCTGCAATTCCTCTGCATCTCTCTTTGCCCAGTCCTTCATGACTTTCCGCTGGATCTTGCCGCTCTGTAGCCTGGGCACCTCATCAACGAAGACAACCCCTCCGGCGAGATGTTTATGCTTAGCCACCTTTGGCTTGATCCATTCTGTAATATTCTCAGGCCCGACTTTTCCTCGTGAACTAGCCTGCAATTCAACGTACGCCCTTGGCCACTCATGGTCGTCACTGTCAGGTAATGCAGTACTCTAATTAGAAACAACCGAATCCAGAAAACTGGAACGAAGGGAGGGAGGGAAAGAGATGGAGAAAAGAGAACCACCACTTACATCGTGATACCGACGACAGCGGCATCAGCAACATGTTCATTCTCCAACAGGACCTGCTCCAGCTCCGCCGGCGCAACCTGGAGCCCATTTACCTTGATGAGCTCCTTCTTACGGTCCACAATCCAAAACCAGCCCCTCTCGTCCACCACGCAGACATCGCCCGTCCTCAACCACCCATCACCCACCAGGGTCTCCTTCGTGGCAGCCTCGTTGCGCCAATACCTGAGACACACCTGCGGGCCCCGCACAAACAGCTCGCCCCTCTCGCTCCTGCCCGGCTGCACAGGCCTCCCAATCTCCCCGCCCGCCTCATCCACCAGCCTCGCCTCCGTCTCAGGCACCAACACCCCGACGCTCCCGCTCTCCTCACTGACCCCAGCAGGCACCAGCATCCCGCCACACGTAACCTCCGTCATCCCCCACCCCTGGTAGAGCCGCACGCCAAACCGCCTCTGCACCTCGTTCTGCAAGCTACGGCTCAGCGGCGCCGCCCCGCTCACCACCTCCCGCAGCGTCGTCAGCTTGTACTGCGCCGTCTCGGGCCGCTTGCACAGCATCGTCAGCACCGGCGGCGGCACCTGCAGCATTGTCACCCCGTACCGCTGCACCGCCTGCAGGAAGGCCTCGAAGCGGAACGTGCGCATAATGTACGTCGGCACCTGCAGCCGCAGCGCCACAAACATGACCCAGCTCTGCCCGAAGGCGTGGTACAGCGGGAGCATGCCCACGTACCTGTCCGGCGTGCGGCTGACGTCACGGCTGGGTCTTTGCTCCGCGTGGAGCATGAATATGGTCTGTGCCGCGTTGGCAATGAGGTTGGCGTGGGAGATGCACACCCCCTTGGGGAGTCCCGTGGTCCCCGAACTGAAGTTGATGGTGGCCACGGCCGTCTTGGCCTCGTCTACGGAGAACCTGGGCCACTGGTAGGCGTTGCCCTGTGCCGCGGTTCCCACCATGCTGCTGCGCCAGTCCGCGATGCCCTGCCGGGTCGGTACCTCGTCGTCTGTGAACTGGAAGATGCGGCCCCGCGGTATGCCTGCTTGGGACGCCGCCTCCAGTGCGGGCCCCAGGAGCTCGGGCTGCACGAGGAGCACCTTTGCACCCAGGTTCTGCATCTGGTGGACCAGTTCTGTGCCAATCGAATGATTAGTTTTCTGGCCTTGCTCCTCTTTATTACGCGCTCAGCACCATAAGAACATTCACAAACACACTGACCAGGCACCGTATAAGTAGGATTCGCAGCGCTGAAGACGAAGCCACCGCCGACGATACCGTAATACACAGGCGGTATGAAGATGTGGTTTGTCGTATACAACATCACCACATCGCCCCTCTGTAGACCCAGCCTGGTGAGCCCAAATGACGTCCTCTTGATCCATTGCAACGCCTGTCTAGCTGACAATGCCTTGGAGGGATCCTCGCTGTCAATCCACAACGGCTCGTCAGAGGGCGTCAAGTTGGTGGGGAAGGCGTAGTCCAACACATTGGTCACCTCAACCTGTAGAGGCGGATAAGGGGACGAGATGGGCATGTTTGATTGGTTGGGGAGGGATTTGCACAAGCACAGTCAATGTAAGAAGCTGGAGATGATTTAAGTCTCATCAGTACTAATCTCAGAATATATGATCTACGAGCTTGCCTGAGAGGGCGCGGCCATTGTGGGCGTGGCCATACTATTAACATGACCATGCACAACAAGCATATATAGCCGATGTGCCGTCCTACCGGGGTTGAATTGTGCATACAAGATGCAGGCTTGCGGAGTTTGGGGGAGTTCCCCGGCGTGGGGTGGGAAATCTGGGGTACATTTAACCGTTACAAAACTCGTCACCAGCCGCTTCTCCCAAAACCGCCGGACAAGGCCACCAGGGCCAGTCAGTGGACATGAACAAAGAACTCTGTCAATTGCGTTTGGCGCAAATGCAAAGTATGTGGAATTCTTCCTGTATCAGTAGTATAGAGAACTGTTCGCAGCCGTGATGAGGCTAATTCAACATGCAAAGAGGGTCTCCGCAAAACACCTGCCCACAACGACTCCGTGTCCCCTCCCCTGGTATTTGTATTCTGGAGAATTTCGAACCCCCGATCAGTCGCACATGCCCATCTTCCTGTTCCGAAGAAAGAAAGGAGAGGGGGAAATGAAAGAAGAGAAAAGAAACTAAAGACGAAATTATCGAGATATGCACAAAGTGATACAATCGTCATCCCACCCCGATATTCCCTCCAAAGCTACCGCTCGTCCGCCATACTATGGCACGACGAGCTTCGAACAAAGGGTAAGCAATCAGTCACCCACAGTGACCTCGAAGTGCTGCCAGCCAGCAGACAGAGAAATTATCTTTCGTCTTTGACCGCGAATTACTTTGCTGTTAAACCACGGTCATTCAGGCCCGTCATGAGCCACGACCTGGAGCATCGCCCATCGGCTCGTCGTCCTCGGCTCGAGACGGTGGTGGAATACCTTCATCCTTCCACTTCTGGTAGTCCTCCTTCGCCTGCTGGACTTCCTCTTGGCTGAGGTTCTTCATCCATGGACTGTTCATGGCCATCTTCTCGATGAAGTTTTGGTTTCGGATCTCGGTGATGGTCTTGGACTTCAACTCGCGCTTAGCACGCTCCTCGTCCGAGCCGCTGGCGAGATTGTAGATGAAATAATTTGAGGTGAATTCTTCGTAGATAATCTTTGCCGTGTTGACACAGATCTTGAGCACCAGGCCTTCTCTAAATGAGATCGCCTTTGGCTGGTTCTCGCTGTCTGAGTCGGCGTCGCCCGAGGGCAGATTGCGCGTTAGAACGACCTTCTGCAGGCCAGTGCGTGATACCCCCTCAGTGGGCTCGGTTCGGATCCAAGAGGATATGTAGTACTGCCACCGCTCCTGCAGGCCCATTTCGTCCGTGTGAAATGTCATATCATCCTTCTGCAGCCAGCGGATGGTCGCCTCGCTCTTCCCAGGGAACTGCAATAATGTAAGCATCTGTCTTTTAATTTGATTGTCGTAAAGAGTAGTAAACATACCCAAGTCAGCACAAACATTTCGCCATCCTTGACGCATTTCTCAGCAAACCTGCGGGCGCTAAGCTCGAGCTGGAAAGAAGTGTCCTCGGTCTGCCGGTGGCTGAAGTGCTGCGTGATCAGCTCGCTCGTCTTGTCCTTGCTGTCGTTACTGTTGCAGACCAAGGCCAGGCGAGACAGTGTCTTCAGGAGGTCCTGGATCGTGTAGAGTGTCCAACCATTCTTGAGGTAGTAGCGCCTCAACGTGTCCTGGTACACATTCTCGTCCTCGTCCTGGTTGATGTAATCCTCAATCAGCTTCACCGTGCGCGGCCAGAACTGGTGCTCCTCGAGGCCGGCAAAGTACTTGGACTCGTCGTGGATGAGCCGGAGCTTCTTAGCAGGCTTTTCCATCTCCTCACGCGCAATCTCTTGCTTGACGCTCTCGGTATTTTCCTTGACGCTCTTCAGGCGGGTGTATAGAACGTGGAGGATGCTGAAGAATACGTAGAGGGTCTGGTTGCAGTAGAAGTTGTACCAGCGCCGAGGAAAAAGCCCATCTGACTTGATCTCCATATCCCCATACATGTTGTCGCCGGAGACGACGGTAGGCACTGGCGCCGTTGCCAGCCACCGGTCGTTGGCGCCAACTTCGGGCACAGAGGTTTCTTCGACGGCGTCCGGCATCTCCTCCTCATTCCCAGAATTCGCATCGGGAGTGGTCTCCTTGCTTCCGGATGCATTGCTGCCCTCCTTGTGATTGCGTGATTTGCTTCCGTTGCGGTCGGGGTCAATGACGGCGCGCAGTAGGTTCGTCTTCCCTCTGCGGCGACCTGACCGTCCGTTGGGCAGCTCGGCAGGTGCTACATCTTCCCCATCCTCATCGCCAGATTCTCGGTCGATGCCCGCGAGCTTTTCAGAGACCTTGTCCTCCGGGAGATCGAAGAATTGTGGGATAAACTCCTCAAAGAAGTCCTGGATACGCTCTCTCTCGTTGGCACCATGTTGTCCACTGTTCGTGGCGTACAGGAACATGAATCTCAACAGATCAAGGAGAACATCCTTATCCTCAAAGTTCCACAAGTACTGATAGCGGTCAGTTTTGGTGCGAGCCGACTTCGAGCGTTTCTGTTCCTCATGCTTGGTCTTGATCATGTCGATTAGGTGTTTGGCCGAAAGATTGCGTTTGTCGTTAGACTTGACTGAGAGTCCCATGTGATCAAGAGATTTCAGGAACAGATTCTCCGTCTGCGTCTGCCAGACCTTCTCCCATTCTCGCTGCGAGAACCGCCACTCTTCATCTTTCTGCTTGAGCCGGGCCAGAACGACAGGGACGACGCTGAAGGGGGTCGAGAACATGTCATTGACAGCCGCAGGTCCATGCTCCGGGCCATAGACCTTTTTCAGCACACGCCTGTAAATTGACTGGCTGTGACCGCCCAGTCCAGTGGGCATCCTGAAATTGACACGCTCGTGCGCAGGCATTGTCAACATCTGCTGCGCAATTGGCTCCAGAAGTTGGATGCATTTCTGGTTCGCCTCAATGTAGAAATCGTAGTCGTGACGCTCTTCCTCGATCCTGTGGAGGCCTTCCTCAAACGCGTTCTTTCTATGAGCAACGAATCCAGAATCCTCAGAGGCCCATGTAGGGTGAGACGCCCACTCGTCATTCAGGACTGAGCTGCAGAGGTCATCCCGCCCACTGCAGGGCTTGAGGCGTTCTCTCTTAGGTAGAAGGCGGTAGCTGGGGCCGTATCCACGACAGTTACTCAAGGAAATTCGGCCACTAGGAGGTGCGGGCCGATTGTCAACGATCTGGTCATCGCCGCTATACAAGACGAACGATTTGAACCAGGCGAAAAGTTCGGCGTGACCGCCGATGAACTGGGCAGCCTTGCTCGTCAGTACATCCTTGTCAATCAGGTCCTGTGTGTACATGTTGCAGAGCTTCAGGAATTCCGAGTTCGCCGTCTTGTTGTTAAGGTATTTCTTGACTCTGTCGAAGAATCCAATCTCATCAGCTGCGGCGACGGCATAAGGCGTTGGAGCGAGCGGCTCCGGCATGACGGGCGTCAGAGTGGGCTCTATCGTTATGCCATCTGCCGCGCCCGGCTTGAGATGACTGGTCTTGAGCCTCTTGTTCCCAGTCGATGGGGCGCCGCGCACGTTTGACAGTGGAGGATCTGCCATTGGTGTCGCCGGTCCGGTCTGTTTGTCTGATCTGGCACGCTTCTTGCCCTCTTTACTGGCGCTCGCTGGAGGCGCAAAGTTGCCGACTGGCGGGCCTTTGGGTCCGTCGCGCGCCATATGTCCAGGCTGAGGCGTCTGCTGGAGGTGAGGGAGGTTGAGGGCGTCTTCGGGGCGCTGACCTGCTCCTCGTGTCTGCGCTGCGGACTCGGGCAAGAACTGCTTGAAATCCTCGAGCAAATCTGGTGCCGCGTTGAAGAGAGTCGTGACTTGCGCGTAAACATCCTGAATCGGCTTCTGCTCACGCTGATAGGTCTGTAGAATCTCGAGGAACTGTTTGTAGATTTCAGGCTTGTCTTGAAAACGGTTCTGGAGAGACGCTAAGTTAGCAGATGTGTGCATCCAGGACATAAGTTCATCTGTTGGCGCTGGGTGGCCAATGCAGCTTGCCAAATCTTTGCGTTGCAAACGCAAAACAGTTTACAAGCGGCCAGAATAGTATCACTCACCTTGATCTTATTGACATAGCTGATGGCATGGTTGAATTCAACCGGTCCCCGCTTCTCTAAATTTCCCTGTTGTTGAGCCGCAACTCCGTTCAAAGCCTGCACGGCCGCCGGAGTAGGAGTGTGTGCATTTCGAGCAATGGGAGGGTGAGCTGCCGCCGAGCTGCCCTGTGCCGCTGGTTGACTTCGTTGCTGAATGGGGCTGTGACCGTCAAAGGGTGGACCGTGACCAGGCCCCTGAGCCATGGGACCGTGTGCGCCGGGAGCCGGCGTGCTGAACTGAGCTTCTGGGCTCTCGATGCTGTGGTGGACGGGCCCTTGCCAGTTCGCTGGGCGCTGCTGGTCTACGAATCGCTGGCTCGGAGCGGAGGATGGAGCTGGCACAGCCTCTGCCTGGATCCTCGGGCCTGGGCCGATGGAGTGGATGGTCGAGCCGGACGGCGTGGTTACTCGGATGCTGTTGGGGTTGTTTTCAAGGCCACATTCAATCCTATAGCCTGGTGGCAGGAAAGTATTAAACCCTTGAATGAGGTTGGGATGGCCAGCAAATAGCTCAGAGACTCGAGCAATGACACCAGGAGTATCGATGCTTTTTATGGTATGTCAGCATGTCCTCAGCTTGCTACCATGTACAGCTAGAACTCACGTCTGGCTCTTGAAGTCCTTCATGATGTCTAAGAACCTGTTGTATACATCGGGCTGTTCAGAGAACTGCACTTTGACCTGGTCAAGGTAGCTCAGGGCGTCCTGTGGGAGGCAGGCATCAGCAACAGCACACTAGGTCAGGCAGCCTCTCAAAGAGACCTGGCCTGGTGTTTCTATATACTCAATACTTCAATGAGAGCTCACATTAAGTATGGGCTGTTGTCCCTGATTCATTGCACCGGGCGCTGGACCTATCGTACTGCCTGCAGGCATGGAGCCGCCGCCGAATGGCATGGGCTGAGGGGGGCCACCACGACCCCCTTCAGCTTGTAGAGGCGGGCCGAACACAGCACCCGGACCGTTGGGGGTGCCGACTGCACCATTCGGAGGCATCGGGCCATGCGGTCCCTGAGCGAACATGGCGTGTTGCGCTGATGCAACACCGTTTTGACCACCGTGGGGGCCTTGTCTGCTGGCCTCGCCATGAATGGGCCCGACAGGACCACCTGGCCCAGGTGGTGCGCCGAGCGGAATGTTTGATGAAGATGCTCCATGGCTTGCGAGCAGCCCACCTGGACTGTGTATTGTGCCGGGAAATCGATTCGCGACGGGTTGGTGGATCGGGAGCGACGCAGCGTTGCTGTGATGGGGCGCGTTCGGCTGGTACGACTCTCGAGGACGGTCACCAGCAACCTCGCGTTGGTCTCTGTCTCTATCTCGCTCCATTTTGATGGCGTCCTCGTGGGCGCGATGCCTTTGTTCGTCCATTTGGACGAGTATGTAGGTGTGCGCTCGCTCTCGAGGATATTCTTAGGGGGTGTGGAAGGGGAAGGTTATGCTGGACTTTTCTTCGACAAATGCTGGACCTCAACGAGACTGGGACATGTCAGCTTGTTCACCCAAGATCCACTGTCACAAATCAGAGAATATATTCACAGTGCAGTCAACATAATAGGGGGCTTTCACTTGCAGCCAGCAATGATGAGTGTGCACTGAGGAAATGATTGGTCATGGGCTTGGGTGACGAATAACAATCGACGCAAACAAGTGCGCAGGGGAAAGAATTGAAGGGGAACACGCTGCACCTACCAACACAGGCAAAAATGGTTGTTGAGAACAGAAAAAATGCATTAGTGGTTGATACAATGGAGGATGAAACGAAGAACAGAATTTGTATGAATCTGAACAGCGCTTGAGGAGGTTGAAGATTGCAAGTTCCTGAAGCTGTAAAGAAGAGGAGGAACAGAAGATCGACAACCTTGGGGCAAGCAAGCATCGGCTTTGGCTTGGCTATTCTGGAGGGGGCTGGATAAGATAAGAGAACTTCAATGTAGTCAGCAACACTGGAAGTGGGTAATGCATACAAATTACCACTACAGAGTCTCCAAAATTGATAGTGATTACAATGACGGCTGGATTCACAGTGGCTGACTCCCTGCATCAGCAAACGATAATTCTGCCTGCCCTGAACTTGCAGCTCATCCGAGCACGGAATAACTTCTGTTGCCGTTCCAGAAATCTGGTTTCAAAATGTGATGGTAGATGTTATGTCTTTGCATACAGTTTATACCCAGGCTCAGGAACAGTATAATTTTCCTCTGAGCTAGGACTAGAAAGGACTTTTTGATGACATTTTCTGAACCATTACCAATTTTTTTGTTCCACAAATTAAGAATCATTCATTTTCTTTGTGCTTCTTTATTGACCTGAAAGCTGGAGAAGAACCAACGTGGAGGGATCTACAATGAGGAAATGAGAACTCGCCACTATGGTGACTCCTGTTTATGGAACCATCAAATGGAAAAGCTTTCAGGCACTGAGAATATTATCCTAAGCACCAGACTTGACCCAATTCTACCATCTAAAACATTTCATGGCAGTGACCGGGCACACCAGGTGCTAATTACAACCTGCAAGTGTGAGGGGGCCATGTAGATACCACAGATAGCTATGGAGGAATTGCCTGGTGCCAACCACGTCCACCAAGAATAATGTCTTACCAGCATTCCTGACTGCACCATATCAACACCTGTCCAGCAGTTACACTTTATAATTGCGAACTCGAGTTTCTTATTGTGTATATGCTATCCATCGTACCTATTCAAAACGAAACAAGCATCATCTATGAGGAGTAGTTGCGAACGCCCTTCAATATCCACTGCAGAAACCAAGAATTAGCATCCACAAGTGACTATGGCATGATGCTGAAAGCTGAACTGAACTCTTGCTAAATCCACGGGAGGTTTTCAAAGGATACTCACAACTTGACCGTTTTGGACGGAGCTCGCAACACTGTCCACCTCAATATTACCCGGTTGCATCTGTCATGTTGTCAGTCAATCTTCCCTGCTACCACCCAGCTTCAATCGCATGAGATCACTGACCACCTTTGTGCCATCTTTATTCTCCCACCACAGCTCCTCCTCCCCACTCATCGCCTTGACCTTCTCTCCCTCCTTCCACGGATTCACCGGTACCACATGCGCCTCCACAAATCGCCGGATATTCCTCTGCGCCCTCTCCCACCCCTCATCCCCCTCATACGCCTGCGCCCCTAGCTTGTCGTACTCCTCAGGGTCCTCCCACGGCTTGCGCGGCAACTTCTCCATCGCGCTGTTCAGCGGCGCAAGGACGGTTGAGTTCTGGCCTTCGTCGTCCAGCCGTCGCGAGACGCCCTCGACATCCCGCACCAGGCCCGCAAAGATGTTGATCGACCTGTCACGGCCCATTACATCAGACAGTATCACGGTGCCAGGGCCGCCGGCGGGCGGACCATCTTGAGGGGCTCCAGATGGAGGCATCGCGAGGCCCGGAGTATCGAGGATGGGGCGTTGAGCGTGGACGTCGTCAGTGCGGAGGGAGGGAGTGTCGGCACGCTGGAGGCGGGCCTTGAGCGGAGCGAGGGTGTATGCGGTGACGGCGCAAGGTAGCAGGACAGCAACGACAGCTGGCCTCATGGTCGCGATAGGGCCTAAGGATTCATGGAGTAGGTGACGATGTTTGTTGTGGCGTAACACGATGAGTTGGTCGACGGTGACAGCGATAAGGGTCTAGGATGACGTAGCCGTTGCTGATAAGGCGAACCTGAACCCTGCAGACGTCCGATGCTCTAGGTCTACTGTAAGTACTGTTAAGTGCTTCACTTACCACCTCACTCACAACAACAACTTGTTTCAAGAAGTACAACAATTCTGCCTTGATTTGCAGAGATACAGGTGCTCATCTACTATGGCCTTCATTAGGCATATATCACAGTTTCATGTTCCTACCGGAGAAAGACGGGACGCAAGAGAATCGACGGCCTAGATCGAGTTAATACGTGCATTTATGAAGGCACAAGATCTGTACAGTAATCCAGCACTGCTAGACAGCAGCCACGTCTACAAAAACATGCTTCAATCAAAGCCTGGAATGCTTTTTTCTTATTCAAGTACCACATTTCGGCGTCTCAAGAAATCATTGTTATCACCCGCACAGCTCATTGTCTCGCGTCTCCCAACTCCCGGTGGGGCAAAATGCTTTAATACAAATGCAGAGGTTACGAACTTTGGATTGCCTCAAGGCGAACATCACAAGTTGATGCAGCGCCAATTGCCACTGCTATCTACCGCTAAATTTGGCGCTCCGGGAAATTCAGCCATGAGCACAGCAGAGCCGCAGTAAATTCGGCTTACGAGCCCCCAGCTTTATCCCATATTTAACCTAGATTCAAAGGCTCACCGACCTCAATCCGATGATAAAGCAAGCTTGAAGTCCCCGCGTACACGGTACTACGGAGGTGAACGGCAACCGCGCATGAACGCAGTTCACAACAACTCATGAGCCCTAATGTCTACAAAAGTGCAGTTCGGCTGGCTTCGCCACATCTATTTGTAAATTTATCTTCCATTGCTGTCCTCACAATTTTGGGAGCCAGTCCTAGGAGTCAGAATAAGCTCGACTCAAGGTCACCTGGTAGGTATGTGCATAGCCGAAGACGCTAGAAGAAGCCAAGGCCCTATCGAATGTATCAGGGCGTGAGCAGCTGGCTCCGCTGGACGCGTAAACGCCGCAAAACTGAGAAATATCGACAACGGTATGATTTAGCAAAACTTCTTCCATGACAGAAGGAAGCCTGGAGCAACAAGTTCCAACAAATGACCCTAACGACCCCCCACTCATGGGAGAGCAGAAGCTGTTTCTGATATCTCCTGGCCGATTAGGCTGGCCTGGAAGAGGTGAGGTTGATGCACTTATCTATGCTACCAGCGAAGCGAATTTATGGGCCATATTGGCTGAACAGATCTTGAAGTCCAAGTTGATTGTCTCCGGTCCAGAGGGTGTAGGAAAGCAGCGGTCCTGATATTGAGTTAGCAGATCACAGGGACCTTTACCTTTGGCGAGGACAGCATACCTTTCGGAGTCAATTATATGGCTGAGTCAGCCGGAAATTGATGTTCATTGAAAGGGAGATTGTACCACAGGAAATCAAATGCAAAATCCGGCCTTGGAGTACGTTGGCGGCTTTCACATGCCGAAAGCATACCCAATGCCAGGCTCGCCGGGTGGTGCAGCCAATCATCGAAATAATTATAACAAAAACATGTCTTTCAGTTCTGCGGCAGTTTCAGACGACACTCATCAGCAGGTTCATTGACGCGACCGCTGTCCCTGAGCCCCCCGGTTCTTTGGGAGCCCGGCTCGACTCGCTGACATGTGAAAGTTGACGCAGCGTAGCAAGCCAACTGACCGTGCGATCAGCTCGACGACAGTGAAAGAACCTGGCAATAGGGAACGTCAAGGATTCTTGAAAGATGATGAAGCCGTCACAATTGAGAATCATTCCAGATTGTCGTCTTTCTTCGCGTTGAACCCCCCCCTTTATCTCATCTTCTTTTTCCCCGGATTCGGATGCACTGAAGGAAGTACTGAATCCCCACGGTCAGCAGTATGAAGGGGTATCCTGACATAATTACAGAGTGATGCTTCTCGCTAGTAGAGCGGAGTCAGTGGAAGCCGCCGCCCATCCCCCACAGTAGTGGTATCCTCCCCCACACTCTAACGAAGGAGCCCACTGAGCCTCGGCAACTTCTCCTCCGGCCGTGGACGCTGACCAGCAGACGAGGTGGGTCTACACCAGTAACTGTTGTCGCAGTAGCAACAGTACCCACACACGCCATTTTGGTCAAATTCGCCGCGAGTTCCCCCAAAAGAACATGACCATCTTGGTCACTATCGTCAGTGACGCCGCCGAGTTGTTCTCCGCTCAGCAGGTGTTCGAAGACTGGTTAGACGAGACGGGTGAAAAGCATGATGCCTCCTCTCATGTTCTTGGCCATCTGTATTTTGTGCCGTACAAAGACGCAGATCAACAACTCAGTCCGAGCATGGAAGGCGGTTAAGGAGGTTGCTATAGTGCCCTGCTAAATCCCCGGCCAATGATCCTTGCTAGGTGGCCAACCTCGGCAAATCAGCGTGTCAGCAATGGAAATCGGCCCAGAAGAGTCTGGGGAAGGAGCCAGAGCCAAGCAGCGAGCAGACCCGCTGCCACGAACGTTCTTGTACAATGAGCATATGATTTCCGTCTTTTCCACATTCCCAACCTTTTTCTTCTTCGTCACCACTCAAATTCCTTGACCGTACGCACTCCCTCTGGTCAAAATCCTTCCTTTCCCTCTTCTCTCATCATACATACGGCATTCATTCATCATGGCACCAAGAGTGATCGTTGTTGGTGGCGGCTGTAGGTCTCAACGCTTTCCCCAGCTGTGTGTGTGAGCCGCAGCAGCGACTTTGATCACATGCCACCGTCGCCGTCTCACCATCTACAGACCACCCGTACTGACCCAACATCAATAGTGTCGGGTTTGAGCGCAGCGCATACCATCTACCTGGCTGGTGGAAATGTCGTCGTTCTCGATAAGCAAGGTAAGGACAAGCCCATTTTCTGGCGGAGTCATACTATCTGGTGACTGTCGCATGATCTAACCCGAGCTCCCGCTTTTTTGACAGGCTTCTTCGGTGGCAACTCCACAAAGGCGACCTCCGGCATCAACGGTGCCCTGACGAGGACACAGGTTGACCTCGGCATCCAGGACAGCGTCAAACAATTTTACGAAGACACCTACAAGTCTGCCAGAGACAAGGTCAGGCCAGAACTCGTCAAGGTCCTGACCTACAAGTCTGCCGCCGCTGTAGAGTGGCTGCAGGATGTCTTCAACCTGGATCTCACCCTTGTTTCACGGCTAGGGTAAGTAGACCGACTACGGCCTTGCATCATTATGTGTCGGTAAGCTGATCATTTCTCGCAGAGGTCACTCCCAGCCACGAACCCACAGAGGTCACGATGCCAAGTTCCCCGGCATGGCCATCACATATGCTCTCATGCAGAGGCTTGAGGAGCTTGCCGAGACTGAGCCCGACCGGGTCGAGATCATCAAGAAGGCCCGCGTCACAAACCTGAACAAAGACGGCAACACCATTACTGGTGTGACATATGAGTTCAATGGGGAGGAGCTTAGCCTGGACGGTCCTGTTGTGCTGGCCACGGGTGGCTATGCCGCGGACTTCAGCGAGACGTCTCTGCTGAAGAAGCATAGGCCCGACACCTTTGGCCTGGCGACCACCAACGGTGCTCACGCCACTGGTGACGGTCAGAAGATGGTCATGGCCATCGGCGGAAACGGAATCGATATGGAATCCGTCCAGGTCCACCCCACTGGTCTGGTAGACCCCAAGGATCCCGGCTCCAAGTGGAAGTTCTTGGCCGCCGAGGCCCTGCGTGGTGAGGGCGGTCTCCTGTTGAACAGCGATGGTGACCGGTTCTGTGATGAGCTGGGCCACAGAGACTACGTCTCCGGCATGATGTGGAAGGAGAAGGAGAAGGGCAAGTGGCCCATCCGGCTCTGCCTCAACTCCAAGGCTTCCAACACTCTCGACTTCCACACCCGCCACTACTCCGGTCGCGGTCTCATGAAAAAGATGACCGGCAAGGACCTGGCCCAGCAGATTGGCTGCTCCCCAGATCACCTGCAGAAAACCTTCCAAACCTACAATGCCATTGCGGAGGGCAAGCAGAAGGACCCATGGGGCAAGAAGTTCTTCCACAACATGCCTGTTGACGTGAACGATGACTTCCATGTCTCTGTTATGGAGCCCGTGCTCCACTTCACCATGGGTGGTATCGAGATCAATGACAAGGCCCAGGTTCTCAACAGCGAGAAGAAGCCGTTCGACGGTCTCTTCGCCTGTGGTGAGCTTGCTGGTGGTGTGCACGGTGCCAACCGTCTTGGTGGCTCGTCCCTGCTTGGCTGTGTCGTCTACGGTCGCGTCGCTGGTGACACCTCCAGCAACTACCTGTTCCAGCAGGCGCTCAAGGGCGCTGGCACTCCCGCCTCCCGTCTGGGCCAGATCTCCCTACATCTCGACCCCGCCGCCGGTCGCGTGACTCTCGACTGGGGTCAGAGCGGCTCTGGCTCAGGTGCCTCTGCCAGTGCTGGTGTGACGCCGCAGGCCAGCACATCTGCTGCCGGCCCCTCACCCAAGGATGGTGGCAAGGATGCCTCCAAACCTAACAACCCCAAGGAATTCAAGGTGCCTGAGACGGAGTACACCCTGGAGGAGGTTGCCAAGCACAACAAGAAGGATGACCTGTGGGTCGTTGTCAAGGGCTGCGTGATGGACTTGACCAACTGGCTGGACGAGCACCCTGGCGGTCCCCAGGCCATCATGAACTTCATGGGCCGGGATGCCACGGAGGAGTTCGAGATGTTGCATGATGATGAGGTCATCCCCAAGTATGCGCCACAGCAGGTCATTGGCAGGGTAAAAGGACAGACCCCTAGCTTGGAGCTGTAGAGGGGCTGTTGCGCCAGGAAAGCGAGAAATGGTTAACAGACATATTCTCTGGGACGAGAACATTTGTAAACAATGTAGACCACCAGCATTGCCTGTTGAGCAACTAAAGATGACATCTAGTCTGATAGGCACGGCCACTTCGTTTGGACATCGATTCAGCATGGGCTGTGGCAACGAGAAATGAAGGGGAAAGAAGATGGTGTCTTTTTTATGTTTGATGGATATGATTGAGATGGTATTTTTCTTTTCAGGTCGTATAATCATCTTGTATTCATATCCTCTGTGCCCTCATTACCAAACTTCTCGTCCGTCCTTTTGCTTAATGTTGTCCCGAGCTAGCCACAGAACGTCAACTTTGCCAACTTTCCAAACAATACTCAACACATGTACGACATCCTATCCACGGATCTGACACACGATCAATACCAGCGTTGTCAGGCTATACCACACAATCGGGGACACACGCTGGATCACTCGGGTCTTTCCTTAATAATCGCTTTCTCTTCTCCCATGTACTGATGCTCGGCCTACCAGCCATTATGTAGACTGCCCTCGCCCGGCCTTCCGACACACGCAAGTCATCAGCGTATCAATCATGCAGCATGTATTCCCTGGACTCTCCGGGATGAGTTGAGGATAGCCGTGGTCCACGAAGGCGATGGGACGAACTCGAGCCGGGTCACTCATCGTCTTTGAAGGATGCCATAAATGTGTACAAGATAGGCCTGTCGACCGAGGGATGCTGAAGCCTAGATGCAGGCGCGACGCTCACAGGTTGCAGATAGACGTCCTTATTGAGTTGCTCGGCGGACTAAAATGTGTCATACACCTGTGCCATACACCTGTGCCCTCTTAACTGCTTCCCACTTCTTGGACTACCATAACAGTCCATCCACTCATGGCGGCTTTTCCCAAGTGCTGGGTTCTGAGCGGAGACTGGTGCTTGGTCCAGTGTTTGGATGAATAAACAAGAACTACAAGAACTGTGGGCGGAAAAGAAATCAGTCTGGTGACACTGGCCACCACCGCGAGCAAGGTGAAACCACGGTGCATGCTAGCTACAGAGAGGCCACGCTGGAGCTGCGAGTACTCCACGAGTAAGCCCAAAAACGATGCGTGATTTTAACAAGCCAAGAAGGTGACACGAGGGCCGGGCTCATAGACCAGAGATCTCCAGCCGAGCGAGTGACGCACAGTGGGATGATGTTGGGATTTCTGTCGGACGGAGCAGCGACGTAAATTTCTCAGCTCGCCAAGATCAAGGGTAGCCTAGTTGTCGCTGCGGCGTTTGGGAGCGCGCAAGGCTGAGAGAGGAATTGTTCTGGTAGCCATCTATCCATTCACACGTCTCCCTTTGCCACCTGGTTTATTTCTTTTCTTCTTGTTGCTCTTTGCTCACCAATTCGACCTGCCGTTCGGTTGTTGGTCATGGTTGCGTAGTCGTGTTGTCGCGGCTGGCCCCGGGAGACTCAGCATCGTGTAACAAGTTGAGGATCGACGATTCAGTGCGACAGAAGCCTCCGAGAAGCCAGGGATGATCTCTGTTCTTGTCTGTTAGACTGTGCCACCACTTTCATCATTCTATCCATCATGGTGATTCCTCCCTCCATGCCTTTCCCACTCTCTCTTTTTCTTTGCCCCCACGCCTTGTCTTGAGCCCACTCCGACGGCGTCAGGCTTTCGAGGCTTGTCATACTCTGGGCTGAGCAGATCGCCTCACCAAGTTTCCCCTTCTTCTCTTCAGGCGGCGGCACGTTGTGCGACGTTGCAGCAGCTGGCTGGAGGGCGTAGCACCAGGTAAGCAAGCCCCTTGGCGTCCGTATGCCAAAAAAGACTGCCACGACTTGTGGGTTGTGACACCGTCAACAGCCACTTGTGTCAACAGAGTCCAGCAGACACGCTCATAATGAAATCAGCCAAGCATGAGGGGACAAGGCAGTCCCTTCGAGAACCCAGGGCGGCGGTGGTACCCCAAAAAGCGTCAGATATGCCGCAGCCAACATACGACTACCCACGCTTCAAGTACACGAAAAGCTTGCCATGACCAAGGGCTTGGCCTTGGCCTTGTCCGTCTTTGCATGATGCATGGCGCTTGGCTAGAAGAGCGGTATGGCAAGGGGATGACATGGAGGGGTAAGATCATCTTGCCATTTTTTCGGTCGTACCGATATCAATCGGCGACAGCACAGGGAAAACGACAGCCACCCTACCCTATGCGGGATACGACAAATGCAAAAAGTGAGACTGCGACATGCGGGCCACTAGGCTAAGGGAAGAGGGTTGGTGATTCGCACGGAGTCCTCGCACATGTTCAGATGATGAGTTTGGGATTATGGTGGCAAGGCTACGGCCGAGCCTGTGTTTCCTCTTCCTGATGTCTAGAGAATCATTTGCAACACAGCTCAACAGAAGGCTTCCAACCTATCACATACCATGCGAATTTATCCTCATTATGACAAAGAGAATCTACCACATAGAGGGGGCAATGACACTGTTATATAGCGGTCAACGTCAAAACAAGAATAACGCCCTTACCAAGATATGAAGCCGGGTCGATGACTTGCCATGCGTAAGTCCAAGGCTCGCGTACTAATGTATCTTCCCTCCGCCTCCCAGCGTCTGGGGTTTCGATACTCAGTCATCGAAGTGCAGCATTTGATACAATAACTTTCCCGTGCGCCCCCACCGGCTCAACTGATTGGTGTTGGCGAAGAAGGGGAACCACCAACTAGAATAAGATTCTTAGCCACGAGCAGGGGGCAGGACAGTCATCTCACTCAAGAAACTGACTGCCTGACCGTCTACCAGCCGCTGGGTTGGCAATTGGCCATCCCTCAGCATCAAGAACCTGTTGGCGCCAGTAGAGCTCGGAGGGCAAGCTTTAGGCCAGCCAGCATCCCATGCAGTCCTCTCTCAACCAGGAAGGCGCGCTCACCCCCTAGCCCCCAGCCTCCCCGTCCCCCCACCACGACAGGCTGCAGGTCGCTTGACATGTGAGAGTTGCTACTTGTCAGGGAAGAACAGCGAGGAAAAATCCACCAGATGAGGGTCCTTCTGCCAGACCGTTCTCTACCTTACTACACACCCCTGACCAAGCGGCAAAAAGAGAGGTACGAAAGAGTACTGTAGGCCCGTCACATCGACCAGCTCTTGCCAATCATAGACGCACCCGGAGCCTGGAGGAAGGCCTCAACATGGGGCATGCTGCAGACGGACAAACTTGTTAGCCGAGTGGTTTCAGGTAACACATGGGGTCTGCGCATTCGATGATGCTTGCAGGCAACTGTACTGTCCACACCAAGACCCCGGTGGAGGAGGTGCGCCCAGCGGCATATGATGTGACCACTTCTTGCAGATGCGTGATAGGTAGCCGGACTCCTCCTCTGGGCTGCAGCCAAGTCTGAGGCGCTCTCGGGGTGGTCAGACAAAGACGGTATGCTCCGAAGGTTTGTCACATCGTTTCGAAGGGCCTGCTTCGTCTGCTGCTTTGAGGCTCTTCTTCAGTGGAGAAAGCGAGACATAGAGGGTATAGAGAGAGAGAGAGAGAGAGAGAGAGAGAGAGAGAGAGAGAGAGAGAGAGAGAGAGCTTCTCGCACGTGTGTGGTCAGAAAAGCTCTTTAGGGGAGGAAACAGATTGCGGTTGCTTCCTGGGGCCAGGCACCACACACGGCTAGGCCAAGGCTGTCACCGAGCGGCGCAGCTCCGCGCGCTGGACGAGGGAATTGCAAATAAAGGATTCGTGGCGCTAAACCTCGTCGAGCGGGTGGATCAGGTCGGGGAAGACGCGAAGGATTGCGGGATGCTCACTCTCGCTCGACATGTTCCTTGCTGGGTCCTGTGGCCAAGGACCCCAAACCGTCTGGAGAACCATACTATGTATCATGATAAGATTTGCGCAACTGGTAAGCGAAACTTTCCATGATCATATGAGGAGACTCTCTACCCTTGGCAAGGGTTGGTCCCGGGTGGTCGAGGTCCGATTCCGGTGCCAGGTTCTTCAGATTCTTCTTGACCCTGCGCCGCAGTCCAAGAAAAGGATTGGGTTGCGCAATATCTGGCTGCACGAAAGCGTACAAACCCACAAGGCCGATGATGTGTGCCCGAGTGTTTATCTGACTGAGATCGTTCGGGACACCATTAAAGAGAGAACCAGCTTCTCTCGGAACAACGGGAAGGTTGGATCCATCGCGCTCAACGGGCCTCTTAGACGAGGCTGGTGAAGATCACCGTGAAGGTGGGTGCGGAGGTTCTGAAGACTCCGGCCAAATCCGGGGTAAACTAGCCCACCACCCAGTGCGCACGGGAGGGTTCTGAAGTGCTTCGCACCGTATACGCCGGCTTAATCTTGTTCAATGCAGGTGTCATACCACTACCCTCCCTCCTCCTGCTGCTCCTGCTCCTCTTCTCTTCTTGGCCTCTTTATAAAGAGAGACTCGCAAAGAGAATTAGAGGACTTGGACTCCATCTCGATGCCGCGGTAAGGGGTGTCCAAGCATGGAGCTCAAGGAGCGAGAAGCGATAGCCTGTCGTTCGCCAGGGCCCCTGTCACGAGCTTTTTTTGGTCGCAAGCTGCATCGAGGCTGCCAAGGATGTCGAGCGCTGTACCACAGTATCGCTGACTCGCTGCCATGGCTGGGAGGAGAAGAAGACTCTGCAAATGTCGCCGGAAAGAGAAAAAGATGGATCAGGAGTGCAGTGATGACTTTTTGTCGGCCGCACATCACGTCTCTTGTCTCTGTATGTGTGTGGGAAACCGCTTGAATGCCCGTCGAGTGGTGGTAATGTGATCTGTAGCCTGCAGAGCAGCCACCACAATCATTTCTGTGGAGCATCTACCCCCTCCCCCCCGGTTAATTTAACTTTCCCCAGACGACTTGTCAACCACATGTGCAGTCTCGTTGCATTCAGGTGATCCAGGAGGCGTGCATGGCGTCCTTGAAAGGGCAGGCAATGTCACCGTATCAACAGAAGACCAGAAGAAGAAATAGGGGAAAAAAAGTCCCCCACGCAGGACTCGACTCGAGACTAGCCTATCGAGTCTAGCTCAACACGCAAAAGTCTGGGGCCCTCTGTGCTTTTGTCCACTAAGCAACACGACTTCTAGACAATCTTGGTGTCAGCGGAGGACAACTTGCTCGTACACACACACACACGAGAGTACGCGCAATTCGACAAAGGACAGTGACAGTGCAATCAGATGCGATGCACCGTGATATATCGGAGGGGAAAGGTACAAAGGAACAGCCTCAAAGTGAGGGCGGGGAGGGAAGAGGGGCCAAGGGGAGGATGCGGGGAAGACAGTGTGGCTTACTTAGGTGCTGGCATACCGCAGGACTGGTAGCCCAGCGCCCTACTACCACCACCATAATTTAAGTATTCACTACGTACCATGCCCTGCATGCCCATGGAGAGCGGACGACTGGAACTCCATGTCTCAAACGGTTCGACTCTAAATCCCGCGGGACGATCATCCCTGGATGGCCCAGCCAAGCTATTGCTCTTCATCAGAAGATGGGAGCGATCCTGAAGACTGTTGCAAATGGGATAATAAGAATGAAAAGTACTCTTTCATGTACAGAAAAGCAATCAAGTCATCATGGCCCAGCAATGTACCAATTTTTATTTTTATTTTTTGATAGTACATAGTGTGTGATCACAGTGCAAGTCAGCTCGAGATGAACATCGCATGGAGGAAAGGAGCGCGCTGGCTGGAGACGGGGGACTTTGATCTAGGAGGTGGAGGTCAGCGCCTGAGTGGTCACTAAGGGAAAGTGCTCAACATACCGTAGGGGCCCCCCGGGGAGCAAGAAAAGGCACTGACCATATTACCATAGTGACACCAACACCCCCCGAATTAAACCTCCTAAACCTGGTCTCCCCCCTCTCCAGCGCCTCCTGCCAAAGATAAACCCGCTAGTTCACATTTGGGCCCAATCAGAACCTGAACCCCCAGGATGGGGCCAGCTGATCGCCCTTTTCCCCCATTGTAAACCCCATGCCCTCCTAGCTGTTTTTGTGCGAAGCCCTTGAACGCCGCCGCCGCCCACCCCCCTTGGCCCGGCATTTTCCATTTTCCATTGCGACCATACTATGTCCCATGTCCACTTCCACTTCCACTTCCGCTTCCCACCCCAGACCTTTCCTTTTGTCTCCATTCAGTCTTACTTGACCCAAAGTCTGAAAGATCCCTTCTCTACACTTGTCCCCCCGTCTCCATTCTTTTGTTCTCCATCTTATCTGACCTGACCTGACCTGGACACTACGTGCACACTGCTCCTGCACCCGTACCATCCGTCGTCAAGTCATCGCCCATTCCGCCCTCCAGTCCAGCCTGATCCCACCCACCAACAACCTCCACCCTATCCCAATCACTCCTTCTCCGGTTCCACTTCTCGTCAATCTCGTCTCATCGGTCCTCGAGCCACCCCTTCCCGCCTGGACCAACCTCCTGTTGGAACACCTGCTGCTACTGCTGCTGTGCTGCTGCGACGACTGTCCACGGCCATTGCTTCTGCAAATGGTCGTCCACGAGACCATAGGTCGAGTCTGCCGCCGACTACCAAGCCCACGATCCCTCGAGAGGAGACCCACCCACAGGCACACCGAGACGAGATCCCATCCAAAGAACGTGGCTTGACGGCCTCAACACTCTCACCATGGCGATTGCCATGGGCTGGCGAAAGCCAGACAACGTCGCCGGCTCTTCCGCCCCGGCCATCATGATCGGCATCTTCGTCGCATCCGGAGGTCTTTTGTTTGGTTATGATACAGGGTGAGGCCGACCTGCAGGGAACGCGCTCGTGTCCAAACGCGAGGAGCGAAGAGGTTTCTTCAGGCAGACAGGGTACTGACCTAGCCTTGCATGTACAGGACGATTAATGGCATCCTCGCGATGGCGGCTTTCAGGGACCAGTTCTCGACCGGATACAAAGTCCACAACGTTTCTGCGCTTACACCCTCCCAGACCGCCATCATCGTTGCGATTCTGAGCCTTGGGACGGTGTTAGGAGCCCTACTTGCCGCCCCTGTGGGCGACTACTTTGGAAGACGCAAGTCACTGATAGCTGCCGTCACCGTGTTCAACTTCGGATGCATATTCCAGGTCTGTGCGCAGGCGATACCGATGCTACTGGCTGGAAGGTAGGTCTCCTGGGCAGGAAGCTCATCACCAAGGTCCCCTGGAATGTCCGTTGTTGTGGATGAACAGGACACTGATATGTTCGTCGACAGATTCTTTGCTGGCGTCGGTGTGGGCGTGATATCTGTCCTTGTGCCCATCTACCAGGCTGAGATGGCACCCAAATGGATCAGAGGAACCCTCGTCTGCTTTTACCAACTGTCTATCACCGCTGGCCTGCTCACGGCCTCTGTCGTCAACATGCTCACCAATGAAATGGACGGTGCGGCCGCATACCGGATACCACTCGGCCTACAATTCACGTGGGCCGTTATACTCTCACTGGGTCTCTTTATCTTACCCGAAACACCTAGATTCCTTATCAAACGTGGACAGAAGGACGCTGCCGCCATCTCGCTGAGTCGCCTGCGTCGCCTGGACCGGCTGCATCCGGCACTGGTCGAGGAGCTGGCCGAGATTGAGGCGAACCACGAATACGAACTGGCCCTCGGGCCTGACACTTACAAGGACATCATCATGGGCACGCCGCATCTCGGACGGCGGACCCTGACAGGATGTGGTCTTCAGATGCTACAACAGCTGACGGGTGTCAATTTTATCATGTACTACGGCACCACTTTCTTCACCGGCGCTGGTATCTCGAATTCCTTCCTCATCAGCATGATCATCAACATCGTGAACTTCCTATCCACCTTTCCGGCCCTCCTCATCATTGAATCATGGGGCCGTCGGAAGGTCCTCATTGTCGGCGCCATTGCCATGGCTGTCTGTCAGCTGATTATCGCTACCTTCACTATCGCTGCCGGCGAGTCGATGAAGACCACGGCCCATCAGCTCCTCGTGGTTTTCATCTGCGTCGACATCTTCTTCTTCGCAGCATCGTGGGGCCCCGTCACCTGGGTCATCACCTCCGAAATCTACCCTCTCAAGGTCCGAGCCAAGTCAACCTCCGTGTCGACAGCATCCAACTGGTTGCTCAACTTTGGCATCTCGTACGGTACGCCCTATATGGTCGAGGAGGGTACAGGCTACGCCGACATGGGCACCCGAGTGTTCTTTGTCTGGGGTGCCTTCTGCGTTGTGGCTGCCTTCTTCGCCTGGGCCTTCGTGTATGAGACGAGCAAGATCAGTCTGGAGCAGATTGACGAGATGTATGAGCGGGTGTCGCAGGCGTGGAAGAGTGAACAATTCGAGCCCAGCTGGAGCTTCCAGCAGATGCGCGATCTGGGCTACTCAGACTCCGGAGTCGTGCCGCAAGAACAGGAGCTGGAGCCGACCTCATCACATTCTTCAGGGCCATCAGAGGCGGAAACGGATCAATCGTTAACAGCCATCAATTCTGCTTCGGAAGCGGAAAATAAAGCAATAACGTCTATGGGCCACGTCGACTTCAGTTACTAAGAGAGAAGAAGAGGGCGGCAATTTTCTACTTTCTTGCATAATCAGTCTGATTTTTTTTTTTCGATTTGTCACCATTTACATCACGTCTGGAACACCACCGTCGTTCGCTTTTACGGGAGGGGGTTCTTTTCTGGATGGCCGCCCACACTGCACGTCACGCAAAATGAGATACCAGCGTTGGAGTTCCTATTTGGGTGGATTGCGGAGTTCTTCTTTACTTGTTTTTGGGCAAGGGGCATGGGTCGTCACTTGATTTTTAATGATATCAAACTACTAAACATTCTGGGGTATGGATGTGGGCCTGACGGGTACCACATATGGTCCATCTATCTCTTCTCTGCACGACCTTCCTGCTGGAGAGCTTATACGTTTATTTTCAAGAAAAGGGAAGAGGAAAAAGGTGGAGGAACCAGAGAGGCTGACATTGGCCATTCAAACGGGCGAAGCATTCTACAATTGCATAAAGCCATGCGTGACAACGCGGCACATCTGCAACATGAATGAAAAAACCCAGTTGAGAATGACAGCCCCACACTGAAGACCACCGACTCCCCTAAAAAAGGAGAAAAAGTTTATGCCTTTTCTCGTGATTATTTGCATAATGCCAGCTTCTGCCTAAGCCTCGCAGACTCATTGTATTTCTGCGACGTCTCCCCATCCCCCATCCATGTCGTGCCATCTCAACCTGAGGAACTAGCGTCGGCGCCCATCCGCGGGCGAAAGGGACTCAGTCTCTCCCCCAGCCAAGTTTCAAAAAAATCAAAAAAAGCAGAAAAGAAAAAGAAGGTTAAAGCCCATGCATGCATGGAAACGTCCCAACGACGGGGCTGATACACATAAACACCCCTAACCCAGCATGAACTTTAAAAAAGAACCCGGGAGAGAAGTCTGTGTGTGTGTGTGAGAGAGAGAGAGGGGTTTTTTGGATGGACTAGGGCGTTTTGCACAAGGCCATGAGGGATGATGATTCATGGTGTGCCTAAAGTTCCCTACTGGGATGTGCCATTCGGGATCTACATTACTTGCTTGGTCTCACGATGCTGAAGGTAAATTTAGGTGTTCTCTGTTTGCATGGGGGATCGTGGTGTCTCCTAACTGACCGGCTTTGATTGGGGTGCATACTTTACATACTGCGAGCGTCGTGTGCTCTGAACACCACCCTCGACGAACTCGCATTCCTGTGTGCTTCAACCCCCCCGCCCCCCCCCGCCCCCCCAAAAAAAACATCACCTTCTACTTCAACAATTCACGGAAGTATGATCAACAATTTGAATCTACTCCTGGACTGCCAGGATTGTTCTGTAAAAGGGAGAAACAGGGTACAGTGTCTGATTTTCTGCTGTGTCTTTAAATCTATTGGGTATCTTTTGCTCTATGAGTGCGGGAAGACGAAGGAAGGACCAAGGAACTATCAACCATTGAACCCCTACCGCATTTCTTGTGTCTCTGCGCTCTGAAAATGCACTTTTTGAAGAATTCGAAAGGAGGAATGAAGGCACGAAAATAATGAAAAAAACAGTCGCTATGCCACACCAGACTCCCTCTCTCTTTACCCCTCAGCCCATTCCTTGAAACAAAAACAGAAAAGTCCTCTTCCAACACATGCGCCGTGCGTGTCCTCGCCGCCTCGACCTTACTCGCCCATATCCTTTCCTTTTTGAATGCTGAACATTGTTTTTAGAAGCTGAACAACCCACTCCTCCTCTTACCAAACGGATACACCAGCAGCGCCGCGAGGCTCAACCCCACGGAGATGCTGATGGCAACCTGTATGACACTACCCAGCACGCTGAAGGCACCGCTGCTGAGGTCGGAGGACCCGCTCGCGGCCTCGGCGGTGGTATTGCCTGTGATGGCATTGGCGGACAGCACGCCCGCGACCAGCGAACCGGCGGATGCGATGCCTGAGGGCACCTGCACGAAGATGGCCGGGAGCATCGCCGCCGCCGCAAGGCCGTAGCCCACGCGCCTCCCGTCAGGAGAGTCTGCGGGCTCAGCCTTCAGGGCGGCCTCCGGGTCGGTACGACGAGGGTTACGCAGGCCCTTGATGCGCGGCTGGAGATGTTTCTCCCAGAGATCGAGCCAGAAGTTTTCGGCATGGCGACTCACACGAGAGTAGCTGTGAATTGAAGGTCAGATTAAAAGCTTCCCCGGCAAGTGTAACGGACGGGGAATGGGCTTACATATTTGCTAGCACGCCGATTGTCAAGGCACCCAGCGTGTTCGACACAGTCGAGGAGTTGGTCGCCTTGTCCGTGAAGCTATTGACCACATAGCCCGCGAAAGAAATCATCAGCATGACAGGCATCTGCTTCACCTTGGCCTGGTTGATGATACAAAGGCACACGGTGAAGAGCGGTACGAAGAGCAGGTCCCAATAGCTGTTCAGCGGGTTCTCGCACGTTGTCTCGCTAACAGCGTTCTGGTCCATCAGCCCGTAGAGCGTCGCGCCGATGGTTACACCATACCCTAAGAACAGGGTGTAAATCATAGCGTAGACCATCCTCACGGAGCCGGCCACCATGTTGTGGCTCTGCAGCTCAAGACTGCCGCACAAGACCATATATCCAGGCAAGATGAGGGCGATAGACGACTGGGCGAGAGCGGAAAAGCAAAAGAGGCGCTCGCCGTGGTAGGTGATGGAGCCGAACATGCGGCCCAGGAAGGCCATGAGAAGAGAGGCGGAGATCTCAAAGACATTGGCGTAGAGCTCGCTGGACGGGGCGACAAAGAGCTGCATAACGCCCAGAATGCAGCCCATGACGAAGGCGATGGGCATGTCGATCCACCTACCCTCGAAGGCGAATGGCGCGACAGTGACGGCAGCGAGACCATAGACGAGCACACGGATGGTCTTGTTGTACTTCTGTTTCTTGTTGATGACGGCGTCGAGGCGGAACATGGCGTCGTCGACCGAGATGAGGTCGTGCACGACAAGTTTGTAAACTTCATGGACGTCGTGAAGCTTTCCAAGATCTACGCCCTGCGGGGTACGGACGATCTTGACCTCGGTGGTATGCGTCTCGGTGTCGTCGAAGGAGATGATCATGCAACCCGGGAGATAGAGGAACTGGCCCTCAATGCCCAGCACGCGGGCGGACATGGCCATGTACGCCTCCAGCCGGTGGGTTGGGGCACCGAACTCCATCAGGGCGCGGCACAGCTTGACAAGGTATCGGTGGCGGGAGATGATCACCGCGATGCTGCGTAGTGGGTCAGCAGAAAGCTTTGAATTGAGACCGATATGGAACAAAAAGCGGTCAGAGATTCGATGTGAGGGATGAAAGAGACTTACTGTTTGGTGACCAGGAGTTGTTGTGTCTTGGTGGACGACTTGGAAGTCTTCCGCCTGTGCCCCTTCTTGGGCTTCTCGCGTTCCTGTCTCACCTTGCTCGCGACGGCTTCAGACCAGTCCTTGCTTGTCCCGGCGGAAGCAGGGGCGACGAGAGTAGACGTTGAGCCGATCAGCTCGGCGAGCGTCGAGGCGGAGTGGCGGGAGCCGAGGCCAAACAGGCCACTGCGAGGTCGGGAGGGCGGATCTGGGACCCGTGGCGTTCCCGGTGTGGTGCTGGGCGGGGAGCTGCGCGGGGTCCGCAAGTCCGGAGTGGTGGTTCCGCTGTCGTGCCTGGCCTCCTCGTTGTTGTAAAGCTTGAGTAGGCTGCCGAGGATGCCGCCATGGTACTTGGCCGGCGCAGGAGGGACGTATTCAAGGTCGTATGCGACAGGAGTCGCCGGCCTGGAGCGAGTGTCTGGATCGGGGGTCTGCGGTACAGAGGTGGGCGCGAGGTTGTCACGTCTCCTTTGCGTGTGCTTCCGTACGAGCCTGTCCGCCTCCGTCTCCACCTTCTTACGGTATATGAGACCCTCCAAGTCCGTCTCGGCGCCTGAGGTGGCGGCACCTGTTGCCATCATCGACGCTCCATGCCAGTCGTGAGCACTGGTCTCGGGGAGCAGGCCGTCGTGTGCGTCGTCCCTGCTGTCAATGGAGTTCCTCCTGGACGCCAAGGCCGAGACGCTCTCGGCCAGCCGGCCTGCCCTGTATCTTGCCTCGATCTCGGACGGGTGTGATAGGCCCACGACGGGCTCGGCAGGGCTGGCTGGCCTGCTCTTGCGCAGGGCAGGGCGCGGACGTGGGAGGTGAAGCTCCGGGGGCCCAGAGTGGTCCTCCGGCTTAAGAATCTTCTCCAGGGCCTCGGTGAGCTCAGCACGGTCGAAGGAGTCACGGCGGGCAGCTGGTCCAGCACCCGGCGTGTTGTTGGCCGAATCACCACCGATCGGAACGTGGTCGAAATAATCATCGCCGGCCTCTCTTGGCGGTGACGGATCTCTCGCAAAACCGACCTTCTTCTTCTTTGCCTTGATAATCTCCTCGACCTCGTCTTTCGGAATGGTCACGGTGACGATAGGATGAGGTGAGCCCGATGGTCCGGCTCCTGGGCTTTCCGGACTAGAGGAAAAGTGGAGGGATGATCTGGACGACATGTTGCTGAGGGATATTGGGTCGCCTCCTCCAGGAGGTCGACCTGTGTAGTAGATTTGCGCTTTTCTGGAGAAAAGAAAGTGTTGTTGGCCAGCAGGAGATCTTCTTTCCGGCTCTCAATAAGAATAGAAGTATGTCTGCTGCAAAGGTGTGTGCGCACAGCGGGGGAAGGACCCAGTTTCTTGCGGCCTGAAACAGACGCTGAACAGAAATGAATGTCCTCTCGGGTATGGAGATGAGCGAATGAGCTAATCCGGGAGTCTCTTTTGTTTGGGTTTTTTTTAGACTTCCCTTGACGGAGCCCCCCTTCGAGTACGGACAAAGATTGCTAAATGGAGATCTCTGTGTTCTCCTCCTCGAGGTCTGGGGATGATGGATGATGATCGTCGTCCGCAAGTGGGCTGCCTTTTTAGAGAGAGGGGATGGTATTTATGACGCCAGCATATATGTGATCTGTCGAGAACGAGTGGGGACGGGAATGAGAATAGCAGATGCTGTATGAGTTTCGTGTTTTGGTCGGGCCGGATAGACGCAGACACGACGAGGTGACGCCAGGGACGCGCGAGGAGACAGGACAGACACAGAGAAACACAAGAGAGCGAGGATGCCCCAGTTTATCTGAGGAGGACGGGAAGAGAGGATCGCAATTGTGTCGAGGTCTAGGTCCTCTGAGAGATCGACAGATCCACAAATGCCCCCATCTGTCTTGTGTGTGATGAATCTTGCGGAGGTCGGGCGCAGGTCTGGCGTAAGTGACGTTGGCAGAGTCGACGGGGCCCGCCCACGAGAGAGGGTTGACCTTGGCAGGAAGAAGCCGACTGAGCAGGAGGAGGAGGGACTGGAGCCAAGCTGGTCGTTCCTTCCTCTTAACGAATTAGGCAAGACAGAGGCGGTGATTTTGGGAGATAATTAGGGGGGAGGGCTCTTCCTTTTTTTCTTCTCTTTGTTTTTGCCTTTTTTTCCCCCCTACTTCTTCCATCTCCCTCCCCTTTCTCCCCTCTCTCTTCACACGACATAGGCGGTACGTGGGTTGACAAGATCCTGCACTGGTTCTGCCGCAAACGTATTTTCAATTATTTTTTTTCTACCGAGTTTTTTGCCTCCTGACTGCCGTCGCGATCCGAAGAGAAAATTCCAGCTATCGCATCATGTCGCCTCTTTTTCTCCGAACATATCCGCATTAAGAAAAGACGAAACCCTGTCTCACAGCCCGAGTGTTCTTAAACCCGTATCTTTTGTATGGGCTGGGAGCGTCTAGGCTCGGAAAGTTGGGCCGAGTGGGGTCAGGCCGGACCAAGAGGGAGTGTAAGATGGAAGAGGGGGAGGAACAAAAAAAAAAAAAATAATGCCTATCTCTGGGTGTGTGAGAGGGCATGACGATGTAGTAAGGAAGTTACAGTGCAAGAGCCGCCATCGATCGTGCCAGAACTAAGCAGGGTATGCTGCAGGGAACCCCTGAAGAAGCACCGAGGGGGGCCCTTGGCGACAGTTGATACGCTCATGACAGCTCGAGAAGACGAGAGAAGAACAGGGTGACGGCGTGGGATGTTGGACACCTGGGAGCGGAGCCGCCGGAAGAGGTGTAGCCAGTCCCGCGCCACCGCTACCCATCGAATATGTTATGATAGGTACTTTTTATGATACCACAAGATATTCTCCCTCGTGTAAAACAATCAAAAAATACATAACAGAAACCCTGAAGGTCTGTCTACTGCATCAGTATCTCTGAGTGTCATCATTTGCATCAAAAATCATGCTACAATTGCGCTACTGTGTACTGCACTACAGTACATCCTATAGTAGTAGTGAACTATTATACATCGTAGACACAATTACCAGATCTAAGCACCGAGGCTTACGGTTGGATTCGTCACGTCCGGATCCGGCACCACGGAAGCTGAGCAGCATCTGCAGATCGCAAACCACTGTAGCGGCAGATGTCATGCAGATGCGTCGGAAAACCTTGTCCTCGACGAATCACGCCTCTTCTTTCCTTCTATTCGTTGCTTAATGGAACTTGGAGGGGGAACGAGCAAGGAGAAGCGGAGGACAAGAATAGAAGAAAAAAACACGGCACGCGCGGTATGACACAATTCTGGATGGATCACCTACTACAAATGTACAACAGAGTCATCGTCACACCAGGGTACCACCTGACGCGCAATACAATCCACGCCCGCACGCATGATAACGACGTAATGAGTTCCAATTGATACGATACGAACAGCACACATCATACTTCACACATCACACACACACACAGCCTCGCGAGTCGGTCGACGTTCACCCTGGCTTGGGGCTACTGCAGTGATTGGCATGGATAACTTACCACTTGGCGAGACACAGGCACCCACACACACACACACCTACCTTGCATCTTTTTTCCTCCTCCTTCTCCCTCTCCTTCCATTCCAATGAGCATCCCGTCAATCCCAATCCAACCCACGCCCGTACCCACTCCCTCTCTTCAGGTACATGTCACACTGACATGAACAAGCTCAGGGACCTGCCGACACACCGCGATCCCTTATCCCTGCCCCACCTTCCCGTCCCCCCTCCCTGGTCCAAGTCTATCGCGAGGTTGCCAATCAAATGCCCAATGCAGTATCCCGAACCTGCTCGTTTCGCCGCAGCCGCCCTGCCTCAATGTCCAACCAAGCCCTGCATGTGAACAACTACCATGACTGGCTCGTCGTCGATCTTTTTATCTTCTTTCTTCTTTATTTCCGGATCCATATGATAGGTGACAAGTAAAGAAATCGAAGAAAGAAAACTTTCAAAGAGAACACGATAATGAAAAGCAGCCCCTTGCATGGATAATAATTCTAGGAGGTTCTGGGCTGGACCACCTCATCTCATGTCCTTAGCTCTTGGTCGTCCTGCAGTGGTGACGACGCCGGGGATCACCACCATTGTCTGTGTGCACACAGAACGGACACACTCTTTTTCTCTATCACTTTCTCCTCCTCTCGCTTTACTACGGTACATAGTATTCCTGAACCATAGTACCACAGGTGTAGTACAATTAATAGCGGGTACGTGTTCAATGCACCCGTGGCGACATCCAAGTTTCTGCCCAAAAATAAATTACTGGGAAAACCATGGCAAAAAGAAAAAAGGGCAGGCAGACCCACCAAAAAGGGGCCCCGAACCAAATCCAAGACGGTGCGCGGGGCCCGTGGCTCTCCTCCCAACAATAGTGTCCACAGGTCGTGTTCTAGGCCAGAAAACCAGAAACACCTTGGAACGACGAGACTGAATCAGACAGCAGGGTAAGTGCGGCAGGCTGGAGTCAGTAGAACACCCACACAGGTTGTGACATTGATCTGGCTGGCTGGGATCTTCTTGTTCCTTTTCTCATGTAATGTCGGCAAGACAAATTTGTTTGCCCTCTGACAATGTGCCACCATTCAAGAAACCGTATTTTTCGCCACGATGCCCCTCGCAAACTCCCCAAACGTGATGCCCCGCCCGCGATCCACCACCTCGTCCAGGTTCGGCTGCGTGAAGACGGCCAACGTATTCCGCGCTACCCTCGCAGCACCGGGCCCCGTCGCCCTGGCCCCGCGCACAAAGTGCGGCACAGCCTTGAACCGCCCGTCTGTGATCTGCTCCAGCGCCTCGCCCGTCTGGAACGCGATGCAGTCGCGCGGGATCTTCACCTGCACCGTCTGCCCTGTGCGGGACTTGATGTACAGCCCGGCCGCCGGGTCTGGCGAGGACTCGAGCTCGTCGAGGGGCTGCAGCGCTTCCGGCAAAGACGGCTCGAACTTGGGCACCGTCGGGTCGGCGGCGCCCTCGTCAACGAACATGGCCGACGTCAGGCCTGTGAGGCAGCCGTGGTCCAGGTGCGTGGCGCACCAGTCATCCTCGTCACCCTCCGACGCCGGGGCAGCAGCAGTAGCAGCAGCGCCAGCCGGTTCTGGGAAGTAATGCAGCAGTCTCGCCTTGGTGGTCATAGAGCCAGCCATCATACGCTGTAGATACGCCGCTGGGTAGCCCGGGATCTCCTGCTCGGCGAAGCTGTCACACGCGCCCGCAACCAGCACCGCGACGTCGATGATGAGCCTGCACAGCTCCTCGACAGCGGCACGCATGCCAGGGAGCACGGCCTCGCTGGGCCATATGTTAGGGCTGAGGTACTCGGGGAAGTTTTCCTCGTTGTATTCCCCTGTGGGCGCCGCGCACGACAGCTCCGGGTCGATGTAGAAGGCGCAGTTGGCGTAGAACGAGCCCTTGAGGTTGTCTACCTGACCGTTCTTGAGCGTCTCCTTGCCCAGCGACCAACCAGTAAGATACTTTGCCTTCTCATTCTCGAGCTTATCTGTGATGTGTGAGTAAGTGAGTGTGTGGATAAGTGTGTGTTATCAATCCGTCTTCGAGATAACTTCATGCCCCCCACGCCCCCCCCCCCTTCTGCACCTCCATTCCTCCTCCGTCCCTTTAATCCCGTGTTTCAGATAGTAAGAGATACACACAAAGATACGTACCTAGCTCGGACTTGGGCAGATTCCCAAGAAAGGACGAGTATGACAGTACATGGCGTCGCAGATTGGCGAACTCGGGCGGTACGTCATTGACGACGAGAATCCCCAGCGACTCCGGGCCGAATGCCTCCTGGAGCGTGCTGAAGGGAACAGAGCCTGGCCAGATGTCGCGTTAGCCGCCTCCACTGGCCCAAGAACAATAATACATGGCACCATATGGCAAAGGCGTTGGGTGTGGGTTTGGTGGGTTCGTGCGTAGGAGCGTGCGTGTATGGGTGGCGAGATTGAAGGAGGAGGAACAGACCTTTCTTTAGCTCCTCGAGCGAGACCGTAACCGCCTGCGCGATGGGGGCCATCCTTTCTCTACTTTTTCTCCCTTGCTTCTTTCTTCTGGATTTCTACTTTTCTTTCCTTCTGTTTTCTTCTGTTTCTGGAATAGCACTGCGGGATCAGTTCCGAAGACTGCACCAGAATTCAAGAGAGGGACAAGTAAGAAGCAGATCTGGGATCACGCGTTTCAACTACGAGGATGAACTTATCCTCTATCCTCTATGTAGTCATAAACCCACCCTCTGTAGAGCCCTGCCTGCAACTAACAGTACACAAACGTCCGAAGATAACCGGCAAGCTTACATAACCATAGCACCTAGGATACGTTGCTAGACTCAGGTGTAAGGAAGAGGTATCCCAGTCACTCGGTACAACGCTTCATGGGTGCAGGTTACTGTACAGTACTACCCTACAGAGCCTCAAGCCACTACCCCTACCCCCTGCAAGCCTCTAGAACCACAACCATAGAGAACCAAGGGCGTGCACCTACCATAGCATTATCGAGAGCTTCGACCACCAGCTCCTCTCTCGACGATACCGAAAGGTAAAGAAAGGAAAAGAGAATCCACCTCTAAATCCTAAAATCCTACGATTTTAAGCTCTGCTGCCCAACGCCCCACCCCTTTGGCCTCATTTCCAACGATCCTGGTTATCCACGAGGGCTCTGACCACGATAGTAACCAAAGAGGTAACCCCCACGCGCGCGCACACAAAGACATTGGTCTCATCCCACCGGACGAACGCGACGAGATACGACTCGATTTGACACCGGGTGGCTGCCCAACAGGCGAGACCTCGAGGCCTCCTTCGCCCCTTTTTTGACGACCCGTCCGCCTTGGAGACCCCCGTTTCAGCTGTCCTGCGCGATGGTGAAGCCCCTGAGCTTCAAGGGCGACAAGAAACAAAAGAAGCGCAAGCGGGAGGCCCGAGATGATGCGGACGACGACGCCTCCACCCTTAACGATACCAACAAGGCAGCCAGGGGGGCAGAGACGGCCACAGCGTCGGCAAGGAAGCAGCAGAGACAGGAGGATGACAACGTTCAGAACGACGACAGCTGGGTTTCGGCCGACATCGTCTCCGACGTCTCGGGCCCGGTCCTCTTCGTCCTCCCCACCGAACCCGTGACAGCCCTCGCTTGCGATGCCAACGGGAAGGTGTTCACGCTGCCCGTCGAGAACATGGTCGAGGACAACCCGGCCACCGCAGAGCCACATGATGTGCGCATGGTCTGGGTCGCGAATCGGATCGCCGGGACGGAGAATCACCGTTTCAAGGGGCATCATGGCAAGTAAGTATTCGTACCGAAGCCTCGTTGTTGTCGCTTCTGGTGGAATGGTTGATTAGTCGGTCATTGAGTCCATGTACTGGGCTGGTGGTTGGAAATGGCTGACGAAAACTCCCTTGAATGATAGATTTCTGGGTTGCGACAAGTACGGTATACTCACTGCCACCACCGAGGCCATCTCTCCACTCGAGTCCTTTGTCTTGATCGCGACGGCCGACACACCCGGGACCTTTCAGGTGCAGACGCTGCGTGATACGTACCTCACCGTCCAGGCCTCAAAGTCATCCCGCGCCAACGCGCTGCCCGAGGTCAGGGGCGACGCGACCGAGATGAACTTCGACACGACGCTGCGCATACGCATGCAGGCGCGGTTCAAGCCGCGCTTAAGGGCCAGCAAGGAGGAGAAGGCCAGGGAGAAGATTAGCAGAAAGGAGCTGGAGGAGGCCGTGGGCAGGAGGCTAGAAGAGGACGAGGTCAAGATGCTGAAGAAGGCGAGGCGGGAGGGCGACTATCATGAGAGGTTGCTTGATTTGAAGGTCAAGAACAAGCATGACAAGTATGGATGAGCGCACACAAGGCTGATCTTGGGAGGCGAACAGGGTCCGAGACTTTGTTGGCTTACAAGGGATGCTTGGATCGGCCGCATAAGCCACAAGATGGAGCAACATAGGCTCAGCATCGAATTCTAGATACCCGAAGAAATGGCACTTGAGATGGATGAGCCATAATCACCCATCACCGCAAATTCCGTCTCCAGTGGCATAATCTTGGAGATTATCGATCTGTCCTTTAATTCATGCATGGGCTCGCTACATCTCTGCTGGCACCAGTAGGCGCCGGCTGAGACAGCACCTTGCTTCCAACCTCAGGTGGCCACCTGCACCTTCCACAAACTCTTGAGGCCAAGGAGCACTGGTACAGTGCCGATAGAAATGGCTCGTTAGCTGATATTGAGAGCTCGCACAGCCCGCTGCGAACCTGCGGATTTTCGTTGTATTATGAAGGACAACATTGAGCAACGGATGAGTGCGGCCGCGCTTACGTCTTTGTAATCCTCTCCTTCTACCCTCGCAAATCCTAACGAGGACGCTAGCTATCACACTCTTATCACACTCGACTACAGAGGAGCTGAGCAATCGCATTGATGCTTCTGTGGGCGTTGATTCCTGTGGTGCAAAGCTTCTACTTCTTATTCGAACCTGCGGGTTGACTATGTCGTTCGAGCTTTGCGTATTTCCCCGTTGAAGAAGACCGGCTTGCTTGAGGCCGTTCCTTGACAGCAGTGGCATTCCCTCTATACTTTCTTTGTGTCTCATATTCTTGTCTTTCCTCACCTGTCCTCGTCTTCTTAGAGCCATACCCTGTCTGGAGGTCATCGTTTGCTCAAGACCGAAGACCCAACAAAGTTTCTTAATGCATCGCCTAGGGAAGCCTCTCGGTGTCCAATTGTTCGCCCTGGCTCAAGAATAACCTTCACTCCTCCTGGACCTCTGCTCGAAAGTCCTTCTCTTACTACTCTTGCACACGACTTGTTTTATCCTTATGCACCGCACAATTTTGCCAATGTCTCGGGTAATGGTAACGCAATGATATAATTACCATTCCTCGTTTTACTTACTGCTGATGAGCAACAGTATTCACTCCACTACTGTTACTCCTCTCCTTTCTATTTAAAAGCAAGGACAGTTGTCTGTTAAACTGCCTCTTCGACTTTTTCCACGCCAAAGGTCCAAAAAGTCTATTCTGGCACTGGCCTGGCGGGGTATCTTCAGCGGCTCGAGATAACAAATTGTCTGTGGCCTTGTTAGAGGACAGGGCATAGGTGCGTGGGCTGTGATTATACTTCCTTATACCTCTCTATTACGTTTCGGTACATACCGTGTACTTTTTGCAGTGTAATGAGAAGACCTGTAGCAGAATCTGTGGTTATCACTGTAGGTACAAGCCGTGGCCATGACATTCAAACCTTCCTGGCTGTGAAAGTGCCGAGTGCTGTCTCACAATGGGAAATTCGATATCAGAGTGCACACGTACCACTATATTTATATCTTATATCTTGGTGCATTTGGTGTCTTCAAAGTGGCATTGAGATAGTCTTTATCGCCATGAGTAGTTGTATTTTCTCCTTGGCCCCAGTATACACTGAGGACGACGCCAGTGGCCACCATCCTCTGATTCTTCACTATATCCTTGGGTCACAAGGGTTTTCTCATCTCTTCTTATCTTGCTTCGTTTTTGCATGATTACAAGATCAAGTAGAGCAGCGATTTGGTCTATCTCAGTGTTTTGCAACCCACACACGACTTCATATGGTAGTAACTCTGCCTTGCGATCATGTAGCTACCTAAAGTAGACAGAGATGATTTGTTGGTTCAGCTTCAATAATTTCTTAATGCATGCATTATAAGTTGTATTCATTTCATCAATTCATCTTTGTTACCAAGGCTGCTCTTGGCCATCCTTCGAGAGGTAAGCATGTGTATTCCTTTTCCTGTCCGCATCGGTTTAAATAGCCCTTTTTTTCTTCTTCCAGTGATGAATCTATTGGTAAAGAGTCTCAGTTGCAACTACATAGGAGTAGAAGTAGGAGACTATGAATTTCCCAAAATACCCTGCACGTTCTGATGGTGAGGCTGACGGAAGCCGAAAATGAGATACGAGTTAATCGCCCTGGAGCGATACGGTTGCAGATCTTCAGCCTTGTGATGCGCATCGAGTTTGCTGCACGGATGCTAGCTCAGGTGGGCCTGTACCTGCATGCGCTGGGATGGTGTTTCTTTACCGCCGTTTATTCCCCCACAGGGACCCCTGCCAACGGTGCGCTCAGTGCTACGGTGAAGGTTGGGCTATGGCAGGTACCCCTGGGGCTCATTTCCGCGAGCACCCCAGGCAACCCAGTAGCGCCTTCTTCCTACTACCACATGCGGCCCGTTCATAGAAGCTTCTCAAGGGGGTGAACCTTCCACAGAGAAAACTGGACGCGACCGCTCGGCCCTTCTTCCCCTTGCTTATTATAGGAGTAGAGCTGCCCTCCTGACAGAGATCCTCCTTTTTTTCTTTTTCTCTTCAAGGCTCACTTGGAGCTGCCACTCGTTTCTTTCTACTGGTCTAATTGAGATTCTTCTGGAGCCCCACGCTCGCTTCTCTATCGTGAACGCATGAAGCGCATCGACCGTGTTTGAAACGGAACCCCCCCCCCCCAAAACGTCTTATCCCACATCAAGCTTCCAGTAAGAAACACAACGAGAAAAGATGTTTTCCTCAGCAAAGCTGCTCGCAGCAGCAGCAGCAACTACTACCACCCTCCTCCTCGGGGCTGTCGAGGCCGTGCCAGCGCCCGCCGTCACGCCCGCCCTCGAGCTTCGGGCTGAGGCCACAGACGCGTGGGTGAGCGTCGACAAGACCGGCATGCCCACCACCGTAACGCCGGTCGTCACCGTATCAGATGGCTCCACGACGACGCTCTCAGCCATACCCACTGTGCTCACCGCGACAGTCCTCACACGGACTGAGTACGGCGAGCTGACCACGAGCAGCGGCACCGCTGCCGCAGAGCCGACGGCCTCCAACAAGAAGGGCAAGGGATCCTTCCTCGTGTGCAGCAATACAGATGGCGACTACGTGCCCTTCTGTGAGCCCGCCAAGAACAGCTCACTCTATGTGGGTACTACGTACTACGGTATGTCGTCGATCTGGTTCCTGCCTCCCCCCCGGAGTCAATGGCGTCCTCCTTCCCCTCTTCGAGAGCTATGACTGACAGGATGTAACCAGTTACTTGGGATCCCTCCGTCCTCAACACTACCCAGGTGACTGTCACCGGTACCTACATCAACAGCACAACAGGCGTGGCAGGCGACGACGCCTTCACGTCCGACGACATCAAGGCTTCGTGGTCCTACTACGCCTGGACACCTGGCAGTAGTTATCTGTCCAAGGGCAACGGCAACGCCGTTAATGTCACGTTGACCATCAACGCCCTGGGCTCAGACGGCGAAACCGTCACCAAGACCTACCCCGGCCCGACCGTCCTTGTCACCAAGGCGCCCACGTACCACCAGGCGTCCCCCACGCTCCCAAAGGGCGCGGCTCTGTTTATCGGCCTGCCGGTTGTGTTCGGTTTCTGTCTCATCATGATCTGCGGCGTGTGTATGTGGAACCGCAAGACGCGCAAGATTGACGTCGGTAATCTCATGTCTCGCGGGCGGCGCGGCTACGGCATCGCCAAGAGCCGCGCCAAGAGGATGACGATGAGGGGCAGCAAGAAGCGTGCCATGCACAACATCCGTATGATGGACAACGTCCCCGAGGAGCACATGTACCGCGATGAGCCCAGGAACTATGATGGACAGAGGGACTACCACTATGACGAGGACGCCCGGGACATCAGGATGGGTGGTGGGCGTGGACACGTCAGGAGGGACAGTGATGGGCTGGGAAGCCTGGCGGGCACGCCGACGAGTGAGCAGTTCCCGCGCCAGCAGGGCGGCAATGCGTTCAGGGAGGAGATGGAGAGGCAGAGGAGGGAGAGGGCTTGAGGTGAGAAGGATCGGCACACGTGATGAATCTTATGTTGGTAATGGTTTATGTGGAAATCACGTCTCACGGAAAGATAAAGGAGACAGACTGCTGAAAAGATGGCAGGAAGTCGAAGTGTCTTTAATGGTATGAAGTCAACGCCCTTGTAAGATGGCACGATTGTCTTCACAATGAACCCAACAAGTTCGAACTATTGCGTTACAAGCCAAGCTTGAGTGTTGTGCCTTGATACTATGAATGCCTCAAAGCGGTCCTCAGATCCTCGTAGTGTCTGATCAAATAGGAGGCCCAGCCGCCTAAATAATGAAGGATTTATTCAGCCATACATGCGCCTATCATGATCAAAGGAGACCAACATATTATCCACGCCGAGTTCAGCATGGAGGCACTGGGATGATATCCAGAAGGACTGCTCGATAATCATTTCGAGCATCTCGTGTATATTGGTCATCAGGAGCGTTCACCTTCAAGATGGAGACATATCGCCAGGGAAGCGTGCGACTCGGTCCTAAAGCAGCCATTTCTATCCTTTTGCCAGAGTTCCCCTCTCCATTTGACTTGTTTGTTTCGTCAATCAGTGTTGGTGGGTGGATAACAATGCCCGTTGCGCTGCATTTCCAAATCAGTGCGGCGCCAATGACCATGAGAGGCAACGGGGACAAGTTTGGGGGCTCAGTCGATCCATTTCTCCTCTTCCTCGTCGTAGCCTAACAGCGAGGAGTCTATATTCAGACTTAGAAGCATCTCCGCCATATTGAATTCCTGGCACGTAGGGGGTCAGCAATGATCAGATGGCGCACCCTCGTCGGGACCGAGACACTCGCACTCACGGATTCATCCTCTTCATCCTCCTTCTCCTCCTCTTCTCCCTCCTCGACTCTATCATCTCCATCGTTGTCACCGTCATCGTCCCCTCTGCCCCCTTTCTCCACCTCATCCCATCCCCCCCTCCAGCCCTCCATCTGCCTCCTCCTCATATCCCTCCATGCCCTCGTGCCGCCCGCCCCCTCCACCCTCTCCCTCACAATCTCAAACATCTCCTCCGCAGCTAGCCTGCCCGCCCCCTTCCACCTGGCGACCAGATCCCGCAGCTCCTGGTCGACCGCCTCCCCGGGCCGCCGCCGCGCCGAGGCTTCCTCAATGCGCCTTGCCTGCCGCGCGGTCTCAAGCTGGCGATCGAGGTCCTTGATGACTGCGTCTGAGGCGGCGTGGCTGTGTGATCCCACGAGTGCGAGGAGACCCGCGGCGCCGTGGTGGCCATGGCCATGGCCGTGGTCGTCGTCGTCGTCGTTGTCGTCCCCTCCTTCTGTCGCGGCCATGCCAGAGGTCTTCTTTCTCTTCAGGGCGCTGCCTCTGCTGCTGCTGTTACTATTCGACAGCAGAGGCGTCTTGAACTTAAGCAGTGGAGACAACGATGTCCTGGCGTTGGCAGCAGCAGGTGTCTGCCGCAGGGCAGTAAGGGACCTGGCCGGCCTCACGCCTCGTGCTGCTGAGGCTGCTGCACCTGGCTGTCGCAGCGTCGAGGGTGAGCTGGGTGAGTAAGCACCCAGCTGTGATGGCGCACCACCCGTTGTTGCGTCTGGCGTCCTGCTTGTTGCGGTTGTTGGTGAGCCGAAACTCTCGCCAGTGCCTGCGCCGGGCCGCCTGATAACGGGTGAATGGAAGGGTTTCCTGAGAACCGCGTTTGCTGCATCGACGCGTCGACGCTTAGCGGATGGTGTGGACATGATGAATGACAGATGGATGCAGTAGGTTTCAGGTAACGCCCAAGGAGGTTAATAGATCCATGGCTGGAATTTTAGGACAGTGTATCGTGGTGGACTGCACAGCACAGGTTCAAGTACGAGTTACACGTCTAGTGATATTAAAAGCGATGAATAGAGAAGTCGCGGTGCAGGGGTCTCATTTTAGCGCTATTACTAAAGCTACACCCTACCGCGCCCCATAGAAAAGAAGAACTACTTTTATGTACAAGCAGAAAGACCAGAACGCCCATGCTCGATTTCAATGTCTGCTCTTCTCTGCTCTGCTCTACTCTACTCGAGACTGTGAGAATGATCATCACTAGCATGCATCAATGACCAACGCCGCCAGCAGCCCAGTTCGCAAAGTTTGGATCGCCTGCAGGCGGGAAGAAGCCACCGTTATCCTGCGCTGGCGGTGCGGGTGCCGGAGCAGCAGCACCACCGGCGTTGCCTCCCTGTTGCTGCTGATCTCCCTGGCGCCGGGCTTGCAGAGCTCGCTCGCGCTGTTGTCTGTAGTAGACAAAAAATGCGAGGGAGATGGCTATTCCCATAATGATCACAGTGTCTACTAGGCCCTCGTCATCATCGACACCGTGGTAGTGAGGATCGTCGCCTCCTGGCATGGTGTCGTCGTAGATATCGTCGTACAAGCCGTCGTCGTAGTAGTAGTACTCTTCTTGGACGAAGTTGTTGATCCACTCGCTGAGGGACCAGTCCTTCGTCGTCTCTGCAGGGCTCTGCGTTAGCAAATCACCTCCAGCACATATGGTAAAAAGGTTCCTTTCAGTTCAACTTACCAGGCTCATCCTGAATGGAGTTAATGCGTCCGTGCGTGAAGGTATTCCAGTAGCTCCGGGCGCGGAGCTTGAGGAGACTGAGCTTTACAGGTAGGTAAGCCTCCTCGTTCGTTGCGAGCGCGAGATCGTAGTAGCGTTTAGCTAGATGGAAGTCCTGGTCCAATCCCACCCCGTTTTCATGCATCCAGCCGAGGTTGAACAGAGCCTGGGCCGATTGCTGGTACTCTGCGGCGCCGGTGTAGCACTTGACGGCCTTGTCAACATCCTGATCAACTCCAACCCCATCAAGGTAGTAGTCGCCCATTTTGACGAGAGAGTCAATGTTGCCTTGCCTCGACGACCGCGTGTAGTAGACGAGCGCCAGATTGGGATTGTTGAGAGCTGGTGATTTTGGCTCACCGATGCCGAGAACGTCTGATAGCATCGACTGTCGTGTGTCCAGGAGATAGGCAACATTGTTCTGTGCAGACTCGTATCCCTCCTCCGCGGCATGGAGGTATGCCAACAAGGCAAGCTCGTAGTCGCCGTCCTCATACGCCATGTTCGCCTCGGTCCAAGACGAGACGAGAGGTTCCGCCCTCTCTGCCACCGTCTTGTATAATACGAGAGCCTGTGCACACGCCTTATCCCGACCGATGCCGTGATAGATCATCTCGGCGAGGTAGTACTGGCCCTCGATGCTGCCGTACCTAGCTGCCAGCTCGAAGTAATCATTCGCAATACGAACGTCCTCGGGCATGCCGCGGTCCAGAAACAGGACACCAAGCTGGACCTGCGCCAGGGAGTACTCCTGTTCGGCCGCTGATCTGAACAAGTCCGTAGCCCGAGCGATGCTCTTGGGTATGCCATAGCCATGAAGCATCATCAGCCCCAGGCAGTACTGGGACTGCGCATCGGAGCGCTCCAGGCCTCGCTCAAACCAGAACTTGGCCCTGTCGAAGTCCTGCTGTACCCCTTCACCTCGCATGTACATCCTCCCGAGATAGCCAGCTGCCTTGGCGGCGTATTTATCGAGGCCCGGCTTATGGTTCTCGTCGCCTCGCCCGTTCTTCCAGTACATCTTAGTCACCATGAAGAAGTACTTGGCGGCCTCTTTCAGGTTCCGCTCCAGGCCCCGCTGGCCCTCGTAATAGATGGCTCCCAAGTTGAAAGACGACTTGAAGTCACCCTTGTTGCTCATGAGGTTTAGGTACTCGATGATGTCTTCGATGGCAGCATAGGCATCCGAATTCGGGTGGTGGCGTACGGCATTGATGCCGGAGCTGGACACGCTTGCTCCCTCGCCGTATGTACCACCAAAATCGTCAGCGATGTGGTAGCCTTCCCTGTTCCAGTTCATGCCGCCCGGGGGACCGGATCGGTACCAGTCCATGACTTTGTCCGCGACACGCTTGTAGTATTTGGCCGCAGTCTCGCAGCTCTTGGGCGTGCCCACGCCGGTCCAGTGGCGGGAGGCGACAGTCATCTCCGCCCGTGTGTGTCCTCGCACCGCCGCAAAGGTGTAGTAGAGCAAGGCTCTCGCCTGATCCTTGGGCACCGCATCTCCAACCCCAGTCGAGTACATCAGCCCGACCATGTACAGCGCGGAGCTGTTCCCGTTCAGCGATGCCAGCTGCTGATAGTAATCAAATGCCTTGTGGAAATCCCTCGGGTGGGAGTAGTTGCCATAGTAATTCATCTGCGCGAGAAGAAACAGAGCATCTGAGTTGTTCTTGTGTGTCGCCACTTCCAGGTGCCTGACAGCTTCCACCAGTCGGGCGTCGACAATCTTACTATTCGACCCGCTCTCCTCTGTGGGAGCCGTGCTGGCTCGTAGGCTCGGCAAGGCCTTCCACGCCAGCTGCCCAATCAGTCCGAGCACGCCCGTCTTCTTCCGCCGCTTGTGATGGGCCGGGTTGTGGATCTCGTAGAGTTTCGCGATGGCAGCATCGACGTGGTCTGCGCCAGGCTCTCGGACGGGAGGGCTGGACTCTCCATGGCTATGTATGATGTCTGGCGGGGGTGTCGTGACGGTTTGATCTTTGTCGTGCTCTGCCCAAACCGGCGAGAGAGCCTGCAGAAGCACTGCGACTTGTCAGCATCATCCAAGCCTGCGGTAGACATGCAGATCACACACGACAGGTCGGGGGAGGGTTTGCTCACGGAGAAGTGACCAGAGGGGCCTCATGATGGAAAGAAATGTGCAGAATAGCGCATAGCAGCGAGCTAGATCATATCTACTGCTAGGGTGCTTTTGCAAGAAGAAAAAAGAAGAACCGTCGTGGCCGGACGGTGACAAAACAGTTAGTTGTCTAAGCTGTGGAAACGACGTGACGGTGTTCAGTACAGTATTGGATTTACAAGCTGGCCATATCGGCAACTATGGCCGTTGGTACGTACCAATGTACTGGCATGACTACAAGTAGGTAAGCTGGCGTCACTAGTGCCTGCATCTAAGCATGGGTCGGTGCCCCCTGCAAAATGGGATTATGCCTGATTGGCTGATTTGGACAACCTCGTTTTTGACGGGCCTCTGGGGTTAGGACGCCAGAATTTCAACCCTCATCAGCTCAGGATAAAAGCTGGTCAATATTACGTACTCACATGAATCTGGATTTCGAGTCACCCAGTGTGTCAAGTTGTCTCAATTACACTTCAGTCTCTACGAACGCAAGACCGCTCCATCTCTTACACGCCCTGTCCTCAGACACAATTTTGCAAATTATCTTTGTCCTTTTCCGCGGGCCAACAACACCCCAACGAGTGATTCGAGCCGAAGCGAGAAGGCGAGAAGTGGCACAATGTATAATCTGGGCAAAGCCGATTTCTTTCAGAATCCGGGGCAGGACCCGGCCTACGTCTTGGAGATTGTTCCCGTCGCAGGGGGTCTCGCTGCCATCTCGTCAGACCAGAAACTCACCCTCTTCAGCCCCTTGAATTTAAGCCAGGGACCACTCAAGACAATACGAACAGCACACGGTAACATCACATGTGCAAAAGCTTTTGATGAGTCCAACTCCATCATCTGTACAGCTGGGGAAAATGGCACCGTTTCATTGTGGGATCTGCGACTGGACGGGTCGAAAGCACAGATAGCCACTCCAACAGGTATGTGATGCAACGGCGGTTGCTATGCTACTGACTGGCCGAGCTGACTTGATGTGTCCAGGGAGTGATGCACCGATAGTATCGCTGGCATGTTCCGCAGGGGGAAACGCTATAGCAGCTGGCACAGAGTTGGCGAACCACCAGGCCTCCATCCTCATCTGGGATGCTCGTGCCGGCTCTACACCCAGGATACGCTATGATGAGGTTCACAGCGATGATGTGACAGAGGTGAGTTTCTTTTTCCTCCACTCATCAGCAAGAAACATGCTCGGTGGGGTCTAATGTTTTCAACAGCTCAACTTCCACCCTACCTCACCATACATCCTACTTTCGGGCTCCACAGACGGTCTTGTCAACGTCTGCGATACCACAATCACAGATGAGGACGAGGTCGTCATTCAGACCTTCAATCACGGCTCTGTTCACCACGCAGGGTTTCTCAATAACACTGAGGTCTACGCCACAAGCCATGACGAAAAGTTCGCCCTATACGACATGGCAGAGACCCAGGAGAAAGGCTCCGCGACGGTCGACTTTGGCGACATCCGGGACGTGCTCAGGTGCCAGTATGTAGCCAACGTGACGCCTAAATTGGGCGACAACGGCGCCGTGATTGGTGCCGGCTCTCAAGAGTAAGTCAAGTTGTCGTCATTGTCTCGATGCGTTTGAAGACATTTCAAATGCTGATACAAGGTGGCAGCCAACAATTCTTCCAATTGATACACATGTCCAAGTCACCAGGTTGGAGCTTCAGCGCGGATACAAGCGTTGGTCTCCCGGGCGCCCATGGCTCAGAATTGGTGCGAAGCTTCCGATTCTTCGACCAGGACCAGGTCGTCTTCACCGCTGGGGAAGATGGCCAGATCATAGCATGGCGTCCGAGTTGAGAGCTATAACGAATCATCGAAACCAAAGTCAACATGACCGGTCTTATGTACCTAACTCACACGGACAAATTGGTCTGTATGTTGTCGTCAACCTACAGTTGTGTCTATCTCTGAGCTTATTATGCTTTCCCTTGCGATTTGCATGATTCGGTCTTGGCAAGTATATTGAACCATCTAAGGCAGAGGATTCTGGAGTCTCAGAGACTGATGCTGCATGGCGTCACGCTATTCACACTCTCAAATGCAGACAATCCAAATCTGCTTCAGGAAGCACTGCATGGTCTCTGCACAAAATGAAGTACCTTCTCTTCAACCTGTTAGAGGGACAACCGTGTTGAATACAGTTAGAAAGATTGACTGCTTATGAATATGGTCGAGGAGAGTCATTCAGACGGGTCAAAACAGTTTGCCCGATGGTGCTGCCAAAACCTAAGCGTTCAACCGAACTTTGAAGTCACCAACAGCCATCCTACTAGGGCACATGGATGCCCTTAGAGGCTCTTTTTCCTGATACACTGGTCTCTTGAAAGCTTACAACACTGGAGTATAGTTTGTATAATGAGAAATCTTGTACAGGATGGTGTAATGGCAACATTCAGTACTAACACACTGCATCTGCAGTATGCCCCTTTGGGGACGTCAAGCTTCAGGTCCGAATCCTGGGCCTCGTAATTTTGGGTATTTATTTTGTCACCTTCCAATCCCTCTTCACACAATCCTTATTCTCTAGTTCATTTACAAGCTCAAATCTGCTGGCAGCTGGCTGAATGTTATGTCACTGCGCATGCGAAAGGTTAAACTTGGATTCGACTTCTGCTGCCCTCCTGAGCCTCTGAATAAGAGGATAATCAGCTTTGAGGTCGCTTATGCCTTGTTCTCTTCCAAGAACCAAACCCACTCTCCTTTGAAAAGAGGAAAAAAGTGTTGGCAAGGGGTTGGGGCTACTTCGGAGGTTTGTGAAGCCTGTTTTTCTTGGACACAAGTTCAGTAGTCAACATGCGCTGTAGTCCGGCAACTCTTGCGCTGTGGTGACAGAAAGTGGGGCGTCGATCGAACAGTTGAGAGGAATAGAATCAGTAAGCCTGTAGTAATGCCAGCGCATACTGAGCATATAATGAATTATGGAATTGTAACAGAGCCTTGAACTGACCGCCCACAGGCGCGCACCATCAGCATCACTGCAGTATCTCTCGGGACTCTAGACAGTTAGATATCGCGTGCGCTTCCCCATCTGAGGGCACCTGACACGTGACGCGACCTGAGTGCTCGCCACGAGCTGTGGGTGGTGTCTTGGTGAAACAGGTCGACGCAAAGTTTCTTTGATTCAACCTATGCTCGTGTTCTGGAGCCGTCTACTTCTTAGAGCATTTGAAATCACGGAGACGATATTGTATAGACACGGCCGGCGTCTGCCTGTGAGTTTGGGTTATTTTGATCTGGGATCCTTTTGTTGATGCGAAGAGCGTTTATGTTGGCCATAATACATGTATTATTATTAACTGATTACGCTCTGAGTTGATAAAAACGCATGCTATGGTGATTCAATGGGTATATATAATCGTAATGATACTGCCGTCATGCCTCCTCGCTTGCTGATCCACAATACCACCTACTTCCGGCACTTGAATACTTAGACCGACGACCTCTTGCGATTGGCTCTATTCTTCTTGTCCTGAAGCCTAGATCTCCTCCTCTCCATGTAAGTCTTGACCACCGGAATTGTAGCCAGAACACTGACGGCGGCGATGACCCAGGCAATGATCTCAATGATCTTGATCTCGTGGCACAGGCTCAACCCGCCCGAGACCTGGCTCTTGAACTCGGTCAAGTTGTCCGGGATGCCAGCGTTTGCGCACTCGACATAGCCCCAGATCTGGTGGATCAAAACGCCGGAGACGATCCAAAGAATTGTTGAGATAACTAGGAAGATCTATGGGAGGATCCACGTCAGCCCATTTGTCCTCCAGCCAAAAAAAGAACCAAAAGAGCGAGGAAAAGGAGATGAAGGGGACTTGGAATAAGGGGAGGAGTTTACCGTGTGCATAGTATTCATCAGATTCTTCATCCTATATTTTTTTTAGATAATGATTAGCACGTGTCCCCCGAGCAAGCACTGAGAGTTCCGTTGCTTCACCAGACAGCCACCATCAAGACTCACCTGTGACAATGTGCGACAGTATACACTCCAGAAAGGAATATAGTTCTAGCACAGCTGAATATGAGGAACCCCATACGGGCTCTCTCGGTCGAGGACCACCATTTGTTCAGTTCCTGGAGGTAAACAAAGGCGTCGATTGTGAAGCACAACTCGGCCACAGCGAGGGCAAAAATGATGCCAAACAAGATGCTGCCCGAAACACATGCAACGTCAGTTTCCACAGTGATAATCTGAAAAGACACACAAATGCCTGGAATGATTTTAAGTGGTGTATCAAGGATTGGGAAAGAAAGAAAAAAACGTACGGAATTTCCCAACTAATTCCTTGCGAGGTGTTACGAGCCTTCTCCCCCTTGTTGTTCTGCTTTGACCTGCCAAACATGGTGCTGTCCGGTTCGATTCCCCAGGGGGAAACGCCGAGAAAAGAGGAAAAGAAGTTTAATGGTCAAAAAAGACCTAAAGACAATTATTAGACCAAATGTATCTCAATGAGCAAGAACTTAGTAATATAGTAAAAGCAGTTCAGCATCGCCAAGTTTATATATTAAATAACAAAAGTGGGCAATTTGGGGAAGGACCTTGTCGCTATGAAGTCTCGAGTCTCACACTAACGTCATGCCAAGACTCGCGTACCTGAAAGGTAACAGGTTTACCAGGGTTTACCGCTCAGTAGTGCAAACAATTCCGTCATTTACCTACGAAGGAACTAGAAAATCAAGGACAGCAGGGGTCGAACTGGCCCTTGGAGCACTCCGCACAAGAAAGAGGTAATACTTGCGTACATTAGCACACAGAGAGAACGCAGGCCTCCCATCTCATATGACCTTTAGCACAGACTGGGCCGCGGCTGAGGTTTGAATAGAGTCCAGTCCACGGGCCTGAAATTTTCCTTTATGGGGGAGAGTCTTCGCTTTCAAGGGTTAGAAACAGCCTAAGGGATCCCATGGTAAACTTGACAGCATCGTCATCTCTACGCCAAAATTGACCATGTGATAGCCTATGGGGTACTAGGATCTCCTGAACTTTCAAAGTGCACACAGAAACAGAGTGTAAGTAGAAACAGCGGACTACACTCGTCAGGTTACAGATACATTTTTGTACTATCAGACACTCAGTCAAAGCTTTCTTGGCTCACCTTCACCACCTTAACGCCGCCAACCTTGATGCAAATATGCCAAAAAAAAAAAAACAAAAAAACCCCCCCCCCCATTCATCCTTCGGCCCATAACGCGCAGAGCCAATCTATTTCTTGGGCTTCTTGTGCTTCTTGTGCTTCTTCTCTCCAAACGCCTCGTTATACACCTCCTCAGCAGTCTGGCCGGCCTTGCGCTTCTGCTTGCTGCTCTTGACGCTGACAACAGGGTTCGCCTGACCCTTCTTCGTGGCGCTGAGCACCTGCTTCTGGGCATCCTGCCATACGTCGTCGTCGTTGTCGACGATCTCATATCTGAAGAAAGACTGGTTAGCCACCAAGGCCTTCCCTCTCAATCAACGAGCTAAGAGCACATGGGTGTGTGGGAGTTAAACTCACTGGTCCAGCGGTAGGGAGTCGATCAACTCCCTTTGCTTCCTCCGCACCTCCTTCAGCGCCTCGTCGCCGCCCTCCTCCAGCTCCTCTTCGAGCGACTGCTGCAGAGGCACATACGTCTCATCGACGACCTCATCGTCGTGCACGCCAGCCGCGTTCGCCCTGCTGACACCGATGTTGTTGTTGGGTATCTCCGAGTCATAAGCCTTCGAGACAAGCGTGCCAAAGTGCGCCGTGATCTTCCGTAGGATCTTGATGAACATGGCTAGTAGCTGCGAAGACGGTAGGGTTAGCTCCTCGGCGATGGCGTCCATGTCCTTCCGCTGGAGACCGATCGACAGCAGAATCGATTGCTGTACACCAGAAAGCCTAACATCGTTTTTGATGCGGCCCAGGAAGTAGAGCTCTGCGACCCGGGGGATCAGGTCCAGAATCACGTGGTAGTCGAGCATATTGTTTGCGTATGACTCGAGACGCTTGAGATCATGCGGTGTGAAGCGCTCGTCAAGCTCGCTCTTCGACAGTGCGGCAGGTTGGACCTCGTCGAGTGAGGCCCCTGCATTTGCACTTTCGTCAATGCTGAGGGCCAGGACAGCAGGGAATGTCCTGAACTGGTAAGAGAGCAGTTCCATGAATCGGCGGTGGAAGTCTCGTGAGAATGCGCCGAGCCAGCTTCTATCGCCGCTCCTCTCTAGAGGCCTGATCATGACGGTCGTGTGCTCTCCCGTCAGCTCGTTTGCCGTCTGTCTGAGGTAGACTGGTGCAAACGACGAGCGCTTCCAGAATTTATGCAGCGGCTTTGTCAGACCATAGCTCACACCGACATAGTCGAGATTGACTGGCCTGCGCTGGGACAGCACCGAGAACAGAGGTGGCATCTTGCTCTGGTCCCTGATCTTGATGTTGTCCTCCAACAGGCTGGCATTGGCTAGCTCTGCGTCCGTCACCCGGGTGAGGGTCTCGTCACCAACCACATCCGCATCCTCAGATAGATTCGCGAATTTGCCTTCATAATAATCAATCAGAAGCTGCAGGGCCCGTGTACCGTAACCCATTGAAGCATAGTCGGGATTGGTTGCTATCCGGACAACCCTAGCTCCTGACAGGGAGGCAAACTCATCGTCTTGGAACTGTTGGCTGACCAGCCACGGTATCAGATCACCAGCTGGCCTCTGCCCTCTGCTGAGGGAGTTGATGACGCTCTGCCGGCTAATCTTTCCTTCGAGGGAGATTTGTATCACACACAGCGGCTCGGGTAGCCGGCTGCCCTCAGTTGCGCCGGGGGGAACCAACACGAACAGCTCGTGAGCGGGGGCATCACTCATGAGCTGCAGGTCGTCGGGGCTGTTCTTGTAATGACTTGAAACGTAGAGTGAAATCATCTGCTGGAGGAACTTTTCGGGAACGGGGTGGAAGCTGAAAAGAGTATCACGGTTGACGTGGAGCAGTTCACACTGCGCGGGGTCAGGGCAGCCTTGGCTGAGTTTTGACTTTGGCAGGGTGGCGTCCAGGCAGAGCAGCTTATTCAGCCACCTCTCCACGGAGTCGCCCTGTGCGTAGCGGATTGGTTCTGAGAGCGTGATCTCCCGTAGTGTCCGGCTGCCCAGGTGTGATGAGCCCTGGTCCTTAGCCGCCTTGCCCGTCGACCTGTCGGCCACTTCTCCCTCACCATTTGTGATGGCGCCTGGCCTTGACTGTTCGCGGAGCTGCTTGATGAGCTTCAGAGACAGTGACCGTCCGGTTCCTTCATATCCATTGATCGTCGATGCCATGAAGACGAGGTAGGGCCCCATCAGCTTCCGCACCAGCGGCAGAGGAATCGCAGCGGCCTCGTCGATGACCACCAGCTCTGCCTGCCCGAGGACGTGCGCATCCTGCGGTCTTATGTACTGAATGGTTTGTCTGTGGTCTCGGTGGATGTTGACCCTGACGATGGCCTTGTTGAGCTCTGGCGAGGTCGCTTGGATGATCGAGTAGTCGACATGGTCCATGTACCCAAGGGCATCGAAGCCCTTGAAGATAAACTCGAAGAAGGTCTTCAGATTCTCTGGGGAGGGCGACGTGACGAAAATGTTGCTGTATCCAAAAGCAACCGCTGCCGCAACAGCCACACCCATCGCCGCTGACTTTCCACGACCTCTTGCGGCTGTCAGCGTGACTGTGCTCCGCAGCGTCTTCTCCTGAACGGCGTCGCAGAACGTCAAGAGAGCTTTGGCCTGATCCACAGTCTTGGCCAGGGTAACCAACGACCCGATCGGCTTCGTATCCTGCAGGCTCTCCTTCATATCATCCAGCTCCTTTTGCGATGCACTCTTCGGCTGGTCCAGGTCCGGCGGCGGGAGGGCCTTGACGTCCTTTCCTCCAGAAATCGGCAGGACGTTGAGCTCATCATCGATCACCAGGCAGGAGTCGCAGCTACCGAGCGAGAGTATGAACCGCTCGTTGAACCTGGCCACAACATCATCGTAGGCCTCCGTCCTGTACCTCGAGTGGACATCCATGGACAGAGTATACAGGCTCTTTAGACTGTTCATCCCCTTGAGAAGCAGCACCACCAAGCCCCCGCCCTCGACGGTCTCGATACACCTTGCCAAGATGTTGGGCGTGACGGCCTCGAAGTCCTGCAGGATGCACATGCCGTAGGTGTTTCCCAGCACCTTGTCCGTCTCTTTGTAGTAGACATATCGAATGTTGTGCAGCGAGACGAACAGTTCGAAGGGGTCCTCGGAGTTGGCCTCGCGGGTGCCGCGCTTGATCTCCTTCTTGATTCTGGCCTCGCGCTTCTTGCGGTGGGAGGTGAAGCCGAGGAGCTTGTTCTTGTAGGCCCAGAGGACAGACTTGTTCTGCTTGATGTCGACGGTCGACAGGATGTAATGTAGGTGCACTATGACGTCCTTGGAGCGGTCGCCCACAACCACGAAGAACGAGCGCTTCTTCTCCTGGACGTTATTCCGGATGAGCGCTTGGATGCGCGAGTCTCTGCACAGGATTTGGGCTCGAGGTTAGAGGAAGAACAGAGCCATGTTTGTTCTCGAATGGGCTGATGGGAAGCTTACACCTGTTTACGCGACATCTTTACCAGTGCGATGCTGTGCGCGCAGAATCCTCGAGCACATCCGCTGGTCTGATCTGGTCGCTGGTCCACGAGAGAGAGAGAAGTAGGAGAGAGGGTCAAGCGCACGAACAAGCCTGCAAACCTGGGTGCACTTGAACTTTTTGGCCGATATCGAGAATTTTAGTGGGGCACAGACAGGGATCTCAGACGCTGAAGTGCCCGGTGCCGAACCGGCCACAGCAAGTGGCCTGGTGGCGTGCAGAACTACTATGGTACTACGTCGAAAGCTTCGAGCATAGCTTGGAAAAAGAAAACGACGATGTGCATGTTTTGTTTCAGTTTCTTGTTTGTTTGATGTTACGATAATTCGAGCATCTCACGTTGCTGTATTCCAAGTATGTGAATTATCCTATGTAGCAGATGAGCATACCGTCTAGTCTTGAGCTTCATACATTAAATACAAAATATTTCACCTCCAAAAAAACTCTTCTATCGATTTGCTCCAAAAAGAATTATATTCATGAGCAGCGAACAAAAGCATGCGCATGGCCAGACTGCAACCTGGCTGAACAGAACAGCGTGATAGATACCATCCTGGGATACCATGAAAAACAGATTTGCACAAGTCCAACATGAGGTAGGGCAACTGAATGAATGAAAATGGAGTTTGTTTCTTTGAAAAGTAGCTACCTTCTATCAGACAACGCCCAACAAAAGCGCATCGTCCAGCAGCATGACCCCTGAATCGAGACCAAAAAAAGAGAAACTCGATGATCAGAGCAGCATGAATGCAGGTAACCCTCTTTCTATAGTAAAACCAACCAAGACCAACCACCATGACAATGAAAACCTGTGTGCGGATCTCCAAAAGATGCAGTTGATCCATTCAAATCCCGATAGGCCCCCTGGTCACGTCAACACAGGCAATGCAAACAGGGCGAGAGAGAGCGCCATATCTACAAAAGAGATTAGAAATCCTCCTCTTCTCGCCACCGCCATATACTCGCAGCAGTGACGGCCTCTCAAGACGTTTGGGGGTGCGTCTCTCGTTCTGTCTTTCGCTCTTGCTCCTTATGTCCGTCCGTGCTTCAGCCTCTCGTGCCTCAATCTCTTGGTGAGCTTCTTGTACTTCTTCTTCTTCATCTTGAGCTTCCTCTGCCTCTTGACGCTGATGGCCAGCATCGTATTCCGCGGGCGCCGCGCCTCCTCGTACCGCAGCTGCCGCAGCGCCATGCGCTCCAGAAAAGTCTGCGGCTCGACGGGCCCCGCTGAGGCGGAGGAGTCACTGCCGGACTCAGGCTCTTCTATCAGCTCCGGGCTGTGCGCCACGATCTTGACCTCCCCATTGCCGTCCGTGGTCTCCTCGATCGTGAACACGGCCTTGTACACGCGCGTCTGCACATCCTGCTGACTGTCTTCCTCCATCGCGTGCTGCTCTCCGGTCTTGGTGGTCCCCGTGCTGGCAGCGGTGGCCTTGGCCGACTCGGGTTGGGGCAGCGGTGGCGGGCGGAAGGGCAAGAACTGGCCCGACATGTTGTTCACCTGCACGGGTATGCTCGTTTCCGTCCCATCGGCATTGCGCAGGTCAATCTTCTGCAGGCCGCCGTCGTGGTGGTGGTGTGATTCAGAAGCTCCACCGCCCTGCTGCTGGATGGAGATGCTCGCCATGGGCTTCTCGAGGTCCTCGACAGTCCGGGAGATCGTAGACATGACATCCACGGCCTTCTGGCCGCGGGATTGCGTGGCGAATATCGAGGCGAAGGCGTCATCAGTGACGTTCTTGGGGAGGCCGCGGGTGACGGAAATCGGCCGATGGAGGGAGAAGAAGGAGGACAGAGCAAGGACTGAAAAAGGGGTGGAGGAGACGTCAGTTGGCGCGTGCGCTTGTTTGGGGGGGGGGGGGATGGAAGGGATGGTGAAGGAGATGGGGGTTAGCGTCCAAGGTGTACATACAGTCGCTGGGTATGTGTGCAGTAGTAGGCACGCTCGGGTACTTGAGCTTTTCGGAGGCTTCCTTCGTATCCTTGGCCTTGCGTTTCCTCTTTTCACCCGAGGATTTTGCCTCAGCCGTCTTGGACTCGGCGGCTGGCTGCACCGACTGCCTCACGGGCGAGTCCTCGGAGCCATTATCGCGAGACGGTTTGGACGACGAATATCTCCTCTGATGGGACGGTTTGTAGGTGCGAGTGATGGTCGTCGTCGCCGTGGCTCGGGGAAGAGCCGAGCGGAGATGTGACTGCGGAGAGGTAGCGACCACACGCCGCACCGAGCAGGGCAACATGGTAGTGTCTCTTGTCGGGGGGCCGCAGGAAAGAATCGGGTATGTCGAGAAGCTGAGGAAAAGGAAAGGGGGAAAGAGGGTAAAGGCTTGCTTTCTGACCAGGTTGTGAGGACGGGCGAAGGGACGCTGGCCCGATATGTGTTGGGAAGGGGGGGGGGGGGTGTGTGTCGCCTTGCAGGTGGCTTTCTGTGTCACAAGGTTCGAAGTTGAAGTTCGAAAGGCGGGCTGGTCATCTCAGCGGCAAAAGCCTTGTCGCAAATCTGGTCCCGCCCGTCGGGGGCACGGACCCACTGCGAGATCGCTCCGCCAAAGTACAGTAGTAGGAACAAGCCATGCGTTCCAGGTAAAGAAGAGGGAACCAGGCTGCAACAAACTAAGTCCTAAACAAACAAAGCAAAAACTCCTTGTTCTCGTCATACGCTCTGGATTCACACTCGAACTGCCTTTGTCAGTGAATGATAATTCCGGAGCCTTTCTCGCTGATCTCCAGATTTCTAGCGCAGATAGCCAAACGGGCCTCGGATCAAGAACGAATATGCAAGGTGGACAGAAGCCAAAGGTATCAAAATCATTATTCCAACCAGGTTAAATTAATTCCCCAGCAGCAACAACGCAACATGTCACCCCCAGGTCAAGCCAGTCAATGAATTTTCTCCAAGCCAAAACGCCTTGCACGATGCATCTTACACACAAGTCACCCCAGAGCTCAACAGAGTCTTGGTGCCTGGCGGAGGAGGGGGGAAGGGCGGGTACATAAACACAGAACAGCCGCTTACCCCTTCCAGGTCAGATAGACCCAATAGCAGCCTACCATCCACAACACCCTCCACGCTGTGGTCCACAACTCTCGGCCCACCACGCGCAGGCTACTTCTACTCCCGATCCCTCCTCTCCTCGAGGCCGACGCCTTCCATCGCGACTTGCCTCCATCGTAGTAGTACTCATCGTCCTCGCCCAGATCAATCTCGATCTTGGGCCCCTCGCCCCATCCCCATCTGCTGCGGTTCTTCTCCCGGTTTGAACTGTGCCTCCCTAAGCCCTTGGCATTCCCGCCAGATCTGGCAGGTGCGTTACGAGCCTGAGAGGCCAGACCATTCGCCTTGAGACCCGGCGTGAAGGACGCGCTCCTGTCGCGCGTCCCGGATCGATAGGGGGAGGATGAGTGATAGTGTGATGCTGATAGCCCGTACCCATAGCCAGAGGAGCTCGTGTCTTGGTCTTCTCGCTTGGCTTTGAACATCGGGAGGACCGACCTGCGCTTCTCTGGCTCGAGCGCAAACGGCTCCAGGAGGAGGATGGGTACAAGAAAGGCCCGGATGGTAAGCATGACGAAGCAGACGAATGCGAACCCGCCGTATCGAGCGTAGGTGGACAACTGGTTTGGTAGAAGGCAGAGGTGCGTCTGGAGCGTCCGCGACTGGTCTCCCGACAGCGGCTTTCCCTGGCTATCGACTGGGTTGTACATGCTCATCATGACGAATCCCGGCGTCGGCACGCCCATAGCCATGCTGATGCTCTTGACTGTGATCTCCTTGACATGTCCCTTGGCCTCGTCATGTGTGAGTTCGCAGTAGTCGTGATCGTCACCTGAGAAGGCATGCACCACACCCCCGATCTTTTTCACCAAGTCCGCCGAGTCTGCATCGCTGAGCACATTTTGGTACTGGTATCCTCCCGATACGGAAATTGCATTCCGGTGGTCCACATCCAAGGGCGGGTTTGCCGGTGGCCAGTGTTCGCGCATTGGACCGCATGGCGTTCCTGGAGGTCGGTACAATGGCACGTGCGAGAGCAGTATCGTCGGAAGCTCCGCCTTGCCCTCTCCCGGATCCAGTGTTGGTATCGTGCTGACGTCCGCCGACTGGTCTTGGGGCGTCTGGACGTCCTGTACGTCCTGCCTCTGTTGGAGCTCTGTCGTCTCCCCGCGTAAACGCCGCAACTCCCTCTCGACAGCCTTCCTCTTCGTCACCTGCACTTTGTCCAAGAACTCTTGCGCCGGCTTGTAGATGTCGCTCAGATCGGCTATTGACTTCTCAGCGGAGGTGCGGGCACTGAGCGACACTGTGTCCACGGACACGAAAGTGTGGTTTGCGATCACGTCCACTCGGTTCATATCCCCAAAGAATGCCTCAAATCGATCCCTCACCGGTATCTTGACCTCTGATCCGAATCCGAGATCATGGTTTCCCGGCAGGCTGGCGATGAGCCTTCTCCCTCTCTGTCCCGGCCCAGCTTCCGACCCAGCCAGATTCCACGGGTCGACAAAAAGTTTGATGAATCTTATATATTCCTTCAGCCAGAACTCCTCGCCATATTTTTGGTTCCATTGCTTCGCATAGTCCACCTCGCCCTTCGGTCGGTGGTTCCAACTAGGATCCTCAAACTCTCCCTGAAAGGTCTTCCACTCTCTGCCGCCGTCGAAGAGATCACCCAGGAAGAACACAGTATCAGGATGTAGCTGTGATTGGAGTTGGGTGTACGATCTGCGCATATAGTTGTCGGTGATCGCTACGGTCAACGAGCTAATAGGCCACGGCCGGCCTGGGTATGAGTGTGGATCGATGAGTTGAGGGTCGGCAACGAAGATAAGGTGGTGAGGTGTCGCTCCTGGAGGCTACAGATATATCCATGGTCAGCTCAACGATCCATACCTCGCTGGCAATGAGCGCAAAGCTCTTGGTACTTACCCATTCTTCCCAGTTTTCCCAGGCACACCTCTCCACGGTCGTATGGAATACCCACCTCTCTCCCCACATCAACACCAGCAGCCAGATGGCCACCAGGACATGCGGAAAGCTAAACAGTCTCCGTGTTGCCAAGTTGCTGCGCAGCTGGTGTGCTCCTTGTAGCAGACAGTCCCACGAACCCCTCTTTCCCCTCGTGCTCCAGAAGACCAGCAGCGACTGCCATGACTTTTGAACACCTGCGAAGCAGTCGTCTAAAAGGCTCGAGTCATCGCCGATATTTGCGTGGCTCTGGCGGAGTTTCGAATGTGTGAATAGAGAAGAGGAGGAGGCGCCATTGCTGCTGCTGCCGCTGGGGTAGCTAGCCATGACGGGTCCAAGCTACCACGCGCGTAAGGGTCGAAAGAGACTCTCGCTTGTATGGGTGAGCTCAGGACGGAAAGCCCTGCTCTGGACCACACAGCAGAGATGGACGAAAAAGAGTGATGATGGGTTGCGGAGGAGGAGATGCTGGGAGTCCTCGGCGGACGGCCATACCTGGCCTGGCTTTGCGGTACACGAGACAACACGGGCGAGGCGACAGGAGTCCGTACGCGCAGTTGCAGATGTCGATGACGAAACCTGACCCACAAGTAATATCGAACAAGAATGCCGTGTCTGGGTTCCAAACACGTGGGCGTTGAAAGGAGCTTTTATGTGTGTGTGTGTGTGTTTGTGTGTTGGAGAAAGAGAGAGAGAGAAGTGTGGAGGTGGTTTGTGGTCGCCTTGGCCGGAAGGTCAAAAACGTATAGCAGGTTGTCAAGGGGTTGCTGAAGATGCAGGTAATTGAATTAAGTTCTGGATCCCATCCGGAGCTTGCCTATTACTGATCGCTAGCTTCAGCCTCAGTCTTCATTTCCTTGCACGCCAAGGTATCTATACTTAGCACCCACCCGAGTTCAGTTGTGTTCGAGGTTACTCAGCGGTGCAAATCAACCGCAGTGAAGAGAAAGAAGATACCGAGAAAAAAGACCCATCCAGTTCCTAGTCTAAAATTTGTTTTAAATCCGAGCAAGACATAACGTTGCCCTCATAGAAAGCAGAAACGTATACCATGACACACGTACACGGTACTTCTGTCACACTGTGTCGTGGGGCGCCAACCCGTAGATCACCCTCATCAGGTACTATGTACCTGCTGTACAAACCAGCCAGGGATACAGCTTCATGTCAGTGCAATTATCACCTAGTACTCAATACACATGCAGTAAACTTCAAGCACCTTTGACTTTCAAGAAGCAACTTTCGAGGAAGAAAAATAAATTCGATTCAGATACTTCACAGAAATAATGATTCTTGTTCATCTCGCACCTGGCTAGACCTTGTCATTCGATCCTTATAGCGAGACAAACATACTACGTGTACGACTTTGGGTTTGATTCACTATCATGGACTCGAGTATAACTTACGACTGTGATTATGCAAAGATGGGCAATTTCACATACTTTCTTGTCAACATGACCGGCGGTTACGTATTTCGCTGGGTGCTGCGCCTTTTCAGTTCTGATTGATTGCTTGGCCAAGTCAAACACCGCCCACCCACTCCCTCAAACCAAGACGTGTGAAACTGTGCTTCAGAGGAAATAGTATGGACATCGTACCAAACGCAGACATATTCGCACACGTGGATAACCAACTCGTTGCCTAAATTCTGAACGGGTTACTCAAGCCTCGTGGCTGGTGCCACGATGTTCTTGTCTCCACGCAAATGACAACGTTTTTGTGCCTTCGTAGGTTGCGTAATAAGATCCAAATACCAATGACGAGAGCTGTCCTGGTTTTCCCCTCGAGGAGAGGGTAAGACAAAAGCATTCTCCTGTCGATCGCTGTCCCTCTCCGCTCTATTTTGACGTGTCAAATTTCCCTTCATTCATTCCTGCTTCATGGACATGTCCGGCCCAAGGGGTGGAGTTACATGCCCCTCGCTTAACAAATTTATTGCCTGACAGGTCGCTTAAAATATCCAAGTGAACGACTCCTTCACCTCAAATGAGACCTTTCGTCTGTCATGATATAGTCAGTGTCGTAGCCAGGGGCCCAAGGAAGATACGCCGTGCAGCTTACCTGACATCGACGCTGGAAGCGCCAACAAGCACCTCAAAGGTGCCCTCCTCGGCAACCCACGCTTTCAAGCTCGTGTCATAGTATCCGACAGCGTGCTTGTCAATCCTAACCCGAAGATGCTTCGTTTCGCCCGCCTCAACCCAGGCCTTCTCAAAAGCCACAAGCTCCTTTTCTGGACGGGGCAGGCGAGACTTGACATCGCTCATGTAGATTTGGGCCGTCTCAAAACCGTCAACCTCTCCGATGTTGCTCACAGCGAAGATCACAAAGATAGGTTCGGATGCGGTCAAATATTTGCTAGACAGCGATGGTCGCCCGTATTCGAATGTTGTGTAGGAAAGACCATGGCCAAACGGGAAGAGTGGGGTGATGCGGGCGCGCTCGTAGTGCCTGTAGCCAATGTAGAGGCCCTCACCGTAGACCACTTCGAGATTTTCGCCGGGCCAATTATGATAGGCAGGTGTATCTTCGATGCGGCGGGGAAACGTGCACTGCAGCCGGTTGACCCCTTTGTTAGCTACTGAACCAAAGCTTGGGTGACGCGACCAAGCAAGAATTTGACCCACCGGAAGCTTTCCGCTAGGATTCTTCAGTCCAAACAAGACATCCGCCAGGGCATTACCGGCCTCCTGACCCTGATACCATGCTTGGACAATGGCAGGAACCTCATCAGCCCAAGGCATCGTCACCGGCGAACCGGACTGATTCACCACCACGGTCCTGGGGTTGGCCGCCAGAACAGCCTCAATGAGCCGGTCTTGGCTGCCCTCTGAGGGCAGATCCATTGTCTGCCTGTCGTAACCTTCCGATTCCCACTCAGCATCAAGACCCACTATCACCACCGCCACGTCGGCCTTCTTGGCCGCTTCAATCGCTTCCTGGAGATAATTGATCTTGTCCTCTTCCTTGAAGCCAATGCGGCAGCCGCCATATTTGTGCGTCATGTTGAACTGCTTCTGTTTCGACAACGGCCGCAGCTCGTTGGTCATCTCCACCTTGAGCTCAACAGCCTTGCCAGCTTGCATGTTCACATCGACAAGATAGTCGATTGAGCCATCAAACATCGCTTCTCCTTCTTCTGCCCAATCCCACAGATCTAGTACAACTCTGCCGTCCAGGTACAGCTTCCCAGGCCCTACACTCATGAAACTGATGGTGTGCTTTCCAGTTGCCATTGGGGTCAGGTAGGTCGTCGCAATGGCTGACCATTCTGGTCCAACTTGAGCAAGTGGTGCAGAGTCCCACAAGAACAAGTCGGTATTCGTCCGCCGTTGATTAACCACAGGCAATCCTTGGAATTTGTCGCCAGCAAACCAGTCGATCGTCACGCCGGGCTTGCCTTCCTTCGTCTTGCAGAATGGGGATGCTACAGGAAGCCACTTGTTGATATGACATCCTTGAGCATAAATCACCTCCTGTTCTGCGGTATTCTTGATACTTTCCAAAGGTAAAGTGTTGTAATAGGGATTGAGACTCGCACTGCCTCCACCTCCTGCGATTGCGCGATTCGCGTTGGGGCCGATGACAGCAACCTTGGACTTTTTCCGGTCGAGTGGTAGTATCGCGCCTTCGTTTTTGAGCAGCGTCAAGCCTTGAGCACCCGCCTCCCGGATGAGAGCCCGAGTTTTGGGCTGGTTGTCTTCCCGCTCTGGTCTCTCCTCAGACATGTCGTCTTCTCTAACTCGATGAACCAGGGTCAAGACGTTCTCCGCGGCCTGGTCGATATCTTGTTGCGAGATTTGTCGTTGCTTGAGTGCTTCGAGGACCTTTTCAAACCTCCACTTGGTCGAGAAAGGGAACTCTATATCGCATCCCGCTCTAATCGATTCGATACTTGAGTTCACACCTCCCCAATCAGACATGACCGTTCTGTGGGGTCTGTCAGCGTGTTCAACTTTCGAGATGTTTTGTTGATATGTACACTTACCCATCGTAGCCCCATTCGCCACGAAGAATGTCTCTCAGATTATGGGTGTTCATATCTGCATGCATGCCGTTTACCAGATTATAAGATGTCATGATGGCCCATGGATTGGCCTCCCGCACGGCGATCTCGAACGGTTTCAGATAAATTTCCCGCAAAGGTCGTTCCTGGATAAGGGAATCTATCGTCAATCGGTGCGTCTCTTGCTCGTTCCCAACGAAGTCTGGGGAGGGCGTCAGCTGAGATGAATGGAGTGTCTTTCCGGCATTACGAACGCTTGATGGTGGCAGCAACGCCTTTCTGTTGGAGCCCGCGAATATACTGCGCCGCCAGCTTCCCAGTGAGAAGTGGATCCTCTGAGAACGACTCAAAATTCCTGCCGCCTAAAGGGTGACGGTGCATGCAAACGGTTGGGCCAAGCAGTATGTGGGCTGCTCTCCCCTTCGCCTCAACAGCAAGGTGCTGGCCGACTTCATATAGCAGCTCCCGATTCCATGTAGCGGCAAGCGAGACACCGCAAGGAAATAATGCAGCCTATACGTTGGTTAGCCTGTCGAGTCTCGAGCTCTCTGCATTTATATTGATATGAATACCTTTGTACCACCAACAAAAATTCCGCCCCGAGCACCGTTAGGCCCATCGCTCGTTTTCGCCGCCGGTATGCCCTTGGAAGTGATTGCGTTCGTTCTCCAGAAATCAGCTGCTGTGAGCAATGAGATCTTGGAATGTCAGCAGATCCTGAGGACTTCTAGGTTTCAACCGTGACAAGCTAACCTTTTCCTCCTGCGTAAGTGAGGCGATCTTGTTCCTTGCCCAGAGCCTGTCTTTGCTGACAGAACTCTGCATTGAATCTGGACTATCCGGTACAGAAATATTCGTATCGGGAGTGCGACAGGACCCAGCACTTCCAAAGGGAGATGCTTCCATGGGAGACGGCTCCAGAGGAGACGCATTGAGCTCGATTTCACTATCCACGGCCAGTTCCGTGGCAGCCTGTACCGTCGTCATGTTGTGCAGCTCGAAATATCACACTTTGGTGTAGGTGTCGGTCGAATTTGGTATTGCAAGACAGCTGGATCTGCTCGTCAAGGTGAAAGGGTCCAAGCTGGTCTTCTGCGCTCCAGTCTGACGTATGGAAACGAGCGTGATCGTTTGTATGAGGAACGAGTGGGTGTGACAGGAGGTACCAAAGGCTCTTTGGTGTCGAAACTGTCTTGACACAGAACCGGAAATGCTGTGGCTGTGAACGGAGGCAGGATATCACCTGGGTAGCCGTGGGGTGGCGCGATTCCTATATAAGCCTTCGAGTGTTCTGAGGGATCCGCACCTCTCGCACCTCCCGAAATTTAACCGCAAAACAAACAAGAAGATCGGACAAATCCTCCCAAGTGATAGACCCATGACAAGAGTTCCTATTGGTAAGCCCGCGAGTACCATGGGTCAGACTGCCGGAGAAGATTGGTAGACATCAAACACGTGAGGTATCCTGACAAACAGCCTCGGTTCTGGGAGTCTCTTCGAGGCACCGTCCCATAAAAGATTAGCAACGATATGTTATCATACATATTGGCAACACAATAGTATTTTTGGAGTGGGAAAAGGGTAGCAAGTGGGAATAATTCCTAAGCCCCGTCAGAGTGTACTCAGTCAAGGCAGCGCCATGAGCCCTCATCTATAGCGGTCTGTGAAGGGAAACCAGGCACGTCGGTAGGAACGGACCGCATGAGCGGCGGACTTTGCGGCAGGCCCAGACTGTAAGAAGAGACAACTGTGCAGCACGCTGATGCCGCTGATGAGAGGGTGACTACAGCCAGCCTGACCGTTTGTGGTGACGAGGTCCTGGGTGCTGAGCAGTGTCTTGGCATCGGCTAGGCGGTTGGGGGTTCAACCTCGACGACATCACAGCCCGTCAAGACAGAAAGTATGCTCGAAGTTCACAAGTATCGAGCCTCAGCACATCCTCTGCAGTGGGTACGTGGGTACGTCTTGATAGCTGCAGCCACATTAGCACAAGCAGGGTTCTAGGTTGCACAACGCAAGATGGACCGAAGTTCCTGCATCCCGACTGCGTGAGACGGTAATTCGGGACTGCAAAGAGCTGGGGTCTTCACCCCCTGTACAGCTGGGGCGGTTGGCAACCCTGGCCACTACCGCCGATCCCTCGGGGGATCTCAACAGCCATGCTGCTATGCTACGTTGTGCTGTTGATATCATGGTCGCCGCCCGCCACAGTATGGGGATCGATTGGGGGCCCCTCACCACGGCCGGTAGAATCTGTGCGTGTGCTCTTCAGGTATCATCCGCATCGGATACGATACCACTTGCTGAGAGGGCTGTGGAGTCGTCTCGATACGAATACGTGTGCGAGCCTACCAACGCACAGCTTTATGAAAAGCAGGGTGCGATAGTGGTGTACTATGAAGGCTATTGTACCGCTTGTGGACAGAACAACGTTTGCGTTTGTCGGGGTGGGGGGGGGGGGCCGCCGCCGCGACAGAGCGCGCAAGAAAGCAAACCACCGGGCTGCGGAAAGGAGCAAAGGCGGCGCCACTGCTGCTGTTGCTGGGCACGATCGAGCCGTTGCGTCGAAGTACAATTTCTTCGACGCAGGGTCCTGAACGCTGCGGCGAGTCTTGATCGCGGCAAGGTGCTCGGGCGGCAGCCCGGGCCGGAACTCCTCCCAACAAGTGGGTCTTCTCCGGATTCTCTGGGCTGGCTAGTCGGAAGACCCCACGAGACGAGCGGACCCGCCGTCGACTTCAAGCCGTCCTCGTCATGCAGGCTTCCAGCAGCATTACAAGTCGCGCAGGACGCGTTGTCCCACCGTATGTGGCTGTTGTGATGAACCAGCAAACCTGCAGTAGGCAGAGGACCCCGCCGACCCTTGCCCTTGCAGGCTCGCTGACAACGGTCCGCAAGGCTCTTGTCGGAGTTGATTGCGATTCGTGGACGGTGGCTGACGACCGGGCCCGGCACGGCCCCAAATCATTTCGACTGCCACTGACCATTTAGCATGGTGAAACGTAAGCCGACGGAGGCTCATGGAATCTCACTACTGCAAGGCCTGGCTGGGCTATAGCGTATGACACGGCCATGGACGACCAGATAGGAACCGCAACATCCGTTCCAACTGAGGTGGATCATCTATTGTGTCTATTAATCGGCGTTTTCACCGACAAATAAATTGAACAATGTCAGCCGCGCATTCTATGTCTCTCCCAGCCCCCCGGCCGCCAGGACTCTCAGTGGTCAGAGTCGAGATCAGGCTATGGCGCTGACGGCAGAATAGATGCGAGTGGTCCCTAGGATACACAAGCATGTCAGCAAGGAATGTAGCCCGGAACATCCTCCTGGAGGCAAACATATACTCACTGGTGTTGAATACGTACGACTGCATCGCACAGAACTCGGAGGTTACTATATGCTAGTCACAATGAAACCTCATGAATGACTGGCGTGACGGCGTGAGTAGAGATGCGGGAGAACGGCAATGTACCCGTCGGGAACCTCGAGTCGACATCCTAGAGGCTCTAGATAGAGGACGACAGAGGCAGAGGGGGATGGAGAGGCAAAGGGGAACAAGGCGAGAAAAAACCAAGCCGACAAGAGGCGATACGCTGCTCTCGAAAAAGAGACTCATGTCGGAGGGTTTCAATCTATCGCACCAACACGAGGCAGGCCATGTTGGATGGAAGGGCGGCAGCGCTGAAGGTTGCGGCGTGGGAATAACGAAGTTGTACCGAGAACGAATCGGAGAGAATCTGCAATCTCTCCGCTGAACCTTGCAGGGTAGCAGAGACCCAAAGTTTCAGGGCGTGGGTGATGGATGGGCTACTAGTCCGCGGGTCCCAACGGCCTGGTTGTGCGTGGAATGGAAGAGGCTCAGGGTGGGTCGTCTTGTGGTCGTCGTGTCTTCCGTGCCAATTCTGCACATGGCAGGTGCGTCGACATGGTGGAGCTCTTAGGTAAGGCAGGATCATTGTTGCCATAGGTGACTAAGTGGCCACCAGATTCAGGAAGATTTCTTTAACCTCCGTAAATGGAAATTTGGGGTTGAGATTGTGCTTTGGCTGACCTCTCCACAATGCATCTTTCCTTCTCCCCGCCAACAGGCTGCATGCTGTCCTCGCCTCTAACGAGTTGCTCGTCGATATTGCGTTATCACTCACCGGCAAGGTCTAATCGACGGAGAAATACACAGTAGCAACATCTGGGACCGGGATGATCTGTCACCATCCGAAGTTTCGCTTACGAGTGGACCGTTGACCGTCCTGTCTTCTTTCTTCCTCTCATACTAGTCGACCAGGAAGTGTGGTTCTGCCTTATGCACGCCGTCCAGCATCCGGTACGAGTACCAAGTTCGCGCTGGAGGGTGAAAGGTACCCCTGCTTCTCGACATGCCCGCGATGATGCTGTATACTGCCTTCTCACAACCTCGTCGCACGAGTTACAGGTTGATCCAAGCTGGCCACACCTCTTTGGACAGACTCGGTAACATGTTGTGGCTGCGTCATTTGATGTACCTGAGTTGGGAATGCTGCAGTCTCTTCTGTGCCTCGGAGCTCTCATGAGCATGGAAACCTTGTTCCCAGGCCTTGCTCAAAATTTCAGGCAGGTTCTCTTCAACACTGTTGACTCGCTGCTGATCCCTCAAGGTCAGGGTGAATCTATCCGAAGCACATCAAAGGGCGACCTTGTGGCTGGCCGCTTGCCGAATCGACTTCGGAAGTTCCATCCGTGGACTGCATGCCGGTATGCTGCCAGTGTACCAGGTGGAGAAGGGCACGGGTTTCGCCTCCACGGAAATTCATGTTCGCGTGACCGCTTCGGTCATCCACACACCCAAATAGAGAAAGATAGAGAGAGGGGGGAAGAAGACACAAGACACACAGCCCAGCGATACCATCTGCAGGCCTCCGCATTCATATCGAAGCAGCCCATTAGAAAGTCTTGGCATCAACCCGTCAGCCCTGTGATCCTGTGATCCTGTGATCCACGAGGTAGTGGTGAGACCCAAACACGGTCGGTTCAAGAGGATACGAATTTCCGATGGGTGGACGAACATTTCGTCGAGGATGACGAAAGACGGTGTCGAGATTATGCCGTTGCTTCCATGCGGCCCCGGCCGCAACGTTTCAGTAAACTTGTCCCAAATGATGAGGCCTGATGATAACGATGCATGACCTCCCAGTCAAAGGTGGGTGTCTGGGATGATTGTGCTATGCCCGTCGATTCGCTCCCCCACGCCGGCCCACAGACTGATGGCGCCCTCCTTTCATTTTCTGGCATACGTCTTATCAGCATCCCATACTTGCGAGCAAGTTTTATTCACGTCCCTTCTTTTTCATCGATCGAGATATCATATCCTTACAAATCCTTCAACGCTGCTTTGTGGATTCCACCTCCTTCAGACAATACATCCCGTGTCGATGGGAAAGAGGCATATCACGCGGAGGACTGATTAGCGTGACCATTCTGCGGCCAGGAGGAGAAGAAGGAGAAGAAGAGCATCTCGTGACGCCGTAAATGATCTTCCTTAGTATGGACTGCATCCCAGCCCGTCTCTTGTCTTAATTCTGGTCAAAATCCTGAGTGGGTACACTGGTAAGCATGAGTCTCCTCGAGAAGAGCCACTTTGAACATGTGATAATTGACCAACACTCGATACATACACTCGCAGAGAACCGACCTCAAGCCCATTTAAGGCAAGGGCTAGTCTCTCGAGAGACTACCTTGCATCCACGCCAAAGCAGACTGGGTACCATATACAAAGCATAAATGAACAAAATTGGCGGTGAGGCACAAAGAGAGGACGAGTAGGGTTTGACTGTCAAGTTGCAGATCTACTAGATTTTGCTCCTGCTCGGACTGTCTGAACGTGCTTGGAGCAGAAGTCCGCTGTCTTGCCTTGCCTGGGTCTACATACTGCTCTGTCGATGTCAGCTATCTTCTCTGTGGGATAACATGTCGAGAACATCAAGATAAGTTTGTGAAAGCCTCCTAATTGCATCTTTGCAAAAACACATACTGCTCTTCAGAATCTCCCGATCCGAGGTGATTTGTTTATCGAGTCAACCCCTACCCGACCCAGCTGATGAACTCTTGACCTGCTGGGATTTATGCTCAAGTCGGGAATATCTCCCAGAGACATCATGTTACTCTGGTATGGATATACAGTCAGAGCAGATGGGTACCCCGACAAGCTATCAGGAAAGTTCCTGGAAGATATCTCGTGGCGCCCGCGGCCTCGCAGTTTGCAAAAGGGCAAATGCTTCTTCCCACACCATGTTGAAGGAACACGCATCTTTCGAGCCCTTCAGCTGATAGAAATGCCACTGCGTACCACCCAGAGTGCAGTGGGGCTGACTTTCCTTGGCAAGGAAAATGATGCCTAATGATCAGGGTTTTCATCCGCCAGCCAAAACCTTGGGTGGGATGCCAGCTGTTCGAGGACGAAGCTTTTGACGATTTCAGATCCGGCCGCTAGCGAAGGACATAGCGTTCTGAGGACATTTCCTCGCGGAAATCGGCAAGGGAGGGTTGCGATAAGACGGTAGAGCCTGGATGCAGAAGTTGGTGAAGCCCCCTAAAACAGTGGCAGAAGTCTACCCTGGACTGGCCTGGGCTCGGGCCCGGGGCAAGATATAATCATAATGCTCCTAGGCAAGCCTGCAGGGTCGCGGGCCAGATCGCCACCAGCACCAAGAGGCGCCGCGGTCGTGGTGGCGAGGACGGCATAGCCGCAGCAGGTGATACCCGTTCATGTCGTGTAACGACGTTTGTGCGATGGCCATGCTCTCTTTCTCGATCTCACTTTCCTGTTTGGTTTAATTCATCAGGGTCCCCTTGCTTTTCTGAGATGCAAAAGTGACAGCTCTGCAGGATCTCTACCCTTTCAGCTGTGGCGCCATATCAGATCTCAAAGTCGCTTGTCTTTTCTTTTCATGTCCTGATATACGGATTATATAAGCAAGCATGGCCAAGTAGGCCGTCAGTCGCAACATACTTGCGGAAATGAGGTGCTCGGCTTCGGCATTCATCAAAGTCTACCATGCTGTAATATCTAATCTGATGATCCCCACCGCCGAGCCCTGGGTCCGGCACTGCTTCCGTAATGAATTTTTTGGGATTTTTTCTCACAGTATTCTCCAGTCCCAAAGTGCAAAATTCAGTGTGCTGGGTGCAATCTGTATTTTTAAGCAACTGCTTATCTGGGCTTACTGAGCAGCCTTTGTGTTTCTCTGATTCTCTGAACTCTGTTACTTCGGCTTGTACACGACGTCATTTTGCATGGCTCATACTTTTCTGCAGTGGCGCTAATGGATGGCACTTGTTACCTGATAGCGCCTTCTGATCTCCACTAATAGGCTGGCTACCAACGACAGGCCTTTGGTCTATCTGCCCACTCTTACTTGTGTTGAGGGACAGCGACGTCGCTCAGCATTCTACACTAACAACACACAACATCTTCAAACATTCTGAACACAACAGAGAAGCCTTGGGTCCCTGCACCCACGACTTCCCTGACCACCCAATCTCCACGAAGCTACTGCCAGTGGTCAATCGACATACACCCATTGTGTGCAGGGCAGAGGGCAGCAAGCCCTCCAGCAGTCAGGAGAGATGGCGTGGTCAAAGTCTACTCGTATCAGCATCATGCTGGCCATTGATGTCGCCTTCTTTCTTGTCGAGCTCATCTCTGGCTTTCTGGTCCACTCCCTGGTCTTGATGGCTGATGCTTTCCACATGCTCAACGACATCATCTCCCTCCTGGTCGGACTCTGGGCTGTCCGCCTCGCGCAGAAGGCTACCACCGACAAGTACTCCTACGGCTGGCTGCGCGCCGAGATTCTTGGCGCCTTCTTCAATGCCGTTTTTCTGATCGCCCTCTGCGTCTCGATCGTTCTCGAGGCCGTCACGCGATTCTTCGAACCGCCTGAGATCTCGAATCCGAAACTGATCCTTATCGTTGGCTCACTCGGCCTTGCCTCGAATTTGGTAGGATTTCTGGTACTTGGAGGACATGGACATTCTCATGGGCACGAACACGGCGACGAGGAACATGGGCACGAACACGCACATGGACACGGACACAGTCACAACGACCTCAGCGAGGCAGAAGAGGGCAGGGTCGGCGCGAACCAGGCAGGAGACGAGAGCGAGGGCCCCATTCTAGAGTACCTTCCCGAAGTCGTGGTATCCAAGTTCAAGCACAAGAGCTCCGCGTCCATGGGATCGAAGCGGATATCGTTCGACGAGACCTCCCAGATAACCGAGAGAACTGGCAGCAGGGCATCCCACCGTGGCAGGTCGCGACGCCGCGGCAGCACCGGTCGCAACAACGTCACGAGCATTGACGACATCAGCATCTATCCTTCATTCTCCCGACAGGACATCCTTGCAGCGACGCGACCCCAACCTCAGGAGCTGAGCTCGGACAGCGGCGACGATGTGGATGATGCCGCCGTGAGCGAGCAGGTGACGGAGAACACACCTCTCATTGGAAAGAGAAGCGGCAGCGTGGGCAACGTCAACGGTAAGCACGTTGACTCTGCACCCAAGCGGGGTCGGTCTAGGAGAGACTCGAGCCTGCACAACACCCACAACCACAACAAGCCTCGCAAGGCCGGCCAGTCAAGTCATGGCCACAACCACGCCGACATGGGCATGAACGCCATGATCCTGCACGTCCTGGGTGACGCTCTCGGCAACGTGGGCGTCATCGTCACGGCCCTTATCATCTGGCTGACCGACTGGCCGGGCAAGTACTACGCCGATCCGGCTGTGTCCCTCTTCATCACCCTCATCATCCTCAAGTCCGCTCTTCCCCTCACCTTCGCCACCTCCAAGATCCTCCTACAGGCCACGCCTGAAGGCCTCGAGGTCCAAGATATCCGCGAGGACATCGAGGCGCTTCCCGGCGTCATCACCTGCCACCACGTCCACATCTGGCAACTGTCCGACTCCAAGATCGTTGCGTCCATGCACATCCATGTCGCCTTCCCCATTTCAGAGGCTGGCGGCGAGAAGTACATGGAGCTAGCTAGACGGGTGCGCCGGTGTCTGCACGCATATGGCATCCACTCCGCGACCATCCAGCCCGAGTTTTGTCTTGACCAGACGCACGGCCACGTGCAGGATGCTGAGCAGGTGTTTAACATCGATGGCACCGCTGAGATGCGCAGATGCAATGCTACGAACGAGGGCGCATGCCTGTTGGAGTGCGTCGATGATTGTGTCGGACAAGGGTGCTGCTCAACGAGTGCCACGGCCGTGGATGACTCGGTGAGGAGCGACTGCAGCAGCCACTCGGCACATAGTCATGGAGAAGTTGGGCACGCGCATGACCACTAGGATGCAATGTGTATGTCGCCCGTGGCTTTTCGGTTCCCTTTGTTCGGGGCGTAATCTTATGAGCTTGTTGAGAAACGCTTCAGAATGGCGCTCACATGAGGGTTGAGTGTCTCAGAGGCATTGGTTTGGTTCATTCGCCACAGGAAGAGAACAACGCATAAAACAGTCGGAGGCTCAGGCCTTGATATTCATTGATTAGGTCTCTAATCACGAAGAAGTGCTTCTCTTTTCGTTTTCTTATCCTTTTTCTAATAGTCTATTCTCGTGGTGTGTTAGTGGCTTGCTTGTATTTGTTTCCCCGATGATCGCGTATATCCTCGGGTTTCGGCATTGCGCAGAAGAGAAAAGGCGTCATGGTTGATGTCGGCAGGTTGGAATGGCGTTGGTGGTTGCATATGTTTTTCTCTCTTTGTAGCATATTATGCCGGCATAAATAGTGAAAACAACGGGGCATACCAAACTTCCACAAGACCCTTCAGCCAGTCCTCCCCTCATTCTTCATATCAAGGTTCGCAAACATACCCCCCCCCCCCAACCAACCCCAGCCCCCTGGAGCAGCTAGCAAATTCCCAACGACAAGCCACCACGCCACTCAGCTGCAGTGTCCCATCCACCTCCACCCTCCCCCGAGTGAGGGCAAAGCTGGAGCTACTGACCTCACTGCAAGTGGAGGCGTCCCCTAAGGGGAGCGATTGGAGAGTGCTGAGGGTTGAGTGGCGATTATACACACGTCCCGGTCTGACATGGCTGGTTGGCCGCTGGAGACTAGGAGCACGAGTAAGTTGGAGAGGTGTTGAGGGTCTGGGCGTAGTGCATCTCGAGTTTATGAAAGGCCTGCAAATTGCTAGTTGGAAAGTGAGAACAGGGCTTGACGTGATGTTACTTGTCTAGTTCCCGAAATTGAAGGGATATAGGATATGAGCTTGAGGGTGTTCTTGAAGAGATAAGTAAGAAGACGTAGGAAGCAGAGGATGCTTGAGCATCCAAAGTATTGCATTCGTAAAGAAGTATGCTATGGTCATTCTGCATTGACAAGACGGTTTCCAGTTACCAGCACCAAACAATGAAAGACTTCCCAGCCCAAGTCAGGGTCTGGCCATACCGTGAGCTTATTATGAGACAACTTCACTCTCGTAGTCCCAACCCCCAGCCATACATTTCGTACATTTACATCAGTCGTTAGGTGGTCGCTCTGTCCCAACCGACACGGTCTCCATTTTGTCCAATCGTCGCCTCCCCCTAGTGATAGTAAGGGTTCATGTACACCTCATCTGGTATTTTAGAGCGGGCATTATTGCTCTATCCAGCGTTGCGCAAGGGGGGAATGACGAAACAAATCGTCTTCCTATGTGGTGAGGACCGAAGAAAAACACACGCTCAAGTACCGCAGCGTATATGCATCTGTCCTTTGATGTTCCATCCTGTGAACCTGTTCCACGTGCTTTACTTGAAACTGTAGAACAGGTTCACATCTAGTCACGCTGGAATATCAGGCCTTCCGTTTTCCTTGCCGGCAGCCTTGGCCTTGGTCATGTCGGGGGTCACGACTCTGTCACCCTTCTTGGGAGAGGGTGTCGGCGGGGGGCCCATCACATTGACTTTGCTCTCGGCCTCGGTGATCGCAGCAGCAGCCTCGGCCTCCCAGTCCTCATCAACATCCTCCTCCAAGTCAACATTCTTGCTTGGTGTGGGCTGGGGGCCCAGGCTCCAGTCAATCTCGCCCGCCTCACCATACCTGGTCACGAGCCACTCGTTTGCCTTCTTGAAGTGGCCGCAGTCGAAGAAGCCTCTCGACGCACTCAGCGGGCTAGGATGGACGGCCCTGAGGACCAGGTGGCGCTTCCCATCAATCTTCTGCACACGCTTGCCCGCAGGCGAGCCCCAGGCCATGAAGACCACGCCGCGGGTCCGGCGTGCGGCAACGAGGTCGATAACTTTCTGCGTGAAGCGCTCCCACCCGCGATTGGCGTGGCTGTTGGCCTCATGAGCACGCACCGTCAGGCACGTGTTGAGCAGAAGCACGCCGCGTTTCGCCCAAGGAGTGAGAAGGCCACCACGGTTGGGTGGTGGGACGAAGGAGGGATAGTCATTCTTGAGACAGGTGTACATGTTCTTGAGTGATGGTGGGGCAGAAGTGGGTGGCCTCACGGAGAAGGCCAGACCGTGAGCCTGGTTGTGGTTGTGGTAAGGGTCTTGGCCAATGACGACGACCTTGACATTATGGAAGGGGGTGTGACGAGACCTGTGGGGTGGTTAGCACAGACCAGGTATGAATATTCAGATTTGGGTGGGACCGCACCAAGAGTAGATGTCCTCCCGAGGCGGGAAGATCTTCTTGCCCGCACCAGCCTCACGGTCGAGAAATCTCTTGAGATCCAAGAACTCCCTGGTGACAATCTCGCCCTTCAGTTGGGCCAGCCAGCTCTCGTCCAGGGTGTCAATCTCAAGTTTGAGAAGCTCCCTCTGCTCATCGGTTAAGGAGGCCACCCATTTAGCCTTATCGAACTTGGGGGCAGCAGCTTCGGCAGCAGACGAGGCCGGAGAGGACATGAAGCCTTGGGCTGCAGACGTAGAAGTTGCCTTGGGAGCACCAAAGAAAGAGGTGATGCTCGCATTCTGCTTGGGCTTCTTGGGATCTGACCCAGCAATCTGGCCAGTGGCCTTGCGCTTAATGGACGACATGGTGGTGGCTGTTGTGGTGAGAGAAGGAAGGGAAGAAGTTGCTGGTCTCGTCGAGAGCAGGCGTGTGGACGGCACACAATTTGAGAATTGATCAAGGAAAGACAGATGTCCAACAGCAGGACGTGAATAAAAGAATGAAAAGAGGAGAAGGGCACAAGGAGAATGGGGTATCGCTAAGTGAAGCAGACGCGGAATCTTGACGGTGGTGGTGGTGACGACACGACACGACTCAAACAAAAAAAGAAAAGGCTGGAAGAACAAAAAAGGGAATAGACGTCAGTCAGACCACAACCACTAACCGACTTGACTGTCTGACGGATGGGGTTCCTGAGCTGAGTCCCAATGGTAGTAAAGGAGGAAGAGAGGATGGACAAGAAGACAGCTTGCTTGCACCTATTTAAGAGAGGAAGGAAGAGAGAGGAAGGGAGAAGGGAAGGAGGGGAGAAAATGGCTGGGCTTCCTCTTCAGCTTAGACGAGTTGAGATGAGACGAGGCAGGAATCCAAGCTTAAGCTTGAAGAGGTCAAGACGTGCCGTCATTAGGTTTTGCATTAGGCCTCTGTGCGGGCGCCCGCCCGCCGCGCGCAGCGGGTCACAGGGGATTTCTGGGGAGAAAATTAGCAGGGTGGTCAGTGGGCAGGGGCCTTGACAGCTAAGAACGAGCTGCGAGAAAAAAACGCGTAAATGACGGGCGGCGCGGTGCCAGGGCCCTGTACCGTGGAGGGAGACGCGCTGCAGGTCGCGTTTAATGGGATTCTGAGCCCCACCTTCAGTTAGCTCTCTACAGTGGACATGGTTTAGCTCCCGTATATTGCACATTTAGTCTTCACCAAAGCGCGGCCGAGCATCGATCCAACGACCGTCCCAACACGAACCTTGGAGAAGAGGAGACTTGGGCATCGAATAGAAGTCCTATGCTTTATGTCCCCGAGTTTTCTGTTGTTGAAGTTCTGTCTGCTGCTCTGAGAGCTCTGAGAGGTCATTGCCTCTTGTGCGCCACAACCAATTCGTTCATACCCACTCTAGTGCAGGGTCCCTCTGGAAAGATCCGCAGACGCGCTGCCTAGAAGTCCAACCGCCTCGACGCGTCCTCGACATTCCCACCATCGTGCTCGCGACGGCTGCTGGTGTCTCGGCCATGGTCAGCTTCCTCAACATAACCACATCGTCAACGTAGACCTTGGGTCTTCGAGATCAGGCGTGCCTCTCGTCGGGGCAGACACGCGAACCCTCTCAACCTCGACCCCGACCCGACCCTACCACCCGCCGCCATGGGGTCGGCAGAAGACGATCACCACTGCAGTCTTCTTGAATCGTTACCAGCTCGACCCCCGACTCCCCCCAGGGAGACGGCCAGCCATGACCTCGACGTCCTCTCCAAGCACTTAATTGCTCCACAGCAGCTGCTCAGCCATCCGCGAAGTTTACAGACGCCCCCCGGTGTGCTGTCTCCCACCACTTCGTCTGGAGACTCGACGGCACGGAGGAAACGAGTTGGGTTCTCTTCCCAGGCCCAATACCAGGATCCTCCAATATACACCGACCCCCCTTCAAGGAGACAGCAGCAGACGCCCCTATCGCTCCCGTCCAGCAGCTCCAGACCCGTCAAGAGCATATTGAAGCAGACTGCTGTGCCAAATAGGCTTGGTCCCGCAAATGGGGTGTATCTGGATATCGACAAGCCGGGCCAGGTCAATATTGCAGCTATGCTCGAGTCCACCCTCCAACAGCTCGCTGGAGCTGATAGGGAGTCTAAAGTCGACGCCTACATCATGCTCTTTCGTGCGCTGAAGGCATCCAGTAACCTCCCCGACCGGATCGCCCTCCAGGAGAAGATGGGACTCTTCATGCAGTTCATCCAGCGAGATTTATCTTACAGGACCCCGACTGGTACTGTTGACATTCCCATGGTGACCTCCGCCCTGAAGCTCCTCCACACGTTCCTACATTTTCCCGGCATCGCGTCAAGTATTCCCGTTGAGTTTGGCATGTTTTTCGTGGAACACTGCGTGCGGTCCTTTGAGGACGAGCAGGCTCCGAAAGAGGTCGTCAGACACCTCATGCAAGCATTGTATCTGCAGAACTTCTCTCTTGAAGTTATGAGTCTCGAGAGGGTCGGCCGTCTTGTCACTGCCTTGCATAACATCGAAAATCACCTGTCTAGAAAGAGCATCATTCAAAGTAGGATTCACGTCTATGAGAAGCTGGTTCCCCAGTGTCCGCAGCAGATGGCGGCACACTCGGACTGGCTGCAGGATCTCTTCACAGACATGTTGAGCAGTGCTGGTGAGATACGCTCAGCCGCCGCAAGACTGGGCCTCGACGCTGCTTTCACCCTCAATAAAGATAAGAGACTAGTCGGCCGGGTCCTGGACCTTCTCAATCTGAGTCTTGAAGACAAAAAATACGTCGAGCACATTATCGAGCGTCTGGGATCCATGCTCCAGAACAAGGATGAATCACAGTTCGTTCCGCGAATCTGGAGCGTCATCACCTTGTTCATCCCGAGTCCTGATCAGTGGGATCGTTTCAAGCCTTGGTTAGACATCATCAAGCGTTCCTTCAACCACTCCAACCTCCAGACGAGAAAAGAGGCCAATCTTGCCTGGAGCCGTGTTACGTATCGATTGTTTCTCGATCGCCGCTTGGACCACAAACCCGCTCTCCGCCTCATCCGAGAGCCTCTTCTCTCCCAACTCAGACGCAAGGGTCTTCGTGATTCCGTATTGGGTGCCATCCGCAACTTCTACTACTATGCTCTCAGGCCGGAAATGAACCTGAGAATGTTGAATGAGGTATGGGAAATGGGCGTCACACCACTTCTGCAGCGTCTCATCAACAGTGAGCAGGGAGACAAAGCGAACATGACACAGGCTGCCGCCATTTTGACCGGCTTGCTCGACTGTAAGACGAGGAGAGTGTGGAGGGAAGACCGCATCAAAGACCCCATGCTGGTCAAGGACGACGAGCTGCCTGCCATTGAGTCGAAATGGATCAGGGCCAATCCACACCACATTTTTGAGCTCGTCGGCCCAATTTTGGCACATGGGTTCGCCGGCATTTCAGTAGCTGGTAGCCCATTCCGGGACTTGTGGCGGGCACTTGTTCAGTCGGTGGCCTCTGCCTCCACCAAAGACGTTAAGCTACACGATGACACTGCGAAGTTTGTCGCGGAAGCCTTCACCTTCCTGTTGGTAGCGTGGAAGCAAGGTCCACGCCCCGGATTCAATGACAAGCCGTGCACCCCCTTGGAGTTTTTGGACAGCACCAGAGATTTCGTCCTTATTCTCGTGGAAGGACTCGGTCTTTTGCCCAATCCCTTCACTGGAATTCATTTCGTCCGAACTAAGGAAGATCAGTTCCTTCCATCGGCGCCGACGCAACGGTCAGTCAAGAGTCATGGCTCGAAGCGTCTGCCTTTGCACCATCTCTTCCTTCTGTTCTGTCACTTGCCGCCCGGCATACCAGACGATAATACGACTATCCAGTTTTTTGATTCTACCTTCGCCCCTTTCTTCACCGGCAAGAATGCGAAGGCACAGGCTGATCTTGCACAAGAGCTATTGCGCCTCCTACCCATGGATGCACACTGTCCATGCGGGACATGGGTCATGTGCGCTACCAAGATGTCTGCACCTCTTGAACGTAGCCAGCATGGCTCTCTGGGTAGCAGTCCTGGGGCGGGGAGTAATACCGGGCTGGAGTACCGTGATATGGTCAAGCTTTTGGAGCGTGGTCTCAAGTCAAGCCCAAATCTTCCCTGGACCCACTGGAATCGGTTCTTCCAGAGGCTCACTTCTCGCCTGAGAGATGAAGTTGGCGATGCTGGTGTCGCGGTCGCTGCGGTTGAACAGCTCGCAGGTACTATTGAGGATATGTCTCTGGATGAGCACGCGGGTGGGATCCAGACACGTCAATTTGACGCAGCAATCGAGATATTGGCTGTTTCCACTCATCCTCGGGACAAGCAGGCCCTTGATGCCGCGAAGAGACGTCTTTGGGGCTCATCAAACGCCGGCGCACGACATCCTTCGTTTGACCCATTTGACAATATGTACAGGCTCCTCGTCAGCGTGCTGGAGAGGGTTTATGGCCACATTAGGTCCTGCGATTTGGATCGAGTCACAAAGCTCTTGAGTGGGGTGGAAAGCTTCTTTGAGCGCGCTCATCCTCAGCTCGAACTTCGAGCTTTGATTGCCATCCAGACAGGCCTCATGTGCTGGCTTGAGGACGAGGACCATCGCATCACCAAAACTGATGTCCCTGGTGTGCCTGAGGCAGTAAGTCACTCAACATGATCTCAAGCTGCTGGAATATTACTAACATTGTCTAGGTGCGGTCACTCTGGCAAAGGCTTTGCAAGATTCTTGCTCAAACAAGTGCGGACAACCTGCACCTAGCCACCATCGAGCCGCTATTCTGCGCTGCGTTCCGCAGTACTCATCGTGAGATAATTCGCTTTACGGCAGAGGCGTGGAATCGAATTTATGAAGACAGAGAGCAAATTGACTATCCCGAAGCCCTCAAGACAGTGCTTGCATCACTAGGTTCCGCTGTCGAAATTACCCGCCCTGGATTGGAGATACCCGACGCCGAGGAGATCCGCCATAACTTTATCGAATCTCAAGACGAGATCGACACCCTGTCCGTAACGCCTCTCAGAAACCTACAGCCGATACCTCAGCCTCGCCCTTCTGCATCCCGCCCTTCTCCCGCTCAGGTCTTGAACGATGCAACCGAAATATTCAACGGCAAAGAGCAAATAACGCCCGAAGCTAGGACCAAGTCTAAAGGACACACCCCGAAGCCGAAGCTCCGTCATGAGGACTCCCAGCTACAATTTGCTGCTATCGAGTTCTCGCCCATTATGATCGCCCAGGAATCTCAATTACTCACGGACCGACAGCAGGAAATCCGGGAGAGACAACAGGAGACTGCTGCCATGTTCCCGGAGATACGGTCTAGCCCAACTGAGAAGACGAAGAAGGCACAATCAGCCAATGTGCAACAGCCCTCTGTGTGCACGGAATCACTTCGCGCACTGACCCCGGAACGTGAAGGAGACTATGAAGATTGTCTCACCTCAACTCCAACACCACGGCGAGGGCGGCCTATATCACTTCCGGTTCACGACCAGGAAATGACCGATCCGCCGTCCTCGCCGCCTGAGCCAAGAACGTATCGCCTCCTCGCCGAACTCAAGTCGCAAGCGACAAGCAACAAGTCCCTGGTAGACTGGCAATTTTCATCATCCCCTGTTTCTGGGTCTCCCAACCTAGCTCTGCAGGCTGCATCGGCCTCGCAATCCATGGAACTAGACGAAGTCGACGAGGAGCTGCGGCTAGATGACGAAACTCCTTTGGTTCAAAATGACGAGGATGTCCACGTGGAACAGGAGACCGGCACGTCCTCACAGCCCGAGGTTGATACAGAGATCATTGAGGAGACCATTCTCTTTGATCCCACCGAGGAAATGGTTGTGCCAGCGGCAGCACCAGTGTCAACTACCATCAACGAAACTCAGTCCACTCCATCCGGGCGACGACTGCGATCCAGTGCCATTGAAATCACCCCTAAGTCCGACAACGATGAGTTTGTGGATGCGCCTAGTAGTCCTTTGCCGCCCACGCCCAGCCAGAGAGTCACCAGGCAAAGCCATTTGTCTGCCAGTGTGCGGCATCCGTCTCGCCAAACCGCCAACAGTCAGTTATTTGACGTCAGTCCCTCTTTCGAGAATGGTATGAGAAATCTTGGGACTGGTCGGATCGAGATTCCGTTACGAAGCTCGCAATCGAGCTCACCCAAGAGGAGAGAGTATAAAGCTTACAGCGATATACTTTCCGAATCACCTGAGCAGGCTCTCGATAGTATCGAGGTGGCTGGCGCAGAGTCTAACAAACCGAGACGTGGACGCTCGAAGAAGACCCAACGTGCTGCCTTGGCCTCTCAAAATTCTCAGCCAACTCAGTCTTCGCAGCCACCACTCAACATCCAGGCTCCGCAAGGTCCACACATAAACAACAGCCTGTACACTCCAATTCACCAGCTTACGGTATCCGAGTCACTGGACAGCTTTGAGAACGTCTCCCCGGGCAACGGAAAATGGCTGAGGAAACGCAGACGATCAGCCTCGTCTTCGGTATACAGCAGCGGTGGCGGCAAGAAAGCCCGACATGATAATCATGTCGTTCAGGATGATCAACAAGAGGTGCCTGATAGCCAACCTGCTGCTGCTGCTGCTGCTGCTGTCAAAGAGGGTAAGTCAGAATCGTACAACACGTCAGTTTGCAACGAGTCATGAATGCTAACGGGGGCTGCATAGATCACCGTGTACAATTGCAAACAGCTGAGGAGCTTCATGCAAACGAAGTGTCTTTGGTATCAAATGATGGCAGCTCTCCCATTCGGCACGAGGTTTCTGAGGAACCTCCAGCAACGGAGGGGCCCGTCCAGGAAACCCAGCCGCAAAGCACGGCCAATTCCGACCAGCCAGATGAGCCCATGGGGGATGCAGACGAGCAGACAGATGACGAAGAGGCTATACACTCACAACTTACGAGAGAAGAACACCAGGCATCCGGCGGAGAAGAGTCTCCAATAGCCTCTCGTGCAATCTCACCTGCTATGTCGATTCAGCCCGCAGAGGTCATTGAACAAGAGGCCCCCCAGGGTGTCACAAACATCGATGAGCCAAACGCAGAGTCTGGGTCAAGCACGTTCGACAGCCTTATGAATCAGTTCAAGAACGGACTTGAGACACTCCGGTCAGTAGGTCTCACGAGAGAACAGTTCTACCAGGCAGAGAATGTGTTTTTCGAGATGAGGAACGAGCTGCTCGAGGCAGAGCGGCGTGGTAGGAGATGAAGTGGTTGTTCGCGTGGTGTAACGCCGCAAAGTATAGCCTGGTCTGTACTTTGCCTCGTGCATGGCGACCATGTGTGTATGTGTGTTTGGAGTATGCAAATGAACGTGCGGACTAGGATATGTAGTTCATAATAATGATACCATCAAGACCATGCTATCCGTTCCTGAATGCAACCTGTTTCCCTGCTGCTGAAGAGCGAATCCCTCAAGGTCAAGGGGTATGCAACGTACTTACAACTCGAAGCTATAGAACGGCTTTCTGATTTACCATTTGGGTCACCCAGGTGCCGCTAAGACTCCGGCAGCCGATCCAAATGAATGACCATTTGGAACATTGAAGTTCGGGGAAGGGGATCAGCAACCATGAATGGCCCCTGAAAAAAAGAAGAAGAAAAAACAACTAGTCCAGTACCCCCATGACGAGCAATGATGGTGACGACAGCAATCGCTTTGGCAGCCGTGGCGCTGATCAGGCTTCCAACGGCCACTGTTACTTGACATACGTAGATTATAGAACGTGGATCGTAGAAAGTGACAAGTAAAGGTAGAATCTACGGCCTAGACGCATACACATAAATAGGCAGCTGAAACTAAGGCAGAGTTTTTCGACAGACTTCACCCCGGGTAATAAGCAGGAAGAAACCATATATAAGAGACTTAGAATCACTCACGCAGCCTAAATACCAGGGAAAGCATCAATGATGCTTTATCCAAAAACAAAATTGCAGACCACAAGCACCCAACCCGGTGAAACATGTCTACGAAGTGACTTTAACAGACCATTTCTCTGCCGTAAACTCGAGCTTGCCTTCCGCCTCTAGCTCGGCAGGATTCATTAATACCCTGATGCCAACAGGCTGTTTTTGAATCTCGAACACACAGAAGATTACGTATACTGCTTCCGTCTGATTCCTGTGGGTGTGCATCTGGCATAGGAAAGTCAGTCTCCAATGAAGTTTCATCCCAATATCACACAGAATCGTAGGCGAGGGGGGGTTTTGGGAGCAGCTGGGAAAGGGCCACTCACTCGTCGGTACTGCGCCTGGCTCATGTAGAAAGGCGTGCTGCACAGCCCCGTCGTCGTCTCTACCTCAAGGTAGTACATTGGCTTCCTTTCTCGCCAAAGCGCTCCTTCGAGGTGGCCACTGTCGATGAGCAGCTTTGTCAATGCCCCTTGTGTTCGTAGCTGTCTCCATGTGACTCCAGCGATGAATGCCAGCGTACTCGGGGTGAACTTTGACGTAGTGCCGGATTGTGCTCTGCCACTGAGCGAGGGAGAAGTTCGGTAGAGAGAGGGACTTCAGCAGTTCGAATACCTGAAGCGAGGATACCATGTTAGTCAACATCACATTGTTTCTCGCAACAGGCCGATTATTAGCTTAAATCGGGCCAGTGAAGACCTACGCAAAGCTCTCCTGCTGCACCAATCTTTATATCACGCTCGAGTGAAGAAGAATATTCAAATTCGTAATCACCGTAGCTGGTCCTAGAGTCACCGGAAAGAGGTAGAGCTGAGAGCATTCCAGACATGTCGAACGAGTCTCCCCTGTTAAATCGTGCCGCCCGTGCAGCAGAGACGACCCGGCAGAGAAGATCTCGATAATGGTCTTGTCTTGGAATCTCGTGTGGAATTAGGTCTAAATCCTCGTAACCGGGACTTTGAGCACTATTGAACGCGGTTAACGGCTGCTTTTGAAGGTAATATTAGAGTGGAATGCCATGCAGACTGACCTGGCTAGTTTGCCAATGGATCCAGAGCTGCGTAAACCAGACGTTGCATGTATCGAAGTCCGATCCAACAGCGGGTTCAAGAATTCATCATCATACTCATCCTCACCACTCTCCGATTCTGTGCTCTCATACATATCCTCTACGTCGGCATTAGCAATACCGTCTTCTTCTAGTATTAGCTCATAGAGCGATCGCTCGGTGATATTCAGAATTTTCTGGATGGCGAATTGGCCTCTCAAGGCAAGCTCGTCGGGGATCCGCATGCTTGCATCTAGTAGCAGCCAGTCAAATAGACGGGGACCGAGTTTTGAGAGGTACACCAGATGCTGACTCTTCCTGTCCCGGGAGATGAATATCTCGAGCTGGGCTCCTCGTTCTCGGATATGAAGATCGCTGTGCTCCTTGACGTGTTTATGAACTTCCCCGTCTTGTGAGAGGGTCAATTCACAAGTTATCTCGTTCGTCTCATAAACCTGTGCATTGCGCAGCATTTCGTAGAGCGGGGTGTTGGAGTTGTGCAACCTGGGGCTGCCGTAATGACAGGCGATTCTGTGAGGCAATCCAAGTAATTAATATACAGCGTAGTAGCTCAAGAGAGACTCGGGACTGTACCGATAGAGAGCGTGTGCCTTCGGGCTGATCTTGCGTTCCTGACGCCGCGTGGGTTCTTTGGTCTGGCCATTAACCGTTGTGACCTCTTTGACCATGACCGACATGTACTTCTTCCCCAGACCGATCCATACAATGAATGGGCCAAGTAGGTGGACTTCATCAAGAGAGAAGTCAAGTGTCTTGACCCGACGCGCAAAGATGCTTTCCAGTGGAGTTGTGTCGACAATGACAAAATCAGCAGCAGTAGAATCAAGGCTGACACTTCCATCAGGGTGCCGGATCGGAATTATTTTAGCTGTACGTAACGCAGTCGCTTTGCGGTAGTCCTTGGGCTCCATCTCTGCAAGAAAGGAGCTCAAAGAAATTATATTATCTTTGACATCGGCAGCAGAACTTTCTTGACTGTCGCCCAACCGGACAAGTTCATCACGGACGATCTCAAAGGTAAGAGTCTTCACCTGAAGAAAGTCGCAGAACATCTTTTCGAGGCCTGCGTAATGCTCGCTCAGGGTAACCTTCCCTTGGATTGGTGCGTTGCTTGACCACAAACAATCACGGAGAGAGTACCAGCGACAACCATCTTCAGTTGGCACACAGATGATGTTTCGCGTGTCAAATATGTCACTGATTTAATTTCATGTTAGAAAAGGGGATATAACTTCTCTTATGGGAATATTGACTGACATCGTAGACCTCTGTTCGACTCCTGTCACGTCCTTGCAGAGGTTGCTGAAATCCTGGTATAAATAGAAGACATTCTTGTCGTAGACCTCGTTGTAGCGGTTCAGCTCGACTAACTCGATCACTATCTCGTTCAACCCGCAGTCTTCGATCTCAAGCACAACACGGAACAGTGTTTCCACATTGCGCAACTCGACTGGCATGTTGGCATATGCTTCCGTGTAACGAGCACAAAGGGGCTTCGCGGTGACCATAGTATGCAATCCCTTCCAGAGGCAGTCGTTCATCGAAGCCCACGAAGGTGAAGATCCGGAGTATGCCGGTACGTAGATTGGCGCCTCTTCGAAAAAATTCCTGGTCCGAATTAGTAGAGACACTTATTGTCCGGGGAAGAGAAAAACAAACCTGATCTTGGTCTTAGCCACGGGTTTCGCTGCCGACTCTGTGTATTTTGCGTAGATCACGTTATATAGACGAAAGACACAATCACCAAGTTGCACTGCCAATCCGCCAAGGTGGCTCAAAATAGCCAAATAGAAGTCCAGATCCTCTGTGACATTGACACCGACTAAGCGGTCAAGGAAGGACCAGTGCATCTGATCGTAGGTCTCCCTCGTAAGATGATCGTCGATTTTGAGGAAGGGAAAGACCTCACCCTCGGGTAAGTATTGCTCACACTTTTGTTGCAGGTCGAGGAGCGGGACATAGGTCTTCGATAGAGAAACATGCGTTTACCTTCACAAAGAACCTCGATATGTTTGCATTCTTCCCTCACAATATCCCAGATATTCACATCCTCCCCCTCAGAAAGATATGTTTTTCGTAGAAGCCCCAAAAATCGCTCTGGCCGATGCTTTGCAACATAAATGCATTCAGCAGAGAGGCCATTGGTTGATGTGTCGATCAGCCTCGGTGTGGTTCGCAGCCCTGCATGAACCTCCAACCAGGCAACCCACTCAGGTGACTTAGCATGTGGTTTGTCGGGGGGGGGGGGGGGGTATCCATGAAGTACTGGTGCAGAAACCTCGCAGACATCCCTGGCGCCCCGTTTCCTGGCTCAGTTCCAGCCTCCGTTGCTGTGAGAAGCTCCTGTGCCCCGTAACAGTCATCGTCCGGGACATACAGAGGCTCTCTCTGCTCAGGATTCCATAACCCTAGTCGTTGATCGGAGAGTACTAGTGCATCCCGAAGCCGCCCGGAGTTCAGGTGATTTGTGAGATAAGAAATTCTAGCTGCGTGAACAAGACCGAAGCAGGAATTATGAGTGGTGTCAATCTAGGAATTCTCAGTGTTCGATGTCGATCCAGAATTTTGCCGCGCACCATCTTTGGATCGGCCACACAAACACCCATTTCTTTGAAAAATTCGACACGTGCCGGGTTTCGCGATGATTTGATTTCCACGACCCGCAGAGCAAGACTTCGGGGAATGACAAACCCCCCTTCGGTCTCGCCAAGATAGATCTTGTCACTGATATTTGACGAGATCCAGGTGACACTAGACCCGGTTCGCTCGGGAATCAGTCCCATATTGCGCAGCTCCAGATTCTGGTCGCTTGTGTTCACCTCAATCAATCTCAGTAACAGTTTCGCTGTCTTGGTGTGCCAATCCTCATCTGTCTCTTCACATCTCATGCGAGATCCTGGTCGTCTCAGATCCTGCTCAATCATTCTCAAGAACACAGTACTGTCGGGTAGCCTCAACCCAAAGTTCTGGAGAATCTTGATGTCGCTAGCGAGATGCTTATTGGACAACCATATCTCAGGCTTGAGATCATTGAACAAAGGCTCTCCTTTGCTATCACATTGTGCTGGGTGAAGGATTCGGAGTTCGTTGATCTTACGGAGGCCACGCTCACTCCTCGGTAGCATTGTTGATACTTCACCGAGTTTCAGCCGTATCGCGTTAACGAGGCCCAACCAGAATTTGTCGTGGGTGAATTAATCCTTGTCTGGTAAGAATATCATCCAGGTATATCGAAGATTCGAATCGGAGCAGAATTCCGAAACGGCTTAGGTGAACGCAGCACTGACGCCGTCAAGAATGCCTCGATTCCTCGCAGACGTGACAACGATATCCTGCCTATTACCTTGCGTCACGAAGTCACTTTGTATGAGGAACTGGAAGAGTAGGAGGTAGTTAGCATTGATGGGTTAGGGGCAAGTAAAGCATTGTGTACTTGAAGTCGTAGACATGTTCCTCGGGGCCCAGGTTAAAGTCAAAAACATGGACATAGAGACCCTTGGATGTATGCAGAAGATCAACGCACTAGGGAGAACCCAAAGAGCAACATTCTGCTCCATTCCTAAGACCACGCTGCGAAGTCGTCTCATAGACTGACATAAACAATCCATTGAAAATGAAACCTCAAACAGAGGAATTGAGACATATCATGGAGACAGGTGGCACTCTTACCGAAAAGCCCATATACCTCATTGGCAGAAATCCATAGACATCTTGAGGCTTGACTATAAATGCCTTGCTATCCGCTGATAGAGAAAATGCAAGTATCACTTCGGCACTGGCGTAGGCTCGCGCCTGCTTTTCTGTCTCCGATTAGGTTCGATTCTCATTTTCTGCCAAGTTGTGCACGGTACGCTGAGTGACATGATAAGTTTGACAAGTCGTTTCGGTTTTTTTTTTTTCTCTCTTCGTGACTGTCTTGGTCAATATTGTTCTGTTGGCATTTATCTTCGAGGCCGAGAAGCTGGTGGAGGTCTGAAGCACATCATTGCTGTCGAAGAACGAGATACGGATCACCTCTAGGTTTCGCATGAAGAGGAGCATACTTTCTTGCAAGTCGTTGAACTGCTCGCGCATCGTCTGGCGCTGCGATGCTAAAGCGGCGGGATCACCTGTAGCATGGAGAAGAAGTGTCATTCTTGTCATGTGTTGAGACAATTGTTCCATAGGTTCCTCCCAGACGGGCGTGATCATGCCCAGACCAGAATCTCCGCTGTGGTGCCTGAAGTAGAATGAGTAGGGGCCAGATTGGATGTGGACTTCATACGCCGCCATGAAAATAGATTTGAAGCCAATACCGTTTTCGCCGATGTAGCCTTGAGCACCTGTTTTAGAGCTATGGCCGACGTTGCAGATTGCTTCCAAATTGTCCCTATTGAACCCGTCCTCGTTGCATTCAATAATGACACGATCCTCGTGGACTTCGAATGCGACGTAGGGCTGATGACCCTGTGCTCGAGCATTGGTGTAATGGTTATCCTCGGCATTCTGCAACAGCTCAAACACGAATCGTGCGTTGCTTGTGTACAGATTCTTGGCCACCCTTCGCGTGATCTCCATTAATAAATAATCGGACTACGCTGACTTCTTGGCATTGGGGCACGCCTACGTCCTTACTCAAGTACTTAAGTACTTGGTAGGCAGGCGCCAGAAAGGCTTGTCGACTTACGTTGATATAGATGACGCAGCGGCATTGGCTAAGCTTCTGTAGCTTTGACGAATTTCTTCCCTGGCTTTAGCACTGATCTTATCAAGCTCTTGCCAGGTTTCATCGTCGATGTGGCCGTGCTTCTCTGCGATTGCGTTGACCAACTCCCGCGCCTGCGCAACTGTGACGCCGTCCTTCTCCAGAGGCACCCAAGGGACAGACATTCTTGCTGCAAGTGGGCAACAAAGGTAATCAGAAGCCAGTGAATGCCTTATGTTGGTCAGGCTGAGTTCTGTAAAGACACACTGGATGGACAACAGGCAAGGTGCGTGGGACAAGACTTTGAGTAACATCCTTTAGAACAAGGCCACAGTTGAGAGAGGATGTGAGTGACTTGGCGTGATCTATTGTCTTTAGAAGGTGATTCTGATTGCCGCCCACAGCTCAGCTGTGCCCTAGCCCTTGTATGCGTGCGGGGGCGGAAGGCTGTGAACATCACATCACGGATGTGAATACCCAACCAGGGTATGCTGAGTTTCCAAGCGCCCATATTAGACTGTACTTCCTTATCACCCACGACTCAAATCTAGTCAAGACAGGCTGGAGGGACCAGCTGAAATTGCGAGAACTAGGCAAAACAAGGGGCTGCGCAGATGGCGGCAAAGAAAACTGAGAAAATTACTAAGCCTTCCTTCAGTTCGTCGAAGTATAAATGAAACTTGCTTCCAAATCGCATGTATTATACCAGCAGACCATTGCAACTGAGAAAAGTCTACTGCGAATTAGTCAGGCTTCACACGAAATACTGTTGGTATATTTGATAGTAGAGGGCTCTAATCTGCTTACTTCATCATTGTCCCTCAGGGCGCTAATGGAGACTGAGGTTCATTGCTGCAATGTGATTGGCTATGCTCCCAGTTGTATACTACTTCAGGAAGGTAGGCAACATTTCGCGGCCTGCGCCACTGAGACTAAGAGCCAACTGCAGAAAATGTCCTGGATAATTGTCGCATGTAAATGTAGTGCCCCCCAACCGCTGAATCAAGTAGACAATCAGTGTTTAGAGGACGAACATCCGAGCCGCCCAAGTCAAGGCTTCAAATATCGCTCTGATCCTCTCCTCTTCCTTTTTTCATCTAAGTGTGTAGGTTTTACTCTTCTCGTGGAGGCGGGCTGCTTGTTTCTTTCTCGGACATGTTGAGGACTTTAAAAGTACGAGATCAACTGCTGAAAAGTACGTCGAGCGTTTACAGCATTCATTCGGCTCAGAATCGGAGGCAAGTGAATATGCTGCTTGGAAGGTGGGCCGGGGTACGGCCATATCGGGCCGGAGGCTCTGAGATAGTAATCAGGTCGACTGTGGCCATTTCCTGGCCAGCACCAATACGCCATTCTGCCAACATGTGCCGACTAGGACAGCCCAAACCTTATGTTCCTGCATGCTCAAATCCGGGTCCAGACTTTCCAGCTCAATCACCCTGTGAGATCCGTGTTGCATGATGCTGAGAGCCAAAAATTTGATGTTTGCGCTTGTGAAGACTGTTTGCAGAGATTGTGGCAAGCTTCATCGGCACGCCCGGGCAACTGCTAATCAACCATAAGTTAGAAACCATTTTGGGCGGTATATTTATATTTACTAGCAATGCAGTCAAACCGTCACAAAGGCGCGCGCCTTGGCAGTGGTGGTATAAGTATATATACAACCATGCCTCAAAATATTCCTCTCTTTTTAGTGAGGGTGTTAAGGGCAGTTAGTTCCTTGCTCTGTTTCTGAAGGATGGGAAACCTAATGCAAGGCTGTCAACACCGCAGATGATTGCAACATCATGATTACATATGCCCCGCATCCTCATGAGGAATTCGGTAGCAGGATGGAGCGGTGAGATCTGATCTGGTAATTGCCACTGGCCGTGTGTAGGCTATGAGCGTGCCAAACGTAGCTATTTTTATACGCCCTGGGGTCATCGTTGGGATTTGACTTGTTTCACCAGTGCGTGGTAAGCGGCCCTTCCTGGTTAGCCTTCTAGGGGACATCCGTGCTCCCCTCTCGGCACGCGCTAGGATGGTGAGGCAGCTTGGGTACCAGACAAGGGGGGTCTGGTGTTTTACCCCGCCATGACATCTTCAGGCGGGCAGCTCCCACTGGTCCCTCAGCCCCTCAGCAGATACAGACTATAGGCTAAAGCCACGGTAGCTTAGAGGATCACGACAGGGGACCAAGCTGCTGCGACATAAAGCCAAAACAGTAAGCTTTGGGACACGCCACTGCCGCGATTACCACAACTTACAGTAGCAGTACCAGACCACCACCACCACCTCCTCCTTTACTATCACAACCACCACCACCTCCTCCTCCTTTACTATCACAACCACCACCACCATCACCGCCAACGCGAACGCCACCCCTCTCCTACCTACTCAACATCCCAGAACTGTCATCACTACTAGACGTGTCTCCTCCACGTCCTGTTCCTCTCCTCTCCTCTCCTCTGATACTTCACGCCCACACTCGCCTTCCTTCCCTTGCCGGCTAGGAATCAAGTTGCAGCTCTCCCCCTCTCAAAGAAGGAAGGAAGGGAAAAAAAAAAAGCAAACATGGTCGACCGCCCCAACAAGCCGTCGGCGCTGGCCTCGACCCCGCAGCAGCCCATCCCCCAGGCCTCGGTCAACATTGACAATGACACTGGTCGTGTGTCCGCCCAGCTGCCCACCGGCGAGAGTGTTGAGGTGCTGTTGCACGGCGCCACCGTGATCAGCTGGAAGGACGCAAGTGGCAACGAGAAGCTCTGGCTGAGCGAGAAGGCCGTGCTGGACGGCAGCAAGGCCGTCCGCGGTGGCATCCCCTTGGTGTTTCCCGTAAGATTGATTGGATTTACTCCTTCCTGCCTTCCATGTCGAGCCCTGGGAGGAGGGTGGCTCGTTGAGGAGATGTCCTTGAAGTATCCTGTCTTTCTTGTTCTGACGAATGGGCTGTGTACCGTTACAGGTCTTTGGCACGGCACCCGACCACGCAGCAACGTCCAAACTGCCCCAGCACGGCTTCGCGCGCACATCGCGGTGGGAGCTCCTGGGCAAGTCCACCTCTGAGTCCAAGCAGTCTGACGGCAGCGCTGCCGACACCAACGTCAAGCTCGACTTCGGTCTGAGCTCGTCCTCGCTAGATGACAAGACCCGGGCGCTCTGGCCGTACGACTTCGACCTCATCTACAGCGTCACCCTTGAGCGGAGTGGTTTGAATACTTCTATCGTCATCACGAACAAGGCCGACAAGGCCTTTGAGTTTGAGGTGCTGCTGCATACGTATCTGAGGGTCAAGGTATGCTGATATGTCTTTCTCCTGTCCACTCCTTTTATTATATATTCAGATGAATGCAGAGCAGAGGTGGCTTATTGTTTTGGTTCTGTAGGACATTACCCAGGTCGCTGTCGATGGCCTCGACGCATCGCAATACATTGACAAGGTCGATGGCGCTTCCACCAAAACCCAGTCCTCCAGCATCACCATCACAGGTGAGACCGACCGTGTGTACACTCCTGCCCAGGGTCCCAGTGAGCCTGTCATCGTGACCGAGGGCGGAAGCAAGATCTTCTCGGTCGTCCGGGACAACCTGACCGACGTGGTCGTGTGGAATCCCTGGACAGAGAAGGCTGCCGGCATTGGCGACTTCGCACCCAAGGACGGCTTCAAGCAGATGATCTGTGTCGAGGCCGGCAGTGTCAAGGGTTTCCAGACGCTGGAGCCTGGTGACGCATTTGAGGGCGCGCAGACGATCACTGCTCTATGAAGGTTTCAGCAAGGCGCTGGAGGTCTGGAACGGAGTCTCGGGAGGTTATGATATCAGGCAGGGCAATGAGCGAGCTGAGATTTCGTCCAGCAATTGGACTTGATGAGGAGAGCATAGAATTTCGATCCCGCACGCAAAGCTAGGCTAAGCCTTCAATGAAGATTGATAATGATACTTCAGGTGGCAGCAGCAACCATGAACTTTCAACTTTTTTTTCTTCTCCTGCGCCGTCTCTTGTTCTTTTTTGGGCCAGACATAGAGAGAAATCCCCGGTCCAACGCCTCGCCCTATAAATTCAAAACTTCGGTCATGTCCCATCTATATGTACAATGCGTTAACAAGCACGCCAGGCCGCTCACTTAGTGATCTGCCTCGTTTCGGTAGTGATGCGTAATCTCAAACGCCAGCTCCAGAGCCTGCTTCTCGTTCAGGCGCGGGTCACACAGGCTCGTGTAGCGCACGGCCAGGTCGTCCTCGTCCAGCTCCTCGCTGCCGCCGAGACACTCGGTGACGGCATCGCCCGTCAGCTCCAGGTGCACGCCGCCCAGGTAGCTCCCCTGCTCCTTGTGGATGCGCAGGGTCTCCTGCAGCTCGGCAAAGATGTCGCCGAAGCGGCGGGTCTTGACGCCGGTGGCCGTGGACCGGGTGTTGCCGTGCATGGGGTCGCACTGCCAGACGACGGTGCGGGCGTACTCGCTGTCCTCGACAGCGCGGATGTGGGCGGGCAGCAGGTCCTTGACCTTGGCGGCGCCGTACCGCGTGATGAGGGTGATCTTGCCGACCTCGCGGGCCGGGTTCAGGGTGCGCAGCAGCTCGAGCAGGTCGGACGTCGGCGTGGACGGGCCCACCTTGACGCCGATCGGGTTGGCGATGCCCCGGAAGAACTCGACGTGGGCGCCGTCGATCTGTCGCGTGCGGTCGCCGATCCAGAGGAAGTGCGCCGACGTGTCGTAGTACTGGGTCTCGTTCTCGTCCTGGCCCTGGCCCTGGCCGCCGTTGTTGAGCATCGGTGTGGTCGAGGCTCCGCCTCGCTGGGTCTTGGCGCCGCCGTAGATAGCGGCGGACGAGAAGGGCCGCGTCAGCGGCTGTTCATACTCGAGCACCAGGCCTTCATGGCTGGTGAAGAGGTCGACCGTTGAGACGGAGGCGCTGTCGCTGCCCAGGGCACCGATGGTGTTCATGAAGCGCATGCTCGTCTGGAGCGCGTTCACAATGCCGCTGTACTTGTCCTTGAGGCGCGGGTCCTGGACGTGGCCCAGGTCCCAGTCCATGGGCCGGTTCAGGTCGGCGATACCGCTCGATGCGGCGGCACGGCTGTAGTTGAGAGTGGCAGCGGAATAGTGGTACGCCTTGACAAGCCTGGCCGGGTCGAGGGCCCGCTGGTCGATGTCATACGAGTTCAAGATGTCGCCGCGGAAGCTGGGCACGACACGCCCGTCCGCGAGGGTCTCCGTGTCGCTGGAGCGGGGCTTGGCATACTGGCCAGCCATGCGGCCGATGCGGACAACGCGCTTGTCACAGCCAAGAATCAGCACGAGGGACATTTGCAGCAGGAGCTTGATCTTGCTCTCGATGGCGGCCTGGTTGCAGTACTCAAACAGCTCCGCGCAGTCGCCGCCCTGCAGGAGGAAGGCCTCGCCGCGGGCCACGGCGCGGAGCTCCGCCTTGAGCTTGAGGATCTCCTTGGGCGTCACGAGCGGCGGGAGGTTGCTGAGCTCTGCGCCGGCACGGGCTACGGCGGCGGGATCGAGGTCGGGCACCTGCTTGATGGGCTTGGAGCGCCAAGAGTCGGGCGTCCAGGACCCTTTGGATGACGCCATCATGTTGGGTATGTAGTGGCAGGTGAGTGGTCCCGTTTCTCACTGATAGGCTGAGGCTGTAGACAAGCAGCAGAGTAGGGCTTATAAGTGTGAATTGAGTGAGTCAAGTGAGTGTTCGAGTCAGCTGTTTTCTGTTTGTGTATTGTTGCGATACTGCAAAGAATTTCAAACAGTACAACAGGATTCAACCTTAAGGAATGTATTGCACAACAGAATTTCTCAAGACACGGCCAATATCTTTGAGCAGAGAGAGAATGACACAAGTTTTCTCAGAACATATAAATCAAGAGACGAAGAAAGTGAGGGTTGGTCGTGGTGACACATCTTTGTTCAAGCCGAAAAAGTACGGATAGTAACCCTTATCGTAACCCTGAGATTTCATGACTACCTTCCCCAGTCTGATTTGGCGAGAACGAACCCCTCCTCGATTTCCCTTCCTACAACCACACCTTCCCTTCTCCCCTCCTACAACGCAGAAACGACAATGGCAGAAGAGAAGCAGCCCTCAGGCGTCGTGGAAGGCGCCACGACCGGCGATGTCGAGGACGAACTGCAAGACGACAAGGCCAAGTCGGCAGAGGACAGGAAAGCCGCCGCGGCGCTGTCGCAGCTCGATGCGCGGGGTGACGACGCCGCAACTGGCTCTACGTCGGTCGACCAAAAGGGCCTCAGCGAGGCCGTGAACAAGCTGAGCGTCACCAAGGCCGAGGAGAAGAAGGACCTCAAGAAGGTCAAGGTGGACGCCGCGGACGTCACGCTACTAGTAAGTGGTGGTGGGGTCGGTTGGCGATAGAGATGGAGAGGCACCATCCAGCTGGGGGTCTGTGCCTGGCAAGTGGGGGAAACAAGACTGACGAGATTGTCTGCGCACAGGTTGACGAGCTCGATCTGACGAAGCCCAAGGCTACCGAGCTGCTCAAGCAACACGACGGCGATGCTGTCAAGGCGATGAGGGCATATGTGGCCGTCAACTGATATGGAAGACGAAGATGGACTGTCCCATATGCAAATAGAAGCAAGTCGCGTTGGAGTTTGGGGTGAAGAAGGTCATACAACACCAGGTAGACAAAAGAAGGGAAATCATCAGCTAAGCGAAGGGGTTACATGCTATACACAATAGAAGTATGTCATATCCAACCCATGGCTCAATTACTCGTTTGTGCCATTGTATATATATGTATAAGAGTACTGACTCTTGAGTAGTCTACAATATAGTTTTTCCTCTTTTTTTCTTGTCGAAAGAATATCCAATCAACCCTCTCCCATGATCCAAGTGATATTCACACATTTGGGCTCCCAGAGATCCGTGTCATCACCCATCCACGATGGCCCTCGAGGCGGCATCTTAAAACCTGGACCTCCACGTCCAGGGCCATCATGACCAGGCGGCGGGCCAAGGGGAAAGTCGTCCTCGTCTAATAGAAATGCAGGTCCCCGGCCGCCTTCTCCTGGGTGTCGACCTCTTCCAGGACCCCCAGGGCCGCGTCCATGGCCCCCACCACCGCCGCCCATGCCTCCTCGGTGCAGCATCGGCCACATAGGAATATAACAACGCTCGTTCCACGCGCACTGTTCCTTACAGCCGTAGTATTGACTCTCCCAACCAAGCCATGCGGTGAGCTCGGCTATGTTCTCCTGCCATGTGGCGGCTTTGGGCGCCAGCGCTGTACTCGCTGCACGCCTGTCTGCCAGCATGTCGAGCCAGGCGAGCTCGATACCGAAGCCCATCGTGATCAGCACTGCACAGATCGTGCCGTAGACTTCTTCCACCGCCGATCGGATGTCCGCCTCCTCGGGCGAGAGCGAGTGGTGTAGACGTTCCTCCGGCACAAGAAGCCTGGTATACCGCCATCGGCACCGCGCATGTGTCTCCCTGTAGAGATCCGAGTCCGTCTGCCACGTGTCGCGGCTGATCTCCTGCGGGTACTCCATGTAAGCCACCATGAACATGTGGCTCTGCGCCCGCAGGTCAAACAGCCACTTGTACATGGCCGTCTCGTCGTCTCCCATGTCGTCTATGCCCGGCAGCGAGGCGAGCCTGGTGTCCAGCATGGTCAGCTGGTTCGTGACGCGCTGCACGATCTCGGACGTCATCAGTACCCAGTCCGCGCCGGAGCAGCTGCTGTTCTCTGTGTCGGGGACGAGGAAGGCCCGCAATGCCCTCTCCGAGTTCCTCCTCATCAGCATGGCCTCCTCGGACGTCACATTCTCCAGATGATGAAAACGCCGCCGCCGGGCAAGCTGTTTGATGGCCTCGGTCCTATTGCCTTCCTCGCCGGGCCCCGTCCACAGACCCTCGCTCGTCAGGTTCAACCGGGCCTGCTCGTCCAGAGCGCGCATGCGAGTCTGGTTGAAGAATTGCGGCGAGTAGTAGCTTAGGATCCCGCAGCTGAGCGGCTTGGCCTTGACCTCGCCTTGCCCGGGCCCATTGCGAGAGGACCCATAGTGCCAGGTGGCGCTGTCGAACCAGCCCCAGCCCTGGATCCTGATGAACGGCTCACGGCCCGAGTCCCAGCGCATGTTTGGCGGGGGTGCGCCATGGGAGGGCTCGGCGTTGCGGTCTGTCTTGGTCGGCTGTGGTGGCAGCGGGTAGTATGAAGTGATCGTCTCCTCCTTTCGGGTCCTGACGTCGTCTTGGCTCGCCCTCCTGGCAGCAAGAAGCTCTTCTCCCATCCCTCTGCCGTCCTCCTCAACTTTGTCCTTCTTCTTTTCCCCCTCCTCTGTCCCCTTCTCTGGTAACAGCGGCGCCGTAACGTTCATCCTCGACACCAACCTCAGACTCGGGCTCAGGAAATCACACCAGATCATCTCAAACCCAGCATTCATGCGCACGATCCCCTCAAACCCCCACCCAGGCCCTCTCAGCCCAGCCTCCTCCAGCCAGTTGCACAGTCCATGCGCCCGCAGGTACTCGGCCCCCAACCCCATCATCCCCCCGCGCCCGCCCTGGTGCGAAGGCCCTGTGACGTTCCCAAAAAGCTGCAGCATCTGGGTGTCCATCTGGCCCAACCCCATGAGCGTGGCACTCTCGCCGTCAAAATAGAGAGCGCGCACGGGCTGGGCGGTCTGGTAGGTGAGCAGGAAGGAGTCGCGGCTCGAGCCCATGATGCCGTAGGCCATCTCGAGGTCGAAGGCGAGCCACTCTGGGCTGGGCGGTTCCGGTGTCTTGTCCTCAGGAGAGATGAGGCCGTGGTAGATGAGAGTGTAGGCTGGGATCTCGACGGCCGCCAGGGCGTGCCCATTGGGGAAGATGGTGTTGCTCCATTGGTGTAGGAGGCTGGGGATCGAGGCGAAGAGGTGGGGAAGGGAGGAGGTGAAGTTTAACGTCCACTGTGGAGAGTGGCCATCTTCAAGAATGCTGCTATCCAATGGTTTCTGGGACGAGGGATCTGAGAATCTTGCTATGGCTGGAGCAGTGATGAGAAGGAAGAATGAGAGAAGAAGAGGCAGTGTCGAGGATAACATCGCGTCTTTGGTCCAATCACCTGAAGAAGAAAGTCATAACGGTCCAGTCAAGAGAATAATACATAAGAAGAAGAAGCATGACTGCATGAACCTGTTACAACTTCATGACAGGACTTGTTATGAGCAAAGTTGGGCAGGGAGTGGCGACTTTTGAGGTGTCCTTATCATCATGTCCAAGTCATCCTGCAGCAGAGGCGTCAAAAGATAAAGACAAGCCAGGGAGTGAAACGCGCGTCACCTTGTCGGTTGAGCTTATATTACCGGACCCACTCGTTTGTAAGTGGTCTGGGGACGCCAATCACTCAAATACGTCCTACTTGCATAGTAAATACGGCCTCACCACGTTGACCAATTGTAGACATTGGAATTAATTTACTACGACTTTTTGGCCCTGTAGAGTTCAGCCCAGGTCTTCATATTCAGTTGCCTGTCCTTCACATTTGCCACCATATACACCACACACTATTGGCCTCTTGATCAGTGTACAGATGTGATGAACGATATGGTCTTCAAATCATTATCGATTGACAATTGTCTCAATTACCAAGAGTGAAAAATAAAAGAGCGTGGTCGGATAATGAATGTTCTTGTCTCTTAAACCCACACATACCGCTCAACGCCTATCAGAAACGCCGTACAAAAATGCTAATGAATGACATCTGCCGCTCTCATCAAGAGAAAGGAAGAACAAGTTGCGTCTTAGTTCCACTCTTTCCAGCTCTTAGCCAACGGGCTCGAGATCTTAGGTGCGAATGCCAGACTCTTCCGGCGCGCATCCATCAGCCTTCTCGCTACACTCTCGTCCCTCTGCAAACCAAGAATCCCAGCACCCATTTCCTCATACATGTGTTGAGCCTTGGGCGGGCACGTGCGCTGCATCAGCTGTTCTCGGGATAACATCTCCTCAACGCCAATGTTCTCCTCATCATCATCCGCCATCGGCGTGTCTGGCTCAATGTCCATCGCGAACCGGTGGATGGCATCCGGAGCAGGCGTCTTGGGCACGGGCGTCAGGGGTGCAGTGTTGTACCACTCCTCGTGGCCTGCCGGGACTTCGAAGTCAAAATCGTTCAGGTCATAGTCGCCAGCGTGATCAAACTCATCTGGCGAGTGCATCCACAGGCTACTGTCACGACGATTTGCAGGTGCCGGTGTCGTGGGTGCGGTTCTACATTCCCGTGCCGTGTTGCGGGCCGTCGAGTCAGGCACCGGTGTGCTGTCGTCACCCAGCGCGCTGGGATCCATGAGAGTCCTGCGCCGGGCGGCGCTACGAGGGATGAGGGAGGTGTCGATGTAGTAAGGGGCTTCTCCAAGCCACTCGTTTGCTCGTTCGCAGCTGGTAGGATCAGTTAGCATGAAACGTGAAGAAGGAAAAGAGAGAATAAAAGTATGGTCCTCTAAGCGACTTACTCCAAGACCCAGCCCACACCGACACACTGCACGAGCCCATCAGTCGCACGGACCTTGTCCATTGTAGCCTTGCCGCCGTCCTTGTACACCACATGCGTAATGCCAATCTTGGAGGACGCATCCTCGTCATTGGAATCCCAGTGCCAGCTCGTCACGCATCGGGCACCCATCTGCGTGAGGAGCTCAATGAAGATGGCACTGGCATCAGCACCGTCCATAGTATGAACATCAACGAATACCACCGCTCCGCGGAGTAGGGTTGGGTGGACATTGGGACGGGGAGTCCGTGCAGGCGTCTCTGGTTGCGACCAAGCCTGGGGCTTGGATGGCGTCTCGGGAGGCGGCAGGGATCCCGATCGCTCGAGGAGGCTCTCTTCCTCTACAGCCTCTTCCAGAGCAGCATCGACGTTCCCATCCTTAGTGGGCGAGTAGGAGATGACAGTCGCACTCCTGGAGAGATTATGGGTAGGCCGAGGCACGGGGAGGCGCGAGATGCTGTGCCTCCGCTTCTTCAGCGACGGCTGAGCTACCGGAGTGGACTCGTCCGCGGGCTTCAGCGGAACTTTAGACACGGTGTGGAACTCGCGTCTGATGGGTCTCTGGGGGGTGACGGGTAGGACCAGGACACCATTGACCGCCTGAGCTGGAACAGCATTTTCGTCGCCGTACTCCTGGCTAGCCTCGGACATGGAGTCGTCGTTGCCGTCCAGGTTCAACATCGACTCAACATGCTCAGGCGACATCATTGACATCTCGTTCGCCTCGGCAGCGAGGTCCAGGTCCTCCTCTGTGATAGAGATGTCCTCCAGCACCGGATCCTTAATCTCGGGCACGGCAGGAAGAGAATCGGTGTCATCAGTAGGCTCTTTCGCTTCCTCGCCGGGGAGAGCGCACATCTGATCCTCAAAGAATTGCGTTTGTGTCGCGCTCCCCGGGGCGGAATCAGGCTTGTCAGCCGTTGGAGTCTTTGTCTTGTGAGGGCTACGAGCTTGCCACTCGTCGAAACGACGAGCCAGTGGCGTGAAGCCGAAGCCAGACGTTCTAGATTTCATGGTGCTGCCTCTCGTCTCCTTCACAGGCGTGACGGCGTTGGGTATCATCACTCGAGTGTGTTCATCATCCGACTCAGAGTAAGTTGGGTCAAAAGGATTCAGGTCCTTTTGTCGAAGCCCAAACATGTCCAGCGTTGTTTGCGGGGGCGAGTCGGGAGGTGTAGTGCTGATGTCGCCAGGTTCGGTGTTCTCAACGCGGGACCCAGATTCGTCAATGACCATAGGCTCCCCCGAGTCCTCAAGAACTTCTACGTGACCATTGCCCTCCTCATCCTGCTCGAGGACGACTGTCTCACAGTCATCGCCCTCGGTAGGTTCATCTGCTGGCGTTATGGATCGATTGAGCGCGGGATCAACTTCCCGCGGCAACACTGATGACATGCGACCGTTGAAGTCCGACTTTGCGGGAGAACTTGCTTCCTTGAGCCTGTGCTCCATAATCTCAACAGCTTCGGCATCTTGAAGCTGCTCGACTTCTTCGCCCTCCTCGACTGCGGGAGGGGAGCAGAGCAAGACAGGAGTTGGAGCTGGAGAACGTTCCTCCTTGATCTCCTCTGGCTCCCTGGGTGGCTTGACAGGTGAGAAGGGGCGTTTTGCTGGTGACTGAAGTAGGGATTGCTTGAAGGGAGAAGAAACAGAGACATCCTGCGAGTTAAATGGGTTCGAGTCGCCGGCCTTCAAGGGAATGGGTGGTCGCTTTGCTGGTGACTGCAACAGAGAAGCCTTGAACGGAGTTGCGCTGGACTGCATGGCCTCGGCGGCCGCAGGAAGTCCCAGCTGCAAGCCCTCGATCCGCTTGGCAGGAGACTTCATCGAGTTCTTGAAGGGAGATTGTGGTGGTCGCCGGACCGGGCTGCCGAGCAAGACAGTGGATTCCGCAGGCTGTAGAGCAAGATCTGCTCCTTCGTCCTCGTCTTCCTCCTCATCTGTGTCGTCCTTATGAGCCCTTGGCGCAGGCTTGATCCCTAGGTGAGGCCTCAGAGGGGTCTGACGGAAAGATCTCGCAGGGGTCCTGTCCATAGCAAGCTCATCCTCGGAATCGACATCGCGGTCCCGATTCGCCGATAACTGAGAGACCTTCTTAGGGCTCAGAGGCATCGGCGGTTTCTTCTCGTCGGTGCTCTCCCTGGTGGACTTCTTCCTCGTCGTGGTGGCGGTCGTCCTCGTCGTGCGACCGGTGCCAGCAGGCTTGCGGACAGGCTTTGCGCGCATTCCCGTGACTGCTGCTGGCTCTGCGGGCTTGCTGGCCGCGGCGGCGGCGGCGGTAGTGGTAGTGGTCTTCCTCGCCCCTGTAGCCGGAATCACATTCTCCTTGTCAGGCTCCGCAAATGTCACTGTCTTCTTGACAGGCTGGGAGGTAGGCGCACGCGCACTGGTAGCGGTACCTGCCTGACGACCGCGCTTCTTGATAATAGGTTCAGGCGCGAGGTCGTCTGCATCCTCGTCGACCTCCTCCTCGGCTTGTACCTTCTTCGCTCGTGTCCGTGTGGCCCTGGCTGGGGGTAATTCTTCCTTCACGGGCTCTATAGCGGGCTTCTTGGCAGGCCGGCCACGCTTTGCTCGAGGCGCTGGCTCGGGTTCTGGATCGACGATCTTCTTGGGACGGCCGGGGCCTCGAGTGGCAGTGGAAGTGGCCCGCGAGGCGGGGGGTGGACGCTTGGCGGCCGTCTCGACCTCGCTATCATCTTCATGGTCGTCGCCACGCGTCTTACGCTTGGTCGGTCTCCTGGCTGCCGAGGAGGCAGCATCTGATGAAGCAGAGGGGGCGCTGGTGGTCGCGGCGGCACGTGCCGCCTTTGCTTTGCTTGCTGCAGTGGTTGTAGGCTTGGCAGGTTTTGCTGCCTTGGCTGTAGAAGCTGCTGTGCTCGATGTTGCCGACCTCGCGGCTCTGGCTCGAGTGATGCGCTTGGGCGGTGAGGCTTGGGGTTCCATGTTGGATGTGGATCTGTCGCACTGATGGCTTCGTCGCGTAGATGAATGTTCAGCTGTATGGAGGCGGGAAAGAAGAAAGAGAGAGAGAGAGAAAAGGTTAGTAACAAAATTGGGAAACAGAGTTCATATGCATCGCCCTTGAGAAATTGGGGGTGTCAATTGCGATGCGCCGCGGAATGAAGCTGCAAGCTTGTTGTGCTTGTGTATTTGTTGTCATTGGGTGGGCCCCCTGGGAGTTTGGGGGGTGGGTGATGGCTCGTAGGGAAGGAACGTCGCGTTGTTTACTGGCATGGCTGGTCTGTGCCCCCGCTACATTGTGGGGTTCGCACCTTTGTTGGCCGAGCAACACGCCAGCTGCATTTCGTCACACACCAACCTTTTCCTGTGTACAAGGAACGTTGGACAACTCGAATATGATGTATCTGCGGGTTTTCTCCGCTTCTCAATCATACGACCTACAGAGAGAGTCTTATGTCATGACGCTCTCCTGTCGACTTCGATATTGGAAAGGGGCACAGTAAGTAGTACGACAATACATAAGTAGACTCGAGAAATCTATGCAAATATCGAATCGTTCCTACTAAATATCCAAGGCATCCAAAAGTAAGTACTCTGTACGTACGTCTCAAAGAAAGGGGGGTTGATGCTCTGCAACCCGGCTTTTCATACCCAATGCTGTCATCACTCATGTCCTTCTTACTACATATCCGATTCCAAGGCCGCGCTTGGTCTAGAAATTTCCATCCGACTTGGCGGCAAAGCCAATGCGCATATTCCCACCATCAAACACAGTGAACTGTGCCTTGAGGAAGATGTCACCATAGATGGCAAACCCCAAGCCGCTGTTGCTCTGGATGCCCCCAAAGCACAGCTCTGAGGTCTCCGTCGAGTCGCCAGTGACGGGCGCAAACTTGATGATGTCGCCAGGGACGACGGCCTGGTACCCGCTGATGACGGCCGTGAATGAAGGGATGGTGTCGTTGCAGTTGAACACGACCCCGCCTTGCTGCTGGCTATTCTGCGCCGAGGGGATCTGTTGGTAGTACGCCTCGACCGCCTCGTCGGGCATCAGCATGAGCGTTGTGCCGGTGTCGGCGATGGCCTGGTGTGGGAGCGCCGTTGCTGCGCCCTGGCCGACTGCGAACCCGCTGGCCGCGAACTGCCAGAAGCCCTGGCTGCTGTTAACGGCGACGAAGTTGACACTGCCTGTAAATTCGGACTCGTCGACAAAGCCGAAGTTGTAGTTGCCAGCTATGGGTAGCACAGGACGTACACGTCAGTACATATATCTCCCTTCTGCGTCACTCATCACCGGTCTCGTCTATATGCCGTCATGATGGGATGGGATAGAGATTTCTTACTGGTGCCTTGCTTCAGGTTGGCAGTAAACAGCGGCATGGCCAGGTTCCCCATGGCGTTGGAGAAGAAGGTCTTTTGCGGGTTAGGCGTCGTGCCACCGTCGGTCACCTGGTTGATGCTGTCCATGGCTAGGCCCAGCAGTCCTGACGTCGCCTGGTCCTCGGTGAAAGAACCAGTCACCATCGTGGCGCCCTCGACAGCCTGATCCTGCACGCTCACACCGCCGACAGTGACGACATCCCGAAAGACGGTGCCCGACGCGCCGCTCCCGTCACCGTATTGAATCTGGAACTCGGCATTGGCGACCTGGGACGCCGTCGAGCTGGAGTCCGGGTTATACAGCTGGTGGCCCTGGGACTGCTGCTGCGGCGTCTGCGTTGTGAACACCCACAGGTCCGAGGAGCCCGTGTCGAAGTCGAGCATCACTGTCTGCGGCGGTGTGCCAATCTGCACAGGCGTGAGATACTCCACGTCGTTCGCCTGCGGGATGGCAGATGCCGAACCTATGTTGAGGTCAGGAAGGGGGCTTAACATACGAGTAGCGACAGTGGCTTCAAGGAAAATAGAGAGAAGGGGGGGAAGGGGGTTGCTTGCTTACCTGTGGACGGGCTAGATGGGGTCGCGGTGCTGTTTGGTGCTGTTGATAACCTGTCAGCACCCAATATTCTCAGCAACAGAAGTCGGGCAATAGAGCGCTCACGGTTCTGTCCACCACCACTTCCGCCCGAGGAGGTGCTGCTACTGCCAGTCGTACTCGTGCAGCTGTCGGGAACATTTGTGCTGCTCAGACCCAGTTCCTGAAGGATCTTATCGACTATGCAGAGTAGACTTGGATCTATGGTGGCGCCGAACTGAGTGTACTTCCGCAGGGACTGGAGATACGCTCTCGGGCCACGACCAGATGTCATGAAGCCTTGGTTATGGACCTGCTCCGCGCGGAGGGTCATGCCGCCGAGAGTGAGAATCTCGAACTTCTCGACCTGCTCTGTTGTCAACTCCAGGAGGCTTTCCAGCGCACTCGGCACAGGCGCGGCACCAGCGAGGGACGCCCCCAGGGCGGTGATGGCAATGAATTTCATGGCGCAGTGTTCTCGCCCACCCAAACGTGATACCAGATCACAGCACAAAGAGGAAAGAGAATAAAATTAAGAACACCCTAGCGAAGAAGCCAATACCATTGGAAGTGGACGAAAGGAACCTGTTCACGACACTGGGAGTTGGAAGGAGAGCGCTCACGGGTTGAGAACGAGAGCACCATGGGAAACTTTCTAACAGATGATCGTCCGCTTGTCACGACAGGATCATGTATGACCGTCGTTCGTCATCATGCTCTCGTCAAGCAGGGCAAACTCGGAGGCATTCCAAGTATTGACCTCGTTCTTTTTTCCCGGATCCCTCTTTTTTTTTTAGGAATTAAAAATAAATAAAAAACCCCCCCTCCCCTCCACCACCCCCGGCAACCCGGCGCCTACACCAACCACTTGTCGACATTACACTGTATTGTGACCTCTGAACAGTGTTAGCTGTCTCATAACCCGATGAACTGGTAAGAATGGAGGGTGAAGCTAGCAACCGCAGACCAAAGACATACACAAAAAAAATAAGGGATACCGGACAAGCGTTTGAGAGTGGCGATCACTAGGGCTGTCGCCGAGGTTTGGTGAGACGCCAATTCGGCCAAGGCCCAGAGGTAAAGCGAAAATTATGGAGACTGAGGGATCGTGGCTGCTTCAAGTCTCAATCGTACACGCGCAGGGCAATGTGAAGGCAGATCATGTAAGATGTCCGGCTTGGAAGGGCGCGAGCAAGGTGTGCGGCCCAAGACAAAGAACCTTGAAATAGCCAAGCAGTCCTCGAGCTCACAGCATACTACACGCCACTTGGCTTCCTGTGCTATGGTGTCGGACTGACAATCAACATCAATTACAGTCTCTAGACTCTTACCCGCCTCCAGCCTGGGGCGATCGCTGCCATCTAAACTTTTCAGAAAAGGCATGTCAAGCTTAAAAAGAAGCTTATGTGATAAGGGTCCGGTTGCTTCCACCGTGTCTGAAATGGCAAGTCCTGTCAGCCTCTTGACAGCTGCACCTTTGTGGATTCGGCTAGATTTTCAGACGGGAGCAAACTTTCGGACGGACGAAACTATTAATTAGGAATTGCAAGACAAGGGAGAACGGAGCTGCTAAGGCTTATGACTATCTTTTAGTGTGAATAGCTACAATGACACAAGGTGTAAGTTTCCGACTGGAATGGGTACTTCTTGCAGCACTGTATTTAAAACGCCACGCTCGTTACAGATTCAGCAGAGCCTCACTGAAAGCTCATGATGGTGGCCTGCAGGGGTTCAATCGCAAGGAAAGAATTGTGTATGTATAATGTATTGTCTTGAGATCCTTGGCGGTTAAGTAGAGGAAAGCCAATTCGACTTACTCGCTTTAATGGAGACTGTGTGCATTGTAATGGAGGGGAAGGGAAACCCCTTGGCACTGTTGGCCTCGACTGCGGTAGACAAGGAGGAGATCGACCTTGCATGTTGCATGATCTGAAGCGGCATCTGCATCAAATCCCAATCGCTAACGGACTTCTCTCTCTCCGTCTGCTTACTGCCCACCTCATTATACTCAAGGTGCATCACTGAACTGCGTCTGTGTGATATGACCTTGAGAAAGTGGAGTTCATGACTGGTGCACCATCTACATGCAATAGAAGCATTGCCAGTATACTTTAGAACTGAGGGAGGCGGGCTTTAGGCATAAAATATCCTTGATGCCCCGTCATATGCGCCACAGGCCAGATGCCTTGAGGATGATTGATTGTGGTCAAGAAGGAAATAATCGTCCATGTTGCGAAGAAGAAGTATTGATCACAAACTCACAATGCTGGTTGAAAGCGAAGACGAGAGCGAGGCAAAGATAAATAGTACCTGAACATGGGAGCTGAAAAAAAGCAACGGACATGGAATGAGTGCGACCTGTTTCAGAGCCTCAGGTCGATTGGACTCGAATTGATTTTCTGAACTTTGGAAATGATTAAGACACAGCTCGCACCCATGGCTTGCTTGTCTTTCTTGTCGAGGTCAGAATAAGCGTTCATGGCCACAATGAGGAGGTGCGCGACTCTCTGGGATTCCGCCCGTGCCGCAAGACAGCGGGGTTGGTGGGGGGGCTGAACCCGCCTAAGCCAGTCACATCCGCCTTGTACAGGGCTCCAAACGACAGGCAGAAACCACTATACGCGTCTTCTCCCAAGCGTGGCTCGTGACTAGTGATTTGGCCATGCAACCCCAAGAAGCTTCTCGATCAACTGCAGCACGCCACTCTGCATTGTTGTTGTTGTCGTTGCTGCTGCTGCTGACTTATCGGTTGGCCTTTTTCGATGTGATTCTGGAGTCCCGCTGACAATTTTGGAACGCTCCTTCAGTTGATCTTTTGTCGGACTCGACCGTTTCCAGTGCTGTGACCTTCCCGTCTCTTTCAGCCGTGCATAAATCAGCGACCTCATCCGCGCTCGCCTTTGTGATATATTTGCGCAGCGTCGCGCAATCTATCTTACATCACCACAGACTCGCACGTAACACACACTTCTGCCGTGCTGCCATCCTCGCCATGGTCCAGCAACGAGAGCATGATGCCCAAGTCCTGTCCTACAGGCACATCAGGGAGCTGCCACGCGCGGACGAGGCCCTCCACAGCCTGAGGAAGATAGCTTCCCTGGTAAAGCCCATCATGAGGGCAAGGGGTTGGAAGGTCTCGGAGCTCTGCGAATTCTATCCCTCGCAGCAAAATCTATTAGGTAATATTGATGAGACCTACGGCCCTGAAGAAGAAAACGAGGGGCGTATTCATGCTAATGCGTGCGCCACTCATAGGCCTGAACGTAAACAGAGGTCAAAAGATCATGCTACGGCTGCGGTATCCTGGTGACCGTAGTCAATTCCTCCCCATCGAACAAGTGACAGACACGATGCTTCACGAGCTGGCACACATCGTTCACGGGCCCCACGACGCCAAATTCCACGCGCTGTGGGACCAGCTGCGTGACGAGCACGAGGGCCTCGCCATGAAGGGCTACACGGGCGAAGGTTTCCTCAGCCAGGGTCACAAGCTCGGAGGCAGAACTGGGGTCCCGCCGCAGGAGGCCCGCCGTCTCGCTCGTGCTGCGGCCGAGGAGCGGGCGCGGCAGGCCGAACGGTCCCGAGGATCTGGTCAGAGACTCGGCGGTGCACCGATCCATCGGGGCCAGGACATACGTCAGGTCATCACGAACGCCGTCGAGAGGAGAAACAGGATGGATCGTGGCTGCGCGAGCACTAATTACACCGACCAAGAGATACACAACATCGCCGAGACGGCGACAAAGAACGGGTTTAGAACGCAGGCGGAGGAGGATGCCGCTAACGAGGCGGCCATTGCACAGGCGCTGTGGGAGCTGGTCCAGGAAGATGAGAAACGAATCCATGGCAAGGACTATGTACCACCTAGTCCAGACTTCCCTGCTGGCAACGGCGGCGGCGCCTTCACCTCTACATCGAGGAACCGCGAAAGCTCGAGTATACCACCGCCAGTTCCGGAGTGGTCGCGACCAGAGAAGCCTGGAACGCCGACAAGCGCGAGTCCCGAGCCTGACTTGGACCTATCGCCCTCTCTCCCTGCTACGAATGGTTGGACCTGCGAGATCTGCACCCTACACAACCCGCCCAGCTTTCTCAGCTGTGATGCATGCGGGACCACACGGCCAGAGTCCGTGACGAGGCAACTGGCAGAGCAGGAGGCCAGGGAGAGAGCTGCAAAGCGGCCCCGCCCGACTCCCGCGGTCAGAAGTCAGCAGTCCCGGCCATTTACAGGTTCAGACCTAGCGCAATCAAGGATGGTCTCGTTTAGGAACAACAATAATGGCGCAAGCAGGACACCACCACCACCTGCGCCGAGCGGGCCGTCCTTCTGGGAGTGTTCGCGGTGCGGTCACGTCGTGGAGCGGCAGTGGTGGAGCTGTGGTCAGTGTGGCAATGTCAAAGAGAGCTCGAAGTAGTGAACCTGCGCGCTTGAAGGTCATATGATGACGGATCATGATGAAGTGAAGACACCCTCGGCCTTCCAAGTTCTGCCTTTGATGCGCGAGAGAAGAACGGGCGTACCCACGACACAGCGGTCCCAGAGCTGTATGTTGACATGGCTGCCTTCTAGCATCAGCTTTTGAGAGCAAATGAGAGCGACGAACCTTGCTTTCACCGTAATCATCGTCAGCTACGGGTTATCAGATCGCACATCCCGGTTCACCTTGTGGGTCCCATGTGTACGCATTTCAAAGTGAGGTTAATCTGGCTGGCTCTCACCTCGTCCGGTGCCCTACACATTCGGTATGCAGCGTGGTAGTTTCTGACTAACCGGGTATCCCGAAAAGGGCACCGGGCGTCCGCAGCAAAAGGCAGGCGCTGCACTAGAGAAATCATGACGTCAGTCACCCCTGGCAGGGTGTCGAGGTCTTGGGTATGGGATTTTGCAGATCCTCGATCTTGGGCCCCTCGCACATAATGTACTACGGTAGATGGTACCAGGCTCAGGAACCCACTGCACGTGCCCAATAACATTTTCCGGGTGGAACCCCTCCACGGCTCTTTTCCAATACTCTGCAGGGACCTGGGGATGAGACGTAGTCTAGCCCTTGGCACCAACAAAACCAGCAAAATTCCTCTGGGGCGTTTTGCCTTTCCATTGGCAAGCACATCTCAGCAACCTCGCTCCTCGTTATGGTGGGCATTGGTGGGGCACCTGCCCACGACTTCTAGGGTGGTTGGTAGCGGCCCTCTCTAGTACCTGCAGGGCAATCAGATCGCAATGAAAGGGTCTCGTCGAAAATGTGCAATGTCGTCACCAGGTAGGACAAGATACTCTCCCACCATAACGCGAAAATGCAACACTACCATTGCAGGACCTCTCTGCTGTATAACTGTCAATTGGAACCCTGCCTGAACAACCCTGGCCCAGGATCGAACAACGACCGTTTTTTCTTTCTTTCTGGTGTGTACTATGTATATCGGCGGCTGCGTAGTACACCATCGTGCATGCGTGCGTGTCACTATCTCACCATCCTGACATAGTATACTGGTAGTCCTGCAGCACAACGTGTGACGGTCTTCTCCACCCACAGCAGGGTCTTTGTGGGACGACACATTCCCGCCCGCCCAGGATTCACAGTCCAGAACCGTACTGTGTGTCATACCCCTCTCCCCTCTCTCTACCCACTAAGCACTTAGTTACCGCCCATGTCATTGTCGTATGAGTCTTTGAGGACGTGAGACGCAGCCACGACGGTGACATGCTGCCCGTCACGATCGAGACACTCTGCCTGCCATCGTCAGGGAGCGAGGGCAGCTCTCATCCACATGTACAAAGGAATGGAACCGTGGGGAAGAGGCTGAAATTTTCGTGAAGATCCCCTCCAAACAGGGTCAACACTGCTTCCGACCAACACCGCAGAGCAGAGGCTATGCCGGATGTGGATAGTGTTGCCGTGCTTGATTTTAGGTGGATGCTCCCCAAACTCTATTTGATAAACTACTATCCTCGAGCTACTTTTTCCACCAAAACTCAACTTTTACCTGGAAAAGAAGGAACTGTTACTTAGTACTTGGTGGTGGTGCATGACGCAACTCTTCTCTTCCCATCCTCAACGGTGCTGAGGTTGCTTTGAGGTTCACAAGACTGGAAGGGACCATACGCCATCGAACCCCTTCCTCACAGAGACACAATCAGGTTGGCCATTTGGGTAGACAACATTCTGAATCCGTCCCTACCGTCCCGCTCTCTTGTGTGTGTCGGTCACTTCGTCCACAGTGTCATATCATCATTCCTCTATGCCGTGTGCGTAGCGTCGTCACTGTGCTCTTCCTCCACTCTTTTTTATTTTTTTTATTTTTTATTTTGTTTTAATGCTCGTCGACTCGCCCCAAGTTGGTCAAGTCACCTAGTCTCAGAACCCCCCCCCCCCCCCCCACATCGAACACCTCCTAGCCATCGCGTTCGGCAAAGCATCCTCCTCGAGGACCCTGTGGATCTTTGGCCGATCCATCCACAAGCCTATAATCCCACTCCTCCCGGTTGTTTACCACGCTACCCTGCCCGCCATCGGCATTACCAAACTTTACGCCGGCTTCTTCTGTTAGGGGGGCCAGCCCCATCGTTGCCCAGCTTTGTTACTGTTCCTTGTCTGTCAACACATGAGCTCGTACAGCCGCCAGTTTGAAGATACTGCTCACCCATTCGTGGAGGTGTCAGCGCAGGAAAGGAGTCGCTCACGCTCCTTGTGCTATTTCTCGACCAAAGGTTGCTATCCCTCGAAAGGAACGGCCGCAGTCTACCCCGTGCCACAAGCCGCCACATCTCGGACGGGGCTGGACGCCTTTGCGAGAACCCCCATGCCAGCTCTCACGACGACATGTTTGGCTCTGTCGCGAAGGAGGATTCTGCTGCCGCACCTCCGGCCACGATGACGGACGGCAGCCATCCGCTACAAGATTCATCTCCGCCCCAGAGATCCGCGTTCAGCTCGCCACAGACAGTCTTCGGTGATGATGATGACACGAGCTATCCCGGACACGACAGGTCGAACTTGACGAGGACGACAGCAGCAGCACCAGCACCAGCAGCACCAGATAGCCAGAGCAATGTCTCGTCAATCCAATCACATGGCATGCCCCGCTCTCTCCGCCGCGACAGCGCCGCTGACCATAGAGCTTTGGCGAACAGCCCATTCCGACTCGAGATGCCTTCCATCACACCCGCACAGCTAGCGTTTTCAGCCTTGCAATTTCTGCCAGTGCCTGTATTAGTGCTGGACAACTGGAAGACCGTTGTGCTGGCCAACGAGGCCATGGGGAAGCTATTGGGTCTCATATCTGAGTCTGACGAGAGCGATGCCGACGAGGCATCCAATGCCACGGAGCAAATCTACGGGCACACGCTTTCTCAGGTGGGAATCGACCTGGTCCAGGATGGAAAGCCGATATGGGTTTCCTGGGAACCCTTTCTGGACACGATTGCCGAGGAGATGAGCTCGCCGCATGCTCAAACGGGCAGCGGCGGAGTGGACTCCAAGATTCGCCCTGGCCAAGGCGATGCGACGCCTACTACGGAAGGGTTGAGGATCAAAAGACGGCCCAGCCAGTCTCAACAACAGACGGTCGTTGAAGTCATTGTGTCACGAAACGATCTCGGCCAGTCAATCCTTCACTCCTCCCGGCGCGCAAGCAGCCAGGATCCTGAGAGCCAGACGTATGCGAAGATGATCGTGAGTGTGTGGGAGGTCGCCGGTCATCAGACGTACTTCGCCCTCACATTCACCAACACCGAGTCGTCCTCAAACGTGAGCACAAGAACAAGGGCAGTGGCTCGGCCGAGCGCTCTTGAATCGGCCGAAAAGAAGAAGATGAGGTCTTCCTCCTCCAATACTCCCTCGGTTTCGTCCAGCCACTCGGCCAGTTCGCCATCTTTACGAATCAGTCCGAACGCCGTCTCCCTGTCCTCAGGCCCCTTCCCGCCGATGGGCCCCCCTTTCAACTCCGTGCAAAGTGCGCCATCTCTTCTCCAGAAAACACTCATCATCAAGGACGCCCTTCTCGATACCACGGAAACTCCCATCATGGCGATGTGGAAGGATGGTACGATAGCATATCCAAACGCGGCTGCCCGGAGATTGATGACCAAGGGGGCTCAATCCACTTATTCAGCTGAGGGTATGGATATACTATCGAGTTGGATTGTGTACACCGAAGACTTTAGCAGGCCTCTCGAGCATGACGAATACCCCATTGCTATTTTGCTAAGGACCCAGACACCCTTTTCTGGAATGCGGATTGGCCTGCTCGACACGGATGGCAAGAAGATCGTGCTAGACATATTGGCCGAGGCGATTCGTGACGATGAAACGGGCGAGTTTCTGGCAGGGATCATTACGTGCCGAGATGTGACCAAAATGGCCAAGGAGATTGACCAGCTGAAGGCGAGGGATGCGGAGAGGTTCAAAACCATTTGCGATATCATTCCTCAGCTCGTCTGGACGACTGATCCATGGGGCAGTCTCGACTTTTTTAACACACGATGGTTTGAATTCACGGGCATGAGTCTCGATGAGTCTTTGGGGCCGATGAAGTGGACGCAGGCCCTGCACCCGGACGACACGCCTGCAACCGCGAAGAAGTGGGAGCACAGCATGCGCACCGGAGAACCGTACAGCGCGGAGTACCGTCTTCGAACCAAGAAGGGCGAGTGGCGGTGGATGCTGGGCAGGGCTATGCCTCTGCTGAGCCCCGAAACTGGGAAGATTGAGAAATGGTTTGGCACGTGTACCGACGTGCATGACAGCATCGAGTCGAAACTCGCTGCGAGGAGAACCCGCCAGCAGCTCCTCAGCGTCATCGCTCACGCCCATGTCACCATCTTCGCTGTGGACCTGGACCGCAAAATTACCATGCTGGAAGGAGCGCTGATCGAGCACGCGAGTGCGAACCTGGGCTCCCCGCCTGGCTGGTGCATAGGAGGAAACGTGGATGAGGTTTTCAACCGTCTGCATCCCGAGCTGCCTGTTGGTCAGCGCCCTGATTTCCTCTCGGCCGTCGACGCGATCTTTGAGCAGAGGGCCGGCGATGTTCTGGTTGAGCACAGTATAGGTAAGCTATCTATTCCGGCTCGATTCACCTGCCTTTTCTGGACAGTCAAGCTGACAATCATAGATGACCGGCACTTTCGGACAAGATTCTTACCACTAGCTATTAAGCAGAAGGACACAGGATCAAAACCAGAGGGGCGAGGCGATAGTATACCAGGCAATGACATAGAGGGTGCAATCGGCATCATAATGGATGTGACCGAGCTGAAGGCGAAAGAGGCTGTCCTCGAGGCCCAAGCCAAGGAGAAGCAACAGCTACTGGCAAATGAGGCGGCTGCTAAGGAGGCCAGCAGACTGAAGAGCCAATTCCTGGCCAATGTGAGTTTGGACAGCCATACCTGTGCTCCTCCATCATTCTGTGTGATGCTGACCAAGGGCAGATGTCTCATGAGATCCGAACGCCTATAACTGGCGTCATTGGTAGGTTTTGAGCTCCCGCATCATCTTCCATGGCAACAGCTGACCCAAAACTCAGGTATGGCGGAGCTGCTGTTAGACGTTGACCTCAATGACGAGCAGCGAGACTATGCAGAAAACATCTTCCGGTCAGCCAACGCCTTGTTGACGGTCATCAACGATATTCTTGACTTCTCGAAGGTCGAATCTGGGCGGATGGATATTGAGGAAGTCCAGTTCCGCGTGTCTGTCATAGGTCAGTTTCTGCGAACCCATGTGTCGAATCTGAGGAGAACAGTTCAATTTCTGACTACCCATCATGTGCACATTAGTGCGAGACGTGCATAAAATGCTCAGTTTTGCTGCCCAGCGGAAAAATCTCGAGATCATTGCGGACATCGCACCCGACATTGCCGAGGATCTTGTGATCCTTGGTGACCCAGGCCGGGTGAGACAGATTATCACGAACCTGCTTACCAACAGCATCAAGTTCACGCATCAGGGCTTTGTCAAGCTGTCACTCACCAAGGAGCGAGAGACGGACGACATGGTCGAGATTCGATTCGTTGTGCAGGATACCGGCATCGGTATGGATGAGGAGATTCGCAAGAGACTTTTCCAGCCGTTCAGCCAAGGTGATGCGTCAACGGCAAGGAAGTTCGGCGGAACAGGCCTGGGACTGACTATCTGCAAGAGTCTTCTTGAGCTGATGCACGGCCACATGACCCTAGAGTCGGTGCCCAACCAGGGGACTACAGCCTCCTTCTGGGTGCCGTTTAACAAACCTCATGGGACACAACCGTCGAACCTGGTCAAGATCCAGCCATTGCCAGATCGGCTCCAGTCCGAAATGAGCGTCTCCTGCAACAGCTCCGACTTTGAAGTCCTTGGGACACCGCCCAGTGGAGAGTTTGCGGGGGGTCCGGCGGAGAAGAGCAGGCTGCCTACCAAGCTGAAGGCTTCGATTGTCGCTGCTGAGGATGGCCTCTCCAAGGATGAGCGCTCCAAGATCCACGTGCTGGTCGTCGAGGACAACGCCATCAATCAGCAGATCGCCACCAAGACGATCCAGAAGTTGGGATTTAGCGTCGCGGCAGTCTGGAATGGACGCGAGGCGCTGGAATACCTGGCCGAGGCGCAGAATGGGCAGAAAATAAAGCCCAGCATCATTCTTATGGATGTGCAGGTGAGTTTCATTTGGGGTCTCTTGCATGTGGCCCTTTTCCCTCTTTTCCCAAAATGAAAAGTGATCTCAATTTCGGTTCTGACACCATATTCTTTTCTCCAATAGATGCCCATCTGTGATGGCTACAAGGCCACGCATCTGATACGCCACCACGCTCCCTACAAATCTTACATACGGGACGTTCCCATCGTGGCCATGACGGCATCAGCCATCCAGGGCGATCAGGAGAAGTGCAGGAGAGCGGGTATGGATGATTACCTCGCGAAACCGGTGAGGTCGAAGACGCTGGAGCAGATGCTCGTGCGGTGGTCTGTCGACAAACGAACACTACCTACGCCTCCACCTTTATCGTCCCATGCCTCCATTTGCTCGGAGCAGAGCGATAACTGTATGAGTGCGGGAATCCCAGCCGTCGGGCTCGACGAGGTCGATGGAGACGCGGCCGTGCCGGAGGCGCTACAGGCAGAGGCAGATCCCGAGGAGAGGCGCAATAGTCCTCTCACACCGAGGCCCAAGCTCTTGACGGCAACCTCCTTCTTCTCGGCGGCGGCCGTGGATGTTCCTCAGCAGCAGCAGCAACCACCGATGGGGCTGTCGCCACCACGCAAGCCGGACCTGCAGATGCGACGTGTCGAGACGGACGAGCTCGCGCAGCAAAGCCGGGATGACAAGATGATCGACGCAGCGGGGGGTCCTGCGGTAGTGCCTCTAGTGCATACGCCAATGATAGACAAGGGGAATCCTCTGACCGAGGCCAATGTGCAAAAGTTTCAGCAGGAAGAGTTTAACAGGAGAATGTCCTAAGGGCGCGCGACATCTGTTAACATGCTTTCCTGACCTTCATCTTCATTGTTCTTATTTCTTACTTGTTTTCTTTTTTCCCTACACATGGCTTGTTTTCTTTTCCCTATACTTGACTTGTTTGAACTTGTTTGTATCAGCATGGCGTTGCGGCTCGCTTTGATACCTCCTAATTACACGGTACGGGCGACGGATGTTGGAGAAAGAGTTCTAAAAATTCGGCCTTGTAGCTTGATGTTTTAGTCATAGTGTGCAATTTGGCATCGAAAGAGAAGACAAAATTAAAGAGAGACATGATCGGCGTTCTTCATGGAAATATACGTTTATATATATAGATGTAGCATTGTGTCTTGTTTCCTTGATGTATTTGCGTTTGAATAACATAAATAGATCCTTGGGTAACGGTTTGTTTGGTGGTTTTTTTTGGGGGGGGGTTTTGGGGGGGGGGACAAATCAAGATTTAGATAGACAAAAATAACCTTCTCTCTCTTCTTGATATCTTTTTTCTCATGTCTAGAACTGAATATGTTTCATTTCTCCTTCTGTAATTATACGCTTGGTTCTCTGTAGGCTCGTATTTAACGCTGCGAGGCGTAGCTTACGTATTATACCGGACCCCCGCGAACCAACGTGACGATCGGACAATGCATCCACCGCCGTCGCCGTCGGTGCATTTCTTGTCACTTACGTCCAAGTAGTCAGATAACTTACTCCCCAGTCACGTCACGTCAAGCCACCCCACCCATAGGAAACTTTCCACTCAACCCCCCATGTTCCAACAAGACAGTAAGTACCCTCCAACAATCTGACTGGCCGCGAAGCATGTGAGAGCGCGAGAGAGAACCTTGTTCGGAGCTGACGGAGGGGGAGAGATAGACAGACCAAAAGTCGTGAAGCTTACTTTTTTGGCCCCGTCGTCGTATGACAATTTGCTGTAGGATTCCGATCAAACCCGATTATCGAGAGGCGTAGTAGTTACGCGCGTATGTATGCTCTTCTAACTGCCTTTATAAGATCGTCGTCAAAACCCCCCCTTTCCCCTCCCTTCAGCTTCCCAGCTGTCAGCTGAAAAGAAGTGGCGCCGCCATTATTGAAGAAGCTACTCCCCATCAATAGTGACTAGGAAGGAAAGGGAAAGAAAACAAAAGAAAATCCAGCAACCAGGGCGACTTGAAAAGAAGTCAAAAAAGAAAGAAGAAAAAAACCTTCACTCCATTGCTGGACGACCCGCACCAGGAAACAAAACACATCAGCAGCAGCAGCAGCAGCAACAGCAGCAAGATAGTTACCCATCAGCAAGATAATTACCCATCAGCAACAAATTATGGCATCAGGAACCGCCTTGACCACCTACCTCCACCGCCTTACCGAGGTCCTCCCGCCCACGCTGCGCCAGAACCCCAGGGCCGCCGCCATCGCCGTCGCCATCACAGCCCTCGGCGTCTCCATTCCAACCTTGTCCTACGCCCGCGCCAGCTACCGCGGGTACATAGCTCTAGGCAAAGGCGGCATGCCCTACAACGTCTTCGGCTGGGCTCTGCAGGGCGTCCTCCAACTCATCGCTCGGCACGACACACGCGACCCTCTGCCGCTTGCCAAGCCCCAGAACCGGACCGCCACGGAGCCGCACGGCAACAAGACCTTTTTCTCCTCTGCCCAGGTCCCGATTCCCGAGCGCCAGGGAGGCCGCCCTGAGGTGCCTGGGTACGTCGCCCCGCAGAGGCAGATGACGCAGCGACCCAGCGATGTGGAGGCGATGCGGGCGCGGATGGCGGCGCACCTGGTCAAGCTGGCGGCCAAGGGTGCGGGGGTGCTGGTGATGCGGCCGTCCGGGCTCGAGGGCGTGGGGACACAGGCACTCTGGCTCGACACGAGGGCGAGGGCGTCTTCGGCAAGCCCTCCTCTGCCGAAATTCCTCGCGCGGGGCCTGAAGGGCGAGGTGACGCACGTGCACCCGGAGGCGAGCTCGCACATCACGCTGAGCATGGCGGACGCGGAGGAGGTCGTGCGGAAGGGCTGGGCGGAGCGGCACCCCCTGAGCGGCGTGGCGTTTATGCCGTGGAGCTATGTCATGATCTATGCGCCGCGCGACGAGGCAGAGTTGGAGGTGTGGAAGGCCATTATGAGCGCTGGGGTGCGGTTTGTATGTGCTGCGGCTGGGAGGGAGGTGAATCTGGAATGAGTGACCAAGTGGGGAGATGGGTCTACCTGCTGGGACGCGCAAAGGTCAGGGAAACTACGAGGTGCACAGTATTCTTTTTTTTTTTTTTTTTTTTTTTTTAATCGGTGGCAAGAAGAAGAAGACAAGGTATTCGTGAAAGGAGGGGATGTGTCTGAAGCAAGCCCACATCATAACAAAGACCTTCACATTCTTTTGGTCATTCTCAGATTACATTTCCAGATGGACAGACTGCAATATCAATCAATCGTTGCTTGAGATGCCAGTCACACGAGACTTCTGTGGTATCTTTATGAAGTTCGATTCTCATGAAGTCGAATCCCAAGAGAATTTTGATTAATGGAAACGGAGGAACAGCTTATAGGAGAAGAGATCTAAGTCGATAGAGGACAACCAGCGGTACCAGCAGAGACAACGTATCTGAATCGATAATGTCCACAGGGCTGTGCCATGATGCATGCCGGCCGCCGCGGCTTGGGGATTGACCAAGTCTACTTCAAGTAGTCAAGAAGTGTACTGACTTGGGTGTCTGAACGTCTCGACTCTTCAGGAATGAGTTCGGAGAGATTTTGAAGGTACTTCCCTTCACTGTGCTGGTGTTCTTTTCATGCCTATTGCTGTGACACATGCACGTCTTCCTCATATGCATCGGGGGTATAGCACCCAGACCATCAGGAGACCCTGGCGAGAACGTCGGCAAACTACTACTAGGTTTCGCCATACTCATCATCATGGTCTTGCTCCTTTTCTCCTCGCTGGCTGCGATACCCTTCACCTTTCTTTTCCCCCTCGAGGGCTGCAACAACCTTCATATTGTAGAGATCTTTGAAATACAAGGAGGCCGACTTGACTTGCGCATTATCTTGTAGCCTCCATACCAAATCCACTTTTCGCGTTTAATCACAATATAGCCTCGATCGTGAACCCTACTTCTTATCATCTTTGTCCCACTTTCGACGAGATGGGACCGTATTTCCAGGTGGCAGGGTGACTTACTGCCCCTTATGGCGCAGTACTGTAGAGGGGTTGGATACCAAAACGTCCATAAGTTAAGAGCAGACAGAGAGGGCTCAGGAGACAGTCCCAAGATGCCAGATCATTCAACTGCTCTTCAAATCAAACGAGCCATATCACTGTGCGGGCAGAGTTCGTACATGCTTATACAAAGTACGCTGTAAGCCTGCCTAATGATGTATATAAGTGACCTCGCCTGTGAGTATATTTGGTATAGGTGTTTTTTTCCTTCCTGTTTTCTTTCATTCAATTGTCAACGTCTTCCAACTGTATTCCAAATGTTTGTCGTCCCAATGCCCGTTTCTATTGCCGTTTTACATCCACTTTCTCGATTACGGTTTGCCGTTTCTAATCACGGACGGTGGACCCGCGGCGTCGCTCTGTCTCCTCGTTTTCCATCTCCCATCTCCCGCCCAGAACTTCTTCAAATAGATAAAAGAACAAGGGAAGCAGAAAAGACGAAAGGAAAGAGAAAAATACCAAAGCTCCTTGGTGGTGCAGAAAATGGGAAACCAGCTATAAGGAACAGGTACGAAACTCCTTATAATAAATAAGGAAAAAAAAACCGGAAAAAAATTCATGATCAGACTGGGACTCGAACCCAGGAGGATTGCTCCATCAGGAAGTTTTGTTAAGCTGACCTTAACCTGACGCCATAACCGCTCGGCCATCTGACCCGTCATTTTGTTGTAATACGAGCAAAATTTGCATATTATAGCCTCAATGAGCGGCGAGCTACTAGTGGATGTCCGGAGAACCAGTGAGTCGCCCTGAACACAGGACCAGAATGATTTTTGTGTCGATGATGATAATGATGATGATGAGAAACTCCCCAGTACAGCCTGGCCTTTGGAACCTATTCCCTGTTCAAAAGCCGTTGATCCTTGAGGCTAGTCCTTTCGGTACCCATAGAACCCAGGGCTGTCTTGCCGCTGAACCAGCTGGAAAACACCTCTGCAGCGTGAACTCTTAGCATGGCAGCCTCCTATTTACTTAATAACGAGGTTCAAGTCATTGTGTAAGTGGTTCGTCTGGTTTATTCTTTTCTTTCCCTTTCAGGACTTTTTCTTTCTTTCTTTCTCTTATTTTGGTCGTGCAAAGCAATCATCCAGCCTACTAGTCTATGAATTGTCTGGCAGGCATTGATGAGCAAACACCTTCCTGATCTTATGTCTAGCTCGTCTTCTTCGCAGGCTTGAGAGATCCTCAATAGAAGTGCATCGACTATTCGAGTTCTATATAATGTCTAATCGAGCCTAACTAATCTTAAGGTCAGGCCTGTTGCTCCTGATAATGCGGGGGCGTAATTGCCGCCCGGTTGTGCGCAACTACCCTGCCTCCGAGATTGCACAGGCATAACTGGGCGCTGCCAGCCAGCTTCTCTAGTAGCCTTCCTCATCCCATCAGGCGCGAGCCCTTGCATTGAGCAGGACAGCGCGCGTCCCGTAAAGAACAGGTCAACGGGCAATGCATAAAACGCCCAGAACGCCCCCAAATTCCCGTCCCTTTTTTGTTTGTGAAAGGCTCAATGCAGTGTTTGAGGTTTAAAACCCTATACTATTCATGTCCGGTGCCCCTCTTTAAGTCCTATCGCAAGTAACGCCAGTCTTTATCTTTCTCATGGTCATTTCTAAAACGCCGCCTTCGTCTGTCTGGAACCGCCCTCGAAACAAGCCGCGTCGCCCCGTCACAACCTCGCTGAGGTCTAAAAGTGGTGCGTGCCGTTGACACCGTTGGTGAGCCTGGCCTTCAAGACATCATCGAGGAGACCAGCGCTAGCGGCGATGAAGCCCAGGAACGGGGGCTGTTATTCGTCAGCTGAGGTCGCAAGAAGGGGGCATCTAATATTTGCACTTACACTAGGGTTGAGCACCTTGGACTGGTACTCGGCATGGAATTGTGTGCCTTCAGGGAAAGTCAGCAAGAACAGATAGCAGAAAAAAAATTAGAATCAAGTACAAGATACTCACCAACAAAATAAGGATGATCATTGATCTCAAAAATCTCCATACGCTGACCCGTCTCGTCCTTTCCGACAAAGTGCAGACCGGCAGCCTCCAAGCGATCGATGAACTCCGGATTAATCTCGTATCGGTGTCGGTGTCTCTCCTCGATCTCTGCAGCATGACCGTACAGGGCACGGATCTTGGCCCCCTCGCTGCTTGGCTGGAAGATCGTCTTCCTGGACCCGAGACGCATGGTGCCGCCCATGTTTTGCTTGTCAAGCTCGGGCATGGAGATGACCACAAGTTCCTTGGCAGTAGCCTCGAACTCTTCCGAGTTGGCGCCCGTCATCCCGCAGAGATCACGCGCGAACTGAATAGCGGCTGTTTGGAAGCCAAGGCATACCTGAATTTTCAATTAGCAATTGAGCAACCAGGAAACCCCGCACGCCGACGATTTCGAATACGTACTCCCAGGAACGGCACACGGCTCTCCCGAGCGAACTTGGTGGCCAGCATCATTCCCTCAGTGCCGCGAGTGCCAAATCCTCCTGGCACAATGATTCCAGAGGCATCTCGGACTTCCCGCCACGCCTTCTCGTACTTGCTCGCCTCGGCAGCCTTGGTCTGCGGCTCGAGGTGTTCAGCATCGACCCAGATCAGATTGAGCTTGCGTCGCAGGTGCATGGAAGAATGCTCCAGAGATTTGACGACCGACAGATACGCATCGTGTGTCTCGACGTACTTGCCCACCAGCGCGATGCTGATGTCAGATTGCTGCTCCTGTGTTACCACTGACTGCCAGTGGTCCCAGAGCTCAGCACCCCTGGCCACACGCGCAAGAGGGATGAATTCGCCGGCGAGGTTAAGCTTAACGCGCAGCAGAGTGACCAGGTGCTGCTGCTTCAGGAGTATGGGAACCTGGTAGACGGTTGGCATGTCGCGAACCACAAGAATCTGGTCGACCTCGACTGAGCAGTGCAGCGCAAGCTTCGCAACGGTACTCTCCGCAAGAGGCTGTTCGCATCGACAGGCAACCTAGTATGACCATCAGCTTTGCGAGCACAAGAAGGCAATGACAATACTTGACGCACAAGGTCGGGGATCAGGCCATAGCTGCGGACGGACTTCACGGCGTGCTGAGTTGGCTTGGTTTTCTGCTCGCCGTGAATGGTAGGAACATAGGAGACATGAATGGTCATGAAGTTGCCGGCTCCGGCTTCATGACGCAGCTGGGTAAGCGCCTCAACAAAAGGCATGCTCTCGATATCGCCAACAGTGCCTCCAAGCTCGATAATGCAGACATCGGGCTCTTCGTCGGATCCGTCGACGGGAATCCGGGAGACTCGCTTGATCCAGTCTTTGATCGCATTTGTGACATGGGGGACGCTGTGAACTATCAGCAAAGATCATGGCTCGCTTCCAGCCCAGACACAGTCCATGAAACGCCGCTGCGTGCCGGAATCTCATGCGACGTGCTGGGACATCCGAAGGAGAGAGACGACGAAGGGGCACACACATTTGAACAGTCTTGCCCAGGTAGTCGCCGCGGCGCTCCTTTTGGATGACCTGCCAACCAATCAGACTTCGTCCTCGTGGGTGGACAATGTGGGGGAACGGACGTGTTGATATATCTTGCCGGTAGTGATATTGTTGTCACCGGCCAGGGTAACAGCCAGGTATCTCTCGTAGTTGCCGAGATCCAGGTCAACTTCGGAGCCTGTTCAGAGTGTCAGCAGAGACGACGGACAGGCAATCAATCGACACTACACAGAAACGGACCTGAGCGCAAGACGAAGCACTCGCCATGCTCGGCAGGGGCCATCAGACCTGCGTCGACCGAGACATATGGATCGATCTTGATGCAGCTGACACGGAGTCCAAGTGTTTTCAGAAGCTATGAAATCTTCTGTCAGAGATTCTCATTGTGTTTGTATGTCGAACGCGAAGCAACCAACCAGGCCAGTGGAGGAGGCGATAATTCCCTTTCCGACACCTACGACACAACGTCAGCCAAACCAACCACCATCAGGCCTTTCCCCGTCTCCCCACCACCAGTGAGGGGGGTTGCAGTGCTTCACGGATGGATTGTGAGTAGTGGACAATGAGCAAAAACCATACCTGAGATAACACCACCAGAGACAAGGACGTAACGCATCTTGACCACCGTTTGACTGGTAAGAACGGTCCAGAATCCCAAGAGAATAGCAGTGGCCTCAAAACTATTATCCCTGGTGGACTGCAGTGAAGGACGTTGGTGAAGATGTGTTGCGCATTAGTATCAAGAAATTTCTGAACGCGACGCGGTCTGACTCAAAATTGAGTAGGCAACGAGGGGTTGCCTTTATCGATAGCAGGGGGCTGCGACACAAAGGAAAGTCCTGTACCATAGTAAAGTGTTTTCAAGCAGCTGGCAAGGGCCCCCCTGCCGTCAATTCTCCCCCCGCTAATTCACAGCTGTCAGCTATGGCCTGCGCATACCAAGTGCACCACTGTACACCACTAGTACTCAGGCAGTCAGGACATGCTATAGTAGGGTCGGAGCTGACTTAACTGGAGACTGGTGACGGCTCTTGTCAAGAGCCAATGGATGACGGAAAATACAATTCAATTTCACCAGGTTTGATTTCCGCCACTGGTTGAGACTGAATTTTTTGAGATTATCTTTGAACGGATTTATAATGTATCAGAAAAAAAAGAATTAGTCCCAAAAATCCGACTGAAAGAGCAACCTGTTCAGTGTCATCCTTCTTCACCAAATTGGACCATAGGAAAGATACCAGACACCACATTTGATGTTGATATCATCAAACTTGTACCAGGGTTTTCTGGTGGTTTTTGTTTGAGTTCCAAATTATTCTGTAAATCGGGGAAAATTATGCATTCAAAATGAAGAATCTCAACCCACTCTTGGTTGCCCCTTGCCATAGTCCGTCATATTCCCTCTCGGTTGCTATATCTAAACCCTTTGCTCACTAAATGTATCTCATTATTTTTCACTTAACATTGCCATTACAATACGTTCCAAATAGGAAGAAATGCTAAGAAGCTTTTGCAGGCCCCTCTGTGCTAGAGTCAGTCTGACTGCACTCATTTTTGACTATGGTGTTCAGAACAACACCTGGATGGTCCAGCCTGACCTCAAGGATGCAGTTTTGGTGAACATCACGGGCACTTGTCGAGGATGCCATGTAAGTATCCCTCCCATTCGCATATCCAAGATTTCAACGTTCCATTCTCTGCCTCTAGAGAAACCATGTTCTCATGAGATGGTACTGTTGGGCAGTACACAGTGGCCTATTTGTCCCGCTTGAGAAGATCTTCTTCTTTATGACACGAATCCAGCTGATTTCGACCAACCATACAGTAACTATCTAAATGCCACTTACAAAAACTATACATTCCCAATTCCTCCCCAATTTTACTTCAGCAGCACTGCAAAGGCACTCACGCTAACAGCAACTATCTTACTGAAGCAAAAGATTGGCAGGTCAACTAATCATCTCGTCTGGCTTGGTCACTCATTCTCTTTTATCAAACATATGCACAACAACACTGCAGTCCCAACATCCACTTCTCTAGACTGGTCTTGCCAGCCCTCTGTTTAGGACTCTCCTCCTTTCAAACGTTGAAACACGAAGACTGGAGTTGCAATGAGCCCCAAGTCTAACGGGACTGTCGAGATTTGTTTCAAGTAGAGCTGTCTTCCTGCCCAGACTTCCAATGTCTCCTGAAGCCAGATGCTTGATCTCTAACCCTGAAAGTTGCTTAGATGGCAGAGAGCCACGGCTTGGTATATTTAAATTGGTGTATAGTACCTACTAAACCTCGATGGTAGTGGTGCCAATGGTCCTTGTCCCGGAAATTGTGGTCGTGTATCGTGCTCTTACAATTCTGCCCTTTGGTGGTGCAACGATATAAAGTCCACCAAGCCGATGACCATCAGAAATCCACCTTGACGCCACCGAACTTCATTTGCTGATGAAAATATGCTTGGCCTAGAATCTCAAGACATTCTCCACGACCTTCAAATCCATTGGGAATGGTGCTTGGGACATCCTCATCAACTGTTACAAATCTGATTGCTTCAGCGGCAGCATGACAGGCCAAAACTTCTTTTCTGACGAGGGTTGGAACGTCATCGTCCGGTATGACGACGACAGCTGCCAATTCATCAGGTCTTGATAAGCACGAGAGGAAAAGAATGGGGATCTCCCCATTGTAGTCTGCTGGCGAAATGCTTTTATCTTGCCTAGGTAGATGGTATCTAGTCTCGTATAAGAGAGAGAGACAAAGAGAGCTCTTGAAGAGATGTAAGGTGCTCCAAGCCCGGGGGAGGGGTTTGGTCAGAGTGACTATGGTCAACAAAATAATGAATGTCTGAAGGAAAAGAACACCGATAGCAGTTTCCATGCACTTGGCAAGTTCTATGCATTAAAGAATGAGACCAGCCGCCCACTTTATAAAATATGACCGAGACACAATCTATGTCAAGTCAAGTTGAATACACAAGAGTCCAGATAGCAACCGTTCTCATGTTGTGTATAACCCCTTCTACTGCGCCGTTTCCTGAAGTTTAATGCAGTATTGTTGCTCCCCAAATTACTGGAGGCTCTCGATAACGAGAGCGGAAGCGCCACCACCGCCGTTGCAGATGCCAGCACAGCCAATCTTGGCCTTCTTCTCCTTGAGGACGGTGGTAAGGGTGGTGACGATACGGGCACCAGAGCAGCCCAGAGGATGGCCAATGGCGACGGAGCCACCAAACACATTGACCTTCTCGGGGTCGAGGTTCAGCAGCTTGATGTTGGCCAGGGCAACCACGGAGAAAGCCTCGTTGATCTCGTAGAAGTCGACCTGCTCGGCGCTCAGGCCGGCGTGCTTAATGGCCTTGGGGATGGCCAGCGAGGGCGCAGTGGTGAACTTCTCGGGGGCGTGGGCGGCGTCGCCCCAGCCGAGAATCTTGGCAATGGGCTTGATGCCGAGCTCCTTGAGCTTGGCCTCGGAGACGAGGACGACGGCGGAGGCACCGTCGTTGATGGGCGAGGCGTTAGCGGCGGTGACAGTGCCGGTGCCGGGGATGAAGACGGCGCGGGCACTCTTGAGCTTGTCAACGTTGAGGTTCTTGACCTCCTCGTCACGGTCGACCTTGACAGCGGGCTTGCCACGGCCGCCGCTGACCTCAATGGGGGCGATCTCCTCCTTGAAGACACCGGCCTCGGTAGCGGCCTGGGCCTTCTGGTACGTCTTGATGGCGTACTCGTCCTGGTCCTCGCGGGTGATGCCGTGCGTGGAGGCACACAGCTCGCCCTGCAGGCCCATGAGCTCCTTCTTGCCGTAAGCGTCGCGCAGACCGTCCTTCTGCACGCCGTCGACGAGGGTACCATCGCCGTACTTGACGCCCGTGCGCAGGTTGGGCAGGTAGTGCGGCGTGTTCGACATGGACTCGGTGCCACCGGCCACGACGATGGAGGCGTTACCGGTCATGATGGTCTGCGCGCCCAGGATAATGGCCTTCATGCCCGAGGCGCACACCTTGTTCACTGTTGTGGCGACCACAGAGTCACTCAGGCCGGCGTGAATAGCACATTGCCGCGCAGGGGCCTGGCCCAATCTGGTGTGTGTGTTAGTGAGGCGGAGGGGGGGGGGGCTTTGGAAGTTGGGACCACTCACCCAGCAGAGAGCACATTGCCAAAGAAAACCTCCTCAACATCCTCAGGCTTGACCTCAGGCACCCTCTCGACGGCAGCTACATAGAAGAGTGAGTGAGCCTGGTCCTGAGAGTATCGCTCTGGTTGCTTAAGATCCTACCCTTGATTGCGTGAGCACCCAGCTGAATAGCGGTGAGGCTGGAGAGGGAGCTGGAAGTCGAGAGAAGAAAATTCCTCGTCAGCTATGAGCCACCACCTGAGCCGTTCTCGTTCGGCAGCACATGAACGATGATGGACCATGAAGACGGAGTGACCTACCCAAGGAAGGATCCAACAGGCGTGCGTGCCACCGAGGCGATGTAGACGGGGGGAAGGGAAGACATATTTGAGGGACTGAAGTGCTTCGGTGGAGGGCTGGTTCGGAGGGACAAGCTTTATCTTATACGTTCTGACCTGGAAGTCTCCCAACACAATGCTATGCGGACTCGTTTAAGTATTGAGAATAGGAGATGATCGCTCTTCACCGAGTCTCGATAGATTTTAATTGTTGTTCTTTGAGGAAGGTATCCACTAATCCTGCCCGAGCTCGGTGTCTTTCGCAAGGTTTTCCCAGAGTTCTGGAAATTCACCGTATGTGGCGCTACTGCACCGCCAGCAGACCCACTAGCCAATCAGACCGGTTCAGGTGTGGCGCCTAATTCAGCCTCGTCGATTTTTGAGAAGCAAGCTCAACTTCGCGTCTGCTCTTGCCACTGTGCGAGCGCGCTGCTGCTGCAACACCCACACCCACACCCACACCCCCATCCACCCCTCCTTACAACCTCTCCAGTCGCCATGGATGACCTCTACGATGAGTAAGGCGCTGTCCAGCAATTTATACGACTTGCATGGAAAAACTAACATTCAGCATAGGTTCGGCAACTTCATCGGCGAGGAGGCCGAGGCATCAGAGGAAGAATCTCAGCATGGCGCCGACGCTGGCAACTATGTCTACGATGACGAGTTCGCCGAGGAGGGCGAGGCTGGACAGGAGCTCATGGAGGTAGATGGTAAGGAAGGACCAGACCCTCCCCCTTGCCACGTGCTTTGAGAACGCTGGCTAACCTGACGTGTGTGGTGCGGTAGAGGGGCCTTCGAACGCCGTGATACTCCACGAAGACAAGCAATACTACCCAACGGCAGCACAAGTTTACGGAGAAGGAGTCGAGACCCTGGTGCAAGAAGAGGACGCGCAACCCCTGACCGAGCCAATCATCGCGCCCGTGGAGCAGAAGAAGTTTACAGTCGAGGAGGCCGACCTGCCACACGTCTTCTACGAGCGCGGTTTCATGACAGATCTTATGAACTTCCCCGACCAGATTCGAAATGTTGCGCTTGCAGGGCATCTGCATCATGGAAAGACTGCGTTCGTGGACATGCTCGTCCTGGAGACTCACGATATCAACGAGAGGCTGGAGAAGCGGACGGGTAGGAAGCGCGAGGAGCAGCTGAGGTACACCGATGTACACGACATCGAGAGGGATCGAGGGCTGTCGGTCAAAGCTGCGCCAATGAGCTTCGTGCTGCAAGGCACAAAAGGCAAATCACACCTGTTGAACATTATCGACACACCGGGCCATGTCAACTTCGTCGATGAGGTGGCAGCGTCGTTGCGACTCGTGGACGGCATCTGTCTAGTGGTGGACGTTGTGGAGGGTGTGCAGGTCAACACGCAACAGATTATCCGGCATGCGGTCCTGGAGGACATACCGATCACCCTCATTCTCAACAAGATGGACCGTTTGATCCTCGAGCTCAAACTGCCACCCAGCGATGCATACTTCAAGCTGAGGCACGTAGTCGAGGAGGTCAACACCATCATTGAACAGACGATACCTGGAAAGGGCGAGCAGAGACGGTTGAGCCCTGAGAAGGGCAACGTCCTCTTTGCATGTACGGAGATGGGATGGTGCTTCACCTTGCAATCATTCGCGAAGATGTACTCGGAGAGTTTTGGAGGGGTGAACATAGAAGACTTCTCACGCCGCCTATGGGGCGACGTGTTCTTCAACCCAAAAAGGCGCTCCTTTACGAGGAAAGCCATCGAAGAGGGCGCTAGAAGGTCGTTCATCACCTTCATCCTGGAGCCCATCTACAAGCTTTACTCGCATACCATCGGCGAGAGCCCCGAGGAGCTGAAGGCAACGCTGCATAGCCTTGGCATCTCTCTTAAGCCATCTCAGTACAAGACGGATGCTAAGGTCCTGCTCAAGCTGGTGTGCGAGCAGTTTTTCGGCCCTTGCACTGCGTTTGTCGATATGGTTGTGCAGCATGTTCCTTCGCCACAGGAGGCAGCTCAAAGATATCTGGAACGGTACTACACGGGTCCGCTCGATACCAAGGTTGCAGAGTCTATGAAGTCATGCGACCAAGACGGCCCGCTGGTCGTCCATGTCACGAAGCTGTTCAACTCCTCGGATGCCAAGCAATTTCACTCCTTCGGCCGGGTCTTGAGTGGTATTGTCCGACCAGGCGCTGAGGTTCGAGTACTTGGCGAAGGTTATTCTCTTGATGATGAAGAGGATATGGCCATAGCCAAAATATCCGACGTGTGGATCGCCGAGACGAGGTACAACATTCCCGTTGACGGAGTTCCAGCAGGCAACTGGGTGTTACTGGGCGACGTCGATAATTCCATTGTCAAGTCGGCCACGATAGTCGACAAGCAATTCGAGGACGACGAAGACGCCTACATCTTCCGACCCATTACGCATTTCACAGAATCAGTCCTGAAGGTTGCCGTCGAGCCAATCAATCCATCTGAACTGCCAAAGATGCTGGATGGCATACGGAAAATCAACAAGAGCTATCCTTTAATCAACACCAAGGTGGAGGAGTCCGGCGAGCACATCATGCTCGGGACGGGAGAGCTCTACATGGACTGCGTCCTGCACGACTTGCGACGACTCTATGCGGACATGGAGATCAAGGTCTCCGATCCTGTGACGCGCTTCTGCGAGACGGTTGTGGAGCAGTCTCACACCAGCTGCTACGCAATCACGCCAAATAAGAAGAACAAAATCACAATGGTGGCAGAGCCCCTCGAAGACGGTATTGCACGAGATATCGAGTCGGGAGTGGTAAGCATGAAGGATCCGATCCGCAAGACAGCTAAGTTCTTTGAAGAAAAGTACGACTGGGACAAGCTGGCCGCCAGAAGCATTTGGGCCTTTGGTCCAGATGAAAAGGGTCCGAATATCTTGCAGGACGACACCCTACCCGGCGAGGTGAGTGCCCCCCCCCCCCAAACGGGTTTTCATTACCGATCATGCATCCCTCCCACATACTCCCTCACGACGACGACGACGTTGTACTTACTTAGTTCTTTCTGCTGCAGGTGGACAAAAGGCTTCTCAACACCGTAAAGGAGCCAATCCGCCAGGGGTTCAGCTGGGCGAGCCGAGAGGGTCCTCTTTGCGAAGAACGTGAGTACATTTCATCTTGTGAACCCTGCCCCCACCCACATCACTTGGTATTGCATACTCGTCTGCGACCTTAGCCGCTCCTCCCGTTGCTTATCGCTTCCACTGCCGTGGCACAATTGTGGCGCGGGAGCTGTCCACCTTCTCAAACGGGTTACCGCTGAAGATGGGGTGCCATTTCTTCACTCAAGTCTTTACCACCTGTGAGGGATGACATGGCCGAACATGGGTTGCCCTCTACGCGCTGTCTTCCTGTGGGGAAACAGACAAAAGAAAAAAGAAATGGGGGGAAAGAAAAGGACGGCTCCCGCGGGTCGGCTTGTGCCAGTCGCGCAGTTGGAGAGCCCCTTGCAGTCTGTCCCTTATTACATCTTTTGCTTCCCCTTCAATGTCACGCCCTTGTGTGTGTGATTGATGCACGTCGCTGGCATACGTATCTGGTACACCTGTATCTACCTCTACTTTTCACACTGAAGCTAACCAAAAGATGCTTACAGCTATACGTAACACAAAGTTCAAGATCACAGATATCGCCTTGGCCCCTGAGGCGATCTTCCGGGGAGGTGGCCAGATCATCCCCACTGCCCGGCGAGCATGCTACTCGTCTTTTCTGATGGCGTCACCACGCCTGATGGAGCCCATGTATTCGGTCGCGATGACGGGTAACCAAGAGGCGGTTTCGACTTTGTACACACTGCTGGCGAGGCGGCGCGGCCACGTCCTCAGCGATGGCCCGATCGTGGGGACCCCATTGTACCGTGTGGACGGGTTGCTGCCCGTGATCGACTCGTTCGGCTTCGAGACGGACCTGCGCATCAACACGCAGGGCGCGATGGTGGCCCTAGTCTTTGACAGGTGGAGCATTGTGCCCGGCGATCCGCTGGACAGGGACGTTGTGTTACGTCCCCTGCAACCTGCCAGTGCGCAGGCGACGGCCCGTGACTTTGTGCTCAAGACGCGTCGGAGGAAAGGTCTCAGCGAGGACGTATCTGTGGCTAAATTTCTGGAGCCGGACTTCTATCAGGACATGCTTGCGAGTGGTGCGCTTGGGGATGTCTAGAGATGGAGACTGGTGCGAAAGAGAGGTCAGGAATAGGTAATCTACCTTCCTTTAATGGGTTCATATTGCCACATGTTTGGCCCAGACGTGTTTAGAGGCGTCTCGCCTTGCCTAGGGGGGGAATTGGGGGGTGGGCTGGCGGTGCTGGTGGTGCGGTGGTCCAGACCGGCGTGCAGATTTGCCACGTTCAGGGCCCTGGCCAGGCAGGCATACCGAGGGAACCCCAAGATTGAGAGCTGTCATGCGTGTCGAGGCTGGGGTTCGAGCAACTATACACTAAGTCTCGCCCAGAGAGGCAGGCAATTAAGGTGGTGCGCGTCGGCCCTATGCCAGGAGATTTCCTCAGCCCAGCTCAAAAGAGATCAATCGCCGAGCACAAACAGCCTCGCTGCACACCAAGAATCTCTCAGCTCTACTCATGCCAAAAGGACAGGGTTTTGTACAAGATGAAGAAACTCGTACACCTGGCTAACCAGCTGCCGTTGACGCTTAGAACGGCAATTACAATTCATGTTTTCCCCTCTTAGAAGGGATAGATGCAGAAGAACATCAGTCCAGACAAGACAAGACGGGCGATCATGCATGGCGTTTCGGATAGAATGATTGAGGCCCTGCCGCCCACCCACACGTACACCATTCACGGTTCACTAGCTGATTGAGACTTTTTCTCGCTCTTGGCCAACCTCTTGGGTGTGTGTGTGTGGTCACGTCTTCTAATTTCTGGAAAAGGATATATAATGTTCTTTTTTGCTGTTCGCGTTCTTGGACACGCGTCTCCCATCCCCCCTCCCCCACCACACCAAGCGAAATCTCGGCATCGCCCATCACAAGTCAAGTCCGTCCAATGCCACCGTGGACGGCGACGACCCAGTAGCAGCCCTGCCCGCAAAGCACATCCCATCCCGAAAGTAGACCCGGATGTCAACCTCCTCCCCACAAGGCGCCGAGATATTTTGCATTGAAATCAAGCTTACTGCGTCCCCCGGTTATCCAACACCCCGCCCCCCCCCCCAAATTCGTCACGCCCACGTGCTCTCCATTCCGCCTTTTGACACTTGAAAGCTGCCCACAATACTACTATAACCTAGGACGCGGCATGCACGCCTGCTTTGCCTAACAGCTCGAGTCGAGACCTTGAGTGTGTGGCTTAATGTGTCCCGCCCCGCGTCGCTGTCGCCGTCGCCGAACAAAAAAGACACGAGCGGCAGCGCGGCAGCTGAACAAGCTTACTTTTTTTTATTTTTTTACTTTAGCACGTGCCTATCTCGGATCGAGAAAGACTAGGCCTCAAAAGTAGGATGAAGAAGAGGGGGTAGAGAGAGGGAGGGAAGAGAGAAGAAGAGGAACAAAGGAGGAACCCAATCTATCCCTCTAAGGAACACCGCTAATTCATGGCTCCAGGAGCGAGCGGGAAATTTTAGCGGCGCGACTAGCAGCAGTAGTAGTCATAGCAGTACACATATATGAAGGTGGGGAGGGGAGGGGAGAGTTGCCATGATAGGCGTCTTTTAGTAGTACCATCTTGTGCCGCTGGGGGTCCTAGTGACAGGGGACAGTGTGGGTTTGCATGTGCGGGGCCTTCTTGAGGAGAGGAAGACTTAGGAATATGGAAAGAATGGTAAGGTAGAGAGAGAAGAGGAGAAAAGATGGAAGGAGCGGTAACGGGCGCCCACCAGGCCAACACCACTATTTACCACGCCACATCCTCTGGTCTGGGTGGACACCACATCTCTCTCATAGCTTTTGTACTACATTACTGTTACCCTATGATCATCATTTCATCCTACTCAAGTAGTCTTGTCCCGACATTTTGGAGATTCTCCGTTTCGGTTACCCCAGGTCCGTTCGGATAACCCGGGGCGTGTCAGGGCAGGGGCGGGGAGGGGAGACAAAGGAGGGAGGGAGAAAAAGAGAGACACACAGACATCTCCAGGTGGGAATTCGACAAAAGCCTTGTTCCTGGCAGCGCACATGGGACCCCAACTTATGTCGCGCTACCCACTGCCGTCCTACCAAGCTTGGCACACCCCCCCGCAGGGGGGAGGGGCTTGGGGCAAGGGACTGACGGACGGACTTGTTTACTTATCATTCGTGTGATGGGTAGTCTTTATGCCTCGTGGCGGTCTGACCGTGGCAATGGAGACACTAAAGTGTATCTGTTAAGGGGGGGGAAACAGGTGAAGTAGCGGCCTCGCTCTCGGATAACAAGTGCCCATCATTTTACATGTTGATCATGCTATATGGTATATATCGCTTAATCAGGTGACTTGCTTGTCGACAGGGTGAACCTGGCTTTCTGGCCAGTGGCAGTCCCTCTGACTCGGGGCCCAGAGGGGGGGGGGGCGCGTGTTTAGCTGGAAGGAGAAGGAGGAGAAGAAGAAGAAGAAGAAGAACGAGAAGAATCAAGAAGAAGGAAGATTGCGCAATGCCGCCAAGCAAAAGGCAGAAGAATTAAGCTCTCTTGAGTCCTGTCAATGTGTCTGCCAGTCACTTAGTCAGTCAGTCTGCGCATGATATCCGTGTCCTAGCACGCAAACTCACCCGCTCATTCCGTCCGTTCCATCCCATCCATACGTTTCGAAGAACCGTGCGGTCCGTAAAGACCCATAGCAGATGAACAGTTTCACCAGACTCAAGGTTTGTAACGGAACGTCAAAGGAGATTTTTCATCTATATTTATTTTACAGCGATCATCGCGGCTTTCATTTGGAACAAAGGGAAGGGGGGGAGGGTAGACGCAGAACTTCTTTGCCACGCCCGCAGCGACATCATCATCGAACCACGAGTTCATGCTAGACGCCGCCGATCAAACGTTTTACAACGCACTGTCATGGAGAAGAGAGGGGGGGGTGGGACATAGTGCCATACTGTATTGTACATAGTTCATTAGCGTGTAGCAGTTACTTTTTGGTTAGCATTCCAAGGAGGACAATGAATCCATCTACTTTTATACGCACCACCTCGTCGTGACGAGAAAGGATCCCTGAGCAGGAAGAGGCAGGACGACAACAACAACATAAAGTTGACGACGGAAGCGTAAAACTACAGACGGGAAAGCCGCCCCCGGTAAGGTTCGGTCGGCACGATCGGGATCCTGGCGATCGGGTTCCTGACGATCGGGTTCCTGACGATCGGCGGGTAGCGCGAACGGCTTCGGCGGACTTGTCGGTGTGAGGCAGTGAGCTCCGAGATCTTGACAGATCGCCTGGGTATATTGTTGTACATGAGACAGTGATGATGGGACGGACTGCCAGCACTGGGAGAGGCAAAAAGAGGATTGTTGTTCCCTAAGAATTCAAAATCGACTTCTCGAAATGAAATGAGCGCAGAGAGATTCCATGCCAGGAACGGCGACACATCAGTGCATTGTCTGGCACTAGCTACAATAAGCCCAAGCGATTTGAGTTATGACCCAGGATTCTTGTCGAAATTGGCTCCGAGATTTATCCCAAAACGCTCAAGTGAAAGGAGATGTACGCCACGCAGATCGCTGCCTGGGGCTTGCGGCAATAATTTGAGTAGCCCAAGTTTTAATGAAGTGCACATGCTACATTTTAGCACATTGGGATAGACCGTTCCGCTTTCGATCATGATCCTGAGGGATTGCACTAGCCCAGAGCTTCGGGTCGAATCTTGGTCGAAGCGCATGCATGCGTAAAAGAAAGGCATGGCATCATCAGCTTCGTTCCCTGGCCTGGCGTTTCGAATAGAGTATGACTCGTAAACTCTGTGAGCTCCGCCCTGGCAAGCAGATTTTGTATCCCGTCCGAGAGGATCAGGCGACTGCCGCTCCAGCTGGAAATCCTCGCGTGCGGTGTGTAGACGCTCTAAGCTCTGTTCTGTTTTCGTGACCATCAGAATCAGCGCACACCGCATCTTCCAAGATCGACTGCCGAGAGCACATGGCCCACATATTATGTGTGCCAACGACCAGCTGAGTTATCTCCCAGGACGCCATAGCGCTGTACCGTGCATCAACACAGCTCTGCAAGGGGGGAGGGGAGGGTGAATGACATGGCTCTTGTGCGTGTTCTCACTCGGCCTGTTCACACCCTTGCCTCCTCATCGCTGTCGTAAATCTTGATGCACGTCTCCATCATGGTGTCCAGTGTTCGCTTGAGCGTGTCGTTCTCCAAAGCGGCAGCAATACGCTCTTTATCGGCAAGCTGTTTGTCGATCTGCGTGTCCTGCGCATGCGAGCCCTGCTTCATCCTGATGTCGAGCCTGTAGTTCGGGGGCAGACACGCATCCAGGCGGACCCGCACAGCCAGACCGATGATGGTAGCCAGGCTGCAGTGGTTCACGGTCGGGGTGAGCTCGACCGTGACCGTGGTAATGACGTCTAGGTCTGGCCCCTTCCCTGGCATCGGCGGCGGGTCGATGTGGATGTCTTGCAGGTTGACCACTGCCAGCTGGCCGAGCGTGAGGGGATGTTCAGGGTCGGAGATGGTGGAGATGAGGTCTGCGGTGCGATTAGCGTGTGTAGACAATCAACGTAACAGGTGAAGGACAGATCATGATCCCACCATGTCAAGATGACAGTGCCGATGTGGAGAAAGGCAACATACCAAAGATTTCCTGCTCGTCGATTGGATCCTCTTCCTCGTCTTCCTCAACGTCGCCATCACTTCCAGTGAGGCCTCCAGCATTGCCAAAGACGCTCACCTGCTCAAAGGAAGAATCCCACTCGCGATCTGGCATGAAGGCAGTGACGTCCTCGCCCTTGCTGCGGCCATCTGCCTTCCTCTTTGCGCGCCTCCGGGTGGGGAGCTCCGACGTATTGATGATGGTAGGGTTGGCATTCTGCAACTCCCCGCTCATTGCCATGGCTGGTGTGTAATAAAAATAAGAACAAAACTTTAAAACAGTCAACGATAGGATGGAAAGTTGGTAATAGCTGACGACGTGTGTAGGATTGGTGTCGTGCTTCGGCGCCGAGAGAGAGACGGAGGGAGTGGGAGGCAGAGAGGGGGTTGAGTTGAGTTGAGAGTGGAGTGGAGCTCCGTGACGAGAGAAGATGGGTCTGGACGAGGCGGTACTCGCAAGGTAAGATGAAAGGTGCGTCCTGAGTTTCGTCGACGGTGGCGTAGAACTTGGTTTGAGGTGCAGGGTGGGTTGTACTGATCGGGTTCTTCCGTGAGTGCAATGAACGGAGATACAGGTGGAAAAGATTTGTGGCCTCTTTCTCTCTGTGATGCAATATGATGATGGAATTGAAATGTGTGCGATAGCACTGACGTATCCGGCATTTTTTTTTTCTTACTTTTTTCTTTTTTTTCTTCTTCGCCTTCCCTGGCGCGTCGCTTTGAGTATGCCCCGCGATCGGCTTGGATTAGTGGTTCCCCCGCCCTTCAATGTGCCTGCCCAGGTATTCGATCAGATGCTTCTCGAGATCCGTAAGCGGGCCCTTTGGCAAGGCCCAGCGATAAACAGGTGAGAACCTTGCAAGAATGCGGGGCGATGCTAAAGCAGGCATGGCCCCAGCTACTTCTCTAGTACGTACCCTGTAGTACATTCACTGGAGACGCCTGCAAGCCCCAGTGGGGGGGCGCCCAAAAAGCTCGGCGGTAAGTATCGCACATGGAGCCTTCGATTCACGATGTGCATCACCAAAAAAAACTTAATCAAGGACTTTCACCCCACCTGACCTGACGCTCTGGGAGAAGAAGGGGGGGGAGGGGGTGGTTTGAGAGGTTGGGAGACTACTCATCTATGAGACAATAACAATCAACTAAAGACGCCGTTCTCTTAGGTGTGTGAATGGCGCTCACTCAGCCTACGCATCCCGCTGATCTCTTACGTAGTGCATACTATGTACGGTGTAATCACAGCAGATTCTATATTTGATTTCCTGTGTATGAATAAATTAGTAAGATACCAACAAAACAGGAGAATAGGAATTAAAAAAGATGTAAAAAGAAAAGAGAAAAAGGGGGGGGGGGGTTGCCCCCACATCACAGGGCAAGGGCCGTCGGCAGACACAGAACGGAGGTTTGCCCTGTTCCTGAAAAAGAGAAAGGTCACCTCCACTTCCCCCCCCGGGGGGGGGGCCCAAGAAAAAGAAAACCAAAACAAAGGGCCCGGCAATATCGAGAGTCGGCGAAGAAAGGCGCAGAGCAGGGAGCGGAAAGCATGTATTTCGCGGCATTACCCCGTCCGGAATGTGCGGAGGGAAGAGGGCCACCAGGCCAGAAACAGCACCAACAGTCACTACTTCCCGACCAGATGGGAACAAAATAGTGTTGACAGCTCGGTAAGTCATACCGCTAGGCCGGCAGCGCACGGTCGACATGCATCCTCGTTAAGAGAGGGGCACGCCCGCCACGGCGCCCCCCAACGGCGGGAAGAAATACGACGACGAGGAGGAGGAGGACCTATCTGTCTAGGTTTGATCGGACGAGAACGGGCAGTGACAGACTCGTCTCTGTCCCGTCGAGTGTGACCCTGCATAGGGCTTGACACCTCACAAAGTGTGGACCGCCGTGGCCCGTTGCGCGCCCGCCATGCTAGCAGACAACCTGATCCGCCTCTGCTGCTGGGCGTTGGTGCACGCAAGATTTCCTGAACAAACCTCCCACCGTCCAAATGTGGAACTTGGCAGTTTTCCTCGTGTCTCCCCCCTGCTGGTTCAATTTACAATGATCGTGTGAGGATATCTGTCTGCTCGTGATAGCGGTATCCTGCGAGAGCCGGCCGTTGGGCAATTGCTGATCGACAATAACAGCCCGTGGAGACTGTTCATGGGTGGCTTCATCGCCGCTGTCGATCTCTCGTGTGTGTCTATGTGTGGGTGTGGAGGTTCCAAGGAGGGGGGGACATGATGTCGTCGTCACCACTGAGGACTATTGTCAATATTTCATATAGATTTAAATAGCATTGCTGAGAAACAATCACGGAGAATTTGTGAATGTGGTTCTTCAAGAGACCACATTCGTGCAATTGATTCCGCGCTCATCTTCCCCTGTGGACTCAGATTCATGCGACCCCTTGTCGTTCCCGTGTGAGGGTTCAACCCGTGGAGTATGCATCACTTAAGCTATGTACTGCCCTGGCCAGGGTAACCTATTGTCCTTCTTGTTTTGGTCTCGATTTTCTGAAGCTGGCGTGGCGTTCGCTTGCTTTGGATAGGAGGCGGAGGAGGAGGAGAAGGAAGGGGGGACCCAGTATTCGAACAACTAGATGAAGGGTCCAGAGGCCGACATGGTTCGGGATGAAGGCTATCAGTAGCATTCCTGTGAAAGATGTTTCGCCAAGACCCAAGCTGGCGGGCCCACGCCGAGGAATTACTATGGCTATGGTAGTATGCCCAAGTGGACGCGCGGACCTGTCATCGAGGCGTTGATGATACTAGATAGATACGCCGTTGGGGGCCAGCCTGGTTGCAGCGAGGATTTGGTCTGATTCATGCGGCGCCGGTAGATCGAAGCACGGCTAAACGACTTGTATACCACAACAGTATAGCACGTAGTATCTCCCGCTCGCCATACAATACCGCCGAGCGTGCTAGCGCCGAGAAGAAGCTTCTGCGATCCCTGCATAGAAGACGGATCGAAAGTAACAAGTCATGCTGGCGAAGCTTTGCACCAAGGGTCCACCATAGTACTAAAGTAAGGGTAAGGGGGCCTTTGGCTACGGTCCGCCTGACCCTGCGCTACCCTCCTCTGCCCCTATCACTTACTACCATAGAACGAAATCCGGCTGTACCATGTACATAGAATGTATCATAGTACTATGGTACAACTGTGGTACCATGGTATCACCATACAATATCGTTACAGTTGAGGCAGTGTGGAGCCCAGTTGGGGATTGAAGAGAGTCCAATACGGACCATGAAGCCGGATCCGATAAGAGATGCTTACATAGGATATCTCACGGCCTCGCGACTATACTATGTACTATGGCAGTAGACGGGGCAGATCTGCGCCGGGGATTGAGTCTACATAGTATATCGTTTGCACCCTGTGGCTCGGAACGCGTTTGGCCCTGCAGCTGCTGTGCCACAGCCCCGTGTTTCCAAGATATTTTTAAACTTGAATATCTTTCTAATTATCACCGCGCTCAGCCGAGCTGTTGCGCTGTATAGTGCACTCGGACTGTGTCGCTTGGAAGGGAGCGATGTGATGCCTTCAGGTAGGACCAAGCTGTGCCGCGCCGTGCTTGCCTACCACCCTGTCCAGGCTTCAAAAGGCCCATGCGCCGCGCATGTAAGCCGGTCAGACTCTAAGTGTGCAGTAGACACAAGCTTGCAAATCCATTCCATCATAGGACGGCCGATCGCTGTTGGTGTCGCAGGGAGTCGGACGTAGTTGTTGTCTCCGAGAGCCCATCACTTGACGTTGTGAAACATTGGAGAGCTCGCTTACCACAGTGGTTGCCGGGGTCCTTTTGGAAAGGCGCCGCTGAATGCTGCTGGCTGTCTCTATAGCATAGACACGTCATCGCCTGTGCATTGATGGACATAATGTAGCCACCCGCATTGACACCTCCACGTCGTGGCGCAACGTCCAGTGCTGATAATGATAATGGCAAAGCTGACTATGCCTTATGGCCTCGACCGAAAGCCTGAACTGCAAAACACAACGGAAAGCGAAATTGCTGAGGCTCATGCTAACGCCAACTGGGCCTAAGCTGTCGAATTGGCGAGCTGAGGAGGTTTGAGCATAGTGTCAAACCCCTGGAGCCTCCCAATTCGTCTCTCGGTCAGCGATCTAGGCCCTGACCTGATGACGAAACGTTAAAGGCGCACCATCCACCAGTCGCGCAGTGCATGTGGGGTGGGAGAGGGCATAGCAGGTGCGCCAGCTTTGGTCCACCTAAAGCCATTCTGGAAAAGTGTTATCATGCTGCACAATGGCCTGGACATGCGGGCAGCAGGAGGACGAGGCATATTTGAGATGCCTATGGCGTAAAAGAAAAGCCACAGTCGACGTGGGAGGCTTGTCTGCGGTGGTTGCGCTGTCCCCAGCACGATACAGCGATGACTGCATGCGGTGCAGCAGGTGTGTGGTCCTGTGATGGCGCGTCGGAGAGTTCCGGACGGCAGCACACCCGGGCAGCCTGGGGAGGGCAAGCCGGCCGGCTGATTATCGAGACCTACTGTACATAGGAACGCGTACCACAGTATTATGTACAACAGTACTGTAGGTGGTTTTCGAAGGATCATCTCGGCTAACGGTCCTCGACGAAGATCCCCCAGAATTTATCCACCAGTCTCACCCTGATTTGCCGGAAACTGTCCCATTGACTGCCCCACCGAAGCATGCATAATTGGGCTTTTGCATGGCAGACGGGGATCCGGTCGGGAGATCCAGAGGGCATCCAGCAGAGACAAGCAACCGTCACGGTTGAACCCGTACCTGGACGAGGCGGCGCAGGCCTGCCTCCATGGAGGTCATTTGCGGATGAGCTTGAAGACCCCATGCGAAGGCGTCTTACCGCTGCCGTCGAGGCCTAGAGGAGCTGCAGACCTGATCTTTTGAGCATCGTATATCTCGCTAGTAGTACGAAACCTTGTGTTTGACGCCACTCCTGTACATATCAGGAGAGGGCCTATAGTTGACTGTTCACTATAGCTGGGGCGCGTCGCAGTACCCTCGAGCTCCGTATAGTTCGAAGGCCACGCGCCGGTCAGTGCATTGGTCGCAACAATTTCCCAAATGCCACGTAGGTCCTCGTGGGCTTACTTGCCTCACTCAGTCAAACAAGGCCAAAGGCTCCCTGATGTTGTCGGTCGAATGAGGTCGAATGAGGTCGAGGGAGGTAGAGCTTGATGCACGACACATCGGCACGAGCACCAGCCTGGGATGGAAGCCGAAGGTACGATCTGTGTTTTCATCGACATCCCCACGCAGGATCCGCTCGATAGACAGTAGGTACTTAGGTACTCTACACAGTAAGGGTGGGTTGGCGGTCCGAGCAAGTACCAACTGTCGCTATGTACCATAGCTCGTCAGTAACAGTCGTCAACATCCCTGGCTGGCTGTTAGGGACCCTGTATATTTGATGATGTCAGGGAAAACCTCACTGACCGCTGCTGCTCGACTTGGTCTTGTGCGCTTGCATGGTCAGATAGGAACACATTTTTCGAGATGACCGGCACTGTGTATGCTTGACGAGTGGTAGCTGAAGTGTTTTTTTCTTCTTTTTTTCTTTGGTCTTATTGAAGCTTTTTGGTTATTCTTCCCTTGCTCCTTTTTTTTTTCTAGCCCCTTCCCCCCTTCTTCCCTTTTTTTCCTTCTCTCCTCAGATAGTTTAGGGGTCGAGCAAGCCAAGAACGGGCAACTCTGGTAGCGAGGTCGGGAGAAGAAATCCATTCTAGAGCTCAATACAGCCAGCCAGTCAGGCTGTCGAAGGACAGGGACAAGCGGCACAGCATTGTACCCCCCACCCCCCTGTTGTCTGCTGGTGCTGGTGCAGTCTATTGCTCTGACTGTTGTACCGTAATACTATCGAGCTCAGCGATGTTCACCACTCGTCATACGTGACGGTTTTTATCCGAACCAAGGAGTTGGTTCAAGAAGAGTGTGTCGAGTCATATTCGATCGTACCATAAATCTCTCCTCGCACTGTCTCTGGTGGCAGGGAAATACTGTAAACAAGACAGCTTTAATGTGAAAAGCAGAAGCCCCTGCAACTCGGGTGTAGGGAGCACATAGCGTGTCTCGGGCCGCCGAAGTTGAAATATTACGAGATTCTTGGGCTGTGGTCTTCTTTGGACGAAGTGCTGACCATATTGGGCGGTGGTCCCCCAAGGAATGTACGGAGAGGGGAAGAAAAAAGAAGGCAGGAAGGGACGGAAAAGAGTGAAGAAAAAGAAAGAAAAAATGTAGATCCATTAGGGGCGTTAGGGCATCCTCAGGGAAGAGGGAGGGGTACGTACTGCATGCCGTCCGCTCCTGCTGCTTTCACACCACCAACTTCTACGATGACCTGAAATTTCATTGGGTTGGGAAGCAGCAGCCCTGCAGTAGGAGCTCTAGCCTGCACCTCATCCTCTCTAACCTGCACCTGCACTTGCACCTGCATTTGCCCCATGCACGCCTACGCGAATGCGGTGGAAGATGACACAACACTGTGCACGGAATTTTCCACCGCAACCTACCCATGAATGGGGTCGATGGCTTAACGTCATCTACATTGATTGTTCTGTTGCGACGGCAAATTGATTAGTTTCTTATTCAAATCGTCCCTCTTTGCTGAATCCAGTGTTCACTGACCTGAACTGGATCTCTCAGCTCATAAGAGAAAAAAGAAATACATGGAGTAGACTCTGGGAAGAGGAAGAAAAGAAACTTACACTATCGCGTACGTATGCAGTGCAGTACTGTCGTGGTGTTAAGATCAGAATGACAACTGCAGTAGCACAAAGCGCTGACTGGCCAACAGCACAGCCTAATGTGACGGATATACGCTCCCTGCAGCACCACACTCGGTCACCAAAGTGGCACCCAGCATCAGCACAGGGTCTGACGCCCAAGCCATCCCAGTCCACTTCAAGTCCAGTACTTCCATCCACCCGTGCGTGTGGTCTACAGCATACGTACTATACAACCCTCGGCTAAGTACTTGCATCTCTAGACGGGACAACTTTCGCGCATAACTTGTGGTGTGCCCAGCTACTTCTGCTCCTAGCTTCTTCTTCTGCAGGGCAGCACGTAATATCCTGCAGCTAGACACAGGTACTCTGTCTCTCTCCCTCTCTTATCCGAGGACGAGAAGGGGGCGTGCTATGGTACGTCTATGTGGACCCGCCGCTCACATGCAAGCACATCCCCCCACGAATCCAACGTCTTTGTTCTGGACTTGACCTGGTCTCGACCAAGGCTCATCTACCTTCCCCCCTCCTTCTTTCCTTCTTCTTCTTTGCCCCCTGTAGTTATGTTGCAATTCACACCGCTTCTGGTTATGAGAAAAAAGAAAGGAAAAAAAAAAAAAAATCAACATGGCCTCTGGGAGGAGGTGAACTTGCTTCTGCTGTCGGCTGACCAACTTTTTGGGTTGGCCTTGCTTGTAGGACAAAGGTGACAAGGCGGCTGGGTTCGCGTGTCTCGTCGCGGATAGTGCCAATCTTGTGAGTGGTTGAGATCATGTAGAAGGAGAAACCTCAGACATATCTCCTGCATTTCATCCCATATCTGGATTCGAATGCCAGCAGAGAAATAGAAAAGACCATGATCCTGTCCCCAAGGATGGCCCTCTGTGGGGTACAGTGCATTAGGTGCGTCACCCAAGCCTTGACCCTAGCGCCCGGCTGATCTCGGCCTTCATCTGAATACTACATTATAGTTTGGGTGGTATTGCGCATCGTCCCATCATGGGCCATTTTGCTGAGTGGTTGGTCCATAATGGAATCTCGGCGCAGGGGAAGGGGAAAGATGGGCGGTTGGTGATGTGAGGAGTAAGAGCAGGAGGGAGAACACCGAGGCTCCAGCCACATCCATAAGTCGCGAGCCGCGTACGTCCCACCCCCCTATAGCTCCCGTGTTATGGGCTAGTAGTGATGCAAGGAGCAAAAGAATGAGCACATGTCGTGCATGCCAAATTAAGTTTTCGTCTTTTTTCTTTTTGCGTTGGACCAAGTCGGGCCGCTTCAGACAGGAAGCCTTGGTTGTCGTCGATCGATCAGGGGAAGGGCAATCAGGGGGAGGGGACAAGTGGTACGCCACAGCCTACACGACCGTCTCGACTTACCCGTTTCTTGTTCTTGTTGTTCGTCGACGTTGCAAGCGGCAAGCCTGACCTAGCACGGGCCAGCGGTACCGTCCTCGCGGGACGTGATATATGATGACTGCCTTTTCTTCTGTTTGAGTTCTTGCCTACAAACTCAATTCCCCTTTTCTGCCTCTGACCTTCTCAGTCCACAAAGCCGGGAATGCGTCAGCTCGGCACCGCTCCTGACATACTGTAGTCTAAAGCTGAAATGAGGGGGTTCCATTTATGATCTCCCTTCTCCAGAGCCTGATTGCCTGCGTAGGCCCCTGTGGACAAGCCCCCCTTCTCTTTTACAACTCTCCTCTCAGGAGTTGTCCATGTGGTCATGCTACATATACAGTACTGTATTATGCAGCACAGATCTACTACGTAATTACCCATGGCAATGCTGCTGAGGGTTGTTTGGCAGGGATTTGCTGGACAGATAACCGAGGCTGCGTACCTGACAAGGGGGATATGGTACCGAAAAGAAGTGAAAAAGAATGGGAAACAAGTGAGGGACTTAAATAGAGACTTGACTTGACAGAGGCCCCATCAGGCTAGTACCAAGCGTCACTGTCAAGAAATTTACCAACAGTATACCACCTTCTGACTCTCGCTCTTTAGGTCTACGATAGCAGTACTTAGTTAGCAGCACGCCCATCTGGCACCGCTAGTGCCAACGTCTCAAGGACCATTAATGTGGAATAGGCGCATTCCAAAAACCGACCATGGAAGGGCTAGAACGGCCTTCACCTATGCGAAGCGCCCCAGATATCGTACCAGAGAGGCGCACGGCTAACATCGACCGTACATGCCCTTTGTGCTATAGTATGTACTACATAGTATATAATCCAATGACTCTAGAATCTCGGCCGATTAGCGCAAATTCGGGCGAGACCCGGCCTACGGACACTCCTTTCGGTCTTTTGGGTGGGAAGACTGCTGTCAGCCATGGTTAGGGATGCCAGGCTTCGGTTTCTTTTTTTATAAATAAGAAAATTCCGGTTGCGTTTCTTGACCGAACCCATGGTACATTTTGTGCTCCTCGTAGTGGGTGGCTTTTCTCGAAGTCTCAAGTCACATTTTCCTCTCCCTTGCCCCGTCCGCGCAATCGAGAGTACATAAGTAGTACGTACAGCAGAGAGAGAGCAGTGGGGGGGGGGAGCTGTTTTGGAGAAGGGCCCCTGGTGGGGTGGGGTGGTTCGGGGGGGAAGAAGGTGCGACTGTACTATGGTACTATCGTTATGTACCATGATGTATGAGAGCACTACTATAGTCAAGTGCAGCCCAGGGGGGCACTACAAGTACATACTCCATATGTCTGCAACGGTCGGTATCTGCTAGCCCAACAGACGGCCCACCAGAGTGTCCCTCACACTCTCATTCAAGCTTGCCCCCACCCAGCTCCGCTCATCACATCGACAAGGTCTGCAAGGGTGGACCGACCGGTGGGCTTGACGCGCTCCTCCATTTTTGTTCCCTTCTTCGTGTGTTTCTTGTCTTCTCCAAACGCACCCCTTCATCAGCGAGTGCTGCCATCAGGTCTGGGCTGGGCTGGGCTGGTGCCGTTCAGACCCTCCTCCATGCCATCATGTACTGCTGTTATTGACGGACTGGACGGGTGCCACCAGCTCCCGCGCCACCGCCCGTCGTCACCGCCCAGAGCTCATCATCCCTAGGTACATAGGGCGAAACATGTCTATTTCTGTCTGTCTTCTTAATGCGTCCCTTCTCCTTGGGATCAATTTATGCTCAGCCCTCGCGTACATCCCATGCCTGACGCCGTCTCCAGCCGCACGCACCAGATCGCCCGAGCTTCCAATATTCTCCTGACTAGATCCAGCAACCTTCATCGCAGGAAAAGAAACAAGAAGAGAAAACCAATGAGAAAATCCGGTGCAGGCTCAGTCATTGTAAGGGCGGGTTAGTAGCAGTACGTAGAGCTAACAGCAGAACCACACAAGTTTTGGTAGTCAGTTGAGGTACCCCAAAGCCAGGGCACTTAACCCACCCCCCCCCCCCACCTGTGGACCCCCTGTCCTCAAGCTATCAACAAATCCCTGGCCGACCCAGTCTAGTGCCCCAGGCCAAGCCTACCCACGAGGACGCCCCTGGGGCCCTGGTACACCATGCCCTAAGGACCCCTGATCCCTCCCCAGTCAGTGGCATCCACTGCGGCTGGTCCTGCCTGTGGCTCTCGCTCGCAGCTTTGTGTTGTGTTGCCCACCCCTGGCCCACGCACCACCACCAACCCACCACCCCCCGCCCCCCTGGAACTCTACTCAACTGGCCTTGTCTTTCCCCTCCATGCCTTGCCGGGAGCCCTGCGCCGCCCAGTGCCGTGGAATGTGAACTGGGCCAGTACATTATTCCAGAATACTACTTACATGACCACCTTCTGCCGGATTTTATTCTATAGCCTGCCCACACGCACTCATACGCTCGCTCGCACACCTACCTTACACACGCTCACACGCATACGCTTCCACAGCCGCCACACCCCCCCTGACATAGAAAGTCCTATACATTTAGGGCCCGTCCTGTCTCTGCCGCACACATCTTTCTGCTGCCCACTACAGGACTGCGGGTTCCGGACACCTCACCGCCAGAATTGAGCAGTCTCAAAACACATCTCCTCGTCATCCACTGCGACCCGGACCAAGCTCGCCTCGAACAACCTTATCGCAGCACAGCACCAGAGGGAGACAGACAGGGAGAGAGAGAGACAAAGAGAAGAAGGAATTGGGACTCAGTTCTGCGGTAGCACGAGAGTCTAGCCCGACGCAACCAGTCAAGAGGAGGAGCCGAGCTGAAGTGCGGTGCTTGAATATAGCAAGCTCTTGTGTACCGCGGCTGTGCTCGAATTGAGCCTCTCGCCTCATCCGCCCTCGATCTCACCTCTTCTATCCCACCGTGCCGCATGAAAACCACACGCGACAGTCGACCTGTTCAGACGCCTTTGGGATATCTCGATCTTCTAGGCATACCGCTCGTGCGATCATCACCATGTCCAACGACCCGTCGGTCCGCCGACTGCTCCCACAGAGCTCGCAGATGACCAACTTCAGCTTTGCGCCCCAGCCCTACCACCAGCCGAGGGAGACTCAGAAGAGTGCGCCCTCCTTTTCCCTTCTCCTTCTTCCCGGGTAAAGTCCTGACTGGCTTCTAACCTTTCTGCAGATTATGTCTTCGTCGACGAACACAATCGCCATAAGAGGCTGAAGGGTATGTGCGCTATGCACTCGAACCCCGAGCTTTTTAGGCAGCTCCCCTCCTCCAGCCTGCGCATGAGACTAATTAACGCGTTGTAGTGATGAGAGCATGTGAAGGGTGCCGACGGAGGAAGATCAAGTGTGATGCTGCCACCACTAACACCTGGCCATGCTCTGCATGCATCCGCCTCAAGCTTCACTGCGTCCGCCCGAATGGCTACGACGGCGCGGCTGAGCCTCAGGTCTTCGAGCCCACCCGTCCTGAGTATGAGAGCGTAGGGGTTCACGACTTTCGCCCGCCTCTGAACATGCCGCCACCACATATGCTGGCTGGAACCCCGGACGCTGCCTCCATGTATGCGCCCAAAGCAGCGAGTTATTCGGGGCCGTCTGGTCTCTATCAGCCCATGCAGTATGCAGACCACTCTCCGGTGGCCACTGGAATGCATTACACCACCATACCACCCCCCGTTGGTGTCGTCGACAATTCTTTCGCAGCATCACAATCGCAGCCGCAGGGGCAACCCTCTTTGTTTCCTAATGCACACGTACAGCAGGGCAACCGTCCAGATTCGCCCCCAGAGACGTACACCTCAGAGACCTATGGACCGCAGGACCTCTCAGAGATCCTCGGCACCCTGAAGCTGAACGATGCAGGCACAGGTGAGTTTGCTGAGGCTGACACCCCCCCCCCCCCTCTTTCCCCTCGCTCGACTGGCAAGGCTCTGACATCCTCTTGAAGCACCATATCTCAACAACAAGTTAAGGATCAGGACGCAAGGCGAGGAGGAGCCGCTACTTCCCGAAGATGACGAGTACAAAACTTCACTGCCTCCTCTCATATCTGGTCCTGGTCACAAGGTCCGCATACCACCAGAGCTGATGCTGGACGAGGAGACATCGTTACACTATTTCGATGCATTCTTCACTCATGTTCATCCATACATTCCCGTACTGGACAGGACCACCTTCTACCGGCAGTGGCAGACAGATCGGGAATCAATATCACCATTGGTTCTTGAAGCCATGTTTGCGCTAGCAGGAAGGATCATGGACGAGCCTGGGGAGGGACAGCAGTGGCTAGCTCTAGCGACAAGTGCGTCTAACCTGAATTTTCTTTCTCAATGTACTTTTTCGATATGCTAACATTGGTCAGGACACGCCGATTCTTTCCTCGATATACCTCGGTTGAGCACCTTACAGGCGCTTCTGCTGATGCTCAAGGCGAGAGAGGCTGCTCCGCGACGTGGGTACTTCTACCGCTCCTGGATGAGCATCGTACAGTGCGTTCAGATGGGCAAGGAGCTGGGACTGGATGACCACTACGAGGACCACAAGGCCGGGCGATCCTGCAACTCGTCTCCGGCGGACTGCGGCCTGAAAACCAGAATTTGGCAGACGATATTCGTCTGCGAGACGATGATTGGTTCTGCGCAAGGTATGTGCAGACTTATTGAGATAAGAAACGCGGCCTTCATGACTGACATCCAGCTAGGCCGGACAGATTTGTCAGTAGACTTGGACACGGTTGATTTTAATGTCCAGCGACCATATACGACGAACGATGATACAGATTACCAGGTTACTCGAAACTTCACCTACATGGTTCGGCTTGTTCGCAACATCGCACGGATGAACAGGGTATATTCACGCATCCACAAGCACAAGGACTGGACTGGCGACCCGGAGCTGGCTTCGCTGAATCCCGAGGTCACAGCCTGGATGACCGACCTCCCAAACGACCTGGCTGTGAACTACCCACCCGACGGCTCGCCTCCATGGCTACCCTCTGCCTTCCTCGGAAATATGCACAGTTACTACTATCTCAGTGTCATCCTGCTGCATCGCCCACAGCTGCAACAATTTAACCCGTCTAGCATGGACGGACAGTGGAAACACCATATGCTGTTGTGCTACAATGCCGCAAAGAACTTGTGCCGCCTGCAAGAAGCCATCCTACAATCCTACGGCTTGAATGGCCTCCAGTGTATGCAGAGAGGTCTCCATTTCACGCTCTACTGCATCCTGTCTTGCATCGTGCTGCATCTGGTATGTCGGTATTCCTTACCCTCCACACCGCACTCCCTGACCCAGCATCACAGGTTGCCCTCACCTCACCTGATCCAGACCTGAACACCGACGCCCGCGAGTATATGACACGGCACATGAGGCTCTTGGAGAAGTGCACACACACGTGGACCATGCCCGAGATGAAGAAACAGATCGAGTCGATCCGCGAGGCTTTCTCAGCCGATACTAGGAAGCCTTTCGTCCTGAGGACGACTTTTCCATATGGCAGCCCTCAGAGCACTACGCGCCTGAGCCCGGCGCAGACAAGCCCTGGTGACTACGCGCGCAGGGGGCCGATGCGGGCTTCTGTTGATCACCGTCAGCAGCAGACGATCGACACGCAGGGCGCCGTCCAACATTCCCAAGTCAGTTACCCCGGCCAGCATCCAATCACGCCGCCCATTTCAGCGGGCCCTGTGGACTTGAAGAGTGACTCTCCAGCTGCGCAGTCACTCGCAATGATGGCCACCTCGGCTGCCGCACAGTCCAGTGCTACCCAAGCCCCGTCTCTACAGCCGTCCATGTCCATGACAACAGATGGTAGCACGGGCTGGAACCCGACACGAATTTTTGAGTGAGTAACCTTTCTGCCTCTGCCCCTTCAAAACGAAGATTCCCGTCTCAACTAACAACGCCTTACCCTCAAGTCAATGGAACTCTTCATTCGGTACGCCATCTGCTCAGTCAACACCTGTAACGGGTGCTCCACCTTCGAGCAGCTCTCTAAGTCTTCCAAATTCAGGTGCCGCCGAGGTCCCGACAATCCAGGACATCCAGCACGTCCATGCTACGGTACCCTCAGTCGCCGCCGCTGCGGCAACCCAGCAGATCTCGCCGCATAGCCAGTACTCGGCTCCTCCCATCCAGACCTTTATTACACCCACTATGTGGCAAGAATCTGTGGCCAGTGTGTACGAGGGCGGGCTGAAGAGGAGTTGGGATTACGATGCGCGGAGGTGAAACGAGCAAACAGCATATCCTGCTCATGAACCTTGGAAAACTATCGACCACGTGACAATCTTTGTTCCTTGTCATCAATGGTCTGGTAATGTTGCGCGGTACTGATTTGATCACCATTGAACAAAAAGAAAGGGAAAAAAGCTAATCGAAGAGCACGAAGCGGAGCAGAAAGGATATACAGACTAATTGGCAGGTGTATGGGTTTTCCGGCGTTGTTGTCTGTTTTTTTTTCATCTTTTTCTTCCACCGGGATGTACTGGGGGCGAGCATGTGGGAGCATGGTTTCGGACGGGACGGTTTGATCCGATCCATGGAAAAACGCGATACCATCAAAACTCTTTTGTTTATGTTTTGTTTATTTTCCTCCTCAAGTCTCTTGTTATTTTCTTCTTGCTCTTCTTTAATCGCCTTATCTGCCTATCTGCTTCACTATGTATCATATATCGCGTTACAGGAGAAGCAAAGATGTCAACGGCCTCAAAACTGACTGGGGCTATCCGCATTTCGGTGGGGGGGGGGGGGGAGACCTAGTTCGAGTCAAAAAATATCAAGACCGCGCCGCAGTACAATTGCGGCCATTTCTCTTCCCATCACGGCTGCTGCCCTTACGCGCTACCCTGACAAGCTACAACAGTTCCAACAACCGTGATGTTCTTCAATTTGCTTGCAGGTAGGTTCCTTGCTGGCCAAGACGTTCCTGTCGATCAAGTCAAATACACCCGTGGGCATGGTCCTATGTACGTATTTGTGGACATCTTGAACCATTACCAAACAAGGTTTTTAGGTGTCTCTTGGGGGGGGGGGGGCAGAGGGGACGGCGCACCGCAAGGAGACTTTGTGCCCACTATGGTACCAAATGTCAGTGCTCGCGGACTGTGAATTCCAAACGAGTACGAACCTCTGATTACTCACTAAGGCATCTATACCTCTCACCTGGTATGTATCATACATAGTAAGTGACCCCTTGGACCCGTCGCCGGTGAGGGATAAAGTAATACAGGTACAGTGCACACTGTGAGAGCGAAATTCTTTCCCTGCAAAGCCCTACCAATACTCTGATATTGTTGTTAGTCTTAGAACAAGGCTTGCTATTGCCAGGGTCAGAGTCAGGGACTCGCATACTCGTTCCTTGTTTTTATTTTTATTGAGAGAGAGAGGGGAGGGAGAGGGCCCGGTGTATTCCAATTTGTATCTTCTAGCCATCTGGAAGTACATTCTATGTACTATGGTATATGCGCTATGTACTATGGTATATGTGCACACAGAACGAATTGCTCGGCCGGCTCCACGTTAATTACGACACTATAGACAGGCCCAACGGCCCTGGGACACACACACCCCTCTCTCCAAGATATGATCACCCGCGATCCCGCCGGTACGCACAACCTTACCCGTCCTCGATTGTAGGGGACCCTGCGTGGATCATAGGATATTGAGCCCTCAACGGACACCCACTCGCCAATCTCGCGTAGTCAAGCTTGGTTCCGCGGATCCTAGATCCTCAGGTGGCGGGGAAGCATTTTCCTATAGTGTCATGGTATATATGTGCGTTTTTTTTTGGTGGGGTTCGGGGGAGGGAGGACCGTTGGATTTGCCTCTCTCTCTCCCCATTCGTATCAGTGAGAACACGGCACTTGTGCCTAGAGCCTTACTTGGACTACATACAGACGGCAAAGTGGATGGTACCCGTGCCCCCCGCCTCCCACGTTGTTGACGTTATCGGGACGCCCCCATTCTCTCTCATTCTCTCTCTCTCTCTCTCTCTCTCTCTCTCTCTCTCTCTCTCTTCATCGCATCTCAGATCACACCTTGATACTACGTAGTATGATCTACCTTGCCACACCCCCCCCCCTTTATTCCACCTTCTCGAACCCTATATATCGACTATTGGTCGTTGGGGCGAGAGCGGGTGTACCCAGGAAGCGGGCCACCACCCATGATCTCGGAATGAAATTCGGCGGTCCGGAGAATTCATGATCACGTCGCGACAGCCGAGCATATGATAAACGATAGGCAGAACACAATAGTCGTGTGCTTCGAAGGCGAGAATGGCAAAACAGAAGATGATCTTCTATCTTGTAGGCTGCCCTAGGTTTTGGTAGTTCATATTCTTGCATGCATATCTACCGTGATGTAGCATAGTTCCAGTTGTTAGTGCTGGGATTGGCAGAATACCGGCAGACCGTTCTTCCCCCCCTCCAGGTTCCACGCCCTGTTGTCTCCCCCCGGGCCTAGGTCCCTGGAGTATTTCTCCAATCGTATTCGGGGGTATTCCTAGCACCCCGGAAAGCGAGTGCGAGTTCCGCTACCCTGGACGTTCCAACATTTGATGGATAATATGAGGCAGATAAACAAGAAGAAGAAAGGAAGAAAAGCAGGAAAAGGAAAAGAAAAAAGCCCGAAGATACCCACAGCCGCCACCGACATCATCATTCCTTGGGATCAGATCAAGAAGCTCCAATGGGTGTGGTACCAAGATAGGGTCCTAATGGGCACTAGAACAAGTAGAACCCCACTCGGCCGAGAAGAAGTAGAAGAAGAAGTAAGGAAGAAAGAGAAAAAGCGCGCATACCGGAGGGGTCCGGCAGATCCTCATTGTATCCAAGCAAACTATTGACTATATCTGCATGGTATATATCACATCGTATTTTGTACAAATACGAGCGGCGTGGTCGTCCTGAGAAGGGATTGATCGGCTGGGCTCCAGCTCATACGTACGATAGTACTCAAAATACTGTGTAAGCAAATAACTAGACCTGGTTGTGGTATACCTCTCCTGCCGTATCTGTCATAAAGCGAGTCATGGTTCCTTGGAAGAAAAAAGGAGGGGATGGGTGGGGGAACTTTGGACCCTGGACATTCTGTCCGTTCAGGCTTTATTTTTCTTGTCTTGCTGGGCCCTTTTTTTTTTTTTTTTCCTTTCCCTTGCCATGTGACAATTTCTATATTTATATATGCAACGTAGGCTATGTCGGATCACGGCCGGAACCGTGGGATACACGACCTGCTACTGCTCACTTAAACTGTGCTCGCGTTGTGTCGGTACGTCAAGAATTTGCTGTATTTTGTGCTTTTTGCAACCAAGATGTCAATTGTGGGACGATATGCTACAATTAATATCTTTTGTATTATTCAGAATCCTACTATTATAGTAGAGTTTATATCATGGTACTAGAGAACTGTAATTTCCAAGTACTCAAGTATCCCTTTTCGATTTAACGACCCAAAGGCCCACCAACGAGGCTCCACAACAGAGCCACTTAGCTCTGGAATGTTGCAAATTCTGCACACATAGATGCCATTGCAATCACAAAATCTCAACAATCAACAACCAGAGCTGGTCCCGTAGCTCAGCTGGTTAGAGCGTCGTACTAATACTTCCTCAACGAGGAAATATCTGTGATGCGAAGGTCGCGAGTTCGATCCTCTCCGGGACCATCTATCCTTTTGTTTCTTTTTGTTTATCATTTCGTACTTCTTGGGGAGTTGCTGAGGTATATTTTGACGACCTTTTGGCGCTTTTGGGTGACCAGGGCACCTTTTGGGGCCGGGTTTGAGTGTGTATATGCCGTGCATATGCTTGTCTATTGCGTCTGCGCCCCTTCTATAGCCCCCTGTTTTTTTTGTGTTTTTTTGTTGCTTCCTTTCCCCCTTCTTCCTATTTCCTATTTTTCAGAGGTGAAATAATTTCGTAGTGCTATCAGCTGTGTAGGGAGAAGGTTCTTGACTCTGGAGACATTTGCGGTGTCACAGGGCGGTGTAGGCCTGTCATATGAATGCTTAATCTGATTTACATACTTTCCAGCCCAAGGTACTCAATTAAGTCCTCAATTAAGCTTATTAGAACTGCACATTGCTTGCTTAAGATTGAGCATATAAGATTCAGACAGCCCAATTATAATGGTCGAGAGGGTGGCATAGGCCGCCTGGCTAAGCGAGTTACTACTTTATGACGACTTGGCAGTTGTTGCATTGAGTGGTCCAGCCTGGCTATCGTACCGGATTGAAGACAGCCTGCGCATTTGACAAAGGTGGCAAGTCATCTGAGATAGCACAATGTGTCCGCAGAGCTCGAGTCAAACCGTTCAACGCAAGTCTTCCAAAGCAGGGACCTTCTGTAGTAGGTCTCCCAAGATCTCGTTCCACACTTGAGCCTTGACCTTAATGGCAGTTTGGCTCTTCAGATTCGGAATCGCCACTCTTCAAGTCCATCAGAGTTATTAGTCAGGTTTGATCTCAGTCTCTGGAGGGGGTGTCAGCTTGGCCCTACCTGCGGTACTCTTCATCTGAGAACAGCGATTGTATATATTTGCCCTATACGTGATTGCAGAACCGTCAGTGGAAGCATGCGTACATCTTGTCATGATGCAAGCTTTTGTATTGACAATGTATTGAAACTCACATGGTCTTCTCTCGGTGTGAGCGCTGCCCTAACATAGAGCCTAGCACCGTAGTCTGCGGATTTGCCCAGGCAGCCTAGATAAATAAACACCAAGGCCCTGACCCTCCACGATCTTTGAACTAAAGAACGTGGAAGGTCGGTGGATACCAGGCCTGGACACACGCTATTCACAATGACTTGCAACCTGGTCACACCAGAAATCAGCTCAAAAGGCTCAAGTTGCCCAGGTGTGGTGAACAACGGGGGACAATGGGCGACAAAATGTTGTTTCTTACGTTCCATCCTGTCCGGTGGCTCGTTTGGAAATCTCTTCCACGGCGTAGGTAAGCATGAGTTTGCTAGCAGCATAGTTTGGCTGTAGATAGTCAGAGGGCCAGTTCTCTGCGTCGCTGAGATGTCTCAGGATCCCGCCATGAGCCTCTGGCCACTCCGCCCATGTTGTAATGTCCGGATCCAGATGATCACGAGAAGTGACAAAAACCAGATGAGGTATCTTTTCTCGACCCAGACCAGTCTGTTTCATCCATGGCAACAGCAAAAGTCCGAGAAGGGTAGTGCTGAGAGTGTTCACTTGGATCGCCTCCTCCCTAGAACATAGCATGAACAAATGAGGACCCTAAAGAAGATTTATTCCACAGCGAGCAAGGAGAGAGGAAAAATTAACACACCAGCCTTCAGGACTGCGAACATAGTCGGCATTGATGACCCCGGCATTCAAAACAGCTACGTCTAGGCCGGACTTTGCTGCATCGTTCTGCTTCAACCGGCCCAAGAACGACACACACGAGGAGTACCGCGTCATATCCAATTCGACGACATGGACCTTGCCTTGGCCAGCAATCCCAGCAGCGTCCTCGACGTGCTGTCTGGCGCAATCGCCTCGAGCTGCGGTCCGGGACGTCAAAATCACCCGCGCCCCCAGCCTGGCAAAGTGCACTGCCGCAGCCAGACCAAGACCAGCCGTTGCTCCTGTGACGAGGACTGTTTGGCCCTCAAAGGATCCCGGAGAGGGAAGAGGCTCTGGCCAGATCTTGGCCTGCAGCCTGCCGAGGAACAGTGACACCATCTGGTAAAGAATTAATGGCGTAACAATCAACGGAAGGACGAAAGCAGTTGCAATAGATGCGGAGCAAAAGTCCAAGACCGCGGGGAATACTTGAATAGCCCAAGGGATTGTATAGCTAGGCTCTTTATGTATAATAAATAGCCAATCGAGTGACTGCATGGAAATTGGGGGTTAGCATCTCGGGCGCGCCCTCTGATTGCATGTTGAATGGAAGGGAAGGTTGGGAACATTTGTAAGCAATCAAATTGCTCAAGGCTACTCCTTTGGTTGTCAGCCTGACTGGGGGATTGGCTAGTGGTTCTTTAGGTGCTGGATTACGCCGCCAAGAGGAAGAGCAAATCAACTTGAAGAGGATTGACGAGTAAGCAATCAAGCAGTGAAAAAGCCAATGGATGGAGTAAGTGACGTGCTCAAAAGCAATATTATATCGCAGAAGAGGTGTTACACGCCGAGCGAGGTGTTCTCGAAGTTTTGTTTGTCAATTAGCTGGAAAGCATTGAAGACAGGATGACTGAAGCCCGTGGTCCTAAGAGGCGTCGAATCTTCAACAGATGGTCGGAGCTCAGTGAATTCATCACCTTCTCTCAATTTGAGAATGGGCTCCTTCCAGGTTGTCTCCTCAATGTTTTTGTGCCTGTGCATGAACCTGTGCCTGGTCGATGTTCATCACAACCCCCTCTCTCGTGTCGCGGCCTATTGTTGTCTTCCCAGCTCCCGCCTCTCCTTCTCTCTCAGACCCTGCATAATACTATACCACATCCAGGGCCGCTGAGACTTCTTGTGCGCAACCGCCCCTTCCTCGATCTTGAATTCGCCCACTGCCCCGGACTGATACCACTTCTTCACCGCATTCTCCCGGCTCACATCCCGGACGTAGTTGACCAGCCCCAGCCGGCGCCTCTCGTAGCGCAGATCCTGGAGGCGCACCTGGCTGACGCGGGGTTTCCCTATGGTTCCCATGGTGGTAATGGTGACCTCTGTGTCGGCGGGGACGTGCTTGACGAACTTCTCAACGGCCAACTGATTGCGCTGGAAGCCCTTCGGGACCTGCAGGTGGACCCACATCACCATGGGCGAGGTGAGATGCCAGATGGCCAGGAAGGGAACGGTTCCGGCGGCGAGGACTTGGAGAGGAGAAAGCGCTGGTGAGCTGAAGGTGGCCTCTATGTTGAACGAAACTAGGAGGGGTAGAGGGGGGAGGGATCATGACGTGGTTCACTTACGCCCTGCTGTCTGCCACCATGGGGCGCCAGCCTGCACATAGCTCGGGATGGTCACGACGGCGAAGAAGCCGAGAACGAAGATGGCTGAGATCTTGAGAGCGCCCAGCACAAAGATCCTCGGCGTACCGGCGTGGTAGATGATGAGCCTAGGGGCTGTTGTCGAAATGGTCAGTCAAAAGTGCCTGTGCAGCACTACGTGATGAGACCAGCCTGTAAAACAAGAAATGGGATATATCAAGATATATATGTATTAAACATTGCATACCATGGAATGGTTTAGTTTTCGGTGTTGGGTCAGGTTTTGGTTTGGGTTTTGGCGCTGACGAGGCGGCTCTCCTCGTGAGCTGCGATGAGAGCTCATGGGCGCGCAATGCTGTCGCAGAACACCTTGTGGCAGAGATCCTGGCCTGCAGGATGCTGCGACCCGCCAATGATGACAGTCGGGCTTGACGCATCCATATTGAGGTTATCATATTTAGGTTGAAGGGGGGTTTTTTGCTCCATTTAAGCCAAGGAGCCACCGACAATCTGATGTGAGGTTGATGAAATTGGAAAGAAAAGGTGGTCCGAGCTTTATTGGTCTTGTTTACACTGCTGGCACGGGGGGGGGGGGTGGCTCTACTAAAACATGCCTCTTGCATGAGAGTATAATTGCAAAATCATCACAACAAAGAAAAAGCATACTATTTTTATTTTTGCAGTACTCGATTCGGCGTATAGATACCCTCATAGACAAGCAATTTAGGCGACGTTCTTTCCAAGCCACTCGAGCCACTGGTCTGCCGACCAGCTTGAGCTGATGTCATTGTTCACGACCCCATCAAAAATGACCGTTGGGCTGACATGCACACCCACCAGCCTGGCCGTCTTGATCACAATCTTCAAGTCGTTGGTGACCTGGTTGCCAATGTTCAGACTGCCGCCCTCAGCCGCCTTCTCTGGGATGGCGAGCAGGCTGTACAGCTCCTCCTCGTTAACGCCCACGCTTTTAGCGCCCAGCTTCGCCAGTCTCCTGTACGTGTTGTTGCGCGTCTCGTTGACGACGTTGACATCGAAGTAGGCCTCCTGGTCGTCGAAAAGCGCCGCGCTGAATTCCCAGAACTTGTCTGGGGCGAGCCTCTCCACAGCAAGGGCGGCCTCGTGCACGAGCGTCGAAGACGGGTGCCAGGGTTGGATCTGCTGCCGCAGGAGGACCTGCACCTTGCCGGCCAGGCGGGGGTCGGCGCGGATGCGGGGCGCCACCGAGGTGACAATGGTCTTGAATGCCTTGGCTGAAAAAGGGCACACATAGTCTAGGAATATCTCGATCGTATGCAGGGGCTCCAAGGCAGCTGTCTCAGTTGGGGCTGGGACCGACGGGTCATCGCTGAAGAAGAGCAGGCGGTGGCCCTTGAACTTAGGAGGGAGCGCCATTGCTGCGGGTTTTTGGTTTAGAGAGGGCTGTGCTTGCCTGCTTTGCGAAGCGAAGGAGGGGTAGGGAGGGGGCTCACTCACTGGAGGTTGGTCTCTTTTGTGGTTGCGAGTATGAGAAGGTGTGGAAAGCTGTGGTTGGAACAAATTGTCCCCTGTTCAGTGTCGTGAGGGGACGAGGTAAATATTTGAAGGACCTCAGGGAGAAGAAGTGCATGTCTAGGTGCCGAGAGAGAGAGAGAAACAGATGTCATAATAGTCTCAATGAGCTCATTTATAGCGGGGTTGATGAGTCCAGGTCCCAGCCCTACCCATGCCTTAGCCCTTCTGATAGCTTCTCCCCCTCAACCGCCCAATATGGTGACAACCCAACAAAGTTTGATAGTCTAAGAGAGATGACTAAAACCGTAATGTCATAATTGCGAGGGCGTTAGAGAACGGTCGAAAGTGGCTTATGGCTGATCAACAGTCAGGCAATGCATTAAGTACTATTGTAACAGGCCATGGCGAGGCGCCTTTGAATAGGAACAACAAGTTGGCCAGATGCTGTGCTTACACCCTTGGTGTGAGTGAGAGACTCGGAGGACCCTTAATGTACAGGCAGAGTTTAGCGCAGCGCGACCCTGACACGCTGCCCCTCCAAGCAGCTGCTGGCAGGGGGGGGGGGGGGTTAGTGCCCCGCGATCTGGCGATAAAGAAATCTTATCGTGCAGTAGCCCCTCGAAGATTTTTGGGGATCCCCTCTACAACCAGCCTCTGGTTGGTGACGCCCTACTGGTCGACATCACTTCACCCCTCTGTGACCTTTGTCCCTCACCTTTTCGATATGCCGCACGAGACTCTGATCGGGGGCTCGTGCTACACGGCCTCAGAAGCACAAAAGCTTCTGAACCGCATCAACAAGCAGGCTAGCGTCAAGGCCCAGTCCATTCATGGCAACTGGTTGTACTACATCGACCTGAAGCAGGGCCAGGCCGGACTCGACAAGGTCCAGCAGCTGCTCCAGGTCTCTGATGCCTCCAAGCTGACCTTTGCTGCCGAGAACGGTGTCACCCTCTACATCTCCCCCCGCAACATATCGCCATGGAGCTCCAAAGCCACCAGCATCGCCCATGTCTGCGGCCTCAAGGAGCAGGTCCACCGCGTCGAACGGGGTCGAGTGATCACCATTCAGTTTGAGGGACCCCACGATGGACCAGACGACTTGTCATTCCGTGATATCATCCATGATCGTATGACCGAGACCATTACGACCGAGCAGCCGTCGTTGGACGCCATGTTCCTCGAAGGGGACCGGGCCCCGCTCGTTGTTGTCGACATCTTTGCCGATGGTGGAGAGCCTCTGTCTGTGCTGCAGGAATACAACCAGAAGATGGGACTGGCCCTGAGCCCTGAAGAGATGCAATACCTGGTGGACGTCTACACCAAGCTCGGCAGGCCACCCCATGACGTGGAGCTGTTCATGTTTGCTCAGGTCAACTCGGAGTATGTCTCCCACACGCTGCTGTGCTTCCCTTTTTCATATGACGGAGAAGACAAGAAAAGGAAAAAAGAAGGATTGGTAGACAAGTGTCTAACCCTTCGGCTGCGATTGGTTGTCTCGGCATCTTTAAATGTTTCTTTCTCTGACTCTTCGTCTCCTGCAGGCATTGTCGCCACAAGGTCTTCAATGCGGCTTGGACAATCGACGGCAAGCCCATGGGCAAGAGTCTGTTTGAGATGATCAAGAATACCCACAAGAAGACCCCGGACTACACCGTCTCTGCCTACAGCGACAACGCGGCCGTCCTACAAGGAGACATTTCCAATTTCTGGGCTCCGGACTACTCCACCGGCACTTGGAAGCTCACCAGCGAGGTGCTTCACCCCCTCATCAAGGTGGAGACACATAACCATCCTACCGCTATCTCTCCCTTCCCGGGTGCTGCGACAGGTTCCGGTGGCGAGATTAGAGTACGCAACATCTCTTTTCCTTCTCCATAAATTCTGTGCTACCGATGTGCTGCCGCCTGCTAGACTGGTTCGAAAAGGCCTGAGTGAAACAAGTGTTTCGCTGGCCTATCGCTCCTTTCTCAGTATAGTCTGTCTACTCGTGAGTGTCAGCCACTGACTACTTCGCCCTTAGGACGAAGGCGCTGTTGGCCGCGGCTCAATACCAAAGGCTGGCTTGTGTGGCTTCTGGGTCTCGGACCTGCACATTCCAGGCAAGCGAGACCCGTGGGAGGTCGATATTGGCAGACCTGGACACTATGCCAGCAGTCTAGACATCATGCTGGAGGCACCGATCGGCTCTGCGCGGTTCAACAACGAATTCGGTCGGCCGTGTCTGACCGGCACGTTCAGAACTCTGCTTACGAACGGCAACGGTGAGGATGCCAGCCCTGACTGGAGAGGCTACCACAAGCCCATCATGATTGCTGGCGGTCTCGGCTCTGTACGACCACAACATGCTCTCAAAAACGAGTCTGACGTCCATGACGGCGCTTATGTCATTGTTCTCGGAGGACCTGCCATGTTGATTGGTCTCGGAGGTGGTGCGGCATCGAGCGCTGTCGGGGGCGGCAATGCGGACCTTGACTTTGACTCTGTGCAGCGCGGCAACCCGGAGATGGAGCGCCGTGCCCAGATGGTCATCAACACTTGTGTCGCATTGGGCCAAAACAACCCTATCGCCATGATCCACGACGTAGGCGCCGGAGGTCTTTCGAATGCGCTGCCAGAGCTTGTGAAGGATGCGGGCTTTGGCGGCAAATTTGAGCTGCGGCAGGTTGAGAGTGCCGACGACAGCATGAGCCCTCTGCAGGTATGGTGCAACGAGGCACAAGAGAGATACGTGCTGCTGGTCAACAGGGACAGTATCAACCGATTCCAAAGTATCTGTGGTACGTGAAGATTTTTGGAGTTCCCTGCATCCACCCGTCCTTCCTACTTGGCTGACAATGACACCAGAACGCGAACGGTGCGGGTTCTCAAATGTCGGTAATGTCGTCACCAAAGATGACAACGGCACTGCGAGATTGATCTTGACCGACCGAGAATCCAAAGAATACCCTGTGCCAATTGATCTGCCCATGGATGCCTTGTTCCCTCCAGGGCGTCGTCAAGAACGGGTGGTCGAGACTGTGAAGAAGTCGTTGGCTCCTTTTGATGCAGCGGCGAGCCTCACCGAGAAATACGGGCTGTCGGATAGGAAAGAGATGATTGCTAAGGCTACTGAACTCGTATTCTCCCTTCCATCCGTTGGGTCAAAGATGTTTTTGATCACGATCGCCGATCGGGTGAGTAGTGATACCCTCTGCGCAAATTGGAGACTGTCGATGGCTGATATACCTGCAGACTGTTGGTGGCTTAACAGTGCAAGACCAGCTCGTCGGCCCTTGGCAGACACCTGTGGCAGATGTTGCCGTCACACTGGGATCCTTCAGTGTGGATGAGAAGACCCGCCATGGTGAGGCTATGGCAATGGGAGAGAAGCCCACTCTGGCCTTGATCTCGCCCGGAGCTTCGGCGCGGATGGCTGTTGTTGAAAGCTTGATGAACCTCGGCGCTGCTCACATAAAGGGAGCTGCTGACGTACGGGGGGACCTGCGACGAGTCAAGCTCTCTGCCAACTGGATGGCTGCAGTCAACCACCCTGGTGAGGGAGCTGCCCTGTTTGAGGCCGTCAAGGCTATCGGCATGGACCTTTGCCCAGAGTTGAAGGTCTCCATACCGGTTGGCAAGGATTCAACCTCCATGAAAGCCTCGTGGCAGGACGAGAGCGGAGAATCGAAGAGTGTGACTGCTCCCGTTTCTGTTGTCATCTCGGCTTTTACCCCAGTCGAGGACGTCCGAAGCACATGGACACCGCAGCTTCGACGTGTCGAGGAAGTGGGTGAATCCATCCTGATCTTTGTCGACCTGGCACGCGGCTACAAGGCCATGGGTGGTTCCGCCCTGGCACAAGTGCTGGGACAGCTCGGCCACGAGGCACCAGATGTCCGCGATACCAGGCTCGTCGTCGACTACTTTGATGCTCTGTCCCAATTGCATGAGGAGAACATCGTTCTTGCTTATCATGACCGCTCCGATGGCGGCCTGCTCACCACCATTGCGGAGATGATGTTCGCTGGTCGCTGTGCTGTAGACATCTCCATCGATGAGCTTGCCAAGAACTTCACAGCCGCTGACGCCCTAGAGGCGTTGTTCAACGAAGAGCTTGGTGCCGTGTTCCAGATTCGCAAGTCAGACGAGAGGAGATTCCGCCGTTGCTTTGCTACTTGTGGCCCACCGCCAGGTCTGCTCAAGAAAATCGGCTACGTGCGCGCGACGTCAAAGGAGTCGCTTCTTGTCCGCCACGGATCCACGACTCTTGTGGACCTGGACCGCGCACAGATGCAGCAATGGTGGTCCGCCACCTCCTACGAAATGCAGAAACTCCGAGACAACCCGTCATGTGCCGACTCTGAGTTTGCATCCATAGTCGACTCGAAGGACCCAGGACTCTCCTACAGACTCAAATTCGACCCGGCGGAGACTGGTACGACGGCGTTTACTGCACTCAAATCCCTTGTCACCCAACGTCCTCGCGTCGCCATCCTCCGCGAGCAAGGCGTGAACGGCTACGCCGAGATGGCCTTCGCCTTCCGGGCCGCCGGCTTCGAGGCAGTGGACATTCACATGACCGACATCCTCTCAGGCTTCTCACTCGATGGCTTCCGTGGTCTCGCCGCGTGTGGAGGCTTCTCGTACGGTGACGTCCTTGGTGCCGGCCAGGGCTGGGCCAACTCGATCCTGATGCACGAGAATGCCCGGCGCACCTTCGAAGCCTTCTTCCAGAGGCCCGACACATTCACCTTGGGTGTGTGCAACGGCTGCCAGATGCTCTCGCGCCTCAAGGAGCTCATCCCTGGCGCGGAGCACTGGCCTGCGTTCGTCGAGAACACAAGCCAGCAGTTTGAGGGCCGATACAGCATGGTGGCCATCAACGACGCCGACGAGAAGTCCATCTTCTTCTCAGGCATGTCCGGCTCGCTGCTCCCCATCGTCGTATCGCACGGCGAAGGGCGAGCCGAGTTTTCCGGTCCAGTGGGCGGGGCCCTGCACGCCTGCAACGAGGACGGCCTGATCCCGCTGCGGTACACAGATAACTACGGACAGGTGACCGAGACGTATCCCTTCAACCCCAACGGCAGCCCAGAGGGTATCGCGGGCGTGAGGAGTAAGGACGGTCGCGTGTTGGCCATGATGCCGCATCCGGAGAGAACCATCATGGCAGATGTGGCCAGCTGGGCGCCGCGCGAGGAGGTGGACAGCTGGGGCATGTTTGGGCCGTGGTTGAGGATGTTCAGGAACGCGAGAAAGTGGGTTGGCTGAGGACCATTGAAAAGGAGGGAAGGGAGTTTTTGATTTTTATATTATATGCATTCGACCAAAAGTCATTGATAGAGAAGAGAATTCGAGGCGTACTTTAGACACACTGTCACAGTCACCAAGAGGGACACAAGGCCGCCACCTTCTTCTCAAGGTATCTACTATACGCCTTCCTCATCATTCTTTCTTGGGCTCATTGATTCATGTCTATTGGTATCTCTGCACTCCACGCGAGCTGAACTCATTTACAGTCTGAATCCCAGGGCCTTTGCGGGCTTCCTCTAATGCCCTTTCCCCACAAGACCACCCCTTCGTTCCTCTCAGCTTCTTCCGATTCTTCACAGTTCCTCAGCCTCACTGCTGTGGACCGACTACGACGACGCAGGCCCATTCGCCAACCTTTCGAAGCCGGCCAGAACCTCCTTATCTACATTCACGACCCAGTCGTCCCTGAATGCCGCCTCCCCGCCAGCCCTTGCCACAAGGCCCTGGAGTCGTTCCGTGATGAATCCATAGGTTCGTATTTTATGCACAGGGTCATTGGCAATGACTACACACTCGCTGTTCTCGAGCGGTGTGCCTTCCTCGCTGATGGGCGGTGTCTCCCATAGAAGGCCATCCTCGCCTAATGCGTTGCCGTCATGCACCTCCAGAACAATGGTCGTCCACATGGTGAAGTAGTCCTGTAGCGATGAGCAGACGAGGTCCTGGACGGGCCGGGATAGCTCGGCAAAGCGCGTGAGAGCGAGGCATGACAGCTTTTGCCTCTCCACGTCGGCCATAGACGTCAGCGCAGAGAACCACTGGGTTGAAAACCAAGGCCAGATCTGCGTGAAGTCGCCGGCACCGAGGGAGGTGAGAGCGGAGACAAGGAGACTCGGGTCGGCAACGGCGATGCGTGCTAGGATGCTAAAGTAGGCCAGCTTGTGGGACCACTCCAAAGCTTCCTTCTTCGCAGCATTGGGACCAGTCAGCTGCGTGTGCTCCCAATCCTCGTGAATGCGTTGCAACATGGTGTGCAAGAGTCCGAGTGAAACAAGATCTTGCACAATGGTGGACACGCCATTGGTGCCACCAAGGTTGGAGGCGGCAAGGAAGATGAGTTCCATTGTTCGGTCGCTTGTCAAGACATCCGCGCTGCGGCCGCGGGCTTGAGATTGAAGGGGGGTGGATAGGGCTTGTAAGGTGTTCCTTCGCAGGCCGTCAGATAGAATGGCATCAGGCGCCAATATGATATATGCCTTGAGGATCTCGAAAGCAGCCTCAGCAAGCTGAGGCTCATTTTCGATTAGAGGGAGGACGAGAGGTTGCAGGCTGATCATTTCTGTGGACAAAGGCGCCGCGCTTTGGATAATGAGGGACCTCCAGAGATCAACAATGTCTTCCAGGAAGGCCTCGTTCGAAGGATCGTTCATGCACTGGGCGACGATAGGAAGCATCGTTGACTGATATCGTCGTGACTCAGCCCCGATTGAGGTGACAAGCGCCACGAGAACTGCTATTATGGCTGCCTTGGTCATGTGTGCGTCGCCGGCAGCATCCCAGAGGGTCGGAAGTGCTGACATAATAGGGTCCGCAAATGGTAGGACGTGCTCTTCCATTCGCTGTATGCATACTCTCAGCGTCTCGAAAAGTGCCTGCTTTGTGTCCTCTACTACCACATCTGGAAGCAGGTTGATGACCTGCGGCAGAATGTCTGGAGCGTAGGTGGCGAACAGCTCTCCAGGAAAGTCGAAGTCGTCCGCGATGTCCTTTAGCTGTCTCGCTGCAGTGAGGCGGACCACTTCGTCATTGTTTTCGTCTTTGTCGTTCAGGATATGGCGGTAAATGTCGAAGATGAGGGGCCGGCTTGTGTTGGCAATCTTGACTGGCACCCAAGTGCTGATCAAGATTGCTATTCTGCGACGGAGGACCTTGGCGAGGGGCCCGGTGGACTGCGCGTCTTGTACCAAGGTCGTTGACAGGAAATGGTCAAAATCGAAAGCCTGGGATATGTTGGGGGCAGAAGCACCCATGGCGGTGTATATGGCGTCCTTGGTAATGACATCTGCGTCTGAGATGGTTGCCTGGTGAAAGTATGACAGCAATGGAGGCGTCAAGAGATCTTTGTAGTAGACCAGTAGATCCAAGAAGACTCTTTCGGCGCAAGGCCTGACGCTGAATTGCCAAGCATCCCCAAGGTATTGCTCTGTTGCCTCAAAGTCCTCCGGATCTGTCTCCCAGGCTTCGAGGTCTGCTTTCCGGAAGATCAATAGTTTGGTGATGATGACGTTAACGATCTGCATGACGAGGTCGTCTTTTAGTAATTCGGTTCGGAGGACCTGAACGGCTGCATCCTTCTGCTGCACAAATTCTTTGCTGATGTATTTGAAGGTCTGGACCGGTTTCCAAACGATCGCCACGCAACTCTTCACTAGAAGAAGCCCTTTGAGGGCCAACCTCTCAAGCAACGGCCCTTCAACTTTCGATTTGGAGCCGGTGCCGTCCGAATTCGTGGTTTGCCTCAGGCCGCCAGATTCGTTGAAGACTTGGGCAAAATTTGCCACGAGATCCCAGTATGCAAGCACAAGAGGAACAGAGTTGGGTAGAATGGGGAAGCTCGCAGGATGTCCCTCGGACATCTCAAGGTGGAGTTTCGTAAACTGCAGGAGGTGTTTCCCTATCACGTCTTGATGAGGCGCAGGGATGTTGGAGTCATGGCCGACGTAGCCGAGGAATTGACCAAAATGATTCTGTGTGAGCGACCAGAACTCGACGACAACCTTGTCTTTGGCGGGATTCTCATAGCCCAGGATCAATAGTCGACGCAAGATCTTTGCGGCCGAGAGGCTGTTCTGCATGGCCAGATTTGCCAGGTCCTCATCTCCCTGCCCAGAAGACAGCCAGGTGGTCCACAGATTCGTCCGCTCTGAGTATATCTCCCCCAGGAGGTAGACCAGCTCAGGTGTGACGGCCTGCAGCGCGGTCTGCGACTTACGCAGCCGGGCAGCCCCCAGCTCCTTGACAATACGCAGCAGAAGGACGAGCGCACCGCTCAGGAGCCGCTGGTCGCCATTCTTGTATCGCCTCAGCAGATCGATCAGACTGGGAAGAGCTTCGGGCCAGTAGTCGGGATAGTCTATGCGAAGGACTTTGGCGGTCGCGAGGGCGTTGTGTAGAGCAAAGGCCCTGTCCTCCTCGCCGATGGTGCCCTCAAACAGCCTTGACCTGAGCAAGCCCTTGTCATTGGGATTTATGGTATTCTTGGCGCTGAGGCGCCAGTACTTGTCGATGCCGTTCTTTATCTGTAATATGGCTAGGAATCGTATCTCTCTTGGGATGGACCTGTCGAGGAAGATGGACTGCACGGTGGAAGCAGCTGCTCGTCAGCCTTTGAGACATGGCAGAACATGTTGTAGCAAGGGGGTCGAAAACCTACCTGCAGCGAGGGAAAGTAGCCCTGCTGCGTCTCCCACGTGTTGAGCTGCTTTCCTGCTGCTTGTCTCTGTATGCTGTCCATCGACGTGGCGGCTTCGAGGGCCTTGCAGAGCTCCTGCAGACTCAGGGGGTTCGCCGCCCCGGGCACCTCAATGGCGAAGCTCATGATAGCGGTGGAGGAGGCGGTTGGGCCGGTGAGGACCACAGCAGCATGAACGGCAGTGGTGTGGTATGGTGTTCACCAAAGTCTGAAATGTCGTCAGGGGGAGACGCGGCTGGGAAACGCGACAGCGGGAAAGTCTTTAAGTTTCCATGGAGGGGGTAGAAGGAGAAATCAGGATCCCTGCTGACCAGCGCAACAACAGCGACTTAGTAGGGGGGGGGGGCCTTCAGGCGGCGTTGTACTAATTGAAAGATGGTGATTCACTTCATGAACCCAAGTATGCAGTCAGTCCCCAGCATAATGCCCTTGCTTCTAATTATTTTCTAATAAATCGACAGGAATCAACCAGCTTTTTTGTGACTGACTCGTATGCTCCGAAGTATCTCAAACAAGAATGCTGTTTTGACAAAACAAAGCCATTCAAGCCCCAGCTATAATAGTACAGTGTCCTAGCTACAGGGGGTTTTGGAGGGCCGTTTGGCTCCAAACTTCACAAGCAGACTTCCTCTCTAACAACAATCGAAGCCCTCCAGCAAGTTTTGTTTCTCCTTCACACACACACACACACACACACGGAGGTTAATGTGTAGTGAAATTTATCTGATCATAATATTACACTAGATCTCGGTCGTCGTCTCTCACAACACCACAATTCTCTCTCTTTAGGTAATGGTATACACCAGCTTCTCACCAGCAATAGGCTTCAAATGCTCCTCTGTCCCCTCGCCTCCTTGCTTGGATTTCCCATCCGGGAAAGAAGAGGCCATGACGCCAGAACTGAGGAGGGGGAACGCATCAGGCACGATCCGCTCGAGACCACCAGGCATCAGTCTCACCGGGTTGGGCTCGATGGGCGTCTTGCCTGCGAGGGCTTCCCGCGTCCAGTAGCTGTAAACCTGGGCAGCAAACTTACGAGCATCCGGGTTCGCGGGGAACTCGAGACCTGCAGCACATGTCGTGAGCGCTTCTGTCCAAGCAGACTTCACTTTGCGTGTGGGAGGGCGATCGCAGTGGAAAAAGGAGAGGAGGGGGGGAGGGGGCGGGGCAAATTACTTACTCCCAAAGTATAGGGCATGGCCCAGACACTCAAAGACGCTGTTGCAGATGGGCTTGATCTCGACGTCGTCCATCGAGAAGCCTATCATTGACGGATTCCGGACGATGACAAACTGGCCCGTCCTCTTCAGGACCGACTCCGTCTTGATGATCGTCTCGGGCTCGGTAACGCAGTCGACGGCGAAATCGACGCCGCCGCCGCCGGTCAGCTGGCGGACCTGCTCGGGCCAGTCCGCCTCGTGGTAGTCGACCAGCGCGTCGTAGCTGTACGGTGCCTTCTTGAGCATCTCGTGTCTGGCCTTGCTGGCCGTGCCGACCAGCTTGACAGCTCGGCCGGACGTGCTGGCGGCGAGATGGGCCAGCTGCGCAGCGAATAGACCCAACGACGTCGACGCGCCGTACAGGAAGATGGTGAGGGGTCCGTCTCCCGCGGCGCTGCTGGTCGAGGGCCAGAAGGGCGAGGGCACGCCGAGATGGTAGGAGAGGCACTGGGCTGCTGTCAGGCCACAGGCAGTGATGGTGGAGGCTCCCTCGTAGGACATGGAGTCCGGGATGAGCCAGACGAGGTCCCATTCCGGGTGAGTATACTCGGCAAACGCACCGAGGCGGTCGTTGGTCGAGCAGGCTGATTGGGCGTCAGCAAATTCAACACAGAGTCGACTAGCAAGGCCCGGTGTATTGTGTTTTTTTTTCTTGTAAACGCCCCATGGACTTACCTCCCTGTACAAACCCAGCGACTCTAGCTCCTACTTTCAGCCTGGGGTCAGAAGAAGACCCCCGCAGGCTCTCTGGTACTTCCACGACTTCACCGGCGAAGTCAATGCCGACAATTCTCTCTGCCTGGGCCGCGATTGGAGACATGACCCAGGCGGCATCCACGGGGTTGAGTGCCACGGCATGAACTTTGACGAGGATCTCGTTGGCCGCCAAGACGGGGACAGGAACGTTCTTGACGACAGCCGTCTTGTCTGCCGTGATGAGGACGAGGGCTTTCATTGTTGGAGACATTTTAAAGAAGATTTAATGTGAACAAGGTATGATTCAGTGTCGTGTGCTGATTGCGTGGTCTGTATTAGATGTTGAGGTCGATTGCACTCATCCAAGTCTATCTGGATGAGGATAACATGGCGATTTTATACAAATTGGCTGCTCTCCCAGAGAGCACATCGTCCCGAAGTCGGTAATATACCTGAATAGGAATCATCTGGGCAGATCTATTGCCTCGAATACTTCTCTGCCATCAGGAACACTCTCGGCGCCATTCATAATCATGTTGTTTTTACTAATGGTCATGGTATTTTACTAATTCCCAAAGTGTATACTTATGGTGAGAACCGGCGACTTTCTCTTTTAGGCCTAGCCAGTATCCGTTGCGATGCTTGGCACCAGGCGCTGGGCCGTACTATATTATAATAATAAGAGAAATACCGTACTTAGGCCCGGGCTTGCAACGGAACAGCAGGCTCGGCCATTTCGGCGCCGAGGCCGAGGACGGGTTACAGGCCAGGAGTACGCAAATACTGGATTGTCTGAAAAGTAAAATGCAGCCAAGGCTTTCTTGTACAACAGGACTAGTCATGATCTGTGAAGAGCAAGCCGCCTCATAATTTTGCCTGGTCGTCCTGAGGAACCTTGACGACGACCTTACCCCAGGTCTCCCTACTCCCCAGCGCCTTGAGAGCATCTGGAATGCTCTCGAGCCCAACAAAGTCCTTCTCCGTGAAGACGGTAGGCTTGAACTTGCCCGCCTCGACCAGCTCCAGGATCTCCTGCCAGACCCTCCTCTCGGTCTTGGTCTCCATCTTGGCATACATGCCCCAGTGGATGCCGACGATGCTGATGTTCTTCAGCAGCACCTTGTTCAGCGACAGCTTCTCGATCGACCCGGCCGCAAAGCCCACCACCAGTATCCTCCCGTTCCAGGCCACGCACTTGGTGCTCTTGTCTACCATGCCCACGGGGTCATACACAATGTCCACGCCCTTGCCCCCCGGGGTGAGCTTCTTCACCGCATCCGGCCACTTCTCGTCGCGGTAGTCGACGACGTGGTCCGCCCCAAATTGCTTGGCCACCTCCAGCTTCCTCTTGGTCCCGGCCGTCGCGATCACCGTCGCCCCGAACGCCTTGGCGACCTGCACAGCCGCCAGGCCTACACCACCAGCCGCGGCGTGCACCAGCACCCAGTCGCCCGCCTTGACGCCCGCCCTGACCACCAGCGCGGCGTAGCTCGTGGGCGCCGTGACGAACAAGCCCGCGGCGTCGGTAGACGACCAGCCCTTGGGCTGTGGGAACAGGCTGGCCTCGACGGCGCAGACCCTGGTGGCGTAGGCGCCCTGGTTCGCGCCAAACACGCGCGTGCCGACGGGGTACTTGGGGTTCGGGTTCCCCGAGGGCGTTGACAAGACGATGCCTGCAAACTCCATGCCCGACACCCAGGGGAAGGGGGGCTGGTGCTGGTACTTGCCCTGGACCTGCAGGATGTCGAAGAAGTTGGTGGCTGCCGCGTGGACCGAGATGAGGTACTGGTCTGGCCCTGGGACCGGGTCCTGGAGTTCGGTCACCTTGAGGTCGTCAAGCTTCTATGTGTGGGCACCAACAGTCAGTAAGTGAGAATATTTAACAATAATTATTGGTGTGTTGTGTGCGTCGAGATCTCATCGAGGCTGAGCTCAACATTTTCACAGCAACTGACCTTGACATATTGGGCGACTTGTATTCCTTTCATCTTGGCAGGGATTTGGTCCTGAATATAACTGCAAATGAAGATAGAGTTCAGAAATCACAAATGAAGAATAAAGGAAAAGGAAAAAGAGACAAAATTGGTACCAATACAGGTGAAATTGAAGGTTGGAAGTGAGGATATTGAATTCGGGAGAGACTCTGGGGTAGGGACAACCCCCAGACCCGCTAAGTAATGCGGAGAGCCGAGGCACTTCCAACGGCATTTCTGTGACAGGGGTCGTGACAGTACCCACGACGGTGTACTGCTACATTATTCGGATTTGCGTGGTTCGTTGGTTCTGCTCCAGCTTGACATGAACTCATGAAGAACATCCCGCAGTTTCTGAACGCGAATACTTTTGACTTGCACCCTGGTGTTTTTGGCGCAGTGATCAATCATAATAATGATAATACGCATGCTCTCTCTCGACTATTTTAATCCTGATGCAGGCTTCTCACCACGCTTTCGATAACGCCGCCGGCACTGAGTGTGACCAAAAAAAAAAAAAAAAAAAAAAAGAGGACAAAGTGACTGCGCCGCGCCCAAGCTCCAACACATCGTCTTTGGAGTCTTCTCTCCGTGTTCTTGATGATAGGCCTGTTTCCGTAGGCTCTGTATGCCCTTGACGGCTCTCATATCGTGATATCCTTCAGCTTCGTCATGCTGGACTCTGGCAGCCTCATGGTCGGGTACCGCAGCCCGTTGGGGTTCTGCCTCACGCGCCTGACCCTCTCGGCCTCCCGCTCCTCGGCAGCGATTTTCTTCTCGGCCTCGTCGTCCAGCATCGTGCCTTGCAGGCTGAGGTAGGTATAGTCACCCGTAGACCCGCTCGAGAAGTTCTTGATGCGGAAGTAGATCTTGCCGCCGACCTTGTCCCCGTTCTCGTCCACCCAGTAGCCCGTGCTGCGCAGGCGGGGTGCAGGTGGGTTTTTCAGCTTCTCACCATCCTCTCCTTCACCCTCACCCTCGCCCTCGGCTTCCTCGGTTCCCTCTCCCTCTTCCGCCCCAAAAGGATCTTGCTCCTCGGCAGCTTCTTCTTCTTCTTCCTCCTCCTCCTCCTCCTTTTCCACCCACTGCCACCCCTTCGGCAGGCTCCTCCTCGAGATGCTCGCGTTGAACTTCCCAAAGCACACCACACCAATGTGCCCCTCGCTCTGCAGATTGATCTCGCCCTCCATCCAGGCACCCCGCGACGGGACGAACAGGTGCAGATCGGCCGTCAGCCACGCGAACGGCGGCGCGTAGCACTCAAACGACTCCAGCACGACGGGGGTGTCGTCCGTCGGCGGGTGCGCCGGGTCTGCACGCTGCGGGCGGTGCGACAGGTTGACGTTCTTGTACGCGAGCAGCACACCACGGAACTTGGGCGAATACCGGTTCAGCATCGGGTCGAGGTACTCGCGGGCTGTCTTGGTGAGGGGCTCGTCGAAGGCGGCGGGCCAGATGGGAATGCGCTGCGAAAAGGTTTGCGTGAAGAAGGGGTACTGCTTGTCGTCGGGGACGGTGGCCTGGTAAGAATCGGCCGTGCCCGCGGCTGGAGGCGAAGAGGCACGCTTGTGGTGGTGGTGCTGCTTCTTGTGCTTTTTCTCTTTGGACTCTTCGCTCTTCTGGCGTTTATGTTTCTTCTCGGGCGACCTTGATGGTGCGACGTCTGCGAGTTCACCTGCGGCCTCGGACTCGGCTTCTTCTGTTCTTTCTTTGCGCTTCTTTTCCTTGTGCTTCTTCTTTTCCTTTTTCTCCTTTTTGGGCGACTCAATCACCTCGGCGGCCCCGTCAACATCCATCTTATCCGCATCAATCGCCGCCGCGGCCTCCTCCTCTTCGTGTCGGTGCTTGCGCTTCGACTTCTTATGGCGCTTCTGTTCGTGGTCTAACTCCATCTCGGCTGACATATCGTGACGAATATGGATCGAATGAGACGTGTCGGCGATCGCCCCCAAGGAAGTCGTGCGTCGTGGTGGCAGCAGAGGCACGAATCCGAGGTTCTCTCAGTCCAGAACTTTTTTTCTGCCGCCATTGCAGTTTACGCTGCAACCCCAATTGATTTGGGCCCCACATTCTCAATACGGCACACCGCCTGACTCGGGTGGCCTAACAGTAATCCTTGACCACTTATTTCAACTTTGGCAGAGAAGATTCAATATATTTGACATTATTGTCATGAATTCGCGCTCAAGGTAGAAAACTTGCCTCTTACTTGGCACACGTTCCAATGCTGTTTAGGAGCAGATTAAGGCCAGAGACGCCTTGAGAACACGACGCATCCGCACGCATCCTTACTTCGCAAAGCCACAGTGAACCACAGTCATGGCCGTCAACTGGCACGAAGCCTGTCGCCTCTTTTGTAATCCCAAATCCCGTCTCATTAGCGAGTCTATGTCTATACCTGATCTTGAACCAGCCATGGTCTGGTATAGGACTGGCCCAAAGAATGCCCCTCCTGGCTCACAGACAGCCGTCGCTTGACTTTGGGCTGTAGTAAAGAATTGGGCCAGCATCTTCACGCCTCTTTAGCGTTTTTCTGAGCAAGTTGCACCACGCATGCTCATGCCGGATCGCCCTTCCTGGTGACATATGTGCCGGTTGGCTAGGAGAGGGTTTGGTGGTCGGGGAATTTGCCAACCATCGAGCCCCGTCTACAGGGGACCACGATTTGACGAGGTTTCCCAAAGTTGTTTTTTTCTGCTCCCCTGCGGATGCTTCAACCTCCCTCGCCCCTACGCCGCTTGTCCTTTTCTTCGCGCCTCTTCCTTCTAGCCTCTTTTCTTGCCTGACGCTCCTCCTTTGACTCTGGCGCGATGCTCTTCTCACTGCTCTTGATCAACGTGATCGCGGCTTCACTCTTCTTCCCCTCTTTGCCCTTTCTCGACTTGTCCTTGCTCCTCTTCGGTTCTTTTGTGGCGGATCTCAGGGCCTCTGCAGCCTCGGCATTTCGTCTCGCCGCCTTAGCAGCCTTTCTTTTCCTTCTCGCCTCTTTCCTGGCCCTCCTCTCCTCTTTTGTCTCCTTCCTCACAGGCATAGGCTCCACCTCGGGCGTCGCATCCGTCGACTCGCCCGTTTCTTCGTCCTCCTCTTGGCCCGACCTGATCGTGCCCTGCAGCAAGCCCCCGCTCACAAAGCACGCGTACAAGCCATTAGCGCCCGCATATTTCCCGGCGGCGCCAGCGGTGGAGGAGGCTAGCAGACCGCCCAGCTTGGTGTTGGTCTTTGTCTGCACAATGCTCGTCTTGCCCGAGGTATCGAGGCTCTTGAGCTGCTCATCGAGGGCGTTGAGCCACCACTGATCGCTCGTGACGTGGCTCTTGCGGCCGACGCCGAGGACGTTGTTCTTGCGGGAGACAAGAATGGGTTTGGCCAGGCCGATGGTGTCGTCGGTCTTGTGGAGGGAATGGCCGGAGCCGCGCCACCCTTGGGATGTAAGGAGGGCGTGGGCGTCCATTTTTTTTTATTTTTTTTGGTCGTGGAGGGGTGTTGTGGTGGTGGGGAAGAGGTGTTCAATATAGTACGGCGAGTCGTACCATACGCCTCGAGGAGGGGGGGGGAGGGGGTTTTAATTCGAAATGGTGATTCTCATCGCGGCAATCAGTGGGTGTTGTTAAGAAGCGCTCAATCTTTTTTTGAAGGGCATGGGAACGAGAAGCCCATGCGAGTCGCAGAAAATTTAGTGGGGCCTGGACGATTAGATAAGCTAACGGCAACACTTCCGAGTCTGGCTGTATAAGTGGTTGCTCTCGTCTCATTCGCAATATACTAGTTTAGGTGCGATAATATATAAATTTATACGTGTATGTATATCTACTTCTTATATATTGTTCAATATGATCTACTCTCTGTCAATTTTGCTGCAAAATTGTTTCTGTTTCCTTTATGTCAGTAGACCTTATTTAAAGGCCATTCAGAAAACGTTTTGCTTCAACGAGACTAAATAAGGCACGCTTCCATGTGCCGAGACAGCATACCTTTGAAACATACAGGTACTTTTCAAAGTCACCTTTTTCCATACCAGACATGTCAAGTCTGTGTCTTTCGGCTCCCTTTTTCTTTTCTCTTTCTATCTCAATATGGATTCAGAACCCACGTGCTCTAAGCGCGTTTGTCTTGCATCAATGACCAGAGGCATACCACATCTGAGGAGGCGCATCCTGAGAGCATATTTGGAATGATTTATGGCGACCTGAGCCAAATTCCCACGGTTGATTGATATGTCTTCTTGTATTCGTCTTGTAATGAAACTCCGGGGATGATGAATGGTGGACAAATAACCCAACTGCAAAAGCTCTCGTCAAATACAGAGTCTGATTACGAGAGCATCGAGGCAACCCTTTCTCACCTCCTCTTCCATACAGAGTAAATATGTAATGGATCGAGTTGTCCAAGCAAATCACTGATAGCAAACAAGCATAAAGAAAAACACGTCGGAGCGTCGGCACTCGGAAACTTACGAGGTACTTTCGAGCAAGCAGCCACGATATCCTTCCCCCCTCCGTCTTTCCGATGTGCCCACCCATCTTTCAAACCGCACAGAAGGAGTGACCTCATCAGGCAGTGGCGGGAGGGGCGTCACATCCGGCGCTTCCAGGCAGACCCTTCCCGCCCGCTGTGGTGGGGTAACTTTGTACTTAGGGCCTGCATTAGCCCCTGCCTCCTATGTTTGCACCATCCATGCAGGAACGCAAAAGCCCGGGCTCTCGTACGCATGAGACCAGACTCAAGTCGGGTCACCAACACTATTACACAATCGCCAATCGAGACATCTGATTCTCATCCCGTCCCTGGTCTTTTCTTCAGCGTGGTCATGCGGAGGGCAGCCCCATCCTCAAATTCTCCTCATGCTCGAGTCTGTACCAAAATACGCATGCAGCATGACTCGACACAATACGACTTCCAAGCAGGCTGAAAATCCCCTCCTGAAAACCACCTGCGTAGGTCACACAGAGTCAGATTGCACATGGCGTTTCCCTAGCCCGTCAACCACAGCTGAAGGATTTCCAAGATCAGACAGATCAACATTCATTGAGTAACCCTTCCGACGCCCGCCCCACGGCTGTCTCGGAGCAGTCCCAGGCGCAGCATGTTTGTGAGAGGTGCCACTCATTAAGTATGAGCACAGCCGCCCACGGCGCCCACCTTATCCTCGGCATCTCATCTGATGTTTGCACACAAAAACAATGCGCCGATTTACACTTTCTTCTACATAATTAAGCATGTAAGATCTGCGCTTTCAGACCAGGCCCTTTTGTTTAGTCCCATTTGAGTACTTATTTAGTAAGGGCTTGGGCTCTTGGAACATTGCGTCACACCTTCCAAGTGCAGCATCCACTTGTTCTTTTTCGAAATTTGTGCGCTTCTGTTTTACTTCCGAGGTTTATCTCTTGCATACTTCATTGCGAGGCTCGCTGCTCACCACCGGAAAGAAGTATTCTTTTCTGTCGAGGTGATGACCTTTTCCCCAACCTCCACACAGCAGAAAGCTCATGTGATTTCTGTCTCATTGCATGTCATGTCAACATTTTTATACCTGCCCACCATCTTCTAATGCTTGCTACGTCCAATCGGCTCAAGCGGGCACTTTGGCCTTATTGTATATCTTCTCGACTCACCTCTTTAAGAAAACCTTATTAATTCAAAGGGTATCTTACTCTTGTATCTTCTTGTCTTTGCCTCCCCCTCCTTCTCGTACTTTATCAAGTTCTGGCCACAGACAAACTACACGACCAACCATGGCACTAGACAAAGTGGCTGCCGTCCTGTTCCTTGTGTCTGCTGTTCACACCGGCCTTACTTTTGCCAATACCCTGCCAAAGCATCATATAAAAAATGAGAGGACCTCTCATCCCCTCGACCACCCAAGGGCATTGCCCAACTCCCCCAGCGGCGACTATGGTCCACAGGTAGTAACATGTCCCTCCACACGCCCGACCATCCGCAGCGCCGCATCAGGGCTCAGCACGAACGAGACCGCCTGGCTCAGCAAGAGGCGCGCCGCCACCGTTCAGCCCATGGTGGACTTTATGACCCGGGCCAACATCACCGGCTTCGACGCCGAGTCCTACTTGGACCAATACGCCAGCAACGTCTCGGCCCTGCCCAACATAGCCATCGCCGTCAGTGGAGGTGGCTACCGAGCCCTGATGAACGGAGGCGGGTTCCTCAAGGCTGCTGACAACCGCACGACCGGGTCCACAGGGGATGGAGGCATCGGTGGGCTTTTGCAGTCAGCGACGTACGTGGCCGGGCTCTCGGGCGGCGGGTGGCTTGTGGGGTCCATCTACCAGAACAACTTCTCCTCGGTGGAGAGCCTCATGCAAGACGGCATCGTGTGGCAGTTCCAGAACAACATCTTTGAAGGGCCAGACACGGGCGGTATCGGGGTCTTCGACACGGCCGAGTACTGGTACGACATCAACGAGCAAGTCGATGACAAGTCCGATCCGGGTTGGCCGACGTCCATCACCGACTATTGGGGCCGCGCGCTCTCATACCAGCTCATCGACGCCCCCGCGGGCGGGCCTGCGTACACATGGAGCTCAATAGCGCTGGACCAGAACCTGATAGACGGCAACATCCCCATGCCGCTCCTCGTGGCGGACGGGCGGGACCCGGGCACCCAGATCATCAGCCTCAACGCTACCAATTATGAGCTCGGCCCTTGGGAGATTGGCACTTGGGACCCGACCGTTTATGGCTTTGTCCCCACCCGATACGTGGGTTCCAACTTCTCTGCTGGCTCTATAGCGGATGGAGGGCACTGCGTTGAGGGATTCGACCAGGCTGGGTTTGTAATGGGGACCAGCAGCACGCTCTTTAATCAGTTCCTCCTCGCCAACATCACCTCGACAACCAACATCCCTTCCGCCGTGGCCAATGCCATCGACGCAGTCCTAGAGGATATTGGGTAAGTTGACCTGTTGGAGACCACCCCCGCTCCCTCCTCTTTTGCTTGTTTGCTCCGCTTCGTCTCATCCCTCTTTTTGCTTTCTTTCTTTCTTTCTTTCTTTCATTATTCGTTCTCCCACCTATGAAAGAAGCCTCTCTAATTTCCCTTTTCTTCCTCTTCTCCCCAGCGCTGCCGACGATGACATCGCCCAGTGGACCCCCAATCCCTTCCGCGGCTACAACCCGTCCACCAACCCCACCACAAACACGGATCAGCTCTCCCTCGTCGACGGTGGCGAGGACCTCCAGAACATCCCGCTCAACCCGCTGATCCAGCCCGTCCGCGCCGTGGACGTCATCTTCGCCGTCGACTCTTCCGCCGACACGGAGCTCAACTGGCCCAACGGCACCGCCCTCCGCGCCACCTACCAGCGTTCCCTGGGTACCATCGCCAACGGCACCCTGTTCCCGAGCGTGCCGGATGACCACACCTTTATCAACCTAGGTCTCAACTATCGCCCTGCCTTCTTCGGCTGCGACGCCGATAACTTCACCACCTCCTCCACCACCGTTGTGCCGCCCCTCATCGTCTACATCCCCAACGCCCCTTACACCACCACCAGCAACGTCTCCACCTTCGACCCGTCTTATCCCCTCAACCAGCGCGACGACATCATCGCCAACAGCCTCAACGCCGCCACCCAGGGCAACGGCACCCTGGACCCCGAGTGGACTGCCTGCCTTGCGTGCGCCGCTCTCAGCCGCAGCCTTCGCCGCACTGGCACCGCTGTCCCCAGCGGCTGTCAGACCTGTTTTACCCGCTACTGCTGGAACGGAACTCTCGACACCACGGACAATGGACCCTATGAGCCGTCGCTAAGGATTGGAAACGAGAGCACCTCGTCTGCCGGGTCGGCATCGTCCAACTCGGCAGGCGGGCTGGCATATGGTGATGTTGGCGGCAGTCTGTGGAAGGTGGTTTTGAGCGTTGCGGCTGTTGTTTTGTTGGGTGGTAATATATAGAGGACGACGACTTTTGATCTGTTGGCGTGCAAGATATGTTGAGAATTCTCTTTTATTTCTATTCTTTCTCATGATGTAGATAATAATTTCCTTTGGTGGGGTGTATTGGGGAGGGAAGGGGGGGGAGGGTGGGTGGGTGGGCAATATCTGGATACCCAGTCCTTACATCAATTCGCCAACACAAAACATGCTGTTGGAAGGCGTTTACAGGAATCGGTAGTGTTGGTCATCTGTCTACCCAGGCCTTAGCCATGTCTCTGCCACGGGCATGACATCAAAACGAAGGAACTCGTCCGCACCAGCTACATAGAAATGATGTAGACGCGCAAAACATGGCAAGTATCCTATGGATGTTTGATTTATCTCGAGGGGTCGGGTTGAGGACACTGTGAAAATGATTTCACAGGTATAAATTGGCTGGCTTGCCTGGGGTGGCCAGGAGAAATGTGATGTAGTATGCCAGAAATGGCCCTTCAAAAGAGCAAACAGCATCAGCTCCTCACTCCGCCTCCTTGTTGTTGTTGCTGCTGTTGCTAGTGCTAAGGCCTGAACGACGCAAAACCACCTTTCACTTTGGGCACTGCTCTCATACTGCCCAGCTTGGTCTACTCAAGCTCGAAATCATCTGAAATAAGGAGACAGGCTCTACAAATCTCTCCGTACGCCTCTTCACGCCTCTTCGCGCCTTTGCTCAGAAGCTCCCAGGGTATATATGATGCGCAGCTGACAGGGGAAAAGAGGGAGGAAAACCCTAAAACCAGAACACCAGTAGATGTTATACAGCAGAGCCCACAGCCGGGTTCAAAGAGAAGACAGAAGAAAAGACGCCTGAACACCAGATCACGGGCTGAGAATGATGCGAGAGGACGCTGACGAAAAGCCTTCCAAGGAAATATGCCTGGTCTGATCTTACATGATCCCTAATTCAAGGCAGACAAAGGTGTCCTGTCTTCAATCTGTACCTGCCTGACCGCGTCAGGCTTGAGTCGAAAAAAATCCACCAACGTTTCCAGATCCGCGTCGCCGCCGATCCGGAGCGAAATGTTCAACTGCCTTCCCGGTTCTAGGCTTCTAGGAGGGCTGCTCCCTCTTCGACGTGGTATTAGCTCGATCGATGCTGCCATTGTGTCCCGGGCTCTGACCAGTACGTGAGATGGGCTGGGAAAGTTCTGGAGAGCCTCATCGTCGGACCTCGTATCTCTGATAATCTTTGGATATTCCGACATGAGATGTGCGTGCAGGTCTGTGGCGCAGAGCGGAGTGCGGGGAGATCCTTGCGAAGCATGCGTTTGAAGCTTCTCAGTCAACGCTTTGGTGAATGCGCAGCGAGGAATGGGACAGCGAACATAATCATCATATGTGTTGGAGGCCAAGACCTCCAGGATGCCGCGACTACTAGAGAGTTTGTCGCCAAAGTAGGGGCAGTCCATGATGATGAGCGTGTCGGTCGACGACTCTTCTAGGTCCGCTTGAATGGGTTTCCACCGAATCTCGGTGGCCTCGTTGGGTCTCGGCGAGCTATAAACGATATCGTCAGACCTTCGGAACGCTCTCTGATTCTGGTTGTGCAAAGAGATCCGAGATTCGGTAAAAAGATAACAAGAAAGAATCCTGACACCACTCACCTAGCAAGAACCATGTCCCGGTTTCTGTTCAAATATGCGTGCCCATTGTAATAGACTATCTTTAGCACATCCCGCTGATCATTGTGCCGAGCAAAGTTGCGGATCTGGTCTGAGAGCCATCGATACAAATGTGCTGGTGTAGCCGAGGATGGTATCGACTGAACAACACACGCGGAGTTGTACTGCTCGCTCAAGACCTGCTGCAGCCCGTCTACCACCGCTCTCAGTTCGCTGTGGCGGTCATCGGTCCAGAATAATAGCAATGCTTCCACAGCACTGTAGCGACCGCAATCCGGAATAGTATAGGTCCGTGGAGCTAGACCGGGCAGATCGGGCCTGGGTCTTTCAGGTGAGTTCAGAGAAGGCAGTGCTGCTTGGGGGCCCGTCAAGCGCGGACCTCTAGGCAAGGGCGTCCGTCCTTTTACTGTTGTCTGTTCCGAGCGCGGGCTTGGTGACTGTTCAAGATCCATTTCCATATCCTCGGAGTTGCGTTTCGGACGAGCATTCGTGGGATTCCAACCGCGAGGGCTCACTGGAACGGAATCCTGACGGTTTGGGCTGGTAGCGCCGTAACGACTCCTGAGATCGTCCCAGGTCAAGTTGTGATGGGACGGATCGCATGCTACTCTCCGCTTGTGGCAGGTGTCGCACGCACCGTGTTTCCGTATCAAGGCAGCCTTCACTCTCTGTTCTGGGTTCAGAGGTCCTGTCCGGCGCCTCTTCTGCCTATTTTGACTGGCATCGGACCCATCGTTGACGGAAAAGACGTTCTGGCTGGGGGTCGTCTTCGGAGAGGTGGCGAGGCTCTGCGAAGCTGCGGCCGTCTCGTTCGAGGGCGGCTGGCTTGCGTTCGTAACGGTAGTAGCGTTGGTTGATGTCGAGCATAGTGTATCTTTCCGCGACGAAGTTGACGGCGATCGACTTTGACGGGATTGCTCACGACCAGTGCCCTCGTCTGGGCTAAATCCATCAAAGAGACTGCTCCTGAGGCTCTGTTGAGGGCTCCGAGGCCCTGCGGGCAGAGCATGTATCCTGCGTTGGCCTGAGAGAGGATCATATGGCCGGGGACTGCCCTTAGGAGGTGCCTCGGACAGGCTTGGGGCCGGGTGCATAGTTCCAACCATAGTGCCGGCGCCGTTGTCGCCGGCTGTGGTGATCAAGCCGGCCGGCGCACTTCCCGCTCGGACAACAGTCGGGCTTTGGTTTGGGTGACCGCCGACATCAAGATCCAAATGTGCACCGAAACATCCACGCCCCTTCTTACTTCATCATAAGCCGATGGATGGTTATGCTCCTCTAACGGGTCGGCCCTAGCATAAGGTAAGCGTCCAGAAGACAAGTTTTTCTCTGCGAATGCTGAGCAGACTCCTCAGGTTTTGTGCTGTCTGTGTGTACGAGCCTCTAATCCTTCCGGGAGTATTGCTGTTATCGTCACTCGTGGCTTTGCTCTGACCCGAAGAATAGCAAAATGAGGATGTCCGACGGCGTCCCTGGAGATGAAGTCCGTGGTCCAAATATCCAAACAGTGTTACAATGTAGATTGCTGTTAATTTATTGAAGCCGGCACTCCATCTGGCCTCAAGGGCATGCGTTAAATGAGCGTGTCCAGTTGGCCGGTCGAAAGGCTGTGCTTTTTGTCCACACTTGGGGTACCTCGATGTTGACGAGAAGAATGTCCGTTTGATGATCTGTAAAGTTGTCGTCCAAGGCTGCTGGCAAATTTGATATGGTGGAATGCTAGAGATACAGAGAAGGACGAGAAAGAGAGACAAAGAAAAACACATGCAAGATTAGGATGGGGATTTGACAAGGTTAGGTGACGACGGGGGAAGGTGTGATTTGATATTCTGGGGGCATGACGGAAGAGGGCACAGGCTGGTCAGTCAAGAGGGGAGGTGGTCCGACCAAAGAAGAAGAGAAAGAAAGAAAGAAACCAGGACTGAGACCGTGCTCAGATGGGGGAATTGCACAGTAGAAGAATGAGCCAGGCCACGACTCGAGACCAACAATAAGGCGTAAGTAGTACCTTCTAACGACGAAAGCACTTTGGCTAGCGTCGTTAAGCACTCCATGTCCATGTACCAGGGGAAAGGGAATAACGAGGCGGAATGGGCCTTTGGGAAGATCAAGCTGGCACAAGACTGGTGGTCGCTTTCGACAAGATCAGACATCAAGCCGAGCCTTGGTGGGGGGGCCGTGACCAGTCGATGCGGTACGGGGGGGGGGGGGTTCAAACTCGTCAACCGCTGCGGTGGCTAGGCCGAGTGACGGTACCTAGATAGTTCGTACCTTGGATGCGGCTACCTGTGCCCCATTCTCAAGTCTGCTTCCTTTATGGTATCTGTGAGATGGACCCAAAACTTGAATGCTGTAACAGAGCGAAAGCTGGGGTGACACGAGGACAAACACATGCACGAGCGCATGGCCCTGGATGATGATTGTGTGTGTGTGCGAGTGCACTCTTGGGGCAGTTCAGGACTTGTGCCAGATAATGACAGGGAGGACAGGCAGCGGGTAGTAGTTCCAGGAACTGACAAGCCCAGTTGAAATTTGGTTTTCCCCTCCTTCTCCTCCACGGCAGACAGTGTGCACTATGGTACAGATCGGTCTGTTCCATACTGAGCTTTATCGACTGAGAGTTCATGTGTATGTGTGTGTGAGAGACCCCCGGGGGGGATGTATGCGTGTGTGTGCGCCAAATATGACCCTGGTCTTGCTGCCCGTGGAGAATCACTACTGCATCGTCGTCGAAGCGAGACGTTGGCGCGCAGCCGGAGCTTCTCGAACAGCCTAACAGCCTAACCTCTAGGTACCCAGTACAATGTCAGTATCACAAGCATCTCCTAACGGACAAAAGCCGTCCAGCCAGTCCTGAAGTTTCAGGCCATGCGTGGGAGGTGCGGACAATGCCGTCGAGGTGTCAAAAATCGCACACCAGCTAGAGTGAAACCTCCCTAGCCCGTCAGCCAGGCAATGGGGTTTGAAGAGGCTGCTCAAGACGATGGCCTCGGCTCTATGGCACTCGATGGAAGGAGTGAGGATGCGAAAAGCTTCAGGGCCTTGGCCTTCTGGCGTGGGCCAATTGCCTATATCACAGGCCTGATATAATTCAGGGTAGTCCTAGTCGGGCAAGGTAGATGGGCCAGGTGCCGAGCCGATCGAACCTTGACCTTGATCGTGGAATGAAGGTTCCATGTGCAGTGATGGGGTCCCTCTCAGTATGGGCGGTCCGTGCCCGTGTCGATCTGATCTTTGTTCCGAGAATGGTGGGGGCGTCGGCGAACAAGGTTGACAAGAGATCAGCAAGATTTGAGATGCTGTCTTTCAGAGCAAGATGCGGGATGATGCCGACCTGCTGATGAGCATGGCCATGGCCATGCCTATCTTTGATTTCCCGGCCGCATATGGCCAGTTGTTAAGCAGCCAGGTAGCTTGACAGAAAGCACACCACACACAGCAGCACAGGCGCATGACACGCCACGGCATGAAGTTAGACCGTCCAGAATGGCGCCCAAAGCACCTCGTGGTGGCCGATATGGAGTGACATACCTCGTGGTCCTAGTCAACTCCAAGAGAAAGGGGGGGGGGAGGGGGCCTAGGAGTGGTCGCACAGCGCGACAAGGCCCAAAATGGTTTCCAGATCTGTTGTACTGTGATACTGTACTGTACGGCGTTGCACATGCGACTTGGTACTGTAGTGTGCAGGAGTGAAGCAGAGACGTTGCATCTTGGGTTCCTGCCAGGAAGATGCTCCTGTCCATGTCTTGATCCCCACGCAGCACACTAGCCCCACGCCATACCGACCTCGAAAGAGCTTCAGCCCGCGGAATGATGATTGCTGTCCCCTGATGAGACAGGTTCGATCAGCTTTCAGTTGCCACTGAGAGAGAGATACACTCGATAAATGCTGGCCACTCGTATGTGCAGCCATAACCAGGACACCCCCCTTCCCCTCTTGGAACCCCATTCTGGCTGCTGATTTGTGACAGGAGTTCTGGCGGCCCAACGTGGAACCTGTCACCCCGTCGAGCAGCGAGACCGGTGCGGCGTCACAACTGAGATCTCGCCAAACGAGGGATGGTTACTGGTTGTGGTGGAGCAGTGGAGTCCACAGGTTGCAGGTGAGCTGCGATGCAAAGGTGTGAGGTTCGAAGCGCGGACTGTGCGTGGGGAGGAGTGCAACGGGCCTGAGCAAAAGCCAGCCCTTTTCTCCCAGCCATCATCATCAGACCTCGGATGTGCTCGTTGGATGTTGTGGGAGTGTGTAGTGGGTGAGTGGGGTTTCGTGATGTGATGCAGTTCTGCAAGTGTCCCTGTGCTGTGTGCTGTGCTACAGTTGCAGGTGCAGGTGCAGGTGCAGGTGCAGGGTGTAAGTCGTGCAGTGCAGTCAAGGGAGCATAGGAAGATACCTTGGAGGGCACGGTAGAAAGGCAGTGACATTCAGGTCCAGAACTAACTCGAGCCAAGCCAATCGTTGGTAATTTGTGGGTAAAAAAGACTAGTGTCGAACTCAACCCCTGTGGCCCTGTCTCTAGTAGGCTGTGAGCCCTGGATGAAGTACCATAGTACCGTGATTACTACGCTGTACTGTACCATAATATGTAGTGTGCATGCATGTAGTATGTACACGATACTCAGGTTCAACCGAGTCATCCAAGCGGTCGTTCTTTACCATCCCACCATTCCACCACATCACCACACCTTCCAGCCGGTGAACGGTACAAGGGTATTCTTTCTTGTACTGAAGTACTGTGTACACACATACATACCTTGACCGGAGCACCAACGCCCCCCCCCCCCTAAATCGATATGCCTCCTTTGATCGGCGCTCCCATCCTCCGTCCTCTCACCACGACAGCTTCCTCGATTTCTACAAGGTGCAACCCAAACAAGCACACACATCGACAAACCAACCCCGGTCTCGTGATTCCTGCCCGGATTTTCCGCAGTATACAACCATATTTATGTAGGTAAATTATTGACTGGTCCTGCTTGCGGAGAGGTGAAACCCGAGGAAAGCAAACGTGGTAGAAGAGTAGGAGGAAGGAGAGGAGAGGAGAGAAGAAGGAGAAGCGATCGAACTTTGTGGAAACCCGCAGTTTACCAGGTGATGGCCAGTGACAGCCCACTTTGGGCTTATCCGGAGTCATCTCCAACGGCTGCTCATCTTCCGTTTTGACACCGAATCTCCTCCCCAAAAAAGAAAGAAACAAATGCTGTCGCGATACTAACTATGTGCAGCCTTGCGTCCTCGATGACAAATGTCTGCAACCCGACTCGGCAGAATGACAACAAAAGATCCACTAGCTTCATCAGTATCATCATCGTCCTCATGTCCGGGCAGCTCACAGCACAACGTAAAGAAACATGACCTCCCACCTTCGCAAGACTTCCGACCCTCCAACATGGGGCAAACGTCAAACCAAACCGTTTTGGCTCGACACATCCCCACTGTAAATATGCATGTCGACGCTCTCGGTCAGCAGTGTATCATCCACACACACACACACACACACACACACACATATGTGGTACCTCTTCCCCTAGCACAGGCAAGCCGGCCGGAGTTTCTTACGACTCCCTCAAAAACCTCGAGAGCCGCCGTAGGCCAGCGCGCGGCGTGAGTGTCATGTCATGTCACCTCAGCCTCTCTGGCTGCGAAAGGGCCAATCTACTTGGCAACCCATTTGCCCTAGCCTGTCGCAAGCCCTGCTAGCCCATCACCATCCTCCCTCCGTGTCGTTGACGTGCAGGAAGAGGAGCACCCATGATGTATGTGCTGCGGCCTTTTTCAAAGGTCTAGGCTAGGTTATCAAGGCGCCGAAGACAGTCAAGAATACTTCAGATTCCGTCGGCATCCAGACCATTCTGGCTCGAGATATTCCACGTCGAGTCAGGCATTTTCGTCCTTGGCCTGGGCATCAGCTTGTGTATGGTGGCGCGGCCGAGGCCTCCCTCTACTATGACTCTTCACGACGCAATTCCATCAGTCACACAGCCCGATACAGATGGCAGCAGATGTTACCTCACCTCACCTGCCTCCCCCACCTGCCCAATCACGTCACAGAGGCCCTGGTTGGAGAGGAATGGACCTCGACGGCTACCCGCCTAAGATCCCAGGCCCGTAAATGCTACGTGCCCCAATATCCTTGCACACAGGATGCAGCTCGTGGCTGACTGTCGCTGTCACACAAGCAACACAACGGGAACGGGCCAAGCCGAACAGGACGAGACCGGTGCGGGTACAGACTCAGAAAAGAGGACGCGCGCACTTGCCCTGCAGCCCCAAAATAAAATAAAATGTTATGGCTCCCTCTGTCCTATCATCCCGAGTGGCATGCGTGCTGTCGTCCATGCCATCCAAGGAGAAAGCCTGTCTCATATTCCACGAGTCATCTTTGTCCAGCATGTCAAGTGCCACACCTCGAAATCCACTCAGCAGACGCAGCGGTACGTATAAGCATGTAGAGAGACCGCTCTACAACTATTGGGAATGATCACGCAGGAGGACCAGATGCAAAAAGCAGTCCCAGCCCCCTTCTTTACCCCCACACCTCGTTCTATGCTGTTTCATAGGCGTACTCTCCTGCAGTATGTGGGGAGTTCAGTCCCATGTGCACCTGCGTTGTTTCAACTCCGATGCACATTTACCTAAAACCCCGCCAGAGAGTGGACCGGTGATCGCATTACTGGCGCTGGAATGCGGACTATGATGGCCACGGCAGACACAGACGTCTAGTAGTCTGCACCAAGGTGCAGGACGCTCCACAGGACCGGTGTGAGACTTCATATGCCTTAGGCACCTATCATAAACCTGCTCCGGCAAGTGATAGCTGGAACCCTGACGCTAAGGGACTTTCGTATCATAATCATTCCTTCGTTGACATCTTGTGTGAAGGAGGGTTTGCTACTGTAAGACGGCCCGAAGCTTAACTTTGAATCTACCCGCGCGGTGCCTGTGCTAGTAGGACCGGCTTGGTTATTGGACTGTTCGGTCTCTAGATGGGGGGGGAGAGACGGATCCCAGAGCCTGGGCACCACTTGGCAGTGGTCGACGAGGTGCCGGCTCGCCATCCTCGGTCAGTGGTAACAGTACTGTATTTGCTCGACCATACCATCAGGAAAATAAACACTCGGTGGTGACAAGAACCATGGTGTTTCCGAAGGCACTTGGACACCGTCATTACTAGGATATAAGAGATAGAGATTTCGGTCAAAGACCGTTCGTTATCCTTGTTTTCTCCCAAGTGGTGGAGCATCTCCGCGGAATTCTCCATGTTCCGAGATCCTTCATACATACTTGGGTCGGCCCACTGTATTGCCCAAGCCTTGGGGACAACAGGGAAAAGACTTGAAAGGAAGCGTGAGTAGATCTCCCGAGATCTCAAACTTTTCTAGATCGTCTCTGACGTAACAAGTCGCTTGGAGGAGCTTGGGGAAAGTCTGAGCGTCCATATCTGGGTGTAAGGATGTGAACATACCCATATATATTTCAGAAGCACCAGAAAGATCAGATGTTTGAACTTGAGAGTTTACTAGCCAAAGGTTCCCTTACCCATCAAATAAAATATTGCGGATACTCCTCGATATTATTAGGACTTTGTTTCGTTCGCGCTCAGGCCAGCCTGATTCCCAATAGGCGGTTGTTCTTTGAGAGTATCTTGTTGTGGCCTGAATACATTCAACTTTAGATACACACATTTCAAAAGTAATTGTCTGAAACATTCGGGAAAGAATGCGGATGAAGTGACCACAAGGAAGTGAAGGCAAAGTCACTCTTTACAACACTTCACCTCCTTCAGGAAGTCGATTCTTTTTACTCTTTGGGCCTGTCCTAGTATACGACCGTTCACACCTTTAGACGTAGGCTGTGTGTTTCCAATCGGCACACTTTCTTCCTTCCGTGAACACCCCGTAATTACTTCCACAAGATTCCAGGCATCCTCAATTACCCGTCGCCACGGGGTGTCTTCAGCAATTGACAGTCAAACTTTGTAGAACCAGAAAGAAATTGCGCCTCAGATTCTGCTCTTCTTGAGCACACGGACACATAGCCATAGGGTGACGGAGATAACCAATTTACATTTTGTTGATGCTCATGTGCTCTCTGGGAGTGGCTTGGACTGATTTTGAGTGTCAATGTTGTATTCTGTACCTCCGAACGTTGGTCGACTTTATTTTCGAGGCCAAAATCTCTGAGATATTTGATATCTATGAATGAGGCAGAGAAAAGGGGAAAAAAGGACAGAATGATTACTGCATGGGAAAGTCATTAAATCCTTGCATCCAAGAGGTTTGGACTTGACACCATGCACAGCAGCAATAATAGCCGTCTTCTACTTGTGAGCCACCTGGACGTCCACTAGGGCGTGTAAAGGGTACCATGGTGCATGGCAAAACTTGCAATTCCGGTCTGGATTTCTGAATACAAGGTCGGGATCACAGTCAACGTTTCCACAAGAAAGATCAACCCCGAAGTCTTTACCTGTCATACACCAATGGAAGGCCAGAGTGACATCTAGTTAAATACTAAGTAGGGATAGCGGTCTGGATATTCGTCTGGACGAAGAGCTCTGTGACGCTGATCTGTCAAGTCTTACTACTTGGGTAGTGTAAACTTGTTCATGCCCCGATATTATAGGATGCATACATGAAAGTCTAGGACGTCTGAGGTCTAAGCATCTCGAGATTCTGTAGAACTTTATATGTTTTGGTTTCCATGTAGGGCTGGAATTACATATCAAACAAGGTAGGCTAGAAATACTTGCTCTTACTTTCTGGATAGGACTATGTTTTATAGCGAATTACATACAACGAGTATTGAGATTGTCGGGTGCGGAACAACTCTGCCCCAACCATGTGAAGAAGCACAAAGATTGTTGTTAGTAGTGTTTGGTGCTGTGGCTCGAGGAGCTGCTCATTTCCCCCCTAAGTTTCAGCGAGGAAGAATAGAGAAACATGGTCTATAATTATAGTCATGTATCGATATTTAGCCTCTGCCGGTATGAGAGGTCCTTTGTCGAGGCTTTTCTGCAATCGACTCCGTTGGAAAGAGTTGTTCCCATTGGCATGATGAGTTATGATTGACACTTTCCCATGGCTTGATGACATGCTTCTGTGGAGAAACGGCCAGCGGGCAGAAAGCCAACAGTCAGGATGTTCAATGATGTTATCCATGCAAACTCACTACTGAACGAAGCCAATAATATTATAATTCTTATATCTTTGATTTCCCTCACATTTTAATACTGTAGCCACAGGTCATGATCAATACAAGAAAGAAAGCAGTCGATGACGAAACAAGGTAGTAGTAAAGCCCGCCCCAATTCGTATGATGGGAAAGTGCATTGTTGGTGCAGGGGATCGTGACTGCCAGGGCTTAGTTATGTGTCGAGCAAGTAAATACTGCAGTGACAGCCCTCTCTCCAACTCCGCTCTTCCCCCTCCCCCCCCCCCCCCCCCCAAAAAAAAACCAAAAAAAAAAAACAAAAACATGCGACCCACCTCTCAGCTGTCATCCTCAACGCCACACAAGCCATGACTGGATGATTACATCCCAATTCAGCAGTAAAACCCACAACCCTCCTCCCTTTGCTCTTTTTCATCCAATGAAGATAATCATCATAGGCGCAGGCCTAGCCGGTCTGACAGCCGCGTACCGCCTCGCCCAATCCGACCACAAAGTCCAAGTCCTCGAGCGCCACAAGACACTAACCCCCCGAGGTGGGGAGATGAACGTCCGGCCCTCAGCGACCCGCATCATCCTGCAGTCATGGAAGGAGGGCGACAACATTCCCTCCTCCCTTGCCAAAGCCCTCTCCGCGGCCGCAACGCCCACCCCACATGCCCTCCTCCGCGACGCCACCACCGGCCGCGTGCGCATGCGTAACATTGCCGTGGACGCCAGCGACAGCCCGGATTGGGGCATCACGCGACAGGACGCGGTGCATGCACTGTACGAGGCTGCTATAAAAGCAGGGGCGGAGGTGCGGTTTGGAGTGGTGGTTTCGGGTGTTGAGGAGAAGGAGGAGGATGCTGCTGCTGCTGCTGCTGCTGCTGCTGCTGCTCCTGCTGCGACGCGTGGAGGGGCGGCGGCGGCGGTGGTGGTGAGGTTGGCTGCTGCTGAGACTGACGAGGGGCAGGACAAGAGGTTCGAGAAAGAGCTGACGGCGGACTTAGTGCTGGCTGCAGATGGGATTCGGTCTGCAACTAGGCGTGCTGTGCTGGCGGATCTAGGGTGTGAGACGGAGCCTGTCATCAGCCGGACCACGCTGTACGGTGTGCATGTCGACGACGCGGCGCTGGCGTTGCGGGCTGGTACGTCGCGACTGACAGACCAGGAGAATATCAATGTGTGGACAAAGGGGAGGAGTAGCAACAGCAGCAGTGGTGAGGGTGGCTTTGTAGTAACCCGCCACAACACAAAACGAAACTCGGTAGGCCTCCTCTTCGGCATCGACACTGCCGAGACCGACCAGCGCAGCCTGTGGGACGAACAAGGCGACATCGACCTCGTCCGCCACTCCTTCCGCGGCGCATGTACCGAGCTCGTCCAGGCCCTGGATGCGGCGACGTCGTGTGACAGGTGGCGGCTGGCCGAGCTGCCTGACCTCCCACGGTGGACGAGCAAGGGAGGGCGGGTGTTGCTTCTGGGGGACTCGGCGCACGCGATGCACCCGAATGCTGCGCAGGGGTTCTCTCTGATCATTGAGGATATTGCCGTGCTGGACTTCTTATTGCGGCTGCTTGGGGGCCGCGGGGCCGAACAAGACGACGGCGTCGTCTCACAGGTCGCGAGGTGGTGGCAGGAGATCAGGAGGCCGCGGGTCGAAAGGATCAAAGCGTATGCACGCTGGAACACGGCCATGTTCTCGGGCGGCTTGCCGATCCCTGAACAGGATGTCGAGAGGCGGGCTGTCAAGAGTCTTAGGGATGTTGTGCCCAATCGGGATGCCAGTTTCCACTCGTCTGCTTTCTTAAAGTGGGCTTTGGATTATGATGCGATTGCTGAGGTAAGAAGACCTATCTGTTGCCATTGAGATGTCGAAAGCCGGTGTGGTGTCTTATTAAACATGCAATGTGTATAGGCCAGAGATTATGTGAGAAAACCACAGGCGAGGTTGTAAGAGCGCGCAGAGAGCAGCGGAGGGAGGGATGGATATGCATAATACACAACAAGCAAAAGTGTCAGGCGAGTTGTTGAGGAGGCTGACGGTGATCTCGACCGCGTCATCTACTGGCAGCTGGTTCTCTTGGATAGTTTGATCAGGGCAGTATCTTGTGAGAATATATATCCAGGATATTTGAAGTCATCATCATTCTCATAACCAAGAGGCCTTTCATGATTCCTTTTACAACAAAACAATCATTACCTGCTGAGGGTCCTTTATCCATTAACTACAACACAACCACCGCACAGACAAACACAGCCAAGAGTGTGAAAACAGACGCCATTCTCACCCGCCCAGCTCCAGAAGTGCTCACTGGCGTGCTCGTCGTGCCACTTGAGCCACCAGTAGCCGTGGCCGCCGAGCCCGAGCCGCTGGAAGACCCAGACCCGGATCCGCTGCCCCAGCTCAGTGTCCAGCCCTCATTCCAGGTCCCGTTCGAGGTCAGGTCGCTCAGCCCGGTCACGCTGAGGAGCTGTGACCCGCTGTTGTAGGACCACCCGCTGCTGCTGATGGCCTGCCCGTTTAGTGTGACGTTGGTCACATCCGCTGAGACGCCCAGGACGGTGACGTTGCCCAGGGGGAGGGTGTCCTCGTAGCTTCCCGAGGGCGTGGCCGTGAGGGATGTACTCGTGGCAGATAGCTTTTTTGGAGGGAAAAAAAAAAAAAAAGGAAACAGTGTTAGTAGTTGACAATTTCGAACAAAGAAGGAGAAAGGCAAAAGGGAACTTACCGTGACCCATGTGGTAGCGTTGGGCGTCACGCTCTCGCCATCATCCAGATACAAGGTCCCGTTTGCGCTCCCCGTCAGGTCCAGCGCGACCAGCAGGCCCCAAGGGTTCTGCCTGCTCGCGCTCGTGGTCAAGCCAGGCGCCTGTGTGGGCACGACGTTGCCGCCACGGATGTACACGGGGATGTGGCCCAGGGGCGCCGCAATGGTGACGTTCTGGCCCCTGGCGACGCCGGTGACGGCGGTCTGGTTGTACCAGTCGTACCAGACGGTGGCGCCGTCTCCAGAGCCGGGAAAGACGCCGTCGACGGTGGAGGCGCCCTGCTCCAGGCACGGGGTGACGAGGAGGGCGGGGCCCAGCAGGAACTGCCTGTCGGCGGCGGCCAGCCAGGGCTCGGCGGGGAACTCCCAGGCCAGGGCGCGCATGACGGGGCTGCCCGTGTCGTGGGCGTGGGCGAAGGCGGTGTAGAGGTAGGGCAGCAGGCTGTAGCGGATGGCCATGGCGTCCTTGGTGGCGTCGATGACGGCGGCCCAGCGGTAGGGCTCCTGCGGGGCGGCGGAGAGGGTGTTGTGGTTGCGGTAGAAGGGGAAGAAGGCGCTGAGCTGCATCCACCGGCTGCACAGCTCCATGTCCGAGTTGCCGCTGAAGCCGCACGTGTCGACGCCGAACATGGGGATGCCGAAGAGCGAGAAGGCCAGCGCCTGCGGGATGGCGAAGAACATGTACGCCCAGAGGCTGTAGTTGTCGCCGCCCCAGTGGCCCGCCCACTTGCCTGTGCCGGCAAACGTCGACCGGCCGATGATGAAGGGCCGCTTCTCGGGGGACACGGCCAGCAGGGCCTGGTGCGTGGCGTTGAGGATCTGGTGCCCAAAGAGGTTGTGGAAGTCGTACTCTAGCATGCCGCCGTGGTGGGTGGCGTTGGGCGATACGGCGTGCACGGCGAGGTCGCCCTGGACGTTGTTGATCACATAAGGCGGGTAGTTGACGTTGCGGCTGCCCGGTGTAGGCGTCGTCCGCAGGTAGGAGGAGGAGGGCGAGGACGACGACGTTGATGTTGCTGCGGCAGAGGACTGTGATGCGCTGAGGGAGGACGCGGTGGCGGCCTCGGTGGCGTTGGTCAGGTTGAAGCCCTCTGGGTAGTCGTAGATGACATCTCCCGGCTCGCCAGGAAGCAGGAAGGGCGGGTGGACCGGGTTGAGCGAGACGTTGTTGCTGCCACAGCTGCCGACGCAGAAGGAGCTGACCTCGGACATGTCGATCCAGATGCCGTCCCACGAGACGTTCTGGTGCCAGCGCGACATCTCGTCCGTCCACCAGCTGAAGGCCCCTGTGCCGTTGGTGGTGCCCAGCGAGGCCGCCACCCAGTCTGGAAACACAGTGTAGCCGGGCCAGACGCTTCCAATGTACAGAGAGCCGTCTGGGTTGAGCATAAAGGCACCGGCATCGACGCCACGGTCAAAGATGGGATATGCGTCGCTCGCGTTCTCCGGATTCGGGTGGTAGATGGCAGAGTCCACGATGGGGATGTAGTGCTGGCCGTTGGCATGCAGCTTGGAGAGGAACTCGGCGCCCTCGGCGTAGCCAAACCGTATGGCGTCGTTGTCAAAGTCCCTGTACTGGTTCATGTAGTCGATATCCGTCCAGATGGTCTCGAGGGGGATGTTGAATCTGGCAAAGTTGTCGACCACGTCCTGCAGGACGGACCAGTTCTGGTAGCCCCAGCGGCACTGGTGGAAGCCAAAGGTCCAGTACTGCTGCATGGCAGGCAGGCCCACGGTGCTGGTCTGGTAGTCCTGGACGACAGCCGTTGCTGACGGGCCCGAGTAGAAGTAGAGGTCGATGCTGCCGCCCAGGGTGCGCCACGTGATGCCCTCAGGACGGAGCAGGATCTCCTGGGGGTGTGCGTTCCGCAGAAACACGCCGTGGGTGTAGGGCGTGTACTGAGCAGAGGTGTCGGTGGCGTTGGCCACGTAGGCGAGGCTGCCGTTCTCGCCCTGGGAGAAATACCTGGTGTCGAGATAGATGGGATGCGAGCCATAGATGTTGTAGTCGATGGTGTCACCAGAATCAGCGGCATACAGGGTCCCTTTTGTCATAGGTGTCAGCTCGTGATCCCCCCTTTCAGATTGGCCAGCTAGCCAGCTGCTTCAGCGAGCCAGATAGATATAAATCTTAAGTATTACTCACTCGTAAGGTTATTCCCAAGCCTGAAGCCGTGGATGGTCTCTCCCAGGCCGTACAGGTTATAGTTCTCCGGGAGGGGCGAGACAAACTCGACAAACTGGTCCTCGTAGACAAGCTTGCTGCCGTTGGTGGTGAAGAGGGTATCCCCAGTAGACTTTCTGGTCACGGTAAAGGCAAAGGTAGGGTCATTGGTCCAGGACAGCTCAAAATCGCTGTTGCTGGAACTCGCGCCGCCGCTTGAGGTTGGCTTGGGTACAATGGCCTCTGGGAGGAGGAACCAGGTCTCATTGTCAGAGCCAATAAAGCGAGGCTGGATGGCAACGTTGAGGCGGCCTGTGTCCTGGTGCTCGACGGTCAAGGTCAGGTTGGCAACATCGTTTCCATAGACGCTGCAGGCAGCTCCGGCCAGGTCCAGGTCGGCGGTCAGGCCCGTGTCCGAAGTCTGCACATTGGAGGCTGTGTATCCTGGACACACGGTCTGCACATCGACAGCCTCGGGGTCATTGATGTTTGGCAGCAGCGTCTGGCCGTCATCTGAGTCAAAGGGGACAGTGAAGATGGCCCTATAGCTTGTGGTTGTCTCCGTGGACCCGGTGGTGAGGGTGGAGGAGGACTGGGCTAGCACCATGGGACACAGGCCCCATAGGGCCAGACGGGTGAGTGCATATGCCATCACGATGCCGCTCACATATGGTGTGAGCTTCGAGGACAAGGTGCGTTTTGGGTTGGGGGAGGGGAGAAGACGGAGGAGGAGGCAGAGGCAGAGGCAGAGACAGAAAAGAAGGAGGAGATCGAGGACAGCCAAGGGGTCGAGGGGATTAAATACTGAAAGCAAAGATGGCCCTAGACGATCCTCGGCCCACGACACGGCGCCCAGAAAGAAGGAGGAGGAAGAAGAGGAGGAGGAGGAGGAGGAGGAGGAGGCCATGACGATCATGAGACCTCGTCTTCAATAGGCAAAGGTTATCGTAGCAGGAGGGGTTTGTGGCGTCGTATGTCGTCGGCCAGCCAGAGGTAGCCTATACACCAGTGACCTCACCCCCAGCCTCAAAAGTGTCGGCCCAACAAAACAAGCCATGCACTGGGCTGTGTGTTTGTTGACGGGCCGATTCTTCTGCAGGACGAGCGGGCTTCTAGCAAGGGCTCGTGCAGGGAACTATAATAGATCTTGCTTTCTCTTTTCTTCCCCGCGATCTGGAAGTGGTTGGGTTCGAGCGAGCACAAGGCCGACCATCAAGGGTTCCCCAAGGAGGGGGGCTCCCAAAAGAGGGCAGCCAAGGCCAAACCATAGGCACCAAAAGTATGGAGACGCAACGGTTAGGTACCGAAAAATCCTAGCGACGAACCCTTTTTAGTAGTATAGACGTGGAGTTTACCCCAACTTGCTCCCAAGCTTAAAGGAACAAATATCGGGGAAAGGACCTGGTGAAGTAAACAGGCTTTAACGCCTTGGAGTTTAGGTCCAGGTTCCCCCGCAAATCTTGTCTCTGTGCTGGTCCACAATGCTGCCACAATGCTGCCGACATGGTCTGTGTGTGACTCTATTTTCTTTTTCTTTAACCTAAACTCTCTCCTCTTTGCCTTCTTGGCTTTTCTCTTTGTCACTCGTGCTGATCATTGTTCGCTTTATTCTCGCTCATATGGTCGGTGGAATATCGTTGTCCAAGGCACACTCCCTTGCCTCCTCTTCGAGAGGTTAGGTATTCGTGACGAACCCGATTGACGTGTACTTCCTGTCCTCGCAAGTATATGTTACTCGCAGCTCATGTACCGTGGTAATAGTGTCACCATAGTGAGTGTACATACTGACACGTGGGACTCTAGGTTGTGTTACCATGCTGTGTACATCTTTCTTTTGGATGAATATACTTGTTGTGGGAGTTTCTCGGCGATTTGCACTATATTTCCAACCACATGAAAAGAAAAGCAGGAAGACTGTGATTGTCACGCCTGGCACTGAGTCTTGGCTGGCTGACAAGCTCCTGTGTAGCGGACCCATAGCCTCTCAAGTTCCATGCGCACGTTGCTTCGTCAATGCCCTCAGAATGGGAATCAGACGAGGAGTCGGTCGATCAATCAAGTTGCGTAATTCATCTCGTTGGAATGAGTGAGTTGAGCCCATCACCCTGTGGACTCAAATATTGTGCGAGGGCCAATTGAAAGTGGCACAACTCATTTACGTCCTCTACTAGGATACGTAATAGTAAGGTGAAGCGAGGTCAAGTGATCTGGCTGAGATGTGCAACAGCACGCTCATCCCTCTCATGCTATGCTTCGTGTTTAGGCGTACGGACAAGTTGAGGCTGCCGAGTAGACGACTTGGCTCCTCGGATGAAACCCCTTCCCTGATATGAGAAAAAAAGAATCATAGTGACATAAGTAAAAGAGGAAGAGAATATGTAAATGCAGGGAACAGATCAAGAATGAATAATAAAAAAAAAGAATGAAAAAAAGAAGAAAAAAAAGAAAAGAAAGAAAGATGAAGGCTGCCAGAAAAGCAAGTAGAGTAGAGCGCCAACCTGTAAATTGGATTGCCTAGCAAAGACCGATTCGTACGGCAAGATTTACATGCTTAGGAAATGATGCGAAGGAAAGAAGAGAAGAAGAAAGGAAACATGACAAACACTGCATTAAATTATTTCCAGTGATACTTAAGACTGGCATGCCATAACCAGTGCCAACCTCATCAAAACCCGAACGTAAGCCATCGTCACCGCGCAGGGAATTTTTACGCCTCTAGCCGCGCACCTCGTCCACGTCTCGCTGACCCACCACATATTCTTATTAATCATACAAACATCTCGATGATATATGGCCTTGCATAGGGAAATGCGAACCATCCCATCCGGATAAAATACTCCGGGGATTGTTTCTCTTACTAAACACGTCATCTGACAACAATGGAGTGGGTTGGTTCATATTTCCTTATGGTACAGGTAAAAGACCGTGGGGGGATAAGAAGAGAAGGAGGGAGAAAAGCATTGCGAGATTGATAAGATTGCAGGAAAGGCGGGGCATTCCCGCGCCGTGCTTATGTCTGGTGTCAACGTATGGGAGACCCGCCCAGCAGGGGCCAGGAACTCCCCCATTGGCGGGCCGAGGGAGGATATCTCTGTTTATGTGTGAGAGAGCGTGTATGTGTTTGAAGGAGTGGATGAGGTGGTGACATCCCTTGATTATTATCTATATATCATCTCTTGACATCTCATCTCCGCCCTCGGAAGAAAAGAAAAAAAAAAAAGAAGACCAACCTCAGGCTCTTATTTCTCAAAAAACTTTTCTATCATCATGGCATCATTAGTTTAGATTCTCTCCCTCAGTTCATTCTCTTACTCCTTCTTCTCCCATCAGCCATGTCTGAGACCACCCTCCGCGAGTCCATCGACGGGGGCACCGAGGCCACGCCGCTGCTGGGCGCCGGACCAGCAGGAGGCCGTCCTCGCCCCCCGTCACGATCCGCCACCGCCATCGGCCGGGCCGAGGAGGAGGCCCGGGCTGCTCGTACAGACAGGATCATCAGGAACATGCTCCTGCTGGGCAACCTGATGGCCTCTGCCTCGGGCGGGTTCCTCAATCTTCCCGTCGCGCGTCTGACCGAGGACGTCCTGTGCCACGCCTACTACGAGGAGCGTCGGTCGTCGTTGCTGGCGGCGACGGTGTATGCGCCCATTGACGAGGGCCAGTGCAAGCTGGAGCCGATCCAGAGCAAGCTGGTCCAGATCATTGCCGTCTCGAGCGCGCTGACGGCGGCCGCGGGGTTTTTGAATGCATACCCGTGGAGCTCGGCGGCTGACAGGTGCGTGCTTACTTGACTTTTTTTTCTTTTTCTTTCTATCCCACCTCTTGTCGTTGAATCATGATGATGATTGCTGACCTGGATCTTCAGGCTTGGTCGGAAATTTGTTCTCTCCCTCTCCCTGGCCGGAATCATGCTGGGCAGCCTGTGGACCCTCATCGTCCTCGCGTTCGGTGGTGCTATTCCCATTCGTCTGGTCTGGCTGGAGTGCCTTGGTGCCTTTATCGGTGGTGGGAATCCGGTTGCTGTGGCCATGTTGTTGGCTATGCTGGCTGATGCCTCGAGTGAGGAAGAGAGGTACGTTTTTTTCTTTCTTTTTCTTTCTTCTCTTCTCCACCTCTACAAGCAGGATGAGACGTGGAACAGCAGTGAGTACGTCTATTATAGAGAGACTGACTGACTTTCCTTGGATAGGGCCGTGGTGTTCTTGAAACAAAACATGGTCACCGTCTGCGGCAATCTCGTGGCCCCGACCTTGTCCTCCTTCATGATGTCCAGGCTGGGGCCCTGGCCACCTTACATCACAGGCATAGCTCTGATCGGCTCCTCGGCCCTCCTCGTCCTCTTCATCCCCGATGCAAAACACCCACCCTCGACAACCTCCTTCTCCTCCTCCGCCACCACGGAGCAGAACAGCAGCGACGATGATGATGACGACGACAACGATGCCGACGAGGACTCATCTATTCGAAAACAGCCCAAATCCTCCTTCTCGTACTCCTCCCTCCGCCACCGCCTCCGCACCTCCCTCTCCATCTTCACCTCCCCGCCCTCCCTAGTCCTCCTCCTCCTCACCTGCGCCGCCGACCTCCCCGTCCTGTCCTCCACCACCTCCTTCATGGCCCTCTTCATCTCCAAGCGCTTCGGCCTCCGCCTCTTCCAAGGAGGCTACGTGCAGACCGCCTTCGGCCTCGCCTCCATGGCCCAATCCCTCGTCCTCCTCCCCTGGCTCTGCCGGTTCCTCATGCGCAACAACCCTGCCGCCACCACCACCACCCCCCGTTCCTCCTCTTTCTTCCGCCCAGCAGACGAGCAGCACCGCGACGCCGCCCTCGCCCGCCTAGGCGCCACCATCACCGTCCTCGCCGCCCTGGTCATGGGCGCCGCCCCGACCCTGGCCCTCTTCATCGTGGGCCTGGCCCTCCTCGCCCTGGGCATGGCCTACGCCAGCCTCGCCAAGAGCCTGATGAGCTTCTACGTCGCCCCCGCCCACCGCTCGCGCGTCTTTGGCGTCGTCGGCATGGTGCAGATCCTGGGCGGCGTCTATGCGCAGCCCATGCTGGCCGGCTTGTTCTCCATCGGCATGAGGCTGGGCGGGGGCTGGGTCGGGTTGCCGTATTTCGGCCTGGCCGGCTTGGTCTGTCTTGTTTTGGGCTTCTTGTTGTTGGTGAGGGTGCCGAAGAGGCCTGTGGGGTTGGACACGTCTTCGTCGTCTTCTTCGTCCTTATCTGCTGATGAGACTGGCGAAGGAAGAGCGGCAGAGTAGGAATAGGGCCAAGAGAGGGGGGGGGGGGGTGGAGTGGGGTTGATTGCCGTTGTTGGCAGAGCATGCCTTGGCTTTCATATTTTTGTTCTTCTATTACATAAAGTTTATTTGCTTGGGTGATTGCTGGAATGGAGGGACATCATGAACAAGAAGAAGATGGCAGCCAGGACATGGAGGCTCTCTCTCTCTCTCTCTCTCTCTCTCTCTCTCTCTCTCCCTCTCTCTCTCACTCACACACACACACACATCTACTTTTGCATATGCAGTATACGATAAAGTGGCATAGAAATCCACAATAGAGCTGAAATAGAAATCAACACACGAGGGAGGAGAAGGTTGTATGATCGAGATACTACAATTTGTCACACTTGTTCTCTGTCTTCTTCTTTCAGCCCTCTATTTGTCTTTCTTTAGTCCTCCACACCCTTATACATCCACTTCTCCGGATCCAAAACAACCTCCACATCCACCTCTCCCATCACGCCCACCGCAACCACAAGATCATGAAACCCCTGCACGCCCTCCGGCTCCCGATCCCTCTGTGCGTCTCGAGGCCCATTGACATCCCACCTCCCCTCCACCCTTCCATTCCTCGTCATGAAGCACTCCACCTCGATACCTCCTCCTCCTCCTCCTGCAGCACCAGCAGACGAAAACCGCATCCCCAACCCCACAACCCCCTTCCCCCCAAACGGCTGCACAAAGTCATCCCCGCCCCAGAGATCATTCACATACCGATGCCCATCATCGCTGTGCACCCCAAGCGACCCCCTATGCCACCCCGGCATCCGGAACGGAGGATAAGGCAGCGCCACAAACCCCAACCCCAGCGCTGCGTCTGCGCCCAGGTCCCGCCGCACCACCACCTCCCAGTACACCGTCCTCGCCCGTCCCGTCACCCGCGGGTCGTCGCGCCGAGCTACGTAGACGGGGGGCTGGGCGGTGATGCAGCTGTCGCCGCAGCGCCTGTCGGTCCTGACAGCCCAGAGCAGACCACCACCCGTGGTGGTGTTGTGGTGACTGTGGTGGGCGGCGTGTTCCTTCTCCTTCCCTGGCCTACTACTACCCTGCGAGGTGATGGACCCGCTAAAGGTATGAGCCGCCGGCCTGACCAGCCTGGGAGCGGCCGACAGAGCCGGGTGCCGAGGGTCCGGCGTGGGAGGGAGCAGCGTGTATCGTCGGCACCACTTCTCGCCCTCCTCCGCCTGTGTCTCGGTCGCGTTGGTGGCCCAGCTGCGGTCGTGTCCGCCGAACAGCGCTGGGGGTGGTGGGTAGCTGGAGGTGTCGTCCTCGGGGAGGGGCACGGACTGCCAGTCGTACTGCTGCTGCTGCTCCTGCTGCTGCTGCTGCTCCTGTTGATGGTAACCTGGAGGAGGTCCAGGAGGAGGGGCATAGTCACCTGAACCTTTTGTGCTGGTGGTGTGAGAGGGTGGTGGCCCTGGAGGGGGTCCTATGTCATCGTCGTCATTGTTGTCTGCGTTGGACGCGGCGTGGCGGAAAGGATTGTTGGATTTAAATAACCCCATCTTGGGCGGCTGCTTCTTCTGAATGCCCTGTTCGCAACCTCGAGCATTGGCTTGTGTCCCAGGGTAAATGCTGTTGAGAAGATGTAGATTTCTAAAAGCCGAAAGTAAGATGAGGGAGGGAGGGAGAGGGAAAGGGCGAGAGAGGGCAGTGCTCTTGTGCTAACCCAACCCAACGTCGGCCGCCAAGCCATTCGTCTCACACACGCCAATACACACTACCAATCACGCCCCAGCTGGTCGTCAGTCTGCGAGCTGTCGTCATCCGATCCCATTCACTAGGTTGATCGAGATCTCAAGCAGTCAATTATGGGTGACTTCTCTTCTTGGAAATGTCACGATAAAATACATATCCTGTCTCAGGGGGAAAGGAGAGGGCGGCCTCATGTGAGATGGTCCACATATACTCTCTTATAGTCTCTCCCCAAAGAGTGACTGATCACTCAGGGATTTGTGTCGCGGGTTATTACACAGCATGACAAGAAGCAGCAGTTTCAGGGTCCAAGAATCAAATAAAACAAATAACGAGTGACTTTAGTTAGGTGATTCCTTGAGAGTAAAAAGGAGCGCCCTCGGCCATCTATGCATGCTGTCAATCTGTGAGGCCTTTGACCAGGTGCGCCTTTAGATATAATCTGACCCAAAACCACATTCCCCCATCCCAGATGAGTTGGGCATCTGTTCAGATCCTCGAATGAAAACAAGAACAAAACAGTCATGAAAGAAGTAGAGAATACAATCTGTAGATCACGCGCACGCGCGCAAGCAGCGTATCCATGCGAAGAACCAAGAACCCTCTTCACATCATTCCTGGAACTCGCTCACCAACCTCCCACAGACAAATCTCCCAGACCTCCTCGTCATCGTCGTCATCATCATCAATTTCCCTCTTCCCAAGAGGGTGGTGCATAAGAAAAAGAATTCCAGTGCTCGCGCGCACATTGCTGTCTTCATGACAGTCTCCCGTTACATGTCTTCGCACTTGCTCCTCCTCCTCCTCCTCTTTCAACTAGAACAAAAGCCACCAATGGACTTAGCCCCAGATGCTTGTTTGCGCCTCTCTAGGGTAGAAGAAGGCGACCAGTCCGATAATTACATAAGTGGCACACAAGAGTGCGCCCTCTAGGTAATTACTGCGACCGTCGAGGACGAGGAAGTTGGCGATAAAGGCCGACACGAACAGGCACACCGTCTCGAACAGCGTAAAGAACAGGGTCATCTCCCTGCCCATGCACCAGCCGATAATCACCACCAGCGGCGTCATGAACAGGGCGATCTGGATGGAGCTTCCGACGGCCACACCAATAGCCAGGTCCATCTTGTTCTTCATGGCAACTGTAATGGCCGTGACGTGCTCGGCCGCGTTGCCCACGATCGGCAGGATGATCAGCCCGATGAAGAGCTCGCTGATGGAGCTTGTCGCCACCAGCCCGTTGATCGAGTCCACCATGAATTCGGCACAGACAGCGACCAGACCCGTGCTAACGAGTAGCAACAAGATGGCGCTGACACGCGAGAGGTCGTCTGCAAAGGGATCTTCCGGCTTTGCTGTGCCTGTGGCGGTTGCGATGGCCTGGGCAGAGATCTGCGAGGGCAGCATGGCGCCCGGTGCGCGGATCTGCTGCTCATTCAGGCGACCAGGGAGGGAGTTGGTGCGTCGGATCCCGTAGCGCACGCGAGGGACTGGGCCAGTGGGCACAGCCGGCATCACGGTTGTGTTGGGCGGTTGGGCAAAGACCGTCGGCGTCAGATTCCTGGCAACGGGCTTGAGGGCCAAAAGCGCATCAAAGGGCCTCTTGGTTGTCAGGCCCTCTCCAGACGGTCTCGCAACATGATCCTGCCCTGCGTTACCGACGGCGAAGTCCACACGCCGGGGTTCGCCGGGGTTAACAGACTTCTTCTCGGCAGTCTCTGGAACCTCAGCGATAGTCTCCTCCGTCGGGCTGTTCGCGCCGTGAGAGTGCGAGTGAAGCTTCCTGAGTTGTTTCTTGGAACGTTTATAAGACCGCTTATACTTTCTCCTCCGGCGTCTGTGCCGTTCGTCATCGGTCGAAGAGTCGGCGTCATCATACGAGTTAGTCCGCATAGCAGTAAGGGATAGACCACGTGTGGGCTGCTCAGTAGGTGGGCCGTCCTCCGTCATGGGGCTCGCGTCGGACCCAGGCGACAGCCTGCTTCGGAGTGGGCCCGTGTCCATGGTGTCCACAGATGCCATGCTCGACTTGCGCCGGCGCGGATGACGAACCATGCGCTTCATCCTCTTGGACATGGTTTCTCTAGAACGGCCAGAAGAGTCCGAGTCTGAAGACGATGAAGAGCTATCGTCACTGCTGGAGGAGTCGAACCATGCGACGGCCGGGCCAGGGGTCGCCTCTGCGTCGATGACCTCCTGCGGCGTGGATTCGTACATGTACGCATGTGACTTGAGCTGGAAGACCAGGTAGATCACGTAGACCAAGAGAAGAACCTGTTGAGCATGTGAGAAGAAGCACGAAGGATCAAAAGAGTTGCGGGCAGCCCTCAATAGGGACGTACGATACTAGTTCCGCGGCTAATCTTGAGAGACTGTGCGTCTGCCAACGTGGTGTCATTGAACGAGGCGTGGAACGCTGTCTATAGGCGCTATTAGCATACGCACAGCGCATAGAGACGTGTAGTAGCGTGTGTGTGAGACATACCGGCAAGACAAGGCTAATAACACTCAGACTTAATAAACAAGCGCTCATCTGAGTGACTGTGCTGTTATAAATCTGTCGATGCGGTCAGCACTTCCCGTGGTTCGCTATGGCCCTGAACGAAGGCAATTTCCTTACCTGCTCGCGGAAGCGAAGACCTCCAAGGAGGAAGCACATTCCAAGAATAAGCAGCAGGTTGGCCAGAATAGATCCCAAGAGGGATGCTTGAACAATACTGATTTCATTCTAGAGAATCTTGTTAGTTTCTTTCTGAAAGACCTAGAAACAATCGACAAGAAGGCTATCATACCTTGACAAGCGCAATACTGTAGCGTTGTAAGAACAAGTTGTTAGTGAGCAAAAAGGTGTGTGGTCAAGGTAAGAGGCACTGATGGGCTCGCAACGCTGCAGGGAGAGCAGACGATACTCATAGGGGTGGATCTAGGGCCCCGGGACGCGATTGATCTGAGGATGACCCGAAGGCTTGTCTCTCTGTCTTTCTTGTCATGGTTTACTCTAGTAAGGCACACATACATGCTATTGGACTTGTCAGCAATGCTGTCTATAAAGAGAATCAAACCTTCGTGAGATGAAGAAATTCAAAAAGAAGAAAGACGAAGGGCCAGAGCCAGTCAGCCACCAGGTCGGGATAGCCCTTGGGGAGTCCCACTTATGAGACTTGCTTTACCCCAGCCCGGCTGACCCGGCCCTGGCATGAACGCCATGTGCTCGTAACGTACAAGATGATAAGTTCCACAGCATTGCCGAAGGTGATATTGAGCAGAGCGCCAATGGCGTCGCCCATCCTATGTGCCACTGTTTCGGTCGCGTGGCTCAGGAGGCCAGCGAGCGGGATGATGGCGATGGCATTCATGGCAAAGATCACAGCTGGGCTCACGTTGGGGACGAACTGGACGGCGATGCCGACGGGCACGAAGACGAGCAAGACGTTGAGCCAACTGTGGAAGAGGATCTTTCTGCAGGTGGCGAGAAACCTCCTGAGAAGGCTGGGCTGCTTGACCTCGCTCTGTCCATCCTCTTGGTCTTCTTGGGCCTTTTCGGTAGTGGTGGTGGAGGTGGTAGCGGTCTCGGGGGTGGTGGCATCCACCCCTAGCTGAGACCCCTTCCTCGAAGCTTGCGGAGATGGAGAGGGCTGCGGGCCTCCTTCAGGACCGTTATGCGGTCCTGAATTCTGATGGAGGTTTCTGCCGCTTCCAAGTCCGCCGCCCTCCTCAACTCCAGCGGGCAGCACGCCATCGGCGCCCGAGGGGAGGAGGATGGGGCCGCCATTGTTACTGGTAGAACTGGTCGCGATCCGCGCGAGGGTGGTGGAGGCCTGCGAGGACGAGTGCGAGATGGTTCGATCGTTGCTTACGGGGAGCAGAGAGGGATCAGGGTGGTGGTGGCCAGGTCGTCTCGCCGTGCTACGGTTGCCGCCATGAACTTTGGAGCTTGCCCAAGAACGAAGGCGATCTATATACGGTCCGTCAGGTGAAGTTTCCTTCATCGAAGTCAGGTTGGGCCAGCAAGAGCAGCAGAGGCGAGAACTGGACACGACAATAGCGTGTGTTGGTTGTTTTTGGGGGTAGATGGGTGGTGAGGGTGGTGGCGACGATGGCGATGTGGTGGAATTGTTGATTTTGCGGAGAGGCAAAACAAATAAAGTGATGAGGGAGCAGAAAGAAAGAGAGAGAGAGAGAGAGAAAGAGAAAGAAGAGAAGACGAGAGGGAGACGGAGGCCGTTGGGAGTAGCTTGGTATGGGAAAGTAAGGTGGGTGAGGTTCCCAGTCACCAAAAGCAAGTGATGACCTGCTCCTGCCACCCCCAAGCACAGCAAGCACCCGCGATTGACCCGTTACAAGCCAGCCAAGCCACTATCAACCGCCTGGAAAGGGTAAGGATGCGGGGGTCAACCTTCCACAATAGCTACTTGTGGTACGTACTGCGGTGCGTAGTGCAGTGCAGTACAGCAGCCCTGCACCCGCCAGAGGTGGAACCCTCCAAGCCCCTGTCGCTTGTTCACTTGACCGCTGTGACAAGTTCCGTAAAATGGCCCTTCACAGGAGAGGGCGACCCTGGTCAGTGAATCACAACGAAGCCCGTGCACATCTTGTGTCTTCCAGCCCAGAATACAACTTTGCACCCATCAAGTTGTGCTGACGAGAACATTGACTGAATTGGAGGTGATGGAAAGAAGAAGGGAAAAAGCGCAGCCAGATACGTAGCAAGAACCGGCCAATACCATTACAGTGCTCGCTATCGCTCTTGGTGTCTCCTTGGCAGCTTTGTTCAACGAGGCCATCGACACAGTTTGTGTGCTAGCAGGGTCATTGATAAGCGTGGTCCCGGCTTCCATGACGAACATGATAAAGTACCAGGCATGTTAAGGTGAGACAAGACAGACAAGAACTTGTACTATGGTGCAAGATTGCGATTTGTTGGGTGGGATGGGACGAAAACTCTCCTCCCTTCTAAAAAGATGGGCGTCCGAGACAATTTGTGACAAGTGGCACCTGTCACATCATTCAAAATGCAGCCTCTCCTCCACTGTGTGTCTTTGGACCGCGTGTATCCTTGCCAGGTACCTCTCGCCTCGTTTTCTCTCCTCTTTTCCCCATGTTTGTACAAATATTGTTTGATCGAGCGCAGGGCTGGGCGACAGCACTGGCTGCTAGCTCATAAGCAGCGGCGGGCCCGCCGTGCAAACTGTATGGCTGGTGTGGATATGCAAGCACACGGTGAGGTTACATCCCGGCACCGAATGGACGGAAGACACGCACACCGGTCAGGCACAGACATACGTCCTTATCACAGACCCACACACCCGTCTCGGCTCCATCGGAACAGCGTTTGGGAGGGGGGCCAGATCGTGCGTCCATCCCGGACGTTGCTCCGTTTGTTGGCCTCTCGGGACCGGTGTAGCTCATGTATTATACGGGGAATTCACATTACGATGCAGACAGGTTGAATCATTGTAACAGGATCCAGCAAGAGGCAAAGAAGGGCAAAAGTGAGCAAAAGTGAGGGGGGGGGGGGGGAAAGGAGGATGATAGCACGCAAAGAGATACTCATTGTAGAGTCAAAAGATAAGAGTGAATGGCCACCGACCGTGGCGCATGTCTTCATTTCCTCATCTAAGCCTTCCTCAACCGTTTGGAACGTCTCGTAGGTGGTGGTGCCTCTTCCTCATCTTTCTCCTCTACCAAGGGAGCACCTCCAGCCTCTTCTTTATCATCATCTGCGACTTCTGAGTCGGAGTCGTCGGAAATCTCAGGTGCGCTGTCGCTCCCAAAGCCCTCGAACGTCTCATCCACCCCAGCTGCGGCAGCTTCTTCTTCTGAGCTGCCCACGTCTTCCTCAGCGCCCTCCCCTGAATCATCCTCGTCGTCATCCTCTTTGTTCTGCTCCTCCTCTGCGACATCCTCCTCGACGACCCTCTTTCTCTTCTTGTGAGCCTCCGCGGCACCATCTTCGCCCTCGGTACCGTCGCTCTCAACAGGTGGTGGTATAAACCAGGGTATCTTTCCGCGCATGAAATCGTTCAAAACCATCTTCGCAACGCCGTCGACGTCAGGCTCGCCACCTTTCAGCAGCCGGCCTCCCTTTCTTGCAAGCGTCTCCAAGAACAGAATGTGGTCGTCATTCCAATCGCTGATGTTGTAGGTCCGCGCCATATGATGCTTCTTCACTCGGTTCAGTACCGCAGGTATGTACTGTTCTGGGTGCTCCACGTTCTCAACGCGCACCACGCCGCGCAGCAGCAACTCTTTGGGTGCGTCGTGATGGTTCTGCGGAACGATACCAGGGCAGTCGATCAGGTAGATCCTCTTCATCAGTGTCACATACTGCCACACCTTTGTCTCTCCCGGGATCGGAGCCGTTGTCGCAACCTTCTTGCCTCGAAGGGTGTTGATGATTGACGACTTTCCGGTGTTTGGGTACCCAATCAAGCCCACTGATACTTGTTTCCTATCGGCATGGAGTTTCGAGAACTGCCGGAGCAGGTTGATCAGAGATCCTTTGCCGAATGGGTTGTTAATGGACGCGCGGAACGCCGCTGTGGGATAGTCCTTTTGCAGATATTTCACCCATTGAGCCTAGCAAGTCGTTAGCCTTGGGAACAGTATAGCTGGACGAAATGCAGAGTTGAGAAGCCACTGGGCTCGGGATATGTATGTCCTCTTTACTAAGAAATCCACGGGAATGTGTTCGGATGAACGAGGCAGACTTCAACTCAAATGGAGACAAATTCACTCCCGCGACGTTCAGCCAAAACGGAGACCGTCTGTCCTCCCTGGCCGGAGCCAAGGGATTCTGGGAGATGAAAGTCACTCTCCCCAAGTTATAACAGACAGATTCCATCAGACACCGAGGCGCCGGAAAATTTCCTGACTAGAACTTGGGGGATGGAAAAAGTTTTCCACAGGTTGATCTTTTTGAAAGGTGCGAATAGTGCGCGCGCGTGTCAGCGAGGGAAAGACTTACGGCAACCTTGGCGGGGACCAAATCGCACTTGTTCAGGATGAAGACAAGATGCTTGTGTGGAGCCTCCTCTTTCAGATACTTCTCCACGGACCGACATCGTGTTCCGAGAGGATCACGAGCATCCAGGACATGCAGGATGACGTCTGAAGAATCAATGACCTTGTCTGTGGCATCAGGTTAGCACTGTCTGTGTATATATGACGCCAGTGTGAAGACATACAAAGCTCGTTCCATATACGTTTGGACTGGCCCTTGGAGAAGATGGGCTCGACGGCCGTCGTGATCACGGCCTCACCTGCCCGATGCATGTCGCCGGCCGCGGCCTGCTCAGCACCAAGCTCACCGCTCAGCAGCCTCGCCTCCTCCAGCTTCTCCTGGTATGTCTCCAAGCTCTTAACCGTATCGTCCGCCAGCTCGTCGATATTGCTCACGCTCAGCTTGACTCGCTTCCTCGACGACTTGGGCCCGAACACCTCGGCGAACGGCGACGTCTCGACCGTCATCTTGGCCTGGTGCTGCTTGAGCCCATTAATCCTGTTGTCCTGGCCATCGCGGATCAAAGACATGGGCAACTTGTTGCTCTTAAGCAGGACGGTGTAGGGGTCCTTCTCCTTCTGAGCGATGGCGTCGCGGAACGCGCTGAGTGACTCTTGGCTGATGACACGGCTGTTGGAGAACCACTTGCGGTTGGGCTCGACGCGCGCGCTGGGAACGTCGCGGCTCTGGTACGAGGCGGCCTTGACAATCTTGCCATCTGCGTTGCGCTGGGGTTTTCCTTCTTTAAGGATGTTAAGCTGCTTGACCTTCTTGGCGGTGCGGTAGAAGTTTTCTCTGGACGCTCAGGGTCAGCACGAGATAGAAATGATCCACGAGGAGGGGAAGTATGCATACCCCTTGATCTTGAAATTGCTGCCGCCCTTGTCGGTGCCATCGCGAACCCGGCGGTTCGCCTCTTTTTTGAAGCCACCCATCGCTGAACTGTTAGCGACTTGGCGCAGTTCGTTTTGTCGTTATGAGTTTGAGTTGACTGGATTGGAAAGAAGATGATGGGCAATCCTGTCCAAACCTCTCGAGACCGAGCGTGTGCTACCAAAAAATAAATTGAATCAAGTAGAAACACGTTGGGAGAAGGCCTAGCGGTGCAGGAAATTCATCAAGTAGCAGAAGGGGAAACGGAGGGGACCCTTCAGAAGAAGTAAGAAAAAAAAAGTTCAGAGCTGCAGGGTTGATTGGAGTTTGGTGGGGCCCCAATGCCTGCCTCCAAAATTTTAGCGAGTCTCAGTGTGTTATGTAAGACGAAATTTCGTTCCCATGAGCTACCAATTGCACCAACGCCCTCTCCATCTCACCACCTGCACTCGAGCGTTGGTCAATCAATTTCGAGGGGGCTGGACGGCGACGAATCTCAACATACTCGTCCCGTTGTTCCGGCCAGACACGCAGACACGGTTTACACAATCCACACATCCGCCCACAATGCCACCACCAATACGAAGAGCGCCTCTGCGGTCGCTCGCAGTGCCCGTCCTCGCTCGCAGTGCCACCGCAGCAGCTCGACCATTCAGCAGCACCACTGCCAACCCCTCCGACATTCCCATTCCGCCCGAATCCCCTCGTTTCATCCCCCTCCCCGACCTCCCCCAGTCAGACGAGACCAAGAAGCCCATTATCAAGGGTCGCCTCCCCATTCCGCGCGAGATCTTCACTAAGCGCGCCCACAAGGACCACAAGCTCTCGCCGACCTTCGTCCGCGACACAGCACCGCACTCCAAGGCCGAACGGCGCGGCGAGCCGCCGCGGTCTGAACGCGACGCCTGGAAGCGTCTCATGGCCGAGAGCCGGCGGCAGGCGCTGGGCAGCGGCATCGGCAACCTGTGGAAGCGCAAGGTGAAGCGGGAGACCAAGGCCAAAGCTCGAGCCGACGCCCACGCGCAGCGCAACCTGGACGACAAGCGCGCCCCCGAGCGGCCGGATGAGGTGTTCACACGGGGCACGATCCCGCAGGCCACGCTGGACACGTCGGTCATCCGGGACCCGATGTATGCCACGCGCCAGCGGGAGTCCGCCCAGCGGACGGCGGCGCTGCAGGCGGCCAAGTCGGAGGCGAGGAAGGATGCGATCCAGCGGCTCTACGTCGAGGCAAGCGACTTCATCGTGACCGAGGAGGAGCTGGCCAAGAAGGTGGATGAGATTTTCTCCGAGGAGCACTTCACCAAGGCGGGCACCGCACGCGGTATCTACTGGGGCGCGGAGAACATGTGGGAGGCATACGGGTCGCCGACGACGGTGCGGCAGATGTTTGCAGATATGAGGGGCACGAGCACGCACGTCACAAAGGCTTACGATACATCCTTCAACAAGACGGTGCAGAGGCAGAAGGTTGTGGCGGGCGAGCTCACCGGTGGTGCGTTGTCTGTAGGCTAGACGATTTCGGACAAGAGAAATGTTACAAATCCAAATGACGCTACTCACGTATATGCAACTTCACGCCACATGGACGAGCAAGCATGGACGACTGATATATAAACAAGGAATCTTTTTCATTGGAGTGTGTACAAGACAGGACCCGTATTGCTTTCACGATGCTCCAAAATTCGTCCCCCAACGCCGAAGGTTTGAATGCAATACAAAGTCGGGCTGGATCAGCCCAGATTGCCTCTATGAAAGAGCAGAGCATAGTCTAGATAGCGACCGTCCCATGTCCCCGACCAGAGCAGGATCGCATGCAGGAACGCTTCCAAATTTCAACGACATGTACAATAGTCTCCACACCACCGCTTATCTCTACACAGTCACCATCCTATCGCTTCTCTACCAGCAGGACGTGCATCGCAGCATATGCCAGGATAACAAAGCCGGCAGCATAAGCACCCAGGCAGATGACATCTCTCCACATGGCGCTGTTGTCGAACCCAAACGAGCTGAGGATCGCAGCACCAGGCACAGTGATATCCAGACCATATTTCTTATCCACCAGCGTCAGCTTGCTGACTTCGTTGACGATGAGAGATTCGAAAGCATAGTGGAAGATAGACAACCACTGGAGCCACTTGGCGCCGTCAGGAATCTTGTCCTGGTTGAGGAGAAGTCCTGCAAATAGCAGGCTGAAGAGCATGACGAGGCTGCCGATTAAGTTTGCCACGCTGTTGTCCTTGCAGACGATGCCTATGAAGAGACAGATAGAGGCAGCTGCAAGGTTGAACAATACCAGCACGAGGATGAAGATGAAGAAGTGAGCCGCGTCCGCCTGCAATCCGGTCATCGGGTAGATGATGATACCCATGAGGATTGGCGGGATGATCCGAAGAGGTATGATATCAAAGAGAACTTTGGATGCAAAATAGGTGACTGGCGAGTAGTACCCATTTGCACGCTCCCTTGTGAAGAGTAACCTCTCCGACGAGAAAACGTTCAGGCTTGTCAAGGTACTGAAACCGAAGAGAGCCAGCACGAAGAAGAAGAGACCCAGGCGGTTCTGAAAGCCAGGGATATCCTCGGTTAAGCCGTAGAAGAGATATCCAGAGAGTACACCGAGGAGGATAGCGATCGCATAATGCGTCAGCATCAGTAACGGATTGCGGTAAAGATTCTTCCAAGTGCGCTGTGACAAGATGATAAACTGTCGGCTGTATCCGATGCGTGCGTAACCCTTTCCAACGACACTCGTGTGAATGTTGGGTCCTGCAGCATTGTACGCGTTTCCGTTCCGACCATTGGCGTTTTGAGCGGTGGTTACTGCTTGTGAGATCTCCTCATGAATTTCGCGAGCGATGTCAGAAGTCCGGAAAGAACTGACGAGGATATCGAGGTCGGTCCCGCCGGATGCCGCAGGAGGAAGATCGTGGGGGTCCTCAATGATCTGAGGTGGGATGCGGCTAGGAGGTTGTCTGTGAAGCTTGTATGCACCAGACTCGCCCTCACCATCCGACGAAGCGGCATCGGTATTGGTCTTGCGACGAGTGAACAGCTCGCGCTCCTGCCTGGACTTGACAGAGTCTCGGCGCTTGTTCTTGGGTCTGGACGAGGACGCCTCGACTCCGCTGTCCTCACCAATACTGACGTTGGAGATGCTGGCGATACTCTTGACACCCCGAGTAGAACTTGGCCCAACACTGGCCACGTCGGCGGACACAGTGCCGTCGTCGAAGCTGGTGGATGAGCTTGCATGCATGGTCAGGTCGACGAGGAAGTCTGCAATATTAAATCCTGGTGGGCACTCGTATCCAACGCGGTCAAAGTATTCCTGGCACTGGCCGAACGGACCCGAAAATACAGGATTACCTTGCGCCAAGAGGACCAGCCGATCGAACAGGGCGACGATGTTTGACCGTGGCTGGTGAATCGTGAAGATAACAGTCCGCTTGAAGTCCTTGGCCAGAGTCACCAGGCATTCGATAACGTTGAAGGCGTTGTATGCGTCGAGACCGCTGGTAGGTTCGTCCAAGAAGAGGATGGAAGGGCTGGTGACTAATTCGCACGCGATGCCGACCCGGCGCTTCTCGCCACCGGAGATGCCACGACCCTTGCCCTCCTCCGAACCGATGAGGGAGTCCTTGATATGGAAGATACCAAGCTGTTTCTCGACCTCCGTGACTCGTTGTTCCTTTGCAGCCCTTGTCATATCCCGGGGCAGTCGCAGCAAGGCGCTGTTGAGGATCGTCTCGTGGACTGTCAAAGTCGGGAGCATGGTGTCTTCCTGGTCGACGAAACCAACAACGGACTTGAATTCCACGTCGCTGACCTTTTCGCCGTTGACGAAGAAGTCACCGCTCACGTCACCTCGCTTGTTCTTGCGTGCGAGAATGTCCAAAAATGTCGTCTTGCCAGCGCCGGAAGCACCCATTATGGCTGTAATCTCTCCAGGGCGAGCGACGCCTGACAGAGAGTGCAGGATCTGCTTGCCGTTGAGGGTGTATGAGACGTTCTCGAATTGCAGCGACGCAGGTTTATGGTCTGCCATAAGCTTGAGGGCCTCGTCGTCGGAGTCGTCCAGATGGATGGGTCCATATCTAAAGGAGCGTCTTGACAGATACCAGGTGAGGACGATCACGGCGACAAGGAAGAGGGCGCAGCCGGCAATCACGCCAGCGATGAGTGGTGTGTTGATCTTCGGAACGGACGGCTTGTAGTCAGGCAGCTCGGAGAAGTGCACACACTCGCCGGAGCGGCAGGACAGGAAGATGCTCGAGTCACCAATGATAGAGCTGATCAGGTCGTTCATGGCCGGCTCCTCGAAGCTGCACTTGTTGACGCCACCCTTGTTCTGAACACACTTGAACGAGCCGGGACCCTTAATCTCCTCGCTCAGGAAGTCAGTAATGTCAACGGATCCGTCCAGGCCACAGAGCATCCGGTCGGGGATGCATGAGCACTCGACGTTCTTGCAGTTATATGTGGTCCTGTTGTAGTTCTCGTCGCTGAAGTCGTAGCTCGATTCGCAGTGGTCGAGGGTACAGTAGAAGGATTCTTTCTGGTCGACCCAGACTGCGAGGTGTCAGCGCATTCATGGCTCTCAAGGAGCGATGGGTAGGGTTGGTCTGCTCACATTGGAAGTCACATCGGCCATCAGGCGCGTTGCAAGTGAATGTGACCTGTGGAACTTGTTCACCCAGAAGGTCTCGGATCTTGTCGTTGGTCACGTCGCACATCTGGTAGTTGTTCTTGAGCACATTGCCCATCTGATAGCAAACGCCGCCGTCTCCAGACTCCATCAGAGAATTGCAGGCCCGATCGTCATCGCACACATTGCAGTTTATGCCACCCCAGCCTTCGTCGCATTCGCACCGGTCGCCTGCGCGTATCTGTCGATGTTCGTTGCCTTTGGCCAATGAACCGCACACTAATCTTCAGTCAGTATAGGGGAGAAGAAACGCAAGAAGACGAGACGCCATTATCGAGGGACGTACGAGGCTCAATGCAGTCAATGCCACCGAATCCATCAGGACAGGTGCACTGGCCGTTGTACGTGTTGCATTCCGCATATTGGCCGCAGGTAAACGCTGGTAGGAGGCAGTTAAAGCTGTAGACATAACAAGTGTCAGCTATCGAGAGTTCGCCTGGACACCTGGGGAAAAGAAGACAGACCATGGCGGGCAGTCCTTCGGGCGATCGTCCATCAGCGCAAGCTGTGCGCGCAACGCCTCGACACCGGCATAGGAGGACGAGTAGTTGGAGAAGGCGGAGGCGGCGCTCGACAGCGCAAGCGCCCCCAGTATGAAGGCGCAGGCCGTCCGCGATGCCATGTTGCAGAGGGACAGTAGACACACACTCTCTCTCTCCTGGTTCTGAGATGAAGAGCCTTAGAGTGTGTTATTGAGGAGCGTCCCTGAGGGTGGTGTGTGTGTGTAAGATGGGCAAAGGTCTCGGGCAAGTGACCTCCCGAATCAAGTGGTCTGTCTGCCTTGTGGGCTAGGAAGTATGCAATGCAGTATGATAGACTGCCCACCTGCAGGTCATTCACCTGAGCAGCATGCAGAGCTCCTTTAGCGGTTGTGCTAAGCCCCCACAGCTTCCTATATACCCACACGTGGAGAACCCTGTTCGCAGGGGGAGGCAGCTCGGAGTCTCGGGTACCTACCGCTATCAAAACCCCTCCGGCAGACCTATGGGGCAGATGTCCCCAACATTTGATACTTTCCCAGTAATTCTGTCTCGTACACTGTCAATCTGAAATGCTATTACCCAGGAGTTTCCAGTAAGTCACATCTGTAGAGACTCACTGCCATATCTAGATAAGGAAATTGATTGTGAGTCTAGGTGTACTACACCCATCACCTGATGACGTATGCATCCAAGAAGTACCCCATGCCTTCGGTATGATGATGGGGTGGCTGGGTTGGGCTTGCTAATCTCCAGAAACAGTACCTGTGGCACAGAACGGTGGGTCAGACTTCAGGGCGGCCTTCAACTTCCAGCATGGCGCTTCCTTGATGCATCTACTGCAGTATAGCCACCCCAGTTGCAATACGTTACTTATGACACTGTTTGTGAAGAATCTATGGGTATACACCGTTACAGCTTTTATTTGTCAAATAAATAAATAAAAGTGTTGGGAGCTCAAAGATCAACTAATAATTCCAGAGATGTGAGATGTGAGAAACAGCACGTCTTACAGCCCATTTGGATGCAGGCCATATAACAGGCCGATCCTGATAGCACTGGGAATTCTGAATCACCTTTATATGTCTTTTGGCAACACACTTTGCCATAGTTATCTGATGTGTTTCATCTGATCTTGAGAAGTGGCTGATCTAAATCATCAGCAGCCTGCTCATCTGGAATGCTCATTGTTGACCTGCATATTATTGCTTGTTGGTAAATCTTGACTGTAATAAATGGTCCTTCACCTGTATCCTATGGGCTTCCCTACCTCTTTTTCTTCCTCCTCTTCTCCTTTCTCCTTTGTTTGTTTATCCTGCCCTTCTCTTCTTCTGTTATTCTTGAAAAACCCGCATTTCAAAACCTCTCAACTGCGCCATGTGTTTATTCGTGTTGATGCGCAATTGCGTCTACGCTGGGGCGTGCGCTAGTGCGGGCAGACAAACGAATTCCTCATATAGGCTGATATAAGTTGGCTCTGGCAATTTTCATCCCGCTGCTTCTTCAAACCGGCAGAGTCATTCTCCAGGACGCAGTCTAAGGTCAGTCACTGTCTCGTAGCCAAGATGGTCAAAATCGAACCGTTTGCGGTGGAGCAATGGATGGACGAGTAAGCACATCAAATCTGTCCCGCAATGTTTTCCCTTCCTTGCTGACCCTGTCTGCTGAAGGTATGAGAACACGGAGGGCGTCCTCAACATAGCCGAGACCTGTGCTGCCTCAGTTTCTGTCGAGGACCTTCAGGCACTCTCGACTGAGCAGGCCGGTGTCAGCCCTCTGAACCTGTCCAAGAAACTCACCTACGGCGCGATTCGGGGGTCAGATATTCTCCGAGAGCGGGTGGCTGCTATATACGCAAAGGAGGACGCATCTACGCCTCTCTCCGCCAGCAGCATCTTGATCACACAGGGAGCCATCGTCGCAAATTTCCTACTATTTTACACCCTGATCGGGCCTCAGGACCATGTCATCTGTGTATACCCTACGTACCAACAACTCTATGGCGTGCCACAGAGTCTAGGTGCCGAGGTGTCACTATGGAAGCTAAAGAAGGAAGACGGTTACATCCCTGATGCTAGCGAGCTGGACTCACTTGTGAGAAGCAACACGAAAATGATCATTATCAACAACCCGAACAACCCGAGCGGCTCCACCATTCCCAAGGCCGTACTGGGTTCCATTGTCGAGTTTGCAAAGGCTCACGACATCATCGTTCTATGCGACGAGGTGTATCGTCCCTTGTTCCACAGCCTACCCGACGGGGCTGACAAGCCACCTTCGATCCTCTCGTTTGGCTACGAGAAGACCATCTCGACCAGCTCCATGTCCAAGGCCTGGGCACTGGCAGGTATCCGCCTCGGTTGGATCGCATCGAGGGATAAGAGCATCATCGAGGCCGTGGCGCAGGCACGAGACTATACCACCATCTCGGTGTCCTATCTGGACGACCAGATTGCCAGTTATGCATTGTCGGATGCCGTCAGGCCGAACCTAATCGAGCGCAACCTGAAGATGGCGAGGGCGAACCTCGAGCTGTTGGACAAGTTCGTACAGGAACACAAAGATGTATGTACTTGGATCAAGCCGACAGCTGGCACCACGGCCTTCATCCAATTTATAAACAAGGGGGAGCCGGTGGATGACGAAGCATTCTCTCTGGACGTGCTCGAAAAGACAAAGGCCATGTTCCTACCAGGCGCGAAGTGCTTCGGCCACGGCAAGGACTTCAAGGGCTACGTCCGCATCGGATATGTGAACGAGACGGCAGTGCTGAAGAAGGCGTTGGTTAGGCTTGGGGCCTACGTGAACGAATGCCTGTCGCCTTAAACTTGGAAAGTTTGTAGGTCACAAGACTTGCCCGTTAGATAACACCTTGTCGATGACTTGGCAGCAACACAACGCAATAGCAAAGACTTGGATTGCAACGCTAGATCTTGGGCAAGCAACTAGCCAAGACGCCGGTATGACTAGAGAAGTCATTGATGTACAAGTTCGAACGATGTCTGAAGAAAATCGTATAGCAGGCATCCAAGCTAATTTGCAATAGCCAACTTTCAGAGACGTCGAGCCTGCCTCGACAGATGACCTAGAAACTGTGGAAGTGACGAACCCCCCTGTGGAGGGTTCGTGGAATCTCCTATTCTACTGCACTAGGATTCTAGTTGAGTTTCATTCAGTAACACACCCATGCGCTTCCGCGCACCCCCCGACAAACTCCTGCAAGCATTCAATTTGCTTGATCGTCAATGCCAGCTCGATTGCAGCAAGCAAGGAACGACCTCCTGAGCAAGGCTCCAGCGCTCTTCTTCTCTTCGCTTGGCATTCATCTTGGCGCCTGCTTGGAAGGGCCACCGTCCACTTAACTACTTCTTAGGCCAATTTTGGATTCTTTCACTCTTCTTTCATATGCCTTTGCTGCTGCATTTACAGAAACTTGTGGAGCTGCGCTCCCTCCCAAGGCTCCGCAGCTCATTTGGTTACCTGGGCTTGCCAAAAAGCCTTGACGTTCATTTTGCCTCTGGCCTAGGCGTTTCACGTTGATTCCTCTGAACTTGGTCTACATTCCTTTTTCAGCCCAATAATTATCGTTGCGAGCTTCAGCTTCTTCCTGTTGCTTTCTGTCTTTCTTTCTGCTCTTTATGAGACCTTGCGGGATCATTGAACACATTTCACGCAGCTTCACTCGCACGGCAGCCTGACGCTTGCAAGAAGGGGAGGATGAGAGCAAGGGTACCGTCAGTCTTCTCGGCTGCTGTTGCCGCCGCCACGGGCTTTCTAGCTCCGTCAGCCCTCGCTGCAGGCGTTGTGAAGTGGGACATATACAAGAATCACCAACAAAGATCCACCCTGGGAAGACGAGCCGCTGGATACCAACAGGAGATTATTGAGAATTCGATCGCTAGAGGCGGTTACTTTGCGACCTGTACTGTGGGTACGCCTGGCCAGGATGTTATACTGCAGCTGGACACAGGTTCCAGTGACATCTGGATACCGTGGAAGCAAGCGAGTGTGTGCGAAGAGGACGCATGCTCACTTGGAACCTGTGAGTCGAAGAATTGTCCTCATAATCATTGCACAGTGTTGGCTGATCTCCTGGCTGGCAGTCGATCCCCAGACCTCGTCGACATACGATGATTTTGGCACGGGGGAATTTGAGATCGCTTATGTGGACGGGAGCTATTCAAAAGGTGACTATTTCACAGACGTTTTCAGCATCGCAGATGCCACTCTGTCGAATATGACCATGGGACTTGGCAAGGACACGACCATCCCGTACGGGCTTGTCGGCGTGGGGTACATCGCCAACGAGGCCATCATCACCACCGAAGAATCGCTCTCGGCGGAGTACGCAAACCTGCCGGCGTTGATGATGAGCCAGGGCCTGATCGTGACAAATGCATACAGCTTGTGGCTGAACGATCTGGATGCGAGCACGGGAAGTGTTCTCTTCGGCGGCATAGATACGCGGAAATATGTGGGCAACCTGACGAGAATTCCCATCCTCGAGGATGGCGTGACGGGTCAGTATGACTCCTTCATAGTAGAGCTCACGTCGATATATGCGGCCAGCTCTAGCGGTATCGACCAGCTGATATCGCGTGACGATCCCGTCGAGGTCGTGCTTGATTCGGGCACGACCCTCACTTATCTGCCTCAGGACTTGGCGCAAGAGATCTGGGAAGAAGTGGGTGCGGTATACAGCGCATCGATAGGGCTAGCTGTCATCCCTTGCAGGATGCAGAAGAGCACGGGGTACTTCTCCTTCACCTTTGCAGGGACGGGCGGACCGACGGTCAAGGTCGCGATGGACGAGCTCGTACTGGATCTTGTTCTCGAGGGACCGGCACCGACCTTCACGTCTGGAACGTACGAGGGCGAGGACGTATGCGAGTTTGGGATTCAGAACGCCACGGGCACCTACCTCCTCGGCGACACGTTCTTGCGCAGCGCTTACGTGGTGTACGACCTGATCAACAACGAGATCGGCATTGCACCGACCGATTTCAACGCAACAGGGTCCAACATTGTGACTTTTGCAAGCCAGGGCGCCGTAATCCCGTCTGCCACTCTTGCTCCTAACCAGACCTTGGCTACGAGCACGGCGACAGCCACGCAGCCAGCTTTCGCAGCCGAAGCTGGATTCTCCAACGGAACTAGTGATGCGAACTTGGCGGGTGTCCCTACTGGTCTCGGGCTGTATAGTATCGTGTTGGCTGTGGCCGTTACAGGAGGAGCCGCTTTGCTCCTGTGAAGTTTTAGGGTGTGTTTTTGTGCATTGAACAGATACCCCCCCTTTTTTTCCTCATACAAATGACTGGAGTCACAGACGGGTTGGATTATGAATCAAAGTCAAAGCAGCATTTTACGGCGTCCAGGGAGTAAGAAGAAGCAGGGCCTAGGCTGTCCATCATTTGGAAGGGCTTTAGTCGGATGAGTAAATGATTTAGGGATAGTTCGCCATCCGCATACCTACTAGTAATCAAACTGAAAAATTCAGTACACTGATCGCAAACTGATGAGTTGGTCTTACTATTGAAGCCCCCGAACTGCTGTTTTTATGATGAGCTCTGCGAAGTACCATTGGCTAGAAAGCAGAAGTCTAGGGAATCTGATCCCATTCAAGAAAGTAATTCAGGTTTAGGGGCATAATGATCCGTACATTTCAAAAGACTTCCAATGTAAGTTCTATACTAATCGAGTAGAGTCAATACATATGGTGCTACTCACGGTATGTACTATAGTACTGTAGTAGACGAAAAAAAGCCAGCAGGGGTCGAGTCCAGCGTGATGACCACCGCCAATCAACACTGACAGGGAGGACCCTGCTGCAGTTTGCCTGCCGACTACCCAAAAAATTATTCGGGTCGTTCAACAATTATACGAGTGCGCCAGGCTCTTTCTCGCACAACATTCCTTTCCTTGCCCTCCACCACCTTCCCCCCCCCCCCCCCATGAATCCGTGAAGATGAGGGCGTCTAGAGCCGTGGCCGTCTTGGGTGACGGTCGCATCTTCAGCTCGAGCCCTGGAGCGAGGTTGCTGAGCCAGCGCTGTCGCCCGACGAGCTCAGAGGTATCGCGAAAATGGCAACAGCCGATTCAGTTCGAATGCGCGAAGAGAGCCTTCAACCAGACCTCCAACAAGGGCGCTGCTCTCAATGCCGCCCAGGAAGCGTAAGTTTGCTGTCTCTCTTGTGCTACATGATACTCTTGCTCAATTGACTGACCTTTTTTCCCTTTCTATGCTGTAGTCTTAAGGCTGCGAAAGATGCCGCGAATCTGTCCCCCGAGGTCGTCAGGGAGCGCATGAGCCCTGAAGAGAGGAAGCGCCTGTCTATGGTTCGAAATATTGGTATTGCGGTAAGGATCATTATAAACTAGATATTTTAGTGCTACACGAGGCATGAGCTCATTGGAATAGGCACACATCGACAGCGGTAAAACGACATGTACGGAACGAGTTCTTTTCTACACGGGCAGAATCAAGTCGATCCACGAGGTTCGAGGCCGTGACAGCGTCGGCGCCAAAATGGACTCTATGGAACTGGAACGCGAACGAGGAATTACCATCCAATCTGCTGCGACATTCTGCGACTGGGTCAAGAAGGAAGACGGGAAAGACGAGACTTACCACATCAACCTAATTGATACCCCTGGCCACGTTGACTTCACAATCGAGGTCGAGCGTGCGCTGCGGGTCCTGGATGGTGCTGTCATGATTTTGTGCGCTGTCTCTGGCGTGCAGAGTCAGACCATCACCGTCGACAGGCAGATGAAGCGGTACAACGTGCCCCGGATTAGCTTTGTCAACAAGATGGACCGCATGGGTGCCAACCCCTTCAAGGCGGTTGAGCAGATCAACTCCAAGCTTAGGTTCCCTGCTGCTGCTATCCAGATCCCCATCGGCTCCGAGAAGGAGTTTGAGGGTGTGGTCGACCTGATTAACATGCGTGCTATCCGGAATGACGGTCATCGAGGTGTCCATCTCAAGATCTCCGACCAGATCCCCGAGGATCTCAAGGAGCTCGCCCAGCAGAAGCGCCAGGAGCTCATCGAAAAACTTGCCGATGTCGACGACGAAATCGCCGAGATTTTCCTTGACGAGAGAACGCCTACGCCTGAGCAGATCAAGGCCGCTATCCGCCGTGCCACCATCGATCGCAAGTTCACCCCTGTCCTGATGGGCACAGCACTGGGCGACAAGTCCGTGCAGCCAATGCTCGACGCGGTCTGTGACTTCCTGCCGAACCCCGCCGACGTTGAGAACATGGCCCTCGACCGCTCACAGAAGGAGAAGCCTGTTCAGCTCGTGCCGTACAACGCGCTACCCTTCGTCGGCCTGGCCTTCAAGCTCGAGGAGAATCCCTACGGTCAGCTTACCTACATCCGCGTGTACCAGGGCTCCCTCAAGAAGGGCAGCTACTTGTTCAACTCCCGCACTGGCAAGAAGGTTCGCATCCCTCGTATCGTCCGCATGCACTCCAATGATATGGAGGATGTGGCTGAGATCGGTGCCGGCGAGATCTGCGCCGTGTTCGGTGTTGACTGCGCCTCTGGAGATACCTTTACCGACGGCAACCTCCCCTACACCATGAGCTCCATGTACGTCCCCGACGCCGTTATGTCGCTGTCCATTAAGCCCAAGCGCAGCAGTGACGCGGATCCCTTCTCCAAGGCCATGAACCGTTTCCAACGCGAGGATCCCACCTTCCGCCTGACCGTGGACGAGGAGTCGGAGGAGACCATCATCTCTGGTATGGGCGAGCTACACCTGGAGGTCTACGTCGAGCGCCTGCGCCGCGAGTACAAGGTCGACTGCGAGACGGGCCAGCCTCGCGTGGCCTACCGTGAGACCATCACCCGCCACGCCGACTTCGACTACCTGCTGAAGAAGCAGACGGGCGGCCCCGGCGATTTCGCTCGCGTGATGGGATTCATCGAGCCGTACACCGGAGAGGCGGAAAAGAACCACTACGAGTCTCAGGTCGTCGGCGGCACCATCCCCGACAAGTTCCTGTCGGCCTGCGGCAAGGGTTTCGAGCTGGGCTGCGAGAAAGGCCCCCTGCTAGGCCACAAGGTCATCGGCTGCAAGCTTGTCGTCAACGACGGCGCGACACACGTGACGGACTCGTCGGATTATGCCTTCCAGATGGCCACGCAGGCCGCCTTCCGCAAGGCCTTCAAGGATGCCGGCGGCACGGTCCTCGAGCCGCTGATGAAGACGACCATCACAGCGCCCAACGAGTTCCAAGGAAACATCATCATGCTGATGAACAAGCGGGGCACCATTCTGGACACCGAAATTGGACCGGAAGATTTTACCCTCATAGCCGACTGCTCGCTGAACGCCATGTTCGGCTTCAGCTCGCACCTGCGGGCTGCGACACAGGGCAAGGGAGAGTTTAGCATGGAGTTCAGCCACTACGCGCCGGCACCGCCGCAGCTGCAGTAAGTCATTCATCCTTCTCAGCAATACCTAGCATTGTTTGGACAGCTGCTGACCCTGAATTATAGGAAGGAACTCATCGCCAAGTATGAGAAGGAGAAGTTCGCCAAATAAAAGGCACACAGTTGAGAGCGGCGACCGGGACTCTCTTTTGAGGTCGTGGGCCAGCCCAGATCTTCAGGCTGTGCAATGTTGATGATCTTCCTGCGGGGTAAAAAAACAAAACGCGTTATAGAGATGATCTTCTAGACATGTACCATACGACCAGTGTGCGCTTGGACATATAGACCAGCGCGCAGCATTTAAATTTCTACTATAGACAGAGAGAGGGGAAAATGCGGCGAGGACTAGAAGAGGGGAAAAGAAAAGGGAGGTCGGGTTCTTTGAAGGAGAAGAAGACCATTTGAAGAAAGCGGTCATGATCGCATTGTGTAAAAAACTTAACGAGCGCGAGAAAGAAATTGGATAGATAACCAATCCTCACTCAACAGAACATTTGCAGACTAGAGGTGACACTTGATTTACACTAGACATATCAAAGAGAAGTCTTGTGTTTTGCCTAACAGCACGTAAAGCTAGGAAGATGCAGAGGGCAGGAATATATGGCAGATATGCCCGCTCATGAAACTTTTTGGTATCTAATGTTTGTCTTTTTTTTTAATCTACCGCCCCAGAATTTTTAATCTCAACTTCTTCACACACAACACACCGCTTCAGCCGAAAGCTTACAGCCTCTTCAGAACATCCTCGACGACCTCAGTCGTGCTGTACTTGCCACCGAGGTCAGGTGTCACAATGCCGGCGGCGAGAGTCGCGTCAACAGCGGCATAGATCTTGGCGGCCGCCTTCTCGAGATCCATAAACTCCAGCATGACACCGACGCTCCTCATGGTGGCGATGGGGTTCGCCTTGCCCTGGCCGACAATGTCGGGGGCGCTGCCGTGGACCGGCTCGCCGATGGCAAAGGACTCGCCGACGTTGGCGCTGGGGATCAGGCCGAGGGAGCCCAGCAGGCCGGCGCCCTGGTCGGACAGGATATCGCCGTACAGGTTGGGGGCGACGACGACGTCGTAGTACTCGGGCTGCTGGACGAGCTTGAGGGCCATGCTGTCGACGATCTGCTCCTCGACGGCGACGGCCGGGGTGGCGGCGGCCAGGGCCTCGCGGGCGGTGGTGCGGAACAGGCCGTCGGTCTGCGAGAGGACGTTGGACTTGTGCACGACGGTGACCATGGGCCCGGCGTGGATGCTGTCGGCGCCGGCGTCGCGCATCTTTTGCCTGCGCTCGGCGATGCGACCGGCCATCTCGGCGATGCGGTAGCTGGCGCGGCCGGTGATGCGCTTGATGGCCTCGGCGACGGGACGGCCGCCGGGACCGTCGGCGCGGGTGTTCTCCTCCTTGACGTAGAGGTCTTCTGTGTTCTCGCGGACAATCACCATGTCGACGGCCTGCTGGCGGAACAGGCTGGTGGCGACGCCCTTGACGGGGCGCACGTTGGCGTAGAGGTCGAGCTTCTTGCGCAGGGCGACGATCGGGGAGGAATAGCCCTTGACGGCCTTGGAGGGCGATTGCACGGCACCGAAGAGGGCGCCGTCGCACTCGGACTTGAGGGTGTCGACGGTGCGCTGGGGGAGGGCGGTGCCGGTGCGCTCGAAGGTCTCGAAGCCGGCGTCGAGGTCGACGAAGGAGAAGGAGAGGCCTAGGGAGGGTGGGAGGGACTCGAGGAGACGCCGGCCGGCGGGAATGACCTCCTTGCCTATGCCATCACCGGGGATGAGGCCTATTTTTGTCGTGGGGAATGGTCAGCCGTTGGGTAAATGGTTTCGTTTATGCTCATGGCCAGTTTTAGAAAATTTGGCAAGACTTTGGGAGGGTATGGGTATTCCTCGAGAGTTTATCATACCGATCCTGAGGGTTCTGGTGGCCATCTTGAGGTCAATTGGCCGTTGGGACTGCTTGGGAAGGGTGAAGAAGAGTTGCTGGCTCGAGAGGAAAAGCTTGAGAAGTGGTCCAGCAACCCTTTCTTTAGAAACTGGAACATCACATCACCAGAACTTCTTTGACGTGGGGCCGTAGTCGGATCAGGTCCGGGGTCGGACCGCAGGCTCAGGGATCAGCAACTTTAGAGCAAGTTACCCTGCTAGGTTAGGCTGACGGATGCTTTTCTTAAGATGTACCGTAGCAGGTTTGGCTTCAGATGATGAAGGTACCTTGTGCTATTGGTACCTCTTCATCTCTTGGAATCATTGGTGCTCACTGATCCAAATATCATCTTTAGCCTCAAGGGGATCATGATTGCAACAGCTCATGTTAAGTTCTTGTTAAATCAGCTCTGGCGACTGCGTCATCTATCATACAGCAGTATACCTACGACTGGTGAGCTCTGCAGTGTCTTGGAGAGGTACTTAGCTGTTGTGCTGTACTATCTACGTACACGTTTATAAATGTGCGACATGTCTCACTACACACAGACAGACCTTGCATTTTTGGCTTGACAATGACACCACCGGCTACCATCTTTTGGGTTGAGAACTCATTGCATAAATCTGTTCTATGGCCCGGTGGGAAAATAATCAGTAAACCTGGGCTTGTATTACTCTGGGTGGGCCAGTACTACGGCCGTTGCTTGCAGAGTCCACATGTCTACAGCGGTACAAATGAAGTACTACGTAATTAGGTACTATAAGTTACCCAGGCTTCTCAATTGATGTACCTGTTCATCCTGTAGGTCGCCTACCTTTCTTCAACTTGTCAATGGATGGCTGGATAAAATTGCCATACCAGCAAACAAAACACAGTTAGTTCATTTTCCTATATAGTACAGCCAGTCTAGGACAAAAAGGCCAGCAAGCTGATGAACCCACCCCGCAATATTTATCAAACAGGCCTACCCCATAGTATTTATGAACCCTGAATGAACCACCACCTCGCCCCTCCTGTCATTTTGCTTCATAACCTCAAACTCCATAGTCATATAAATGCAAGTACCACTCGTGTGCCCGCACAACATGTACCCTCTTAATCAAACCATAATTCCTTGACGACTGTGGCTTCCCTCCAGGCCTCCTCTTCCTCATCCTCGCCATCCTCACTGCTGCACCATCACCATTGCCTTTTATCCCTAACCCACGATCAGCAGCTGCAGACCCTGCACATGCATGCATGCATGTCTGCTGCAAGCCAAGGGGCGCACTAGAGTTACATAATTTGCCAGACGCGTCCTGGAGAGCTTTTTAACAGCTGAGTCGCGCTAAGCCCAGGAGCTCTCTCCCCTCTTGTCTTTGCCCCCTCCTGAGAAGGACATCCAGCAGGACAAGACAGGCCAAAAAAAAGGGGGGTCAACCTGGCACATGCGCACGGGGATTGGATGATGGCCCCAGACACCCAAGCCGCAAAACTACAGTCCACACACCACCATCACACACCACACTCCTTGTTGCGACAGGCTCTCTCTTGACTCTTCCTGCCACCTCTGCAGACTTTCCACTTCAGATACCCCCATCCCCTATTTCTTGACACTGCTGCGCGCTGTTGATCTTTGCCTGCATTGCTTTCTTCTCTTTCTTTCTCCTTCTATTGCTTGAAGCCCTCAATTGTTGACCAGCTGCTTTTGAGCCTACAAGGCACTTCTTTGATTTTCCCTTGCTGATCTTGGGTTTCTTTGTTTACTTTGCTTCTTCAAGTCATTCCTTCCACAGTCGAGCCAAAATGAGTGTCAGAGATAGGATCAAGATGATGGAGCAGATGGCCAAGAAGGAGGAAGGTGCCACGGATGAGAGGGGACGCAGTCCAGGTGGTGTCTCCTCGGTCAGGTCAAGTATGTTTTGTTGTTGTTGTCTTGTCTTCCTCATCCAACCCGCCCCCATCTAAACCGAATGAAAACCTCGACAAGACCTTAATATACACCAAACGAAACGACCTAAACAACTCAATCAATCCATCACTTTGGACTCTTTGGACACACAGTTCTACCAAACTAGTCTTTACAACACATTGCTAATTTATCGCTGTAAATCTGCAGATGCGAGTGATTCCCCTCGGCCGCTTTCCAAAGTCCGTACAAGTTTCGTTGCGATCGAGAAAGACGGTCGCATAGGCCTCGCACGACAGGCCAGCGGAGACTCCAACATCTCTGCGCGCAAACTCAGCGGCGACCCCGAGACGGCTTCCTCCATCCTGCAAGACCACACCAGGACCAATGTCTCAAGCCCAGACAGCACTCGATCAGAGCTCAACCGAGGCGCCGGGACCTCCGCCATCTCCCCTGCCTCGGCCCAAAACACTGAATCTACATCTGCCACAACTGCCACGGAGCCCTCTGCATCTACCAGGCCGCCAGCCTTCTCCGGTCCCACAGCCTCCGCCCTCTCCATTACTGGGTCCAGCTCTCCCAATTCACCTGCCGCCCCTGCCTCCCAGATCACCACCGCCACCAGGGGGTTCACCACGCCTTCCGGCCCTGCCGGACCTGCCAGTGGGAAGCAAGAAGGGCTTGCGGAGCCGGCCCAGATTAGGCAAGCTCCTCGGGGCGAAGCCGCCAAAGGTACCAGTGGCTGGATCCGTGGTCAAGCTGCGCAAGAGAGTCCGGTTCCACCTGTTCCTAGCCAGGCTCAAGAGAAAGGCCCTGGGAGCAAAAGCGACCTCGGCGGTAACATCGGCAGTTCCGGTGGCAGTGCCAGCGGCGGTGCCGCCGTCACCCCGACTCTGAATGGAGCAGTCGACAAGGCGAAGACAGCAAAACCGGCACCGGCACCTGCACTGAGATCACCATCATCGTCTTCGTCCCAAGCTAAAGCTGTCTCCCAAAAAGCACCTCGAGCAGCAGCAGCAGCCCCGAAACGATCTGCTACTCCGCCTCCTGAGAAGCCAGCAACAGAAAAGAAGACGCCCTCTACCGTATCTCCTGGCTTTGTGAAACCCCGACCAAAATCCCCAACTCGACCGGTCAAGCTACCTGCTTCGCTTACCACGCACACAGCCGCGTCAGGACAGAGAACCAAGAACGCTGGCCCACCTCCCGCGCACGCGAATCGACCTCAAAGTCGGACATCAGGGGTTTCGAATGGAAAGCCAGTCAAGAGGTCAGCCTCGGTGGCCGCCCGTCAACGGCCCAGCATCGGCCCTCCTCCAAAGCAGACAGCCAAGGACCACCCTGTTCCCAAGAGAGAGATCAAGGCGCCTGATGAGAGTTTCCTCGCAAGAATGACGCGCCCTACACAAGCGAGCGCCAACAAGGTCGCCGAGAAAGTGCAGGTGCCTACAACCCCACCTCGAAAGGTCTCTGCAGCGATCAGGAAGCCACCGAGCGCAAAGACAGGGCCAACTAGGAGGGTCGTCTCCAAGCCGGTGTCTGCGACGACCTCGGCTGCTGCAACACCAGAGGTCAGCAAGAAGGAGGAGTCAGTTCCGGGCAGAGAACTCACGAGGAAGATATCAAAGACTGCCATCGCAGAGGGGCCAATTACTGTCGCCAAGAGGACAAAGGCGAACAGGCCCCAGAAGATATCGGAGGAGAACGTGGAGGCCCCGACGTCGACCGAGCCTGAGTCTGTCCCGGAAAAGAACGAGACCAAGGTGGAGGACGTCCCCAAAGCGACTGAGAAGAAGGAGGATGATGATGCCCCAAACACATCTGAGAGCGACGTGCTCAAAACATCTGAGCAGAAGGGCCTTGACGCGCAATCATCTGAGAAGACGGAAGGCGCCCCAAAGGCATCAGATGCGCTGTTCGCAGATTTCATGAACCCTAGTACGGAGAAAACGGATACGCCCCAGACTAATGGTATCCACGAGCAAGACAAAACAAATGGGCACGTTTCCAGCCAAAGCCTTGATACCCTGGCTGGGGCTGAGGAGACTCAACAGCCGGCAACTGCTGCGCAGCATGACGAGGAAGAAGAGTTGTAAAAGTGAAGAAGGCTGCGCGGTATTGCAGTCAATTCCCTGGGTGTTGTTCTATCCTGTCCAAGACACCTACATTACGTGATGGATGTTTTGTTTCTTAGGGAGGGCCCGAATTCTTTTATCTTTCTTTCTTCCTTTTTCTCCACACATGATACCTCAGGAGTTTCCACCGGGTAGTATTGCCTACATTTAGTCGGGCGTTTGATGGACAAGGGCCTTGTACATATCTCTGGACAGAATGGGGTCAAACCATATGCGTCCTATGAAACCTGCAACGAGTAATAGAACACTCTTGCCTACAATTTTCTAAAGATTGAAGATTTCTTTATTCTTATGTCGGAAGGGTGAAAAATTGCTCATCTTTTCACGTTCTGTTCTATCTTTTGGGTATACCATATCTACTGGACGAACGTGGTAGAGATGATGGTGTGGGTAGATTCAACTGCGGCCGCGCGATATGGTGGTCTCCTGCACTGACTTGATGATGGGCAAGCTCAGTCAGACACCACCATGTCCCTCCCTCCTCACCAGCAGTCCCTCTTAATTGGCGAGACATTTCCTTCTTCAGAGCAGGAGACCTTCGAGTGGTGTCCAGCCCGAAATAAGTCTTCCAGACTTCTTTGCTCTTATGCGTGACCTCCTCTTCTCTTTCTCTCTCTCGCGCATTCATCTCAAGGGAAATCCAGTCGGATGTCCAGACCTTTCAGAGCGGCATGCGCCCCCAGCTTTCCAATCAAAGCCCACCCCCACTCAGTAAGGGCTCACGCGACACAATATCAGCCCGCCCACCTTCTTATCTAGCGCCTCTCTGATCTCGAGCACACCACTGTCGGTCGCAACAAACATGCACTCCCCGATCTTGAGCCCGTCCACATAGCCGCTCTCGAACCCCCTCGCGATGCGCCGCAGGCCGACGAGCTTCTGCGTAATGGGCCGCTTCGGCTTCGTCACGGCGCTCACGTTGCGCATGACCGGCTCGCCGTCCATGTACTTGAGGCCCAGCCACAGGCGCCGCGTGGCTACATTGTGGGTGGTCACGGGCTCGTAGGAGGTGACGGCGCCGGGTCCGCCGTCGGCGGCCGTGAGGAGGGTTTCTGGGTCGGGTGGCTGGGGCCCGCCGCGGACGACGGTGGAGATGAGGCCGGAGCGGTGGAGGGCGAGGGAGAAGAGGAGGTTCTGTTTTGTGTTGGGGAGGGAGGTGAGGCCCAGGCGGGCGCGGGAGGCGTTTTGCAGGTGTGCGCAGGCGTTGACTACGTTTGCGATGGGCATGGTGGGCGGTGGGTTTGGCGTGTGGTGGACGACAGCCGAGGGAGGTTGGAGGGGGGGGGGGGCAGAACCCTGCTTGAGGGAGGGGGGGGGGGGGGTTTGTGTGTAAGATGAGATAGAGAGATCCCCTTCTCTCTTTCTTTGCAGCCCTGTTGGGAAGAACACAAGATGTTCGTCGACGGTGGCCGGGTTTTAGTCGTTCGCTATGTGGTCGATCGAGGATGGAATTCGTAGGTCTAGCTTGCTTGGGAGGGTTTGGTTAGATTAGCCAGTCGCGCAAGAGGGCCAATTATTACTTCTGGAGCTTCAGTACTGACCTCCTCGACCTTCTTCTTATTGTACAATGCCGGCGTTCGGTTCTTTTTGGTGAGGGCGCACCACGGGTCGAGGGGCATTGATCGCTGTGCTTCAACAGAGTGGAAATTTCGAAGGGTAGAGACTCTCGCGTAGAGCACGGACCAGGGACAAGGATGTCTGTACCAGGAACAGTACAGGGTACGTACCGTACAGTAGCATTACACCATAGCACCAAACTACTACTACTATGGTAAGCACACTACGGTACACCGGCTTGTACTCTAGTATACTATAACTAGTGATACGGTACAAGCTCAACGGGAAAAGAAGCTGCCCCACCACAGGCCCTGGAAGACTCGACAAACGACTGGACTGCTAAGCGCCGAGCAGCAGCAGCACGATGCGGTGCCGGGGGTGTTTTCTTCTGGCAGGGTGAGGTGAACGCTGGTTGGAAGATCTGGACAGCGGCAGTGCCGGGGTTCATTCCGTGGAGGTGACGTTGAGGAGGGGAATTGGGCTTATACATAAAAAGGTGGGTTGAGCCGAAGTTGCGAGCACATTGTGCCTTCTCGTGAGATTCCCTTCACATGCGTATGAGCGTGTTTTCTCAGTCCTTCCCCTTCTCCCCCTCTTCTTTCCTCTCTTGGTTTATTTTGTGCACCCAATTTTATCGTCTCTGAACATCTAGTTCCTGGTTGTAAATCAGCTACTCAATCCATCTCATCTGTCTTCCTCTGTCATCTCCACTCCATCCAGCTGAGGACGCCGAGCTGTTGTTGCATCCGTGATCATGGCTGTCAGGCCAGGTGAAGAGAACGTGGCCACGCTGTAAGTGCGACGACAAAAGCACCCCCGAGAGCTGGAGTGAAAATTTCTCATGGAACAAAACACGCTGACAATGTCCTCCTGCGCAAAGCTTTGGCGATGTTCACTACTTCTACGGCCCACCAACCGCCAGCCCACCACACCACCGCTTCGACAAGGGCTCCTACGTTTACCTGTTTGAGAATGCAAGCGAGAGGAGGGCCCGTATTGAGGTCGCCAACCAGCCTGGGACGGAGGAGCAGGATGCTTTCGACGGCTGTGAGCACAAGTCACCTGCGCCACCTTTAGCACCACATACCTTCCACCTCTCATCCTCCTTCCTACTCAATGATCGTCCGTCGTAAGGTTATGGCTGAGCTGACTCTGGAGATGGATAAATACCAACAGTCCTCGACAAAGTTCATGTCACGTACTCATACAGACAGCAGTGCGTGGTGAACCTGATGGTTGGCGACGTCGACGGCCAGGAAGAGTGGCATCTGCCTACCTACGACCCGCGCAACGAGAACAAGTACCACTACAAGCTCCACTCCCTCGACATCTACTTTTGGACCCGTGAGGATGCCCTCTCCTTTGTCAATGGGATTCGGCGTGTCCTGCCCCCGAGCCAGGTCGACGTTCAGGACGAACCCGCACCACCACCACAGCAGCAGCAGCAGCAGCAGCAGCAGCAGCAGCGACAACAGCCCGCCGAGATAAGCGCCGTCGTGCAGAAGCTGGAGAACGTCGCCATCGCCGACGCCAACCTGGCCTTCCCACCACCACCACCGCCGCCGCCACCAGCAGCAGGAGGCCAGACGAGCCAAGACGGCAGCAGCAACGGCGGCAGCAGCAGCAGCACAAACTTGCCCTCCTTTGCCGCCCCGCCCCTCTCCGCCGTCTCCGCTGGCCACCACGACAGCAACAACGACAACCACAGCCCCAGCCCCCCACCAGGCAACTTCGTCCCGATGGCCTACAACCCAGCCGCCCCCGCCGCTCCCGAGCAGATCCAGCACCGCGAGAAGACCCCGCCCCCCGAGGACGGCGCCGTAAACCCGCTCCAGGCCCGCCTTATGCAGGACGCCGGCACCCCTTTCTCTCCCGGCCTCATGGGTCCCGGCGGCGGTATGCATCACCCTGGCGGTGGTCCCGGCCCTCTCAGCCCGGGGTTTGTTCCGCCCCAGTTCCAGCCTCCTCCTGGCGCCCCGACGTTTCCCGCCCCTCCTGTTGGCACTCCTGGCATGCCGCCCCAGGGCTTTGGTGTACACCAGCAGCAGTACCAACACCAACACCCAGGTCTGGCGCGCGCAGCCACAATGCCTGCGGCCACCGGGATGCCCTCGCCCGCACTGCAGTCCCCCTACAGCACCGCACAGCCCTTCCCCGTCAGCCCTGCGCCGCCATACGCGCCGGCCCAGCATGCCACCCCGCCCGTCACGAGCCCGGGCCTGCCGCCGCCTCCACCAGGCGGATACTCGAACTACTCGTACGCGCCACAGGGACATGGAGGAGCAGCGGCGGCGGCGGCGCCGGACCCATACTCGATTCACCAGCAGGCGTACAGGCCGACAGAGGGCGAGATGGCGGTCAAGTATGCGCCCAAGAAGGAAGTCCGGGGTCGTTTTGAGGATAATGCAGGGCGGATCGAGAAGGGCGTTACGGGGATGCTGAAGAGGTTTGAGAAGAAGTTTGGTTGAGGCGGGGGAGTAGGATGTGTATATATATATATATATATATATATATATATACACATATTTGTATGTTTTATTTTGTGGAGTGAATGAAGAGGAAGGGCTGATACTTGTGTGTGTGAGAGCCTCAGGAGTTGGTTTAATAGTTACAGTTTGTGCTGCTGGAAGGTGGCCCAGTGGGGGAAAGTGAGAGAGAGGCTACTATACCGATTTGTATTTGCTTGTGATTTAGCTAGCTGGCTGCTACAGATTCGGGTAGTCTAGTCATGAACAGTGTTGTGGAGTTGACATCAACTGCTAAGAGTAGTTGGACAGTTCGGGAACGGGTCTGCTGGCAGAGTAGGAATATCAATTCCTGGGACTTGCGCAGCTAATTTTTGCTTTGAAGGCGGGAGGAGTTGGTAAGTGGGTTATTTTCCAAGTTGGGAATCATGAATGATAATGTGTCCTATTCCGACAACAAGGCTACTTCACATGCGTACAATTCGCCTAGGATATCTAGCTTGTGACTTGCACTTGAATCTTCTTATGAAGTCGGGGGGTGGGAAAGAAGGTCCAGGTCAGCCTTTTCTAGAGAGACGCATGCACACCAGAGATGAACACAAGGACATTGTGTCACATCCTAGAGTGTAGCTGAGTTCCCTGGTTCCATTTCTCACGATCAAGGCCTATAGATGAAACCCATCTTTCCCTCTTTTCTTCGTCCTTCCATCCAGTCATGCGCGGTGCATTCGAGGCTCTGTCTGGTATAGAACAGAAGCCCAGCCAGCTAGCCAGCCAGCCAGCCAGCCAGCCTCCTCAAAAGGATGTTGCCATTGGTAACGCCGTTCCGTCCATCAGTATGCTCCTCAGTCCCGAACTTCGGTCTCGTGAATTCTAAGCTTCAACGAATGAATGCCTTTCGATCCGCCGTTCGACTTTTCTGTCCATTCAGGTCTTGAAGGTCGTGCTTCCTCTCTTTCCCTGTCTCTCTCTCTTTCCACAATGCGATTCACGTCATCTCGCCTTCGTTGGTCGCGGGGGGCCGCGCCATGGGCGGCTGGGCGAGTCGTCGCGTTCCATGTGGGAGGTGCTGTCGCTCAGAAGGTCCGTTCGACTTGTTGTCCCACTTGCAGTCCCATTTGTGATTCCAAATGGCAGAGTAGATGGAGTCATCGTGACGTTCGCCTCCTGTTCACTCAGTCGCGAGAATTTGTTGTTGTAGGTACGCGCGGAAGCTCGAATCTCCTCGAGGGTCTTCAAAGCAGTAGAAAAATCAATGTGTGCCAAAGGGTATAACGTGTAGCCGCATCTGCATGCTCGAACCATATCCCAAAGAGAGAAAAAAAGACAACTTTAATGACAATAACAAGCAGTCCTCGTCGGGGATTTCAGTCTTCCACCATTACGAGGAAGCTGCCGTCATGGGCCATTTGAACGTTGGCCGCCTCGGGGACGAGGAATACAGGTTCGTCGGTGACCCGGTACAGAGAGCCCGGCTGTAGGCCCCTCGTCACCAGGACCGTCCTCCCTTCTGCCTCGGCATCGCTGTCGCCGCCTTTTTCCGAGTAGCACCTGTCGAGGCGGACTCGTTCCTCGTCTCGGATGGACTGCCGTCGCGAAGACCGGGCATACAGATCCCACAGCGAGAGGGATAGCAGGATCAGGAACGACAGCAGGCAGGCGAGGCGGGTAAGCAGCAGGACGGATGGGTGGCGGGCGAGAAAGGCATCGATGGACGCGAGGGAGCGCGTGAGGCCGTTCATGGCCGACTCGGAGAGGCCGGCACCGAGCTGAACCTTCTCAAAGGGGCTCTCATAGAGGTTGTGGTGTTGAGCTGGGAGGAGATTAGTGGTCTGTCGGTCAGGGCAGTTTGGGCGCGTCATTGATATGAGTGTGAGAGAGGAAGAGAGGGAAAGGGTTGATGGAATGCTTACCTGAAGGCTGTATTTCTGAGTGCATACCTGAATTCAAGGGAGCAGCCCTCCATGATGGGTCATAGACCAATGGGCTCTGAAATGGCAGTGGAGCCATGGTGGTGTGAAGGGAGGAGTACGAGTGAGTGAGGAGATAGATGAGGGTGCGGGTAAGGCTGCTTCAGAAACCATCAAAGGTCTCAGGACAAGCCAAAAGTGTGGATGGTTGATCCTTATAGAGGGTCAAGCAAATCACTTGTAACAGAGAACAATCTCACAGGTGACAGCAGTGAGAAGGAAGGCCAAACAGAGTGGCTCAATTGAGGTGTTTATCAAGAGGAAGGGGGCGAGGCAAGAGAGACACAGCGGTATACTCGGGTCCGAGGGTGGCGTCAGCAGGAAGGTGAATGCGAGGTGATTATGAAGTTACCTTTTTTAGTGGGGGCAGCATATATATATATATATGTAAGAGTGAGAGAGGGAGTAAATGTGTGTGCATGTATGTCAGACTGTGACTCGTGCCATCCGTCCAAACTCAGAATGATCATTTATAGGATGACAGCATGACAGGCTTGAACATCAAAGTGGGGGCAACCGAAGAGGGGGGAAACAGCAGCATCAAAGGTGCGGCAGCTATGAGAGAGAGAGAGAGAGAGAGAGAAAAGAGAGTGCGGAGGTGAGGCTGAATACTGAGAGAGAGATCAGTCTTCTGAGCGGGTCCAGCGACACTATTTTAAAGAATAAGCTTGTTTCCAGGGTTCATCCGCTCATTGGGGCTTGTGGGCACAGTTGTCACCCCCTCACTGCACTAGGTCCTGCCCGTCCTGAATTGGGGTATTGGGGGTTCAGGAATTGGAGAGGGGGCGCAGGTGTCATACCAAATGTTTCTCTCCCCTGTGCAGTAAGCACTCTACCTCCCAATTGAACTCTGTGGTGCTACAGTAGGTATGCAGTGTACAGCAGGCCTTCCCTAGCAATCATGCCTACAATTGTGCACAGCAGAAACACAGCAGGGGATGGCCATGGCGACGGTGGTGGGGGGGCCTTATTGCTCTCGTCAGCAGCTCCTGCAGGTGCCACCTGGGCAGACAGAGAGGCCCTGGGCACCAACACTGACTGACACCCTGCCTGCCTGCCTAGCCTGGCTATCATGACCTGGCATTGCAGGAAGCAGCGGGCTCAAGGGATGCAGTCAGCAACCTTCCCTCCTGACCTGCCTACAGGCCATCCAATTGGGCGACTTTTCTTCAACCAGGCATGCAAAGACGGTAAGAGCCCCACAGGGCCAATGGTAGCGAGAGGGGTGTGTGTGCACATACATAGTATGCAATGCCACCCACCCTTGATCGCATCATTCAAAAGTCCGAGTCGCGCTTGTGTCCCTTTTCATCTTCTGCTGCTATTTTTTTCCTTACTCAACAATTCATGAGCCCTTGCAAGAATAATTTACCCTCATCATCATCATCATCATCATCATCATCATCAGTATTATCACCATCAAGACAACTCGCCCTCAGCCCTCGTCCTCCTCTGACGTAGGTCCAGAGGATAGCACGCACTGGTGCGCAACGACTGCCGGCAATATAGTTTAACCTAACGAGATGCTATGATTCCCTTCCAAGAGGGCCAAGAAGGCAGATCACCTGATTCCGGGCACAGCCCAGCACCTCAGAGGATACGCCTTGTCGACAAGGTTAGTGGCATTGGCCCAAAGTAGCCAAAATCTTTGAGCTACGCCCCCTTCCGGGTTTCCGAGCTGGGCGTCTTACCTTTCCCATCCAATCTCCACGGAATAGCATCAACGTTACCTTTATTTCCGGTGCAACCATCAAGTGTCTCTTTGGGCCCCCAAGATAAGAATATCTGCAGCAGGACGCATAGGTAATGAAGTGCCTTTTCAGCGCTGAGCCTCGGGAAGACTTTGCGACTTGTCATGCGAGGAGGATCTCAACAGAGGCGCCGCCGTTGCCTCTGGGCCAAGCAGAACAGTAATTATAGACCATCCTCCATGTCCGACTATCAGTACAGACTTTTGTCTCTATCAGATCGAATACAGCTTGGCCCAGATTCGACCATATCTTTTGGGGTCTCAAAATGACATTTTGACTGTAGCCGACCACAATCATTCATGGTACTGAGATGACGCTTAATCCACATGCAGGCAGCATTTATTCTGGGAAGCCGCAGCAGTAGTTTTACGAGTTACCTTCTTGTGCCTGGTGTTCTTTTATTTTTATTGTGACCTCGAGCGTGAGACCATACAAGTTCAGCTCGCGAGCCCATGACGAGCAGATCACAGTGTAGAGGGTCGAGCTCATCTCGGGCTCAAGTATGTACCATTCTGGGAATAGTGGCTTCATTTCTGTAGTACTGGATAGATACCGTGTCACTTTTGGCTACTCTGTACCTCAGTGCGTTCTCTTCTATCTTATGATGCAATCTATGGACGTATTTCTGGCACCATAAGAATATGACCCCCCCCCCACCCCCGGGGCCCATAGTAAAATGAAACAATTCTGCTTCTGCATGTCATTCGAAGTCTCATCCATTGCTATCTGACTTGTTGTCTTTAGGAAACACTCACTTCGTTGACATTCTGAATATCTTGGGAAAGTGTAAGCAATGAGATACGAGTTTGTGAAATGGTCGTGTAGCGAGCTGAGCAAGAAACGCAGCAAACCTTACAGCATCTGATCATCGCGACAATCTGCATAACGTTGATGAACATGGGCAATACTGTAAGCTGTGGCAATGCTTTGGAGGAATGTAATGACTTTGGTAGATTTGACCCGACCTGTTAGGGCCGATTTCGCCCCCTTTCTCTTCCAGAAATACTTTCCAACCCCTTTCATTCTGGTCGTAATAATGCAATACGCAAACAGGGTCAATTTCCGTGAGCTCAGTCGTTCAAAACATGTTTGGCTCTTCAGTCAAGCATGTGGACGAAAGAAAGGGCCTAACCGCCCTCTTCTCTCTTTTTTTCTCCGTATATTCAATCTTGACTCTTCTTCGTTCTCTTGTCCAGGATTCTCTGTAAGGACTGAGCCGCAATGCTAAGAGATAACCAATGCATAATACAAGACGGATCAAGACTATTGTTTACAGCTATCAAAAGACACCAAGCGCTCATTTTGAAAAGAGGCAAATATTGCCCATTTTTCTGGCTCTAATTCATCCTGTAGCATCAAGTTGAAGTCTCATTACGCAGCTGGCTAAGCATCACCCCAATATAACGTCACGTCACGTGTATTAATGCATCGGAACTTACTTCGGACTTCTTTGTTCTTCCTTCCCCTTTCTCCACCTACTGCTTCAGAGAACCATTTTGTGTGCCAAAAGGACAAGGCTCGGATGCCCTGCGGGCGCCGCCTTGCCAACGTTCTGTCAGTGGTGAAAAAGGGGGGCTTCCCGTCTGACCTCAGCACCCATTTCCTACAATGCATAATTATGTGGTGTTGCCACTGATCGATCTCGGTCTGCATCCTAGACAGTGAGCGACACCATAAAGCGCATTGTGATTATGAGCCGATGGGCCAAGATGAGCATCTACACCCTTGGCGGTGGCAGGAACTGGAAATTCAGAAAGCTGGAGAGGTAATCACAAGAGATATAGGGAACAGCCTTGACCTCGCATCATGATCCTGTGACTATAATTTGGCTGTCGAGCGCGTCCTTCTGCTGGCCGCCACTCTTGGGGGCCGCTGCCTGGTCAATTTGATCCCACTCCCACGTCGCTGAGGTGCGTGAACCACATGGCATGCATTCTTGTGTTTAATTTCCCTCACGTCAGGTTGGAAAATGAATCGCTGCCTGTATCGGTTGAGCTGGCTTGCAAATATTCAGAGCGACTTGGCCGCGCTCCCAAGCTCACTAGAGTGTTGAAAAATAGATCAGTGTTGTGTGAGAGATCCAGTTCGTCGTTCTCGACGTTGTCACAAGCCTGGACAGATTACCAGGCCAACCTGGGACTTTCCATTAGACTTCTGAACAACCCGTTTTCAATTCAGGCTTGGCAATTTATGTATTGCATCCAATGTATAACTGCCTAAGCGACTATTACAGCATTTTCTGGGATCATCACCACCGGTTGACTCACCCACGAGCTGCCAAGATATGGTGATTCTGTGGTGTGGTCCAGTCTCATTTTGCAAAGACGACCCGAGCGTAGACTGAGGAGCGGATTGCGATGAGCAAGGGTCACTCGCTTCCTGACCGACACTGCTCAACCTTGGCATAACTTTGCTCGCCACCTCCCGCTAGGCAGTTGCATGCCCGAGGCACTTGGCTACTGGACGCCGTACCTGGCGTATGCCATTCCAACACAGCCTTGAGGTCTTTTGCCAGTATGTTGCATCTGAATCCTTGGTCAGTTCGCTGCCATGCTTTCAAAATCACGAGTAGACTGTTTTCACTCACGTGCTGTTGCATGCCGTAGGTGTCTCTCATGAGCACTCCCGGAATCGTCCGGGGTTGTTGTGCTTTGTGCATACAACCGATGACGGACGACCAGTGCAGCCACTGAATAGCCCTTTGACTTTCCCCGTCGGCGGTCGTGCCCAGGTGGTCTGAACTGTCCAGTGTGAGGGCCGACCTCCCGCAGGACTACCACCAAGTAGTCCCCTCGAACATATATGCTCATCTCGACAAGGCGATGACAGAAAAATCCTGCGAATCGAAGAGAAGCCTCCATCGTAGACAACTTCACCAGCTCAGAGCCGCACTCGGCGCCTTGGCACCTCCCTGCGTCTGCGTCGTTCCCTTCGCCTTAGCCATAGGCTCAACAGCGCCCGCCACCGCCGCGGTCTCTTCCTCCCCCTCCGGCCGCTGCAGCAGTGGCAGCTGCTCCTCCAACCCCCACACCCGCATCTGCTCATCCACAACAGCGCTCCATTTCCTCACAAGCGGGTGCGCCCCCGCAACATGCGAGAAGACAACGTCCTCCCTCCCTTCTCCCGCCGCCTCATTGTCCCCCTCCCCCTCCCTCTTCTCCTCCTCCTCCTCATCCACATCATACTTCCACGTCCCGTCCGCGTTCCAGTACACCTCACTAAACACACTTCTGACATTCAACTCGGCCCGCGCCTCCGCAAGCAGCCCGCTCGCGACCTCGAGCTCCGCTGCCGCCGCCGCCGCCGCCGCCGCAGAAGAAGAAGAAGAAGAAGAAGAAGAAGAAGAAGAAGAAGCAGCACCGGAAGAGCGGTTTCCATCGCTGACGCTGGCAGCGGTGGCAAGGGCCCCCACGATCCCCTCCAGCATCCCAAGCAACCGTCCGACCGTCAGCCCGATGGTTGCGCCCAGCCCGAACCCCTCATCGAAACCAGCCTGGATGCTACCTGCCTTGGAGACGGTGACGCCATCACGGTAGCCGGCTGTGGCGTGCTCCTGCTGCAGACGGTGGATGTCGGAGGGGTGGCTGCTGTTGTGCACCGAAGACGTTGTTGTTGTCGTCGTTGTCGTCTCCTGCCTGGTCGTGATTCCGGACTCGTGGTTTTCACTATGCTGGTGCTGCTCCTCATCGAAGAAGGGCGATCCATTGCTGTCATTGTCGGAGCCAAAGACGTCGTCTAGTGGGTCGATGCGTGGGATGCTTGGGTCCTGGGTGGGTGGTTCCATGCTGATCGAGTTGATTGCGTGTTCTGGGTTGGACTGCTTGAGGAGCATTTTGTGGTTCATGGTATGCCGCGCCCCTGCGTTTTTCTATAGTGATTGTGGACTTTCAAAGGAGGCTGGGTTGATGATGATGAAGGCGGCGGCGGCGGCGGCGTCGCTCTCGTTGTTGTCGTTTCCAGTTGAGGTGATTGGTGAGAGAGAGAGAGAGAGAGAGAAAAAAAAAAAAAGGAAATTTTGGGTTGGAGTCGATTTGGTGATGAGCGATGAGAAGGAAAGGGTGAGCCTTTTTCAACCCTAACCCTACCCTGGTATTGGTTTTTTGTCTATGATGACCACTTTAGAGAAGATGCAACTACGTCCACTTGTTATTTACATGTGACATGTATTGTTATCGATAAATCAATGGTGTTTTGTGATGGCATTTTGTTTTCTCACTCTCTGGCGAAGTACTTGGCGTTTCAATAAATGACTCAGGCCTTGCATCGACACCAGGACCAGCCTCAAGTAAAAGCACTTCTAATTATATTCATTTGATAACATGCGACCATGTTTGTCACAAACTACTATCTTCCTTCATCAAAAATATGTGGCACACATCATACCTTCAGCCCCATCTTCCTCTGACCGACCACATCCACCAGCTCCGTCGTCGGCTCGATATAAGGGCGAATAGTATTCCTCACCAGCGTCCGCTGCTCAAACGCATACGCCAGCCCAATCAGGTTATACTCGTCAAACCTCGCCCCCATAAAACTCAGCCCATACGGCAGGTTGGGCGCCGAGGCGTTCAGGTTCCCGAACCCGTTCAGCTGGACCGTCGTGTTGGGCGGCAGCGCCCCGAGCGGCACAGTGACGACGGGCGCCCCGAGCAGGGCGGGGAGGAACGGCGAGAACGGCGTGGGCACGACGAGCGCGTCCAGCGAATAGTTCTGCAGCGCGCCTGTGATGCCCAGCGGGCCTGCGTAGAACAGCCCGGCTGTGTAGTTGGACCAGAACAGGGGCGAGTCGTTGCCGTACCCGAGCTCGATGGCCGACGTCCACACGAGCGTGTCCCGCTCCGGCCAGTCCTCCAGCGGGAACCCCTGTGTGAAGTTCTGCAGGTCCGAGACCGTCTTGATGTTGTGCGGGTTCTCGACCAGCTCGGAGAGGTATTTGGCCAGGTCGGTGTTGAAGTCGGCCTCGAGCACGACGTTGGGGTAGTTGGCCTCTGCAAGCACGTCGTACCCGGGCAGGGTGATGTTGTCCACGACCGTAGCGCCCGCCTCGCGCAGGACGTCCAGCGCGGCGTTGAACACTGGGATGGTCGGGGCATAGTACTCCTGGCCCGTCAGGTCGATGTAGTTGCGCGGCACGCCGATGCGCTTCCCGCGCAGTGCGTCCAGCTGGCACGCGTCGATGTAGCTGGGCGTCTTGTTGAAAGGCATCGCCGAGGTGTAGTTGTCGTTGGCGTCCTGGCCTGCAATGGCGGTGAGTATGTGCGCTGCGTCCTTGACCGTCCTCGTCATGGGGCCCACGGTGTCCTGGTGCTCCGAGATGGGGATGACCAGATACCGCGAGGTGAGGCCCACGGTTGGCTTGATGCCCACCAGGTTGTTCTGGTTCGAGGGCGAGAGGATCGAGCCGTCCGTCTCGGTGCCCAGACAGCCCGACGCCAGGCCCAGCGAGCTGGCTACACCGCTCCCGGCTGAGGAGCCCGACGGGTCCTGTCCAGGAAAGTAGGCCCCCTCGGTCTGTCCTCCATAAGCAGACCACCCATTGCTGGTATTGTCCGACCGATAATTGGCCCACTGCGACAGGTTCGTCTTGCCGAGCAGGACGGCGCCGGCTTTGCGGAGCTTCGCCGCCATGGTGGAATCAGACGGGACCTTGGACCCCAGCAGGGCGTAGGACCCTGCCGTGTTGTTCATCTTGTCGTCCGTGGCAATGTTGTTCTTGATCAGGATGGGAATCCCATGCAGCGGACCTCGAGAGGTTCCGGATGCACGCTCCGAGTCCAGCGTGGCCGCAATGCTGAGGGCGTCCGGGTTCAACTCAGTCACCATCCGTAGAGTGCTGTTCACCTCGAGGATTCGAGTCGTGTATGCATTGACCAGGTCAACACTTGTGAAGAGGCCCGTCTCCAAACCCCATAGCAGATCATCGATAGTTGCGTCGATGAGAGGAGGAAATGGTTTCCCGTCAATCGCGGTGCTGGCGTTGGAGCAGGAGAGCTGGCACTGGCACAACCCAACCGCTGTCGCCACCAGAGTGACAATTCTCTGCATAAACCTCGAGCTCAGCATCTTGATTGACTCGTCCCAGCACACGAGGAGAGGAATGAGGAGAAGGAAAGCTGTGGGGTAGAGACATGCTCCAGGTCGCCGCCGAGCCATGAGGAGAATGGCACTACTACTTATTTAACCGCGAGAGGATGTTACTCAACACAACCTCCCAGATTCCTGATTGATAATCGTCTTGTCAGACTTTGTCCAGGCTCTACGGTAAGAGGCTTATCTAGACTGTGCATGCCGTCTCTGGGCTTCCAGGAACCCGATTGCTAGTGCCAGGAGAGCTCCAAGGGCAAGGTGAAAAAGAACAAGCAGTAAGTAAGAATCAACAGGGGTGATCTTCGATGTGTGAGACAGAGAGCACTTGAGTGGTGTCGTCATGAGAATCTTGAGAACCGGATATCGCACCGGAGAAATATGTTGGTTGCGCCACGAATTGGCAATGAATATCTTATCTTGTGCAGAGATCCTTGGATGCAACGCTTCTATCATAGCGCCTGAGCTCGCACCTGCTCGTAAAGAGCCAGGGCTGGTTCATCTAGCACGGAATTTCTCTACATCGTACAGAGTGGCGACGATTGAACGGGGTTGGAGGGGTAAGGGAATTGTTCGGACAAGGGAAGATGGGAGCTGCTGTAGTATCGCGAAGGCTCCTTCGGACGCTGGGTTGAGGTGGGGAAAGGAGGGGTCCGGCAATAAGAAATGAATGGACCCTTTTGCTGTATATTGTCCTTGTACACCTGGTGCCCTGTCAATATGGCAATCTCATAGCTCAGCACCCCGTTTCCTGGAGTATCGTAGCAGCATGGTCAATGAAGAAGGTATATATGACGCACAAGACTTACAAATTTTGTACAAGAGGTGCAGATGAGCCAATACTCGGAATGTGAACAAGCCCTGGCTAGGGAGTGGTTTCTCTCTTGGGAATTTTGGAAGAGGATGTTTGCAGTCTACAGCATGAACCTGCATTGTCGGGCCATGAGAGACATTTGCTGAAGGCGAGAGAGGGGTGGGCTGAGCCTCTCTCTCTCCCCCTCGTCAGTCCAGGTCCCTTAATCTTCTGCAGCTTTCCAATCCTGCCTGTGCTTGTCTGATATTTCTCAACTACCACACAGGGCTGATGGGGCTGGTCCGAACACACAAGCTGACGAGTCAGAAGCGAGATATATACAAAGATGCTGTCTTAACCAACATCGCAGTCCAGACCAGGAGGCGCCAATCGGCAAAGACAGGCTAGGCCTGACCAAAACATACAAAAGCACCCAAAGGCAGGTGGTGTATTAGAACGACAGCCGTACATGGAACATTGGCGGACCTTCCTGCGCGAGATGTGCGCCCAGCTGATCGTCGTTATGGATCTGGAGCGGGAAGAGCTGCGAGACCCCCATGGCATTAGGCACCTTCACCATGCCTATCACCTCTACACAGGTTGAGCCTGGGATCTTCTGTGCGGCGACCTGGCGTAGCTCCTCGAAAGAGGGCGTCGGCGAGGTGAGGCAGGCGATCCAGATATCGCCCTCGCTTCCGTCGGGGTGTATCTCTCGCAGGTAGATGGGGACAAGGTTGCTGTTCGCTGTGGGTATTTGATATGTTGCTGCTTGTGAGTTGTCGTAGGGTGATGGCGCGGTGGGCATCGGTGCTGGTTCTGGCATGAACTGCTGGTTGGAGGCCATGAAACTGCCCTGCGCATTCGGATCCAGAAGAAGGGAAGAGCCCAGCTGATTGTCCATCGGGATCTGCATACCCATCTGCGGGTCGACAAGATGGCTTGGTAGCATGCGTGGTGGGTGGCTATGGGCATGAGGCTGCTGTCCGGGCACGAGTAGGGCAGCCGCAAAGCCAGTGCTGTTCTCGTTCATCTCCCTCATGTCAGGAGCGCCGTCATCATAATGGCTATCTTCCATAGCGACGGCAGGGCCCTTGTCCTTCTCCCTGCATCCCCTGCGCTTGTTTTGGTCGTCCCGCAGCCTCTTCATGACGTCGGTCGCGATGGCCTCCACGGCCTTGATTCTCATCTCATATCTCTTGGGGTCATCCAGCCTGCTTAGTACCTTGCGCAGCATCTCGCTGTCATCGATCCATTTCTGCTTCAACTCCTTCCATCGCTCGGGACCCAGCGCCACCTTGCTCGTGAAACCATCCCGCTTCAAAATGGCATAGAACTTGGCCCGCACTTCCCTCGACTCGGCCGGGTTCAGACCCAGGATGTTCTTGGCATCGGCGAGTGCAACGCTTCTTTCTCCTCCGCCCGCGCCTGCACGCATCCGCTTCGTGACGTCCGAGCAGATGACATCCAGCGCCAGCCTCCTCCTCCCCTGTGCGGCAGGGTCGTTGTCTACCCACGCGCCCTCCTCTCCTAGGGCTGGGAAGGCACCTATCAGCTCTCTCTTGGCATCCTTCCACGCCTCGGGCCCGGCGAGCGTCTTCTTTGTGATGCCAGCGGCCTCGCAGATCGCTTGGAATCTCCCACGCAGTGCTGCATAAGAGGCTCTGTCCAGCCCCAGGATCGCCTGGCTCTCTGCCAGGGTCGTCTCGGAGGGGAAGCGAGGAGGGCCAGGCGGGTCTGCAGGGAGACCTGCATATTGACGCGTACGTCGCCGCCGTTTTCTCGCGGCCCAGCGCTGTGCGGATTCTGCCTCCATCTCGAGGCGGCGCTGGGTCATCACCTGCGAGGAGATACCAGCCTTGTCGGCCTCCTCACCACCACCACCACCGGCACCGACCAAAACATCTTCAACAGCGACATCATCGCTGTCGTTATCCTCGTCACCGTCGTCGTCGTTATCATCATCATCATCATCATCATCATCGTCTTTATCATCAGCATCATCATCGTCATCAATATCATCATCGGGCAGGGCATCATGAGCCAGTGCTCGACGGCCAGTCCCGCGTTTTGCACGCCTCGCGTCTGAGGCAGGCGTCCGCAGCAGCCACCTGTGCGCACTACGTACACGGTTCAGCTCGCGCGACTTGATCTCGAAGCCGTCCTGCAGATTCAGGACGCGCAGCATCTCAGCCTGCGACAGGTTGCGCTCCCAGAGCTCCCTGACGCGGGCGACGAGGGCTTCATTCTTGAGTGCGGGCTGCTGCCTGGAGGGGAGATTCCACCGGCGGAACTGAGATGCATATGCACGTTTGCTATGAGGAAAAGAACCGTGTCAGCGAGCCCAAGACTTGATAACCTTTAGGCTCCGGGACGCCAGGCCCGGATGGGTTTCCGAGGTTGGGTCGTTTATACGGCAGGGCATACGGCTCGCCGAGGCAGTTTCGCCGGGCAAAACGTCGCGCCGCCGGAACGGCATGCATGACGAAGACGGGAGTAGACATAGAAGAAAAAGAGAGACGAACTGCATACCTTGGCTTGAAGTTGTGGTTCACGCGCATATGCTCGATGATTTCCTCAACCTGCTTGTTCTCGTCGACATAAAGCCGGCAGATGGTGTCCTTGTGCTTGTCCCATTCATACACCATTCTTCCAAACACATAATAGAGATAAAGTAGGGTGTAAATGAACCTGTTCTCAAGGGTGCATTTGGCTGCGAAATTGCACTTTTGGTCAATGTCGTTCGCCGCCGTCGGGCTCGTGACTCTAAGTGAAGGAAAGGATCCCTCTTCCCAAAGCACATGCTTACCAGACCCTTGGGTGGACGTGCAGGGAACCCCCCTCTTCAACCCTGAACCCTCTTCTTGATCTTCTTATCGATAAGCTTCTCTCCCAGAAATTTCTCGGCTCTGCATCCATTTACCTGCATCGTACCTTTCCACCACTTCCTCCTCCCCTATCTCCTCCTCCCCCTCCTCCTCCTCCTGTTCTCTCCTGCGACAGGTCATTCATTCAACCCTTCTGTCGCAGCCCAACAGCCATGGATATCCTCAAGGTCTTGTCGCTCGGCACGACCAAGAAAACCCACAGGCCTGATGGTAGTGTCCCTGCAACCAGCGCCGCAAGACTCCCATCCGCCGGCAGCAGACCTAATGCGCAGTTCTTCCACGACGAGATCGGACTGAATCGAGGCACGAAACGGAAGAGGCCTGACGAGGTGGAAGATGAGGCGAGCGACGAGAACCTCAGTGATATTGACTTCTTTGCGCCAAAGGACGAGGTCAAGGGCGTGAGCAGGAAGAAGGCCGACAAGCCCAAAGCCAAAGATGACGACGAGAAACCCAAGCCCAAGGCCAGCAAGGCCCAGCTACTGGACGAAGACGAATGCAAGCAGATCCTGCGGTCGCACAGGCTGAAGTTCACCTTGTTATCAAACGGGGCCGAGAAGAAGGCAAAGGTCAAGAAGAGCACGAAGAAGAAGAAGGCAAAGGCTGTTGAGGAGGTCAAACAAACCAAGAAGCAGCTGTTCCCGCAGCCTCTGCGAACTTTTGGCGAGCTGCGGTCTACATACAGGATCTCGGGCCGGCTGGCGGACAATATTGAGGCACAGGGGTACAAGGAGCCTACAGAGGTGCAGATGAGCAGCCTGCCCCTGCTGCTAGATCCCAAGACCGCCCTGGCAAAGAACACAGGAAGCGATGTCTCTGCACAGCCCGTCGACTTCATCGCGGTTGCGCCAACGGGAAGTGGCAAGACCATCAGCTTCTTGATCCCTGCCATCAATGGGATCATGAGAAGGCGAGGTGGCGGTGCCGATGATCGCAAGCAGCACGGGCTGGAAGTTATCATCCTTGCCCCGACCAGAGAGCTTGCCAACCAGATCTTGAACGAAGGGCGAAAGCTGACTATCGGAACTGGTCTTAAGGTTGTGGCTATGAGGAAGGGCATGCGAATCGCCACAGGAGAGGGAGAACCAAGGGAGGAGGAGGGTAGTGAAGGCGAATCCTCCAGCGGCACTGACGATGAAGACTCGGGCCCCGAGAGCGAGGACGAGGACGATGCCACAAAGCCAGTCACCAAGGCGGATATCCTGGTGACAACACCAATGCTGCTGCTCAACTTGCTGAACAGAGGGAAACTGACGAGGACCCTGCCGTCTGTCAAATCTCTCGTCCTGGACGAGGCGGATGTGCTTTTGGACGAGCTATTCCGTGACCAGACGACAGGCATCTGGTCGGCCTGCACAAATCCAGATTTACAGCTCAACTTTTGGTCGGCGACTATGGGGTCTAACATTGAGACGATTATCACGGATCGGCTCAAGTCACACGAAGAAACCCGCCACGTCCCCTCTAGGCCGCTCATCCGCCTCGTCGTCGGCCTGAAAGACACAGCAGTCCCCAATATCACCCACAAACTCACCTACACGGCCACCGAGCCCGGCAAACTCCTCGCCCTCCGCCAACTTCTGCACCCGAGCTCGGGCACCGACGCAGGTCCTCCTCTCCGCCCACCATTTCTCGTCTTCACGCAAACCATCGACCGCGCTACGGCTCTGCACACGGAGCTGAAATACGACATCCCCCTCGAGGCTGGCGGCTCCTCCCGCATCGCCGTTCTGCACTCCTCCCTGCCAGAGTCCGTCCGTGCCGACATCATGCGGCGCTTCCGCCTTGGCGAGATCTGGGTTCTCATTACAACCGATGTCCTCGCGCGTGGTGTCGACTTCGCCGGCGTCAACGGCGTTGTCAACTATGACGTCCCCTCGAGCGCGGCCGTATACGTGCACCGCGCGGGACGTACCGGCCGTGCGGGTCGCGAGGGCGGTGTTGCCGTCACGTTCTACACCAAGGAGGACATTCCCTTTGTCAAGAGCGTGGCGAACGTGATTGCGATGAGCGAAAAGCAGGCAGGGAAGACGGGCGAGACGGCAGATGTGCAAAAGTGGCTGCTGGATGCACTGCCGGATGTGAAGAAGGAGGACAAGAAGAAGATGAAAAAGCAGGGCGGGGTGGCGGCGCGCAAGACGGCAAGGATCACGAGCAAGAGCGCCTGGGAGAGGAGGAAGGAGAGAAACAAGAGAGATGCGATCCAGGGAAGTAAGAAGAGGAAGGCGAGCGAGGCTGGTGAGAAGAAGAAGGATGGCGAAGGTGAGTGGAGTGGCTTGGACGACTAAATACTAAATCAAGTAGTATTTGATTGTCGAAATCAGGCACTTCTGGTTGAGGAAAACGGCTCTGTCCCTCTCAACTCGCAAAATCCTTTCCGCACTATCAGTCAACTTTTGAGGGCATTCAAGTCATATTAAATATGAGACCACCTCACAACATAAAAGCCAAGCTTTTTTTTTTTTTTTTTTTTAGTTAGATCAAGACTATCTGTGCTCAAAGTGCTGAGGGATAGTAATGTATAAACTGAGGTCTTGCTAGCTGTCCAGAGGTCTAATCAAGAAAGGGCAACTGGTCATGAAGTAATTCTGACCGCGGAATGTCAAGTTATTATGGAACTGAGCACTGAGCAGACGACTGGCTGCACCATTGAGACTTTTCACCTACTCACAGTTGCAGTCTTTGACTGTTGCAGATTTTGATCTATGTTCACAGTTACGGTGGCACTGGAAACTGGACTGTTTTGGTAATGGCTCTGAGTGTCATAAGTAAATTGCCCAGTATTAATTATCTCTCTAGACTCTTGCTTGAACGGGGCAGGACAATTCACTGATTAGGAACAAGATATGAGTTTAACAGTACAGAAATTCATCATGCAACACTGTATTAGAATTGTTGTTAAAGTCTTGTGCCTGAAGCAGCACCCATCGGTAGCAACGTAATCCACCGAGCCCAATCAGACTTATCACCGAGCAGACAGGACGGATCAGCGCCCCTCTGCAGAACCCCCCGCTCTCAAAGTTGACACGGTGCTGCATGACGACTGCAGTGTTTCAAATCTCCATTTTCCTCGCTCTATCTAGTTGTGTTCCTGAATTGGAAGGGGAAAAAAATATATCAGTCGCGTGAGCTGTCTTTCCTGCAAACCACCTTGATCCTTCTGAACCAACAACTCCTCTCAACCGGCAAAAAACATCCGCGGAATCATCTTCTAAACCAGCTGACAGTCCAATCCGTGACGGCGTAGCGAATGACGTGCTGGTATGCTTGTTTGTAACCATCCAGGGTATACCTCTCCCACTGCTCTCCCCTCGCTGGCTGACCATGTATGCTTCTCCCCCGCAAGCACAGGGCCGCACAGCAGCAGTTCATCACCTGCATGAGATCCCTCTCACCTAACCCCTTCGCGGTTAGGGCCCCTCTCATAATAACAAGCGGTCTCTCATATCCTTTTGGAATATACATAAGATATCCGGCCCCTCGGTAAATAGCAGTGTGACCAACATGCAGCACTCGCAGTCGGAGGAACTCCAAGGTCTCCTCGACGAGGACCACGTGGACATTGAACTAGAAACTTCCTCGGACAGAGGCAGGCCGCCGAGCCAGTACACCGAGACCATGTTTGCAGACTTTTTCTCGAGGTGGCGGGATGCCACTCCATACCTCCTTTTTTGCGCATTCTTCTTTGCGTGGGGTGATATTCTCTTCGGCCTCGACACGGGGTCTTTTGGTTCGCTCGAGGCGCTGCCCTCTTTCCTGAACCATTTCGGTGAAAATGGCGCTTTGTCGACATGGCAGAAGTCGGTCATGAACTCAAGTAATTCCTGTCTTTTCTTTTCCTCCTCTTTTGTGCTCTTTGATTCTCAGTAGGCGGTATTAACTTTCTGTGTGTGTGCGCGTGTGAAGTTGTCTGGCCTGGGAAGCTGGCCGGAGTATTCGCCTTTGAGCCGTTGCTTCACCGTGTTGGGTATAAAAAGTCGGTCTATTTTTGTTGTGTTATTCAATTCATAGCCATCATCAGTACGTCAGATTGATTTTCTCTTTAGTGCTACTATCCTTTTCTATTTTTTCCTTCTTGTAGACAACAAAATTCATTCCAACACTTTGATTACACGCCCAATACTAAGTCCATTACCTTTTCAGTTGAGATCACTGCCAAGGAGTGGGTGCAATACGAGATTGGTCGCATCTTGGCCTACTTCGCCGTTGGCATCATCGAGGTAATCAAAATCACAACTCGGCTTTTTCATCACATTCACTCCCTCCTCAACCTTCTAATCACATTCCCGAGCAGAATGTCGTCCCTTCGTACCAGGCAGAGATTTCTCCAGCATCTCTCCGAGGCTTCATCACCGGATCTATGATCAGCGTGGTGACTCTGGGCAATATGTGGGGTGCAGGAATGGGACAGGCCATGGCCAAATATACAACAAACGCTGGCTGGCAGATCCCCACGGGCGTACAGTTCATCCCCGCACTCATCCTCGCTGTGGCTATACCCTTCACCATTGGTAAATGAATAAACTACAGCACCCCAATTCGTAGACAAAGGCACCCGACCAGTCTTGGCTAATGATAAATCTACACAATCCCAACAGAATCCCCGCGTTGGCTGGTCCTGAAGGGGCGCAAGGAACAAGCTCTGCAGAACCTGAACAAGATCCGCCCACAGAAGCTCAGCGAGAACGGAGTCACAAGTGCAGAGATCGATGCCATCGACTTCGCCATTGAGTCCAACGACGCTCTTGACCAGGGCTCTTGGTCAGAGCTGTTCAGGGGTACATACCTGCGGAGGACTGTCGTTGCTGGGCTCCTCTTTTGGTTCCAACAGACGGCTGGCGGCCAGTTTGGTGCGTCTCTTTTCTCATCCCGCGTGTGAACAATCAGCAGGTAACTGTTGATTACTTAAGTACTGACCCTGAACTCATCAAAAGTCAATTCCTACGGCCCTACGTTCTTCAAGCAGATGGGCTATGGCGATCTGTCCTTCACCTACTCTTTCCTGGCGACAGTGGCTGGGTGCATAGCTGCCACCATAGGTATGCTGTTCGTTGACAAGGTCGGCCGCAGGCCGCTCATGATCTCGGGCATGTTCTTTGCTGCGCTGTTCAACTTCATCATCGCAGGGATCGGCACCAAGGAGACTCTATCAAAAGCCGAGACGAATGCGGTCATTGCATCCCTCATCCTGCTGAACGTTTCATGCAAGTACTCGGCGAGTTTGACCGCCTATCTGATCACCTCAGAAATCGGAGGGATCAGAATGAGGAAGAAGAGTACGTACTACTCCTTGAGAGCGTGTTCATGAGACGACGTCCTTGTAGGTTTCAAGCTGACTGTCTTTCAGTTATGGCGTTCGCCACCGCCATTGACGTGCTCTCTGCCTTCGTCATCACGTTTTGTATACCCTACCTGCTCGGCACCCCGGGCGCGAACCTTGGAGCGGGTGTAGGATGGATCCTCGGGGGAGATGCCATTCTCGGGTGCATATTTGCCATCTTCTTTGTCCCTGAGCTCACGGGTCGGTCTCTAGAGGAAGTTGATGAGCTCTTCGAGGCCAAATTATGGGCGTGGCAATTCAAGGGCTACAAGACGTCCGGAATTGGCCACAGGATTGCCATTCTTGAGGAGCACGATGCTACTAACAAGGGTTTTGGAGAGGAGGTTACTAGAGAGGCGCCTGAGAGCTCGCATTAGGACAATGCTCAGATTCGGCTCGGTCCATGAAGGTAATAACATACCACCGATCTAGATCCAATTAGAATTCTAGAGATTTACCTGAGACGCATTGCTCCACACAGAGAAGCAAGAGGGCAAATGCCACTGGACATCCAGCGTACACTAGGCCTTTTCTAATACTATCAGTATAGAAGAGAGAGCTTTTGGTCTATTAATCAATGGCCTATCAAAAGCACTTGTATATGGCATCTCGCATAAGCACGATTTGTCTACAACGAACAGACCAAAGTACTACTGTCCTTGCTATAAATCAGTAGTACAGAATTAATACCCACGAAAGATTTGGCTGATATTCATAATGTGTTCCCTAAGTCCCTTGCAGATTCGCAGTCTGTCGCTAACATCTGACCAACTCCCCAAGTTGGTGCAACGCAACTTCTTGAAAATCCATCACTCTGAAAAAGCCATTGCAAGAGAAGAGTCATGTTACTTGCACAATCGTTGATTTGACCATTTTAATGAGGGAAACCAGGCATGCAAAGCACTCCAGGCATGCATTGTTGCAAAGTGCAGTTCTTTGACAACAGTACTATGCCATCAGAGCCCAATGACTAAGGGGCTATGTTTTAGAGCAACAAAGAATGATAGGCTTACTGGAGAATTTTTCCTTATTTCGTTATACCAATGAGACTCAATGGCATTGTTCATTGCGGATGCTAGAAATGAAGGGGAAGGTCAATATTTATATGCAAGGCAAGCACCTAATGATTGCTTCTGAAAAGTAATTGAGCTAGACTATCCTGCGGCCTACAGCTTACCTCGTATCAAGTGACAAATTGTAGCAACAAACGGAGAGAAAACACTAAAGTAGAACGCACGATTCTGGTTACCATCCTGCCGACACCATGGGAAACGTCCAATCTCGATCCAAGGTATCCCGAGCCAAGGTGTCTCGTCCCAAATCGGAATATTTAGTCATCTTTCACGGGATTCAGTCTACGCATGAGCTTTCAGACGAATACCTCATTGGCCCAGAGCCAGAGGAGCTTCCATCGGAAGCTGATATTGCATTCCTCACCTCTGATGAAGCCCTAAAGGCTCCGGAGGAAGAGCTAGAGGAGGAACAGTGCTTCCTCTGGCCGTATTCCTACGATCATGTCGGCGCCCGCCAAAACACAAAGGGCTACTCCCCTTTGCAACTTCGCCGTCCGGAGTTATACGCTGAGTACTGGGCTGGTAAGAACAAATCTCAGAAATAGCGTCGAAAAAACGTAGCAGATATTTTATTGAAAGTAATCGGAGCCGTTATGAGCAAAAGGCAAGTGACCACATTCTCACAACATGGAGCTCCATCTACAACGCGGGCATGGGAGACGTTAAGAAGATTCAGTGAATTTAAGCAAAATTTGTGAGACAATCGTGCATCGCAGGAGCCGTGACTGGGAAACGCTAACTCGTCTCAAACTCAACTACACTGCTAGAAATTAGGCCTGAGGTATTGTCTTTGATCTCAGCGAAATAGCACAGAAAGTACACTTCCAGCGTGGAAGGACAGACATCCGCAATCACACACCTTCAGACCAACCCGCGTGTCTTCATTTTTAGGTAGTCAAATTGTGCATGAGACGCCAGTCCGGGCAGAATCCCATTCGTAGCCAATCTGCCCTAGAATCTCCTGAAAACGAGGCCCTCCGTGTGAAGTTCACACAAACATTGATACTAGAACGGAAGTGAGGTCGAATTACGTATCCAGGATGTGAGGACCAAACCTTACCGAATTACCACACAGTATTACCAGATTCCGGACTTTTTTTCTCACACACACGCACACAGAAGACGTTCCCACCTTAGAAGTCATTATTAATTGTCCCTCTACCGCCCAAGCAGGGATACCAAAACTCTGCAAATCCTACGCCGCAAACCCCAAGGCAGCAAGCCCTCCCACGACGTCATGCGTCAAGAGAAACCACATGAGGGGAGGCTGGAGTCTGCAGGTCGCCAGCGAAACTTTTTTTTTGGGGGGGGGGGGAAGGAAGAAAAGGATCCAGCTGGACTGCACGTACCTGCATTAGTCTCCAGGTCCCACCGCTCCACTCTACCTGCATGCAATCGTGAACTCCTTCAGAGAGCCTCGTCATGTATTGTAAGAGGAGGAAGGGGGGGTTGCTCCAAGGATGATAATCACTCCACAAAAGCCCTTCTCTCTGTCTACTTTCCTCTTCTTGACATATTATTCCATCAAGAGTGGCTGGGGTCAGCAGCTCGGGCCCCATCCCCCGGGGACCGCTAGCCACGAAGGATCGACCAACGCACTTTGACAGGTCTGTCTCTCTTTGTGTCCTTTTTGTTTTTCCCTTTCTTTTCTTTCTTGCCTCGGTCTTGTCCCTTGGCCAGCCGCCCGCGTCCCGATAAACCTTTCGAATCCATCCACTCGTTCAAATTTCCGAGAAACGGCCGGCCGTCCCTGAGACACGTAGGAGCAGAGATGGAAGTCAGTGGAACTGCTTTCTTCCCATTCGGACTATCCCACTCTGTAAAAGCTCAATAGTTTTGCGTCTAGAATCACGGGCCAGCAAGAAAGGCTTTTCCTCAGAAGTCGTGCCGGCAAGATTGAACATGCGCCGAGGAGACTTCAATGAAGGCAAGACGGTATGCAAAAAGAGAATCACAACATATTGCCATTTAGAAGCTACACAATATCCTTTGAAAAAAAATAAAAAAATTCACGGTATCGAGAAGGCAATACCTTCCAAGGCTTCCAACCCAGATAGTCGCTTTTAGTGCCCAGGAAGAGTCGGAAAATGAATTGATGTTCAATAAGGACTTCTCGCTGGAAGACGAGATGTCATCTCCGCTTAAGCTTCATATCAAGAACGTGAGGCAACCAATGATACCCACCGCATGAATGTCCAAGCTTATGATATACCGGCCCGTCTCTTCCCCTCGTTGCCATCAAACATCGTAATAGAACAAATGACCGCATGTGACCCCCTTTTCGCCTTGTGACTCCACTCCCATGTGACAAAGGACATCACCCAGAATAAGAAGCAAAAGAAAAGGAATTATGAAAACAGTCAACTCTCCTGTAACGAAAGAAGAGGGAGAGAAAAAGAAGTAACCAGAACAAGACACCCCTCAAGCGAGAGAAAGAAGAAGGGGAGAAAGAAAAAAAAAAGTGAAATTTGCTGCGAAGCCTCCCATCTGTGACAATGACCGAGAAAAATTGGTATCCTTTTTTTGAATTCAATGAAACTGAGAATAATATGCACATTGCATCACTCAAGACTGTCTTTCACTAGTTTTCAACCTTGAGCCTCTTTGGCTCATTGGCGGGTTCGATAGGGTCCGAGGATGCTTCATTCGAGTTGACCTCGGGGCTCTTCCTCTTGAGTGTTGACATCTCATCCCTCAGAAAGCTGGGCCCGGATCCGACGACAGGCGTCGCGAAGTTGAGCGGACTGGGCAACGTGTTGCCCTCGTGGTTCCTTGCGTAAAAGTCTGTGAAGAACTGGCTGGGGCTTGGCAGGAACTCATTGTTCATGTACCGAGAAGGAAGCGCAGAAGCTGGGGTATCAATCAGGTTGTGACTCGGAGGTGGAGGAGGGTTGTTGGCAGGAGCGGGCCGGGCGAAGGGGTTTGGTGGCCCAGTCGCCCCGGCCGACAGCAGCGTGGTGGTCGCTGATGGGGATGGCGGGGGGAGCACGATTCCAGACGAGTGTGATCCGTCATTGCGCGTGGTTTGAGAGGTAGCGTCGGTCGAGTGACCCGGCCCTGCAGAAGTAGACTCGGCAGTGTTGCTTCCGGCCTCGGATTGCTCGTCCGGAATCTGCACCTTAAGACGAGGCCGTGACGGCCCACCGGCGCGCAAACTGTTTGCTCGAGAGGGCGGCGTATATGTTGATTCGGGTATCGAGGACACAGACAATTGACGCCTCTGTGGCGAGGGCCCCGTCTCGGATCGCTTCGGCTGTGGTGGAGACGCCGTGCTGCGCGGCGGACCGGGCGTATCGAAAGCCTTGACTTCGTTCTTGAGCTGAGATTCCGCAAAGGCTGCCAGATGTTGCGACAGTACGGAGCGGCTCTCGTCGATGGGCGTGAAGATGCTGTGTTGCTTCTGGTGGGGGAGCTTCTTGATCGCGGACGTAGTGTTCAGCATGGGTGCCTGGGGTGCCAGTCTCTCGGCAGGCTCTGCCATTGGCTCCGACGGGGCTGCCATCATATCCTGGGATGGGGGTTCCATCTGCGCACGCATCGCTGGTGGTGGTGGGGGCGGCGATGGTCGGCGCATGGGTCCACTCGGGAGGCCGTGACGCTGTTGTTGAGGCGGCGAGAGCGAATGTCGGGCCGGCGGCGGGGGAGATTGTTGTGGAGGCTGTTGTGGCGCGAAGCTGGGAGGAACGGAGGACTGCCTCTGGGGCTCCATGTGCATCTGCATGTGAGGAGGCGGAGGGGCGTGGGGCGGATACTGATGACCGGGAGGCATGTTGGGCGCGTTCTGTGGGTTGTAGATGGCCGGCTGTGGGACGTATGCGTACCCGTTCACCTGGGGACCGTGTGCAGGGCCGTACGGGCCGACTTGAGGTGCTACCAGCTGAGAACCCATCCGGCGCATGTCGTTGCGAGAACCAGGGCGCGAGCCGGGATGCGGCTGCGGAGTATGAGCGCGCTGGACGCCATGGAAGACCATGCCATTCGGTACTGGCGGCGATGCAGAGGGCGTGTGATGCCTCAGCTGAGGAAAGCCGGGCTGGCCGTGGAAGTGCTGGGGCATGCCATTGGGAGGTGTGCCGTTCTCGTCTTCCTCCTCTTCGTCATCGATGCCACCATTGAAGTCGGAAGGTCCTTTGTGCTCATTTGGTCCACCGTGCTGGTGAAAGAGGAAAAAACAAAGTTAGCCACCATGGCCGCGGTATTGAGAGGAATGCAAGGAGAGTCCTGGGTGTACATACGTAGGTATATCTGGTGATGAGGTCGCGCATGTCGCCCGACGAGTATTCGTACAGCTTCTTATTCTGGCCGAAGATGAAGACGGCGACATCGACAGAGCAGAGGACGGAGAGCTCATGGGCCTTCTTGAAAAGACCGCCCTTGCGCTTGAGAAAGGTGCTGTTGTGTAGAGCCACCCTGTTAGCACGCGTCGGATGGACATAGAGGGGTCCCATCGTGATGGTCGTTGCAGAGGAGGGATATAGATCGAGGATTGAAGACTTACACAGAACGATTTCTGTCATCCTTGATGGCCTTTATTTCAATCTTCCTGCGACCCATGATGAAGTCGTCGACGAAGAGGTCGGAGAGGTAAGGCCAGGATAGAAGTCTATTTCCAGAAGATTGTATGGCCTTTGGTGACGGCCGTGATCAGAGCTGGTCAAAGGTTTGAGGGCAAGCTAGGCCGGATAGTATGGTATCCTTCGACGGTTCAATCTGGCAGAAGGGAAAGCAGACGGCCTTAGCAATGGCGACCAAGCTGAGAGGAGTGGAGGTCGAGGATAAAGATAGCTATGTATAGGTAGGCGAATGGCCAGGGTGGAGTAGCTATGCTGGATCGGGTTGCAAGCAGGAAAGAAGGAGAAGAAGAAGAAGGTCGCGCAGTCAGTGACCCTCTGGTCGAGAAGACGAAGAAGGGAAGGAAGAACAGGGCCTGCAGCAGGATTGGACGGAGAAGGCTCGAGCAGGTCTGTGAGCGCGTCTTTGTCTCTCTCTGTCGGTCGCTGGAAAGGCGTCGAGCAGATGGCCCGATGGATTCTCTTGCAGAGGCGGGCGGCGGGGGTTCGACGTCGAGTCGAGGGTCAAGGACAGGGCCAGAACTCTCGAGATCGAAATCGAAGCAAGCACACAAGACAAGGTTGGCCGGCTGGGGCGCAAGGGCCTTATTTGAGTCTTTATCGACCAGAAGTAACGGCCGTCAGACCAGAGTGGTACTTAGGTAAGGCAAGGCAAGACAGAGAGCAAGGAGAATTAATTATAAGTCGGTTAGGGCGAACATGGGGGTCGACAGTGTGTTGTCTTGTAGTAGCGCAAAGGAGGTGGAGAGGGGGGCAGAGAGAACAGGATCAAACCGAATCAGACTGTATTGAATGCGACGTGATGGGATGAGAAGGGTGTGTGGGTGTGGGTGAGAGGGAATAGGCGTTGGACCGTCGTCGTCGCCGTGTGTTTCTGCGTGGATGCGTGGTCGCGTCGTTTGGCAGGTGTGAAGGAAGCAGAAGGGGAAGAGAATGGGGACGGGGCTGAAGGGCTGATACTAATAATAGACGGGAGAGAAGAAGAAAGACGCTGCGATGTGCGCGCAGGGCCGCCAGCTTTTTAGACTCTCCTCTGGAGGGGGAGTGGGAGGGGAAAGGCTTTAGGTCCCAACTCAACCTCTGCTTCTTCTGGGGCATGCCCCGGGAGCCTCAACCAGAAGACAGAGAGGGGAGAGAAAGAGATAGTCCACCATAGTGGTACGCAGTGGAGGGGGGTGGTGTGGAGAAGGGGGCAACGCTTAGGTCCAGGACCAGGGGGGGAGGGGGGCCGGTGCCACGGTAGCGGTACATTCAGGGCAGCAGCAGCACAGAGCAAGCTATAGAAGGGAAGGAATGACAGCAGTAGCGACTGTACTAGTAGGGGAGGGGGGAGGAGTAGGAAAGGAAGCAGTAAGCAAGGACCGCTGAAACGGGCAAGTTGACGGGGGACAGGGGCCTAGAGGCTCAGAGGCGCACAGGGCAAAGAAGGGCCTGTGGGAGCCCTGCTGCTTTTTACCCTCACGTACAATGGTAGAGGTAACGCTTGTGTCATAGCGGTAATGTGCCAGGCAGGTGGAGAAGGCAGCAGAACTCAATTAACCCAGGAACCTCTCCTCTCATGTACCGGTACATCCATCCTCAGTAAGAAGTATCTCGTCCCTGACCCCTCCTGCGATGGTACAACGTCCATCAGTCCAAGCCTCCTGGTCCCACCTCATCCACGCTAAAATCTCTTCCCACTGCTTTCTTTCATCTGCACAATTCCTTCCTTTGGTCCTCCAACATCCCGTTCTCATTCGGTGTCGCTTTCTTTACTATGGTACCCCTCGAGGCCATTCCTAATCCGGATATCATGCTGATGAGGGGGGGTTTGCTACTTGCTTCTGCTAGGCTGAGACTCGAGTTTGGTCTCAATCTCGTTCGATACCGAGTACAGCTTTCCACGTCCGTTTCTTTTCTTTTTCTCTTCTTTTTCGGCGTCTTGTCCCGCGTTCCTTGCTTGCTTATCTTACTCACTACCCTTCTCCCCCCTTTCCCTGTCTCTCTGTCTTGTTCCGTTTTCCTCTCCTCTCGATGCTTTTGACGTACCAAATCAATCCATGAGATGGGAACAGTTGTGACCTGGTTGTAAAATTCAAGCATCCTCCCCACGTCCCGTCGGTCTCAGTCGAAACGCTCTAGAAGCGTTGATCATGGGCAGTACGTGGGAGCGTTGGCAGATCGACAGGGGCATCCTTGAGTGACAGGCAGCAGGACCGTGCCCAAGGGCCCCTGACAAATTCCGTGAACGTTCTACTGCACATCATAAAATTGTCGAGAGGCTGCTCTCCCGCTTTGGCTTGACAGCTTAGGTTACGCCTTTATGAGCTGGAGCCATGTGTGCATGCAAAAAAGAAGAAAAAAAGAAAAAAGGGAAGGCAAAAAAGAGCAGGCTATGTCGACTTTCTTGCTCGGAAAGACTGACAGCAGGTGATGATCGAAGACGGTCGTTTGTGTCTTTCTCTCTCTCCTTCTACGGCAGGTTCTGTTCCGCTGCTCGATCCCTGACGGGCTTTGGGGCTTGGCACAATGAAACTGGTGAGTTTGAGGAATCATGCTGAGCTCAATTGGGGAGGAGGGGATGATGGTGGTCAGCAGACACATCGATACTTTGAAGCTACGGCATGACACACCTTCTCTGCCTGCTGCTGGCGTTGGAGCTTCGCAACCTGCCATAGCGTCCCTGCAGCTTGACAGCACAGATTAGTGAGACAGCATCAGACGGAGAGCTTGTGAGCTCCAGCATCTTTTCCCTCGTTGCATGCGTCATGGACCTTTGTAACCGAATGGAGTCTGCAGCCCGTCATTAGGCAGTCAACAATTCTCGGTCAATCCATCCAGTGCGTTGCAGATGGCATCTGTTCTCTCTTTCTCTCTCTCGTGGGGGTCACATCATGACATCACAGGGGATTCCAGCTTCAGCCTCGTCGCCCCGCCACAGTGTTGAAGGAAAGAGAGAGAGAGGACAGAGAAGAGGCTTGAGGTTGAACTACCTGCCCTATCTCCATGTCAGCGATGTGTCTGACCCCCGCTGCAGCCTCCCTGTCTGTCTGCATCCCGACCTGCATGTGGTGTGCCCTGCCAGCCCTAACTACTACTCGGTACTCGATGATCCAAATTTGGAGTTGTGAATGCGCCCCAAGATCTTGATCACTCCTTGTCGGCTCGACGATCTGGACCTGGGCGCCGGAGCCGCTCAGAAAGGGACGAACGCTAGGCTGAGTTCTTGCGCATACAGGTTAAGCCACCTTTGTGGCTTATCGAACCGACCCTGCAGAGCACTTCCGCGCGTCTGCTGCTGAAGAGCTTGAGGCCATGGGGTATTTACGGGCAGAGGCCCACAATTCTGCGACACGGCGTATTTAAGAACAATGGGCACGATCGCACTGGCCCCGTTCAGTCAGTCCAAACGACGATACTCACCCCAGAAATGTCGACCTCCCTCGGGGGGTCTCCTTGAAGGTGCTGTCATGTCGTTTTAGACTCGTGTCCTAGTACGTCAATCGAGCAACATAACCCTGCCCTTCGAGTCACTGTTGATCGAGGCCATTGCGTCAACTAGACCCATGGTTTGGAAAGATGGCGCACCAATGACAATCATCGGATGGGTACGTACTATGTAGCGATGCCCTAGCAGCTATTATTATGGACATACTATGTACAGGTTGCACACATTGAGTACACAAGATTCTGGAGCAAAATATCCTCCAGGGCCTATCAAAACGTACATCACGCAAGATTAGAGGCCCTGTGCCATGTTATTCGAATCTCAGGTGCGAGAGTCCATGTTTACCCCCACTCTGGGTGGCTCTCTCGACGTGCTTGCGTCGACATGCGCACCTGCAGAGGAGGCTGCATCACAGCGGGGCAGATCGCTGAGCACCCCGGCGGCTATCTATTAATAGCTATACTTAGCTTCAGTTGAATCGAACGTCAACCGTTCTTCGCTTTCAAGATTCGCATTCGATCATCCGACTGGCTCCGTCCTCAACTTCAATCCTGGCTCATGGCTTGAGCAAACAAGGAAAGTCTGTCCGGTACTATGCGTACTAAATTCAGAGAAGATGTCCATTGCGGCGGCAGAGGAATCCGGGGTATCAAGGCAGTCAGTCATCCATGCCGTTGATCTTGTGTGTCTTGCATGAGCACGGAGCATCCTGTGTACGCAGATTCCATGTTGGACCTGTCAAGGGGTTCCTGTCTCCCTCGAATCTCTCCTCTCCTCTGCCTTGACTGAGTCAAGCGCTTCCTTGTCATTACACCCCACTATCATAGACTTGAACTCCCCCAAGACCTGTACTGCGGTCCCATCATAAGCTCGCTGTCTCCGTCACACACACACACACACACACACACACACACACACACAGAAGAGATGAAGCTGACGACTGTGGGAATATCGAGAAGGGCACGTGAGAGAGGGGGTGGCTGGGCGGCGGATACACTCTTTACCGGCCCAGGCGAAATCTCCAGACGCTACCGATCCGGCTGCAGAGAAGGATCGATAGTCGACTGAGTGAATTGGAAGGATTGGTTGATTACGATAACATGGGGTCCTCATTTATGTCACACGTAAGCCGTTGAATCGTGCAGAACCCTAGAAACCTCGACAGACGGTGACTGTGGAGGATCGAGAGAGAAAAGCGCTATCGATATGGCAAGCCATATTCCATAGGCGCGAGCTCACGCCTGCGAAAACAAGACTTTGCCCCGCTGTGCGTTCTCTTGTGATCGTCTAGAAACGACCCAACACTTCGCATGGTATGCACGGCCGGCGCCACAGGTGGAGACGAGTCCAGATTAGAGCACACACGCGGAGGATTCAAGATCAGAGACGCGCTTGTGGCACTTCTCGGTCCTTTTCCCCTCTCGCCGCAGACTACCCCCATTCTAGGTTCTTCGGTGTCCACGACGCTACAGGATTCGCGCGCCTCACCGAGGTCTGTGCCTGTATGTGTCTGTGTGTGAAGCGACAATCCGCGAAGGCGCTCCCTTTCTTTGGAAAGAAAGGGCCCATGAGATCCTCAGGCCATCATACCTGCTCCAGCGGAGGGGTTGGTGCGCTGTGAGATGATCGGATGGAGGGATTCTATCTTCTTGCGCTGAGCAGCCGTGTTTCGAATCGAACGGGATCCGCGCGGCTGTGCTTCCAACGGACAGCGGCCCAGCTTCCTGGCCATCTTATCATGGAATCTTCCTCCATCATGTGCCAGCAGGAAGGACTTCTCTTCCAGGCGACGGCGATGGAGCCGTCAGGGCCCGTCTCACCTCAGGCTCTACTAGCCAGGCACAGGAATCCCCTCGACAAAGCCTGCCCCGCCTGTGAACTTCTGGCAGCGGCCGCCAAGAAAGATACTTTCGTATACGATCAAAAGTGATGGGTAGATTACTTTACAACGTCTAGTCTTCTGATCCTGACGCCTTCAATGGTGAAGAAATAATCTCGGACCAGGTGATTTGCTGAGTGATACAGTGGCCAAAAGCAGCCCAGGATATCCCACTAGCCGACCTTGGAAATCAAAAATCAAAGTGCATCATTTTCATCTTTCGATCTCATCATCTCATAGTCATCGCCATCAAGCCACTCATCCAGCATGCGTGACACGCGCACAACCCATCTCACATCCTCTTAACCATCGATCCATCGATCCACCGACCTGCCCCTCCCCCTCCTTCTCGGCCCAACCTTCAACCTCGCAGGATCGATCCGTAAGCTTAATTCTCTTTGCCAATATTTTCCATACACACACACACACCCATTCACAGTCCTCCTCCATCTCACTCACCCATCCCAACCACAAACTCACCCTCAACCCTCCCCCTGGACCTTTTTCGTTTTTCCCTCTTCATCCCATTTTTCTTCTTCTCACCCACCATCCGCGCTAAACCAGCGCTTCACCTCACAAATCATGCGTCTCAGCCACACACACACACACACACACACACACTCATACACCCATCCCGTCGCCATCCATCCACGTTTCGACTGCTCGCCCAGCCTCAGCCTTGCAATACATAATAGAACCATATTTGGAAAAGCGCCCTCCCTCCACCCCTCTTCCTTGTTATACATAGTAATTTAACGCCGCTAAGCGCCTATAGACGCGGAAGATCCTGCATAAGGTTGCCCCGTGCATACTACCTTACCTAAACTACATGGGGGGATTTCTTTTTCTAAAGATAGTGGCAAAGAGGTTGTAGCGGGACGGGGGGGGGGGCTCCACACACTCTCTGCACGGGGCAGATCGACTGGGTCTTTTGGGAGGGGCGCAACGTCTTTGAGTTCCAACGTCCTGGTAGAATATACCATAGTTGAATCATCACCAGTCACAAGTCATAAGTTACAAGACACCGTCATACGGGAACAACCACAACCAGAAAAAAGAGGAAGGAAACGGAGATCAATCAGCTGTTGCCTGGCTCTTGTAGAAGTACTTGGCTTTACTCATTATTTCCCTAGCTGGGCCAACCTAAAAGCCCTATGTTCGGTATGGTCTGTCTATCACCTTCAACGTCACCCCCCCTTGGCCCAAATGAAGGCCTGTGAGAACCAGGTCTGCAAAAACAGGCCTGCCCCCTCTTCTGTCTGCCACAAGAGACATACCTCTCCTCTTCACACCACACCACACCAACTCCCCCCACAAAAAAGTTCGCCACCAACCACAATTCAGTCTTCTGTGTCAATCTCTTGCCCGGCATGTCACCGAGGCGGTCCACTTCTTTTTCCCTCCATAGACGCCCGAAAAGACCAGCACCGGCCGACGCTCTTTGCTTACCCTGAAGAAAGAAATATTCCACAATTTTTCCCTCGCTCCTCCTCCTCCTTCCCCTTGGGGGTTGGTGTTTTGACTTGCACCGGTTCATCCACACATTAAACTTCAAAAACACTGGCTGCAGCTGCCCGCCCGCAACCAACAAGCCATCCACGAGTTTTCCTTGCCCATCTAGATCGATGTTTCTCTCATGATCTTACTTCTGAGTACCACACAATCCACTCCCCGCCTGCAGGGGAGACAGACCAGGTCGATAGCCACATCAAGGGCACTCCCGACGATCCGGGCCTATCAAACCACCTCCCACCCCCTTTCCCCCAATGAACAAATCAATAGCAGTATGCATGTCGGCAGAGACAATGCCCCAGGCTCCCAGCACAGCTCTCTTCAGTTGTTAGATAGTCCTGGGTTGGGATGTCTCATAGAATTGTATGTATCATAAGCAGAACTTGCCCAACCAGGAGGCAACTACGACCAAGAAATTACCCATCCAAAGGTTCTTGGGGTAGGTATCCTCAAGCGGCGCATGGCCCCATGAATCAAGACTCGCCGTAGGTGCCAGTGGTGTCCTCACCGGCCGGCTTGCTGCCCATGGATCCGTTGAGCACTGGGCACAATCTAGAAGCCAGAAAGTCAGTATGATGTACAACCCAAGGAAGGGCAAAAGAGAGTCAATGGAAGGTGACAAAACATACTTCTTGTTGGTCTTGATGTGGCCAACCATGCCGCAATTCGCACACTTTCGAGTGGTACCACCTTTCTCGATAGAGGGCTCCGCGCCGCCGGGGGACATGGCCACATCGCCGCCCAGGACTGGCATGGGGAGACGACCGCCTCCCTTTTGTTTCTCGCGCTGCTGCCGGCGTTCGCGGTTCTTCTTGAGACGCTCCTCTTCCTTTGAGATCCTGTGTACAGTGGTTTTTTTAAGTCTCGGTTGCAGTCAAGGCGAAAAAGGGGACAAGGAGTAGCTTGGCTATTGGAGGATGCGAAAAGTGCATCATGAAGCACAAAAATGGAGGGACTTACTTCAAAAGGACAATCCTGTCGTGCTCCTCGTCACCAGTAAAACCGGCAAAGATACTAGATATGCGAGTCAGAATGGTGAGCCACCAGGGAGAGCACTTCCCATGCCCCAGATGTAATCAAAGGCGGTAAACTTACTCGACTTCCGCCTCCTGGATGGCATTCCTTCTTGCCGTGTATTCCTTGATAATTCCAGGGTCCTCAATGATTTCCTCAACGTCCTTCTCCGTGCCGTCTGGTTCACGTATAGTTCTCACGATTTTCAATCGCCGCCGCATCGCGGCTCGTGCAGCGCTGGTAGCACTCCGACTGATCTGGCTCACACCCTCGTCGAACCGCGGAGTCGCACCCACACCGTTGACGTGTGCCTGGAAGGAGCCGTTGGCCGCGTTGGCATACAAACGTTCATCCTCGTCCTCCTGGGGGGCGACGTCGGCGTCATCGTGGATCTGGGTGTCGCTGAGGGTCCTCTGCTGTTTGTTCCAAATATCCGCGATGACCTCTGCGTACGCGTCATTCTGCTTCTTGACGTTGTACGAGTGCCCGCCATTCGCCTTCTTCTCGCGCTCTAGAGCGTCTGCCGATGTGGACTGAGGGCCCTGCTCGTGATACACGTTGAGGAAACCACCCTTCATAGAGGTCTTGATGAAGCTGAAGCCCAGGCCCCGGCCTGTCGGATCACCCTCACCGCGCAGCTTCAGCATTGCCTTGCCACTCGTAGCGTCGAGGAAGGCCTTGGTCGTCTTCCACGGCGAGAGTTGCACTGCTATGTTCTCCGTTGCGCCAGTCCCGTCGTCGTCATCCTTGTCGAGGTCGGCTTGGTCGATAGCAAAGCCGGCCTTTTCAACCTCGTATGCTCCGACCTGCATCGCATCCATAAGGCAGACGTCCTCGGGCTGAACCATCGAGTTGATAGAGTCGGGATCCATGAGCTTCTCGCCCTCCCGCAGGCTCCAGGTCCTCGCGTCTTTGTCGTACTGGAGAAATTCTCTGAGCTTCTGTCGGTTCTGGGCAATGTTGGACTCTGCGATATGAGTTGTGATGTCTTCGAGAGATAGAAAGCCATGCTTTGTGATAAAACGGTATGCGAGCATCTTCATCCGGTTCTTGCTGGTGTTTGTGACCTTTCTGGAATGCGGTCCTGGGACTTCCACAGACGGAAAGTTCTGCCCAACAACATAGATGTGATCAATGCTGCGCATGTAGTACTTGCTCTCATTGTCGTCGGTTATACGGCCAATGATGAAGTCAGTCTTCCGCGGCTCGTGCTTGAATATGGGCGCGCGGTACATGTGGTTCCAAAGGGTAGGTACCGTCTGCCCCTTGGGGACGTCACCAAAGTTCGCAAAGGGAGACCTGTCTTCTGGCAAGAGGATCTTGGTCTCGCCGAGGGCGAGCTTGTCGGTGGGCTTGTCTTCAGGGTCGTGATTGACGCGGAAGTAGTTGACAATCTTACTACCCATTCCGAAGTTGGACAGGACAGTAGGGATCTCTTCGCAGTATTCAAAGAGGACGGCCGTCGAGTTATCGTTGAGACTGAGATCCCTGGAAGCCTTGTAGACATCGCTCACCCTAGAGGACTTGAAGTCCTTCCGCCTGTGATGCCTGGGTTTGGCCCAGTTCAGCTTGGCACCCACCTGGCGGCGAACGCGAAGGCTCGGGCGATGGTAGTTGAAAGGGGTTGGGTCCGAGAGTTTGACCATGTAGTAAGGGTAGAGCAGTTTGCGAGCAGGAACGCTGTGCTCGACCTGCACTCCACCCAAGGTAGCCCTGACCTTGTCCCTGACGTTCTCCTTGAGGGCCTCATACGCATCATCGTTTGATATGTCGAAGCGCTGTGTGATGTCTGATGCCACCTTGCCGTCGGCCATGCGGACCATCTTGGAGCTTGGCCTCGGCCGTTTGGCGGGTCGCTCGGCTTCATTGTCGTCAATGAGCAGGTACGGGTCATTCAGATCGAGCCGGACACGCTTGGCACTCCTCGCTGTCGCCTCCTCGAAGTCGTCGAATGATGGTGCGGCAAACCATGAGATTTCTGGCAGACCCTTGGCGTGCGAGATCTTGCGGCGCTTAGGCTTGGGAGGCGCAAGACCCATATCGAGGTACCACTGGTGGTCTTCCTCATCCTCTGCTGCTGGAGAAGCCTGGTGGAACGTGGGCGTTGCAGGATCGATAATGTCGTCCCAGTCTTCACAGACAGTCTCGATGTCCCTGAGGGTGAAGCCACCAATGAGTTCCTGGTCCGAGTCCGGGTCATCTCTACCAAAGATCTCGAGCTCATCCTCGTTGATAGGCTCGGGTTTCAGCAGAGAGACCAGACCCTCCTTCTCTGCAGCCTGTATCTTCTCGGCGGTGGTGGCAGAGGCTGGTCCTGGTTTCATGAATGACTTCTCCTGACCAATGTCGACCTCCAGGCTGAGCTTTGTAGGGATGAGGGGTTTCGGGTTCCTCGTAGGCTTCTTATCAACCCAGTTGGCCTTTCTGGGCGGGAAAAGCTCGTTGAAGTTGAGGATCTTGCCCCTCTCGAACTCAGGATAGGTCTGTTTGAGCAACTCGAGGACGTTCTCCGGAGCCGAAGGAATATTCGGGTCCTGGTTTGCCATAGGATAACTCGGCTCGGGGTCGAAGTTCAGGCGCCGCAGGTCAGCCAAGTCATCGCCTCCTCCCATCTCGATGTCTTGTTGATCGACGTCGGCGATGGCAGCGCCGGGCGACATGGCCGGCTCGACCTGCATAGGCGACGACTCGCGCTCACCGAAGAGGTCATCGTCAATATCGTTGCTGGTGCCGCCATCGCTGGTCAGGGCGGGGGGTTGCTCGGAAGTGCCGTTGGCCCCTCCCTCTTCCTCCTCCTCGGGCAGCTCATCGTCGCTGAAATCCTCAAAGTCCTCTGCATCGTCGGCCTTCCCAGACTGGTCTATTGGGCCCTCGAGATTGATTTCGGGTGCGTGGGTAGGGTCGGCGAACAGTCCCTGAATCGCATCATCGTCTTGCTGCTGCTGGGTCGCCCAGTCCATCTCCTCATCGCCGGCGGGCGGCGAGCCGTCGCCGCGGGGGGTATCGTCATCGGTCGCCATCGATTGTTTTGCCTGTGCGGTAATGTGGATGAGGGTGAGCTGAATGCTGCTGCAGCTGTCGCGCTCGTCTCTCCTCCCCCCACCTCTCTCTTTCTATGCCTCTGTTGACCTCTTTCTTGCTTTCTTTTGCTTGTTTCCTTCTTCCTCTGCCTTTCACCTTCGCGGCGTCGCGCCAGTCGTAGTCGGGTCAGGTCAGTTCATGACAGTCGGGTCGGCGTCGCGCGTAGGTCGACAGCTCTGTGTCGTGTCTCTCTCTCTCTCATCCGCGCGCTAAAGATTGCCTTATGAAACTGCTTGCGAAACTGAATTTCCAGCTCGAAAAGGAGGGCCGAGGATGTTGGCGGAGGAGAGGTTGTTGGGGTTTTGCAGAGCGTCCCTAGGCTGGCAACCGGTGGTGCATGCCCCGTACTTGCGATACGCAACCCATAGGCGTTGGTTGGGCCAGAGGAGCGCGAAGTGACCTCCACGCTAGAGCCTAGGGGCGGGGGCCAGGGCCGGTACGTACCTGACCACAACTGATTGACAGTAGCCAGCGATAAGTGGGGCAGCCTGTCTTAGTGGGGGAAGGCCAGCTTGCCGCCCGCCAGCAATTGAAGTAGCAGTGATTACTATAGCATATGTCACTGTGCTCCAACTTGAACTCTGTTAGACTTTATATCAGTAAGTGACTCGACGGCTCGTCGTGACTGCAGCCTTTCTCTAGGGGTGAAAGCATTTTGAAAGCAACACATGCCAAAATAAAAACTTTCTCAAGGTAATAGAAGTTTTGGAATCCATACACCAGTCATGTTCAGAATGGCCTGCTTATTTTCTTGATTTGCACATGCTTATTCGAAAACAATGTGATGCAAACATGGAAAGTTGCTGATATGGGAATGGCTGAAGTGTATAATCTGGTAAAGGTGTCTGGCACTTCGATGGTACTGCTGGGCACTTTCACTCACCACTTCTACTACCATTAGGCCAGAAGTTCTATGTCCTTGTCAAGTCAAGCTTTTGTCTTTCAACTTAGAGTTTTCATACCCTTATTTTTGTTGAAGTGTTGATTTTCCCATCGTCAGTTTTGACGTTATGGCAATTCGCCAAAGTCCAGTTTCTTGTTTTCCTTCCTGGTGAACCGACCTCCTAGGGCTGGACCCCTCACCTGATCTTCAAGACTGGGCAATGACAAGAATTGCTATAGTATAAAATATTCCTCCTTTTTAATATTTAATGGCCTCTCTTTAAATGGTGATATTAGTCATGAGATAGTACAGTGTACACGGACGGACTTGTCAATGTCCGAGTGTCAAGAGTCGACGTGTTGGCGCGCCCTTAGCGTTCCCAGTGGGGACTTGCCCTGACGACAGCGTCCGATGTCGTCCTGGAACAGGCAATTTATAGGGAGACAACTCAGCACATAGAATTACAGTAATAGAGACAAGATGCCGCAAATTGGGCATCTTGAAAATTTGACAGCAACGTTATTCCAATAAATGAGACACGCTCAGCCGATAGGATAGCCTCTCCTGCAACATCCTTATACTAATAAATTAGACGTCTTATAGATTACTTGCTGTTGTCATACTGTCTTGATAGCAGGCAACGAGACTCTGCACAAGAGCATTCCAGTATAGACGAGATGCCTTCCAACGCAGCAGCCACGCTCAAGGAGCGTTTGGTGGGCAAGACCCTTCACGATGTGCCAACGCCCAGCATCGTGCTAGACCTGGCCAAGCTCGAGGTCAATTGCCAGCAAATGATGGATGCTGCTGAGAAGAATGGCATCGGATGGCGAGCTCACATTAAGACGCACAAGGTCAGGCCTCCAACATATCCAAAGAGAAGTCCACTCGAAATAATGACTGACAGATTATTGTAACACTCAGACTGTTGAACTCACGAGGCTTCAGGTCGGCGAGGACCCCAACTCGCCAGCCAATATTATCGTGTCCACGATCCTCGAGGCAGAGAAGATCACTCCCCTGCTGCAGGAGTTCCAGAGCAAAGGCCGCAAGGTCAACGTGAGTGAACCTACCCTCTTCCTACAGGCTCACCATGCGAGACTTTTGACTGATCACTTCCTCAAAACCCAAGGTCTTGTATTCTTTCCCCATCTACCCATCCATCATGTCCCGCCTAGCCACAATCTCCACCACCCTCGGCCCAGACACCGTCTCACTCATGCTGGACCACCCAGACCAGGTCGCCCTCCTTGGCCCACTCACTTCGCAAGCAGGCGGCAACAAGCCCCAGATCTTCCTCAAGATCGACGTCGAGTCCCGCCGCGCCGGCGTCGTCCGCGGCTCCCCGACCTACCACGCCCTGCTCCGCGCCGTCCTCGACGCCGAGCAAGCCGGCCACTGCAGCCTGCACGGCCTGTACGCCCACGCCGGCCAGTCCTACTACACACGTGCCGACTGGCATGCCCTCGCCTACCTGAGCGTCGAGTTCGGCACCCTGCGGGATGTCGCAGCCGACGTGCGCGCCCTCAGCCCCGGCCACGCCCTCGTGCTCTCTGTGGGCGCCACGCCGACGGCCACAGCGCTACAGCACCCTGATATCGAGACCACGACGGCGGCAGCAGTAGCCTCTACCGCAAAGGACCCAACAGCGCAGCACGTGGCAAGCCTTTCGACCCTCCTCCAGCAGTTAAAGGGAGAAGACGGAGAAGGCGCCGGCCTCACGCTCGAGGTCCACGCCGGCGTGTACCCCACCCTCGACCTCCAACAGCTCGCCACCCATGCCCGCGACAACACGCTGCTGAGCAGCTCCTCCATCGGCGTCAGCGTGCTGGCGGAGGTGGCCTCGCTCTACGCTGGGCGCGGCGAGGGCGGGACGGGCGAGGCGCTGATCAACGCCGGGTCTCTTGCTCTGGGCCGCGAGCCGTGCAAGGAGGATGGGGCGGGCCACTATAGCGGCTGGGGCCTGGTGATGCCGTGGGGGGATGCGGCGCTGGCAGGGCTGGACCCGGCGCCGGCAGCGTTTCCGGCTGTGCATGGCGGGTGGCAGGTGGGCAGGATTAGCCAGGAGCATGGCATGCTGGTGTGGAAGGGGGAGAAGGAGGCCGAGGTGCCGTTGCGGTTTGGGCAGAGGGTGAGGGTCTGGCCGAATCATTCTTGTATTGCTGGAGCGGGATATGATCACTACCTTGTGGTAGACAGCCGCAGGGCAGGCAAGGAGGATGAGGTTGTGGATGTGTGGGAAAGGTGGAATGGTTGGTAGATAGGTCATGCCAGTCTCAACAAGGAAGGGTCTGTCATTTGCTACACGCTGCTCCATCATTGGAATACTGGACAATCAATTTGGTATTGTGTTGTAGTATACAAATGCAGCCATCGCCGAGCCGCCCGAACCACCCGCTCCTGCGTGTGCGTGTTTGTGTCGTCAGTCGACGACCCGTCTCTACCAACTCCAGACGCCTTTTTCCCTCCCAATTTTTGGCAGCGTGAAACCCGCCCCCCACCCCTTCAACGATCCTACGTTCTGTCGACACACGGAGTGGTCATACATCGAAAGCTGCCACTCTTCCTCGACAAATTTAGCCGGGCGCCCTCTTCGGCCATCTATTAAGCCACGTCCAAACCCCGTCACCCATCTCAGAACCCACTTCGCAACATGGCATTATCGGCACCCTGAAGTATTGCTAGGAAGGTAAGATCAGTCCCCTACTTGCACCTCTTCTCCACAATACCAGCCCCGTTCTCCTCGTACTCCTTCCGCGAGATCCACATCTGGTGGAAGCTGCCCAGGCTGCCCAGGATACTGCCGCCGACCCAGGAACCAAAGCGGCGCTCACTGGTGAGACCCGCCGCATGGATCCTGATCTTGGCTCCGCTGTACATGGTGGTAAGCTCGTTATTCAGCCGGTCGTTGAACCCATTGAGCAGGCTCGTCGCGCCGGTGACGACGATATTGCCCAGAAGGTGGCCACGCAGGTCGACATCGACCTGGTTCAGGCACTGCGTAATCAGGCCGGGGATGGTCTGGTTCTTAGTCAAGCGCCACTCCTCGGGTACCGTCGTGTAGGCCAGCGCCTCGTCCCACATGCCCTCGGCCGCCTTGTATCGCTGCTCGCGCCACATCTGGTTGTAGCCGTCGGGCATCTCGAAGACGCGGCCCGGCTGTGACTTGATATAGTCCTCGTTGCCTGGGCTGGCGTATCGGCCTGGACCCTTCCACACTTCTATGACCGATTCCTTGAACTCGGTCATCAGCCGCTCCTCCTCGTACAGCCGGAATGAATCGTGGATGGCGAAGGGGAACTTCTTCAGACGCGCGTTGGCCGGCTGGCCAGCGTCGACGGGGGTCTTGTTCTCGATCATGTAGGTGGGAACGGCCTCGATCTTGGGCTCGTTTGTCTCCCACATAGCGCGGATCTGATGTGACAGCCACAGGCCGCCGACGGGGCTCTGGACGGCTGACTTCTTCAGTGTCATGCCATCGTGCACCGCGGTAACCGACGTGTTGGAGCCGCCGACCTCCACCACCAGCGCCGTCGCCTTGCCCGCGGCGAAGGCGGCCAGCACAGGCGTCCTGCTCAGCCAAAAGGCAGGCGTGCCCCAGTTCTCGAAGACGACCTCAATGGCCTTCTCGCGCTTCTTGGAGGGGTTCGTCGCAGGCTCCGTCAGCAGCACCGGGTTCTCGTACAGCGCCTTCTCCTCCAGCTCTTGTGCTTCCACATCCTCCATGTTCACATCGCCCTCGCCATCCTTTGGTTCTGCCGGGTCGTTGAGGCCGTTTTTCGCAGGAGGGGTCTCGGTGGGGGGGTTCAGGCGCTTGACGAGCATGTTCTCCCACAGGCTGGCAGCAATATCCCAGTCCTCCACCTCTGACTTAGTATTCATGTAGTTGCGCAGCTCGAGGTTCTCGCGGGGCCGTATGACCTCGTCGCCGAACAGATTACGGTCACCAATGTGGCTGTAGAAGGAGGGCAGGACGCATTTGGGGACATCCTCGCCAGCGAACCCGGCGCGTGTGTTGCAGTATCCTGGATCGAGAACGAGCGCAGAGACCTCATCTTGGCAGCAGAAGAGAGAAGATTAGTAGGCTGGACCGAAAACAGTAACAATGCGGCTGCGCAGGAATTTGAACTTACCACCGCCGTAGACATCAGCTGGCTGTTGCGCCGATGAGAGTGGCTGTTGGGCAGCCATTGTGCCTGAGTTCTTTGTGTATTGTGTTGACTAATTGAATAGATAACAATGGACTGCTTGATGGGAGGATGAGGCTGGTGAGATACTTGTAGTGTGGAGGAGCCCAAACCGCGTCCAGTCGCGTCGTGGAGGTCCGAAGCTCTTTCTGCAAGAGGCTCACAAGCTCACTGCTGCTGGTGGATGCCACTGCCTAAAAGAAAGATGGATGACTAAGACTCCCGTTCTACCCCTAACCCTGACATCCTGTGAAGCCTGAAAATTCCAGGTCAGATACTGTCATATCAGAAAGACAAAGGGTCAGCCATGCATCATATGCCATTACTTGTCAAGTATATATAAAATAAAATAAAACACCTCTGGGAGAGAGATCTTATTGTCACGGGGCTGGATACATTAACAAAGCAGGGAAGAGATGAACCAGCCAATCTGAGAAAGCACCAACCTTCCACCATCATTTCTTCCTCGGAATTACTCTGATAGGGCATCTCCAGTGGGCTTATCTCACAACCACGATTCTATGACAGAGCCCTACCCGAGGGGGAGAAAAAAAAAAAGAGACAAAGAAAGAGACCAAAAAAAAGACAAGAACACTCCGCCTATCAAGGCATGTCGGGCTACAGCGGATAGAAGCGGCATGATCGTCTCTCCACTCCGACTTCGCGGGGCCGGTCCAAAGTGCCGCAAACAGGGCCGGCGGGGTGAGATGAACAGAAGATCCACCCCCAGGCTTTTCAGGATAAGGGGCATTATCATGGTAGAGGATTTTACGACCCGAGTCCTCCTACTACTCGTGGTACTCTGGTACAAAGTATAACAAACGCGTCGTTCGCACGATGCGGATACGGCGGCATCCCAGCTCTCGCTCTTGTCCACCTCGAAGGAAGAGGGCAGCACTCGCCCTTGCTCCCTCCTTTCTACGACGGCGGGCAAACGAAAAGGAATGGACCGACGATGTTCTTAGGTGGTTAAGGCAACAAGACGGTAACACACTATATAGAAATGCTTCATTGCCTCACCTGCACGCCATGCGATTCGTGCATCTTTCTCATGAATCGTGATTCTCGATGGAAGGACCTGCGGGCTGGATGCGACATAATTACTCAAGTTGTCTGTATTAAGTCTCTTCAGGGTTTGATCCAAGCCAGCAGTTCAGCAAGTAACAACAGTAGTAGTCATAAAATTGCGGATCAACGGGACGCTGGAACCCGTCCCCCCGTTTAGGGCCGCATTTGCCAACGTTCCAACATACCGTGATTGGCGCGGGAATGAGATCATTGTACAGGCACCACCCCACGAATGGTCGGGCTTGCAACCTGCCGAAGGTTCCAGCCGCGGGGCCTCTGAACCCCTCTTGCCTGGCTCTGTCTCTGACCTACTAGGAGGGCGCTTGCCCTCTCTTACCCTCTTTTTCTCTCCTTCTACTTCCTTTCTTTCTTTGGAAACCCCACTTGGGGATAGGGAGGGAGGAGAGAGGGATCGCGGATAATTTACATATTGGCTCGCGCGGACGTGCGTCGTCCTCGTGAGCAGCGATAACGGCGAGGGTCACACCCCGTTCCTACTCCTGGAGAAGGAAACGTGGGATCGTCAAGAGACCTTTTCTTCTGTCCACCTATAAGACCCTTGACTTTGTCCACGGCGCTCGGTTCACGAGAGGAAGAGACAGAGAAAAAAGACAGAAATTCTACTACAGTATTCCTACTATAACTATCCTATAAACACGCTCTTTGTTCGTTGTAGCAACTCACGCAAAACGGTTGGTTAGTCGACAGTCGACCTAGCTTCGAACCCCACCTTCGCTCATATCAACGGCCCTGCGTGGTTCCTTTCCGCTCGCTGGCAGTCATCTTCCCTGCCCGTCTCTCAGCTCTGTTCTTTCAACATCCCCTCCCAGCACATCAGTTGCGATGAGTCCTTCGGCGACAGACGGCGCACCTGCACAGAACGGCACCGGCATTATGGCAACCAAGGCCAACATTGGTGTCTACACCAACCCTGCTCACGACCTGTGGATCAACCCAGCCGAGCCAACGGTGGAGAGTGTGCAGAAGGGTGCTGAGGACTTGCTGCCTGGACAGGTCACCATTGCTATCCGGAGCACAGGAATCTGTGGGTAGGTGTGAGGGGGGAGAGAGAGAGGCAGAGAGAGATGTTGAAATGAGATGATCCGACCCCTTTCCCAGATGAGACCTTACCAGTTAGCTAATTTCCCTTGCCTCCCTCGTCCGTCCATCACAGATCGGACATTCACTTCTGGCACGCAGGATGCATCGGCCCCATGATAGTTGGCGGGGACCATATTCTAGGCCACGAGTCAGCTGGAGACGTTATCGCGGTGCACCCCTCGGTGACGCATCTGAAAGTGGGTGACCGCGTCGCCATCGAGCCCAACGTCATCTGCGGCGCGTGCGAGCCGTGCCTCACGGGCCGGTATAACGGGTGCGAGAAGGTTGAATTCCTGTCGACCCCACCCGTCGCCGGCCTGCTGCGGCGCTATGTCAATCACCCGGCGGTCTGGTGCCACAAGATCGGCAACATGTCGTACGAGAACGGCGCCTTGCTCGAGCCGCTGAGCGTGGCGCTCGCCGGCATCAAGAGGGCCCAGATCACGGTGGGTGACCCCGTGCTCATCTGCGGCGCAGGCCCCATCGGACTGGTCACTCTGGCGTGCGTTAAGGCGGCGGGCGCGTGCCCCATCGTGATCACCGACATTGACGACGGACGCCTCCAATTCGCCAAGGAGTTCTGCCCTAGCGTCATCACGCACAAGGTCGAGAGGCTGTCGGCCGAGGACTCGGCCAAGAAGATCGTCGAGACGTTTGGGGGCGTCGAGCCCGCTGTGGCCATCGAGTGCACCGGCGTGGAGAGTAGTATCAACGCGGCCATCTGGGCTTGCAGGTTCGGCGGCAAGGTGTTCATCATCGGCGTTGGTCGCAACGAAATCAACATCGCCTTCATGAGGGCCAGCGTGCGCGAGGTCGACATTCAGCTGCAGTACCGCTATTCCAACACTTGGCCCCGCGCTATCAGACTTATCGAGAACGGTGTCATTGATCTGTCCAAGTTGGTCACGCACCGCTTCCCCCTGGAGGATGCACTGAAGGCCTTCAACACGGCCGCGGATCCCAAGACGGGCGCTATCAAGGTCCAGATCCAGAGCCTGGACTAGAGAGACACTAGAAGGGTTTTATCATTATTCCTGTTCAACTATGGGCTATTATACATAGACTGAGTTGGGCAGTGTTGAGGCTGCTGCATTGGATCGGAGCATGAATACATCAATCAATCCTATGTTACCCTGCCATTGCTGTCTCGAAGAAACCGGTACAATTGGACCAGGTGTTTTTGGTCCTCCGTTCATGGTCTGTAAGGGTTTGCACGACAAGAAATGTTGCATAATCAAACTTGGATGTCATTGTAAGTCCGTCCAGGTTGAGTTTCTCAAGCAGAACGAGTGAGCGAAGGACAAGCCTTTGCTGCTGCTGTCAGATGCAAATCGGCGATAGGAGAGACACAAAGATGGATTAGATAAGCAGGCCCCCACGCCAAATCACTCCAATGTACCGAGGCACTGGCACATTGACTAGCCGGGGTCTGGTAGGGCACCCATGAGCCTAGGGACTTTCATGGGCTGCTGGTGGTCAGCCGTTGATGCTTTGATGAGTTTTTGCTGCGTTCAACGCTTTTCACTCATCTCCCCGGGTCAACCTTTTCTACGACAACCTTTTTTTCCCCTTTTTCGATGTCCCCCTCATAAGACGTCCTCGTCACTCGTGCTGCCAGAGCGGCGGACGAGTCAACGGACTTTAATTCTTCGTGCTCACCCATTGCAGCAAATCGAGCACGAGCACTGCCTTTGTATCGCTGAAGAAGGCAAACCGGCAGAGCGAGCAGCACCTGTCTTCTTTACGCTGACCACACACACACACACACACTATGGCATCTCCACCAAAGCCCTGGGAGCGCGCAGGCGCGACAGGTGCGACAACAGGTATGTCCTGCTCATTATGATCCGAGATCTTGCAGACCGGCATAAGTAGTTGACACGCAAAACTGCAATCGTGACACCAGCCACGACCGCAGCAACACCCTCTGCAACAGCATCAGCTGCCTCTCCAGCCATACCACCACGACCCGAGTCCCTGTCCACCTCGGTCAACCAGAACGCCGCGGCATATAGCAGACTAGGAGCGCCAGGCTATAACTCCTACGGCGGTGCATATCCCTCCACATACTCGTCCTACTCCCCCTACGGCTCGACATACGGTAGCTATGGAGGCTATGGAGGCCTCGGTGGCGGCATGTACGGCGGATACGGTGGATACCGTCCCATGGGAGGCTATGGCGGCGGCATGTATGGGGGCGGCATGGGAGGCATGCCTGGCGACCCAAATAACCCGGAAAGCCTGACCAACAGAGTGAATCAGAGCACCCAGGCGACGTTCCAGGTCCTGGAGGGGATCGTGGGTGCGTTTGGTGGCTTTGCACAGATGCTGGAGAGCACTTATATGACGACACATTCGAGCTTCTATGGTATGCGTTATCCAGGCCCACTCCCATCTTCGTCCTTGGAGGGAAAATCACCAGTTCTGGTGCTGACATTCAGATACAGCGGTGGTAGCAGTGGCCGAACAGTTCGGGAACCTGCGCGACACCCTGGGCCAGGTTCTGGGTATCTACACGCTCATGCGGTGGATAAGGACGCTCATCGCAAAGATCACAGGCCGACCGCCTCCAGCCGACGCTATGGCACTCACACCAGCCTCGTTTGCGAGATTCGAGGGCCGACACGTAGAAGGACCACCCGGTTCTGCGCCCGCCAAGCCGAGCCGAAAACCACTCATCTTCTTCCTCCTCTTCGCCTTCGGGCTGCCATACCTGATGACCAAGATGGTCCGGTCCATGGCCGCATCGCACGAGGAGGAGGAGCGGAGGCGACAGATGCAGGCACAGCCTCTCGACCCGGCCAAGCTCGAGTTCTGCCGCGTGCTGTGGGACTTCTCGCCCGAGTCCCGCGGCGATGCCGTGGTGCAGGGTGTCGACCTGGAGGTCAAGAAGGGTGACCTCGTGGCCGTGCTGAGCAAGACAGACCCGCTGGGCAACCCGAGCGACTGGTGGAGGTGTCGTGCGAGGGACGGCCGGATGGGCTACCTGCCGTCTACGTTCCTGGAGATCGCGAGGAAGCCGGTGGCTGCCATCAAGGCCACCGCGTCGGTCGACAGCAGCAGGGCGAATTCCCTGACGAGCAGCATCACCAGCGCCGTTCACAAGGAAGCCGCCGAGCCGGAGAAGGTGCCTGTCCCGGTCGGCAAACCTGGGGATATCAGTGCCGAGAGCTTTCAAAAGTCTCAATTCTACAGCTGAAGGAGAGGATTTCCATAATTGTTACTATTATTATTATTTTCCTTGTCTCTTCTTCTTCTTTCTCTTGTGTCTTTTCTTTCTTTCGCAAAGATGGGACATGGATGGAATGTACTCAAAGAGGTTCTTTTGCGATGGATCTAAAAGCTTGGAGTTGGGTGTCTCGGGATTCTTTTGGGGGGATCACAGCGAATATATACATTTGACACTATGAATGCTCTGCAGCTGTGTTAGGTGAATGGATTCTCCCAAGATGTCTTCCTTTTTCAACTGTAGTGATCTACAGTGTTGGGTTTCCAGAATTCTCAAGAGTGTCTGCTCTTCCTGTGGGTGACTTCTCGAAACACAGTTTTGCGTACAAATCGGTTCCTCACGCCATATACCTTCCTTCAGAATGAAGCCTTTTAAAATCCAAAAGAATACACGACCCTGTTCACAGCAGGTCCACTTGGAACAAGCCGGCTCAATAGTGAATGAATGATGCCGGTGATGAGACCCGGCACGAATGTGCCCCTCACAAAGAATTATAGTGCCACATGGCCCGTGCGTGGACGATGATGGACGAAGGCAGCGCTCTATTTACCAAGGCTGGGGGAAGCCACAGGCGATGACGTTGTAAGTCAGCCCGCGTCATTCGGAGGCCCCCCTGTTCCCACCTTGGTTCCAGCTTGAGAAACCTCGAGCTCGGGCGACAACTGGCCACCTCACTCAGCTTTTCCTTCTCTTCTTCAATCAATCCCTTAAGGACAGACTGCACCCGACAATCCTGTGGATTGTTCTTAAGTACTCGATATTCTACCTCGATTTCTTCTCAATTCATTTCTGCATCACAGTTTTGATCTCGACAACAACAATCACGCAACAGCAGAACCACCAAGTCAAGATCCAGCTTGAAGCTCTCTCAAGATGACTCTCTACTACAGCCTGGTATGCACATGCCTCAACTTCCATTGCAATGCGCATCGTTGTCCTAAGCTTGCTGACAATGCTTCTCTACAGGTCTTCCTCCTCCTCATGGCAGAGATGGCTCTGTTCGTGGTCCTCATTGTCCCTCTTCCCTTCACCGTCAAGAGGAAGGTGTTCACGTAAAATATGGCCCCGCTTCAACCCTCCTGGCCTATCCATTCGTCTGCTACCTGTACTGACGCTTAACTGCCATGCAGCTTCATCTCCGAGAATCCCATCGTCGCGAAACTCCAATATGGCATGAAGATCACCTTCATCTTCATCCTTATCCTGTTCATCGACAGCGTCAACCGTGTCTACCGCGTCCAGGTTGAGCTCTCTCAAGCTTCTGAGGGCAACACTGCTGCGTATGTGTCCTCTCCAATTCTCCCTTTCAATAGTAGCCACTCCTACTTGCATCATCTGGTCTTTCTTGCAGGCCAGTTACAAAGTCATTTGGAACGGGCAAACGCGTTCTTCTACAACACCAGCAAGCTAATTCTTTCTACCCCACCAGCAGACAGATCATGGGTCACGAGCGCCTGGAGGTGCAGGCCCGCAAGTTCTACTCTCAGCGCAACATGTACCTGTGCGGCTTTACACTGTTCCTCTCCCTCATCTTGAACCGCACCTACATCATGATCCTCGAGGTGCTCCGCCTTGAGGAGCGCGTCAAGCAGTACGAGGGCACCGACAAGAACACCAAGCAGGCCGAGAAGCTTGCTGCCGCCGGCTCGCCCGGCGAGATTGCCCGCCTGCGCAAGGAGCTTGCCAAGAAGGATCAGGACATCGAGATCCTGACGAAGCAGGCCAGCGGTCTGCACAAGGAGTTCAATGAGTTGACCGAGAAGGTTGCTCAGCAGGACGGCACGCCCAAGAAGAACAGGTAAACTGTTCTAGCCGACACGGCACTGCATGGATATCTTGCGATAGCGTCGGTGGGGGCCTAGCAGAGTGCAGATGTTCTGCGCCGTCTCCGGCATAGAAGGACGACAAAAATGGCGGGAAGTTGCACGGGAGGCAACGCGTGGTGCGAACGGTTGTGAAGGGCGTTCAGGATGGTCCAGAGCTTAGCTAGGTTTATTCGAAGCAAGGGGCGTCTTGCATCATGTTGTGGATGTATGATTACAAACGAAAATTACCAATGAAACCGAGGCGTGGGATGCTTTCAGATGTCTTGATCTGGGCAAATACACTGAGTTTATAGAAAATGGTGTCAAGTCGCCTGATTGACTCATTCCTCCGTCTACCACATCTTGAGGAATACGTATCATACCTTATGCGTTCCTAAATTTTATGAACTCAAGAAGCGATATACAACGGCAGGTAATACACATACATTAATATCATATTGCCTACGCTTTTGGAAAGTATGGCCAAATGACTGTTGGGGGGGGGGGGGGGGTATTACTAACGCCTCGTTACAATGCACCATGAGGCAGAGGCAATGAGATTCCTGTAGTATCAAGGAGTGACAGAGAGATTCCTGCAAAGGTCGCATCTACGATGACGACCTGCCTAGATATGTATTAGTAGTAAGCATACGTAGTTTTAGCTGAATAAGTCCACACATCCAACGCTAACTTTTATCAGGTAAATATCTATCTGAAGTTCCCCCCTTCCCGGGGAAACAGGATGCCATTCGCCATGGCCAGCAGCTCCCTCTCCCCCTCCTTCTCCTCCGCCACCCCGTCCTCATCCCAAGCCAACAGCCCCATCGCCCGCAGAGCCGCATGCCCGCCCGCCTCATAAACCTCCTGCACGCCGGGCCGTCCCATATGGTTGGTCTCGCCAATACTATCATCACCACCGTCCTGGCCGCGCAGATGCGGCGGCGGGGCAAAGTCCGGGCCGGGCAGGCCGAGGACGAAGGCTTTGCGCTGGCGGGCGAGGAAGTGCGCGTTGGTCCGGGTCAGCGGACAGGTGGGGATGTAGAGGAATGTAGACGGCGAGAGGGGAGGGGGCGCGGCGTCGGTGGCGTCTTGCTGCGGGCTGCAGGGGGACTGGGGCACGGGGGTGTGGGTGCAGGAGGGGGAGGGGACGTCGGCGTGGATGGTGTCTGGGTGCCAGATGACGAGGTCTCCTGGTTTCAGGCGCGGCAGGGGCGTGAGGGTCTTGTCGAGCTGGAGGTGAGGATGCAGGATGGTGTTGATTTCCTGTGTGTGGGACGGGTGTGCTCCATGGATGACAGGGCTCTGGAGGATGTCGAGTGCCCAGTTTGAGGGGCTCAGGAAGACCTCTGTATTCTGGCCCTTGACTCCGCTGAGGGGCCTCTTGGGCGAGAAGAATGGTCTCAGCAGCCAGTATGCCGTGACCAGCTTGAGTGGGAGCGTGCAAAAGCGCATGGGTGGGATTTCTGTTGGGTTGAGTGCCAACATGCCGTGGAACATCTTGAACACATTACCAGCGAACTCGCTGTGGGAAGAACGGTTGCTGGTGGCGGCCAGGCGGGCACTGGTGTCCCATGGATCATAATCCTCCCACTCGCCGGACCAGATTTTGTGGTATGTCCTGGTTTTCGGGTGCCCATGAGAGCCATCTTCTTCCCACCTCTCGACACTGCCACCGTCCACTTGCGCACTGATCGTCGAAAGAGAGGTTTCTGCTGGTGGTGGTCCAGAGCAGCAGTCACAGATGAACCGAAGTTGATCAGCATAAACCACGGGATGATTGGTCGAGGCTGCTGTAGATCCAGAGGCGGCGGTATGCTTCCAGCAGTGACCCATGAGGATCTTCTGGGCCGCAAGCATATTGGGATGAGCTCGAGCGCTCAGCTGAGCCAGGCTCCAGAAGAGCTCGTACACCTCCGGGTGTTCTGGCGGGGAGACTTTCGTATGAGGATTATAGCGAAGGTACTCGTCCAAACTCTCAGTCCATGTCCCTGCTTCATCCTCGGAAACAATGTGGTGGATCACTGCTGCTCCCTCTGTCTTGAGACTCTCCAGGAAGGGTTCCGCCCTGGTAGGAATACTAATGTTTAAGCCTCGACGTTAAAATAACATCCTAAAAAGGTGTTAAGAAAAAGAGAACGACGGAAGAACAGGAGTTTGTGAAGGAATGCATAGAAACAGCATGCATAACCGGACACAATACGGAGAAATACTGAGGTTCAAGTCGTAGAGTAACATACCTAAGATCCTCAAATTCGATCGTAGGAATATTACCTTTTGGGCCTCCCTCAGTAACAATCTTGACTTCCTCCCTAAGCTGATGGAGCAGTCGTTCCCATGACCTTGTGAGAGCAGCTTCGTTTCCAAGGAGAAGGTCCTCCTTGATTTTAGCCAGCATCCCAGGAAGGGATAGTACCTCGTCTTCAGGCGGTGTGTTCATGGTTCTGGGCTTTTGTGGCAGGATACTTGTCTGTATCTGCAACGTCATATGGAGTTGACGAGATGACCGTTCCGCTCGACTGCGGTATATCTAGCTACATATCAATAATTCTTACGCTGGGATTACCGAGAGCAGGAGCACCCCCCCCCTACCCCTACCATCCCTCCACATACACTGGCAATTCCGTTGACGCCCACAGGGAGCGCCATTGCCTGCTTCCAATGAAAAGAAAAAGGGCGAATCCGGAACGTTGAGATCCCCTTCATGTATGTCTCAGTTGTACAGGACCCATGCAAGGTCGTAGATCTATTGGGCATTGAGCAGGCAGTCTGGGGCTCTGGCTGCCGTCGTCCTCTTCTCTCCCACCCCAAAGGTTCTCTGAAGCATGTGAAAGAATTTAAGACTGCCTTGACCGGCTGCATGGCTAATGCTGGGCAAAGACGCAGCCAGGAACCCAATGGGGATCCTTGCATTGTTGAATGTCCACCTAACGAGCCTGCTGTCGGGCCGTCTTGCCGAATGCGAACTCTTTGGACAGGGTACCTTCCAAAGTCCGATAACTGCTTGATCCAGTTGCGTGAGGCTGAACCTTAAGTGCATCCAGCCGAGCGGACGAACTGCCAAGACAGAACGAACCAGTGTAGACTCTGTTGCGGGGAAGACTCCCAGAGGCTGGGGAACGCCCTGCAATATGCACAATGTGGCCAGCCGTTCAGGCCTATATGTGACGCTATGCACACATCATACTATCAATGCCGCATTCACCGGTCCTAGAAATCGAATTGATCGACTGGGGCTTCTGCAGGCGATCTTGCCACATTATTGTCGTGTCCAGTGGTGAAATTCTGGAGCCAGTACCCCATACCACCTTCCGGATGCCTTCAAAGGTGTTTCTCTCATTCGAGCTGAAAAAGCATAGCCATGAAAGTATCGTTCTGTCCGAGGAGATTAATAAATCGGCATTCATACCACCCGTGTCCGGCGCTAGGGCTTTCAATTTCAGGCCACGGGCTCAGCGGCCGACAGGTAAGCTGCCCCGCTCGGAACTTTTCAACACAGCGGCACAGAAACGCTACCCAAGGGCGGACAAGACGCATATTGCTCTGCCGCTGCACTGGTGGTCCGTTTGGTCCGAGAAGAATATCCGACGGAGGTCCGCTGTACAGAGTAAAGCGAGTACTCAATCCTGGCCGATGTCGTATGACGTGTCGATCTCATCCCAATGGAGCGTTTGGGTTACTGTGTGTAGAGACGTTGCGATACCAAGGAGGGGCTCTTGTGTTGGTAGTAGGCCTGGACTGCTTCGATACTGGAAGTCTTGTCGCTAACTAATGCAACTCAAGCATTTTTCTTGCCTCTTTTAGATCGACGGGGAGCGGGTGCGCCATCTACAACTGTGTCTTGCTTCCTCTTGGCAGGGGCAGCTGAGTCCGTCTTCGCCACCTTCTTTTTGACCAGTGCTGGCTCTTCCGTCCGTGGACTCGAGTCGGACTCGTTCATCAGTACGTAGGCGACCCGTTCTACGTCCACTGCCTTCACATGGAGCCGACCGACCAGATCGTGTGAGCTCTGGTCGAGTTGCTTGTACTCCTTCGCGTTGTACTTGATGGGACTTCGGCTGCCATTGCAGCAGAGCCAGTAGAAGGCCTCGTCCGCGAAGAAGATGACCTTCTCCGGGTCGTATATTGCGAGAAGAAGGGATGCTGTGGCTGGTCCGATTCCTTTCAGATTCGTTAAGATGCCAACAGCCGCCGATGCGTCCTTCTTCTGCAAATATGAGCCCACTGCGCTCTTGACCGTATCTTCAACAAACGACTCATCGTTGGATGACACAAGCTTCAATAGAGTTGGTCGAAACGTCCCATGTTTTCTAGGTAATCATCAGCATGTACATTGGGACTACAGACCGCATTCACGCCCGATTCATCTGCGCCACAAATAAAGCACGCTATAGTCAGGCAGAGAAGTGCATACAGCTTCCACTCAACTAAAGTTTTGACGTGATCAAGTCGCATGGTCTGCGTGGGCTTGGCCAGCGAGAAGAGCTTCGGTGCCTCCACATATCGATATCGGTCCAGTTCTGCGAGCGTCTTTTGGCCCGGTTTCGCTGCCGATTGGTCAGCCCGTTGTTCTCTCTCTACCCACCACGATATGCATGCGTGTGACAGAGCTTACCACCCTTTGAGACAGATACTGCATCTATCATCTGCTCGTATCGGCCAAGGGCCTTCTGAAATTCCGCCAGGGTAATGTTTTCTGCGGTGGGCGTCGCTGAGGCACCCATGATTCTTGACACACTAGCTGGTTGTTGACATGTGCTTTGGCTTATTGTCCTTGATGTAATTTTGAACATGTAATCGAGTTCGTCAGGGTGGAAAGGCAAGCGATAATCCACTCGGTAGGCAGGAGAGTGACAAGCTTGAAGCACGACATTATAGCTGCCCTGATTAGAGGGGCCCAGTATGGTTTGGTTCCATTTTGCCCCCCTGCCGTCAAGAAAGTCAGCTCGTGCGTGAGCCTCAATGTTTCTCCCGTATTGTAAGTTCTAACGGTTCGCTAGCGGGCACAAGCGGAGCTAACCACAAATAGCTAGCATGAGCTATCAGATGTACATTCACAACGGCACAGCGCAGAGGAAGGTGCAACAGAGAGGGGTGAGGGGTTGTGTCTAGCAGACGAACCGTGGAGTCCTGTGGTTCAATGCAGCCTCAAAATGCACTTTCTTTTCTCGAAATTCTTGATACGTGCATGGGAGAAAAACCCATATCAGTCTGAGGGCTTGACTTGTCGGTATGAAGCAATACTCACCCAACAGGAAGCCCCTTGCCTTCAGGAGAAGCTTCTTGTGTGCACTTCTACTTCGATAGCGTCAGCATTGGGCCGAGACCGCGAGCACCCTTGTCGAATTACAAATCTGTGTTCTTACACGGAGTTGTCTTCCTCACTTCCTCGCTCGTTGAAGATCAAGTTCTGTGATCATTATAAAATGGAGGTTCTTGCTCTGTGCCTTGATGTATTCCGAGGCCTTATTTCTCAGTTATGTCTCCAGGGCGGCGAACACACTGAAAATTGAACGATTTTAAATAGAAAAACGAACATGGCTGACGCTCAGGCTTCTATTTCAACATCGGTCTCAGCGCCACCAACAGACCCTAACCGACACATAACCACCAACAACAGCGATGCCAAGGCGGTCTTCTCTACCATACCTGCCCCATTGCAAGTCACCCGCGACCTGGGCGGCACCCTCTTCCGACTGGGCTACCAGACCCCCCGCCCGCCAGTCTCCTTTACCGAGAACAAAGACTTAAACGCCTATGCCCAATCTCTGGACAATCCACCCCCTCTCGTGCCTCCAGGCGGCGGCGCCGTGGTTTGGTACGTCGACACGCCGCCCGGCGCCATCAGCCCCGTCCACCGCACCGTGAGCCTCGACATTGTCATCCAGGTCCAGGGCGAGCTCGAGCTGCACCTCGACGGCGGCGAGACGAGGCTCCTCAAGCCCGGCGATATGACCGTTCAGCGGGCGACCATGCATGCTTGGCGGAACCCCAGCGAGACGACGTGGTCGAGGATGATTGCCGTCATGTCTGAGTGTGAGCCAGCTGTTGTGGGAGGCGAGACTCTGGGTACTTTCTTCCCGCCAGCAGGACATTGAATATCGCATGATTCTGTATTGTAAATGATCCCTTTGCTTGCTGGGACAGCACACGATGGTTCTCACTGCGAATGAATTTGAAATTCATAAACACAGCCCACTAAAAAAACAGTCAGTTGCAAAAAGAAAACACAAATTCATTTCACATCAGTGATCCGTGAGTTTGAATTTTGTTTGCCAAAAAGAAAATAGTAATAATGAAATCACACCACAATGTCATGCTCCGTGCACATCTTATACGACCTCTTTCAAATGCAGTCGTCGGCTGGGTTTCAAGGCCGCGCTGTCATAGGGGCGGATCGACTGCGGGGAAAGGGAAGTGATAACGGAGCCGGGCCCGGAACGCGGCGATGGCGCCATCCTTTGTGTATTGGCGCGAGACAATACAAAAGTCCCACGGGATCTAATACCCTTTTGACTCTTGCCATTTCAACCTCATATGATTATCTTGGAAAGAAACAGTGCCCTGAACGAGCTGTGTACCTTGTTTGTGTGATATTTTTGTAGTAATCGGCACCATGTCTTTCCAGTCCATTCCGATCTTGGACCTGTCCCTGGCAGATGATCCGGCCACCAAGCCGGCATTCTTGGCTGATCTCCGACATGCTCTGATGCAAGTAGGCTTTCTCTACATCAAGAATGTAGGCATAGCAGACGATCTCTTCAAAAGGGTCATCTCGGAAGGAAGAGCCTTCTTCGACATTCCTCTCGAAGAAAAGTGAGTGCTCCCTCGCAAGAATCGAAAGGACAAGATGGCATGGCATATTGACAATATTTGGTAGACTCAAAATCGAGATGAAGAACGCTCCGTCGTTCTTGGGCTACAGCAGGCTCTCGGCGGAAATCACAGCAGGGGAGATAGATCATCGGGAGCAGATCGACCTCTCCACGGAGCACCCCATTCCCGAGGAGGGGGCCCCAAGATACTACAACCTCCTCGCACCAAACCAGTGGCCCTCCCCTACCGTGCTAAGGGATTTCCGCCCTGTATTCACAGAGTACATGAACCTAATGGGCGCCATGTCTATCCGGTTCACCTCTCTGATCGCTGAAGCCATCGAGTTACCGGCAGACGCCTTCGACAAGTACTTCGATGTTGATCAGCAACACAAGCTCAAGATCGTCAAGTACCCAGACGTCGGCGAGTTGGGCCCCAATGCGGCGAGCAGACAGGGCGTGGGCCCGCACAAGGACTCCATGCTCACCAGCTACTTGCTGCAGGCGAGCCACCACAAGGGCCTGCAGGTCCAGAACATGCAGGGCCAGTGGATCGACTGCCCGCCTATCGATGGCACGCTGGTGGTGGCCATCGGCCAGGGGATGGAGGCGCTTACGCAGGGCGTCTGCGCATCGACTACGCACCGCGTGCTCTCGCCTGCCGCAGGTGAAGGGGCCAGGTTCTCGATCCCGTTCTTTCAGGGGGTCAAGGGCGATGCGGATTTTGAGGACCTGGAGAAGGTTGGCGTGGGCCAGGTCCCTGAGGCTGTCAAGGAGCAGCGCAGGGCAGTCCTGGAGGCCAACGGGGGCAGGCTGGACGATGTAGAGTTTACCTTCAGAGGCGGCGGTGTTGCCAAGACTCTGGGAGAGGCGACGCTGCGAAACAGGGTCAAGAGTCATCCTGACGTCGGAGAGAGGTGGTATCCTGATATTCTGGCACATATCAGAGAAGAGCAGAGGCTAGTCAAGGAGGCCGAGAAATCAGCCAGACCCGTGGGCGTAGAAGCACAGCCCAAGGCCGTCGAAGCCCACTAGAAGCCGGCAAAACACCGCACATGTGATACAGATTATCATTGTACTCGTCGCTGCCATACATCTCGTCTCGAAACCTCTATGAATATCCAACTGCGGTGGACCGTACCTGGGTACGTTCCGTGCTCTTTAAGTCCCGCTTACTCCGTAGCTAATCGCATGGGTCACGGCCGCCACCTTATTCCAAAAATTATTCTTTCATCCAGCAAAAATGTATCCGAAGAGGAGGGGAAATAAGGCATTTCGCTTTGCAACTATTTGGGGGGCAGTTTGTCGAAGGCTTTGTCGGGCGTGAGGCCCGCCGGGGTCTTTGCGCACGTTGACATGTGCTTCTGGACACTGCACGAAATGCTTATCAGCCAAGTCCCGTGGTGCCATATTGATAGCATATGAACATACTCAGCAAGAGACTTTGTCAGGTCCAGGTAGCTCCAGCAGAAGTTGCACTTGTACGCGGTCTTGTTGCTCTCGTTAGCCTTCAGCTGCGACTTGGCCTCCTTGCCGGCCTTCTTCGCGTTGCGCTCGCGCTTCTGCGCAGCCTTGGCTCCCTGGAAAAAGTCGGTCAGCGGGACTGGGTGATATGTTGGACAAACACAAGGTTCAAGGGGGTTCTTGCGTTGCCACCGCCCATTCTGAGAAAAATATCAGGGGGCTATAAAGAGAGGAGATGTTGCGGATCGAAGGGGTTCTGATTCTTGGCTGCCGGATGGGAGGGCTGTTTGACGCAGGAGGGGGAGAGACTAGATATATAGAGGAGGATCTGCAAAGAACGATCCTGGCTGCGTCCCTCCTGAGGTGGCTAAATGTAGAGGGTGGGAGGGCAAAAAAAAAAACTGGGGTGGAATAGTCGCAGTCCTCTTCCGAAAAACCGAGCCCTACAGGTGCTGCTTGGCGCTGCGCCCAGACATACGATCTAGAAGCCGAAAAGTCGCTCCACAGGGGCTCAGGCTACCGCTTACTGCCTGCTGTGGTACGGAATATGCGCTGTGCTAGTCATGACTAGCCATGCGAAAACCCTTCTCCATCCTAAGACACCAGATTTGGGCCGCGGCAGCTACTGCAAACCTCAGATACCCACTCCTTTTCCCTATTCCTTCTTCTTCCTCCCTTTTTTCTTTCTATACATTATGCGGGCTAGGCAATTCCCTAGTAGCAACCCTGCAGGGGATGGTCGAGTATACAGGCCCCTTCAAACCTTAATTTGCATATCGTTTTCTTGCATTCAAAATTCTCGTTCAGATGAGAGGCAACCAACCTGCCGACGACGACAACGGTATGCCGAGCTTTCTTGCTCAGTAGCCGCTGGCTTTCTTGCATGTTAGTCGTTGGCGCTCTGGTGAACCTTTCATTGGATTTTGTCCTTGCCTAGTAACCGCTGGCGATCTCCTGTGGACCAACGGCCTTCTCGTATAGTGACCGTTAAAAAGGAGCTCCCTGGCATAGTAGCCGTTGGTTCGGTCCGAGAGACCCATGAGACCACTACCGATGCGTAAGCACAGACTGCATGTTCTCGTGGGACAGGAAGGATGCGCTAGAGAATGGAACCTGCTGCATGCCGAGCCTCGTTGGTTAGGGAAGGGGCCTATAAGTTAACAGTGTGAAATTCATACTCAGCTCCCGTGCTTGGGGTCATTCTGGTCTTGCTTGGCCAGTCGAGTTGAATTCCCGGGCTGCGAACGCTGGTGTGGATCCCAGCGTGAGCGGCTATGTGCGGTGCCCTTTTTAGCTTGTAAGCTTATAAGTCGTGCAACACATGTTGAACCAACGTGTTTCTTGGAGCAGCCTCCTGCGCCGAATTATCATCCATACTTCGTACTTTGGGATGCAGATTACCTTTTCAATATTCCAAGCAGGGCGGCTAATATGGGCAGGGAGTAGAGGAAATGTGGAGAATCTAGGGTGTATATGCTGCGTATTGAGCCCACTTGGGGCTGAGCACCACAGAGAGACTTGCACTTTCGATTGTCTTCAGATGACGATCGTAAATAACTCGTCTCAGCTCAAAGAATATTTGACTGCTGATACGTTATGCTCAGAGAAGCCAAGTCAGGGGCTATACCATTTACGTCGATACCTGCGCCGATAGTAATTACAGGAGGCTCCCTTGAAGTCGACGATACGTCCTTCGCCTACATGAAACATTGGAAAGATCACTGCATGAAGGAAAACCTCGATGTCTGTTTTGGCCTCTTAGAAGCTATTCTCAGTGCAAACCACATATGAAGCCTTCTGAAAAAGTTATCACTCTCCATTACGTAGAACTTGTGACCATCATTTCATGCGTGGCTCTTGAGCATTGGGTAGCGTTGGGCAGAAAGGCTTGTGTTGACTACCAATGTTTTGCCAATCAAGAACATAATAGCGTAGATCTCGAGACAAAGTTTTGTCGGCATAAATTAAGAATCTCTTACCTCCAATACTGATCTACTTGCCTGCACGCTATATTATGCAAAATAATTTATATGATGCTGTAAATGCCGCCCATAAGTCCACTGTGCACCAAGTCGCTACCCTATCTTCCTAGCAGAGAGTACAGGTGTCTCGACACCAAGTATCACGGGAGACAGCGAGTGCCCAAGCACATCACGTCCAAAGCTGTATTGTATTATGACGAAGCCCACATGGCCGAAGGTGGGTTTCTCACAACTCGGACCCGCTTGATATGATTGAGAAGTAAGAAATCACGTAAAATAGCCGCGCTGAAACTGAAACGATGCAAGACTGCGTGTTCGAGATATTTTGCGCTGGTTGTTCCACCCTTAGGGTGTTGTTGGTGTTGTTGGCTTGACGTGGAACATCCAGACCAAGGCCAATACTTACATAGTACATACAGTATTCTGGTAGGCGTAGGCAGCTGCGCACCAACCTCTAAACCCAGCCAAGCAGTCATATCAGGGTACCCCTGTTACACCTGTCAAGTTGTTGGACCCGAAAAACCAGTGACCACAATGTGGATTTTTCCAGGGTGTTGGGTACACAAGCTGACCTATCACGGGCCGACGAAATCCTCAAGGAGTAGGCAGATTGGCGCCAAGGCAAACCCCGCTGGAGAAGTGGTTTAAGACACTATAGCAAGCTCGCGTATGATGTGACTGCCAACATTCAAGTACACAAGAAAGAAGAAAAGAAAAGGAGCACCCGAGAAAAAAGGAAGGCAAGAAAATGTCAGGAAGTGGAAAGTATATATATATGGCCCATTAAATCCAACCCTCACTTGTTCTACTTATTACCTCAATGTGTATAGACCAAAGCGTCTTACGGCTAATCACTCTTTGCTGACTTTGTGTATCTTCAACATGGCCTGTCCGAGCTGCTCATGCCTAATTATCGACTACAGCAAAAGCCACGACCATGAGATCCCACTGCCATTTGATCTCCAGGATGTTTATCCAGAGCTATCCACCCTCACAGAGAATGCGAACGGAGGTTGCGAGTTCTGTGACCTGCTTGCACAGCTCATTGGCGAATATTTCGATGTCACGGAGAGTTGTCTTCCCAGACCGGTGCACTTCCACCTCAAGAATGCACGATTTCAGCTTGAGAGCTGTGCGACAGTCAAGGAAGATGGTGAGGATGACGCAGTGTTCATGCTCGCCGTGGATCTTGTGTACGGCGAAGCATCCAAGACCCAAACTATATTCTTCACAGTGAATTCAGATGCTCAAGGTAAGTTTTACAATATATCCTTGAGGCACTACAATTCGATTTGTCCCTTTCCTTTTCTGTCTTTTCCACTCTACCTTTCTGAAATAGCACCTATGGGTAGATTAGCAATGATTAACACTTTTGTTGCTCATAGATGAGCCTCACCTGGGCCAGGACGGAATGCATCCCCGGTTGCATCGACCTCTCGAAGAAGATCCCCTCTCAGAAAGATCAGTAGCACAGATGCGCGGCTGGATTAGCGACTGCATAGAGAGCCACCAAGATTGCGCTATTGCGAACAATGGCTTCATTCCCAGCCGCTTACTCAATGTCCAGGATGGCATTAATTTGCAGGACACTCGTGAGATGGCACCTGTGCCGTATGTGGCTCTAAGCCACTGCTGGGGTACGCACATTGCCGAGAAGCCCATGCTGAAGACGACTTGGAAAACGATTGAGGAAAAGATGGTAGAGATACCATGGAACAGGTAGGCAACGGATCACCCTAGCCCAAGTAAGTAGATGCGTCTCGTTTGATTGCGTTAACTTATCATACCCTGCCACCCACAGTCTACCTGCAAACTTTCAGGATGCTATCAATGTCACCCGTGCGCTTGGCTACGACTACATCTGGATAGATTCGCTCTGCATTATCCAGGACTGCACCCGGGACTGGGAGCAAGAAGCGGGGAAGATGGCCGAGGTGTACAAATATGCAACAGTGACGATCGTTCCGACGGCCGCAAAGTCCTGCCACGACGGTTTCATCCGCCGCCGGAACCTCCGAGGCTGTCGAATCCCCTACCGCCGCCCCAGCAGTGGTGATGGCGACATAGACGGCAACCTCATTCTTCAGCTGAGCGATGGAGCCGCTCGGCACTGGCACCGAGAAGTGAACGAATCATGGTGGAGGTATAGGGGCTGGACACTACAGGAGTGGATGCTTTCCAGACGGGTGCTGCACTTCACCGCGGGCAGGATCTACCACGAGTGCAAAGATGCCTACCTCACGCGCATCGAGGGCGACGAACCCCCGGGCTGGTTTCCTCCCATCTCTGATTTCAATCCAGAAGCCTGGGATAAGCCGGGTTGGAGTTCGGAAGGCTGCAGCGATTCTGAAAGTGACGAGGAGGGATCGGTTGAGTACGAGCTGGCCGACAGCAATATGGGCCCAAGTTTCAGTGAAAACGACAAGCCGGGTTGTGCTGATGACGAAATGGATGTCAGCGACTTACTAGATGATTCTTCAGAAGAGACACGCTCAGCCTCCCCAGAGATCAACGAAAAGTGCAGTTCAGACTCGGTTGAGATCCAGCCTCGTTACTTCATTTTCATGCGATGGTACCTCGCAATGCAGGACTATTCGAGCCGAAGCCTCACGTATGAGCAAGACAAACTTCCTGCGACGGAAGGCTTGGCGAGGGAACTCTCTTCCAAAAGGTACAACCTTGGAAGATATCTTGCTGGTATCTGGGAGGCAGACCTTGCCCTCGGTCTTTTATGGAGACCCTTCCATCAGTGGCCCATCGACGTGGAGCCAGCACCTTTTGTCTGGCCCCCTCCTCGGGACAACGAGCCGAGGTCTGCTTTCACCAAGGTAAGGGTGCCAGTGTCGGCTCCAGAAGAATACCGGGCACCATCATGGTCCTGGGCCAGCCTGGATGGCAAGATTCACTGGGCGAATTACCCGCAGAATGGTGTGCCTACGGGCACCGACCCTTCGGCAATTGCCGACCTCACAAATGGTACCCTCGAGCTGGTCGAGGTGGATCTTCAGTTCAAAGGTGAAAGCGTTTATGGAAGAGTGGAAAATGGCAGTCTGATGCTACGGGCAACTTATCAAAAGGTTCAGGTCTCCGGGCCACACAGCCAGGAGCAAGTCAAACTGCGGGGTGACCGTGGCTTCCTTTACGATGACTTTGCTTATTGTGTCCACACGAACAGCGACGAATTCGCATGGGCGGCCTTTGATATGATATCTCCTCCGCCTGGAAACCTCTACGCTCTCAAATTGATCAACCAGACGCCTGGTCTTACAGATCGAGGAGTTCTTTCTGGGTTACTGCTACAGGAGAGTGACAGGAAACAAGGTGCGTACCGGCGGGTGGGAGTCTTCATCATTCGAGAAGGTCACCTCGATGCTTTCGATAATATCTCTCCTGAGTTCATCACGTTGGTGTGAAAATAAGCATCTCTTATGTCGACAGATAGTGAATTGGACAAAAAGGGACGAGTAACGAATTATATAACATCTCATTCTCATCAAGTAACAGACATCCCACACTGACCTACTTGAGCCATCTCTCACATCATGATGGACACTGTACAATTGCCTTCGTCTTCCGCACGAGCTCAATTTAAACCACAATGTCCCAAAAATGGCACCGACATTGAGCCTACATGCATGAGTTGCGTGGTAGCTAGGCCGCTGAAGTGGCGTTGAGAAGAGTAATAGTAGTGGTGACCAAGACAATGTGCCCATCGTACCCCAGTTGTATACCCGTCGTAGTTGTGCCGGCCTTAGAGCTGTGCGCAGGAGCAGGCCAGTCCAGCTGACTCACGGTCTGTCCACCTGCGCCGTCGTCTGCCATGGCAGCAAGCTGAGACATGACATTGTCCACGACGTGTGACGAAGCAAAAGCGGATGAAGAAGACCAGGAACCAAACGCATATTCCTCCAACGAGACGGAAGTTGAACCAGCAGAGCCGGAGGCAACTTCCGAGCCTAGTGATGCTATCGCTGGGAACTGCGGTATGGTGCTTGTACCAGGGCCGACAATGTATGTACTCGGGCTTAACCACCCGTCGCCAAGCACATGCGTCACTGTGATGGTCGGCATCTTAACGCGGACAACACTTGAAGTGGACAGTGTGGCAGTGGACGTGACTGTGATGGTTGAGCCAATTGAAATGGCTGCCAGAGGAGGATTTCCCGCTGCCTCCGAATCCAGGATATCGTGGGGTGGAAACAAGCCGCCCAGAAGCGGTAGACCATGAAGCCAATGTGTGAATGCGCCAACGACGGCTTTGAAGTCTGTCACGATTTGCTTGAGGAAATTGTCTTTCGGATTTGCCTTTCGCGGAGGCAAAGCTGTAATAGCTTGTGTCGCGGCCGCTGCCAGGTTGACGCCCACGGAAGGCGGTGGAGCAGTCATGAAGGAGCCTAGGGTCTGCGTACCAAGAGGCCCACTGTCCTCCATGACCAGATCGTCTGAATCGAACACATGAACAACCTCGCATGCTGAGGACCCAACAGAGCCAACCACGGTCCTGGCAGCAGCCTCAGCCTGCTGCATGAATATGAAGCCCAGACTGAGGGCCGGATCTGACCCTGGAAACAAGTCCAGAATGGAATCACCTGCCGCCGAGAGGAAAGGCCCTATCGTTGCCAAAACCTCTGTCGTATTGCCAGGAGACGTCGAGGGCGCCGTCGCATCGTTCAGCCATGTATCGAGGCTGGACGCACAGGACACAACGCCACCAGTGGGTGGAGGATAGTTACAGGACCATGTCATATTGTAAGTCGTGGAACCCATCGTGCTTGACTGAAATGTGCACTGAGCGTCGCCAAAAGTGAGATTGGGGCTGAAAGACGGTGTTTTCAGGTAATTGTCAACCGCGACTTGGACGTTGAAGATGCTCGAGCTGGGGCTCTGTCCCTCCCGAAGTGATGCGGTGGTTCCACGAGGTGATTTGCGGCCAGCAATTGAACCGAGCTGGTGGTAGAAATTCTCCACTAGCACCTGCGTCACGCTCGTACAATTTCCTGTGTAGAGGCTCATCCCTGACCCATCAAAGACCAATGCATCTTCTCCCGGAATTTGTAGTCCTAATTGGCCTGTAATTGGGTTATTGGGCGACAAATTTAGGACGTACGGATTACCACTGGCCATAGCTGACACGTATTGAGGCGTGGTACCATTGTCGCCAAGCGCGATGATCACAGGGTTGCTCAGGTCAAAGTCATCCACCGGCACGACAGCGACAGCTACCATGTCCATGGAGGCTGCAGGAGTAGGGAGTGTAAAGCAGGACGTGGGAGAACGAGGGGCCAACAAGGTCACCCCAGTCAGAGAAATGCTGCTCAGTGCGATGGTTGAGTGTGTTGCAAGGACCAGCGAAGACGTTCCCATGGACATGCCCGAGGGCAAGACAGTCGAGAATACAGCTGGCGAGGACGTACCGAAGCTGATCAGGGCCGCCGATGTTTCAAGGGCCGTATTCGAGCTAACGAGACTAAGAGTGATAGACAGAGACCCTGGAACTCCAGAGGTTGTCAGGGCTGAAGACGCAGCTGTGGGTGCGATTGTAGATGAAATCACTTGAATGCTTGTAGATCTTGTGCCCGTGAGAGTTGACGAGAGAAGCGAGGCGGAAGACCAAAGGGCTGGCTTTGACGTGTCCAAGGACAGGAGCGGACCCAGACCATTAGACAACGACACCACAGAGGCAACCGTGGCAGCGCTGACCGACGAAATCACAAGAGGGTTGGACGTGAGACTGGACATGGGTCCTGGTGCGAGATTTGTGGACGAGGCGCTGAAAGAGGGAAAGGTCCCGGTCAACGTCGTTGATGCGCCCGTGGACACAATAGCTGGCGAGCTCGGGCCAAAGAGCGACTACGAAGTGTCAGCGTTGAGTATCTTCAACTTGGTGTATGACACTCACCGAAAGACTAGCAGGCATGGTGCCGAAGCACTCGCATGCAGTGTAGATAGTATGAATCTGGGTGAGGTAGACTGTCTCGGTCTGGGCTCTCGCCAGCCAGGCGAAGAGCAGACCAGATATGATCAGACAGAGAGGCATCTTTTTGAACAGAGACATCCTGTATGCATTTCTCGAGAAAATTGGCCAGACAACCTGTCAGGGGCACAGGGCCAGAAGCGAAAACAAGGCGCAAAAGAGAGACTCGAGCTTTCACGCTCCAGCCCGAGATGTGGCACTCGATTATCGAGATGCTGAGCCAGTCTGTATGCACGACAAGATGGCCGCTAGTCGATTCGAGCGTGCTATGGGCTTAAAAGGAAAGTGAACAGGAGAATAAAGGTTGTGACGGAATGCTAAATACGAAGGAAATGCCTTCAGAAGCTTCCCGTGAGGAAGGCATCAATGACAAGCTTGACGAGAGCATCTTGTTGTGGCAGCTTCATCCTCAGCGGCTACGCAGACCATGAAGCCCACCGCTCCTTCTCGCCAGTAGGGCATCGTCATCTTTCCTGCTACAGCAGGGATCACTGATTCAAGAGATGGCTGATGACTGACAGCTCCCCTGGTCTCTAGCAAAAGATCAGAAGCAGATACTAGCACCTGCCTGTACTTGCTCTTTCAAACATACCATGCATGGCTTTTACGGTCAGGGCTTCTTTGCTTCCTGCGTATGGACGTCCCGACTATCTTCTGGAATATTAGGTGACGAAGAGGGGGGCTCTCCATATTGATGGACAGTTGAAACCCTTGTAGGAGTTCATGTAGGAGTTCATATAGCAGACTTGCACTGTCGCGTACTTTGTGACATGTAAGTAGTAAAGGCCTGCAACGCTTTCCAGTACACGCTTCCCGCTGTGATTGCTGTTGCCCAATCAAAACATAAAGGTGGGTCCAATCTTATCAGCACGTGCAACTTCTCGATAAGCGCTAACAATTTTTCGAAGAGCGCACCATTCCCGCCCCAATTTCTCCCGCCTAACGACCCGCAGCAGTTTTGCACGTCCACGACTACCCACGAAAAGACTCGATCCTCGGCCATCCTTTCCCACCGATACCGATCAATCACCCCCCAATAACTCAAAATGGCCAAGATCTCGTGAGTGCGACCTCGATATTCCTGTGCTGGACGAATTTGGACACGCCAATTAGGGCTTTGCGGGGTGGAGACGAGCTGCGCAGTCGAAGGGCAAGGACATCTGAATATCGAAGTGCAAATTGTGCGAGACACCCGACAAACAACCGAGGAAAATGTCGAATGCGAAGCTGTCAAAACCCCACGCAAAGCCCGAACCCAGACGTGTCCAAATAGACGAGTCGGAAGGATTATGAAGACGAGCCGATTTGAAAGGGAACTTTCCACTGACGAAGGTGTCTGTACAGCCGTGGTGCCCCCGGTGGCAAGCTCAAGATGACCCTGGGTCTCCCAGTGTACGTTCTCCTGATCCTTTGCAAATTTCGACTGCGAATGAGGAACACCTTCGAAGCATACGCCACAAATTTGGAAGCAGGATGGGAACTGACAATGGTTTATAGTGGTGCCATCATGAACTGCGCAGACAACTCCGGCGCACGAAACCTCTACATCATCTCCGTTAAGGGTATTGGTGCCCGCCTGAACAGACTGCCTGCTGGCGGTGTCGGTGACATGGTGTATGTAATCTCGAAACCCGCAGCCACGATATTCCATCCCCCTCCACACACACAGATCGACCGGTCACGGCACGCATGACGACTGTTTTGTTGCGGCGCACACGACTCCCTTGAGTAGGACGACACAGCTGACAGCTCGCTTTTCGCAGTATGGCCACCGTCAAGAAGGGCAAGCCCGAGCTCCGCAAGAAGGTCCACCCCGCCGTCATCGTCCGCCAGTCCAAACCCTGGAAGCGCACCGACGGTGTCTTCCTGTACTTCGAGGACAACGCTGGTGTTGTGAGTAGCCCTCCCTCGACCTGTGGTTCAATAGACATGCAAAAGGAATTGTTTTTAGGGGAAAAGAAATTGGGACCGCCCCGCAGGAATGAATACGCGCAACGATGGAGGCTAACACCCAGACCTACAGATCGTCAACCCCAAGGGTGAGATGAAGGGCTCTGCCATCACCGGCCCCGTCGGAAAGGAGGCTGCCGAGCTGTGGCCCCGTATTGCCTCCAACTCCGGTGTTGTGATGTAAGCGGGTTTTCTTGGCGATGGATGTCGACGACGGTGGGAAGGGAGTAGCATGCTAGGACCAGCTGCGGAAGTCGAAAAAAACTTGGTCAAGGGGTCGCGCACAATGAGAGAAAGACGACGACACCCTCCCCCAAGACGAATCCGAGACCTCCACAACAGAGTCGAGGCTCGGCGACCAGCGGGCTTGATGGCATGATCGGGAAATTTTGAAAAAAGATACGGTCAGGCTTTGCATTTTACTTTTTTTCGGCTGGCGTGTAACGGAGGTTCATACCAATGGCATGAGATTTACGGACCAAAGAGAAAAGTCGTTGCTGCTGCTGCTCACCCAGTGCATCCCCCTCGGTTGGTATCTTGTTTGTGAACAGTGTCCACGCGAATGTCGAAGAGGTTGTCAAGCGGTGTTTGGAAGGTTACATCCGATTTCTTGAACGTCCCTGCTGGAGCCGTAGACAGGGCGCAAGCAAGTCTGATAGCCACGCGAGGGCAGCCACCACGGACTTCAAGACAAGCCCAGCAACGTCGCGCTGTTCATCCCCTGTGGACTAGCCATCACTCATTTTCTCCTTGCTCGTCCCCTGTGTGCGGGGCCCCTTCTACCATCTTGATCCTAGGAAAATCGTCTACATCGTCTAGCTGAAGCGTTATCGATGAGCTCTGAGAACGTCTTTGTAAACTGTGCAGCCAGGTGGTGTTTTCTGCTCAATTTTGGCTTTCGTCGCTAGTCTGGTCTCGTGGGGGTCTGAGTGTACGACACCAACTGCCCTTCCGGACTGTGACACCTGAGGCCCAAGGACGATACAACGCTTTTCATTATACCATAGGTTGCAGGCATATTACTTTATACACTGTTTCTCGGAGGACCCTCACAAGCTTAACTTCACAAATGGTTCACACGCAGCACGAAAAATGCCTGATTTTTTGAGTATCACAAAATGGTGATACTCAAAAATAGATTGGTATGTAGTAAAGGGCTGCTTGTGATAGTACTAGCGGTTTAGAATAGAAGGTTTGTGTTGTAGATAGATAGGAAAAGAAGGAAAATGTTTGGAGTTGTTGCCTGGAGCAAGGAAAATGAGATTCGAATGTTGAGGGGAATTTCTATCATTCCGTATACTCAAGTCAGTCAGCCAAACGATATACCAAAAAGGAGGGGAGAAAATGCTGCTTACCCAGTCTGGAAAAAGTGAAACGAATGGCACGTCCCTGGTTTCCCAGGCGATTGCAACATGGTCCACAGCAAGATTTCCCCTGGCATCGTGTAATATTGCCTTGGAAGAGTAACGGAGTGAGTGGGCTGAGAGGAAGGAAAGGAAGAAGAGCTGTAGGAAATGATGCCAATGGGGAGAAAGACTGGGCAGAGGCCGAGTGCCTCGTCAGCTTCAATCGGGAAATGTGTGCCAAAAACAATTGTCGCAGAGGCCCCGAGAGCCATCATCTCAATGACGACTGTTCAGGTGGGGTTAACAATTCCGTCGGGACATGTCATGAGGGACTGAACAGTGAACATGCTTCCATGTTCGGGACCCGCGACAAAGTTTTGGCACCCGCCGGACTCTGGGCCAGATGGGGGTTCGGACGCATCCGAGAAAGAAAGGCAGTCGTGTATGTAGAATTCTCGAAGGGCCCTTGACATCTGAGGGATTCATGAGTACCGAGATGGATTTCGGCGTGCAGTTGAAGACCTCATCGACGGGACCAACATGGCGAGACAGCCTGAGACGAAAACAAGGCTCCTGCGGAATAACAAATCAAGCTTCCGTCGGAGCCTTCAACCCAAGTACGACTTGTAGTATCAACAACAAGCTCCTTGAAAGCCATATTGTCCAGTTTAGGTAAAAGTCTAATGCCAGAACAGCATCCGGGAAATGACCCTCAAGTCTTCTGCTGCTGCTCCGTCATGTTCTCAATGCCAGTCTTTGTCTCAGTGTGCTCCTTGCTCATATGGCGCTGCTTGACAAAGATACTCGCCACCATGCCCACGGCGGCGATGCAGGTGTACATGATGAACATGTTTCTGACGCTCCAAGCAAAGGACTCTTCCACAGCGAGACGCTGGCCGGCGTCCTGGATGGTCCTGGTGATGCCGACATTGGCCGCTGCGTCCTTGCCAGATAGGGCCTTGAGGTCGGCGTCATCGAGACCGCTGGCGGCCAGGAACGAGGCGCGGGAGGTCATGCTGTTCTGGAACACCACGCCACCGATCACGGTCGCCAGGGCAGTCGCCAGGTTGCGGATGAAGCTGAGGGTTGCGGTGGCGTTGGCTGTGTCGGCCTGGCTTACGCTGTTCTGGATGGCCATGGTTGGGGTCTGGAAAAGCAGACACATGCCGATGCCGAAGATGATCTGGAAGCCGATGACCACTCCGAGGCTTGTACCCGTCCCAAACATGATGAGAAGCCCTGTTCCCAATGTGAGGAAGCTCGTTCCCACCCAGATGATCTCCCTATAGCGGCCGATCTGGTGGATGGCAATCCCGCCCAGTATGTCTCCCGCAGCACAGGTGATGATCATTGGCAGCAGCAGGACGCCGCTCTCAAGTGGCGTAGCAGCCTTGACGCTCTGAAAGTACAGTGGGAGGTAGAACTCCACTCCGAAAGATGCCATGCTATGCGTAAAGGCAACAACAGCGATAGCGTTTGCTGAGAAATCCTTGCTGAAAACGCTGAGCAAAACGAGAGGATACTTAGCCAAGCGTTTCTCGCTGTAAAAGAAGAAGCCAATCATGAGCCCTCCGAAGACGATCAGGCAGATAACCCTTGGGCTATCCCACGGGTACGTAACACCACCGAAATCAAGGCCGAGCAGGAGCAGGATCGTTACACTCAGGATAGACAGCGACCCAAACCAGTCGACCGCCCTGAGGCCATCGCTGAGCTTGGTACGCGGATTGTGAACATCCAGAAAGAACAGCATGATGAAAAAGGTCAGGCCGCACACCGGCAGGTTGATCCAGAAACACCACCGCCAGCTGGCATACTGTGTCAGGGCGCCACCGATCACGGGGCCTGTGGTTCCTGCCAGGACCCAGACAACGCCCATGGCGCCGATATACAGCGCCCGCTTGCGGATGCTGTACAGGTCGGAGATGATGATGTTCACCAGCTGCATCAGGCCGCCACCAGCCGTGCCCTGCAGAGCCCGGCCCGCGATCAACATGCCCATGGTCGTGGCCGTCGCTGTGATGACGCTGGCAGCGGCGAAGATGACGAGGGCTACCAGGACAGCCGGCTTGCGGCCCCAGATATCGCTGCATCTAACCCAGACAGGGCCGGCTGCTGCATTGGCCAGGAGGTACGCTCCGCCGATCCACATGTAGCCAGAGGCATTGTGGAGCTCAGCAGCAATCGTAGGTGCAGAGGTAGCGACGATGGTCTGATCAAGAGCTCCAATGAACAGCTCGAGCTGAATGAAGAGAGAGAGTGAGAGAGAGTATGTGTGTCAGCAGATTCAATGTTGGCCCCTCTGATGAGGATGTGAAAAAAAAAAGAGCTGAAAAAAAAGAAAAAAAAAGCTGAAGTAGTTAATTACTTAACCATAAATGAATCGACGTACGCAAAGCGCGGTGAAGATGGTATAAATACGCAGCTTCGACCGTCGATGAAATTGTTCAGACACCTCAAGTTGCTCAATGTTGCGCTCACTGGGCTTATTCTGTTCGGCGGTGGCTTCGTTGGAAAGAGGAGGCGTGGGTGCCTTGGAGACTTCAGCATGTGCCAGGCCAGGCTCAAGCACAGTGATGTCGTCCATCTCGTTCTTTCTCCTCAGCGTAGTTTTGGATTGCGAATTGTGTCAGTAAAAAGTGAGGCAAATGGAGACAGAGTATTATTGTGTTGTGAAGTCTGACCGCTTTCTGTCGTGAGTGGGTCGACTTTTGGAGAGAGGTTCAACAATTGAGCTGCCTGGATTGACACGCGCCCTTGGGTCAACATGTTGTGGTTAATGTTAGACTCAGGCCTTGGGTAGTACCACAACCCCTTGCTCATGCACTAGTTAATTACTAGCGCTTACATATTTATAGGTTCTGCTTTTCACAGTCATTTCATGGCAGGAGGTACTTCGTATAGGACTTTCTTCAATTCTTCCTGCTATAAATCATCATCCGCAGAGTAATTGAGTAAGAATTTGCCTGGAAACGAGATAAGCCAATAACATTGTCAGGCGTGATCATGATTGAGAGCAGAAAAGTTCGACATAGGAAGACCGCTTCACCATCCATTCATCCATTTTTTTTTAAACTTATTTGATTCGAATGGCCGTTCTAATCTCAAAAGTCTTTTTTGTCTATCCTAGTCAGTCTTGAATAGTTCATGGGGAGGGCGAGAAAGATCAAGGACGTCCAAGCTTCAACGACCAGTTTTGCATGAAGGTATGCGGCGGTATGATGTATATAACCCCTACATCGACATAGCCAATGCTGAGACAGACATGATTTATAATGGCAAGAGAAGTAAGAATCTGCCGATGTGACGGATCATCAGGTGTGGCAGCTCGGACATAATGTTGTGTAACGCGAGGTGCACGTGTAAGTACTTTGTATAACGTTTTGGTAGGCCCATCCGTAGTCTATTCAGTCCCTGAGGCTCACTCCGGCAAACAATGACATCAACAAGAACCCAATCAACAAAGGCTGTCAACATCAACAGAGAACTAGTAATTCGTGCATCAAGTAGGAGTCATCAGTAGGAATTCATCAATGTCAATTGCTGGCCGTCGACTATCCATGTATCAAGTCAAGAGTTTTCCGACCAGCCGTCCGTGATACAACCAATACGTTGCAAATGCGAATGCACAGAGCACCCTCCAATGAGTTTTTAACCCTCCTTTCCCTCGCTATGCTCCTTTTGTTTGTATGTAGTACATATGTACAGTTCGTAAATTCAATGAGGGGAAAGAACAAAACACAATCCCTCCCGGGGGAAAAAAAAAAAGGCATTGAAGACGTCACCTTGTCCGTCCTTGAATGATGCAGGTCATGATCGATATGTAAAATGGAAAGGTCGCGTTCGTATCGTCCACAACAACGACCTAATCCTGTCCTGTGTACTCTTGTTCATGTTGGAGGTCGTCCTTCAGCTCTGGTATCCTATCCTCATTTCAGAGCTTCAAATGTTCTCGCCCCCCCTTTTTTTTTTCTTCTTCTTTTTCCTTTCTTTCTTTCTGTTTCTTTTCTGTTTCTTTTCTGTTTCTTTTCTGTTTCTTTCTTTTCTTGCCTTCTCCGGCCGTAACTACTGCGGTCCAGGTCCCCACCGGCCACGCTCATATCTTCCATTCCTCATGTCCAGCTCTCCATTAGAGAACGGTAGGCGAGGGTGCAGATCAGCATAGCCGTTATCTAGGAATGGATTCTGCTCCTGGGGGTCAGACCTAGGCTGCGGCGATCTGAAATCTGGTGCATGGAACTGCGGCGCAGCGGGCCCGGGTCCTACCATCGCGCTGGGGGATGGCAGGACAGCACCGCCGTGTGGGCCAGGGGCGGCACCTTCAGGGTTGAATGAGTGCAAAATGCCATCGTATGCGCGAGGAGGAGGCGGAGGCTGTTGCTGAGATAGCAGAGCGGCCGGACCAACCGCCTCGGGGACGACGGCCGCAGGGGGAGGCAGGGCTGGTGGCGTCGTGGCAGCTTGCGAGTCTGCAGACGGCGGTGCTGACTCAGGTTGGGGCGTGGGTGTCGTGGTCTTATCGTCAGAGACTTTCTGTTTCTTGCGTGCAAGCGTCTCCTTGCGTTTGTTAACCGCCTGGCGCATGGAACCATTTGCCCATCGAGCTGTAAGGTGAAGAACAAATATCAAATGTTAGCAAGCTGTACCTGCCAATAAATTATTGTTTGCACGCACGAACACGACCCCCTTGTGGGCCGTCCGGCGATCAGAAAAAGACTGCATCAGGAAATATTGTTGTCCCTACCTTTCATGCTGGCGCTCATTTTCTCGCTCTTGGTCATGCTCGCGTAGTCCTTCTCGCTGAGGTCGTCGAGGTCTGCCCCCATGGCGCCATTTACTGACGCGCTGGATGAGGGCACGGGCGTGCCGCGTCCTGAAACGGAAGTTCCGCGGCCGTCGGGTGGGAGAGATCCGTGGCGGCCAGCAATGGTGCCCAGAGCCGGCAGGGGCGGGGCGTTTTGTAGCATGGACGGCATCGACATGGAACCGGGGAACGCGTTCACGGGGAACATGACTTGTCCAAGTCTAGGACGGTCGGCTGCCAGCGGTTGTGGGTCGTTGAGACTGTTAGCCTCATACGTGAATCCATGGAAGTTGTTGGGGTGTTGAAGGGGTGCGGAACCCGGCGGAGGTCCGGCAGGCTGAGGTGTCGCGCTCTGCTTCCCTCTATTAGTATTTAATTTGATTTTGAAGACTTTCCTGCGGGTGGGTGACTGGGGCCGTAGTGGAGTTGGTTCAACGGGATGGTTGTTTGGGGTTGAGAAGGGGTTGGCACCGACAGAGGAGGGCGCGGCGACGTGGCCTGGTCGCACGGGAGATGGCGCAAGGAGTGGTCCTGGTACAGGGCCGCCGCCTGTCACGTTGATGAAGGGGTTGTCAGGAGGCGCAAGAACAGACGCTGCCAGAGGCTGGTATCCATGGGAAGGTGGGGGGTACTGAAGATTCTCGTTGTTGTAGGGAGCTGGTGCCAAGTTAGACGGGTACGACGTTGGTACTGGATCCTCCTGGCGGTTCTTGGGCTTCCGGCCTCTCTTGGGCCGGGGCTGCTCGGCCAACACCTGGTTGATCGGGTCAGCCAGCTCAGAATAGTTCTTCCTGGTCCTGTTGCGGAAGGAGTAGCTGCTACCAACAGTCCGCTCAGAACTGGTAGACGATGAAGTCGACGGGCGCTTCTCCTCTGTGGGCACGATAGTGTGATCATTAGTCTGCGCATTGCTGGTCGCACCGTAGAACGTGGTCGGAGGTATCTCCGCCTTGGGCTTTCGACCGCGCCGCTTCTTCGGAGGAGGTCCCTCTTCCTGCTTGATCTGGCTGTTTGCAGGGCGCTGAGGCTGGGCATCCTCGATTGAGGCGGCGGGAACGTCCTGCGGCGCAATCTCGGGAGCAGCAGCGGCGGCGGCGGCGGCGACACGACGACGCTTGCGAGTCTGCGTCTGCGTCTGCGTCCGCTCCACGCCTCCAACATCATTGGGTGCAACTTCTGCAGCAACAGCTGCCGCAGCCTCCCGTGCAGCCTTCTCTGCCGCTTCCCGCTCAGCAGCTGCGCGGGCTTCGGCCTCCTTGACGGCCTTGGGCTTGGGACCCCGCTTCTTCTTTGGAGGTGGCTCGGGCACAAGGGCAGGTTCAGGCAGGGCCTCGGGCTGCTGCTGCTGTGCTGCGCCTTCATTATCGCTCTCGAACTCTCCATCTAGGTTTCTCCTGCGGCGACGCTTCCTGGGATTTGTGGTGGGCTGCTCCACTGGTGTCGGGGCCCTGCTAGGCTCCTTGCTCTCGTCAGACAGGAGGCGTGCAGGCCTCCGCGTGCGTTTGCCTAGACTGAAGCTTGCAGGGTGCTCATCTATCGCCTCTGCAAGTCGCTGACTAGGCTTGGGCCTGTTGCGAAGGCGAGTGTTCTGCAGACCATCCCTCTGTAGAATGGGGTCCTGCTTCCCAATCATGCTGGGGCGCGGGTCCCACTCAAAGCCCCAAGCCTGGGCTGCGACCTGATCCTGGTGTCGTTCATAAGCCTCCGGATGGATATAAGGATAATTGTGCTTCTTCTCATTGGTCTTCTCTGCACGTATGCCCTTGACCTCAAAGTCCCGCTTCTCCACAGTGACAGAGCCTTTGGCCTTGGCCAAGTCTCTGGCTTCGCGGGCAGCTTGAGCTGCATCGTGCGCGCGCCGGCGGACCGCATTGTCCTCGTCATCAGTGATGATCTTCTGCCTCTTCCATTCGTCCTGCCAGGCTACCAAAGCGTTGTTGGCCGTGGCTAGGATATTGAAGAGTTCCTCGTCCGACATGTTCTTGTGGGTATCGAGGATGTTGGTGAATTGAGACGGAGACCTGATGCGGCGGAAGCCATACTGCTCAGGAGGGGGAGGTCTCGGTTTCCGCATCGGCTCGATGACCGGCTCTGGAGACCCTGCCCTGCTGGTAGCGGCAGACTCGGCTGCAGGCGACGGCAGATCAGACATAGGTGTTGGAGTCGGGGCGTTGGACCCCAGCTCTCCCTCGAGACCTGGCTCCTTGTCGGGAGCCATAGATCCAAGGTCTTCCGCAGGCCCATCTGCGCCGTCAGACGGCTGGAAATTAGGCGTCTCGAGGGGCGTGGGCGTGCCCGAATCCTGACTGATTTCGGGATAGTAATCTCGTATCTCCTGGTATGGGGTAAGGAAGGAGAAGTCACGAGGAGGGTATGACCGAACTGGGCGAGGCTGCTCAACCAGATTAGCAAGCCTGCTACTGCCCTTGGGCGCCTTGGGCTTGAGCGGCTCCTGCTGCTCGATGCTCTGGCGGATCTTTGGTGGCCGGCCGGGTCCTCTCTTCTTGGGACCCTCGAGGTTCAAGGGCGGCGTGGGGGTGTCTTGGGCGGGCGCAGCACGGTTGGCTGCCTTGAACCTGCCGTCAGGCTTCTTGCTGGAAGCAGGCGTGTCTGTGGTCGACGAAGCAGGCTCTTCATCTGCCACGACCGAGTCCTCGGCAACGCGATTCAAACGCCGCTGAGAAAGGGAATTTGGAGAAGGTTAGCCTTGTGCATACACTGGAGATTGCTTTGGTACACAACGACCAAAGTAGGTAGCAACACGTACCCTGGGGCGAAGAGATGGCTTCTGGGCGTCCTGCGACCCATCCATTCCGTCTTGTTGTGGTGATTCAGTTGGTGCTTGTTTTGATTTTCTAGTCAGTGTGACCCTGCTGTGCTGAGCAGGAGTAGGCTGGTCCATCTTGGGAGAGGCAGAAGTGACTTCCTTGGGGAGAAGATCGCCAGCAGGAATGACCTCTGTCGCGTCAGAATCGGTTGAGTTTTGTGAGCTCGGCTGGGCTGCTGAAGGAACATTGTTGGCGGCATCAATTGGGCCCTTTGTATCCTGGAAGCCCTGGGAATTTTCTCGAAGTTGTGGAGACTGATTATTGTCGGCTTCAGATTTGGTGGTTGTAGGGACAATGGGATCTGTCGAATGGGCCGGTTCCCCTAGTGTGGTGCTATTGTGATCAGGTAGTTGGTTTGATTGGTCCTCGACCTGGGTTTCCTGCCCGTTGACTCGCATCTTCGGATTATCAACGGAAGCAGGTGATCGGGGAGCTAGGGGTGATGCCAGAGGCGTATTGCTCTGGTCGAGATGAACAGAGCCTTCAGACTTGGTGTGATTCGCTGGCGTTTCCATTTCTGACTGCATGGTCATTGGCGAGGTGACCTGAGGCTGAGACAGGATGGCATGCTGCGCGTTGCCGTTGCGCGATGGGGACTCGCCAGAATTATTGCTGGCAGTCTCTGATGGCTGGCTAGTCGAGGACGACGAGGAGGGAAAGCCCATGGCTACACCGCCAACCTCAATAGTATCCTTCAGTTCGGTATCAGAGGGCTGCTGCTCAGGGGAGGGGTTTTCCACAGGGGCGGCTGAGGCGGTGCTCTTCCTCTTGGTGTACGGACGGCGTGCAGGCACGGGGGAGGCTGTCCTCTGGGTGTCGTTGCGGGCCCTTTTCTTTGTCGGGCCGGTAGCTGACTGAGGCTGAGACTCCTCCTGTTGCTCGAAGCTGGTGTCAATTACAGGTTGTCGCTTACGAGCAGCACGGGCGCCAGAGACGGTGATCTCCAGTGGGGGGGCATCTGAGGGCTGGATGTATACATCGGCAGCGTCGTCATCGTTCATTTGAGCATAGTCGATGCGAGCACGCTTTCGAAGTGAATGGCCACCCTTGACTGCAGCCTCCTCGTCGGCAGCAGTAGCGGCAGCAGAGTCTGTAGGATAGTCGAGGGTGCGCGCCCTCCTTCGGCCGGGGGTCTGCCGGGGATTGGGCTGGGGGGTTGAGAAGGTGAATGAGTGGCCCAGGCCTTGCTTGGGCGCCTTCTCTGCGCGAGGGGTCGGCTCCATGTTGGGAGTCGCAGAGGAAGAAATATCTGTGGATGCAGGGGAAGAAGATGCGTATTTGTAGAAACGGTGTTGAGAAGGGGTATTTTTACCACGGCCACGGGTGGTGGTCGGAGTACGGGTATGAATGCCTGTAGGCGACTCAACTTGAAAAGTGAGTGAGTTGGTCAGGGAACTAGAGGAAGCGTGGGAATCATCGTATGAATGGTGATTGCCAGAGGATGAAGAATGTCGACCAGCACGAGAAGATCCTCGAGGGCGACCGACTTTTTTCGATCCACGGCCTTGGGTCTGGTGATGCTGTTGCTGCTGTTGGTGCTGCTGCTGCTGCTCTTGCTGTGGCTCCTGCTGCTGCTGCTGCTGTGGCTGCTGGGGCTGCTGGTGGTCTTGGTGCTGAGAATCCATGATGCAGCCAATCAGAGGCGCCCCTCTCTTTCAAAGGAATAATAAGGGGCACCCGGAAATCACCGCAGGTAGAAACTGGGTCGGTGTTAGTACTCGCGGGCCAGCAGAAATCGCCGGCCAGAGAAGTGCTGGGGGGCCAGGTCGAATTGATGAAAGGGCGTGCACAGAAACAAAAGGAATCGATTCTCGTGTCAGATGGAAGAAGGAATATTAGAAGCATCAAGGTGTTTGCATTGGCTTGGGCGTGAGAGAAAGAGAGAGAATGAAAGGACCAAGGTGAGGGAGTGGGTGAGATGACATGCTGCGACGTGTGTGTAAAAGCAATTTTTGGCCCCTTACTGCACCGCGTTTGCACCGTCAAAACTGCATCAACACGTACCTGGATAATTCCGAAAACGCAATCAAGAAAATCTCCTTCTAAGTAAGAACACGCTGACGTATTTTTCAGGTGGTCGAAAATGGCAGATGACTGCAATATCAGAATGCGAAACAGGTCATGTCTTATGCGTGTTGTCGCCTCTTTTTCTGGATTCGAACCTTGGCTGATGGCCGGCACGGATTTTCGAAGGTCATGACCTCCCAGCCTGTAAGAGCGCCCAGATCCTAGCAGGCCAATGACAGCCTCAGCAGGCCCCCAGGAACGCACGGACCAGCGCAGAAGGGGGCTGCTTAGGAAGGGTTCGCAGCTGGGTAGGGCAGAGAGGTAGGTACCTGGGTACTTGCAGCAGCCCCCTCTACCGGTTTGGGTTAGAATGACAGCCAATCACCTTTCACGCTTTGGCTGTAGCCTCACGCTAGGCAATTCTGATACTAGCTCTCCTCCCTTCCCCTGCCTATTGACGTGCGTCTGATACATACTGTACCTTCACACACCTCAGGGCAGCTCTCCGCCCGACTTGGAAATTGCGACAGCAACCTTATGACAACCTCTGTACCACTCCCTCGAGAAGGCTCATCATTACACGCCCACAAGCCAACTTTGTTTTTACTGCTGCTTCTCTTGATTTTGAACCTGCTACATCTACAGACACCCTCACGTGGGTTACTACTCGTCCTGCTACCACAGAGAGAGAGGCCCTGACTAGCAAACCCCACCTTCGACATGGCAAGCAAGCGTGGCAACAAGGCCTCCGCCGACAACGAGATCGACGAACTCTTCGAGGGCATCGATACCAAAAAAGCTCCCGCACCCACTGGAAAGACGCCTGTCTCTGCCAAGCCCAAGGCTGGGGATGACATCCTCGCGGAGCTCGAGAACGAGCTGGGCGAGAAGGCCCCCTCCCGCCCTCACACCCCGCGCGTAAGGGAGCCGGCCAAGCCGGCCAAGCGCACGGGTACACCCTCCACAGAGGGTGCGGCCACACGGGCGTCCCTGGAGCAGCCGAACGTCACTCGAAAGTCTGTCGAGAGCACCCGGTCTATACATGCAAGCTTCACCCCGAGCGCGACGTCCTCAGATCTACAGGAGTCCGAGAAGACGAAGGGGACCGTGGAGCAGGCGCAGCAGGCTGCGGCTGCATCAGGGGGTGGTGGCGGCTGGTGGGGAGGCTTCGTGTCGACTGCTGCGGCGGCCATGAAGCAGGCCGAAGCTGCGGTCAAGGAGATCCAGCAGAACGAGGACGCAAAGAAGTGGGCAGATCAGATGCGAGGCAACGTCGGTGCCCTCAGAGGACTGGGTAAGTTACACAGCATCCCGGTGGCTTCTATCTGTGCACAGCAGGCCATTGTGTCGTGCAGGGCTCTATCCTTGCCTGGCCACAGCATGGTCTAGTTCGGTTGCCGGTGTCCCAGCTTTGCTAACCCTGACCGTTCAGGAGACGGCCTTGCTCATAGGGCGCTCCCTGCGCTCACCAATATCATGAACACCATCGCACCTCCAATCTCTCAACACGAGCGCTTACTTATTCACATCACCCACGACCTCGTTGGCTACCCTTCCCTCGATCCCCTCATCTATGGCGTATTCAACCGGGTTATGGCGCAGGTGGAGGGAGGTGATCTGATGGTGGTCCAGCGCGGGCACGAGAGCTCCATAAAGTCTCCTTCTCATGAGAAGAGTGGTTTCTTCTCAGGCGGACACAGCGCAGCTGGCTGGCGTGATGGGCCCTGGTGGCGTGACGTGGGCTCCCCTCGCGATCTCGGTCTGATCAAGGGCATTGTGGAGGGAACGAAGCTCTGCCGTGCCAGCGCCGAGTCGTACAGCACTGAGTATTTCTCCGCGTCCGGTGGTATCGAGGCGGCACGTCAGCGTGCCGTCGAGCCTGTCAGCGAGAGCAACCCGGTGCGCAGCTCCGACATTTTCCTCGCGGTCCAGGCGATCCTCACGGACGAGGACAAGGCCTTGTTCCAGGGTGGCTCCTCGACCGAGAAGGAGAAGGACTCGTCGGCCGTGCTGGAGGAGGACAGCAGCGATGAGGTCGTCTGCTTCGCGATCTACATTTCTGACCCGGTGCACGACATCCAGTACAGCGCGCTGAGCCAGAGCCTGCCTGCCAAGTGGATCCGCTGGCTGGATGCAGTCAGTCCCCTGACCCCAGGAAGCAGCAGTGATGGTGCTGTTGCTGATGTTGAGAATGTGCCTGATGAAATCCGCAACATCGTGGAGAGCGGAGGCGTTGACCCGCGAGAGTGGGTGGCCGAGTGGGTTGAGGAGGTTCTCAATCTGTCTGTGGGCATTGTGGCGCAGAGATATGTTGCGCGACGCATGGGTGTTGGCGAGGGCGGCATCGGCAAAGGTAAGAGGAGGATGGAAGAGGTTGTAGCGGAAGGTGGAGGCGAGGCTGCGAGGGCCGGCGTCATCTGAGTAAGTCGAAATTGAGAATCGGCGCCTCTTGTGACGCACCGTGCTCAAGAGATGCTCTGGTCGTTCTGCAGGATTGGCCCATGATGGGGCCTGTGCCCTGGGGTGTGACGAGGCGCAGTAGCCATCGTGCTCCCCATCTCCCTCGTTCTCTATACGGGCAATTTCTTTTGGATATTGAGAGGCGTTTGGCGTGTACACGGAGCCTGGAAGGCTGGTACAACAGGTTCTCATTTTCATGTCAATATCTCTTGACGAATGCAGCAGCAACAGGTCACTGCAGGAATCTCAATTGTGGTCCAATGACGTTTGTCTCGAGCACGCTCTTTTCAAAGATCGTGCTCAGCATCCATACGCCTCTCACCATCGTCTAATTACATGCGGCCAGGAAAGCCAGAAACCTTTCTTTATTTTTTTATTTTAGGGTTCTTCCCCCCTTGCTCTCTCGAGCCCTTGATGCCTTTATACTTCAACGTGCGCCTCGGCCGGATCCGCCTATACTATACAAGAACCCTTGCCTTGCCGGCTTGCACCATTGCGGGCCATCCCGTCGTCATCCATTTATTACGTTTCCTAACCTTCACAGCGCCTGGAGATGCTCCTTTGACGATGAACGAAGATTGAAATGTTTTCTTTTTTGTGGCCCTCGATCTTGAAAAGAGTCGCAAGAGTTCGCCTCTGCATTGCGGATCCCCTTTTTAGATTTTTCTAGATGCAGCAGGGCCCCTTTTTATGACTCGATCTGAGTCTGGTCCCTGCGCATAAAAAGCCCGGAGAACACATCATGGCGCCGCAGTCGTACTACTAGGGCGCATGCGTGGCCGTTGTGGCATGTAACAATAGCTTGTAGTACTATGGGGATACATTCAAGCGCATCCTTCCATTTCCCCCAAAAGCACAGGCGAATGCCCATGTGTGGGGCCCGGGTACAGGTCGATTCGGTCCTATACTTGCGTTCTGGCCCATATAGCCTGTTCCGGCCAGTTATCTCCGCCGTGATAGGCGGTTTGTGAGATCCGGTTGATCATCTCCATATTCCCTCCAAAAGTCCTTGTCGAGCCATGGTGATTTATGCAGCTGGGTTGCTTTAAAGACCCCTCGTACACCCTCGCTAGTCAAAGAATGGCGGAAACGTTCATACTCTCCTCTCCAAGGACGACGTGCGATTTTACGGTGTGATTGTACTGGCCTTTGCCTTGCCTTTCAGCAGACAAGGTTTCAGCACACTGTTTGTTCACCCTCTTCTCTTGTCTCACAAGGCATCTCTTTTGCTGGGCCAGCGTCTCCGTCTCTTGACGAGGCAGGACAACTCATGATGGCCACGGAAATCCAGGAGATAAGCCCTGAGTCGCCTCCTGCCTACGATGGCGTTGAGCAAACCAGTGAGGCAAAAAAGGTGGATGGCATAGTTGAGGAGAAGTCTGTGGATATTGAGGAGAACCAAGACGACGATGGCAAAAATTTGATCCTGGACAGGGCAGAGGCTACAGAGCTCACACCCGTCGAGGCCTTCAAATGGAACGTCGAAGGGGACCAGTCGCCATGTGAGTTTATTCTGTTGTTCCACATGCATAATCAATCCATGGTTGTTATCATCATAATTATGCATAATTAGGCGCATTAATATTGACCTAAATCCAGTCCCAGAAGTTGCTGCTTGCGTACCCAACACAGACGACCCAAGCATCCCATGCAATAGTAAGGCAATCCTTCCTCCCAGTGGTTTACCCTTTGCTCTTTTGCCTTCCCAAGAACTGACTCTGTTTCCTTTTGCATTTAGCATTCCGAGCATGGGTGCTCACCACGTTATTCGTCATCGTCTTCTCCGGCGCCAACCAGTTCTTCTCCCTCCGCTACCCCAACCTCTCGATCGGGTATGTGGTGGCCCAGCTTCTGGTCTACCCTCTCGGCAGGACATGGGAGAGACTCCCTCGCTGGCGTGTGCCGCTGGGCAAGCTCTCCTTCGACATCAACCCGGGCCGCTTCAGCATCAAGGAGCACGCGCTCATCGTCATCTGCGTCAACATCAGCGGCAGCGCGGCCTACGCCTCGTGGGCTCTCACCGCCATCGTCAGCCCCGTCTACTGGGACACGGACTTTGGCGCGGGCTTCTCGTTTCTCTTCCTGCTGACGACGCAGATGATCGGGTTCGGCCTGGCAGGGCTGGCCCGCCGCTGGCTCGTCTACCCGGCCGCCCTCATCTGGCCGTCGTCCCTCGCGTCGACGGTGCTCTTCCGCGCTCTGCACGAGCCGCAGGAGCACTCGCCCGCCAATGGCTGGACCATGACGAGGTATCGGTTCTTTGGTCTGATGACGCTGTTTGCGTTTGTGCTGTTCTGGTTCCCCGACTACATCTGGACGAGCCTGAGCACGTTTGCGTTTGTCACCTGGATCGCGCCGCACAACCAAAAGGTCAACACCATCTTCGGCATGAGCTCGGGCCTGGGTCTGATCCCCCTCAGCATCGACTGGACCCAGATCAACTACGCCGGCTACCCGCTGACGACGCCCTTCTACATCACCTGCAACGCCTTCGCGGTGGTTGTCATCTTCTATCTGTTCTTGTCGCCCATCCTGTACTACTCCAACGTGTGGTACAGCGCCTACCTGCCCCTGCTGTCGTCGAGCACCTTTGACAACACCGGCGCGTCGTACAACGTGACCAAGGTCGTGGACGAGAACCTCGACTTCGTGCTCAGCAAGTACGAGAGCTACTCGCCCATGTACATCTCCATGTCCTACTCGCTCACCTACGCGCTGTCGTTTGCGGCCGTGACGGCGGTGGTGGTCCACACGTATCTGTACAACGGCAGCGAGATCTGGGCCAAGTTCAAGAACTCGAGGCACGGCGGCGAGGACATCCACAAGCGGCTGATGAAGTCGTACAAGGAAGTGCCGGACTGGTGGTACGGCGTGCTGACGGTTCTTGTGGTGGCGCTTGGCATCGTGACGGTCAGGTACTGGGACACTGGGCTTCCCGTCTGGGGGTTTATCGTGGTGTGCTTTGGTTTGGGCGTGTTGATGATGGTTCCAGAGGGGATTCTGGAGGGAACGACGAACCAAAGAGTGTAAGTTTGCATGCGAAACTTCACAGTGTAGGCCGGTATACTGACCACGACAATGTTGTTTTCCCCTTTTAGGTTTCTCAACATTATCACTGAGCTCATCGCAGGCTATGCCTGGCCGGGCAAGCCGATTGCCAACATGATGGTCAAGTGCTATGGCTATAATTCAGTCAAGCATGTAAGTTGGTTCTCCAAAGGGGAATGAAGATGCAATGAAAGGCTCTTCAGGCTTGCAGCAAATAATGTTTCTAACAAGGTATTGTAACAGGGTATGGACTTTGCACAAGACTTGAAGATGGGACAGTACATGAAGATCCCGCCGCGCGTGCTCTTTGTCGGGCAGATCTACTCGTCCATACTTGCCACGGCAGTTCAGACTGGAGGTCAGTTTATTCTCTGGGGCTCTCAAGCGCCTGCTAGCCTGCCGCCTGTCTGCCTGCATTCTGTCATGAGATAGATACAATGGCTAACACCTTCTGCTCCAGTACTCCGCTGGATGATTGGCCACATTCCCAACTTGTGCTCTCCAGAAAACACCCAGCGCTTCACGTGCAACAGCGCCAAGGTCTACTACAACGCCTCCCTCATCTGGGGCACCATCGGCCCCCAGCGCATGTTCCAATCGGGCCAGGTGTACTCTGCGCTCCCCTACTTCTTCCTCATCGGCCCCGTCGTCACCGTGGCTGTCTACCTCCTCTACCGGCGCTACCCCAACTCCTGGATCCGCTACGTCAACGTGCCCATCTTCTTCAACGCGGCGGGCAACATCCCGCCGGCCAACACGACGCAGTACAGCCTGTGGTTCATCTTTGGGTTCCTGTTCAACTACCACCTGCGCAAGAAGGCCTTCCAGTGGTGGAAGCGGTACAATTATCTGTTGCAGGCGGCCATGGACACGGGAACTGCGCTGGCGACGGTGCTCATCTTCTTTGCGCTGAGCTATACGGGGACCACGCTCAGCTGGTGGGGGAATAATGTTGGGTCCAATACAGATGACTCGAACTCGGTGCCTTGGCTGACGGTGCCGGATGGCGGGTATTTTGGAAAGGGGCCTGGCCAGTTTTAAAAATTAGCTGTAGGAACGGAGTGAAGGAGATGTAGAATGGCCTTGAAAGTTATTAAGGACTGTAAGGCTGTGAACCGAACAGAAAATATATAACGCCTGTCCCGTCAAGATTGTCCCTCATGCAATCTCTTCAAATTCTCTGTGTTTTTCACATCATCATACAATACTGCGTGCAATCTTAGTGTAACCACCACTGTAGCAGAATTTGCCTGGTCTTTTCTCTATGCTGGCTGTGAATGCCGATCATCGGTTGCAGTCGTGATACTGTACCCTGGTCTTGGGCGCACCTTTGGCCTCTTGACGCAATCTCTCGGTTTTAACCAAAACGGTAATGCGGGCCTAGATTTGTCCACTGCAACAATTTGTTGTCCAACGGTAAGTTTGGTCTCAAGACAGAACCCACACAACCGCTCATCTCATCAGGATGGTCGTTAGTCGGTGTTTACTACTTATCCACCTTGATGATTTACTTTTGAACAATCCCTCTTATTATCATGGCATCACAGACTGGTCTGGGCAATCATGACGTCGACAAAGAACCCCGAAAAGGAAACATACCCTTCATCCTCGACTCGGGGCGCACTTTCCTCCTGAATGTCCCTGATGCCTACGACCCAGGCCAACCACATCCTCTTGTTCTTTCCTTCCATGGAGGCGAGTTCTTGTCCTCCCCTCCTCCTTCACGCGAAATGACAAGGCATCCATCCTACCTGGACTCCACTACATGACTAACCCAACCCCCATCCAACCCAGCCAGCGGCACCAGCGAGAGACAACAACGCATAACCCAACTCTCCAGCCCAACCCTCCGCATAGCAGACAAGCCCTTCCTAACAGCCTACGGCCAAGCTCTCGTAAACCAAGAGCTAGGCGGCCGCACCGCCTGGCAGGGCGCGCCTTACGACAACAAGAACGTCGACGACATCCAGTACGTCCGCGACATCCTCACTGCCGTCTGGCAGCGCGGCGCCTACCACATCGACACGTCCCGCGTCTATGCGTGCGGCAAGTCCAACGGTGGCGGGCTTGTGGTGCTCCTGGCCTGCCATCCAGACGCCCCCACAGACACGTTTGCTGCGCTGGCTGTGGTGAGCCCGGCCTTGTATGACGGGACGTGGGCGGTTCATGGGGACTTGCGACAACGGCCGCCTGTGCCTATGCTTCATGTCCATGGGACCAAAGACACGGTTACGCCGTTTCGTGGGCAGCCGACTGGGCAGGGCTGGGGGCCGCTGCCGGACGTCAGGGCGTGGAGGCGGCTGTGGGCAGAGCGTAATGGAGCTGGTGGCGGATATCCTGGTGCGCTGGTTCAGCCTGATCGGGTGGAAGAGGTGCACCCTGGCGTGTGGGAGGAGGTCTGGAACTGTGGTCCGGAGGGCGGCAGTGGTGCTGAGGTCAGGGCGCTGAGTGTGGAGGGGTTGGGGCACTCGTGGCCGACGACAGAAGGCCTGGACTACTCTGGACGGCCGGATTATAAGGCGGGGTTTAACTTTACGGAGGAGCACTTGGTGCAGTTCTTTTCGAGACATTCTCTGGTGTAGGGTAGGGAGTAGAGCTCATGGGACACCTTTCATCACTGTCATACCATGTGTAGCTGCTATAGATATGCATTTCTTGGGGTACAGCATCACTTTGTCTTGTTCTCAGTCTCATTATAACAAAACTCCACGAGTTTAAACGATATTTGAGCCTGTTGCCGAAGTGGGAAGGTCTTCAGTCTGACCTGACGGCAATATAAACAAAATCCAAAGTAGAGCCCACATAAAAATTGTCGATTTCGCGAGAAGTACGCGAATAATTTCATTCATTCGTGTATGAGATATCTTGAAACCTATCGCCACATGCTCATTCAAGATGAATTCTTCATCCTGGTCTTCACTCTCACAGTTCGTGGTTGTCACTGGCCAACAGCCAGTCCATGACAAAGTCTCAGGACACTTCCAGTCTACTCAATCAATGGTAATCGAAAGTCTCTGTCATGCATATTTCATACATCAAACAAAAGATTTCAGAGGTAATTTTCTGAATCTCCTTTCAGGGCTATTTGATAATTCCTCAAAATTTTGACGGCGCTGTTGAATGCACACACAGTTTCACACCACATCACACCTTCACTCCCCGCTGCTTCGGCCACAATCAAGACGAACAAGCTGAACAAATGACACATGACAGGATGCACTATGACACAATTCGAGAGGGGTAATGATACAAAAAGACATTTCCTAAATCAGAATCCTGTAATTTCTTGCAGCAAATGCCAGTGCTGCTTACCATCTACACAGGCCGATATCGGCGCTCTACGTGCGTATAAGTCGACTATCGAACTCCCCAAACTACAGAATGAAGAAGCATCTCGAGAAGCCCAGCCCCTTCAACGAGAACCTAATTTTCTTCCGCCCTCTTCTGAATCATCCAAACTCCCATTGGCTTCCCCTCAAAACCCCCCACCTTTTTCCATCATGGCTGCCCCACGCGAGCAAGCAACCTACACCTTTGGCCACCACGCCAGCGTCATCAACAGCCACGCCCGGCGCACCGCCCAAGACAGCGCCGCCTTCCTCCTCCCACACATCCAGCCCAACCACACCATCCTCGACGTCGGCTGCGGGCCGGGCACCATCACCACCGACCTGGCCCAGCTCGTGCCGCAGGGCCGCGTCACGGGCGTCGACTTTGCCGAGAGCGTCCTGGACAGCGCGCGGGCGCACGCGCGCGGGCGGGGCGTGACGGACAACCTGGTCTTTGAGGCCGTGGACGCGAACGCGCTGCCGTATGCGGACGGCTCGTTCGACGTGGTGTTTTGCCACCAGGTCCTGCAGCACGTCAAGGACCCCGTGGGGATCCTGCGCGAGATGCGGCGCGTGGCCAGGCCCGGCGGCGTGGTGGCGGCGCGGGAGGCGGATTATAAGAGCTTTGCTTGGTATCCCGAGCCGGCTGGCCTGGATCGCTGGCAGGCTGTCTATCGGCAGGTTGCGAGGGCGTGTGGGGGCCAGCCTGATGCTGGGCGGTATGTTCTGCAGGTAAGTTGGGGTTCAATCAGTAAAAGCGGTCTCTTTGGTCTTGCGTGGGATGAATTGATTTATTGCTTGTTATTAACCACTATTCGTTACCTAGTGGGCGAAAGAAGCTGGGTTTCAGCGGGACCATCTTGTACACACGTGGAGCTCCTGGCACTACACGGGCGAGGCGGCAGAGAAGTTTGGAGAGAGCTGGGTGGGCCGGGCGTTGCATTCAGATTTCGCAAAACAGTTTCTCAAGTTCGAGACGGGTTCGCAGGCAGACTTGGAGGATATCAGCGCCACGTGGGGGAAGTGGTCTGCCGAGGAGGATAGGTTCATCGTGATCCCTAATGGGGAGATTTTGTACAAGGTCCCGGAGAGCTCAACTTGAGCGATGAGGATGTCATGGCAATTTTTAATACCGAGATAGGAAGCAGAAATGGCTTCTTCTTTTTGTATTCACTGCATGTTTGCTGCCAGTGGTACTGTAATGATGTCCTTGATTCTTGTAGTCTCCAGAATATCAATTCAGTACTTGGTGGAGATCTCTGTTGCGCGGTGGAAATATGATGCGATTCTGACATCTTTGCTGGTGGTATCTGCCATAGCCTTTGCTTACTAGATTTGATTGCCTTAAGAGAACAAGTATGATTATGTATTGTGTAACCTGGAGATTGTGCTACGAGATGACAGAAAAGTGTAGAGACCTCAGCTCGAGGCACCTCAAACACATCTTGTTGCAAATGCCGCCCGCTATAAGTGTTAGCTGCTGCTAATGAACAAAAGAATCTTATGTGTTAATTTCAAAATAATGAAATATAGTAGCACTGAGCAACAATTCCTGTAGAAGCTTGTGAATTATATCTGGCTTTATGAACGCAGCTCGCAAGGAGCGATTTTGCGGTTGTAAATTTCTCGCTGCGCATTGTTTCTTGAACACCTTGTCCAGGTTTGTGGAGTTATCCAAACGAAGACAGCCTTTAGAAAATGCTATGACAACTTGTGACTAAGTGAATCCTGTCCAGTAACGAGCCGAGAAACAACCAGCAAGCATCCCCGTTTAGAGACCTGGCTCGTCCGTGTCGAGCAAAGAGCCAAACATCGATATACCTGGATATACCTGGACATGAATGTTTCTTCATTAGCTAAACAATTGCAGCACTATTACTTGGCATTTATGCCAGAGCATGAGACGACAGTCTATGCAAAACAATTTGTGGTGTAACGACTGGGTCGTCTGAACTTTGTTTCACGTCCCCTATCATGCCGCTACGATACATATAAAAAGAACAGCACCCCAATGGTCAGCTTTTGTTTCGTCTCATGTTTGTGTTCGTTTATTTGGTTCGTCGCTAACTTTTGATCACTCACGCTGGCGACGTTTTCCAGCCTGATCGAAAGGAATGGCGTATTGACTTGACGAATCTTTTATCATTCCCAAACAGGAGTACTCAAGAGACTCCTCCCAGCTCAGCTCGGAATGATTTGATCCAATGGCACTGCATGTTGTTCATATTGCTGCCATGAATGTGAAGACCATTGCCCCGCTGGCTCAGGGGCTGGCAATCCTTGCGTCGTGATGGCTTTGAGGCGGCAGTCTCTGCCTCATATGAATGGCTCATCTGCCATGATATTGGAAAAGGACATAAATACAATCAGCTTCCCTCTTCAACCTCACAGGAAGAATCACAAAGCACCAACCACATTCACAACCATCTCAAACCACTACCTCTTCTAGTCAATTTCCTTCATCTGCTTGATTCCTTCACGTCCCAATTCAACATAAGTCAAGATGCAGACCAACTTCACCCTTCGTGACGCCCTTCTGGCCACCCTCGTTCTCAGCCCAGCCTTCATCACCGGCCTGACCCTCCCATGGGGCTTCAAGTCCAATGCTATGGCCGCAAGGGAATTTCTGGCGGGGGCCGCGGTCGATCTCAATATCTTCGAGACCCGCGCGGGCAAGGGCTCTGGCAGCTCGAGCGATTCAGGCGGTTCCAGTAGCGCAAGTGGCTCGAGCAGCTCTGGTAGCTCAAGCGGCTCTAGTGGTTCAGGCAATGCCGGCAACGGCAACAACAGCAACTCTGCGAGCGCAGATGCGCCCACAGGCACAGATGCGTCCACAAGTACGCCAACCGGAGGCGCAGGAGGTATGCGACTTCCCAGATGCAGAGCCCTCGGCAACCAAAAAAGAAACTGAAAGCTAACCGGGAGGCACATGTACAGACCGCGGAGGACAGTCACAACAATCCGGCGCCGCGGGCTCAGGATGTGCAGCGGGCGCAAAGCCAACCAGCACCGGCAGTGCGAGGGGCAACAAGGACAACAAGAGAGCTCACAGTACGAACCCACCCACCTGATTCTTGGATACCTTCTTCTCTGGCTCAGCCTCCCGCGCTCTTCCAAAAGTCATGACGTGATGCTAACACTTTCTTCCCTCCTGTCTACAGAGACCGGAGCAGCTGGCGCAAAGCCTACAGGGACCGATGTGCCGTCGGGTTGTGGCGGGGCATCTGGACCACAGCCGACGGGGACAGAGGGCTCTTCGGGCAACCTGAACCCCACGGGGACGGCTCCTGCGGGTGGTGCTGCTGGTACTGGTACTGGCGAGGCTCAGTCCCAACCCACGGGATCCACTGGTGATGATGGAGATGGTAACCAGGGCGAGAATTAGAGTGAGAGAAGAGAGAGGGTCGATGGAACCTACTTGGTTGGGTGGCCCGGCACCATGTACACTGGTTGGTAAAGGAAAAGGAAAGAAAGAGGGAAAAGGAGGGGGGGGCGTGGGTTGAAGGGTTTGATACGGCGTTAGGCGTGTAAGTAAATATGATATCACGATTTACCATTCCGGCATGTGTTGTGGAAATACATTTGGAAGGTCCTCAAACATTGCTGTTCTCGTGATCATCGCCGGTGCCGGTGTCAATCTGCACAGAGAGTCGAAAGACCTTTTACACTTCTGCAAAGAGACAGATCTGGCTAGACAAACAAGATCTAGATGGGGAGGAAACCACCCTGGCTCGGCACGCCGGCCACAAAAGCAACCATCCACTACAGTCTACAGTACTAAACTGCGACCCTTCCAGGCTTCAGCCTAGAGGCCTAGGCTACTTTGCCTCGCAAGAGGACTTTTCGAATGGCCTAATTGGAACAGTACCGCAAGTGGTCGTTGCGACGTCGGTGGAACCCTGTCTCCGTCGTTATACAGAGATCGGACCGCCCCCGTTGCGGCTCAACTTTTCCCTGGCCATGAAGGAGAATCCCAGAGAATGGGAATTTAAATTGCAAGACACAACGGAAAGGGCGCCAAGAGGCACAAGAGGAAGAGGGAGTTCACACCCTGACCGCCTCCGCGATAGCCGACCCAGAAAATTTAGTCTTTTTTTTTTTTTTCGATCTTTGTTTCTCAATACGTAGATGCGCCCCAAACAGCATTTTCCTGGCTCCAGAATCAGCTCTGTCTGAATCACACAGAAGCAATAAATGGGCTGGGCGGGACGCATGGGCTTACATCCACGAGGGGCCCCGGGGCTGATCACTCAACAAGCCAACGGCGCCGAGGACATGCACCATTGTCTGTAAGCTAGACCCAACCCATCCATCCTGTGAAACATGCACACACACACACACTCTCTCTCTCTCCTTTCTCTCTTCTCACACACACCCACACACCCCCCCCCCCCCCACTGAAATGAACCGTCAATCCTTTGAGTCGTTGTGGGAAGTATTACCTACAAAGTCCCACCTGATGATCCTGGCTGTCGATTATGTACCCTTGACAAGGGGCTGCATGGGAGACTCGGATTTTTATCTAGATGTGTTGAATCTGCACTCCATCAAAACTGGGGGCGGCGCGGGGGTACACACACAATCGACTCGGGCCCAGAAGAGCAAAAAGTCGGGTGGGCTTGCCATGCCGCAAAAAGTGACATGTTCCTTTTTTCTTGCTCTCTTTTTTCCCCCTTCCTCCGCTTTGATCCCGCAGGCAAGATAAGCAGAGGATAAGATAGTCAGAGTACCAAGGGTAAGAACAGTCGGTGGCGTTGGGAAGAAGAACAGTTCGTCGGTGACCGTAGTGTAAAGACGGTGCGAGAGCATGACTTGATAGATCGCCCACCAAATCGATTTTCGTATGCCGATGAGAAAGAAAGTGGAGGCTCACAAGGCGCTATCGCAAGACGGCCGCGGCGGTAAGGGAATCTGTGTGCAGTAGTAAGCATGCAGTGTATAATAGTAGCAGTGCTATGTATGCGTCGCTCGTACTCACTCTTACTCTCGCACACACATATCCGGACTCTGAAGTTCTGAAGTTCACCGCTGAGAACGGCAGGTCGTTCTTTACGCACATGCTCGTCATCGCGCTTGTCAAAAACCCAAGGTGCAGGCTTCTCTTGCATCATCTGACTCCCCACGTCTTCGTTCTGTTCTGTTTCCTTTCTGAGATATATTACCTCCTCAAGCGGCAAAGACCAAGTCCCAAGTTCCTACCATCGACGAACACCCACCGTCTTTCCATGGTACGTAGTACAATAGTACACCTCCGCCGGCACATCGCTCTCTTAGCTTCCCGTGGGCTCGGCGATCCGAACTTGGTAAACGGCGAGAGCCCAGAGGGGACCCTTGTCTCCGCAAGCGACACCCTGCATCGGATGTAGTGGGTCCTCTCTATTGTCCTTTCTTCCTGCTTCTTCTCTCGGTGCGCATGCCGTGCGCCAGACCCTCCCGATACGCACGTGTTGACTGTTCCAGTGTGTCTTTGCCGCGTGAAAAAGGTACAATGTACCACAGTATACGAAGTCGCAATCCTTCAATGCCGTCTTTGCCTTTTTATTCCCTTCCCCTTTTTCTTTTCATTCTCCCTCTCTCGTCTGCCTAGTCAAAAGCACACCAAAACCACAACGCAATCTTCCATCTTCTCCTAGACCAAAGCCATCATGACATGACGCCCCCCAAGGCGGACCACGCCGGGCCGTCGTGGCCGTGGCCGTGGCCGTGGCCGTGGCCCCTCTGGCCATTCGGTATGTCCCGTGTATACCTTGCTAGTTTGCTATTTTGAAGACGGTGTCGTGGGTGTCAGGTTCAAATTTAATGCGCTGCGGTGGGGATTTATTGCCTCAAGTTTCATCATCCCCTTTTCTCTCTTTTTTTTCTTCTCTTCTTGTGTGGAGTGGATATGCGAGCCTCGTTCTTTTGTTCTGTTTTTTCTTCATCACATGCTTGTCCCAGTTGGGGACCCCACACACTAGAAAGGACTACGTACCTATAATCATCTCGTTTATGTGCATTTCTGTGTATGGTACTGTCTCCGCATGCTTGCGTCCGCGGAATCCTAGGAGTGCCAGTATTCATGCCGCCACATTCATAGTAGTTACGACGCCACTGGTTGATGGTTCATTGCGCCGCGTCCCTCTCAGTGTGTGTGTGTCGATTCAGTGCCCAGCAATTCTCCTCTCACCGTCATAGGGGCTGACAGGCTCAACCTTGCTGATCGTAGGACCCCTTTTCATGCGTGACATCAACATGTTATCCCAATGTCCAATCAGTCCATCAGCCGCATGTTAGTAGCTTCTGGGCTAGGCATTTTTGGATATTTCCTATGTATTAAGCCCACGTCACGGACCCACGTGGGTGTACTCGCCTGCTGCCATAGTATGTGCAACAACAAGAACAACAAGTCAAAAACCCATTTAGTCAAATAAAGACTGGGCAGAGATCAAGTTGATTATTACTCGAATTGGTATAGAAGCATTTTCCACAGTCACAAATCAGCCCCACAGGTAAGTATCAGGAGAGAGGGGTTCTGCTATTGCCTGAGGCCTCATCACCACCTCAGTAGGCCAGGGGATCGGTCCACTTGATACACATATAAACTCTACTATGGTAAATTCAGTGGATACGAGTACATAGTGTGACTCTCAAGTTCTTAGCCGTCATCATCAAAGTCATCAAAAACACGAGATGATGGCAAAAGTGGAAAGAAAAAAGAAAACATGTGCGAAAGGATTTGCCGTCGGCGGCTGTATTCTGCTCTCATTCGTCTTATTCGTCTGGTCGACACTTGTCAAGCACAGCACCTCTGGGCCACTGATGTGCCTCCGGGGACATTACTTACTGCAATAGGCTGGTGGCCCGAGGCTGGGGTGCGACCAATCGAGCTTCCGCATTGGAACCTCGCCGCACCTCCCTGGCCTCGCCCAGCGGGTAAACCAGTGGGTTGCACTGCCTGTCCAGTGGCCCACCACACACCTGCTTTGCCGTTGCGCCTCTCCCATTTGTCCCACGACAAGTCTGAAGGACCCCGAGGGTATGGATCCTCTGTGACCTCTCAAGATGGATGATCGGCCATGGGCTAAACTGCCGAGTCTGGCCTTATTCTTTCGTGTATGGATGCGTGTGTGTGTGTGTCTAAGTCCCCACTGGGCTTGTGTCGCCTTCGGTCTGGGAAAGGACAAGAGAGGACCCACCTGGGGCACGCAGCCCGTCCCTTTGGTCGCCGCTACGAAATTGATAACTCGTTGGTCTCGCTCGCTGCATGTCTCACGGGCTGGGGGCCCATGATGTCTCTCTCTTTTCTGAATCTTTTTTGCTTTTTTGTCTCTTTGGGTAGTGTGTTTGTGTGCGAGTGTAACTTGTCCCGTTTCCCTTTTTTCTTTTCTTATTGGTTTTCTCCTGCCCCAACCCAGGCTTTCGAGGTTGCCATACTGCTTTGCGTCCCGATGACTTCCAAGTAACAACAACTTCGTCGATGAGTCGACCCTTGCGGAGGTCATCTACTGCTTGACCTCGGGGGAAAAGAAAAACAAATTACAGTGTCCCATACACACATTCTCACACACAACAAATACGCAGAAAGACAGGCTCAAAAGGGGTCTTTTGCGACTCGAACAATGTGGGACTATGGCGAGGGCAATCGGGGCCCGGAGCTGGCTGCCATCAGCATCGCCATGGCCTCCGTCAGCGTCGTTGCCGTCGCACTGCGAAGCTACACCATGGCAACCATCCTCAAACGTTTTCTCATCGAGGACTGGCTGGCCGTGCTCACTTGTGTAGGTGGTTTCTCTCTTTCTCACTTTCTCACCTTTTTCCTTCTCTTTCCCTTCCTCCCTTCCTTTCCTTGAGGATTACGGCGAGTTATCCCTTACTAACACTTTCTTTCTCCTTCTTTCTTTCACAACATATCAGGCTCTCCAGGTTGGCTTCTGCATCGTCGTCGTCGTCGGAGTGTCTTTTGGCCTCGGAGCCCACGTGGACGATGTGCCAGAGGTAAACCGACACAAGGCCCTCATCTTCAAGTGGGCAGGCCAGGTGGCCTATATACTCGTGTCGACGCTGGTCAAGTTCGCCATTGGCATCTTCTTGCTCCGGCTCTGCGTGAACAACAACTGGCAGCGCATCACCATCATCGTCCTCCTCGTCATCGTCGGCCTGTTCAACATCTTTTATGTCTTTATGGCCATCTTTCAGTGCCAGCCTGCCGAGTTCTACTGGTGGCGGTATACCACCAACCCCCCCGTCACGGGCAAGTGTAACGGCCATGCCCTGGCAACGATACCGACCTATTTTGCCTTTTTCGTTGGCATCTTTTCGGATCTTACTCTGGCTCTCCTGCCGGCGACACTGATTAAGGGTGCTCATCTTGACAGGAGGACTAAGATTTCTGTCTGTTGTGTCTTGGCACTTGGATCACTGTAAGTCATGATTTATCTTCTCATAATCTTATGTTTTATATTCTTTTTGTCTTACCTCTATTCTCCTCCTTCTCTTTCCCAAATTTCGAATTTCCTTTTCTTAATGTGATCCATGCAGGGCCTCGGTGGCAACCATTGCTCGCATCCCCTATGCCAAACAACTCCTTTCCAACCCAGACTACCTCTACAACTTTACCGACCTGGCCATCTGGAGCATCGTCGAGTGCGGCATCGCCATCACCGCCTCGTCCCTGGCCACCCTCCGGCCTCTCTTCGTCAAGCTCAACTTCCTCGGCACCTCCCGCTTCACCAGCCGCTACGCCTCCAGGGTGGGCAGCGCCGGCCTCCCGATCCAGAGCGCCAACACCGTCACCATCATCTCCACGTCCCGCGCCAGCCGCAACAGCAGGAGGAACACCGTCCTCACCGGCACGACCGCACTGACGGGCACGACAGGCCTGTCCGGGGTGTCCTCAGGCGGCCTGACGAGCGTCAAGGAAGGGCAGGAAGGGCGAGGCATCTGGGTGGAAAAGGACATCGAGATGTCCATCATCACAAGAGACGGCTCCCAGGACAGCATCGACAGGCTCGAGGCCGAGGTGAACGAGGTCATCCAGCCGGGGACGGCCAAGCGGAAAGCCAGCCAGGACCAGATCTCGTATGCCTCGAGCTCGCGGAGGAACAGCCTGAGCGCCAGCCTCATGAGCGCACGCCCGCGCCCGCCGCCCTTGCAAACGAGTTTCCCACCGTCGCCTGCGATCCCGGCGTCGTTTTCCAATGGGCCGTCGGCGGATTCGGCTCCCTCGTCGGGAACACGGCGGTATTTCTCGCGCAGCTCGTCGAACCCGTCGTCTCCGCAGCAGCAGCAGTTCTCGGCAGCACGGGCGATGCCGAGCTCACCTGTCATGCCGTACAGCGGGATTGGATCTGCATACACGGACAATACATCACGGCCATTATCTCCTCCATACGACCACCATCATCGAACATACTCGGGCGGTGCTGGCCGGTCCTTCTCCCCACCAAACTTCCATCTGCCGATCCGACTACAACAGCAGCAGAGCGCAACAGGATCCGCCCGGTCCGAGTCCTCCTTCAGCGAGGTCAGGGGCATGTCTGGGCCAGGGTCCGACGCAGGCCTCTCGCCCCCACCAAGGATGCCACAGGCCAGCATCGGAGGATACATACCCAACGACTCCTCTCCCTCCTCCTCCATCAACACAGGCCCTCTAGGCCCACCCATCAACCTGAGCCACAGGCCTAACCGCTCCCTCGGCAGCCCTCCGGCGCCAGGGTACCGCATAAGTCCCGTGATAAGCCCTCCTTCGCCCTTCCAGAGACAACACCCGTCCATTCCAGAGACCCCAAGCCGCAACAGGGGCCAGAGGAGTGGCGGCAGTTATCTCGATGCCGCCCCCGCCGACGACGATGACTCCTCGAGGTCGAGCTTGATGGACCGGCGGGGGCCTGCTGAGGTGGATGGAATGCCTCAGAGCCCACGGTCACCGAGATCGCCGAGATCGCCGACAGTGCAGGAGATGCACAGCCCGCTGGGGAGTCACCCGCCTTTATCCCCCAGAGGAGATTGGGTATGAAGGCTGGTGGCTGTCTCTTTCATGAAGAGAAAAGGGACAAGAGAGAATTCGGCCCAACCCAAAACGCAATCATGAAAACAATTCCTTATACTTATTATACCCCCCCAAACTTGTCTCTTTAATTTCACCACTCAAATTTACAACAAGCGATTGCCGGACTTTCATTACAGCGACAGCGACAGCAAGAGCAAAAGGAGCAGGAGCAGCAACCTCATATTATTCGAATTAGAACGGCAGAAGGCCGAAAAACAGAAAGAGAGTGTTTATTTGTGTGTGTGTGTGTGTGCATGTGAAGAATCAAAGGTGGCAGACCCGGTATAGGACATACAGTACCTACCATTCATCCAATTGTTTAGCGAAGAGGGAGGAATTCTTGCTTGTTGTTCACATAGCATGGCATGGCGTCATTAGCGCAAAATATACTTCACTTCTTGACCAAGTCGCATGAATATGCCGATCAGTATGTGTGTGTTCGTGTGTGCTGAGAATGGATGGGGGACGGAAACTCAGTGCTGGCTGAACTGCCATGAATGCGGCCTCCGAAAAGAGGCTGACGCTTCGAGTGAGTTGGCAAGTGGACTCTGCCCGTCAGGAGGTGGCGTTGTGTGTTGGTCTAGATGGGGGGCGTATATCAACGAACGTTCTTCATACTATACCTGGTGCATGTTCTCGTAACGGTCTTAGCCACTGGTGAATTCAGCTCAATTAATGCAAGCCATGCTCCCTGTTGCTGACACGGTCGAGCCCGGCATCCTCTTTCTCCGTTACTGAAGCCCCATTAGGCCGTTAGTGACCAGGCGCGGGCAGGATAGAATCATTGTTAAGACATTCAAGGACATAAGTGCTGACTGAAGTTCCTGGGCATGGACAATGAATTGTTTCCTAATCGTCAGCCGCACTTGGACACTCCAGGTCGATGTGCGCTGATCCCGACGCCTGACTCTCTGTAAAATAAGGAGGAAATCATGACTCTCACGCATCTACGCATTATCAAGGGTTCCATCATGTGAAAACCAAACCCCCTGCCGATCCACACACACACACACACATGCTATAGTACACACACATGAGCATGAATGTGAGCGGGTAGCCAACCAAATAGCGTACCAGGGCCAAGTCAGGGCTTGGGGGAGGCACGGGTGTGGAGAACTCAAGGGATGGGGGGGTGCCTGTGTTGATCTGTGGCGCCCGACAGCAATCGGAAAATTTATAGGGCTCACAAGCCTCAGACGTGCAGAAAATCACATGAGAAAGCTAGATTTTGGTTGCAAGCTTGAGCGGCCGTTGACACTGCTAAGAAGTAAGATAAGAAGGGGGTAACGAGTTTCAATAAATACATAAAAATTGGCTCAGATTGGAGTCGACTGCATTGGAGAAAGGAGGTAAATGGGAGGGGAAAGAAGGAAAGGAAAGAATGTATGAATGAGAGAAGAAAGAGAGAGAGGAAAACGTAGCGAATAAAAGAGGCAGACAAAAGGAAGGAAAAAGAAGGGAGGAAGGACAGAAAGAATACTTGCTCAAGCTGCCTCCTCCCACAGCACTGATCAAATGGGTATCTCAGCATCCTTCCCATGACGTAGGTACGGTACATCGTCCGTGAATTGCTGGAAGAAAGTTTCTGCTGCACACCTGAGTCGTGAACCTCCGAGTGGGTGAAATCAGCGATCTCGGCGGCCCGTTTTTCCCTTATCAGATCAATCAGATAACTTTAAGCGTCCTCTCTCCGCACATGTACACAGAAACATCACGGCTTCCCTTTTCTTGCATTCCTCCCCCCTTGCCTTAGGATACCCATGTATCAATGGAACCCGCAGAAGACACCAGTATCCAACTCTTGTTAACACTCATCCGTCAGGGCAAGACGCTTCAGCAGCTGGAAGTTGACCATGTTGGCAACGCACCTCTGAACGCTGCAGGCCTGGACAATTTTCCGCCCGAGCAGCGTGCGTATCTTCGGAAGCTCATAGACTGCTTGCTCTATGGTAGGATCCTGGTGCAGTACTACAACTATGTACTGCTCGCGATACTGGCTGCGTTGACAGTTCTGCATGTCCTGGAGAGGAGAAGATGTAGGAGAAGATGCAGACCACGAGATACAACAAGACAAAGCACCAGCAGACTCATCGCGAGCAAACCTCGTGAAGAAACGAGAGGTCTCGTCACAACGACTGCATCTTCATCTTCTTCATCCTCATCGGTATCGTCCTCTTCCTCCTCCTCGTTCTCCTCTTCCTCAAGCACCTCTCCCATACCCTCACCACCTTTGGCGGCCAAAGATGCCCACATCGACATCGAAAGAGTGCCGCTTTTGGGCTCACATCGAACACGCCCAAGACCCAGCCCTTTCACACGCCTCTTCAGCCGCCTTAGACAATGGCTGGAGTACCAGCCTCCACCTCTACCCGTGATCAACCGAACCCTGCCGTCGAACGCGACATCTCTCTTCATTCTCGCCTGGTTCTCCATCAACATCTTCTTCCTTCTCTTTGCAATCCCTCTCCAGCTCGACTACTTCTTCTGCCTCGCCACCCGCGCCGGCGATGTTTTCGTCGTCAACCTTCCAATCCTCTATCTCCTCGCCGCCAAGAATCAGCCTCTCAAGCTCCTGACCGGCGCCTCATACGAAGCCCTCAACATCTTCCACCGGCGTATTGGCGAGTGGATGTGTCTCGTGGCCCTCGTGCACTCCGTCGGCGTCTTGCTATGGCGGTTTGTTCTCGAACCTGAATGGCTGCATCGCAAAACTGATTTATTGGAATATCTCACCCACCCTCTCGTCCTGCGTGGTGCCGTCGCTCTTGTCTCGTATGAGCTGCTCTTCTTCACCTCTCTCGGCAGCTTCCGCCGGCGCTGGTACGAGATGTTTCTGGCCTCGCACGTCGTTCTGCAAATCGTCGCCCTCTTGTTTCTGTACCTACACTTCTTCACTGCCCGGCCCTACGTCCTTGTGGCACTGGCCATTTTTGTCACCGACCGCATTGTCTGGCGTGTCGGGCTCAAATCCGCGACGGTAGATGCAGACCTCCGCGTTCTCCCAGATGGCGAGACCATCTTCCTATCAGCAGAGTGGGACCGGCCACTACCTCGTTCCTCTTCCTCTCGATGGAGGAGTCTCTGGCCTCGGCAGAGCATCAGACACGGCTGGAAGCCGACCGACCATGTCTTCCTCAGCGTACCGACGCTGGGTCTGACACATAGGCTGCAGGCCCACCCCTTCACCATCGCGTCCCCAGCACCACTGCCTCCAACGAGCCAGGACGGTGGTGATGTAAATAATGCAGAGAGCGTGCACCACGCGCAGCCCGTCTCCCTGCGTCTGCTGATTCGTGCCCACGAGGGGTTCACAGCTGATCTGCTCTGCTGTGCTCACCGCCACCGCAGCGTTCGCGTCCGTCTCGATGGACCGTACGGCTCCAGCCATGCCCTCGACATGTTGCAGGCCGCGGATAACGCCATTCTGGTGGCTGGGGGCAGTGGTATCGCCGTGACGCTACCGCTCGTCTGGGCCTTGCTGCAGGAGGAGGCTCAAATCCCATGGGGTTCTGGAACTGGGAATCACGTTGTTGGTGACGGTGACAAGGACGCTCCCGACTTGGGGATGACGACGAGGAAGAAGAGGAGACGAACTGTCCGCATGCTGTGGATCATCCACTCGGAGGAGCACCGCGCGTGGGTGCCTAGGGCGACATTGGACGAGCTCATCTCCGCTGGGCTGGAGCTGGTGATCCCAAGGCCGACTTCTGTGGGCGGGCGCCCGGATGTCGTGGGGATCGTCGAGGCTTGGGCTGAGGGTTCTTGTTCTGAGGCCGAGTCTGCTGTCGTCGTGTCCGGACCGGATGGGCTGAACAGAACGGTTCGGAATACCTGTGCTGCGGCTATAGGTAGGGGTGCGAATGTTCGTCTTGCCGTTGAGAAGTTTGGGTGGTGATCGTGCGGGTGTTTGATACACGGGAGCTTTGCTTCATTTGCTTGGTACCTATACACATTGCTCTAGAAATAGATGTTCGAATACATAGTTCTTGACGAACAACTGGCATGAGCACAGTAGCAATAGTCAAGGCTCACGAGAATGATGATTGAATGATTGTTCTGATATCGGTGTCTAGTTTGGCTGAAGAAATGCAAGTGAGGCGGGGAGATATGATGAGAAACGCATTTGAATTCCACGACAAGGGCTTGCCTGACTATGACCATTGATGAATTTCAGAGTCAAACTTAGGTCAGCTGCATCGAGACCAACTTACTTACCGAAAAGTATCTACGTGGCGCAGTTCGTGTAGCGTGAATTACGATGGATCATTATCAATATAGTGCTCGGTCAACTTAACTGAAGACAACTCTACGGAACTTGGAACCGAGTTCGTACGACACACAGCGTACATAGCAGTTGAGAAGTGCTACCTCATCCCGTTCTGAAATGCGAATGTCATATATTATAATTTTCTTTTTTCTCCTCGACTGTTTTCTCTGTACCGGCTGCTAGGTACAAAAACTTTACTCCTTGCCTTGTACAGGTGGCGGCAGTCTTGATGATTATCAGTTGGACAATATCCTTCACTGCATGTGGATACATCTTCCTCTTGGTTTTCCATGGGCAAGGCATGAGATCGAGTTGGATGATTGCTGATGCAAAGTCATCCGTGCAGATGGCTCATTGGGACTGGGCGGTGAGGGCAGAAGTGATTCAAGTGAGTGGTAATGGTAATTACTGGTGTTGCACCACTTCACCTGGACTGCATCTCTTATTGCAATCTCATGTAAACATACAGCTGATTGAAATTCATTGCGTGATGCCAACTCAGTGTTCTGTTCGTAACCGAGCCCAGGGATAAACTCTATGGAACAGCTAAAAGGAGTGACCACTCCCAGCTGACTGGAAATGATGGTGGTCTATATAGACAACAACTAGACAGGACTCGCACAAACTCACCAGCCATTTGACATCTATGCAAGCAACCACCATAGCTATTCTTTACGCCACGATGTAGAGGGTTTGTTAGCCATGTTTCTGAAATCGAAAATTGCCTTCAATATTAATTCCGTTGGTAAGGATCTGTACGGTCCGGGATGGTTGTTGGTTGTTTGTTATGGATATACTGATATTTCTGGAAAACCTCAACACAATATTAACACACTTCAGTGGTGTAGTTGGTTTATCACAAAAGTCAGACCAATACAAATGACATGAATTTTAAATAGTAGCCTTTCATGTTAGATTCATTGCGTCTTGAGTAAATAAACGGGGCTGAAATAGGTGCTTGAACAGAGGGGTCGGAAATACTTGGTACACACAATTGCGGCCTGTGGAAGTGCGAGAGTGGACCAGTCTACAGGCTATTTTCCATAGGAAGGAAAAAAGGGACAATAAAAAATGATTCGGCCCGGACTTGAACCGAGGACCTATGGTGTTGACAATGAATCTCATGTTTCCATGTGGGTCCAATGTTAAACCATTGTGATAACCAACTACACCACCGAACCGCTAGCTGCGACGCTCGCTTGATGTCTGTGCTCACATTTGTCAATTTATATATAGCTTGTTAATGAAGAATTGCGAACGCTGCTACAGACCGTTCCGTATTCGTTCGAAATACCTCTCCTTAGTACTTTTTGTTGCTGTCTGAAGTATTAACAACAATAGTATTTTTGTTGTTACATCTACACCTCAGAGCAAGTCAGTTCTTATTTTCGATTCTAATGAGTGCAAAATAGTGAGTCGAATTTAATACCACACAGCCAGCAGCTGAGCTGGACAGCTTATCTCTGTTTTCTGTTCTATTATAGCCAACATTGAACTACACCACCGAACCAGTTATTAGATGAATTGCAGAACTACTTCTTTATCCACAAAATTACTACAGATCGATGATCAATGATGCTACTGTAGTAGTATGTCACTAGGCAGATGCATCACGGGAATTATTATTATATAGCATAGAACAATAGTTGTAATACTCGGATTAATCAATAACAGGCTCCTATAAGCCATACATCACATTATTAAAGGGATTGAAGGTGTGGTTTCGTTACACATTTGCGAATTAGTATTGTAGAAGTTTACCCTAACCCATGCAAAAATTCGAGCTGATTTGCTTCTTTGCTTGTGGACTGACTTGCTAGCTACGACGGATTTTCCCACAGTCAACCTCGCCTATCGCCTCCTAGAACCCCGGAAAGGCAAGCTACAAATCCCTGAGAGAAAGAATATCCACAGATGAAAGCATTTCAGATTCTGTAGAGTGAATACTCAATAAGTTTCGAATGTGCCTGGTGTCCAAATCTCCTCAGAGTAAGAGGTTCTTCAGATATTGGGTTATTCAGAAGGGAGTTGGACGGCAAGAAGCCCGACGTTTGCATTCGTTTATCTTTTATCACGTTTTGAATATCAAATATATCTGGAACTTTTGCTCGCTCGTCTTACAGATGATGGCCATACAGCCTCAGAACTTGTAATCAAGATGAGTCACACTATACTGCCTTCCTACTCCAAGTACGTAATATAACACAAGCATCCCAATGCTAGTACTCGATCATCTCCGATATTTAGAGATAGACGAAGAGATTACCGAACGTCCGACCGTACACTCCGTATAATGGCTTCTTGTCTAAGGGAAACTTGTCGAGTTCGAGTGTACATCCTAACTCTTTTATATCGAGGTACAACCTGTCCCCATCAGAGCAATCCTGAGAAGCGTTGGCCTTTTGATGCTGGTGGGCGAAGCATGTAGGCGCTGGGAAGGAAGTAACACCAACCGGATCTTGCCAGTATCCACTAATGTAGAAAGATGCGCCATTGTCATGAACCGCACCCGTTTTTCTTTTTCGATGAAAAGCGCAGTGCCACCTGCTATCCAGATCCTTCACCCACGTGCCACTTATGGCTTGCTGCCCGCAGTTGAGCCTTGCAACTAGTGCTCCAACATATGCCGCTTGGACTTTCTGGTTATCTCTAAGCCCAGTATACCTCTTGTCAGTCTTTAGAAACAATAACGCAAGCAATATCCAGATCGTCCTCGGTTCCTGGTCAGGTGAGTCCCCGTGCCATTCCATGTGCGGGATTTGCAATCGTGAGCTGTTTCCGGAAGGTTCCAAATATGCAAAGCCCAGTAACTCCATTGCTTTGAATGTAGCGGAAAGCCGTATAGCGAGCGAAGCCATAGTCTTGTAAGGTTCCGAAGTCCTGGTGTTGTTCGCATAGTTCCGTAAGTTCCCGAGCTTATAAGTAAGTCAAAGGGGGGGGTTTTGGGCCGGGGTAGTTTTGGGCCACCCTGGCCATCCTCACCGCCTCTTCAACCCCCTTTAGTTTGATAGCTATTACTCAACCAATTTTGATCCAAACAACTTCATCTTTCCAGCAAACCTTTATCTGACTGTTATGAAGCCCTATTCCGAGTTTGAGCTAGCCCAGGCCGTTGAGGCTGTCAGAAAAGGCAAGTCTCAGCGGCAAGCCTCGAGGGAATGGGGTATTCCAAGGAGTACTCTTCAGGCTCGTCTAGAAGGAGGGGAATTGCATAAAACAGCCCACGAAAACCAGCAAAGGCTCTCTATTGATCAGGAAAGAAGACTGGCCGAATGGATCCTGATTCAAGAAAGCCTAGGCGTTCCACCAAGCTATTCAGAACTCAAATACTTTGCTCAGCAGATCCTCGAGATCCAGGGAGACCCTCAGGCCCTCGGGGTGCAATGAATTCAGGCTTTTTTGAAGAGAAATCCAGAGATAAAGATCAGGAAGACTCGCCGCATTGCTTCTGAACGAACAAATGGGGCTACAACAGAGATAATACAGCTTTGGTTTCGTTTTTTCAATCTTCCTCATATCCAAGCTATTAAGCCAGCTAATAGATGGAATATGGATGAAGCTGGCCTGATGAAGGGCCAAGGAACAAATAGATTAGTTCTCAGAGGCTCCTCTTTGCGTTCAATTCAAAGGAAAGACTCTGGATCAAAAGCCTGAACTTCTTTCCTCAAGTGTATCTCAGCTACAGATGCCTACCTCTTTCCTCTGATGATTTTCAAGAGCTAAACGGTACAATAACAGTAATTTCCTCTTGATTTGGAGCCTTTTGATGATTGGAAGTTTACAGCTACGCAAAACGGATGAACAAACGATAAAATAGCAGTTGAATAGCTAAAAAAGATCTTCATTCCTCATAGCCAGCCAGCAGACCCCTCAGAAGCCAGACTATTAGTTCTGGATAGCCATAGCAGCCATAAAACGGATGAGTTTATATAGCTTTGCTTCCAAAACAATATCCTGCTTATTTACTTGCCTTCTCATACCTCTTACATTCTTCAACCCCTCGATCTAGAAGTCTTTTCATCTCTCAAACGGGCATATAGAAAGAAAGTCAGCAATATGGGCTAATGAAGCGATTCAACTATTGCAAGCAAGCGTTTATTCCTCAGTAATTATTGTCTAGCTCGACTGGAAGGCCTTTCAAGCCAGAATATTAGATCTGAATGGAAAGCAACTGGTCTGTAGCCTCTCAGACCCTCAAAAGCCCTCTTAAGCCCTCTTCTTCTCGAGAACAGTCAACCAAGCCGTCAGACTCAGTCCAATTCAGGCTCAGCACAATCAATAGCACCTCATCTTTCCCCAAAAGCTTTCTCAAGCCAGCTAGTTCTCTTTTCAACTCCTCGAAAGGCTAAACAGCTGTACTATCAGCTGCTAGAGAATCAACAACAACTTCAAACGGAACCAGGCTGCCGTATGCTATTCAAGAAGATAAAAAAGGCTTATGAGAAGAGAGATCTCGAGTTTGCCAAGGCATTAGAGGAAAATAAAGCGTTGAAAAGGCAGATTGAGGCTCTGAGGCCTAGTAAAAGAAGAAAGGTTGATATGGATCCGAATTCGAAGTTTGCAGGGATTGAGGATATACAGAGAGCTCAAAACGCAGCCAATCGCCACGAGGATAGTCTGAATGAAGAGAGCGATGTCGAATTACCTACTGATGAGGAGGATTGCATCGTGGTGGGTGAATAGAATAGATAAACAGTATATATATATATGGGTGTGTGTATTTGACGAGGGTGGCCAGGGTGGCCCAAAACTACCCCGGCCCAAAACCCCCCCCTTTGACTTATAAGAAAGTGATTGCCATAAGCTTCTCGAAATACGTTCAAGACCAAACAAGTCAAGGGGGCATCTGAGAACAATGTCCCAGTAGACTTCCATGGCGGTCTTTTTGTAATCGATATCGAGAGACCGCAGCACTGACGCATCGCCTCCTCTATGCTTCAGCAATCCCATGAATCCGTAGACCTTATCCACCTTCAACTTGCTGTTGCAAGAGCAGCCCCATTCTAGGACGTCTTGCAAGTATAATCCATCTTTACTATGCTTTGCTTCAATAGCACTCAGTAAGCAACTTCGATCTCCAGTAGTCCTCAATGAATGAAAGCAGTATACTTTGTATGCCAGGACAAAGTCGTCCAGTTTCATGGTTTTGGCACCAAACATAAGAACCACTTCTTTCGCGAGAGCCACTTCCTGAATGATCCAAACTCGCTTCCAGTAAGATAAAGACATGATTGTGATCATGATAAGATAGATCTTGACGGGTTGTAAACTGGCGTAGTCTTGGAGTTGTGTAGAATCGTAGGAGGGTGCACGATTACCCTCATGGTATGGGGGCCCCTGCGGTACTCTCCAGCGACTCTGCTCTAGGCGGTAACGGATTGTGTCTGGCGGCCAAGGATGCGCCACTGAGTCGAGAAAAGCCTCTAAGATGCCGCTTCTCATCAATCCATGTTTGAAGCGAATCCCATGCGATGAGAAATTGCGGCAATTTGAGAGAGCTGGAGCTGTCAAGAGAGAGCCCAAGCCAGGAGAAATTGCATGTTGCTCCAATGTAGATCTCGCCGATGCGAGGTACCTGTTGGTCTTTCCATGCCCCTCGTATTTCTTTTTCTTTTTATTTTTTTTTCTTTTATACAAATTCTGGGGCTCCGGTGTTGAATTAATGAATGCTGGGCATATATCCAGCGTGGAGAGTGAAATGAGGCAGAGAATTATGGCACAAGCATCGCTTGAATGGCAGAACAATAGGTGTTGCAATGCAGCAGGGCCAGACGTATACGTCTTCATGTGATCGTTCAGTCAGAGTATGTAGAACAATGCAGAACGTAAGTGCCCGGCCTGCGCTTTTGTCTCCGCAAAAGCTGACACAGCCTCCCTCTTCACTGACTTGGTCACGTTCGCCCAGCCGCCCAGCCGCACCGGTCGAAACCATGTATGACTGGCGTTACCCTTTTCGAAACAGCCCAAAATCTCAGTGACCATTCTACTGCTACTATGTGTCTTGAGAAATGAGCCACGTCGCAATAACATTTTGGGCACTGATTATTTAGGGTCTGGACCGAGCTAAAAGGCGCATGGTGGTCTTACAATCAAGAAGGCTTCTAATGTATAATAATGTGCACATCTTACTCCATCTCTATCGTCACAAGCTACTGCATTACGTCCTTGTGTACGAAGTATTCTGTGATTAGCCTAGACGGATGGCCACAGTCAGTAGCCTCTTCGTATGTGGCTGACTCTGCTGAGGAGTGCGCTACAGAAGGAAATCAAGGAAGTAAGAAAGAACGCAAGTAAGAAAGTATGTACGAAAGTAAGGATGAAAGAAGTGAAGAAAGAAAGAAAGAAAGAAAGAAAGAAAGAAAGAAAGAAAGAAAGAAAGAAAGGCAACCAGCCAGATGGCTGAGGCTATCTAGAGGAAGCCATGGGGCAGTTGGCTGCCAGGCACGCACAAACTCAGTAACTAATTAGGCCTTGCACACTCCCTCTTCTAACCTCTAGCGTATGCAAATCGGATGATCACACCACACTTGCCAATACTCTATGCTACGCAGATGGCTATGCAGACTGAGCGCATTGGATCAAATACTCGAGCTACCCTCGGAAATCCATCTAGTAAATGCAGAGGCAGAAATCAAGGAATGCAGTCGTCTGCTTTTGGAAAGTTGACCAATTGCGCGGTTACAGTCTCGACTATGGGGCCAGACAAGGTCTCGCCACGAGATATGGCAGCTGTACGGGTGCTCCGGCCAACACAGTCAGTAAGCACACAGCACATTGCAAGGCAGGAGGCACGTCACAGGACAGATAGATATCTTGAAAAGATTTGGCTTTTAAATTACCACCATAACAAGAAATTTTGACTATGCGAAAGCTCCTACGGCGGCCATCAGCGTCGCACCACCCCCCACAGCCAGGAAGGCATTCACTCTCGTCCTGCCCTTGAGGGTCTTGTAGCTCTTCTCTGTCAAAAAGTCCTCCGCCAGCAGCTGCACCAGGCCCGCGAAGAGGAGCAGCCCGCTCGAGATGGCGTTCATAATACCCACCATCAGCAGACCCGTCTGGCTCTGCGGGTCGTAGAACTTGTGCACGATCAGCCCGATGGCCTGCCCGATGGGCGTGGTCGTGCCGTACGCGAGGACCATGAGCCACGGCCGCGGCGAGGACCTGGGGAAGTGCAGCGCCGCGATCCGGGACCCTAGCGCGAGCCCCTCGAAGGTCTGGTGGAAGGCGATGGCCACAAGGAAGACGACAAAGGGCGGGCCCGTCGCGACGGAGATGGCCATGCCGATGAAGACGCTATGGAAGAGGATGCCGGCTTCAAGGAGCACGCACTGTAGCATCAGGCGCTTCTGCTCCTCCGCGGTCGGTATGTGTGGCGTCCCCGGGGTCTTGGGCGTTCCTGGGCTCGCCAGAGCTCGTGTCTCGCTGCGGTTGCGCGGCGTGGTCAGCTCGTCCAGGTGAAGCTCCAGATCCATTGATTCTCTCTCGTCATCCTCATCTTCTTCCGCGTCTGCAAAGCTCTTGCCGAGCGCGTTTGTCTCTCCATTGCTTGGCCTGCCATTGGATTGCAGCGTTGGTGTCGATTCCGGCAGTGGTGACACGCCGCTCATCAAGCCTGTGCCCTCTGAATAGCCCATCTCGCCAAGCGCGATATCCCCAGGCCTCGAGCCGCGCCTGACCGCCAGACCACCAGCGCTGTGACCCCGTAGCAGCCCCGACCCATCCTCGGTTCTATCTTCCTCTTCCCACTCCGTATGGTGTGTATGTGAGTGCCCTGCGCCTCTAGTGGTCAGGTACGACTCCAGCGACACAACCACCAGCGCCGAGACCATGGCTATCAGCCCGGGCAGGGGCGTGTAACCCTTGCTGAAGAAATATGGAAGGCATGGGTCGGTAAGGGCGAGGAAGGCGGTTGGGAGGAGGTGGACAAAGGCAGTGGCTATAAGCACGCCGGTGCCAAAGTGTTGGCAGTAGAAGACGATTCGGCTCTGGCGACGACCACGGGATTGGCTCGATATCAACGGGAAGCCGCATGCTGTGTGAGAGAAGAGACACAGTTAGCTTGTGGTATCTTGCTTCTTCAAGCCCCCCTCGCTCTCCCAAGTTCCAGCTCTCGCGGCTGGTCAGACCTACCAAGGGTGCTGAGTGCCAATATTAGGATCAAGGCGAAGACGTGGAGGGGAGTGTCGTAGGAGCCCTGCTTTCCGGAACCACAGGCTGGCCTAGTGTCGTCATCATCGCGCTTCGCCAACTCTGCTAGCAAGAGGTCGATCGGTATCGATGAGAGGGTTGCATCTACCGCAGGCATGACGGTTAGCATGAGCTTGCGATAGTGGTCTGGCGGGGAATGCGTACCTCGAGCAGCTTGGCCAGGGTTAGAATCCGCCATATTGCGCTCAACAAATCCTCGCCTCAAGATATCAGAGACAAGCTATGGCATGGCTCTCGCTCTGTTTTGTAGCGGAAGATTGGGGAACTTCTTCATAACAAGACACTGGTGATAACAGAAGTGCGCGGCGCTGGCTCCCCCAGTCAAAGCAATGCAAGCGGCACATGGGCGGGCCGCGTTTGGGGGTTTCGTCGACAGGGGTTCACGTGGGGCTAGGACCCCTGAGAGTGCATTCCGACACCTGTGAACGAGCCACCGCGAAGCTACTACTTAGTGAGTAAGGCCGTGACACCCAGTCGAAACTCACAACCTCATACGTCCAGATATGCTAATTAAGGAAATGACGGCATTCAATAAGCTAAGAGGGCCCGAAAGGAGTAAAAAGTGTTCCTCAAGCTGCCCAGAAGACTCCAAGTTGAAAGGAGAGGAAGGCATTATCGTGCTTACTGTCTTGGCTTGGGACACCAAAGGGGGTGTTGCCCAGACACAGGGCGCCGAGCTTAGCAGAAACGTTTCATCACGTCTTTATTCATTACTGGGAGGACAAATGAATGAACAGGCGTGAGATTGGATCAACGGAAGTGGATGTTGACTCTTGCATGAGCCTAGGCTCGAAAATGTATAATACGCACCAGCACTAGGCAAATGTAGTCATGCAGATACATATTGACCAGTACTACCCTCCACTGTTTCTCCCCTTGACAGTTCCTGTTCAATCTATCAGCCATGAACCACTTTATTCACGGCGTCCACCACACCCTGTGTCGCAACAAAGTTAGGACAGTGCCCAGACTCCACTGCAAATGTTGTAACTTTGCGGCCGGCCTTCTCAAGGGTCTCAACCATGCTCTGTTGTTCCGGGGTAGGAATCATGGCGTCCGTCGTTGTATGAATATAAGCAACAGGGATTTCCCTCCAGGCAGCTTTCTCGAGAGGTTGCATCATGCCCTTTCCGTGCCAGCGGCATAGAGTCTTAACGTAGGCCTCGATTTCCGCATCGTCGATGCCAGGCCCTTTAAGACCCAAGACCGTGATGGGATCACGGAGGACGATGGTTTGGTCCTCGGCCATGTCGAAGACAAGGGATACGTTCTCGAGATTTCCGAATTCCTTGAACTTGTCGAAAGTAGACATGCCTTCTGGGAGAGCGTAGCCTATCATGTAGACCAAGGCGGAGACGCCCCCTTTGAGGCCTTGAGATGAGCGTGTTTCGAGTCCAAGTCCACATAACGCGTTTGTCATGACTTGAGCGCCATATGAGTGACCAATGGCTACGACAGTACGCCCTGCGCTGACAAGACTGTCGACGTACTTGTGGACCAAGTTGGTATCATCTGTCATGTCGGCGTTGGGTGGACGGGCTTCGTTACACGTTGGCAAGCGCGGAACATGGACCTTGTATCCACAAGACCGCAGAGCAATGGTGAGTTTTTCGTAGCTCTCTGGAGTGTGGAAGGCACCCCCGATGATGACCAGCGTGGGATTATTAGTAGTCATGATGGAGGCTTGAGACGTTGAAGATGGCAGATAAGATTCAATATACAAAGATAGGTTGAAGTGGACGGCCTTCGAGGGAGATGCAGAGGAACCAGGCTTCTTTTAAATTACAACTTATCCTAGAGTAGTCTTGCAAGCCGCAGGGTCGAAGCGTACATGTTGGTCAGCTCAATGTAACTGTGCAATCATTGTTAGTCCCCAACGGCCCCCAACGGCCCACAAGAAGCCTGTGCCATGAAAACCGCGTGTACGGCACACAACGTTCGCCAAGCGCGAAACCGCATCGCGCAGGTGCCGAACGTCTCGGCGGCTAACTTCGAAGGCAAGGAGATTGGCGAGTTAGCCGTGATCCCGCATATTTAGAAACAAAGTACTTAGGTATCTACGGCGAATGGTATCTTCAGGGCTCGACCACTGTTATCTGTGACATAGGAAGCTTCGTTCGCCTGCTTGCGTGGCAGCAAGCCTTCCACTCTGGTGCTATAACGATAATGCCGGCAACGGCCTACCTATTAGGCTTGTTTCTCAGCATAGGAGTTTATCGGCTGTTCTTCCATCAATTAAGGGTATTTCCAGGACCTCGACTTGCTGCTCTCACGAAATTATGGCATGTCTGGAAATGTCGTGACTCTAGGGGCCATCATGTTTTGGAATCCTGGTACAAAACATATGGGGCTTTTGTTCGAACAGGTTGGCAAATCTACCGCAGGATTACTGGAAAGCTATTGCTAAGATGTAGGAAGGTCCAAATGAAATCACAATATTCCATCCAGCGGCATTAGAGATTATGGACAGCCCAAAGAGTGGCACTATGCGAGCAGACTGGTATGATGTTCTTTACCCAAGGATATTCAGTGTCTTAGTCAATATCAATGTCCATGCTTGGCGTGTCTCCTCTTGCAATCCAAGAAGACGATACTAACTTGTGTCTCTGCAGGTCGCTATGGCTATGTTTGGAAGCCAATTGCTATGGCTCAACTTCGGCTTGTCTTATCACAACTGTTGAGCAAATATCAGTTCCATTCCCTCCAGATGAAAAGGATATGGGGAAGCTGTAGAAGAAGACTTACGAGATCAAGCGACAGCCAATCCCGGCCCGTTAGTTGACATTTACAAGATAAGTCAACTAAAATGTTGCCAAAATAAAAGCCGTTTATGCTCAGTAATGATTTGACAGACCCGTTGTCGCATTTAATTAGTCTGCTAATATTATCTTTTCGTTTCGGTTTATGCATGTAATAGAAGCCCCCCCCCCCCCCCCCACACAAAAAATTCCTTTCTGATGCTTTTGTTTGTCATAACACTTTTCTCTTTCGTAGTATTTTTTCTTCTAAACTAGTATCTTTGCGTGGGATATTTTCGAAGTCTTCTTAATAGTATTGTTGTGGTGGCCAGTGTGGCAGACCTCGGGACATAGAGCGGACGCTGAGACACATAGCTCATGACGCCTGGACGTGGGGACAACGGGCCCCCAAATAAACACGGTACTATAGCAGGCCTGGTGGTGACGCTCGAGCTAAGTGCTTGTCACCAAGTACATATCAAAATGCCACATGCAAGAACTGCGTAATCCTGATAAAAAAAAATCGAGACAAGATTCTATAGATTTGTGGTATGGTGAACATACTGATTGATTCGAGGGATTTATTTAAATACAGAGTTTTAAGAAGACAGATGCTCCTTAGATCTAGAAATACAGAGACTTCATCTGGACAAGCACTAGCTTGTGTGATTGCAGTGAACACATACAGCAGAGATGTGCTCAGATGGCCATATCTATGCTTGTTTCTATTGGAATGCCTGTTTAGATCATCGTCCATCCTCAGCCCAACTCTTCTCACAAGTCTTCTTGATACTGCATTGTTGACCTTGGCCACCGCTTCTCACCGTGTCCTTCAGCACCCAAGTGCCATCATTCCAGCGTGCGTCGGTGCTCGAGTCCGCCTGAGATTGCGAGTCTCACCCCTTCCCTCCTCTCCTATTCCATGCACCAACTGCATGCTTTCATCAGCAAGGCGCCCTCCCCATTTTCTGTTGCATCTCCTCGCCCTTTGGTTCCTCCCCCATCGTCTCAAGACTGCTGCTGTTGCTGCTGCTGCTTCGCCAGCTTCGCTTGTCTGTGTCCCGCCCGAATTGCCTCCGCATTGCGCTCCTTCCTAGCCTGGCTCTCATCAAAGATCGCTTTCCACCCGCCGCCGTGCTCTGCCTTGAGCTTCTCAATCCATCTCTCCTCGGCTTGCCGCGCGCGCTCCAACGCCGCCGCCTTGGCGTCTGCCTTTGCTGCAGCCTTTGCCTTGGCCTGTTCCGCGTCTAGCGTGGCTGTGCTCTTGGGACCAGAGCTACTGGCTGCCCTCGCACCACTTACGAGGCATGGGTGAGCGCGGCGAGAGAGGGGTGCCAGGGCGATACGCGTGGGGGTGGCGCAGAATGAGAGTCTGGATGCCATGGTTGCAGGTCTGGGTGCTGATGAGTGATTGAGAGCGTAGATTGCTGGTGTGAGGAGGGATTGATATGGCGACTACCGGGAAGCAGGCCTTTGTTCCTTGAGAGGCTCTACTATGAAGTGTTGGGTAGTTGAGGCAGGAAAGCTGGTCAATGGGTGCAAAGAGAGCATCAAAATGAGACTAGGCTTTCATGCTTTTCCAAGTCTTTGCTACGGTGGCTTGTCCAACCCTAACCCCTAGGATGAGCACCCCACCCCCGGAGGGAGGGCTGAGGGCGGCAAGGAGCAGGTTTGTTGGCACAAGCACGAGCATTTAGAAGGAATACGCCTGCTTTGTTAGTCTACATCGTACTATTGTGTGTATATTCGAGGAGTCAGACTGCTGACTTTTCTATCAAGATGTCCCCTCCAAAGTCTGACGAATTGTTCTACATACCGCTCTTGAATTTTTGAAGCCTTGATCAATTATGACATCATAGGGCAATGTCTTCTGCAATCACACACATAAGCGTTGAACACAATGATAGGAATGGCGTGAGAACCAAATCTGTTACCAATCTGATTTTACATAGTACATTATGAGTTTAGTAGATAGCACTAGTACTCATGGATAACAACCGCTGTTGTGATTCGTGAAGCATGCCTCCCTACCGGGGTTCACATTGATACATTTGTGTACTTCAGTAATGTGAAAAAACAATGACCTGCAGAAAGTATAAACTACTTATGTAGTATGATGAGTTTCTGTCAAATGTTCTTTTTTCCTGGAACATGCTCAAAGCAGGTTGAAACCTTGAAATAGAAGTTGCTGCTAAAACCTTGGAAGGCAGGTACCCTTCTGTTTACTACTTCCAAAGCTGTGGTTGTATCATCTCTTTGAGTGAGTTGGTAATCAATTCGAAAGAAAGTTTTACTCTTGAGCAACCTTGTCAATTTGAAGGTCTTCCATAAAGTGCTTTCTGGAGCTCGACACCAAAAATTACATGGTATTTCTGATAGATTTGAGCCCAGAAGAGCCACCTCAAATCAAGTCATAACCAGAACCTACCGCTTAATTCCTCATCAAAATTAAGACTTCATAAGTCATCTTCTAGGGACGGACAGAACGATTGAATTGAGTTCTGTGACACCCGAGAACGAGAACGGCGCGCGGGATGAGAGCCTCCGCCAGCACCAGCACCAGGAGCCAAGCATGTCCAAACGTACACCCTCTCGTAGCCGCGGGCATAGAGAAGCCACAGTCACACCCGCTCATGCCTCCCAGGTTATCCATCCTGTGACTATGCCTAATGCTGGTGAGTTACACGTCCCTGCTATAGGCGTAGTCCTGAGGTCCGTCGTCAACATCTCACTCTGGGAAAGGTAGCCTTTGCCTGAGAAAAGCACGCTAATTCTGTCCCGTGTCATGATACTATAAGCTCTTGACAATTTCCAGAAGACAAGGGGTACGCCCGACGCGAGTTGGACAGGTCCACTGTTGCCTTGGCAGCCAGTCGTGCTTCAAGACAGTCCACCTTGCCCCAGAAGCGCTGGCGACATCCCCTATGTCCAGAGCATAATACATGCCCAGAGGACCGAATGGCTCCTTCGCATAAGGCTCTTCAACACTCATCCTCAACTCCTCCTCCAGACCCGTGACCAGCTGCGCTGGGAAATTGGTATTTTGCAGGCGGCGCCAGATGTGTGGATGGAGAAGGGGCGGATTTGGAGGAGAGTGCGTCACATTGCTGCCATCGAGTCGGCTCTGCTACACCAGACAAGGGCAGGTATTAGAAGTGACGGGGTGGGTGTGCATGGAGTTGTGCATGCGGGCGAGGGACACCGTGATGGAGATGAGATATTGAACAGTGGGGGACAGGGCATGGAGGCCGGGAATGACAGTTGCTTCCTTGTGTGAGGAGAGGCGTGGAAATTTTTGAGTATAAGGCATTCTTGTTAGGCGCGGAAGAATATCATTCTGTCTTCTTTCTGTGCAAATTTAGAAACGAATGGTGGAACATTCTTTGTACACGAATTAGAAGCCTTTCTTAAATATTCAACGTTAGTCACCACACTAAGTAAGTGCTTAAGTAGCTTTACTGTAAGTGGAGAAAGTTACAAGCATGTGTGCACGAAAGGGCTGTCAAGATTTCGAATCTTCGTACACGCGAGAAAAGACGGCAAGACACACCTACTAATAATTAACAAAGAAGCTAACTGTAATTAGACGACTGTCTTGACATATTTTGTTGAAGGCATATCATGTTTGACTGGAATCAGCTTCCCGGCAGTGCAACATACCTTGGACGAGAACCTGAGCATCCATTGCGGGTCTTTGGATGGAAGTCAATCTCAACTTCATGACAAATGATCTCAGTTTCGAAATTTCGCTCTACTCTCGGAGCTCCTTGATGATCCATCGAAATTCAACGAGGCAAAAATAAAGAGAAAAAAGATTCCAACTTCATGCTGTATTAAATGATCCATTTGCTGCAAAGTGAAAACATCCCACAACGTGTTAAGAGGATGTAGAACATGTCTGTACGTAGGGCATCAACAAATTTGGGGACCGAGGTATAAGAAATTGATCGATCAATACACGTACAGGATCGAGATGGGATGTGACATGTGCTACGAAAACCTAAGACCTGAAACGTTGATAGCTCAGCCAGTCGCATCCCAGACCACCACTCAGGATTTGCAGTTAAGAGAAATAAATCGGAAAATTATCATGAGGAGCCCATTCCCCCCTCGCAAACTTTCCCTGTTCGGTTGGTCCTTGTCCTTAGTGCCCGTGAAGTGGATGCGATTGGCCCTGGCATCTTGCAGTGTCAGTGTAATGCCATTGGTCGTTTGGAGAGAACCAACGGTCTTCAACCAGAAAAGCTAACGTGTTTCCACTTGTCATCTACAAGTACTATCGCCAGATTAGACCACCTCTGCGAATTGCCCTCAAGGGGCAGGGGAGACTCGAGGGACCCCAAGACATGTGTGAATCTCCCAATGGTCATCGACAAGTCGCATCTTTTACTTTAGAGTTGATGCACTCCAGGAACTAGCGGGCACTAGAGAAGGGTGGAATGTGGAAATTGTACCCCTCTCTGTGGACGGTTCCGTGCTGGTCTGGACCGGGATTGCTCTGGATTTTGTCTGGGGCGATTATGAAGCCATCATCTGTGTCATTTGATCCTTGCCTGGAAACTGCCGCTCGAGCTTTTTACCCCAAGATCTCTTTTATATGTTCACCACCACCCACGAAAGCAGAAACACATTCTCCCATCTTCAATTGTAAACTTAAAGTTTACCCTCCCATCTTCCTTCGCCAACCTTTCGCATTGCACATGTAAAGTACAGCCGGCGTATAATACACGCAATCTTTTTCACAATGCCGTCCACCCTCCTCCTCGTCCTCGCCGGCGTGATAGCCACAGCCACCGCCCAAAACTCCACCACCAACAACACAGCATGCGTAACCGGCAACGCAGTCCACATGATCGTAGCAAGAGCCAGCCTAGAGCCCCCCGGAACAGGCATCATAGGCGAAGTAGCCACCCAGGTCCAGCAGCAGTTCCCCGGCTCCGACATCGTGCCCGTCGTCTACCCAGCGACCCTCGACAACTACCCTTCTTCCGAGAACGATGGCGTAGTGGCCATGACGCAGCTGGTGACGGACTACGCCGCGCGGTGCCCGGACAGCAAGATCGTGCTGATGGGGTACTCGCAGGGCGCGCAGGTCACGGCCGATGTGCTGTGTGGGCGGACCGATGGGCCGTACTTTAACACGACGCAGCCTTTGGCTTCGAGTATCTCGAGTCAAGTGACGGCTGCCGTGCTGATGGGAGATCCGTCGAAATCGACCAATGAAACTTTCCTGGCGGGAACATCTACTAAGAACGGGGTGAGTTGTTTTCTTTTCTTTTTTCTCCCCTACTTCTTACTTTACGTTGGGTCTGTTTTCCCCCCCGCACAGGGTGGCCAGAGAATTAAGCAGATGTCGACCTTCAGATCTTCCCACGCGAGGTCCCAGCCGGCTGTGACCCAGTCGCTGACCGCATGGTCTCGTATTGTAATGCGAACGATACCTACTGCGACTCAGGAAGCAGTCTAGACGTGCATCTCAGCTATGTCCAAGACAACGGTACTTCTGCGGTCAACTTCATTGTCGACCAAATCAACGCAGGTGCCGGTGGAAGTAATGGAACTGGGGCTGGATCTACTGGCCAAGTGACGACGGCCGGTGCCTCTTCTCTTGTGCATAATCAGCATGTGTCTGTGCTTTTATTGGGAGCTTTGACGCTCGGCTTGGGTTTCATGTTTGCAGTGTAATGAACCGGGTACACGGAAGGGGACCGAATGATGTGTGAAGGTCTGTTCTCGATTGCCATCATATTTTAATCTAATATCGCTCGACATATTGTGGAGAACATGACCTCTTATGACAGTCTCAGACCAGCATACGATTCATGCTTGGTCCTTGGAAGCCGTTCTCGAGATTTTTTTTCATTATTTTAAAAGGAAAATATACATGCTGATTGTACCTGGAGACTGTTAGAGATTTACAGAAGAGGGTCCTGGTCAGGGAGGCAAAAGCATCTTGGTGGCCGAGCGGCCCTTCTTCGGCGCATGATGTAGGTGGTACGGTTGATGCTTGGGTCTGGTGCAAGGACAATGCATCTGGCTATACTGCCTTGTAATCCTCAATCCAATACGGTCTGCCTCTTCATGATCAGGCAGTATGGCGTGGTGCGTGTATGCAGAAGCCGTTATCCACTCTCCCTTCCGCACAGCGCAAGTATATCCCCCGCCGCGAAAACCTGCTTGATGAACCCATCCGCCTCCCCAATGACCCGAACGGCCTGGTCCACGCTCGGCGAGCTTGGCTCTCCCAGAACGCGCTGCCAGCTCCTGAGCAGCTCGCTTAGGTGGGCGCCAGCAGTAGGAAGGGAAGGAGAAATGACGCTGCGCACAGATGGGATACGGGAGGCGGCCAGGAGGACGAGCATGGCACCGGCCATGCTAGGAGAGATCAGTTGGCGTCAGAAAAGCTAAAGCTGATCGGGGCGACATCAAACGAGACTGGAAGAAGGGGAGAAACGAAGGATTGAGAAGAGACTGGACAGACTTACGATAGCGAACAAATCCAGGTATCCACTAATACTGTGTGCGCAAACCCTCTCAAATTCAGGACATGCAGCAAGCAAGCCTGCAGACACAGCCGGCACCCCTCGACCTCTCGAGCGCTCGGTCCATCCCCCACGCCACCCCCACTCAACACCCACATCAGGTACGGCCGGTAGATGACGCTCCGACACGTCAGGTATCGCTGGCGCAGGAAAGCCCCGGCCTCTGTCTCTACGTCAGCGGTGTCGACTGTGAAGCCGAAGGCAGATGGAAGCACGTCGCGCCACTCGTCAAGCTGGTGGTCGAGCTCGGCGACGATGGGCGGGAAGCGACGCCGGTCGAGAGTGGCATTGCGAGCGTAGAGGAGGTTGTGGACGCGGTTGAGGAGCCGGCGCATGGAGATGCAGGCGAGGAGGTACAAAGAGGAGTGTTCTTCCTGTAGAGGGTTGGGGTGCGTCGCGTAGGGGAGGACACCCGGGAGGGGGATCGAAGATTCGATGGGTGCAATACCCGAGGGGGGAAGGGCGGAGAGTTCGGCCAGATAGTCGCTGCTTTAGTTGTCAGTCTATCTGAAGTTGACGAGAGAGCACTTAGATGACTTCACCTTTCCAGAATATAACATGACCAGAATATCCGTCTTATGCGCTCTTGATCTTCAGAGGTCTCATCTGCAGGTCTGTAAGACAAAAGAAGAAGACATTTGGCGGAGGCGGCGTTGATAAACTCCCAAGCTTGCAGCGGGCGGCGCAGGAAGGCGAAGTATAACCTGGCGGAAGAAGGTGAGCGCTTATCTACTTGTCTATAGGGGTAGGTAATTGAGAGACAATGAGGGAGACAAGTCAAAGGAACTCAGTTACTCACGCTGTGAAGAACAGACACTGAGTGGCCTCTGATCCCACGTCCATCTGTGCAACATGCAGCCTCTTGAGAGCATGGTCGAAATAGAGGTCGCCCATCTCTTTTTGCTCGGCCCGCCTCTTGAGCTGGTCGTCCGGCAGCGAAGTTCGCCGAGCAAGGCCAGCTACAGTCTGGCTGGCACAGCCAAGGGCCATCGTCAGGTGCGCTAGACAGCTCTGGACGGTATAGTCCTCGGATACACCTGCGCTGAGACACTTGGCTGCCAGCCCGACCTTGTCCAGCTGTTGGCGAGACAAAGTCGGGTACCAAAAGTTGACGTTGTCCTGGAAGGCCTCGAGGATGGAATCGATCTCGTCTTGCGAGACAAGCGGATACATGATGGACGTCGGTCTCATCTTGACCGGGGAGCGGGCCTGCTCCAGCTCGAAGATGGGCACGTAGTCGTTTCGCAGGGAAGGGAAGACGTCAAAATGCGGCCACTGTAGAACAGACTCGGTGGTCGAGGTGTGCATCGCGTCGAGAACGGCATTCTCCAGATTTCCCTGGCCATTTCTCGCATAGTTCGCTGAAGGATGCTGCGAGTCGCTGATGGGGCTTCGTGGCCGTTGATCTGGAAGATAAAATCGGGTTTCTGCCGAGGGTGATTCACCCGGGTGCGAGCTGGCAGAGAGCGGAGGTGCGCGAGAGGACTGGAAAGATGCTGAACGGTCTAACAGCGGAGATGTGACCTACGTACAAGTTTCAGTACGTCAACCCTGAATCGTCGCAAGGTGGCTTCTGAAGAGGGGCGCGGTAACTGACCACGTTGGCATTCATCTGCTGAAGGAGCCTCTCGACCCGGAGGACACCCTCGAGTATGAGATCGCTCTTTCCCCTCCTGTTGTTCTGGAATCAGCACGAGGCCCTCTCGACGTGATCTGCTTGGGCCTGCTCACGAGTTTGCTTCAGATCCATACGTGCATTCCGTCTGGGAGACGGAGCACGAGGTACATGGACTCAGCCCATCGCATCTAAGAAGGGGGGTTGCCCAATTAGCCTGGACGGCTCATCTCTTTATGACGAACAGAAGAGGCGTGAGGGATGAACCTGATCTTGCGGGATCGGCAGATATCGCACTACACGAAGTGCCTAGTCAGCAATACCGTTTGGGAAGAAGGAGAAGGAGGTTCTCTCACAGCGTGTGAGGTTCTCAACCGCTTCCTCGCCGACGACGACGACCCTGGGGCTGATTGGTCCCGGTCATCCATCACCACACCTGCATGATCGCCACGTGGCAATCCTTGTCGGCCGAGATCCTGTGTATGTAAGTATGAGATAGAGCTTTCTGATTGGGTTGAGCTCTCCCAGAAATATGTATATCGAGGCTGAGAAATGACCGTGGAGTGGTGGGGATACTGTTCGTGTCACCGACCCGGAGTGTACCGAGGGAGCAAGGCGATGGCGCCTGCCGTTTTGAGGGATGAGACGAAGAACAATTGGGTCTGTGAAGAGAAGAAATTCTAAAGACAGACGAACAAGGAAGGTGCTTGGAGGGGTAGAAGAGAACGCAGCGTGTATGGATCTCCCTTTCGCTCCCCTTCTCGATGTTGATTTGGGTTTGGTTTATCGTGGTTCGAGAGTTTCCAAGAGAGAGGCGGAAAGAGAGAAGTGTATTCAAACCCTAAAACCCTAACGAGGTAAGTGAGTATGGTGGGCACCAATTAATCCACCAGACCGACAGGTGGTGGCGGTGGTCGGTGATCATTAGGCTCGTATAATACTAATTGCAACGGCCCCCCCTTTGACTGTCCCCTGCGCTCAGTTGTCAATTCTCCCGGGGGAAAGGGGGGGGGGGGAGGGCAAATGCGGGGAAAATCTCTAGGGGACGGGCGCCCTGTAGGTAGTATGTAGCATAGTAGTAGCTTGCACTGGTCTTGGCTAGGGCATGCCCCCCCTGAACCTACAGCTGCCACTTCAAGCCACTCGGCGGATTTGCGGATTTCTTCCGAAAGTACAAATTGTCAAGGCACAGGCATAGGTCACATGTTACCCAACCATGAGAAAGACATTGAATCAAATTGAGGCTGATACTATTCTGAGTGACCCGACGATGATGTAATGCTGAAGAAGAAGGGGGCAAAAAAAAAAAAAAAAGAATCGTGTTAACGCCACCGCATTCCACCTACATGGAAGTTGAGTCCATAGCCCGAGATTGCCCCCAAAGTACTGTACCATAAGTAAATCTTTCAAAAAACCCTTGCAACTAAGCCTAATCGACCTCTGATGCTGTTGAATTTAATTTGCCAGATCCCGTTTTCCCAGACGCCTTTCTGGTTTGTTCCATGTCGAATGCCACAGCGCCTGTCACTTTACTTAAGGCTCACCCCAGATCTCATCAGCAATCTGCCTCACCAGCGCCAGCTTCTTCTTCTCGTCCTCCTCACTCAGGGGATACCCGCTCTCGTGGGTGCTGAAGCCACACTGCGGGCTCACGGCGATCTGCTTCAGGGCCTCCTCCTTGGTCTGGCCCGTACCCTCGGCGACGAACTCGGCAGCCTTGTAGATGCGGTTCTTCATCTCCTCCTTGTCCTCAAGGTTGCGCAGTTTGGTGGAGATGACGCCCACGACGACGTTCCTGTCCTTGGGCAGGAATTTCAGGGGCTCGAACCCGCCGGCGCGCTCCGTGTCGTACTCGAGGTAGAAGGTGTTGACCTTGAGCTGCGTGAAGAGCTTCTGGGCGATGATGTCGTAGGCACCCTCGGCGAAGTGGCGGCCGCCAATGAAGTTGCCGCGGCACAGGTGCACGCCCGTGTGCATGTCTGAGGGAACCTTGGAGATGCAGTCGTTGTAGAGCTGGATGTAGGCGTCCAGGAGGTCGTCGACGGTGCCGATGTTGTCCTTGTCCTCAGCCCAGCCCTGGCGAAACTTTTGCGAGCAGAAGTCTTGAGTATTGTGGAACATGAATTAGCATAAGAACAGGGAGGAGCTCTGAAGAGCAAGAGCAAGAGGAAGACGAATAGGAAGAAATGAAAGACTCACAGGCCAGACCAGGGTCGTCAAACTGCACATTCCTCAGACCAGCCTTGTACAGGGCGTCCAGCTCCGCCTGGTAAACCTTGGCCACGTCCTGGAAGTACTCCGCATCACTAGCATACACGCCCTCCTTCCAGGCCTTGTTCTGCTTGTACCGCATGTGAAACCAAGCCGGCGTGATGAGCGTCAGCTTGATATCCGCCCACTTCTCCTTCGGCACGGCAGCCTGGATCAGCGACAGCTCGTGCAGGTTCGCCTTGCCGCTCCGGCCCTCGGTCCAGCCCAGCTTCGCGCCCGCAATGACGCTGTCACCGGGCATCACCTGCCGGTCCTTCTCGATCAGCGACACCACGTCCGGGTGGTACAGCCGGAACATGGACGCCTCGGCCTCCTGCAGGGCCACCGCCCCGTCGAACTCGTCCCACATCAGACCCCAGAAGCGTGTGCGGTTGTACTCGCCCGACGTCACGGCCCGGAACCCTAGCTGCTGCTGCAGGCCGACCACGTCCGCCACGGACTGCTTCTCGAGGGCGGGCAGGCCAGCGGCCTCGGGGGTCTTGCCCTCGCGAATGGCCTCGCGCGCGTCCAGCAGGGGCTGGGGGCGGAGGAGGGAGCCCATGTGCTCGGCGCGGAAAGGAGGGGCCATTGTTTCTTTTTCCTGCCTTTTCGATGGGTAAGATGAGGGTAGGACGAGGAAAATGAAGAGACGGATACGAAAACAAGAAGAATGAGGGATGAGAACAGAGTAGCGCCGAGAAGCTTTGCTAGATTTGTGTGTTTGGACAAGTACTGAAAATTTCCTGCTTCCCCTCCTTTGAACGAATTCCAGGAAGGCAGATGAGCAATTGGTTGCGGAGGTCGTTTCAACGACCCCGCCAATCCATTATCTTTTTTTGAGAAGCCCCGCTTCCCAAGCAGTCAGCAGCAGAACTCCTTGCGTCCTTATTCGCGAACCCGTGTTTTTGGGTCACCAGGCGGAACCAAGCCGAGGAAAGGGGTTCCTTCCCTCTATTTTGCCCGCGCTCATCGAATGCGGGGCCAAAGGGGCGAGTTCGCCTCGGAGCCTACTTCTAAGCAATGTTTTTCTAAGGGGAGACAAAATGGAAGGTTTTTCAGCAACTGTCCTGGAAACTTTTGACCATCTATACTAATACATGGTTTGCTCGTTACATTGTTATTGACCTGTATCTGCAGTTGTACAGAGCTCGATTTCTCTTGTTGACCTTTGACTTTCTCTCTGCCTTCGTTGAGAAGAGGCAATACTACGTACATTGTATGATAACGATTCCCTCCTAAGCAGTCCACAGTGGATAGGCTTTTGTTGAGATAGCCTCCGTTGGGACAAAAGTTTTGGTGGCACTGGTGCGCTAAGTGTGCTACGGCCGAGGTTTATCCATCACACGTATTATAGTACAGTAGGATATGTTCAGCGGGATACAGTGCTATGTACAGCAGGGTATCGCACAGGACTATAATATAGTATAGTACAGTATCTAGTACAGTAGTATGTACAGTACAGGATTCCGTGATTTACCCGTGGCTAGCTGTTAAGTACGGGGATAATTATGGGTCGGTTCGAAAACCCAGTGATAAACCAGGTTAAAAATACAATAATTAGGTAAGTATTGATGGTTCTATTCACTATACTTTATAAAGGATGTGGCTAGGTCCATCGCGACCCCAGATGACAACTACTCGGACGAGGAGGGCAACCCCGTATTGGACTGATACATGAACCACCTGGAGAGATCAGGAAGCCGACATGGATGTTCACGGCGACGGATGGCCATCGTTGGCGACCGTGGCCATGGCGATCAGTGTGCGGGACTACGATGGGATGCTATTGGGGACGATTGGCGATGGCTGCTTACCACAGCTATTTCTGTCGTTTTTGTGCATTTTTTTGGGACCACCCACCCACAACATACACAAGAGGCAGGGGGATATGACATTAACTTGAGGGTATCCCCACCTCCCGGTCAACCTTCAAAGGGACCACTTATCGGCGATGCCTCTTTTCTTTTCTTCTGCTGTTTGCCTCCCTTCCTTTCCAGGGGCTTCAGGGTGTCAGCTCCGTTTGAATGGACCTGGATGCGGGGCCGCACACGGACGCACTTCATTGGCTGGTCCACCTGCTTGGATGAACATTACTACTTTTGCTCCGTACATAAATCATCAATTGATCTTGTCTCCGTTGACCTGATCCACATCTAAGGGTAGTGATCCTACCAACACTCTCCTCGCCAGTAACGAGCGAGTGATTTGAATGATTAGTTGCTGCATATCGGTACAGCAATCAATACCCTTATCCCGCCTGTGAGAGATCGAAGTCATAGCACTCATCATGTGATTGCAGTGGCTGCCGGGGCGGAAGCCAAGCTTTAGCAGGCAGAATGTGTTTCAACGGATTCGATTGCAATAATCCCTGTACGTGAATTGGTCGAATACCACATGACTGAGTATCTTTTTGAATCTACTCCAAATCCGCATTTAACGGTAGCAGGCAAGAGCGCTGCAAGCTTGAGAGCTGTAAGATTAAGGGGTGGTTTTTGGGGGGGGGCGAGGTCTTCGAAGAAAGAGGAAAAGCAAGAAGAATGTGGGGGAAAAGAAGGAAAAAGCATTGAAAGAAGAAGAAAAAGAAGGAAGGAAGGAGGAAGGAGGAAGGAAAGAAGAAGAGAAAGCAGTATTGCTTAATATTTCAATTGCTTCCGCCCCGGGCATCCGCTCCATTAATTCTTCAACCGTTCAAATTGGCAATTGAATTTAGCGCTCCAGGATATAGATTTAAACCTACGAAAAGTTTCTTCTCCGTTGCTGAGTTCACAATGGGGGAGGGATTTGGCTCACTACTCTACAAAACGCGGGCCATTCATACGAGAGTTCAATTGCGTCTCAGATTATGTATGGATGCGAGGTGGAGAGCAACTCACAACACCACCTTCGATTATCTTTGGAACCGACGATCGCGTCTGCGGAACCAGAACCAGATCATCATCATCAGACCACCTCCTTCCCATCGACCTGCACGTTCATCGTGTTCAGGACCGTCTGCGCGCTCCTCTTCTCGAGTGACTTCTTGACCGGGTTCGGGGCAGAAAAGACCTCCTCCAGCTCTTCGAGCGTCCGGTCCTTGGTCTCGGGGAAGTAGAAATACATGATCAGGGCCTCGAAGAGATCCCAAAAGATGAACACAATGTAGAAGTAGTACGAGATGTGCTCAAAGGCGGGGCCTGACGAGTACGCCAGGATGACGCTGGACACGGACGAGGCAAAGTTGCCCAGGGCGGTGCCCTTTGCGCGTGTGGCGGTCGGGAGGGTCTCGGCGATGTACATGCTCTGCAGCGGGGTCCAGCCAAACGAGAAGACGATGCCGAAGATGAAGATGAAGGCGACGGTGACGTTGCCCGCGGCGTGGTTGGACGGGTCCGCCAGGGAGACCTTGGACGTGCCCGTGATGATGGCGAAGCACACGGACGAGAACAGGATGCTGTACAACAGGAGGGGCCGGCGGCCAATGACATCTGTCATGCGCGCGCCTAGACATGCCCCGATGAGGCAGAGTGCCGGGTTGATGCCGTTGATGGCCAGGACGGTGTGCTCGGCCGTGATGCCGGCGTTGTTCAGCATGGTTGCCATATAGTAGGACGACAGCGAGTTGCCGCTCAGCTGGCCGAAGCAGGCCATGCCGATAACACAGATGAGGCGGCGCCGGGCCGAGTGGGTATTCCACAGCTCGTGGTAATCCCACCATTTCTTGTCCGAGGCCTCGTTGGAAATCTGCTGGACCATCTCCTTCATCTGCAGCTGCACGTAGGGGCTGTCTGGGTCGCCCTCGCCGTGGTACTTGGTCAGGATATTCGCTGCCTCCTCATGCCTGTCCTGGGCCATGAGCCAGCGGGGCGACTCGGGCAGGAAGAAGACGAACAGGCACACGATGCCAGAGGTGATCATCTGGCACCAAATGGGGATGCGCCAGGCCAAGTTGTCATTGTTGATGTAGGCGCAGCCGTAGGACACCCACGAAGCGATGATAGAACCCTGACCCGATTTAGCATTGTGAAGGGGAGGACCCTTGCCATACGACGTGAATATGGGAGTCCTGAACTGACCAAATACCAAGTACAGTTATAGAGCCCCGTTAGGGTGCCACGGTAGGCCGGATGGGCCATCTCGCTGACATAGGTCGGTGCCGAGACGCAGCAGAAGCTCACGCCGAAACCTAGAACGAAACGACCACCGAGGAACTGCGCGCTCGTCTTGGTCGGGGCTTGAATGCATGTGCCGATGATGACGAGGAGGGATCCAATAAACATTCCCCAGCGCCGGCCGAGGTAGTCGTTTGTAGGGCCGGTGAGGAAGACGGCGGCGACGGAGCCGATATTGTACATCATGAAGACGATGCCGATGCTGGAGCCCTCGGTGGTCATGTGGAAATAGTGCTGGTAGGCAGTCATGCCATTGAGGGAACCCATGAGGGAGCCATCATAGCCGTTCAGAGCTCTGCAGGGGGAAAGATGATCAGCTGGAGGAGCTCAAATGAGACGGTGTCAAGACAGAGACAATTGCAAGATAAAAGAGAGCCTTACCCGCAGAGGTACGCAACAGACAGAACGAGATAGAGGCGAATCATGGGCCAGGTCCATGGTGAGATCTTCGCCCCGGTGGACTCATGGGCAATGTGGACAGCAGTGTCGACGTTGTGCAGGTCATCCTGGTGGTCGATACCGGGCGATTTCTCGTCTATGGTAGCCATCGTGTCTCTTTGGACGCTTGATCTTGCCAGCGTCCTGTCTTGATATCGATGATGGATCTCGCAAAAGTTTTGAAGGGTGAGCGCCTGATCATGACACAAAAAGTTGTGCAAGGAGAGGAGAGGCGGTACAGAGGCCCTTTATATGCGCACATGCAGGCGAGGCACAGCAGCAGCAGCAGCAGCAGCCTGCAAGAGACACATGCAGAGCAACGTCGGCCCAGCCAGGTCTAGCTGATCAAGGGTTGTCACCCGCGTCGCCTCTCACGCGACCCTCTCATAATCCTTTTAGGCGGTGTCTGGCACTCACGGCCGTTGGGAGAAACATGCGCCGGGGTAAATCTGCACGCAAGGGTCGCTGGACCTCTTCCGGTTTGGGGCATGGCACACATTTTCCCCGCATTGCGATTATTGGCTCTTCTTGTTTTCCCCTGCAAAGTCAAAGAGCCCAAAGGGCGACATTGGACAAGCAACTAAGATGGAAAGTGGTCTGCCTCCAAGACTGCAGGGCCATAACAATACGGCGTGGTCGGGGAAGGGGCACCCTGGTCAGGTACTCTTGATCTGTACTGCGCCCCAACCCACTCCCTGCTGTACTATGGTACTGCATTCTGTTGTGCTGGATGGCCAAAGAAAACTTTAAAGGTGGAAAGTTACCTGATTGGGGTCACTTTCATTGCCCATCATACCGTAGTTAAATGGTTTGGGATTGGCATGTTTTGGTCGGCTCCGATTTCTCCGGGCCCAGGAACCAGTGACTACTTATGGTACGAATACTTGGCAAGGAGGTTCGAATTCTGTGTTTTGTGAGGTGCGCATATATGGCAGGCCCCAGCAAGACGGACTGAATGGACTGGCTTGTGATGACCCCGGCTTTTTACCCCAGGCCATTATGGCTGGGAATTGGCTGACATACTGGCAGGTACAGGGTAGCGAGCAGGGGTGCCTGGCTGCCTGGGTAGCCTGAGAACCCACCTGTACCCCAAATCTTCGGCTCCGCCTTCCCCGTCTCTACGTACCGTACGGCCATCGCTGCTTAGGATCTGCCAAAGTCCTCACCAGCGATGCTAAACCACAGATTCAAGTAATGTTTAGGATATTGAATGAACAAACATTCGAAAGTTGTAGAGCATTTAGTTGTTGAGTTATCATTTTATACGAGAACCTCAGACGTGAATTGTCTCAGTCTCAAGCAGTAGGAAGATCGAGTAGGTAAAGTTTTGTTATATCCTGATACTTTCCGTGAGAAACATTTACAATTGCTGCATAGCATAGAAATGTTTTTTATTATTATGGTATCGTATAGAGGTAAGAGCACCCCTGCCAGATTCTCTCGGTCTGTACTTTCCCTAATCACTTTACTGTCCTCCATACTATGATGGTACTATATTGTCTGGCCCTGTAAGAAACAAACTACTATGCTTGTTCTCATTTTGGCAACAGTACTCGGATATGGTGGAGGGCGGAGGGGTTTCCGATATGGAGCACATGGCGATGCGGGGTAATTGGAACATCCTCTCCCCACCTGCCCATCCACCACCAGCAGTGTACTATGTACATGACAAGCTCCAACAATTGCTCAGGAACATTTCTCGAGCATTTAGAATCCGCGATTCCACAAACATTTACATGCGTTACGACCCGTTGTTGTCATGAGATGAAGACGCATCCCACTTGAGGTGTCATTCATTGTGGGCACAGAGTAACAATCCAGCAAGGTACCTGGCATTACACTGCAGCAATCCAAGGGTGCAACCGTCCAAGGCAGATCACCGCGGGGGGCGACGACCACCCTGACCTAAAATACAACAGGCTCCCCTTCTCCTCCTGTTGACTTTCTTTCTTTTCTCTTCCCTTCTCCTGGTCCAGCACTATCTCTGTACTCTGGTCCTATCCAAATGGGTCAGTACCTCAAGATGGCTCCCACCAGTCTTCCTCTTCAGGAGGACAAGCAGAAGCCAGACTACAGCAACGAGGCCGTCTTCAGACGGAACTGTCTTCCTGCTCGGTCCTATTTCATTCCGGATACCTCACTCTTGCTCAATGGCAGCTGGGACTTCCATTATGCCTCCACTCCTCTTGAGGCACCAGAGCCGGAGGCAGTCAGAGATACAGCTTGGGCCAATTTGAAGGTACCCGGCCACTGGCAGCTGCAGGGCTACGGGAAGCCTTGGTACACCAATGTTCAGTACCCAATACCCGTATGCCCTCCTCACGTGCCGACCGAGAACCCGACTGGTACCTACAAGAGGACCTTCTTCGTCCCGAGCACGTGGGATCACTCGACACAGCTGCGGTTGCGCTTTGATGGTGTGGATAGTTCTTATCACGTCTGGGTGAATGGGGTGCTAGTAGGCTATGCACAGGGCGCGAGAAACCCTCACGAGTTTGATGTCTCTGAACATGTGGAGAGAGACGGCCCCAATGAGCTGCTAGTCCGCGTCTACCAGTGGTCGGATGGCAGTTACATTGAGGATCAGGATCAGTGGTGGCTCTCAGGTATTTCGCCTTCCTCCAAGGTCTGACAAGAAGCTTGGCTGACATGCTGTCTCTCCAGGCATCTATAGAGACGTCTATCTCCTTGCCTTTCCTACCGATGCGCGGATCGAGGACTGGTTCATCCGAACTGACCTCGACGACAAGTACGAGAACGCCACTCTTCAGGCAACGATCGACGTCTTGAGCGACAAGGCAGGAACACTTGAGCTCACACTGTCAGAGCTGGACAAGAATGGTGGCTCTGTCATTGAGACCAAGACGACCGACGTCGGATCTGGTTCTTCTAAACTTGACATATCTCTGCCTGTGACCAAGCCGGCGAAATGGACCGCCGAATCTCCTTATCTCTACTCCGTACAGTTGACCCTGAAGGCATCCTCCTCTCCGCCCTACACCGTTACGCAGAGGATAGGGTTCCGCAAGGTCGAGCTGATTAATGGGCTCATGACTGTCAACGGTACCCGGATTCGTCTGCGCGGCGTCAACAGGCACGAACACCACCCTCATTTCGGCCGTGCGGTGCCTCTCGACTACATCAAGAAGGACCTCCTCCTTATGAAGACCCACAACGTGAATGCCCTGCGGTGCTCTCACTACCCCTCCCATCCCAAGCTACTCGACATGGCCGATGAGCTGGGTCTCTGGGTCATGGACGAGGCAGATCTCGAGTGCCACGGCTTTTACGATGCCGTCGCAAGACCCCAGGATATCCCGGAGCACATGGACTACGAGGAACGGAAGAAGTTCACTTTTCCCCAGGCTGCCAAATTTACCACTGACAACCCGACTTGGAAGGAAGCGTACGTTGACCGCATGAGAGACCTGATCCAGCGCGACAAGAACCACGCTTCCGTCATCGTATGGAGCCTGGGCAACGAGGCTTTCTATGGTCAAAACCACAAGGCCATGTATGAATACGGAAAGAAAGTCGACCCTGGAAGGCTGATTCACTACGAAGGCGATGTGCACGCCGAGACGGCAGACATGTACAGCTACATGTATCCGCCGATCGAGCGACTGCTGAAGCTGTCACAGACCGAGGGTGTCAAAGACGGCAAATACGAGAAGCCGGTGGTGCTCTGTGAGTACGGGCATGCCATGGGTAACGGACCAGGTTGGCTGGAGGACTATGAAGAGCTTTTCAGAACCCACCCGCGCCTGCAGGGCGGATTCATCTGGGAGTGGGCCAATCATGGCTTGTGGAAAGAAGAGGGTGACGGGACTGGCAAAGGTGGCTACTATGGCTATGGTGGCGATTTTGGTGATTTCCCCAACGACGGCACGTTCGTCATGGACGGCTTGTGTTTCAGCAACCATGAGCCCACGCCGGGACTGACCGAGTTCAAGAGGGTGATTCAGCCTGTGGGCTTCTCTGCGCAAGGCGACAAGCTCAGCCTCGAAAACTACTACGACTTTATCGATCTTTCCCACTTGGTCGCCTCGTACAAGGTGGAGGAACTAGGCCAGGAGTAAGTGTATATCGATCCAGCTTCTCACTGATGTAGCCATGCTGACCAACATTGCAGGAGCAGGCTACTTGCCTCAGGCACGCTTGACATCCCAGACATCAAGGCGGGCAAGAAGGGCGAGATTGACCTGAAAAGTGCCGTCTCGAGGTTCAAGAGTGACAAGGACGTATTTGTTACAGTGTCGTTGACCAACCGCGACGAGACACCTGGGCTCAGTGCGGGACACGAGGTCGCGTGGACGCAGTGGCAGCTCTCTCATGCTGCACAAGCTCAGTCACCCTTATCACTGGACAGGCTATCCTCTTCTGTCCATGTCACCACTGCTGGGCCCAAGGTCACGGTTTCTGGGCCGCACTACAATTTTGAGTTTGACCGTGCCCGCGGTGCACCCATCTCGTGGGCGGTCAACGGTGTATCGATCCTGGAAGCCGACCCCTCGACCGGCGTCGCCATCCTTCCCTCGTTCTGGCGACCCGCCACAGACAATGATGTCCCTGGATCATTGCCGTACTGGCAGCGCTTCGGCGTCGACATATTGGAGTCTCAACTACGGTCCTTTGAGATCGACACCTCGGATCCTAGCAAGGCAGTCCTCAAAGCACACACTTTCATCACACCACCAGTCCTAGCATGGGGCTTTGATGCTAAGATCGAGTATATCGTCACCAACACCGGCGCACTAAAGGTGGATGTCAAGAGTCTCACGCCCACTGGTGCCATCCCCGACCATGTCCCCCGGGCGGGCTTCAACCTCCGCCTGAGCAAGCACCTAGATAATGTCTCCTGGTACGGCCTCGGCCCAGGCGAAAGCTACCCAGATAAGAAGTCCGCCCAGCGCATGGGTATCTGGACAGTGCCTACGGTCAAGGACCTGCAGGTACCCTACGAAGTGCCGCAGGAGAACGCCAACCGCATGGAGGCACGCTGGGTACAAGTCGCCGACGCGCACGGGGCGGGCGTCAAGGCTACCTCCACCAACGACAACGGGAATCTGTTCAATTGGGTCGCGAGCAACCATTCCATCGACACGGTCCACGCGGCCAGACACCCGCCTGACCTGGTTGAGGAGGACGCCACGCTGCTGAGGCTGGATTACAAGGTGGCTGGTGTGGGCACTGCAGCTTGCGGCCCCGGCGTCAGGGAGGACTTGTTGGTCAAGGTGGAGGAGATGAAGTTTGGATTCGTGCTGGAGAGCGTTGGGCTTTGAGGAAATATTCTTCTGGGGCATGTATGTTCCCTCGTATATAGAGAAGGCAATAGTGACCAAATCGATGTCAATACAACTGAAATCATACTTGAATGCCTACTGACCCTTTCAAACAAGACCAGGACTCAATTTCTGGAGATAGGAAACAATGAAGGAGGCCAGGGAAATGACCGAATATCAGGATGGATATAACACTGTTTTGCGAAATAAAATAAAAAGGTCCAAGAAGTACACGTGAAAGACTCGACATTAATCATTATTTTCTGCAGAGCTTGCTATCCAACCAACGACTTCTCACGATATAGAGAACGATGTCTGCAGGGGAAGATCCCTACTGCTCCTCCCCACATACACCTGGTACTCACCCGCCTGCAGCAGCCACTTTTGCGCCACGACATCCCAAACGCTCAGGTCCCGCCGCGTCAGCGAGAACTCCACCGTGACAGTCTCGCCCGCAGCGATGAGCGGCTTCTCAAACCCGCGCAGCTGTCTCACCGGCACGTCCTCGCCTGGGATGCCCAGGTACAGCTGGGCGACCTCCTTGCCGTCCACAGCACCTGAGTTAGTAACGTCAGCCGTGACGCGGACGAGCTCGTCCCAGAGATCCGTCTGGCCGCCGGGAGCGACAGCGCCCGTGGGGTTCGGGGCGGTGGAGCCGTTGGTGGTGGTGACGGCAAGGTTGGCGTAGTCGAAGGTGGTGTAGCTGAGGCCGAAGCCGAACTCGTAGCGCGGGGTGATGTTGAGGAGGTCAAAGTGGCGGTAGTCGATGTAGACGCCCTCGGAGAAGTTGGACTGGGGGAAGTGCTGGAACGTGCCGGTGAGGGTCAGGTCCGGGTGCAGCAGGGCGCCGTAGTCGGTCTCGTTGGCGGCGACGGTGTAGGGGAGGCGGCCGGAGGGGTTCTCCCTGCCGTACAGGATGTCGATGAGGGCCTTGCCGCTGTCCTGGCCGGGGAGGTGGGCGAAGATGATGGCCGTGACGTTGGGGTGGTCGACGACGAGGCGCGTGCCCGCGTTGTGGAACACGACGATGGTGTTGTTGCACTGGTCGGCCACGTTGTTGATCAGGCCGTCGGTGAAGTCGTCGCGCACCGCGGGGCGATCGTAGCCCTCTGTGGCCCAGGCGTTGCCGATCACGATGCAGGCGTCGGTGGTCGGGTTGACGAGCGGCGCGCCGTTCTCAAAGTCCCAGTAGAGGTCGGTGCCGTCCTGGTACGCCTGGGCGACGAGGGCGTCGTAAGGCGCGCTGATGAAACTCTGGGATGTGGTGCCAGAGCCGCCTCCAGTGATGAGCGTGCCGTTGGGCGCCGTAGGGGATCCGGTCACGTTTAGATCTCCGAGGAATTTCAGGCTGAACTCGGTGTAGTTGGCCGACTCGACACCGTCTGACCAAGCCGGGAAGAGCTGACCAGTTGGGATTCCTTGCTGTTTGTGTTGTCAGCAAGAATGGCCAGAACACACAAGAATTACACTTTGTGGGTATGCAAACTTGACAGAGGTATACTTACGTAGTTGTTCACATTAGGTACTTTCGCCGAGTATCCGAAGAGGGAGATGAGCTTCATCTCGGCAGACTTCAGAGGAAGGGCGTTGTTGGTGTTCTTTACCAGCACATGGCCTTCAACTGCGCCAGCAAACAGCGTTGGCTTGCCACTGGCATTGCGAGCGTCAACCACAGGATGCGGGACAGACAGGTCGGCAGCAAGTCCATAGCCCGGTGCCGGGAAGTCTGCCGAGTCCTGGCCAAGCTGGTACCATGAAGTCAAGATTCTGTGGTTGAGAAGTGTGTGTTAACATGTTAAATTCGTCTTCAGAAGCTCTGGATGGTTGAACATACCTAGTGACCATATCATCCAGTCGGGTCTCATTGACTGTCCCGTTGCTGATGGCCAGCGTCAAATTGTCACCCCAGACCGTGGAGGACGGCATGGCAACATCAAGACCAGCCAGGGCTGAGGCGACACCTGCATTCTGAGCATCCCAGTCCGAGACCACAAAGCCCTGGAAGCCAAGTTCGCCCTTCAACAGCCCGTTCAGGGTCTTGCTGTTCTGGCAGGCTGCCGAGTTGTTGACTCCATTGTAGCTGCACATTATATTGGCCGATCCGGCACGGACTGCATCTTGGAAGGGCCTGAGAGAGAAAAGAAAGAAACGAGTGGCAAGCTGTTGTCAGTTATTGTTTCACACCATATTAGCTGCTCTGGGGGACGAAGATATTGGCACATACCAGAGATACAACTCATGAATGGTCTTGTCGTCAATGTTGGAAGAGATGGGCTCGGCCCACGGCGTGGCCGTGCTGAGCAATCGATGCGTCTCCTGCTCATAGCCCAGGAAATGCTTGGTGCTGGTGATCACGCCTGCGTCTTGGATACCTGCCACAGACTCGTAGACCAACTGTCCAGACAAGTATGGATCAGGCGAGAAGCCTTAGATCGGTGCAGTGCGATGTCAGCAGGGAACTTTCCAGGCAAGATAGAAAAGAAATACCGAAACAGAAGAAATCTTACCCTCCCAGTTTCTGCCTCCCTCAACTACACGGCCGGCCGGTCCAATGACTGGGCCCAACAGTATATTGACACCCTTTGTTCTAGCCTCGCCGCCAATGTAGTAGCCCCGGTTGTAGGTCAACTCCTTGTTCCAACTAGCGGCAGCGTGAATCCCAGATGCCCACGCGCTGACATAGTCTGTAGAGCCTACACCGTTCCCTGCATTTGCCAGGCATAGGCCCGGGAACCCTAGACGAGGCACAGCTGCAATCATTCCTGCGCAGCCTGTCGTGGTACTCACGCCGCTAGTGAGGTTGACCTGCAAAATGCCATTAGCTTAGGAACCTGTAACGTCCTTCTACAGTGAAGCATGAATGACTAATTAGCTTGTATAAAGAACGTACCTTCTCATCCATGGTCATCTGGTCAAGAAGTGCCTTTGCCTTCGTAATAGCAGCTGCCCAGGCTCCATTGCCATCTTGTTGAGCTGTGTATCACAAAGCCGCGGGTTAGAACGTCTCAATTTCACAATACTGGTTCACCAAAGTGGTGATAACCCGAGTCACTCACGCGTAGGGTACACCGGCTCAGATTGGCCATAGAAGTATGTAGGATCAGTGATGATGTCCTCAGCCCCGGCATGTTGACTGAGAGCCACCGCCGTGGCGAGGCACGCAAGAGCAGATCGTCTCATCGTGGCTGGAGGACACTATTCAGGTAAGTATTGAGTTGTAGGGAAATCTACCACCAGGATGCGATGATTAGTCATTTGGTAACAAAAGAGGTCCCAATGCAGAAGACCTCCAAAAGAAAGCGGCAGACCTGAAGAGGAGTCATGACGCAAGAGTCGTATCTTGTATGTGTATGTAAAAGTTACACATTATTGTTGATTGATGGAGTTGGTGTAACAAGTCGGAAAGGGTGGATTTGAGACAGATTACAGTGTAGAGAGGGCAGCGGACTTACTAAGAGTGATAGCATCCAGAAGGATCAGATCGACAGAGAAGACTGAATAATAAAATTAAGTCTCATTGTAGGAGAACACGGTCCACACTCAACAACTGACACGACAAACATAACAAAACCATCTCGCAGCCGAGGCAGGTCTTTACTTATATACACTACAAACTTTGCAGTAAATACATACATCATGAGGGTGCCCTGACTTGCCCCAAGGTAGCTGAGCCCACCTTTCTTACGTCTTTCTACTTTCCATGATCATGTCGATGAGAAGCACTCGGCGACGCCTCGGTGGTATTCCAGACCCAAACACAAATGACTAGCCCATCACGGCCGATTATGGATGCCCTCACTTGAGCCTAAAGAGCCTGGGGAAGAAGAATCAAGGCCCAGCCAGGCCCCCCCCCCCCCCCTTCACTCTCACTCGGCCAAGGGCGGGGAAGTAATAGAATGCTAGCCATGACTGGGGAAACAATACCCAAGGGTTTTCCGTCTGCCATCACCCGGGGAAACCCCGGGGAATCATCATGGTTATCTAGCGCAACCAGCTTTTACTCGGAAATTCCCTCGGCACGTGCGAGATCTTGCAGTGACAGCCCATCCTGCGATGGGGAATGTTTGCAGTGGAATGATCCCAACACGACGGTAATCGAATCAGGATCTCGCGTCGGTGTGTCGATAGTACTGTGGGTGGGCCGGCACGGCGGGCGTGAGGGACGTTGGCAGTGTGGAGCTCCTCGAGTCACAAGACCAGCAAAACCACCAGCCCTCGACTGGACAAAACCTCTGGGAAACTTTTTTTTCGCACAGCAGAAGAGTACTGTTACGCGGCCCTACTAGTAGTAAACTGCTAAGCGTCGAGTACCTTGTACTCATGCGGCTGTCGGCTATTCCCCAGGGTTTGTCACTCTGCATGAACGCCCCGTCCGAGTTTTGCGGGGAGCAGATTGATGAACGTATCCACTCAGGGAAACAAGTGCGGGCCTCGTGGGCGGCCGTGGAGCCCCGCGTTTTTCACAGGTCCCCACCTCCGCGGCTCCACTAGTCCAGGTGGTCGGTTATGATCACCCACCTCGGTCTGAGGGCACTTCTTACCGTCTTGCTCTGGAGACTGCCAAGGTGCCGATGGCCGGACCGGATGATAGATCCCTGGCCAAGTTGATTGGAAATCTACACTGGCACGCAGAACCGGGAATCTGATCTAGAAGCCGAACTCTGTACTATATGATAGCCTGTCTCTTGACATACGTTTATTGTCGATGGGCGCGAGAAAGAGGCGCAGTGTCAATAACTTTATGTAATGTTGTTTGCTGGCCTTCGTGTGCTCCATCCGTTCACGGAACTGTATATGTAAGTTTGTGGATCCAGTTGTATGAAAACTGGCAGACATCACCTCACCTGGCCCTGAAGCCGTTCTATTTCTTTGTTGTCTGATCATTTTGAATATAATCACGTGAAAATCATCATTGTACACTGCTCCTGCTTATTCGTCCAAGTGCAAAGAGGGTCGACGAAATCACCTCATGAAGTTGACACATTTTGTGACAAGGACCTGAAATCATGCAAACAGTCCCGTGATATATTAGGAGAGTTAGGTTGGCTACGAAGGCTGCATGCTACGGGAAACTGATATGATGATATAGGCAACCACTGCCAGGAACAATATCATTCTCCTCGTCTTGTGTGATGCTCCGAAAGGCTGGTGTAAAGTTATGCAGATCATCAGCTATCCGGGCATCTCGAGTTAACTCCATCCATGAAGTGAACATCTTCTTGTTCTCCTCTTCCGCGCAGAACTTCTTCCAGTATAGTGTTAGGAACGTATTGTTGATCTTCTTATTGTAGCTTTTAAGGCTATCTAGCCAGCCCAAATATTCAATGAAAGTAGGTTATGCACGAGTATATATATCATCCAGCCTGTCAGAATTAGAATGAGTAGAAAAGTCAGCCTGTCGAAAATTTAGCGGATCGAATTTCACGCTTTGCTCTTTGGCTTGAACCTTTGCTTTCTTCAACCTCTTCATCATTCTTGCGGCTTCCAGTCGCTTGCCTTCTGCATCTTCCAACTCTTTCGGATAATGCTTCTTAATCCATCTTACTATCACTTGGCGGAAAGGCTGCGCATACGCATTGATATTGGATTGGTATTTCTTATTGTTTCCCAGTATCCGCGTCATGATATTTGCTGTGGGCAACTGCTTCTGAGCTTTCTTCTTTGTTTCCGCACTAGCCTTAGCTGTATAATCTGTCTTCTTACAACCTATCTTGAGAAGCTGTATCGGGCTGGTATGAAAATTGGTAGAAATCGCAGGTCAGAAGTTTGTGAGGACTAAAGCGCACACTATATAGACTGAGTCTTTCCTTTAACTACCAGACTCAGGCTCAAGTATGACAATTGCTTGCATAAAATTATGACCATCTCTCCTTAATATCCCAAACTTCGTAATGAGCTTCATTCTTTTGGCCATACTCATAATAATAAAATACTTCTTTATATTTTAAATCATCATAAACATATTGCCTATCACTGATCACTCATCTTCGTCTGACATGACTGGCATGTACAAATCCTCGTCCTTATCTAAAGAAATATAATTTGCTGTTCTTCATCTTGACTGAGGCCATCTTGGTAATCACTTGCTTGCGTACGATTTCCTTCCAATTCGGACAGTAGGCTGCCATTTACGGATCGCCTCCCGAATGGAATCACGGTCGAAGTCATGGACTGCCGGACACAGTCGCTGATCGATTTACAGAAATCCAAATGGAGCTTAATCTGCTTGCCGATTTCCACATAGATGACTGAGACATGTTAGCTACGCAGCGATTTCTTCGTAGCGAGAACAAATTACATATCTTTGCACCACTGTCTGGCCTTCTTGGGCGGTTTCAGGAGACCATGGAGGGCCACATATAGACAACAACGATCTGATGCCGATCCTTGTTCTATACAATAATCTATTGTATGTGACTCCACATATTAGCCAGTCAAATTTGGATGGCTTCAACTCTCAACGTCCATTGCTATGCTACGTGATCTAAACACTTAATTGTATAATGACACATTCGATGCTTAGCAGCCTATCTGCCTACAAAGAACGCAAATCCACCTAGGGCCTGAGTCGTCCCAGCAGATAAGATCATACTCATCGGCCGCAAATCAGACGGGTGTTTGATCGTAATCGGCAGTGAAGACCTATTTGACGCTGGGCTTCATCTGCGGTGACATAGTGCAGGTTGAGTGCAGTGACCTTTGCCTGGTCTACGTAAATGTGCATGAGTACTTGAGAGCTGCTTCCAAGACAACCTCGGACCGTCCTGGGGTTTGGAGAAGTTTGATGTTAGGACAAGAGGCTATTGAATTTTTAGATATTGAAATAACCAGGCATATTATTGAAAAGTTTTGAGAGTCAAGAGTATCAAAAGATTTTGCAGCTCTTATAAAAAAAGAAGAAAGAGGCAGGGAGAAACCTCGACTTAAATTAGAGGCAATAAGATTGAAGCTTTTGGGTCAACTCCAAAAGAAGAAAAAAACATCACACAAAATATTGACAACTCCCAGATCAGTCCTAAATTTTATAACCAGCTGAAGCTCGTCTCAATGGAAGAGGAAGCTCACAAATCTAACAATAGTCCCGAGTACGAGGGTGTTCCCGAGCATATGACGCAGATGACTATCTCTCCCCTTTCTTTCTGGTCTATAACACACATCAGCCATCATCGTATCGGTACTTTCACTCACGGATCCGGGCCTTGATAAGGGGCCACGAACACTTAATTGACAAAGCCTCTACGAGCTCACGTGTAGCAAATTCATCAAAATGGATTCAGATTGTGTGCCGTTAAACTCTTTCCCTAATCTCAGGGGGGAATGCCGTGATGTGTTCACTGTTCTGTGGTCTAGAATCATACGCTCCCCTATGTGGTATCCGAAAGTCATAAGAGCGAAGGAACGATTACGCCTTCTAGTCAAACCAACTGGGAAACAAACCGATGATGTCGAGTTCCTGTCCGCGCCGTACCATGCCATGACGCCACCGCCCGAGGTATCCTACTTCTTCAAAATTCCATTTCTAACCCATTGCCAATCACGCCGCAAAATACCCCCCAATGAAAAAAATGAACCCCATAGGTTTGGATCGCACCCCTTACCGCCTGGGCCTCTGGTTGTAAGGACTTATCGACCGCAGGTTCATTGTGACTGAGTCCTGGTGGAATGAGTCTGTCTTGGGGTGATACCATGCAAAGACGTCGATGAAAACCCGTCCCTTGGGCGAGTCCAGAGCGACCATTCCGTGTACTGCAACCGAACCTCGTGGTGGATAGTATCGAAGCGGCTTCCATGCTTGCTTATAAGTCGCAATGAAAGCCATCCACGGACCCGAGCCCTTCCCAACCAGCTCTGAGTAGTATGGTATGTTCTCTTTCGTCAGAGACCTGCCAGCCTCCTTGGATGACTCAGATTTGCCGACCGCTGTAGGATTCGAGGACTGCGATGTTTCGGACTCGGACGAGGAAGCGGAAGTGGCGGAAGAAGCAGCAGATGACGAACTTGCCGCTGTGCTGCCATCCGCAGTTTGCCGCGCTCCTAATTTAGTGAGTGTCTTCGCGATGTCAGGATGGGGCCCTGAGGTATTGATATCATTGCCCCCTGATTGATATCCGAAATACTTGGCAACTTTGGACACGTTTTGCTTTACCATGGCCTTGGCGAAGGCGTAGGAGGCGCTGGCGACAGGATACGGCATGAGCACTCGATCTAGCAGGGCCTTCGTTCTGGCGTCCATTGTCTGTGTCTTCACAACGAGACCTTCCTCGCTCCATTCCATGCTGTAGGCACTGATTAGTTTGTGTCCAACACGAAGTTGATCCCGCAAAGAGGTTCTGGGGTAACGTACCCCCATCGAATGAACTCGGGCGGTGGCTTCTCTGGGAACGTCATTATTAACCATGTAGGTCCCAGCTTGAAGCCCTCTCCCGTCTTTGTCCATTTTTTCAATAAGTTGTTCTTCTCGGCCGCTTTTCTAACCATGGTGCTGAGGTCGTCCTTTACCCGCTGCCGTAGCTTGTCATCCTTGTTGAACTCGATGAAGCTTTGCCATTCCTCCCCGGCGCCAGCGTATGGGGCGGGCTGGACCTGCTTCTCGGTGAAGGGGAAGGGCATGAACAAGGGCTCGACTTCCTCTTCCAGGCCTTTGGGTAACGGACGAGTGTCGAGGTTCTTGAGAGGGAGGAAGGCTATTTCGTCCCAGACGTAGAGGCAGACGCCGGCGACCATGCCGTAGGTCGCAGCTTTCCTAAACCCAGGTGTCTGTCAGCAAACGGGTAGGGTAATGGAAGGGAAAGGAAAAGGGGGGGGGGAGGGTTTGCTAGGCAAACGAACCTCATCAAGCCCCTCCTGGACTGTAACTTGACCTGGTGAACGGTGACCTGCTCACCAGAGGAGACTGCGCCCGCGACCCTGGGTGCCACCCATGCCCGACCTGGACTCCGGTTGAGGACTTGACGAAGCATGGTCCCAGAATACCCTCCGCTGCGAGGTCTCTGGCCGAAAGAAAATGACGTTGGGGGTATAGAATGTGCACCAGGTGCAGGCGACCACGGCACAACACACTCCAGGCCCTTGAAGGGGCCAGTTGAGTCGGTGTCTATGGGGCGTCGCTTGTCTCTCCCAATCGAGCGTCCGACTCTACTATGGTATTTGGTGGGGCTAGCGTGACTGTTGCGTCAAAAGGCTGAAGAGACAGAACGGCAAGTCGTGGGGGTTCCAGCGTCTGTCTGAACCGATGCAAATAAACGATGGACTAGAAGAAGAATATGCCGAAAGAATCGAAAAAAGAAGACCGTCGGTTTGTCAGGTAGGGGCGAAAATGCAGCGCTATGCAGTTGTATTGAACTTCGACGTCGGGACCAAGTCGACATGGAGCGTCCAGGGTAAAGTGACAAAGGCAAGATGCCTGAGGGGGGCTGACCCCATGTCACGCAGCAGAGCCTTATCGCTGATTAAGGGCCTCTAGCTCCGACGACGAGGTACGTACCTCACCTGTCCTCAACACGGGCCAACTCAGGGATCCTGCTGCTGAGTTGCTACTATCTTGGGCGTCATACGCACAGCTAGACAAGCTCCTTCAACGACTTGGCCTCATTCACCCATCGCCGTCAACAGCCATCACTCCCTACCCTCCGGCACCCTCCCATCCACCAGGCGGCGTCAACAATTCCATTTTCAACATGAGACTTCTCAGTAGGCTAGCAGTTGCTGGCCTTGCAGGCCTTGCCGGTGCTGCAGCGAGCGAACCCGCCGAGGTTTACATCCTTTCGAAATCAAACCCATCAGCCTCCTCGTCGAATCCTCAAATACCACGACACGTCGCCAGAGACATCGTGATCTCGAGAGTCGGTGGCCAGACGGACCTCGGTGCTCTGCCGGAGTCTATCACCACTGACGACGCTCTCTCATACATATCGCAATACGGAAGGCCACCCAAGCCTCTGTTTGGGGATGCTGCATCTTCGTCAGCTGGGGGCGTCGTCCCCTCACAGCTTGTCATCATGCTCGAGGGCATCGACGAGAACAACGCGAAGAACCTGCGAAAGGCACTCAAGTCCCAAGGATCCAAGCCTGCATTCACCATAGCGGATCCTCCGTCGGCCAAGGCCAACAAAGACCTCGTCGATATCGAGCTGTCGTCTGTATCCGGATCGTGCGATATCACTGCGGTCATCAACCCTTACGACAGCTGCTGGGATGGTCTATCTCTTGTTGTGAAGTATGACGTTAGAAAGGTGAGTTCTATCTCGTAGGCCATCGTTATCTGTATATCCAGGTTCTAATGCTGACCTCCGCTCGGCAGAACCCAAGCACCCTCGACGTGCTCACCGACAACATCAAGCCGCTCCGCAGCGCCATTTCATCCGACGCCCTCGAGACAGTCCTAATTCTGCTGCCCGAGAGCAGCCGCTCTTCCAAGCACGCCTCCTGGGCCAGCGACGCTCCTAGTGAACTCCGCCGTCGCGTCGAGATGCCGATCAGCGACATCCAGGCCAAACCTGTTGTCGTGCCTGGCAGCAGCGACGAGGGCGTCTCCTCCCCGGACTCCTCCTTATTCGCCTCGCAGGCGTCTTCCAAGATGAATCTCGGCTGCTTCTCCACCTACAACAGCTGTGAGACCGCCACGAGCAACTGCTCAAGCCACGGACGCTGCATAGACAAGTACGCCGAGAACACCGAGAGCGGCAAGGGTGGCGACGTCAAGTGTTTCGTATGCAGCTGCGTGTCAACAAGGACTTACCCTGAGAACCCGGCGAGTGACCAGCATACGCACTGGGGCGGCGCCTACTGCCAGAAGATTGATGTAAGCTCTCCCTTCTGGTTGCTGGCTGGGACAACCATCATCCTTGTGGGCCTGGTGACGGGGTCGATCGCCATGTTGTTCAACGTGGGCGAGGAGAAGCTGCCAGGTGTTATTGGTGCTGGTGTCTCAAGGTCAAAGTAAGCGACACATGTTTGGTGATCAGGAGAATGAGGTGGGCAGAGGAGAGTATATAAGAGGCGCAACAAAATCAAGGTTGACTGTTGTCCACATCCAGAGGAAGGTGAAAATGGAGGCACGAGACAAGAGGCGGGACCTGGAGCAGACTTGGCATTGAAGGGGGGATGTATCATATTGTTGGTGTACTGCTATTGCGGCGTTACCATGGGAAGCACATTCTCGTTTTAGCATCTTCCTGTTAGATACGGAAGGAAATATAACGGTTTTCCTCAGATCATCTATCAATGGGTGTTTTGTCATTGATTTTGTGACGCCTTTTCTATCAAGACTTTTGGGTATCATTCCTCCATTGCATCATCATCACCAACGTCTTGTGCTGTTCTTGTAGGCGTCCCGAAGCTCTCCAAGCCCCTTTCTTCGGGCCGCATCTGCGCACCAGGAGCGCCGGGCCGCAGTGGCGACTGCGCCGCCAGCGTCACCGGATCCACTGCAAGCTCGCTCTTGATGCCCATGGCGGACTGGTACTTCATCCCCGCCTGGTTCAGAACATCCTGGACCTCCTGCTCCCTGTCTAGGATCTCCTTCTTCTCCTTCTCGATGCCCTCGATCCGTTTCCGTTTCGCGGCGACCTGTTCCTCCATCTCCCTGACCAGGTCCCTCATCCGCGCCAGGCTGTCCCTCAGCTCTGGCAGGGGCTTCATCTTCGGTATCACCAGCCTCCCCACCCCGCCAATATCTTCCTCATCTGCGAGGCGGTGCAGTCCGTCCATGGCTGCCCTGGTCTGTGCAGCCTCATATGCCGCTTTCCGCTCGGCGTCCGAATCTGTATCCTCGTCTTCTGAGGCTCCCTCTGCGGCGTTGATCAGTTCTGCCATCTCTCGCCTGTGTCGGCTCCTCGCCTCCTTCTCTCCACGCTTCCCGAGCTCGAGCCGCCCATCCTCGACGAACTCGTCGTAGCCCTCACCTAGGTCCTCGTCTTCGGCAATAAGTCGAGTGTCATCCTTCTTCTTCTTTGGGAGCAGAGAGATGTACCCATCATCGTCCTCATCATCTGACTTGTAGGCATTGCCTTCCTTGGCGAGTCTCGCCCGTCTCTCCTTCTTCTCTCTAACCTCGGCTGCCGAGGGTATATGCCCACTCGCTGTACCGGTAGTAGAGAGCGGAAGGTCGGCGGAAGGTACAAACACGGCGCCTTCCAGCTCTGCAGCATCAATCGACATGGCCTCCGAGTCGCCGTCGTCATGGATTCGTAGTCTCTCCAGATTCTGCGGCGTGTTCGGCGTGGACGACTGTAGCTCCTCGAGGTACTCCCTACTATAGGCCTGCCGTTCTTGCTCCGCGCCAAAGGACCGTGTGGGCAGGCTCCTGCTGGAGGCGGTTACGCGGGCCGCACTGTTCTCCGTCGCGCGCTGAGCGAGGGTGGCCGCAGCAGGGTTCTTCTTGGGCGTGAAGGGCTGGGGGTTGGGTGCGTCGCCTGCATCCTCGGTGACGCCGAAGGAGAGGCGCGAAGACGAAGCCTTCTTCTTCAACTTTGTGGATCCGGAACGGTTTATGGAAGGGCGTATCACGGCTGGGCGACCTTCGTTGTCGTCCTCGTCCGCGGTCGCCGCGGCGGATGTTGCGCCAGACCCGCCATCTTCTTCGTCGTTGATGTTGATGCTCCGGCGGAGGGAGGAGGACTTTATAGGGCGGCGGGTAAATTTTACAGAGGAATTTGCGGTTGTGTTAGGGGCTATAGAATGAGAGAGATGCGCATCAGCTTAACTGCCTTGAGAAGGGAAAAGGAAAATCAGCAAACCATGCTGGACTTGGAAAAGGTGCAGAGAGGCGACTTACCTTCGTTCATGGACTCATCTTGTGAAGGTGCAGGAGAAGCTTCGGTTGGGTCCTCGTTGTCCTCTGACACCTGGATCTTCCTCGCTTTCCTCTTTGCCCCAAACATTGTTCTGACGGCCTTGGTGGAGATGCGTGTTGCAGAGGACCAGACCCGGCGAATTAATCGAGGCTCAGTTGCGGTCCTATCCGTGCTACCAGTACGAGTGGGCAGGCAAGCATGTCTTATCAGCCGCCTATCGGTTCTGCCGATACTTAGCCGACGACTCGTAGTTTTGACCGCGGCGCGTCTAACATGACGGAGTTTGTTTCCAACGACTACATCAGCCAACTCCCCAAGTCGTCTTCAACACCTGCAGTACGGCAAGATGGCTCCCGCTCAGCCAGAATTGAAAAAGGTATGCTCCGACAAACTCCCCAAACCTGAAATGCTCAAAATGCTCCTGCTGCGCCGCCTGTAGCTTTCATTTCACCATTGATAAGGGCGAGCACGCCTGCGCTCGCTGCGTTGGAAAGGCTCAGTTTTTAGCTGCAATGGCCTTCAATTCCACATTACGCATGCTAACAGTGACTTCTACAGTACCTTGACAAGAGGCTGTTCGTGCAACTGAACGGCAGCCGCAAAGTCATCGGTGTCCTGCGCGGCTACGACGTCTTCCTGAACATTGTCCTGGACGAGGCTGTGGAGGAGAAGGATGGCGGCGAGAAGGTCCGACTTGGCATGGTCGTGCGTACAAAACCCTTTCTGAACCGCGACCACAATGTTAATATGAGGCTAAACTGTCTATGCAGGTGATTCGTGGAAACTCGGTTGTGATGCTGGAGGCCCTCGAGAGGATTGGCGGCGACGATAGGCAACACCGGGGTTAGAGAAAAAGCTGGGAAGCCATGGTTTTTGGATGGAAGATCACAGCTCCTAGCGCACCTAGAGCCATCATGGGTATGCAGCCATTGAGCCGTATGGAGTGGACGGTGTGTTCTTAGGTCCAACCTAATTCTTCCGATTTCTGGCACGATGCGAGGGAGGGTGCAGCGAGCACCAAGCATTGAACAACCCACGCGAGAGGGTCGACACGGCTTAACATGCGGTACCGTCCGCGTTTATCCCGGTGTAGTGCCTATCTCACTGAGCCCAAATCTCACGATACCCGTCCGACTTCGCCGCAAGATCGGATGTTGAAGCTCAACGACAGGATGAGATATCGTGTGGCCTCTGACCTCTGGTGAAGAGCATTTCACATCGTTTAGCAATAGAGAGTGGTGAGACACAACAGATAAAAGAAATCTCCAAAAGCAATTGATAACCATGCCGTGATATCCATGTCTCTAATTGTAATTTGGATGTGACGTGTTACTTCTGGTTTGGAGCCGTCCCATTCTCCCCGAGGAAAGCAGAAGATTACCTTCTCAATATGTATCTACTTCAGACGAGAACCAACAGTGGTACATATTATGAAAAACATATCGTTTGTGGTCCTCTGTATAGCAAATCTCGTCTCTTGCTAGTATGGTCTTGTCGGATTGATATGAACGTCCACCTCATTACAACCTCGTCATCTGTTGCAACGACGTTGCTCTCAGGGTCATGGACACAGTCTTTGAAACACAAAAGGCACTAGAGGCAATGCGTCAGAGACTTGGTGTCATTCAGACACTGAGGCTTGAGTGGCAACCAGGTGGAGGCTGGCGTCCACAGAGCCAACTGGGGGTGTTCGACTCCCAGCCCAGGCACATCGTTTTTTTGGCGATTTACAATTCTTTTTGCACCATCACCACGAAATGTGCATTATAGAAAAAGAAAAGTATATCAAAATGAAGCCTTCAATCGTCGAAGTAGATCAAAAATGCAAAAGGCACCCGACGATCCTGAGAGTGTGACTCAGGGGCGCCGAGAAACACTCCAGCCTGTATCCCGAAGGAGAAGCGACTGGAGGTGTTTTTCAACCGTTGCAAACTACCGTTAGGCCATCTACGCGGGTCGCCAGACCTTTCAAAATCGGCCGTTGGGGTGAATCTGTAACTCGCCCTTATATGTTTGCTATCGTGGGTACGTACCTAGATTCACTTGATGCTTGCCTGCCACCCAGGAGAGTGGGACATGTCTGGCGCAAGGCATGTTTCTCTTGGAACATGTGCCATCCCCATCTACAACTTTATAAGAGCCCTCAGAGCCTCAGCACCCATGCCATCCTCTTCGACCTATCCCTCCTCATTCTACATCGCAACATCTGCCATAAACCCACGTATGTCTTCACATAACACTCCCCCCCCCCCCCCAACCCGCCCAACCTTCATTCAGTGACGTACAGTACTGGCTAACGAGTTGACTCAATGAATCACGCAGCAGAGAACACCACGCATCCTATGAGGAGAGTTTGAACTATTATGACACGACCAAGACGTATGCGAGAAGACACCAATGAACAAAGTGAAGAGTACCCCCGAATCAGCCACTCTTCAACAACCTCTCTGACAATACCACTGCTACCTCGTCCATCTCAATTGCCTTTCAGTGCCATCAGTTACTCATTTGGGAGCTCGTTCAGCCACAATTCACCACCTTATCGTCTTTACAAGACACAAGCAATCACGAGCCATACACGAAGCAGTCTTTCTACCTAAATAACATCGCCACGATGCGTGTACTTGACGAAAATGGCAGCGTCAACCGTCAGGCGACCAATATTTACTCTAGGAAACCTTCTTCCTTAGCGGAGCCTCTTGACAAGAAGACCCTCAAGCAAGAACGTCGTCTCCCTTTAATACCGTTTCCATCACAATTCTGTACACTTCTACTACATCACGACATAGACCGAACGGCCCCAGACTAATTCCAAAGACGACGAAAAATCAACACTTTGGAGTGACAAAGGGCTTTTCTTAGTGTCATTGCACCTGGCTGCTGGCATTCTGTTATCATTTACCATCCTCATAGTGCTGTCATACCCCAGGCATGCTGCAGGAAATTGTGAAGCTACGTGTATTTTCTGAGGATTCAGTCACAATTTGAACACTTTGAATCCAAACCTCATGGGAAAGATGTTCTTTATATGCGAACATTTCCAAGCACGGAACAAAACCAAAAGAGCAACAAGATTGCCTGCATGTGGTCGATCATGGTCACCATAGCTTGCCCCTCATACCGACATTGCTACGCAGGCCATACACATTGAACCCAATCTCTGTTACAATGGGACTCTTTACCGGCGAGAAAGTGGAAATGAACAATCGTTATATTGGATCTCGCGCTAATTATGGCTTACTTATATTCTCATCATCCGTTGCATGTTCTCTTAAAACCCTCGTCTCCTGGCTTTGCTCCAACTCCGACAAGACCACCCAGGTCGGAAACACACTGATGAGAAGAACCCCAAAGTTCATCCCAATGCTGACAAAGTGGTTGACATTGGCCTCAGACTGCATAGCCCACGCGACCGTCTGGCCCAGCGCCTCGAAGCCCCGCAGGATGCCCGTGTGCCGCGATACGGAGGACAGGTCCGTGGTGTACTGCCCGACGAGCCAGTACAGAAACTGCTGGAAGGCCTGGCCGGCAAAGGTCCAGAAGAAGACGAGGGCGTAGGAAGCGTTGAAGCCGCTGGTGAACCAGTCAAAGACGGGGCTTGTGGGCGCGTCGTAGTACTGTTTCTGGAGGATGATGGCCCAGATCCACGTTCCCGTCAGGACGAGGACGATGGCAGAGAAGGCAATCCTTGCGCGAGTCTTGATGTGGATGCTCTGGCGGTCCAGAAGTGCGGCGATCAGGAAGGAGCTGAAGATGCCGGCGAAATTGGTGAAGAAGGAGGAGAAAGCTCGCGCCCGGACGGTGAAGTAGTCTGTCAGCCAGGTGCTGAGGAGGCCGTTGTAGAAGTAGCTGATGAAGAAGGCCGGGAGCAAAAGGAGGATGCGGCGCGATTTCAACAGGTCGAAGACGGCTCTGAACTCAGCTGCGAGGGTGGGTGCTCTGTCGATGACGACCCTGGTCCCGTCCTTGCGCCAGACCTTCTCGGCTGGGCTCAGGCAGAGTGCGATCGGGAGGCCTAGGCACATGATGACGATGAAGGCAATATAAGTTGAGGAGCTGACGGAGCCTGAGGTGGACGTCTGCGCGTTCAGGCTGAGGTTGATGGCTCCTCCGACTATGGGACCTGCCGCCTTTGCTGTCTGCCAGATGGCCAGATAGAAGGCTCTGTCACTCGGGCTGGGATAACCGATAATGATGGCCGCCTCGGCTGCCCAAAAGAATCCCGCTGAGAGACCACAAAGCGCGCTGCCAAACAGCATGAACCAGGTCACCGCCCTGACGTTGTTGACGTAGAGACCAGCACCGTAGAGAGGATAGCCCACGGCTCCGAGCGCCAGGCCGTACCGCAGACCGATCCGGTTATTGATAGCCCCGGCAGCGATGCAGACGATGAAGAAGAGGCCATAGACCAAGGCGTTGGCCGCAGACACAGCATATGGCTCTGCAGCGCCTCCAGCGCCCAGATTATTCAGCGCGTCCCACATGCCTGGTGCGGTGAAGGAAACACCGCTGGCGACGGCGATCTGGAATGGGACGGAGCGAAAGGCAGAGCGGAACCTCTTCCCTGGCAGGCGGTCTTGTTCGCTGTTCCTGTCTGCCTCGCGAATGCTGGGCGAGTCAAGATTCGGAGACCCCATCTCGGCGGTGGTGGTGTAGGAGGTGCCGTAGTCTCGTGCTGGGGATGCGCCTTTGGCAAGGAGAGGGGTAGATGGTTCCATCTAAATCATCAACGAACAAGTCGTCGTCTTGTGCCATTTGCTTCCTACCTATCCTTCCTTTTCCATTTGGGGGGCCTCTGTTTCCAAACGTAATGCGCGGGACCCCCATGGACCACTCTGGCAATTCATTACGACATCGCGGTGCAAATTCGTGGTGCGGAAGCAGAATTTGTACAATGCAACCGATCACGCAATAGCCTCCCGAATTTTCCTGACTGCAGACCCACTCTTTCACGTTGCTCTTCTGCCTCCTGAGTCGTAGTGGTTTGGTGGAAATTCAAAGGTCTGCGAGACATTCTTTCTATATATTAGTCGAATCGGCATGTGGAATTGTCAAGTGGGTAGGCGAATGGTGAGTTGGACGATTGTAAGGCTCAAGGCTTAATTACCAATTGGAGTCTACTTGTCTAGCTTAATTTAGACACGGCTCTGTAGTGCTAAAGCGAACTGTCTATCTAAGCGTCTAGTTACTTGTAGAACATGCGTAGCCAATTTCTCAAATCATGCTTCTCGATGCTTATTTTGCCCACGGAGTTTGTGTATGAACGACCTTTAGTTGTCGTCTACAAAGTATCCACACACGTCATGGAGCGATATCCACCTCAGCTTCATATAGTTGAAGATCATCAATCAGAGAGTGTATCGCAATGGATGGTTTAATCTTGTGTAGTCAGTGATCAGATTAACGAGGCGTGCATTCCTGATGGAAGTGTTTATTAGTTTCAGCACGAGCCAGACCCTCATGACCACAATGTGATGCCTACCAAAACAAATCCATAATTGGATGGGTGCAGCATGTCATAAAAACGTTCTTAGTGCTGATTACAGATATCAGCGACCTATGGCACCCTGCATCTCCTGAATAACCATGTTGAAGACGTGATGATTCTTCGTACTTGGTGTGGTGCGATCAATTACTTGGCGTTGTGATCAAGACGAGTAAAGGAATATCGGTCAGGTCGCGGCATGACCAAATAGGCTGCTATCATGCTGCAGACCTTCAAGTGACTGCTTGCTGCCTAGCCCGATATCAATATTCTTGGCTGAAGCTGACAGGCTTAACCAATCTCGGCTGTGCTCGAATTCCCTCTGTGGCGTAGCAATCTCGGGTCCTAGGCAGCACCCATCAGGTTTTGCGACGCACAACGCACAATTGCACGTTGTACATGGCGACTCACCAGTCACGCCGCAACTTCCCAGCTTACTTACTTACTGTCTATAAGACGCCATATTGACGTACTGTTGAACTTGCTGATTTTCGGCCAACAGCAGGCGCCTCTGTTCCGCCGCATCACCAGGAACCTCCTTCCAAACGAGGCCCCCACCCGGGTCTCTGCCTGTCTGTTGGTGGCCCCCATCTCTTGCTCACACAACTGCCTGGAGACCGCGGCGGTCCTAAGGATCCTGTCGCAGTAAAATAAAGCTTCCCTTTCCACTTCATCGACAAGACAGGGGACCCCTCGTCAAGTCATGTCTTGCAACAGCTGCTACGGCTGCGCAGACCCTCGTTTGCCACGTTCACCTCCCGTCAGGCTCAACCACGACGCGAACATGTCCTCATCAGGCGCGACGATCCAAAATGGCCGTATCGTGCGCCACCAACGCAGAAGATTCTTCAGCTTCGAGCTGTACCGCGTCTCGCGGATGATCCAGCACCCTACGCAGATGACGTTTCGGGAGCTGTGCGTCGTCGTGTTGGGCCTCTACGCTCTCTATAGCCTCTACTTTACCGGCAGCCAGATCCTGGACCTCATGGCCGGGCAGCAAGCACAGGACGTGTGCTATCGGATGAGCTTTGCCGGGTGTGGCTGGCTGTTGCTCTGGAAGGTACTATACCTGCTCGGGGACTGGCTGGGTCTGGTCGTCCCTTGGGGTCTTATATGTGTGGTGGTGATCTTCTTCGGTGAGCAGATTTTGCAACGGAAGGGGTAGAATGAGCGCAAACTGTGTTTGAGCACAGGTGTTTAGTTAAGTTGGAAAGATGCTTAGTGGAATGGGCTTGAGGCTTGGGTATAGTCCCGGGGAAGGGGGGGGGGGGGAGACAGGCATCTCGGACATCCCTATGGATGAACATTCAAGCATGGTTATGATCGCATACTTTTGCCAAGCAGAGGAAATCGATAGTGAAATACTTCAGTGCATCAATGCATGTGTTGTCTGGTGTGTCCAAGAGTATGCTATAGTACAGTCACATAATTGAAGGCCTTGTGGGTAACGGATAATCATTTTAACCTCATGTCGTTATCAGCATATCGAAAAATATAACGTCATGTCGCATTTGGCGTCATCATCAGGCCATGGAATGTGCAGCCCTGTCATTCTCTCGAACTCTTCGCTAATGCAAGGGTTTAGACTGATCTCAATGTTGTATGACTTATTTGGCAGTGCAAACTCAAATTCAAACTTAAATAGAAAAGATGAAGAAATAGGAGGGTGAAAAACTGCCAGGAAGAGGGAGCATCAATGCCGATCTTGTTTTGTTGGACGCGATCCTTCTTACTCCTGACAAGCACGACATCGGCCGGTCAAGATTCCCGAGGACGATGGAGGGGTACCCAGCCGCCCTGATCAACGAGGTCAATATACTGCTTGGTGGAGATACCAAGGAAATAAAATTCTGAGGGCAGAACCCTTGGCAAGGATAATGGTCAGCCGAGGGAGAAGGACGGAAATACCGTCCTGTGCAAGAGCGTGAAACGACTTTAGGTAGCATGGAAGGGAAACCGATATATGGTGTCTCCTCCGGATGAGAAACGCGTTATGAATCCGTATGTTGTTATTCTCGGCAGGAAAACAGGGGGGATACTCCGGGAAATGGTGCCACATCAAGTTCCCTCGGCTTTGACTTTTTCCTTCACGTCGGCCGATACGATTGAATGGAAGTTGACTCATGAAACCCTGAATGAGAGTCGGCCCGGTTTCCCCGGTTGGTTTTAATTATTTCTTCGAGGTTCTGCCCCGATGTCTCAAGCTTGAAGTGAATGCGCCGGTCCAAGTTCAAAAAGGGGCTCGGCACCAGCGCCTGGAGGCGACCGAAACAGATCGGAGTCCGTTGGCAAGCAAGGCGGATGCAGACGAAGAGCCGGCCGAGGATATTCGTAGCAGACAAGCGGTTACGTGCGTACAATGGGACACGGCCCATCTGGAGACCCCAGCTTCACAACATCCAATTGGAAGAACGAATTCCCTGGAGATAAAGAACAACTTTGTTTCCGAGGGAGGGAAGCCTGGTGCAGTTCGGATAAGCGCCTGGTCGCATCAGGCCCCCCCCTCAACATGTTGGTGGACCACTGCATAAGACGGCCCGTTCATCGTTCCCTCGGCTGCCACAAGGTTTGTGTTGCCCCTTGTCGTTCGGCGCTCATGTGAGCAAGCATTACTGCAGGATTCCCCAAGCAAACACCCTCTTCTGAACGGCCATGAAGATCGCTCCCCACCGCGGACCAGGGGCCTACATGCCGGGAGTACGACGTGGTATGGATGTGAAATTGCAACGGTCTGGCTTTGGCTACGGATGGGTGAAGTTACTGCTTATGGCTAGAAGCAGACATGGGTGAGTGAAAGGAGTTGGTAGGAATTCATGCCTGGTACGGGTACGGGTGAGGCTCAGAAGAGAGCCGATCCACTCAAATGTCAAGATGTCTACAAGGTTTCATGGTATCAAAAATGCTGAACACAGCCACGTGTTGGGCACAAATCAGGGCTAGTCTTCGTCCTCCTTGCATGACGTTTTTTTGCCCTGTGCATAGCAAGTATCGAATGATTTCTGTGTCGGGACTTCAGAAAAGACCGCGGCCGCAGAAGTTGCCGAGGAGAAAAGAGAAGGAAGGGAAACCAAGAAAAACAGGACAAATATCATCCAAAAGAATCCGAAATATCAAAACAAATGTCATCAACATCCGAATCCAAAATGGAATCCAGAAGTCGGGATCATGCGTCTTCGGATGCTACGTCTTTGCCCGTACCACAAGCCCACCCTTTACCTTTCATCTTGCCTGAACCCTTGGGCTCGCTTCCACCTCCAGCCCCACGACCATCAATACCTTCGATTCGAGACGAGGTGGCGCGTGTTGTGCTTCCAGCGCCGGAACCCGATCCATGGATGAGAGGAAGATTGCGGCATGCCCAAAAGGCACAACGAGAAGTAATTACACGGCAGCATCTCTCGTCGTTGTCACCTACGACCGAGTTGATGCGACGGCAGAGTCTCGGAGTTCCGGGCACTCGCTTGTTGCCACCTCCGCATTCCACAAGCAGGATCTTACGATCAAACAGTTCTCCCGAGTTCCAACAAGTTGCAAGCAGCCCGAGCAGCAGTAGCAGCAGCAGCAGCAGCAGCAGCAGCGTTTCACTGAGCATACCGCCTAGCATTGGATACTACACAACTTTCCAGGATGATCCGACGCTCAGAATGTATACATCGGAGCCTGTCCGGTACATATGTGAACAGTGCTCACAGAGTTTCAAAAACAATGGGGCTTTGAAGAAGCACAAGAGCACGCATTTGGAGAGAAACTATCGGTGCTCTTGTGGCCTAGCATACACGACTTGGTCCGTCCTGCGAGTGAGTTCAAGGCCAAACGTCCCGTCATAATGACGCGTCCACGCCAGGTTGGGATGCTGAGTAATTCTTTATAGAAACACCAAACCTTGAAAGGATGCGATTTAATGGCTCCTGAATGGATGCATAGCCGGTCAGCCACCCCGGAGAGAACGGAAATGCTCGATTTCAATCAGTTTCGACCACCACCGCCATATGCATGACTCCATTTGCCCCATGGAAGGGATGATTGTTAGCTTGAGCAATTATCCCATCTCGCAGCTCGTATCATCAACTTAAACTGGGTTTTCTCACGGCCTTCAGAACGGCAAACCTTGGACTTTCGACTGCTTGGAATTTCAGGTGCGCAAATGCGGGAGCCTGGATGCGAGAATCGAAGGGGAATGCAATTCTTGAACAGACCTTGAGGACAAAGAAAACCAATTGTACATTAACAACCAAATAGCTCAATAATGTAATTTGCAGCTCGCTCGTTGTTAGACCGGGCGAGCTTGTTTTAATGTTGAAACCTCTTCACCATCACCCAAGTTTTCTGGCTGGTCATCAGCCATGCCCCTTTCATCTCGCTGTCCTCTGAATTCTCGCTATTCTTGCGACCGTGCTGGTTTTCACTGCCCGACCGCCATGAAGTCGAGTCGCCACGGGCATCGACCAAGCGTCGGCTCGTGCCATGGGACACGTTACCCGTAAGATTGCTCAATATAGAGTGCAGATATGTGACCAGCCTCGATCCTGCGATATGCGTGCGCGCGAAAGCGGCAAATCCTGGTGCTGACGAAACGATGATGGCCACGTTTTGTTCAACTTGTCTGTCGAATTACAAGGCGCGTTAGTATCTGTGATGGCCTCACCGAGCAATTCAAGCTCACGATTGAGGTGACACTCACACACAGAGCATGGTAACACCTATGTACCACGTTTCGTCGCTGGCAATGATTATTTTTATCCTGTAGACCAGGGACACCACGCCTGCTACGACACCGCTATTATGTCATATGTTTAGCAGGTCATATGCTCGCGAGGGCGGTTCGGGGGAGATCTTACAAGAGAGCCGTAAAGAAAACAAGCATGACTTGAATCCGGCGCCCTGAAGACATATGCAGCCGTGAGATCACCGGCAACGGCAAAATGAAGATGTACATGTCCAGCAGTACTCCCAAGGCGGCTATGGCCACGGTACACTCTGTTGTCGCATGGGGCCCGGAAAAGGATGTCTGCTTCTGCACCACATCGTCCCACGTTTGCCCGTTCCTGGGCACCATATAATAGGAGGAGGTGACTAGCAGCGTGGCGTACAAGATAAAATTCAGGGTAAGGCCGATTTGGATCGCCACGCGCATGGCTTTGGAGATTTGGAAGAGCTCGTAGAACAACAGCAGGGTCGCGGCCTTTGCTAGACAGAGCCCAATGGTAGATAAAACTCCGAGCACAAATACTAACTGATTTTAATTGTCAGTGAACCTGTCATTCTGAGCCAAGCTTGAGCACTATGTGTCTTCTGAAAATAGCAAGACAATTGCATTTCCGTACCTGCATGTAAGAACCTGTGAGCCAGCAGACTGGCAGATCCCAAATATGACGGTAGTATCCATGCTCAAGCGCTGCAGGGTTCGTCAGTCAGCCATTGGAGCCACTGGCGTAGTAGACCTGAACAGGGAATCAAGAACCTCGGGCTCTCACATAGCATGAGTGGTACGAGCTCCAAGATGGCGGCAAAAAGTGCCAGAGCAGTGAGTGCTGTGCGTTGAGTTGTCAGTTATCCACCCACCACTTCTATCGTGAATAATTGTGTGTCCAGAATGACGAACCATCACTCCATGTCAATCTCTTTATGTTCGCCCATAATCTCACAATAACAAAGATGCAAGCCCACACAATGGTTATCGTGGCAATGGAGATGACGAGTGGCGCCAATGTTGGCGGGTCTTTGAAGTTGCTCGTCTGTCCAGCAGGAGGAGCTCCACTGGGCACTGTGCAGAGGTCCACCCTGGGAAACACCAAGTGCGAGCTCATCATGAACGAAAAGACAAGGAGATGGTGAGAGCAGGCAACCGACTGCGAATGACGTTTTGCGAAGCGAGCAGAACTGGAAGAAGTATCGCGAACAGAGCACAGGATCGTCTGAGCACTGGACTGGAAGATATGTAATCAATAGGATCATGCTAATAGGCACACCTGATGATCTGGACCCCACTCATTAACGACCGACAAATCCTCTGCGCAAGATGATCTCTTGGTTTTGGTCGAGCTAAAGCCTCTAGAGTGCCGTGTTTGGGGGCGAGGCGCACTGATGCGGCCTTGGGGGCGAGAATGGGCATCCGGGGCTTGAGAAGACCTGAGTGGCACAGTTGCAAGACACCGATGGTTCGGTACAAAATCCTTGTTTTGCTTGCAATTCAGGCAGGAGGAGCATGCGTGCTCCCGTGTTTCCTGCACCTTGTCTGAGACTAATGCGAAGCAAGACTGGAAAGAAGTATGCAAGGACTAGAAGGATGACCATTCGCAGTGCCGGCCGGAAATATATGATCTACACAGAGGACACCGTAATTAGGCGGAGAATAGAGGCCTGTACCAGATGAATGTTAAGATAGTCTTCAAGGTAGGACCTCGAATTTGATCTTGACCGCCTGCCTGCATGTGTATATGTTGGCCTCAGAATTGAAGGCTGTCTTTCGGTACATATGTGTAGAGGCTGTTATAACGACCTTATAGAGGCGCACAGCAAGCATCAAGCGACATAGTTTTGCCAAGGGATGGATGGTCACAGGTCAATTAGGGCTAGGCAAGATCATCAAGCACAGTTTCTTCTTGCAGTAATTCTTTTTTTGGTATCTTCCTGTCGCTACTTGCCAATCTTCAGCAGTAGAATTCCATTCCGTGGGTGCTTCATTCACTGCCTCATACATTGTCCTGCCATCTTTCCCCCTCGACGGCCCCAGACATAAATCTTGATATTTTTGCCAACGCTTACTCGGCATCCAGGGGGCATATTGGGGGCTTGTTGTTCACCTGAATTCCACCACGCTTCTTCTCATCACTGTCATGGAACGGCAGCGCCCAACCACCCTCAGACTCGGGAGTAGCCAGCCACAAGCGCAGAAGATGGCGACGAGGCTCTGGTGGCGGGAAGTCTGTTTCTCACACACACACACACACACATCTCATGTCAGCTATACCCACTCTTCTTGAAAACAAAACTCAAGGTAAAAAGAGAAAATAGACACCACATACCCTTGTAAGCAGTCCTAGCATGCAGGACATGCGCATCGCTCAGGAACTGGATATCGCCGACCTCCAGGACCATATGCAGCGCCAGCCTCTGGCACGTCTCCTCAAGCACGGTCAGGGCATGGACCTGCTCGGCGCTCAGGGGCGGGATGACGCCCTTGTCGCTGAAGCGGGTGAGCGACTTGACAAAGTACGGGTCCCACTTGCAGTACACACGGCCCTTGCCACGGGGCTCGAGGAAGAAGACGCTGGTGCGGATCCACTCCTCCTCGCCCTCGCTGACCTCGCCCTTGCGGTCAAAGTACCAGACGGGCTTGGTCAGCAGCTCCGCGACCTCGGGGGCCTCGCGGCGCAGCGTGTTCCAGACGTGGTGCACGCTCACAATGTCGCTCTCGCCGCCCTCCTGCGCGCGGTGGCAGCACAGCAGGCCCACGATGTCGCCCGGGTCGGCGTGGAAGAACTGCCGCGCCGTCGTGCGGTAGATGCGCACCCGGTCGATCTGCTTGGGGTCGTCGCCGACGTCCTTGACGTGGCCCAGCACGTGGCCGCGGCCGTTCTGGCTGATGAAGTAGCCCAGGTAGGTGCCCAGCCCCATGTAGGCGACCGCGTTCTTGTGCGGACCCCACTGCTGCGCCGGGAAGCGCTTGAAGAGGATGAAGCCCTTGCCGTTGAGGAGGTCTTCGCGGAGGGTCTGCAGCACCTTGCCAAGCTTGGGCAGGGGGAAGTTGTCCTACCAAAGGGCGGGGGGGAGACTTGTCAGTTCTGACAAAACAAGGAGAAGAAGGTTACATCAGGTAGTAGTAAGTACCTTGGAGATACCCGTCAGAGGCGTGCCGGACTCAATGAAGCGGTCTGCGGTGTCACTGAGCTCCTGAACCTCTTCGTCCGTAAAAGGGTGCACCCATTTCTCTGGGTTGTTCTCGTAATCTTCCTTGACCCACACAGTCGGACCTGAGATGTGCTCTGGGAACTCAGAGAACGGCTTCAGGTCATCATAGACAGGAGGGTGCTGGCCCGAGGTCCGGATACCATCTGGGAAGATGTCCTTGGGCGCATTGTGGTTCTTGGTTCGCAGCGAGGCAGGGCTGTTTGCCTCGTCGATCAGGGCTCCTGGTGCCATGGTACTGTATTCTTTGTTCTGTCTCTCTTGAGTTGTGTGTAGAGATCGATGATGATGTTATGGCCTAGAGTGATACCGATGATCAGTCTGTTGGCTGTCGTCGATTGATGTCTAGATTATCCCTCCTCTACGCTTCAGGAAAGAGAAGAAAAGAGAAAGGCAAAGGGCGATCACGGAGTTCTTATATATCTATTGCCTCAACACCATTTTCTCACCAGTATGCGGGGCCCCCCCCCGTTTCTTTTTCTTCTTCTTCCTGCCAGGGGTCAAAAAGTTATGGGACCCGAGCACGCCTCAGAAGGTCATGACGTGACTTTGCCATGCTTCGTACCATGCTGCCGGATACCACCGTGCAGTTTGGGCGTTGTCTAGGCCAAAAAACCTATACGGCAGTGCTTGGAGAATAGTCGTGTGTGAATTGACGAGATCCGATCTGCCGATGGCGTGCTTGTTCCCGCATGGCCGTTTCTCGGCGTGAGCTTTCAACTTGTCCTCGTCTTGTCTAATCTACTAAGAGGACTTAGTTATCAGCTTCCTGTCCAGCATATTAGTTTCGCTCTAGAGGCTTGACTCTAGGCTATCGGGGTTCAGTTCTGCGACGTCAAATCCACATGCGATTGCGTGTTTTCAGTTCTCCGTTTCCTGATGACGAGGTGATCCCCGTCGTGTCCTGTCACATCTGTATTGTTCAAATTTCTGGCAGACACATCGCGCAGACAAACCATGTGAATGATTTGCATAATCAGATTCTGATATTGTCCTGAATTGGCCATGTATCCGACAACCGGACGCATTGTTTTTCTTGCCTCTTTGTATGTAGCACGCAAAGGTGCTTCTTCCCCAGACCTCCTCAATCCGGTTCATGGCGTAACCTATGCAAGCCGTTATACAACAACAATGGGTCCGTTGCGGCCCCACTTGAACTGCTCCAAGACTGCTGCTTCCAACTAGTGATCGTGGACAGAAACTGTGGACCATTGAAATCATTCGTCACTATGTCAAACTCCGATTTTCCAACCCATACGAATACAGTCGTAGTTACAACCCGCATTGGGCGGCTTGCTGGCAAATAGCAGGTCAAGCCCAGCAAAAAAAAACACACCATCCGACACCGATATAGATGCAAATATAGCCTCCTTTTTGTCTCTTTCTCGAGGGTCCCACATCCATGGGAAAAGATGTCCGTGATTGAATACCTGGTGTTGAGTCCCCCGCCCCCCCCCCCCCCCAATCCCCTCTTTTCTAGCAGCATCATCCTTCCCTCCAAAGATGTTGTTACATTGTCATCCTCTCGGGGGACAACTTCCTTGGCGACAGTGAAGGGTAAGCTCTGCGGCGGTCTTGATCCTATCGCCATACTACGCTCGATCGCTTCCCAGGTGCAGGCATCCCGCCGGCGGCGGCGCCTCCGATGGTGATTCTTCTAGCCTTCACATCGATGCCGCTTCGGGACGGCGTTGCCTTGTCTGCGAGTGTCCTCGGGCTGACCATACCGTCGAGCTTCATGCTTCCACCCATGTTCATGCGCCTGGCCTGGCCAGCGGTGAAGGCGCGAGCTCCTCCCGGAGGAGAACACGACATAGGGGGGTTTTTGTGTCGTCCAGCTGCCTGCTCGGTAGACCCACTTCGTCGTCGCTGTCGGGAGATTCCGTTGGTGGACGAGGCAAGTGGACCGGAGTACGAGGAGGAGACCCGGTGGAGGGAACGGCGGCGATCGATGCCACCCGTGGTGCCGACACTAGAGATACGCTTCGCGTTGGAGCTCGCCGTGCTCCCCATGCTGGATAGACGGTCTCTTCTCTTGGCGAGGTGAAGAGCGGTTCGGAGCTTTGTCGCGTCAATCGTCGCGGTCGGTTCGGAGTCACTATTCGAAGCGGAAGGCGAGAGGGAGGCGTTGGCGTTCGCTGCGGGAGGAGGGCTGTTTTCATCCAACGGAGTGAGTCTAGGTGGCTTCGGACTTGACCGCAAGGATCCAGAGGATGGCGGAGAGAGGTTGTTACCCGTTCTGTCCACATCAAGGGATCGCAGTGGAGAAGAACCCCTGCCGTCCTTGCCTGCTGCTGCTGCCGCCGCCGCTGCTGTTCCGATATTCAACCGCATCGATGGAGGCCCTGCGAGTGGTGACGAACCCCCCTGCGGTGATCGCGACTTGGACAGGAATCCGGCCTGAAATCTGCTGGGCTTCGATGTCGGGATGCTAGAGGTCTCCGGTAGTACGAGTGAGGGGCTTGCGTCTGAGGCCGCATCGTCATTGTTAGGGAGGTACGAAGGAACCGTCGGTCGAGGGAGGATGGATGTATCTGGCGATGCAGCAGCAGCAGCAGCAGTACCAGCACCAGCATGTTGAGGGCTAGGGCTAGGATCAAACTTCTTTGGTGTCTTGTCATAGTCCGCGAGGGTTCCGTCCTCCGTCTCATCGTCCCGCCAGCGGACAATCCGTTTCGGGGTCAACCTCTTCTTGGCGGGACTGAACGAGACGCTCTTCCTAGTGTTGACGACCCTTCTGCGTCGGGGAGATTTGAGGGGAGATGGAGCATGTTCACGGGTGGGCGTGGGCGGCGCAGCCACGAAAGACGGCGCTGGGATCGCCTTGACGTGGATGCTGGAGCCTTTCTTTCTCTTGGGCGTCCCCCGCTTGGAGGGCGGAAACATCTCAGCTGGCATCATGGAGCCGTCCGGCTTGATGACATGAGATGCTGCCGAGTAGCCCGTCTCAAGCAGGCGCTTGATAATATCCTTTGCCTGTGCGACCGCGTCCTCCTCGTCGAGGGCCATCAGATCAGCCATGGAAGAGATCATCTGGAACTGGGCGCTCAGGAGAGCCTGGATGATAGCCGCGTCCGCTCCTTTCTCCTGTTCGAGGATCTGCTGGTTTGCTTCACGCGTGAACTGCGCCTTCAGGGCGTCTGCCTCACGGCTGAGCGAGGCAGCCTCGCCACAATCTGCGATACCATCCCCAGATGGGAGCTGTAGGATGCTATGTTGCAGGGCTGAGTCAAGCGCCCGCTCCCAGTTGGAACGTCCCAGCTTCTGGTGGATGTGATGCCGGCTGGATTCGAGCTCCACCAGGATGCCTTGTGCTGTTTTGCGCATGGCTGCCAGGTTTGGTGGCATCTTTTCGTCCTCCCGCGCGTCACAGACAGTGTCGAAGGCGGCGATCCATGCAGACAGCATGCCGATCCTCCGCTCAAAAAGCTTCAGCTTCTTCATGGTGTTGATCTTGTCCTGCCTATCAGCCGATGCGTTATCGTAGGCCGCCCGAATGCGCTGGATTCCCTCCCGAGAAGCCTGCTGCCTCTTCTCGATGTTCTTCTTGAACTTGGCGAAAAAGATGCCCTCGGCCTCCTTCTGCTGGGCCTTGAGCTGGTTGATGAGCGCCATCTGCTCATCAATCTTGACCAGAAAGTCCTTGACGTGGCGGTTAACATTAAACACGTTCCGGGTCACCTTGGTCTGGATGTTCTTGGCGCGGTTCGCATATCGCAGGGTGTTTTGTGTCTCGTCAAAGTGCTCGCTCGACGGGCTGACACAGACGATCATGACGGTCCTGCAGTTCCCACCCAGGGAGAACTTGAGCAGTCTAGTGAGCTTGCTGTTTCGGTATGGCACGTGGTTCTTCCGGCGTGCATCACACAGGGCGTTGATACAACTGCCGAGGGCGAGCAGGGACTTGTTGATGTTTGCGCCCTCGAGCAGCCTCTCGCCCCGGTTCAAGGTCGCACTGGCGCGCTCGCTACCGGCAAGATCGATGATGCTGAGGGTTGCCATCGTGTGTGGCTCGTTGACTGCGGCGTTGCGGTCCTTCTGTGCCACGTTGATCTGGAGCACGGCATGTGACCTCGATGATGTCGCGTTGGCTGCAGTTGGAGAGACTGTTCGGTAGGCGTTGCCCTGGACGATCATGTCCATGACTTCTTGGACGTCCTTGGGATGATGGCTAGTTAGGCCGGCCACCGTCACAGCCTGGTTGGAGTCCTCACGGAGCATCAGGCCCTGTTTGCTGCCGCCTGGCACCAGCAGATCTCGGATAGTCTCGTTGTAGATCTCGAGGTATGACAAGGTCACCTCGGTCTGCTTCTCCTCGTTCCGATCGGCAATCTTCTCGAACAGTTCTTGCATGGTGAGAAATATGATGCCGGGCTGTTGAGAGGTACCAGTAATCGTGTGCGTCTTGCCGCATCCCGTGGCACCGTAGGCGAAGACCGTGGCATTGTACCCGTCCAGTACGCTATCCAGTAGGGTCTTTGTGGTGGCTTCGTATACTTCGGTCTGGTTTGCGTTCTCGTCAAAGATGCGATCGAATGCAAAGACCTGATCCTTGACCTTCTTCCCAACGACGGGCACGACAGATCTGGAGAACTTCTGGACGGGGTTGTCTTCGGGAGGATCGAATACTCTGCAATGAGTGTGTTCTCGTTAGACAACTGGGGGTGAAGGGTTGCGTAGGGTGGTCCCGTGTCGGGCACAATACTCACAAGCAACGATCATCCACCACTTTGATGATATTTCGGATACCACGCTGGTTTAATTTCGGTGTCGGGGCGGCTGCCAAAGAGCCATCGCCCAGGAACAATGTGCCATCTTCGTTCTTGACCCTGCCATGGGCGTCAGTGTTTATGTTTGTAGTTCCGCGCCAGAGCGACGTGGACGTAGTCGAAGGGGCGAGGCTGATGCATACAGTTGTGCAGCTTCTCTGATAGTGAAAGGACGGACTCGAACTGTAGAATGTCAGCATGGGCATGATCTCCTCAGGGAGGGCAGATACAAATGTTGCTTCTCTCAAATCAAGACGGCGGTAGAAGGACAAGACGAACCTGCGACAGTAATGGAAGAGGCATTGGGGTCGAATCCAGCCATCTCGACTTTCGACTGGGGGCGGTTCAATGTCTCATGGGTTGACAGCTGGAATGGAATGTGGTCTGTCCTCTCTGGTCCAGCCTCGGGAGTCGACTCTTGAGGTTGAAGAACGGAGACGAGATGAGCTAGGGACAGCAAGAGTCGTGGAGGAGTCGAATCGAACCCGTAGAGGGGGGGTGGAGTACTGGATGAACAAAGAGATGTTTCTGGTACATGGACAAGTGAGGGTGAAAGAAGGGGAGGAAAATGGAAAAGAGACCGATGAGGCACGGAGTTGGAATGCTCAACCGATGTTGACCGCTCGAGAGAGAGAGAGTGTGTGAAGGTCAGGAAGGAGCGAGCTCCCGGAGTAGGAAATACGTGACGTCGGGTCCGGTTGAGACGCAGAGGCGCGTTGGCAAGGACTTCCAACGTAGTCAGTGCTTTCTCTGCGCTGGAGCGTTGAGCTTTTGCATGAAGACGACGGGGGTCTATTTCTCTTTGCCATCTCCCATTCTCCGATGCTTGCCCAGTCTGTGGATCAATATTTTGAAAGTGGGCCTCGGTTACCCCAGGCAACGCTGGCAGGCTGCCGTAGTGGCAGGCTAGCTGCGCAGGGCGCCCAAGCGCTGCAGGGGGCCTGGGGTTCTGTGCAGCTTGGCTGGTCCACCCATGCCTTGCCGCCCCAGACGATAAACTCCACGCTACAGGGCCTGAACACGGCCTGAACACGGACCCCCTGAGTCCCCTGTAGTGAATGCACTAGCATTTCTTAACCTATTTCAAATGAGACTATGTTAGAGTGAAGTCAGGGGTCGTCTTGGGGGATGCTGCTGCTATAGCCTTACCATGTAAGTATACAACCCTAGGTACCATACACTGTAGTATTCACAACGCATCGACGGGGACACCGACCCTATCTTCTTCACCTACCCGCAGTTATCGCCATGCGAGCAGCATGCCACCACGTGTGCTTCGAAGGGTCCCTCTCCTTCATTCACAACTGACAAGAAGCTCATTGGTAGGACAACACGTCTCTTCTTTGCTCTGGTCCCACGTGTTTTCGTCCTCTCACCGCCCCAGCAACAGCAGCAGCAACACCTACGAAAAAGACAAGGCAAGATGAGTGATGTGACATGGACCAAGAAACTGAATCGAGACTGCAATCCAGCTACATCTATCTGTACTACCGTTTGATCTACAAGACGCTCGTCCCGTTATATTCCCCTAGCTGATCCTTGCCCACCAGGAAGCTCTGTGGTGGGCCAAGGTAGCTCGGCCTCACACCGCCCAGATCCACGATGATCTTTTGCACGATGACACTGGGCATCAGCGCCCAGATCCTCAGTGTGTAGGCGCCCTCCTGTGGGACGTCGAAGCTCGTCGTCGTGAGGTTCGTCGTCTTGCCCCAGACGCCGTCTGCTACGGCATATCCCCAGCCAGCAGGCATGTTGGTGCCGATGCTAGGCCCAACAGGCGACACCACCGTGACGTTGTTGGGCGTGTCGCCTGCGGGGAACAGCGCGATGGCGTATTGAAGCGGGTTGCCGTCGCCCAGGTAGTTCTGGCTCGGGCTGATCCAGACTGTCACGTTGGCCTGGGATGTGTTGGTGAAGAGGTACAGCTGGTATTCAAGAGCAGGCGCCTGGTCGGTGGTCAATTTCTCCGTGTCCTGCGGGATCAGGCCGACTGCATCGCCCGTTCGGGAGAGGCCCTTGAAGGTCTGGTATGTCACATTGCCGGCGGAGGAGCCGTTGATCACTGTTGCGCCTGATGAAGCACCTGGCACGATGGCTTGGTAGCTGGGTGCGTCGATGGCGACGTGCTTGTCAGACTCGACGAAGCCTGCGATGAAGCTCGGCGCCGGGACGTGGTTGGACACGGGCACCTGGACCAGCGGAAGCGAGTAGGCATACTTGTCCAGACCTCGGCAGCTGTTGGTCACGTTGATATTGACTGTCGTTGTGCTAGGTGCGGCAGGGGCGTTGGCCCAATCGACGCTGATGTACACGCGCGTATCACCGCTGCCATCAGGACTTACGCTGCCAGTAGTCTGCGACAGACTGACATAGTTGGCCAGAGGCGTTGCGGTCCATGTGCAGTTCTTGGTGCCACGCGAGAAGACCTCGAAGTAGCGCGTGCTCGGGCCATAGGGTTCCATCACCGGCACCGTGAGGTTGTTGTCACTGTTGGTGTGCCACTGGTCATCACCTTGGACCGTGGCGTTTTGTCCTTCGACACCGATCCCGACGTGACCAGCGAGGGAGACGCGCTGAGACTGGACATAAGTCATGGAGGGGAGGGTGTTCCGCATGGGCTGCTGCCAGTAGCCGTCGTAGCCAACGTGCGTCTCTGTTGTGAAGTCAGTCACTCAGTCAGGTATCTTCCCCTTGTCCGTGGTAGTTGGGCAGTCAGCAGTACTTACGGTCCAGTATATGCTCCCACTTCCCGTCCAGCATCATATCCCAATAGCCTGTCAGGTTGGCGTCCGCGCCAGACAGCGCAATGACATTCATCATGACAGTGTTGGCCGCGTTTCTCTTCTGGCCGGCATACAGCATGTTCTTCTCGGCTCCGATATAGATCTGGTTCACAATGCTGCCGGCCTGGATCGGGTGCAATACCATCTGGAAAAAGGCAGGCTGCTCGCTCGCGTCTAGGCTGTCGTAGATGGTCTGCGCACGAGACTCCAGATCGGCCCACTGTGCCATCACCCTGTCGCCCTCGTCGTAGTTGAGGACGGAATATGTCTCGGGCTCGATGAGCTCGAACTTCCGGCGGTTGGCCATCATCCCGTACTGGAGCATGATGCTCGAGACGTCAGAGGCCGTCTCGGAGCCGAATTCACGCGCCGCCCATGCCGTGGCCCAGTCTTGGGTGCTGTAGACATCCCACAGGTCGGCGTCATAGGCCATGTCCATGAAGTGGTTGATGGGGACCTCGAGAGGCTTTAGGTCGCCCACGTTGACGATCCAGATGCGATCTGCACCGCGGGCATAGGCCATATGCATCTGTTATACGTTAAGTCTCTTCTCCCTTGCAAGAAAAGAAAGAGGAAAAACCCTTGGAGGGGAGGAGGAGTACTAACCTGCTCAGCAGTCTTGGTCAACTGCACCGTGTTGATCCACTTGTAATCCCTGGGGTCACCCACGTAGTCGAAGTGGTAATACACGCCTGCACCACCCGCTCTGCTCGTCTCGTTGCTAAGTGGGAACCTCCTCACGTTGCCCCAGTTGTCGTCGGCCCACAGCAGTGTAATATCCTCGGGCACCTGCAGTCCCTCGAAGAAGTAATTCTGCACCTCCTTGTACAGACACCACATCTGTGGCACCGTCGAGATGTTGACCCCGTCCAGCCCCTGGCTGATGATGGTCTGCTGGTTCTGAACCAGCGTCTCCAGCATGCCGACAATGGCAGCCGACCCGAGCCCTTCGATGGCCGTATCTCCTGTGCCTCTCATGCCCATGGTCCACAGCGAATTTCGCGCATACGGCTTTGCCCTCTGCACGCCGTACCGAAAGTACTCGTCGATGGTCGCATTGTTCAGGTTATACGCCCAGGGCCCCGGGTAGAAATTTCCAAACTCGTTCTGCGCACGCATCAGCGGTTCCGTGTGCGAGCTGCCCAACACCACCTCGTACGCGTCCGCCAGCGGCTGGTTCTCGGCAAAGTCGACCTCGAACATGGACGCCCACACCGCTGGCCAGAGGTAGTTGGCGCGCAGCCGCAGGATGAGCTCCAGCACGTGCGCGTACATGCCCGGGCCGTACCCAGCGGCGCCGTTGAAGGCGTCGGCAAAGTTGGTTGCCACCCAGTTCGTCAGCCCCGGCTGCTCGTCGTTGAGGAAGAGGCCGCGATACTTGACCGAGGGCGGACCCTGCACCTTGGATGTCCCGGCGGGCACGTAGATGGTCGAGCGCTGTCGGGGCGGGGAGTCGGCCCAGAAGTACCATGGGGACACGCCTATCTGCTCTGAGACGTCGTAGAGGCCGTAGATGGTGCCGCGCGGGTCGGAGCCGGCGATGACGAGAGCCTGAGATACGCCAGGGGCCGGGTTGGCTACGAGCTGGGAGAGGAAGGATTCCCATCTCCCTGTGATATTAGATACGTCGAGAGCGCCTGAGGTGATGAGGCTGTCGATGAGAGTGTTGTTGCCGATGGTGCCTGCTATGATCACCACTGACGAGGGCGAGGCTGCTGAATAGGCTGGGCCAGTGAAATTCTCTGGTGCGGTGGTGGAATACTGAACGCTTCTAGTTAGCCAGGAGTGAAGGGTTTTACTTGTTTGAGGGCTAGAGACTCCTCTCATACAAATGTATTATTCCTGTTGTTCACAGGGTTGAAACTGTACACCGCCGCCGAGACACTGCTTGTGCTGCTATTGCTAAATCCAGAAGGAGAGTCAACATAGGTAGCGTTGGAGCTGCTCAGCCTCGAGTCCGTGCTAAGGGTATAATTCGTTCCGGTCACTCTGCCGAAATCGACGGCCAAATCACCGGCTGCTCTGATGACACCCCAGTAGTCATTCTCCGAGACAATGATCTGGCCTCTCGAGAGGGACCCTCCTGCTATCTGGAAGTCGCCAGCAGAGCCATTGAAGGCTACCACAGGCTTCTGACCCAGGGCAGCCACGAGGCCCGTAGCAGTCGAGAGCAAGAGAGCTAAGGCGGGCCTCATCGTTCTTGGAGGGTGCCTGCTTGGTGGTGGTGGGATATAAATACCAAGTGTTTGGCCACACGCAGCCCAGGAGCATGGAAAGACCTCATGACTTTGCAAGTCATGATGAGAGGAGAGGCGACTGTATTATATTATATATATATCTACACACATATACATGTATAACATACATACATGTGCCAGACCCTCGGCCTCGCTTCCCCAGGATCCGCTAGCCAATAGCTCCACGACGAGATCATGAGCGTAGGGAAATGATTGTCATCGTAGCATGTACACCATGTTACCTACCACATGCCCTTGCGGGTCATTTCATAGTGTTGGGTAGTACCAAGCCGCTGGATAAACTCAATTTCAGAGTTGTTCCCTGGCCCCATATGCATTACCCCCCTCCCTAGGGCGGTGACCGCACCCAGGGCTAACCGGGCTTTCGGGTAAAGAGAAGAACATGCCAAGGCGAGGTCAAGGGTGAGGAAAAGACTTTGGGGGGTTTGACAAGACACTGGACCCGAGGGGTAGAAAAGATCCGCTGGGGGTACTTAGATCGACCTTGTCGTAACCAGCATCCGTTGTCAAGAGAATCATCGCCAGTGCAAGCTTTTAAGTTCAGGCGAGAGGTGGTGGATGAGAAAAGGATTGTGGGGAGGCGCCGGGGGAATTTGCAGCGAGGGAAAGCAATTGCAGTCGGTTGTTTGTATTTAGCCGCCAATGCGCAAGTGTGCTTGGGATTCTTGCCCTTTTCCCGTTTCTCCGCAATGGATGTACAAGTAATTATGTAGGCCTGAATCAATTTCCGGGTTCATCTTGCATAGGGCTGAGAGGGAATCAACGTTACGCTCCAACCTGACCGGATATTTGTGATGTGCTGGTCACAAAAGACATCACTGGCATTATTACTTGCAACACGTATTGATTTACATGAGGAACATGGAAATTGTATGATCTTGAATGGTCCTAGATGAATATTCTATTGACACAAATATAGACAACAGAAGAGCATCCTTAGACCATATTGAAATGGTCCTTAGTGGTCAAGACTGAGATTTTCCATTTCAAATAGTATTTCTCATGGCGAAGTAACTTTCAGACACACCTAGCTTACTTACTCTTTCACACAGCCATTTGAGTATGAACAGTCGCAATATGGCCTTCTTCAGTCCTGCCTGAGAAGTACCACGTCGACCTCATCGCCTCCGACTTTTACCACCAAGGAAATTGCATCTCCTGTCTCTACCGGCTTGACCTCCACAAGCTCGCCAGACTCATACACCCCATAAAGACCAGATGATAGGTTTTGTACGTGAAGGGCAACTCTGTGAAAGTAGTAAAGTCAGTGTCTCACTCCAAGCACGTGACTGCATCAAGGAGGGTAGGACTCTGGAAATAGTGTGCTTACTCTGTTTTCGTACCATCCCAAGTCCTCATCGTGACCGCCAGGGCCCCGACCTCCTCATCCCACCTGCCTCGGAGAAAGTCCACCCCAGCAGAGAGGTCGACGCCTTCAACAACAGGATAGTGCGCGTGGTGGCCGTCTTTAGCCCAGGGCTCCTCCCACATCTTCTTCTGCCCGTCCCTCACGTTCAGACGGCCGTAGGCAATGGCTGCGTTCCCAGTGTACGGATCCACGCCGACCCAGTTGCCGTCTTCGTCCTGGACGGCGCCGTCCTTGCGCGGGTAAAATAGCCCTCCGTTCTCCCAGGAAGGATTCATATATGTGTCTGCATGTTTCAGCAGCCCTGCCACGATGTCGGTTTCGTTGGAAGATGACGGAAAAGGAGCCAGCTCTGAAACCCACTGCATCGTGAAGCCAAAGTCTGTCGCTTCCGCGAGAATGCCCATGGGCGTCTGGATCTTGTGCTCGGACGGGCCTTTCTGGGTCTTGCCAGATGCTTCTGCGAGGGTTTGTGGCGTGTTGGTCAGACCAGCTGAGGCCTCTGCTTCCTCTCCACCGTCCTTTGGGGTATGATGAGCCCGAATCTCCTTCGCCACCGAGCTGTTATTCAGGCCAACTCTCCCGTCAGGATGCCTTGTCAGGTACCCTCTGACCAGTCTCGGGAAGACCTCGTGCACGAAGTCCGAGTTCCAAGAGTTCATAAACGCACAGGCCCAAGCGTTCGTAGAGACCCCCCACACGTTGGGCACAACCGCATCCTGCCGCACCCGCCAGAAGCAGACAAGATCATCACCGCCCACCGGGCCAGGGCGCGTGAAGCCGCCGTTCTTGTCCCGCCACGCCGCCTTGTACTTGTCCAGCACGCCGCGCACGACGTCCGTCCCGTCCCGCACGTCGTTGTAGCGCATGGCGATGAGGGGGAACTGGTTGCAGATGATGAAGACGACGTTGGGCTCGCAGCACACGCCCATCCAGCCGCTGCGCTCCATCTCGTCCAGGATGGCCCTCTGCAGCGAGCTGCGGTGGTACGGGAACGTCTCGCTGCCCAGGCCCCAGAGCATGGGGTTCCAGTCGAACGTGAGCGCGCCGGCGGCCTCGTACTTGTCCGAGTCGAACAGCATCGCGTGCAGGCTGACCATGAGGAGCAGGTGGCCCGAGTACATGATGTTCTCTCTGCACACGGGGTCCGGCCACGGCCTGCGCAGCTCTGTGAGGTCGGGGTCCATGAGCTTGCCCGACTGGGACGTCAGGTACCAGTACCCCCACACGTCTCGCCTCAACATCTTGTGGATGAGCTGCTCAAACAGCGTGCGAAAGATGGAGCGCAGGGCTGGGAGGCGGTGGTAGTGGGCGACGCCTGCTGCGTAGGCCATGGTTGCGAGCTGGTACCGGTAGGCCTGGAAGTTCTCCTGGCCGGGGTCCAAGGAGCCCATGTGGCGCCATTCTCCGTCCAGTTGGTTTGCGAGGTTGTGGAAATGCCGGATGTGGCCAGCCTGGGCGTGATCGAGCTTGGGGAAGCGCTGAAGGATGTTGGATGGGAGGCTGGGTGGGAGGGAGTGAGTTGCTCTCAGTGAGAGTGAATTGTCTCCGCCAGTCGCGGTTGCGGCCGTTGTCTGCGTCGTCATGCTGGTTCTTATCGTCATATTGTGTGGAGTGTGCTTTGAGATTCTTCTTCATAAATAAATGGCTGCAATTGCTGTATTATGCGCACGAGAGCTGCAAACCTCTTATACGAATCAGGCAAGTTACACAGGACTGTCGTGATGCCGCTGTAAACATTGCCAGCCAGCTGATAAGCTCGGTGTTTTTCGGAAACAATTCGTCCGCTCATATGGCGTGTTTTATGCCTGGATCTTTCTGCTAAAAAGTACGATTGTATTCTTGTCTGGGCTAATAGTCGAATTTCAACAGGGGCGCCAAAATCCTCTGGCGGATTTAAGGAGCCAGGGCCTACCATGAATCCGCCGATTTCCAAAAAGACCGAGTTGTCCAACTTCAACGAGACAAGGCGTTTTGCTGAGACTACAGTGGTAGCTTCGTGTGAAATGCATCTCCGCGGCTTGGGCTCGTTGTTCTATCCGCCTCTCTTTTTCCTCTCTTGTTTTCTCTCCTTCCTTCCCGCCCACCCGCCTCGCACCCTCTCATTTGTGTTTAATTGCGGATCTGAAAAGACCGACATCTGAGGCATGCTTCCGTACTTCCGAACTTCCCCTCACATATGCGTCGAAAAGATATGAGAAGCGAGATGTTCAGCATGAAAAAGTTTGCTCGTAGCTGCAATGAGCGAAAGTTTCAGATAGAATTCCGCTAGAAGCTCTGCTTCATCCAACAGCTGGTACACAGGTCTGCCTAGCTGATTCGTCGAGTCCCGTGCGCCCGCCTCAGAGGATGGACAACCTGGAAAGCCGTCACGGCTTTTGAAGGAGCATCCTCTTCAGACTGCCTGCCTCTGGGGCTTTGCCAGTAGGGATCTGCACCATCTTGCTCTACCTTTGTGGCAGTTCTGCCTCTCTCCCTCTGCCTTCTTTGCCTCCCAGCAGAGGACCTGCTGCGCGTTATGCCTCCAAGGACTGCCACTGGTACCTGGGCATCATGGCCATCTTCTCTTCAGGACTGAAATCCGTATCGGCATATATCATGCGACCCTTCTCCTTCTTCGACTTCTTCTCGGCGCCCTCTGCAGGAGGAGCAGCAGCAGCACCGTCCGTAGGTGTCTTGGCGGGCTTGATGCCGGCCTCCGCCATACGGATGAGCTTGTCGATATCGTCTCCCTGGCGTACTCCACCAGCCACGAGCTCGTCCACCGTTGATGCGCCTCCGCCAGCCGGGTAGCCTGCGGGTGGGGCTTGGCCGGGATAGTAATTTGCTGGATAGCCAGGTCGCTGGGGCAGGTTTGGCGCGGTCGGGAGAGAGGGAGGTCGTGCGGGAAGGTTGGACGGAGCGTATTGGTTGTAGCCGGCTGGAGGGGGAGCGCCATTCGCTGGGTAGTTCGGGTAGCCTGGTTGGCCATATGCCGAAGGTGGATTGAAGGGAGAGTTCTTGGGGTATGTAAGCACGATACCCGAGAGAGGGAACAAAATTATAGAGGTTGTGTTTGGACTTACGAATGTACCTGGGCTGCCAGTCTGGCCGGGGCTTTGTGCATTGCCCGGCACGGGACCTGGAGCGGCGCTGGCACCGGTCGCTTTGACAGCGGCTTTCCTCGCCCTGAATTCGGCAAACCTCTTCTTCAAATCCTCGGGTGCCTCGATCTTGATCTTTTTCGAGGGTCGGCCTTCACCAGGTGGCGGGTTTCCAGTAGCCTCGAATCGCTCTCTCTGGGCATCAAAGTAGTTTTTCACGATGCGCTCCTCGTGTTGCTTCCTGACTTCTTCAGGCAAGCCCTCCATTCCAAAGATCTCCACATCCAGCGCTTGTCGGTTAGGCAGGGCATTTTCGACGTGGGACAGCGATTCCTTATGGACCTGGTTCATGTGCACGGAGAGACCTGTGGGCGATACCGTCAGCCAACGCTGATCGTCAGGTAGTGTGTATGCTTGGGCCGTAGAGAGAATACGAGTGACTTGCCTCCAGCGGTATTCAGTCTTCGGCCACATCGGTCGCACTTGAAATGCTTGGCCTTCTGATGGGAGATGAGAAGCTTGAGATCTTCGAAATCACGTTCGCCTGCAGGAACCAATGGTCAGCCAGAGCTAGATGCGCTGCTGCTGCGCGCGAACGGGCAGCCCAGCCAGGGAGTGGGAGCTCACAGTAGTAGCACCACGGTCGCTGGAGAAGCTCCTCGACGTTGGGATGACCGCGCTTCTTCTTGCCCATCTTGTCAATGATGTGAAATGGTAAATAGACGGCCTGGGCGTGTTGCGCGTGGCGATGAGAGCTGGAAATCGTTGTCGGTGGTGCTTGAGCTGGTGGCTAGCTCGATGTCGAAAAGCCAAAGTCAAAGCAGAGTCTCTAGCAGGGCCTCAAGCCTGGCCCCCAACCTTGCCGTAGGCGATACAAACGCGATAGATTCACGCTAACCTGGATTTGGACTGTAGTAGCAACAAGCCATCCCAGCAGGGCGGCAGGGGGTCCTGCCCTAGCAGTACAGTGACGACGGCCTTTACAGATCCCAGCACAGTGCTGAGGTCGGTGAGGTCATCTTCCTATTTCCTCGTATTGATACTCAAGTCTCTTTTCCCACCTCAACTTTTGGTTCATTCTATGCCCTAAACTCTGTTTCTGGGGGTGATGCAAGATAAACTCAGCCGAGTTCCGGAGCCAACACCTTCCCGCGATTTCTTCTTCATCTCGTGTTTGACTACCCTGTCTCAAAAGAGGGTCCATCACTTGCTGGCTCTTGAAGGCACGGCGTCCTTCTTGTTCTTCGGAGACCATCATTCTTCTTGACGTACATCCTGTGATATCTCAGGCGTATTGTGCTTCTGCTTGTCTCATAAAGCATACGCACGGTCAATCTGGGTTACCAGCTCATCAGAAAGACAGACTCGAAGACGTACCTCTCTCTCTCTCTCTCTTTGAGAACTTGAGGTTTTGGGCGGTGGAACGAGCGTGCCGTTCAACTGTTTCTCATGATCTCGTTCTCGCTCCAGTGGATTGCACATGAGCAAACTTTCTCTCTGCCTACCTGGATCTAATTACTTATCCAGGGCTGCATCTACGTACATGTAGATAGTCCAGTCAAGCCTCGTCTCATCTTCTCACTTGAGGTTGGCATCGTGAGCTTGTCTTTCTACACCCACTCGACTCTTTGATGGTCTTCTTGGAAGCAGCCTACCCATGACAAAGATAGTCTACTGCATCACTCTCACCTTGTTTCTCCTTGGACATACCCTTGATGTATCAATTCCCAGTCAGTCTATTATTCACCCCACTATTTGTCTATTTGGACGCGTCGACGCGCATCAGGAACCTGAAGCTGCAGCCACTCCGCCATCTATCTCTATTGAACCTGACCTCTCAATATCCTCTTTCCACATGTGTGGATGCCCCCAAAAGTTCTCTTCCCAGTGTCAGAACTAGGCAGAACTATCACACCAGAATTTATCTGGTCATATGGCCAATGCTCACTGTTCTCTGTGACAGTCCTCAAAACACACACTCAGCACTTGATACCTAAGCATAAAGACATCGGGCGTCATATCTCGGACAACTATCGAGGTTCCTGCTTCAAGAGGAGGACCACATCGACGCTATGGCCTCAGACTCGAGTGGCTCCCTCACTCCAGTCCAACTCCACGCCCTCTTCGACATCCTCAACCACCATGAGACCTATCGAGAAGTTGAGAGCTTCAAGCATATCCATGCCATCAGGGAATACGGCTACCCTTTCACTGAGGCTGAATCACTCCAGAGACCCTCCTCTAGCCCAACATATCGTCCAAAATCCTCATCTCCGTTGCTACAGCTTCTTCTCACACGATGCATTCTCACGATACCGGGGATGAGCGACCTGCCGGCCGACTTCTGGTCCTACAACTTCCAGGGCATCATGGTCAGCCTCGCCGAAGCCAATCTTTCCGAATCATACGACAAGGGCACGCTGGGGACTAGGAAAACCCTGGCGACCGGTGCGTCGGTCATTCACGAGGCTTTGACGAGGGGCCTGCTGGGCGGTGTTCCGAAAAGTGCCGACAAGACCAGCCTGAAGGAAAGGACATATGACGTGAAACAGGCATCCGAGTTGGAGAGGGCTTGGAACGACTGCATCTGTGAGCTGATCCACGGCGACCTGGCCGACGAGCTATTCGACCACTGTGCAGAGACGGCGGATCTCGAGGCACACTCTCCAGCTGTGGCGGCAGCTGTTGACTACGCGATACTGCACCTCGCCTCCCTGATGCATCACGTTTTTGTGCTGTCCTCGGAAGGGCAGTATCTGCTGAAATTGATTGAGAACGTCTTCAAGCTTGTTCCCTTCTCGAGCATGAAGACAGCACTGAGGGTGGGGAATGCGGCGACAATGATTAACGGCATGGTGCGGCTCTTCCTGGCCAAGATGAGCGTCGGGGCAATGACGAACTGGATGGGCCTGACGAGTGGAGCTGACGACGGAATGAATCTAATGCAGAGGTAAGAGTTTCGACAGAGTCAAGAAAAGGGATCGCATCGCAGCTAATCTGAGTTTTCCGTGACAGGATCATATCCGCAGTACTATCCTGGGATGCGAGCGACTTCCGTAAACAGGCTGGCCAGGTCGAGTCGGCCAAGGAGCGCCCGACCAAGGAGCAATTCACTGCGCTCAAGGAGCACCTCAACATGCCCGCAGAAGCCCATCGAGCCATGCGTGAGATCAGCATGGCCCTGCAGAAGTCCATTGTGGCCGTGATCTTCGAGGCTACGGACCCAGAAATTGCGGCCTCCCTCACCCAGTCACAACACACACAATGCCTGGATTGGCTCTCGGCAACGCTGTCAGCTCGTGACCGAGACGAAATGACCAAGGTCCTGTGCAGATCCAACCCCGACTGTTTTACAGCCGCAGTGCGTGGCGCCGTGAGCACGTATGAGCCCTTCATCAGGTCTATCCATGAGACACTGGACCTGAGGGAGCACGTCACCTCCGTGGAGACATTTGTGCCGGATTTCATCGAGACGAGCAAACCCAAAAAGGTCAAGGGCGGATGGCGGCTCAGGATGAATGGTCGGTCCAAGGCGGAAGAAAACCGGCCGCCATCGGTGGAGGACTACGTCGCTTTGCTCAGGCGCAACAAGCACTTGTTCTACAACTACTGCCATGACTTCGCCAAGAACTGCACCGACCTGCGTGAGCGGTTCCAGACCTGGGCACATATCGTCGTCGGTAAATTTAACCAGCAGCCTAATCCGACTCGACCGGACGGGGCCGGGGCGATGAATGACGAGCTGCAGGATCTCTACACCCAGCTCCCGACAGAAGCTCAAGAGAAGGTTCTGGCAGCCCTGAACGTACACGCCTCGTACCTGTCGAAGCTCGACACGCTCTCCAGCTTGCGCATGCAGCGCGTACTAGACCAGCTCAGCCAGCAGCAACCCGACGGCGACGAGAAGCCCGAGAAGGGCAAGGGAAGCCGGGCGGGCAGCCGGGCGAGCAGTAAGCCCTCCTCTAGAGCCGCCTCTCCACGTCGTACCGACCTGGGCGAACCTAGCATGACCGGTCCGGGTGTGTACCTCATGCGCTGGGAATCGCTCCTCGATGAGACCCTCATCACGCCAGCGGTGCCGAGCGGGCCTGTTCGGCACGGGAAAGACGTCAAAGGCCAAAAGGCCTGGGGAAAGACGGTGGCAGAGGACCTCAAGGGCGGCTGGGACGCGGGCGCGATCGCCAGCGAGGAGGACCGCGTGGTGCCGCTTGCGCCAGACTCGAAACTTGTGGTGGACGTGCTGGGTCAGCAGTTCAGAGACCTTGTCAATGACAAGATTGAAGACGTGGTGCCTGCCGCTCGTGAGAATACGGCAACTGTTTTAAGGTCTGTGCAGGAGTCGGCGCTCGAGGTGGAGGGAATTATGTAGGGGGGATTCCTCAAGAGGTATTTGTCATTTTTCTAGGTGGGTGGAAGAGGAAGGGGTTGAGGGGCTGCTATTGACCAGCCCTCTCGCCATGGAAAACCATATAACGTGTGCATATATCAAGCGCATTCATTGTCGTTGTTAAAGAGTGATAAAGATCGGAGCTGTTACACATATGTAGAGATAGAGAGCATCATTTTAAATCGTCATCATCTTGTGGCTGGACTATAACTCTTTTCATGGTCTACAAGAAGTCTTTCAGGCTAAGAACCCAGGTAAAAAAAAAAAAAAAAAAACCTATTCTGGGGTTTCATTTATTGAACGTGCCGTGGCGCCTCGGCTTGAGGCTCTGTACGCTCCGCAGACCAGATCGTACTAGTACTGTACATCGTAGCAACGGATCGACCGAGTTTCGTAGCAAACGGTAAACAAGCTTGTCAAGAAAACGAAACAACGAAAGAAAACCCCCACAGATAGACAGGGTTGTCATGATCTGGACACCAGAAGAGGAGGGGCAGGAAAAAGGCGAAACATCGCTTGCAGCCCTGTTGGCCCTGGTTCATTTCCGGGGATTCCTGGCGGGCCCAGCCTGGACCTGACGGGCGCCTCGTCTGCTTCCGAACCAAGAGGAGAGAGCCGCTCTTATGCTTGCTTGGTTGATATATGAATTCAGTTTTCAATTATTGCAAAAGATGATAGGATCATTTATAAAAGATCAATGAAGTCTTAGAGCTACTTGAATAAACCACAACACTGGACATGATCTTGTTCTTTAACAACCAAAAAAAAAAAAAAAAAAAAATCAAGTGTTCTCCTGCCCAGCAGAGAAAACACAGCTAGCCCCTCCCTCCAGGGGCATGGCCGCCCCAAGAAGCATGAAAAGTCAGGAAATATCCCGATTGGTGCAATTTCCGCAGCCCCATAAACCTCAGACGACGACATTTCCAGCCTTGGGGCGGCCATCGTGGGCACCTGGCTGTTTCCATGTTTCCCCTGGCGTTTTCCTCTTGGTTCCGGGACAAGACCACTTTCTCGCGCGCTTCCGAAGAAGGGGGAGACTCGAGGACCTGCTTGGCATTTGGTCCTACGTTATCAGGATGGATGCGACCTCTTGCATGAAGTCATGCAGGAGAGGTGGCCATGCTTGTTAGGGGAGTACTGCAAGTGTTTTGCTCCTGTAATTAATCTCTGCCTTGCATCCTTGTGTCATTCATGGCCAGGGGAGGGAAGCTGTAGGGTGAGGTTGGGTGAAGAAGGGGGACGAGGACGGAGGAAGGTCCTGAATATATATCATGGAACTGCCTGAACACCGTTCTCTTTTCCTTGTTACTGTTTCCTGCGTTTTCCAACCTCATCGACGACCACCCTCTTTTCTTCTTCTTCTTCTTCTTCTTCTTCTTGCTTCTTGCTTCTCTCACATTCGCTTCACTCACTTCCCATTCACTCTTTTGGCTCTGGTTAGCTGACAACAAAGCCTCCCAACACGGATTCTCCTCAGAAGCATCCATTCATTTCTATCTCCTTCTTTCCTCGGAAGACCAGTGGTCGTCTAGAAACCTTATATAACACACCCACTTTTTTCCCCTCATCCATCCAAAATGATCAAGCAGACCGCCCTCGCCGCTCTCGCAGCGCACCTGGTCGGGCTCGTGTCCGCAGGCACGACTGAGTGGTCCGGCAGCTTCAACGACATGACGGTGGCCACGCTGGAGGACTGGTCGTGGTCGAACGAGGTGGGCGAGTACCAGTGGTACATCTACGGCACGGGCAACACCACCGACTACGTGGCCTTCGACGCCAGCTACGCCAACCCGGCCGACGGGTCGAGCACGCAGGGCGCCAAGATCACGCTGACGTCCACCTCGTACTGGGAGGGCCAGACGATGCGCCGCACGGAGCTGATCCCGCAGGCCAGCGACACCAGCGCCATCGACTCGGGCACGCTGTACTACCACTTCTCGCTCATGCGCGAGGACACCAACGCGCCCTCGGTCGCTCGCGAGCACCAGATCGCCTTCTTCGAGTCGCACTTCACCGAGCTGCAGTACGGCCTGTCCAGCGGCGCCAGCGGCGAGGGCGACACCACCCTGCGCTGGATGGCCGACTCGGCCGAGCAGTGGAACGTCACCATGGACGCCGGGGTGTGGCACAACTTTGCCTACGAGATTGACTTCTCCGGCGGCACCGTCGGCCTGTGGCACTCTACTGGCGGCGACGACCTGACCAACGTCGTCACCCCCGTCTCCGCCTCTGCCAGCTCCAACGGCGCCGACTGGCACGTTGGTGTGCTCGAGCTGCCCGTCACTGGCGTCGCCGACACCACCGAGGACCTGTACTTCTCTGGCGTCTACATCGAGAGCGGTGACATCACCACCACTTTCTCTGGCTCTTCTGGCTCCAGCAACGCTGCTTCGTCTTCTGCTGCTGCTTCCTCGGCCGTCGCCTCCTCTTCCACTGCTGCTGCCGCCACCAGCACCGTCGCGGCCTCGAGCAGCTCCGTCGCCGTTGTCGCCAGCAGCAGCAGCGCCGTTGTCGAGTCGAGCAGCAGCGCCGTTGCGGTCTCCAGCTCTGCCGCCGCCGTGGCCACCTCCAGCTCTGTCGCTGTTGTCGCTTCCTCTGCGGCTGCCAGCTCTGCCGCCTCCACCTCGACCGTGGTCGCCGCCGCCAGCACCTCTGCTGCCCCTGCCACTACCGCCCTCGCCTCGTCATCAGCATCTTCTTGCAAGCCTCGCACTAAGACAGTCTACGTGACTGCCTCGGTTTAAAAGTGCTGGTACTTACCTGGATATGAGTCAAGTCTGTATGAGGTAGGATCGGCGTAGGGTTGAGTGGGTGGTCTCGATGTGGCAGATACGGGTGACTTGTCAATTCGCTTGTATATAGACCTTGTTGTGCTTCGTGTCAATACTATTCTTTTTGGACAAACATTTTTGGATTCGTTATTGTCATAGTGAACTTGCATGATCAACCAAGTACTTTCTCGATTCAAACACAGCAGGACAATGGAATAGAGAGCAAGCTGCTTGCTCGCCTTCAGGTAAAGATCGGACGACCGCGTCCAGAGGGTAATGGTTGAGGGACAGTACAATGTTCTCCGCCCTCGCCTCCTTCGAGAAAAGACAACAGTACGTGTTGAAGGGGATTTCACTCTCTACAAAGAAGGAGGGGGAAATTTAAGAAGAGCCGAGTATCAGAAAACATGCTATTGGCATCCCTTCGCCCCTTTTCCCTCGCCCAGAAAGATATGAATATTTCGGAGAATCTGCTTTGATGAGAGACTGTCATTAGTGTGAGGCGTCTGTTGTGGTTGCAAGCTCCGCATGCACTGCGCGCATGGCAGGATTTGCAAAGCACGAGAACGCCGATCTGAGCTTTAACGTATTTGGGCACAGACAAAGCGGAAATGAATAATCAGTAATATCATCTTTCATCTGGGAAGAGAACAAAGACTGCAGCGGACCTCGAAACGTGCTGCATCAGAGCTTGTAATACTCCATGATCTGTTTGCTGCTTCTATACGGTATCCAGACATTGATAGCTCCAGAATTGGTGCCACCCAAGATTCCAGACCTCATGAGCCCTTCAGATAGACAGATCGGACCAATATTGTGTTACAAGAAATTCCTCTGACATGTATTTTACAATTGTGAGATGCAGATGAGAGACTAAAACGTATAGGAGGACTGACTTAGCCTCGTTTCCCGCACGCGTGCTCAACTCAAGCAACCATCAGATCAACGAGAGCACACAAACCCTCCTTGACCTTAGCAATACGATCAGCGCGTAGTTTCTCATCCTTCTAGCCCGCCTTATCTAGCTCATCCTCACCCTCCTCCCACTGCTCACTCTCCACCTCCTCCTCACCCTCCTCCTCCCACTCCTCGTGCTCCATCTCTTCCTCCTTGATCTCTCTCTCCATGATCTCCTTCCTCTTTCTTTTCTTGTTCGTCACGGGCCGTGGATCTAATCCCAGGGCAGTCTTAACAGCTGCCTTAGAAGCACAACCAAGTTTGTTGACAAGCTACTCGTGAGAGATTAGAAACAGAAGTATCTTCCAAACGCAAGGGGCATCTCATACGCTTTTCTTGCAGGTGGGACCCATTTCTTTCGCCTTGATATAAGCAAGGGCGGACCTGCGACAAGAGCGTGGCAGCAGTTGGCAACCGCGCCCGTGCGCGCAGCGCGAGCAGCGTTTGCCTCGAGGAACAGAAGGATTGTCGTAGCACGCTCCATTGGAGCGTCCAGCCCAGGCAGAGCGCAGGCAAACAAGGCATGGATAAGGACGTCGCCCGTCCTCTGCCCTGGAAACAGGCGTATCCTACTCGAAATTCAGCCCAATTATCACACAAGGAGCAGCAAAGTACATACAGAAGACGCAACGGAGGCAGGGGAAGACATATTTGCTTGAGAGTGTGTGAATCGAAAGATTGGTTATGAGAAGGTCAAGCAAGTTGGGGAGAACGAAAGAAGAAGACAAAAAGGACAGAAGAAAAAAACAAAGGATGGCTCAAGGCTAAGGAACGTGTGCGCGTGGAGAGCACGAAAACCCACTGTTCTGTTCGTTGACGTAAAGCACTGCAGGACACGTACGCGTTGCTATTATACGCGTCAAGAACCTGAATCTTTGTATTTGGTATGCTTTATTGTCTCTTTGCGCATACTGCAGTCGTTTTCTGTTCAATTATGGGGGTATCATGAGCAGGTGTCTCTTATTGATTTGTGCATACCCACATTTGCCTGCTTTTCGACATTATATACTTACATACACGAATATCACCCTTAGATCTTCCTTTTGTCTTCCATAAATACAATAGAGCAGAAGATGAGGCTTTATTCTCTCAATGGATAGTTGGTCTAGCTATATCATATGTATTTGAGGCTGAAGCTGTGTCTATTTCGGTGGCAGACAACAGCAGTACCATTAAGCTTGCTTTTTAGGACATGCTATGCCATACATGAGGTTCTCATGAACAGTGGGCCTGAGCTGGCTAAAGAATATGTTTGAGCTCTACACTCAGGCACATGGTCCAGTATGGGATGCCATCAGCAGCGTCCGGAATTTGCTGTACTGGAGTCATGTGTGGATTGTTCAGAAGACTGCCCTGCCTCAGTCTGTCCTTTTGCTATGCGATTGCCTCCTTAAAAATTCAACGCACCATTACTGCATAAGACGAAACAGATTGATTGAAAGGATGGATCAGTGATCATTCACGACCTATAACGGCTTTCCCAACAAGCTCAAAGTCTAGCTTGACGACTCCTGTCTCGTCCACCTTGACAGGAAAATTGAGGTTCTGCGCCTGCGATGGATTGCACGAAAGGATCTGGCGATGACTCTCCCCCGCCGCGAATATCCGCGTCAAGTCGACCTCTGTCGTGAATTCTTTGCCGAACCTAGGATGCCCCGGCTCGAGCGCGAACTTTTCAATAATCATGTCCTGCTGCTCGTCCACCGAGCCCGAGGCGAAAATCGGCTGCCGGCCTTCGCCATCATAAGCCTCAAGCCAGGTGGTGAATCCTGGAAAGCGTGGATGGCACAGGCCGTGGTAGTAGGAGAGGTCTGCAGGCAGGATCCTCTCGCACACTTGGTGAAAGTGCACCACCCAGTAGCTTGCGGCATATGCAAGGAAGAGGGCCACCTTCTCCGCAGGCTGCCCGAGTGCAGTATCGTTGCATGGCTTGCCAAGCATGTAAAGATAGGTCGTGCAGATCTCCAGAAGCGAAGCATGGCAGCGTTCCAGGGAGAAGCTATGTTGCCAGTCGGGCTCGGCTGCGTGGTCACTTTCAAGTGTTGCAGCCTTTGTGCTTTCGGTAAGAACAGAATCCGTTGTAGAAGGTTCATATTGCTCTGTGTCGGAGTCTGAGAGAGAGCAGTCCCACAGCCCTCCGTCCGAGTCGTCATCGTTGAAGTCTGGCGAGATTTCAAACAAGCCCCTTATGGATGATTGATCCAGGAGAAACTCTCTCGCTGTTTGATGAACTAGGTAAACTCTTCCCTGGATAATCCGGACAAAGTGCCCGCAGAGGGACTTGATGTGGTTCTCTGGCGGGTATACCAGCTCGTATTCGACACTGTGGAATGTTCTCTTGCTGGGTTTGGGCCTGGATTTCGACACAGTCAAGGCGTCGAGGTCGGGTTTGACTGCCAGGGCGATGTTCACCTCTTCGACAGTAAGCGGCCGCATTGCCGCGAGTATCAGGCTCAACATCTTCCTGGCTTTCCGCTTGATATGGGGTGTGTTGCCAGTCTTGGAATCAAGCAAAGCCGTGTAGATAGAGTAGACGCTTCGGCTACGGAGTATGGCATTCATCTCTCTCCTCGAAGCTCCCTCGACTGCTTTGTCTTTGAGAAGCTGAATGATCAAGGCAGTCCACAAGAATGTGCGGTCGGCTCGGCTCACGAGTTCTCTCTCGATTTCCACGAGGAAATCTTCGGGTATTCCTCTATCAGCCAGGTCTTGCATGGCATCCTGAGCCACCAGTTCGATGTCCTGGCTAATAGCGTTCGTCTCATCTTCTCCACGGAGCCGCATCATGTTGTACCTAGAGATTTCGCCGGAAGCCGCTGCGCTCCTCATTTTCGGTGCTTGCCTATCAAACATCATCTGGATGGAATTATCAGGCCGACTGAGCACCAAAATCTTCAGATTCCGGGCTTCTGGCTCTCCGGCAGACCGTTTGAAGTACTCCGCCATCAGAGCCATCAGTTGCTTTCGAGAAGTTTCGTCACATTCGTCTAGGCCATCTATCAGACAGATTGTAGTTGGTTTAGCCCGATCGTTGTTGACCGTGCTTATGAACATCTGCCACAGTGTGTCAATTCTCGTCAGTGTGTTTCCTGGGATACTTAACTGCTTGCGTGCGAGACTCGTAAGCTCCGGATGGGCCGAGTAAAGCTGGTGCAAGAAAGCCGAAACGCCAATTACGGCATTGCTCTGCTCCATGCTGTCGTCCTTGAAGAAGAAGTAACAGACATCGGTATCTGTTTTAGCGTTTCTCTTGAAGTGATCGATTAGGAAAGATGCCATCACAGACTTCCCGCAGCCGGCGTTCGCTGAGTGCCATAGAAGCGAGCGGTGTGGACTCTTTTCCCACGCCTGCATCTTTGGATGTCTCAGGATCCACGAGCAGGTTCCGAAGACCGCAGTGGGATTTCGAGCCTTATGGGACTCATAGTTGGACCAAAGCGCTGTCATAATTTCCCCGGATCCGATCACATTACCAGTGATAACGGTAGAAGCTATACTTAGAATAAGCATATAATCTCTCGTAACTCTCATTCGTACTCTGAGGCCACCTTTCTTACCTTTCTTTCCAATCATTTGCTTAATCTGTGACTCGACTGGAGCAAATTTTGGGTCTTTGGGGCCGATGAACCTGCATATGTTGCGGTGGTTCCCATCAATGGGAACCACAATCTCGCCTGGCCATGCCAGAGTTGCAGAGTCCGGGTCGACCACCTGTCAAGAAGTTGGCATGCCAACAACTATCTCATTATGGTCAATGTGGAAATGACACCTACTAGGCAGTTCAGCCAGTCCAATTTCTCTGTCTCGGTGAAGCTCACAATCTTCAGCCTGCGACCGTGCTGAAGGAAGGACTTTGAGATTTGGCTCAACATGTGAGACTTTCGTTCAAGATCCTTGGTTAATTGTGAGTTCGTATGGCTTCCCATGACTCCCGCTCTCAAGATCCTGCTGACGGTCGAGCCCCATGGTGCCAGCTCCGAGCCTCTGTGTGGAGTTCCAAAGAAGCAGATGCCCTGCACATGATCCAAAATGACATCTTTGTACCTGTGATTCTCTGCTGCTCTGTTCACTGCCTGCTTGGAAAAGTCAGGAATGTTTCACGAGATAGAGCACTTGATCCGCTACAACTCGCCTGCTTGACCACAATCCCACCCAGGCTATGACATATGAAAACAATGGGGCGCCTCGTCTCTCCAGAATGCGCCCGTTTTGCCAGTAAATGTTCGAGGAGCTGGTCTGCGAATACGAAAACGTCGGAGGTCGACTTGCTGAACTGAACAGACGAGTTGTATGAGAATGACATGACCCTAACGGGCTTGATACCCCCAATCTTGGGCAACATGTCCTTCAACCAGTTTATCTGGGTGCGGTCATGGAGTGCTGTGGTCCATGTCCCTTCATAGTGCCCGTTTAGGCCGTGGACCGCCACGACATCTACAACGCCCTCGCCATCTGGGTCCTTGTCAACGAGCACGTGCAGTCCATGGCTGGCGGACTCTGCTGATTGCGGAATTGCGCCTCTGAGAAGATTCTTCATTTTCTTGTGGTTGTATGAGTAACTAGGCGGCGGGTAGGTGGCTGAAGTTCATGTTCCAGTGTGCTCGAAGGCCTTGGGTGATATGGCCATAGGCGCAGAAGGTCACTTGGAACATGCCGTCATCTAAGATCCGAAGTTACGCACATTTGCTCATGGATAACAGGGTTAGGGTTACGAGAGTCTCCTGCTACATCTACGTAGCTTGCTCATATAAACCCATAGATTTACAGGTACATCAGACCACATGGCTTTGTTGTGTGATAATTATATTCATGTGCTTTCCAGTATGATTCGACTCCGGGGCAGACAATGTATATGGGTTCTGGGCTACGATGCGGTTATAAGGAAACACCCCGAAGTTACGATATAGTAGAGGCCATCCCCTTCATTACTCGGGTCAGTGGATATTAGTTGGCTATGGCCCTCATTCAGCAACAGTAACTAAGTCGCATCTGTGGAAAAGATAAACCTCCAGGGACTCTACCCACAGAGAGCAACAGAAAACAGGCACGTGATGCTCACTTCGACAACTTTTTAAGGGTTCCACGGTAGCATAGCGTGCTGTACTACCGAATTGCCGAGATTTTTACAACACCGCAAGGTTAGTTCTAGGCTAGCCAACATCGTTAGTGCTTACATGCAAGTAAATATTTACTTACCTCAGCACTACGCTCGCTCCTAGCAAGACGCTTATCAGCTACAAATATAATACCATTGTCGCTGTCTCTTCATCTTGATTCCTCCTGACCTGTCTACTTAGTCAGTGTTCTTGATATTGAGACTGTCCTGCATCCTCGACTTCTTGATGTATTTTGACTTCCCATCCCCAGTGTCAGCTTTATACAATGGATAAAATGCTACATATTTTCGATGGAGAAAAAGCCAGGCATGCCGAGTACAGATACGAAAACAGCCCGCTTGATCATTACGAAATACGCTGTTTGGTTCTGGCTCCTGGGACTGACACGACAAACGAAGCTCTGGCGTGCACCCTTCAAACAGTAAACTTAACGCACAAGCCCAAATTTGAAGCAATTTCCTATACCTGGGGAGGCTCGGAGAAGCCTGACACGATCATGTGCAATGGACAACCACTCCGCATCACCAGTAATCTCCGCGCGGCGCTGTTACAGGTCCAGCACCCCGACAGAGAACGCGTCTTATGGGCAGATGCGATATGCATCAACCAGGCTGATAAGCAGGAGAAATCACGCCAGGTGCGTTTGATGAAGGAAATTTACACTCAAGCTACACGTGTACTGGTCTGTCTCGGCCCTCAAGGAGACGATCACGCCATACGCGCAGCCGCTCTGCTGGCGGACGTGAACCAATTGTATTTCACAACCTTGAACAGCATCACTGTAAAACGCTGGGATTCGTTTCCGTTTCCGGCACAAGACGAACCCCTTCTTTCGGACACCAGGTGGTCATCTCTCTGGGAGCTCTTTGACCAGCCTTGGTTCAAAAGGGGATGGGTTGTGGAGGAGGCTGGACTTGCAGCCGAGGTGTGGGTTCTCTGGGGTGGCGCCTCCATTGACTGGCTCCATATCCTACGAACGGTACGATGGGTTGCTTCGAGAGCATCGACACTCGAGGACGTATACAACATATACGTCCCTTACATGCACCTAGATATCTTCGACCATCGGCACCGCCAAGAAGTAAAGTTATTCTTTCAGCGGACTCGATTTTATTCACAGAGCTTTCTCGGCATTCTTGAATACGGAAGAGAATTGGGCTTCTATGATAAGCGCGACCACATCTACGGATTCCTCGGGCTTCCAGCAGCCAAGAATATTCGGGGCGACTTGACCATTGACTACAATAAACCATATCTCGAAGTATATCGAGACTTTGCTGTATCGTATCTCGAGAAGACTCAGCACCTTGACCTCCTGCATTACGTCGAGCACGATATAACGACACTGCGCGACGATTTCCCCTCATGGATTCCACAATGGCAAATTGATCCGTACCGGAAGATCATCAAGAACGACAGTCATGATACCAGGAGCTTCATTTCGCGCTCTTCATCAGCACCTATAAATCGTCCAGTCTTCTCTTTGCTCCCAGGGCAGGTAAATCTGCTCAAAGTTCGGGGTCTGATCATAGATTCGGTTCAGACTTTGTCTAGCCTACTCACCGAAGACTCTTCCGTCGATGATATAGCAGTTACTTGGAGGGCTTTGCGCGACTCCTCGGAGGGCATCACCGCGTATAAGGCTTTCTCTCCTCTCCTAGCCTTCCTTCATTGTCTCGGACTCGGTTTCGGCCCATCTGTGTCCGACGATGCCCAGGTGGCAAACGACGGCGCCTACCTGTGCCATTTACAAGGGGACAGCTCGGACACTTCGCAAGGTCTGTCTGCAGATGACCCGAGCCTTGCTTATTTTGAGGAGGAGGCCCCAGAGGGCAACGCGGAGGTTGTTCAAGGTCATGTCAAATATTACACACATAACCGCCGTGTCGTCGTTACAAATCGTGGCTACTACGGGCTTGTGCCGGGTGTTGCACAGGAGGGCGATCTCTGTTGCATTATTTTTGGTACGAAGACACCGTTTATCATTCGAAAGGTTGAGAACTCTATGGGTGGGCATTACAGGCTGGTTGGAAGCGCTTTCATTGTGAGCAGCAAAGCCATCGATGATGGATATGACTATCCATCTAAGTTGGGGTGTGAGGATGATATCGATGCGTCTGAGGATTGGCTGGAATGGGACTTGGATGAACAAGATCTTTGGCTCTCTTGACCGTCTGGAGCAAATGTGCGCAATCCCGACCACACAGCCGTGGAACTTGTTCAGTCTCAGCTTCCTCCAATCACCGAAGAAAACACAGTCTCAACTGTCCCTTCCTCTATAAAAACAGAATCTTCCGATATCCGGTAATTAAATATTGGTTAGACAGCCTTTCCACCCAGCTTGCCTCAAGTATTCGACATACCTATAACAATATGCCCCCATCAGAATGGGACGATCTTTCAAGGATGCTGATGTAGTATTCTATCCTTCGTGAAACCGCTCCAGATTTCTTACATGACTTTATGCCTGATAATAAACTCTAGGAGCTGGGCTGGCAAACTCTGAGTGATAGTAATATCATCTCTGACGACAAAAGACATCGTTTGGGGGTCTGGGTGGACCGCCGGCCAGTATGTAGCGTTGGCTTGAAGTGGCATTTCAAGAAGAAGCGAGTTCTTGCTATTATGAAATAGATGGAATCATTGAAGTTAACGCTCTCAGCTATGTAATAGCTGCACAGATTCCTTTTAGCAGAGAGAATTGCGGGTAGTGTTTTTTCATCTGTCTCGACAAGTGTGACACGGTGGCGAGCTCGTGGAGGAAAAGGTCTTCAAGGCAACCCAACCTAGTAAAAGGAATGGCAGGAAACACAGTCGGAACCAAAAATGGGAAATAGAGGACCGGAAAAGAAAACAGTGGCCAAAAAAGCAAAAACGACAATGACAGGATTCGAACCTGCGCCTCCGAAGAGACTGGCTTCTCTGATAATCCGCTGAGGAATTAGCAGGCCAGCGCCGTAACCACTTGGCTACATTGCCATGTTGTGAGTCATGAAATCTGACCTGCAAATATTAATTATATAGATTTATTACAAGACATGTGCTGATTCCTCAACTACACTGCCAAGGAGACACATAATTGTCAAGCTGTAGGATGGTAACTCGCACAGAATGAGTCCAGGGCTAATCTGCCCGTGCTGTCATGGTATTCACTCCAGTTGTGAGAATGGTCCACTGCTGTCGAGCCTTCTGTGTGAATTTAGGCCGCGCCCACAGCTGTACTAATATACCCCCCCCCCTCTCTCATCCCAAGAGCCGCCAAGTAGATGTGGGCCAGGCCGTCTGGGGCACTATGCTTCCCCGCACTATTCCTTGCTTCAGCACTCACTTCCAAGGGTGCTCTTCTTTCTCACTCGTGTTCGACTTGTCCACCAGAGGAGGCAAAAATGTGGTATGAAGAGTGCTAGAAGACCCAGAATGACCGATCTTAGTACTGTGACCGAGATTCGGGGAAAAGAGAGGAAAAAAGGGTGATGGACGTTGGTCTCGATGTTGCTGCATGTAGCTAGATCGGGCCAACCACCATCTCTACACAGCTTTACGAGCCCTACAAGGAGCGAACGCGCAACGCCGTCGCCGGGCTTTACTGCAGCACTTACGGTATATGTTTACTTGCTCACTTGGCCGGGCGAGTGCCTGCGGCTCTGTACCAGGTTGGTCCTCATTCATGCCACCTGCCCAAGCCTCATTTCTTTTCTCTTCGTATACTCTTTCCTGTTGCCACTGCGAGACAACATGGGCAGGGCCGACAAGCGACTACAAACAGTCGACCTTGCTGGCAATCCTCCTGTCTTTTTCGTCCCCACCGGTTCCCGGGGCTGCCGATACAGTCCCTCAACAGTGCACTCTGGTGTCCCTTTGGTCTGAATCCTGCAACAAGGTGGTTGTCCGCCATGTGCCACGCTGCCTGTCTCCATCCCTCTTGGCTTTCGATTGGGGCCGCAAATATCTCTAATCGACCTGCTAGTGGGAACATCTGTCGTGATTCGCTCTAGATTCGCCTACGCAAAGGCCCTGTCACCTTTGACAGAACCCTGAGATTTCCCACAGTATCACAGGATTGAGTTCCTTGCACAAGTGCCAGGCCAGATAGAGCCGGGCCAAGCCAGGTTAATGAAGTCGCACGTCTGCTCCCTCTCTGAGTTGGATAAGGGCATGTCTGGAAGAGTTCTGTTTATCAGGCGGGCCCATGACTTCTAGGCTCAGCGGGCCCCACCTGGTCTTCTTGTGATTATATATTGTGCCCCTTCCACCAGTCTCCAAGTTTGTGTTAACCTTGTCATGCCTTTGGTCGAGCCTTTCAACAGTCTCACTCAAGTCAAACCCCTCAAAGTCAAACCCCTCATTGCATTTGAGAGTTCCTGCCCGCCTCCCGACTCTCCCGGTCCCGCTGGCACTGTCGTCCTAATCGACCAAAAGTAAATCAACATGGTGCAGGTTCCCACGAAGAAACTTAACAACGGAGCTGAGATTCCTGTGGTGCGTCCAGAAATATTATTGTTGTTGTTGTTGTTGTTGTTGTTGTTGTTATAATCCTCCTGCCTTGTGTGAGATACTTCAGACGACTTGACTGACTGACTGGCCGCCAACATAGCTGGGCTTCGGCATAGGCACGGTCTGGTACAAGCCCGACCGGTTCTCCGCGTTCAACCCAGACGTGGTGAGCATCGTCAAGGAGGCTATCAAGGCGGGCTACAGGCACATAGACACCGCAGAGGGCTATGGCACCGAGGCTGAACTGCGTGAGGCGATCCGGGAGTCCGGCGTTCCCCGCCAGGACTTGTTCATCACCACCAAGGTCATCCACTCCCTCGCGGAGGGTAAGATCGAGGACCTCACTGCGGCCTTTGACAAGACCCTCGAGAGACTGGGAACGGACTACGTCGACCTGTGAGCCGAACCCCCCCCCCCCCCCTCCTTTTCTTCTTCTTCTTCTTCTTCTTCTTCTTCTTCTTTCCTTTCTTTTCTTCCGCGGCCATCCCAGTTGATCCATCCCATGGCAGACTCCTCCTGCCTGACAGTTGCTAACCCGCCCTCACAGATACATCCTCCACAGCCCTTACATCAAAGACAACAAGTATGTCGAGTCCGACGTAGCCGCAGCTTGGAAGATCCTAGAGTCCATCCAGCGCGCCGGCAAGGCCAAGTCCATCGCCGTGTCCAACTTCCGCCGCCACCACATCGAGAACCTCCTCAAGACGGCCGAGATCCGCCCTGTCGCCAACCAGATCCAGTTCAACCCGTACCTGCAGGGCGCCCCCTCCTACGCCGCCTGGCTGCAGGAGTCCCAGGGCATCGCCGTCCAGACCTACATGGGGCTGGCGCCCCTGACCTGGCTCAAGGGTAACCACCTCGACGCCAAGCTCGCCGAGCTCGCCGCCAAGTACGGCGTCAGCGAGGCCACCGTGCTGATCCGCTGGCAGCTGGATCTGGGGGCTATTGTGCTCAACACCACCAAGAAGCCTGAGCGGATGCACGAGTTCTTCTCAGCGCTGGACCTGCAGCTGAGCGCCGAGGACAGGGAGGAGATCACGCGGATTGGACAGTCGCATCACATCAGGATCCCTGTGGGTGCGCTGTACGATGGTGATGAGGTGGGGCCTTATGAGTAGAAAGAAAAGGGAGGGGCTGCAGGTAGTAATTAGCGACTTGGCTCTCTCTCTATCTGTCTAACGCACTCACTCGCTCAACCATGCTTCCTGTATGGCGAAGGAAGAAAAAGAAAAGGAAGAAGAAGAGGAGTCAATAGCTAGCAGTACCCGTCTTGAAGGGAGAGTTTTCAAGGTAGATCGATTTCTCTGCGCCAGCTCATGCAAGGTTGTTTGGGATATGGGTGGTCCTGTTCCCTAAAGAAGAATATCCAAGTTCCATTTTATACACATCCATCTGAAGGCATAGTCTCGTGCGGCCAACACAACACAGCTTGCTGGCGGTTCCTCCTCGAGACAACGTGATGCCCTATGCTCTTTGCTCTCGTCGTCGTAGCCCTCGGCTTACCACTTGTTTCCTTCGTAGATCTCGAAGATTCCCGCCACTAGGTTGCAACCTTCAGGGTTCCTCCTCTTCGCGTTGTCTATGCGTCTATGCGTCTACGCTGCTTTCACCTCGTGTAAGGGAAGACCATGTTACTCGCTTTCCGACTCCGAATATTTCATGGATCTTTCTGCAGTCTCAAGCCATGTTTTCGGCTCGACCTGCGCCTCCTTCTATGCCTCCTTCTGGGCTTTGTTTGAGGCTTCCTTCTCCTTCTGTGCCTCCTTCTGCTTCTGTGTCTCCTTCTGCTTCTCTGCCTCCTTCCGCTTCTGTGCCTCCTTCTGCTTCTCTGCCTCCTTCCGCTTCTGTGCCTCCTTCTGCTTCTGTGCCTCCTTCTGCTTCTGTGCCTCCTTCTGCTTCTGTGCCTCCTTCTGCTTCTGTGCCTCCTTCTCTTTCTGTTCCTTCTCCTCCTCCTGTGCCTCCTCCTGTGCCTTCCTCTGGGCCTCCTTCTGGGCCTCCTTCTTGGCCTCCTTCTGGGCCTTCTTCTGGGCCTTCTTCTGGGCCTTCGTCTGCGCCAGATTCGCGGCCCTCACAGACTTCTTCGGGGCTACCCGAGTCTTTGCAGCCTGCTTAGCAAGCGGGAGGCGCTTCTTTCTGGGATTCTGTACCGGGACGGCTCGCTTCAGAGAAGCCGCCGGCGGCTCTTCCTTCGGCTCTTCTTTGGGTTCTGAGGATGCGGCGTTTGCGACCTCTTCCTTTGTCTTCTGCAATCGCGCTGCTTCTCTTTGCTTTGACGCAGCCTCTCTAGCCTCCACGCTCCGCAGCTTCTTCCTCTGCTTGTCTGTGAGGGTGGCCGGATCGATCGGTGCTTCCTCTGCGGTGATGGCTTCTGGTGTGGACAGGGTCTTGTCCCCAGATCCCTGCTCATCTGAAAGAGACGAACTCTGCTCCTCTCTTGGGCTGGCTGTTTCTGGGGAGGAAGATTGGCCTTCTTCCGAAGGCTTCTGCGTGTTCATGGGCAGTGAAGAGGCGACTGCGGTTCCTTCGCGGCCCACAGTCCCCTTCTCCTGAGAGGACTGCGAATGGAGGGTTTTCTTGGGCTTTCGTATATTTGCAAGCTCTCCATAGAAGATTTTTTTCCACCTGTACCTTGACGTTACTACCTTGTACCCGTTTCGTAAGTAAACGGAGGTCTTGAACAGGGGACGTAGAATTTTAATTCTGCATTGCAGAAAAAACAGCTTCGAATTCAAATCGGCCCATAGTGTCGACAGAATCCGGCTCGGACGCCTCTTAAGTTTCAAGCGCAAGTCGGGTTTCGGTGCTTTGCGCTGTGCTTCGACGCTCGCTTCATTCAGAGGGAGCCGTACGATGCGGCCCTCCCCATCCCTCTCCAGCCGGATCTGCTGCTTGCCGTCCATCTCATGAAGCATACTCGCGAGTGCAAAATGATGTCCAATGAACATGCGAGGCGGCAGCTTGCGGTCCGTCTTGATAGGCCCCAGCGCCCACCGCTGTTCGGAGGTGAGCATGATGAGCCGGTGCACGAGCCCCAGCTGGACAGCAGCGCTCTCCACACACTGCAACGGGTTCTGAAGGCCCCTCTCGGTGGCGTCGAGGTAGACGGCGCCCAGGAGCGCCTCGACCGTGTCGGACAGCTTCCTGATGGTGGCGTTGTTCAGGCCTGCCCCGCCCGGCAAGGCCACCATCTGTTCGGGTATGGTGCACATGGCGATGCCCTTTCTGTAGGCGATCTTGGTGAAGTACAAGTTGTTGAAGGTGGCCGCTTTGATGCGATACCAGTGAATGGGTTCCAGACGGCTATTATTATACCACCGTGTCACGAAGGCGGCGTTGATGATGGCGTCGCCAACCGCGGCAAGGCGCTTGTTTATGGAATGGATCTCATAGCCCTGTCCCTTGACCTTAGTGATATCAAGAGATAGTCGCAGGAGGTTGATGTTCTGGAAACGATAGCCAAGAATGTCTTGTGCCCTGGCCATCCTTTGGACGGTCGACATCCCCAACCGGCCCGTCATGATGCCTTTCCGCTCCAAGGCAAACACCCTCAGGAATTCGCGGTGTCTGACAAATTACCCCCTTCCCATCTCCCACGATTGTTGACGGTTGACTGACCAGTATGGTGGAGTGTTTGGCAAGACGTGGGCAGCTGAAAAGCGTCGAGATGCTCAGCCTGCGCTGATAGCGCTGAAGGAAGCTGTTGCAGGTGAAAAAAAAATTTCCTTGCTCTCACGACCCTCGGAAGTTTTCCCCCCCTTATTTTCTTCTGAGTTGGCTGTGCTGCCTGATGGAGAGGTCAAGCAATATCAGCAACACAGCCTTTTGATATTCGTCATGTAATTGGGTCAAATGAGTGGCTGCTTCTGAGGCATGAAAGGTTCTGATGGAGCTCTGGATGTTGACGAAAAAATGTAGAAAAGAAATGGATACCTTCACTATCATACCATGCCTGGTGCACGTGATTAGTCATAGAGAAAGGGTTAGGGTTAGGGTTTACCAAGGACGATGGTGAGTACTTAGTAAGTATGCATGTACTGTGTAGCGTGCCTAGAAGGGAACGATGGACCACAACTTCCTAATTTCCAGTTCAATCCATTGCAGCTATCTTCAACTCACATGTGCAATGTCCGAGAACGAGGAACCTTGAGGATGTCATCAATATTTTACTTCCAGTCATTCTAATTCGTGTTTTCGGTCTCTGGGGTCCCGTTCGCTACTTGACAGCAATGAGCCTTGGGTTCATGAGCCTAGACGACGGCCACTGTGCTTTCCCACGAAATTCCTGTTCAAGCTATTGAGAGAGGGCAGATTTTGGTCTAGGATGAAAGCAGTCGCGGAAGCAAAGAAAGATATCAGTTAATAAGCTGGTGTATGGCTACAGACTGGTGCTGGCCGGTGCATTCAAGTATTGAACTGTGTCGTGTGGGCTGTTATTGACGTTACTCGGTTAACGACTCTTTTGGTTTGGGGCGGGTCCGGAACTTACCGACCGCCGTGGCGGTGACACGGTCGAAACAACTGCAGTGGTTGCATATTGATGACCGTGTTTGGGAAAGCTCTCCTCATCTGAGTCTAGCAAGCAGCCTTGAACTCTGGTCTTTTCTCTGCTAACCACTTTTCCCTTGTATGAAGAGAGTCTTCTGAGAAGGAGAATTTCCAGGAGACTACGACTCGACCGTGCTCCCTTCGCGTTACTCTCAAAGATGGTCACCGAAGCTGATCTGAAACCATGGCTTCGCCCGTCTCCAAAGCAGTACATTCTCACCGACGCCAACGTCGTCGACGTCGCCAAGGGTACGATCTTGCCTCATAGAACCGTCCGAGTACGAGATGGCCTCATACACGCTATCGACGACGCAGACAGCATCTCGTTGTCCCTGGCACAGGAGGACGGCTACACTGTCATTGACTGCGCGGGGCACTATCTCAGCCCAGGACTGATCGACTGCCACGTTCACCTCATGGCCGTCCCAGGCTTCGGCGACCTTTCACAAGCCTTCGGAAACCCTCACGATGTCTCACTGCTACGACAGCCATACGTCTGTGCGCAGATGCTCCACCGCGGGTTCACCTCCGTCCGGGATTGCGGCGGCGCCCAGCTGGCCCTGAAAGAGGCCATCGACGACGGCGTTTTCCCCGGACCCAGACTGTTCATCGCAGGCCACGCGCTGTCGCAGTCAGGTGGCCACGCGGACTACCGCGGCCCACACGACCACAGCTTCTGTTGCGGGGGCGTGACCACAGGGCTGGGCAGGGTGTGCAACGGCGTGCCGCAGTGCATGCAGGCCGTGCGCGAGGAGGTGCGGTGCGGGGCCGACTTTATCAAGATCATGGGCAGCGGCGGCGTGTCCAGCCCGACTGACCGGATCGACCATCTGCAGTTCACTGCCGCCGAGATCCGCGCCATGGCCGAGTGCGCCTCGAACGCAGGGACGTATCTTACAGCGCATGCGTATACGGCGAGAGCCATCCGGCACTGTGTCGAGAACGGCGCCAGGGGCATCGAGCACGGGAACTTTCTGGACGAGCCAACGGCGAAGATGATGGTGGACAAGGGCTGCTTCTTGACTCCGACCCTGGTTACGTACGCCGAGATGGCGAGCCAGGAGTGGAAGGGCTATCTGCCACCTGAGTCCATATCAAAGAACGAAGAGGTCCTGGATGCCGGGCGCAAGGCGCTGAAGATCGCTCACGATGCTGGTGTGACCGTCTGCTTCGGCACAGACCTGCTGGGTCCCCTGGGCCAGGCGCAGACCCGGGAATTCTCTCTGCGGGCACAGGTACTACCACCATTGGAGGTGCTGCGAAGTGCCACTACGAATGCTGCACGGCTGCTTATGCGAGAGGACTCGTTGGGTCAGATCAAAACAGGGTTCAAGGCCGATCTCCTCATTGTCACCTCAAACCCGCTCGAGGATGTCACGGTGTTTGATGACCCAGAGCGAAATGTCGCAGTTGTGATCAAGGAAGGTAGGATATGCAAGAGTCGATGGAAGGCATTAGATGAAGACGTAATGGGTCCGATCAAGATTAAGGCATCATTATAGGCAGCAAAGAGGCCTTTGCGCTTGCTGATTCACAATATGTTGTAACCTACTACGCAAACTAGTCAAATTATGGAGATAACATGCTGAAGGAACATGAATTAGATTGCATATCTCTGGAAGGGGGAGCAGGATTGAGTCTTGCGACTATTCATAGTCGTCAAATTTGCCCACGGAGCTCATGTAACCCAACAAATATATGATGCTACCATGTAATTATTGGGGAGCTCCCGGTCTTGTGGGTCTTCCTGTCATATACTATATGTAACGGTATTATAGACATTCGTCTTCTCGGGAAGAGAGTAGCCTAACAACCTCAAGACATGCAGTCTCAGAGAATTACCAGTTTCGCTGTACCCGTTTCTTTTTCCTTCTTCTCTTACTGGTCCCATGATGAGCTCTAGCCGAGACAATTGACCACAAGGCTCAACGTTGGGCATTAGACTGGCAGCCTCTCTATCAAATTCTCGCTCTAGTTTCAGATTAAAAAAGTAATTCCAACCCCATAGGTCTGGTGACAGCAGTGGTGGCGTCAATTTTGGCATCAGAGTGCATTAATTACATTGGAGCATCAAGAACCGCCCACAGGCTTCCCGACCGTTGCTCGCAGTCACTGACTCAAAGCCAGTCAACGGTTTGGACATGAGTTGGTTCTGAGGATAGCATGATTCAGAGTCGACTTTTTAGCAGGTCAGTTACTGACATGTGAGGCTGTATTTGATTTGATATCGAGATATTCTATCCTGAAGTGAAGGGACCAAGCTCTTGCTGTTAAGCCCTACCTCGATGAATGAATCACATAAGACGCACTCTCCATACATGGTTCAATTGGCCGGTTAAGTCAGGTTGAGAACGTGCTTTATTCGGTCTGGCGTAGACGTAGCTACGACTTTTTTGATTTGAAATATGTTGAATATATACAGAGAAAGACAAGATGAGGCGAAGTCCTACTTCACAGCTCGAATGAACGCCTCATGCAGTTCGTTAGGTAAAATTGATCCCCCCCCCCCCAATCCATGCAGGGTGAAAAAGAAGGAAGAAAAAGAATATCCAGAAATGTCTTTGAAGGATAGAAAGAGAAAGTAATGAATGAATTGGTCAATGTCCTGTCATCTACCCTGAGAACTCACGGGCCCGCTTCCGGTTACATCTCCCTAAAAACCAACGTCAGGAATGCGGTTCCAGTGATGGTGTTTGTGAGACTTGCTAGTGGTAGGCTCGGCTGTAGGAGTGGCCGTCTCTTCAGGCACCGAGGCAGTGCTGGCCTCGACCGTGGAGGTGGCCTCGCTCGCTGCTGATACAGAGGTAGTTGCCACAGCCGAGGTAGCTGTGTCGGCGAGAGAAGAAGAGGTGCTAGAGGCCACGACGCTGCTCGCATCTACAGAGGAAGAGGATGAAGCGGGTGTCGAGCCTGTCGATGAGACACCCAGTGCTGCAGCGACGGATCCGATGGGGGCTGGCTCTTCGGTGGATGTAGCCTGGATGTAATCGTAGTTGAGGATGTGCCCGCTCGCGAGACCAGCCGCGATCATCTCCTGGATCCATGTCTCGGCCATGGAGGTCGAGGCACTCGCGACATCAGCAAAGTCGGGGATCAGGATGGCGGACTGGTTGGCCCGGCCAGAGGGGATGTTGGTGGTGAGGACGGAGCTGCTGTACGCCTCGGCCTCATCCTCAAAGATGACGATGATGTCGGCTATGCTCCAGAACTCATCGTGCTCGACGGCGGCGCCGGGGTTGAAGATGCTGGTGAACTCGTGCGAGCCAAAAGCAGAGATGGCGGACTGGACGACGGCGGTCATGAAGGAGACATCGTTGGAGCCAGAAGCCGTGTTGGGCGTCTCGTCAAAGAAGATGCCGTCGATGGAGACATTGGCCTCTGTGTACGAGTTCCAAGCGGCCCAGTTCGTGGTGTTGGTGTTGACCTCGTCCTCGGGGGCCTCACCGTCCAGGCAGTGAACATAGCCGAGAGTAACAACGTTAGAGTATGAGTTCAGCTTCGAGGTGCCCGTGACAAAGTCACTGTCAGGCTCTGCGCCGCCTGGGCCATCGTCGACGTTCAGGATGATCTGGAACTCGACCTGCGGGTTTGCCTCGATTGCTGAGAAGATGGGATCCCAAGTGGTACTCAGAGGGTACTGGTAGAGAGGGAGTAGAAGCTTAGTTGCCAAAGACCCAGCGGCGAAGAGAGAAAAGAGCGAAAGAGACTGCATGGTTGCAAATGTTGAAAAGAAGAAGACAAACTCAACTGAACACGAAGGAGTGAATGTGTTTGAAGAAACAAGGAAAAAAGAGTGACCAAGAAGAGAAGAGACTGAGTTGCTCTGGACTTGACGATCCACTGGGTTGGAAAACTTGTCAAAACATGTTTCCTTGCCTGCCTCTTTATATAATTAGGTGGAGGAGGAGGAGGATGGGTAAGGTTTTGCCCATCCTCTGGTGTGCATCCTTTCATTAGATCCTTTCACCAACACTCGGGCGCTATCTACCGCAATGTGTGTGTGTGTGTGTGTGTGTGTGTGTGTGTGCCCGGATAATTAATTAGAGTTAATAACTCACTACAGTTTCAGCCTGGACGCCAGCAGGCAAACGCACAGCCAGGAGAAGACAAAGAACAGAAGAGGAGACCAGTTAGGATAGGCGAAGCCACGTGCGTCGTCACACTGCCCAGATGCTGACCCGCAGTGAGTGAATCTGAAGCAATGACAGCTGCGGGTCTTGCGATTTCTTAGACATCTCATCGATCTGATTCAAGGGCCGAGACCGCGCAATTATTCCGACCTGTTTACACCCGCCTCCACCTCCCCACGCGGGCGCCACGGCCGTGCGAAGCAAAGGAGGGTCCAACGTCGAAAAGTGGCGGTTACAAGCGCACCGGCTGGAGTCTAGCAGTTCCAGGTGATTGGTCTCTTGTTTATGCAAAATCCCGGAAGCTGGCGCTAAGACATTTTGTTTACAGAGGAACTGCTGATACTATCCCGTCAGCACGCCCCCTGGAGGCGGCCATTTAATTTCCCTGACTGCTGTCATGGTAGGGAAAAGGAGTGAGAGACAGGGGAGGGGGGTTGGGGGAAGAAACAAAAAGAAGGAAAAAAAGAAGAAGAGACATGAAAACCAACGAATCAACAACCCCACAGCGGGAAAGCCACAGAATCATATGGATCTTAGAAAGTCCCCCAATAGGTAAATACTTACTGCTCTCTTTACTCACGACCACTATGTGTGTAGATATAGTAGCAATAACGTGTTGCAACACACAGTCAATACCTTGACTCGTGGAGGAAGTTTTTCAGGGGCGGCCTTCGGGAGGGAGGATGCAGGCTACTACTGCAAGGGGTTCAAGAATGTCGACACACGATCCTACACTGTTGGGTAATTATTCAGGCCGCACCACGCAACTCTAAATTAGTCCACGGAGACATGCTTGCCGCCATTCCCTTCCCTACGTCGAACGGTGTGCCCCGCTGACAAGCGCTGCTGTTAGTTGTTTGGTTGTCAGACTTGCTAACGATGCTTTTTTTCTCTACACGTCTCTTTTGAGTCGAAAGGAGAGTGAGGGGAGATGACTAGAAAATTCGTAAGAGGCGCCAAGAAGGGGAGGGGGGGCTTGCAGGTGAAAAGTGTCCTTTTTTGGTAGATTATATCACGCGCTGTGGCGGCCAATTTTTGTTCAGCCCCGGCATCAGGTCATGCCACCAAGGAGAAAAGCTGAGGCTCCAAACACCCTTTACGTAAACACTATTGAAAAAATTGACATGTTTACTTTGGTCAGTACAGCACTGGGTATTATATCGCTCCCCCTCCCCTTCTCCTCATCTGTGGCTTGTGTGAAGCGAAGCCTCCTCCTGGCTCATCATCCTCTCGAGATCAGCCACGGACTGCTGAACCTCCACGTCGCTGGGCAGGTTGACAATAAGCAAGTACAAGACATCCTGCTGCATGATCTTTCTGATGATGCCCTTGCGCTGTCCCTTTTGTCGCCTGTCGCCGCGGCGCCGGCGGGGTCCCCTTGGCGCCCTGCCGCGGGCCACTCGCCTGGCGTCTTTATATTCTCGTTTCAGCGCCCTGCGCTCCTCCTTGGCGCCGCGCCGCTCCTTTCGCCTTGTGCCTGTGTCGATGGCGCCTCCCGTGACGAAGGAGATCAGGCCACCGCTCATGGCTGGATGGTTCGGGTCGCTGAAGCGGGAGGAGAAACCCTTCCGGCTGTGGGACGGGACAGCCAGCGCTGAGCCTTGATGGTCCTTTTCCTATGCAGGTTGAGAATCGCCGTTAGTACACTGCACACATAGAACATACTACTGTGATGAAAACCTGATTTGCTTTCTTTTCTTCTCTTTTCCTTCTTCTTCCTTCTTTCTCCCCCGAGTCATTGTATGACTTCAAGCCAGAAGGAGATTGCTGCTCCGAAAGGGAACAAGCCAGCCACCACCAACAGCCTGTTTGGATGGGAAGGTTGGAGGGCCACGCAAGCCGCACGTAGGCTAGATAGATGAATACTCACATAGGAGGCTTGAGCTTTTCTGTCCATGTAGTCCTGCACCCATGCTCCTGCACCTTTGAATTTATCCTTGACGCTCTCTTTCTCGGGTGCTTTGCCCCTGCCCTGTTGATCTTCTGCCTGTTGTCGTAAGTCCTTCTCGACAACTCTGTCAAGGTCGGGATAGACCAAGGCGGCGGCCTCAGGCAGCTCAACCTCCGTATACGTCTTTCCACTGACAAGACGAATATTCTTTAGACCTTTGCTCAGCTTGGACATGTCTGGGTCGGGATTGCTGTACTTGGCGACGGTCTGATTGATGTCCAGCCGCTGCGAGGTGAAGAGTGACTTGCCCAGCGTCCCGGCCAGCCTGCTCAGCGGCCCGCGTGGCTGCTGGCCCGGCACCTGATCTTTGAAAGCCATGACCATGGCGTAGAGGCCACGGGGCATGAATAAGTCCTGATTCACCCGATCCAGAAATGTGTTTCTCCGGGTTCGCGACTGCAGCTCCCTCGCCGTGCCTGCGACCACCTGAACAACCGTGGCGACAATCTGGGACGCCACCTCGGGCACGAAACCAACGATGCCGGCGGCCACGAACACAATGTCGATCCATGGATCAGACTGATTCATGAAAAATTGATCATGCACGGGTTTTTGTTAGCCTCAATGACGTTCTCATGGCTTGAGTCTCATATCATCTTTTTTTCTTTCTCTCATCGACATCGTGGTGTTTGTCCAGCTATCACTCACCTTGCTAGCGATCAACCAGTCCTGCAAAAACTTGAGGAATACATCCTGACCTATACCACAATCCTCAAGGATCGGGGCATAGGCGTGAACAAAGCCACGATCTTTGTTTCGGGGCCGCCGCTGGGGAATGATCACAGGGCACGGAAGCCGGCGCACCGGCTGTGGCGGGGCGCCAGCCATGCGTACCATGTCGCGAACCATCTGCTCCTCCTTCTTGATCTTGGCCTCTTCAGACGCCTGCTCCTCGTCGCCACCGGCAGCCTCCGCGTACGAGGGCGGCGCCACACGTTCTGCCATCTCATCGAGCTCCCAAGCGGCCTCGTCATCTGCCATGTCTGACTCGCCGTCGCTGGATGATGACAGCTCGTCCTCGCTGTCTTCCTCGGCAGCCTGCTTCTTCTTCTTCTTGTTCTCCTCCTTCTCACCCACCGCCGGGCCGACTACCTTCTCTGCTCGTCCGCTGCGGATGAGTTCCTGGGCCGTCGACTCATCGGCGACTTCGAAATATTCTGGACACGCGTCGCTGTAGGCTGCAGGCTGAGCGCGCGCGGAGGACGACGATGAAGAAGGCAGCACCGCAGGGTTGGGCGATGGCGACCGCCCAGACTGCGAGCGAGAACGAGCTCGGTAATCGTGGATAGCCTCCGAGGCCATTCCCAGACCTCCACCGAGAAGCTTGACGATAATGCCCATTGTGTGTAATGAATTGATTCTGTTGCCCTTGGTGTCCTTGTGATGAGAAGCTGAGGAAGGTCACTGGATTTGTAGCACCATGTCAGAAGATAATTTTAGTTTTCCATGCGTATTTGCAGCTTCTAGCATTTAATTATATCATACTTACGGATGGAATCCTTCCCTTGCGCCGTAAGCACTTGCTCGCGATCTACTAGCCGTAGCCGCAGTATCCATTTTTCTGATACGCGAGAGCGTTGCTAAAGTGAGTGTAAATGACAAGGAGATACCGAAACCCATCGGTAGCGCACCCGGGAGCGACGACGATAACGAGATCGGTGCCTCCATAAAAGTAAAAATATCCAGGCAGCAGCAATCCCGACCTCCACTCTGCGTTCCTCAACAGGATCCCCAGATTGCGGTATTTACCAGTAGTTGATCAATGCTTGCTCGGCGGTCAGTGGCTCAGTTGAAATGTTTTCATCTGTTTTTTTGTTCAAATTATTGAGAACATTTGTATTGAGACTAGCATCACGAATGAGTCCCCTGCTATATTGTTGAATGCGGCTTGCCTTTTCTTTCCATACCAGCGAAGCAAAATAATCCGACCCAGAATGATCTCAGAGAGGTAAGTGCATAAAAGTAATTGGATAACCCGTCGGCAGCCGAGAGCAAGGAAGTCAATTGTATTCTCTTCATAATTGGCAATTACTCTCTGTGGTAAAACCCGAAATGGACGTTAGTATTCGAGGTGAAGCATATTATGAGCACCGAGTACATAAATGGTCATAGATGTAACATTCACCAATCCGAGCAGATAGGCATCCAGGCAATGTGTATAGATTATTAGTAGATGAACAGATGTAAATTGTGAGATGACCTTGAAACAACTTTCAAAAATGGAGAGAAGTGATTAGAAAGTGAATTCCATGCTACGGAACAGCTTCGTAAGTTGTTGGGCGAGGATCAATACAAATATGTAGAACAGCTTAGTGTGTCCATTTCTTATATAACTACTTGAGTTCTTGGAAATGAGGCTATCTTTTATCCCTGAGTTCGTCCGGTTATAATGTTACGCCGTATCTGGGCAGCGCTAGAATTTCGATTGGGCATTTGTAAGTCTCTTCCTGTCGCCTTTGCAAGTGATGCTAAGTGGATGCGCAAATGAGCAAGAATTATGAGACCAAAACATAAATGACAAGCTCCTCAACGGACAGACAAATATGTGCCAGAAAGTAAAGTAATACTTACTCATGACTACTTGAGAAAGCAGTATTTTCTCACGCCCTTCAATGACATGGTCTCATACCCCACAATCATCCCGTCCTCACCAACCCTCAATTCTCTGATCAATTCAGTTGACTCAATCCACGCCCTGTGTGTGACTTTGAATATTACAGAACAAACCCCAACCTTTCCATTATCAGAACGAGCTCTCTTTGCAACCATCTGGCTATCTCCCCGCCTTGCTCAAAGAAATAGCTGCACCATTAATCACAAACACAAGATGAAGACCCTCGGCTTCCTGGGCGGCATGACCTACCACTCGACCGCCCTCTACTACACCCTTATCAACAGCCACATCCAGCGGACCCTAGGCGGCTCCGCCTCCGCCTCGATGATCATGCACTCGGTCAACCACGCCGAGACAGCCGCCCTCTTCACAGCCGGCCGCTGGGACGCCGTGGCCGAGCGGTTCATCACGGCAGCAAAACACATGCGCGCCGCAGGCGCCCAGGGCGTCGCCATCGGCTGCAACATCGGGCACAAGGTTGCCGCGGAGGTAGAGACCGGGTCTGGGCTGCCTGTGCTGCATATTGCGGATTTCACGGCGGAGGCGGTGCGGCGGCGGGGGCTGGACAAGATCGCGCTGCTGGCGACGCGGGCGGCTATGGAGGGCGACTTCATACGGGGCAGGCTGGGGGTGGAGGTGCTCGTGCCGGGCGAGGAGGATAGGGCCGCTATCGACAGGGCGGTGTTTGAGGAGCTCGGGGCGGGAATTGTCACGGGGGAGACAAGGGCGATGATGGTGCGGGTCGTGGAGGGTTTGGTCGCGCAGGGGGTGCAGGCGGTGGTGCTGGCCTGTACGGATTTGCAGTTCGTCTTGAAGCAGGAGGACGTCTCTGTGCCATTGATGGATACCATGGAGCTGCATGCCAAGGGCCTCGCAGATTGGGCACTCGATGATGAGAAATGACGGTGCTTCTCTTTATTGTTGTTCCTTTTGATGGCCTTGAGTGCAGTTCTTTGGGGGGTCCATCTGTTGAGATTCAGACAAGGGTTTGAGCTGCCAAAGATCAGTACCGCTCAAGTCATCTGTGCTATGTCTAGAATTGCAGCAAATGTTTCGTTCTCCTTGTGGATGGCCACATGCCCGGATAGCTCCGGACGGTTCTATTTGACAACCAGTCTCAATGTTTGTTTTCACCTTTGTTGACACCACAACTCCACCCCACGACGATGACATCCAGTATCCTTTTTTTGAGTTCAAAAGGAAGACTTTCTCTGACAAGCTTTGTTCTTTTGGCCTACCAAGTTTTAACCACCTTCTTCTTACCACTTTCATGACTTGACTGAGCCACTTCTAATCCCACTATTATCACCATCGCCACCACCATCACCACCAACGTATCAAGAACAATCAATAGCAACAGCACTACCAGAAACAATAGCCATGTTCCGCAGTGCATCCTCCAAGCAGCAGAAGCAGCAGAAGCAGCAGCAGCAGCAGAAGCAGACTGACCTCTCTAAGCCAGACAAGTCCAAATGGGTCACCTCCAAGATCAAGGTGGACCGAGTCACGCCCCGACAGCAGGAGCATCTCAAGGCCTGGCTGTGCCTGTGTTTTGGCTTCGATGGATACGAACTCACCGTTCTCTCAAAGGGATACAAGATCCGTGCTGTCTCAGCTGTCGATGAGGTGAGTGCTCTTAGACTCTAGGCCTTCCTAGAACCGGCTATGTGCGCGGGCGTGTGTGTAGGGGGCCCCTCCCGGGGGGGGGAGGTGTCGAAGAGACAGAGAGACGGAGAGAGAGAGAGAGAGGAAAAAGGCTAATGTAGTTGTGTGCCTAGGCTGAGATTTTGCTCCTGACAAGCTTCGGCGAGTAAACTATCAACATGGGCTTGTCAAGACTGGCCAAGAGACCATAAGGCATCGGGAACCTCTTCGGCAAGGATACTTGATACACGGGCTGGCATAGCTCTCCTGTAACGGTCTGGCATATTGGCACCAGTGGCAAGTGGTTTCGTGCTTGATATGGAAAGACAGTGGAACAGGATGAGCACGAACAAGGCTCATCTCGGTGTTAGGGGAATGCAAGTGGCATTGTGTGTCTACCTGGGCGACCATGACGGTGCATGAGGGTGAGACAGAGAGATGAATTCTGCGCACACCATCCCGTACCCGTGAACATGTTCTACGAACAACCATCACCTCTCATTATATGTCGTGTGACAAGACAAGTAACTACCATACTTCCCGACGATATCAGCATTGCGAGACTGTCATTCAATCAACAGCAAGAGGTGACTTCTAACCAGTGATGTACACATGCTGGCTTAATGACCCAATATCACAATATCGTGATCAACAAGTCGCAGTTGTGGAGGAAGGAATGGTGATTCGCGACGACGTGAGGAAGTACAAACCTGGCGTCGCACCGCCTTCACTCCAGTGTCACTATTACTCGGTATAAAAGGAGGCAGTTTTTGAATCTAGGACCCGAAAAGAAGACTGATCAAGATACACTCGCAAGTGTGAACGCAGACCACGCAAAGGCGATTTTTTGACCTGAGCAGTGCTTCACACTTCTTGAGAACAACATCAACGACAAAAGCATGAGCACAAGTGATACACAGCAACGGCTCACTCAACAGGATCGAGCAAACTGGAAGCTCACGACCATCATGACGATGCTGCGGGTCGACCTGTACCGCGTCGACGACTGCCTGAAGCGACGGTTTGGCGAGGGTCAGTACGAGGCGAGGTCGGAGGGGCGCACATGGTGGATTAGAGCGCCAGAAACCCTCACTTCGGCAAGTTTCGCACCCGTGCTTGCTGTGAATATGCATTCTTTCTTTTTAAACAATAATAATAATGATACTACTACTCATAGCAGAGACTAACTGTACTCTGACACAGAAGGATATAGAAGAAGTGATGGGCGAGCCTGGATGGGAATCGTGCACCCAAGTCATGACGGGCGAACGAAGTTGATTTCAGCGCCAGCACCTCTCTCTCTCCTCCCCTGGCCGAGCTGTGACTTTCCTTGGCAAGATCCTCTTGAGAATACACACCAGTTATGACCTTGACCTTGGAAATTTCGCCGATCTGTGTTGACCAAAGCGAGGTTGTGCTTCGTGGTTAGGACGAGAAGCAATTGTTGATGATTAAGCTCCGAGTCAGATCGGTACTTAGCCGTTGCATCGATTGGGTCAGCACGGGGGCCACGGCGGGGGCCGTCCAGTGGTTGGCGGGGGGCTGTAAGGCAAGGAAACTGTAGGCGGCCCCTGCCAGGCCCACAAGCGCTGACCGTACAGGCCAATAGGCCGCTAGAAATTACCAACTTTGGTCTCCTGTCGGCACCCTAGCTTGCAGCTCTAACCCCTTCTGCTGACCACTGTACAAGTGTAACTGCAGCACAGCTTCTGGCCTGACTGGGATCACTAATGCCTTTCCGAGGGCTGCACGGCCAGCGGCGACGGAGGAAAAGCATTGTGCGAACAGGGTGAACCCCCAGATCGTACCACCTCTGCGTATCATGCCATTATCATCTCACCGAGAGAGAGGAGGAGGGGGCCAGGCCCTCAGAGCACGTCAGGCCAGCAGCACATTGTCCAAGTGAAGGCTAGCAAACACAACACAAACACAAATGCACCACCTCTCAACTAATCTATTTCTCTTTTCATAAATTAAAAGCTCACGTCCCCCCTTCGTGATACGGTCCCCGAAGAGGGAGAGAGAAGGAGAAGATAATGCCTTCTTCTTCTGCCCTCTCCACCTCAGTGTTCTTGGGTATCATCTCTCTCGTGCTTGCTCTGCTGGCCCAACGCTCCCCATTTATGATGGCGTCCACCCCAGCCTCCTCCTCGTCCAAGCCGTGGGCAGACGGCCCCATGAAGCTTGTGGGCACGCCCATCCACGAGACCAACAAGACCGACATCTTCTCGACCGGTGCGAGTCACATGGCCCTGCTGCACAACTCCATCTTCAGAGGCTACAACAGCATCTACCTCCAGGCACCCCACGTCCAGGACGCGGATAAGGCCGATTTCGTGGGCTACTGCCTGACCTGGTTCAAGTTTGTCAAGTCACACCATGACGACGAGGAAGAGACCCTCTTCACCAAGGTCGAGGAGCTGTTGGGTGACACGTCCGTCTTTGAGGAGACGCACAAGGAGCACCGTATGTCCCCCCCCCCCCCTCTATTCTTTCTCAACCAGGCTCGAATTAGCTACACAGCACACAGATGATTTGACTGACAAATTGCTGGGCCTTTCAGAATCCTTCATGGCCGGCCTCGTCGAGTTCAACACCTACCTAACCTCCCTCCCCACTCCACAAGCCCTCGACGGAGCCAAGCTCCTCGCCATCATGGACTCCTTCTCCCAGCCCTTCGAGACCCACTTCCACAACGAGATCGCCACCATCGCCCGCCTCGCCGACCACCCCGCCGCCCCGAAGCCCGACACCCCTGAGGCCGCCGAGGCGAGCCTCACCTTCAAGAGCTGGGGCAAGTCCACCGTCACCAAGGCCGGCACCACCGACGTCGTGCCCTTCTTCCTCCTCAACCTTGACCGGACCCCGCTGTTCGAGGACGGCCGCTGGGCCTCCTGGCCGCCTATCCCGGCGCCGATCAAGTGGGGCCTGATCAATGTCGGCGGCTGGTTCAAGGGTGGGTACTGGAAGTTTGCCAGCTGTGATTCCGCTGGGAACAGGAGGGAGCTCTATGCGCTGCCGGACGGCGCCAAGGCGTAGATGGGATGGCCTCGGGACTGGGACGCCGGATACCGGGGGTGTTTGCGATTGTGGAAAGGGGCGTTTTGGGACCAGGCCGGTATTGGTATCAAAGGAGCGAGTGGGATTGTAATGTGCAATATCTCTGTCCCTGAAACTATGAATGAATGAATGATTGAATGACTCCACATCCATCTCTAACCGGAGAAAGAAAACGCCTCTGGCTCGTTCACGCTGGATTCTGTTGTCTTACAAAGACACTGCATGTTCCGTCTAGAACACTCCGATAGGAAACGAAGCCCTTTCATAAAGAAGGTATGGTTAGATTCTATATTTTATTTTATAACTTGAAATCAGGGCCTCGTCGGGGTACCTAATTAGAACGCCATATCCTCTTTGCGCCGACCATATAATAAGTAACGCGACGATTACCGCCTTGACCCAGATCTACCTATAGTCAGTACTCCAAACAGCCCAAGTCCTATACCCGCTTTTTCCATACCATTATGCAAGTTGAGCCAGACATTAAACAATTATACAAAAAAATAAAATAAAAATAGAACAATGCACAGGGCTGCCCTAATAATCATCAAATCCACGACGACCCGTCTTCCCCATAGCGGCTGTCATACGGGATCGGAGGCGGTGGCGGCGAGTCTGACCTTCGTTGGTCCGCGGCTCCTGCATTGGACCACCACCCGGAGAAGCGCTGGCTCAGAGATCTGCCGTGCGAGACGCCTGAAATGCTGGAGGAGCCCTCTCCGTGGTCTTCGCGATTATCTGGAGGAGCGAGCAGGGAGCTCGGCCGCTGAAGCAATCCCATATCTTCGAAAGTCTTCGGCCCCTTTGAGCCCGGCTGATTCGCATCAAGAGATTCCTCTTCGTAGCCATTAACATCACTATGGCTCATGTCGTCGTTTTGTGTGTCTCGGTTCAGATCGAGATCAGGGGGAGGTGTGATTTGAGCACGGGAAGATGATGTAAGGTTGGAGTGATGATCACCTGGGCCATGAGTTGACAGCGAGCCCCAATCAGGTGGCGGTGTAGCTAGCGGCCGAGGCGACAGAGGACTGGCAGCAACCGGCGTCACTTGCTCCTGATCAATCAACAACATTTGGGAGGCGTCCGAAGCTTCCTCTCTTGCTGACTCGGAGGCTGGTTCCGGAGAGTCACCCACAGACGTCGATTCTTCGCAGTCCTGCGAGATGGCCTCCTTCAGTTTCCTCAACATGGCAGGATCCAAGGCTTGCTCCCAGTCGACACTCTGTCTGTACAGATGACTGAATCGGACAGGTGCCCTTGTCTCCTCTTCATTTCCTTCTTGGGGATTGGGCTGCTGGGAAGATGCCGGAATCGACATCGATTGCTGGCCTTGTGCTTCTGCCGGATGTGTGACTGTCGAAGGGCCTGCGTCGCTCGGCGAGCCAAAGCTGCCTTGATCGAAATCTGTGCCCGTGGGCGATGGTGGCAGAGAAGAAATATCTGCGGCATAGAGCTGGTTCAGATCAACTTCGCGATCTTCGACCTCCGGCACTTCGTTGGCCGCATTCGCAGTGCCTTCAGCCATGCCTTCAGCCATGCCTTCAGGTTCGCGATTCGGGTCTTGCTGGTGGGATTCGTCCCCGAAACCGGCGTCGTCGAAAGGCATTTCCTCGTAATCTTCTGGATCGAACTCTGAATCCTCTTCGACCGTCGAGGTTTCGTCCTCTTCCCTTTGTTCATCCTCAGAATTCAAAGTGTCGCGTAAGTCATCTTCTGCATCCTCCACATCAACGCCTTGTGCATCCTCTTCGTGAAGGCTTTCGGCCCCATCGAGGTCGCATTCTTGTTCGTCTTCACATTCTTGTTCATCGTCTTCGCATTCCCGACCGTCGTTCTCGCCTTCTTGCTCATTGTCCTCGTGTTCGTGGCCATCATCAATGTCTCGAGATTGTTCATCATCTTCACTTTCGAGAACATCATCGTCGAGTGCCTCATCGTCAAGTGCCTCACGCACGGGGTCTTCGTCTTCTTGTGGACCGTCTTGGTCTATCGACTCATCGTCGTGCCCACACGCTTCTTCATCGAGAGCATTTTCGCTTGGTTCCTCCGGGCCACAGTCGCCCTCATTGCAGTGTCCTTCGATGTCGTCATTTCCATCCTCGTGCTCGACGCGGAACGCCTCGTTCATTTCCAAGGCGTCCTCGTCGCCTTCGAAGTCGTCCCCAGTCTCATTTTCAACCAGATCCTGGTTCTCTTCGGGACTCATCTCCACTTCTTGGCTGATTTCTTTTGGCTCGCCGCCAAGTTCTGTCTCGGGAGCACCGTCCATATTATCATCTGTGACCAGAACCTCTTCTTCGCCACCCCGCGTTTGCTCTGCAGCTGCAAGAGGCTGGTCATCAACAATTGACTCTTGTTCATCACTGGCAGGATGCTGATCGAAATTGTCAAGCGTTACATTCCCCTCTGGCTCCAGATTGTCGTCCGAGCGCGGGCTTTCTCCGAGTAGCGCTTCCTCGGCAGGGGCTTCTTCGACGGTCGCATCTTCTGATGGTGGTTCTTCCAGTGGTGCTTCTGCGATAGGCGCTTCCACGGAGGGGGCTTCTTCGACTAGCGACTCCTCAACGGGAGCCTCCGCAGGAACCTCCTCGACGGGAGCTTCTTCGAAGGCTGCTTCTGCAACGATGGCTTCCTCCACAGGCGCTTCCGGGACTGGATCATGCTCAACCGGTGGTTCCTCGACGAATTCTTCTGAGGCAGCTGCTTCCTCGAGTGATGATTCTGCAACAGGCGCCTCTGCGACGGGCGCTTCTACAACAGGAGCTTCGACAGGAGCTTCTTGAACAGATCCTCCTTCGACAACTGATTCTTCAACGGGTGCTTCCTCGATCGGTTCTTCTGTAATGCGGGCCTCCTCGAGTGTTGCATCCGTGACTGGCGCCTCTTCTCTCTCAGGGCTTTCACCACTACCACCATCGCCAATAACACCCAGGTGCTCATCTATAACGTGCGTGCCAGCGTCACCATCGGCATGTTCGACAATGTCCCTTGAAGGTGCCTCGTCCACCGCACATTCATGAGCAGGTGTTTCGGAGTCGATTTCTCGAGACTCGACAGTTCCCTCCTGAACATGCTTGACGTCAAGCTCGCGATCATAAGAAAGGTCTTGCTCTTGTACGTCGTCCTGAAGCTTGTCCAAGTCTGAATCGTCAGCCTTGAGTGCATCGCTCGCAGACCCGTTGTGACCTCCGTCCTGATTATGTTCCTCCACATAATCTGAACACACAGATTCCTCGAACTCAGTCTCTGTATCAGAGTGTCCGAGATCGTCATCGTTAAGACCATGATGACTCGTGACTTGTTCAGTAGGAGTGTGCTCCTCGTCGCTGGATGGAGTACGGCTGTCTAGCACCTCGTCATGTATACCGCCGTCCATGCTATGGCTATCCCCTGGCTGCACGATTTTGGCCTCAGACTCTTCCTGGACTTCCTCTGCGTCGTGACCAGGAGCCACAGTGGAGTCACCACCCGACACAGCAGTTTTCACCTCGCGCGCGGCAGTTATGGAGGAGTCATCTTCCCGGTACGCTGGAGGAGGTTCAGAAGTGCCACTCAGACTCGCAAACGCGTCTTCATCGTTGCATATTGGTTCGGTGCTAGTGTTCGCCACCGAAGATCCAAAGTCGCGATTGCCAGAAGCTAAAGTATCAGTCTGAGGACTGGACACAGAGGCATGAGCGCCACGATCATCGAACTCCCCAGAACCGGCAACCGATGAAGAGACAGGCCCAGTATGAGCATCGGATGTCATTTGATGCGTGCCAACACTGACAACGCTTTCGTGGTCTTCATCTGTGCTCGGTGCAACCTCATGCGCGTCGCCTTGAGCAGTGCGACTCGATCCTGGCGTGGGTGTGCTCGCAGTCATATCCATTTCGCCATTCATGCGCGTATTGGACTCTGCAGCAGTCTCTTGAAGCTGTTCTGACGCCGCCGTCGCTGGCGGTCTAGAGGGCTCATATGCCAAGCTTTCACGGCGAGAGTCGCTGCCCAGGTAGTCGTCAATGATGGTAGATGCAGCCAATTCTCCACCTTCTTCCGTGTCAGGCACAAAGCTCATCTCACGAGAGGTGATCGCAGCAGCGTGAGAGTCATTGTCGGACAGAGATCGATCCTCGGAATGGATCTCGGTCTGATTTGGAGGAGAGGTAGTCTTTCTCGGAATGTTCATCTCGTACAGATCTGATTTAGCATCATCTTCGATGCTGTGGGGTTCCTTGGGGTCAGAAGACAAGAATTGTTCCTCACGGGATGTTTTGTCCCGAGAGCCGTGATTCTCAACATGCTCTGCAGAGAAAACTTGTGATTCTGGTCCGTAATAATCTGTTTGACCAGTGTGCGAGACACCGTCTACTCATATTAGTGTGGCTCAGCGATGATTGAGGATTAGAGCGGGGAAGACATACCGTGATCAGGCTCATCCTGAGGCGACATTCCTCTTTCTTCGAAGATTTTAGGCAGATGCACATTTGAAGGTGATGCCAAAGCTGGCTGTGCACGGTCTGACTGCTCAGATAATTCACCATGTTCCGACTTGCCGAACATTTTGCGCAGTCGATTTTTGAAGCTCCCAGAATTCGCCTGAGCTGCCTCGGACTCCTCGATCGTATCGTGAGTCACTGTGTCATCCGGCTGTGGTGACACGACTGTCCCATCAAAACTTGAGAGCGAGCGACCTGAAGACTCCAAGCTCATGTTATTGCCTGCGGGGCCTCCTGCCACCGATGGGGTTTGATCGTGGCTTATAGCGACAGAGTCCCTAGTATAGGCCTGAGAGTCGTTGTCGCCGTCACAGAATGGTTGAGAAGCAACCTGTTCCAGCCATGTCGAGATTACAGGATGGTCTTGGATGTCCTTTTTGGAGCTTATAGCACCCACTTGAGTCGCACCAGGCGAAGACGAGAGTTCCAAGTGTTCTCCGAGGTCGTGATCAGACGTCTTATTAGAGACAATGTGTCCTGAGGATTCAACAAACATGGGTACGGTTGAAGAGACAGATTGACGGCGCTGACCTGTTGAGAGGGCTGACCGCCGCACAGATTCGGGCTGATCAGCCGAGGACAGCTGATCATGATCACTATACAGCGTTGAGTGGTAATCTGGCAGACCACGGTCCAATGGGCGTTTTGATGCTCCGGTCTCAGGAC